GTTAGTCCAGCTGTTTCTCGTAGATGTAAACTGCCAGCTCTTGAAAGAGTTCAAGAGGAGAGGAAATCACTGTTGTTGAATCGTTTTCCCTTTGAAAATCACCAGAGGAAGAAGATAGACGCCTGTAGCAGAGATACACTCGAGGAAAGAAGTCCAGGACCTCGACCCAGGCTCTTTTCGATGAATTGAACGTGAAGAAGAGCCACCGAGGACTAATCCATTCTCTCCTTGGCCCTCAACTATCCCAGCCTCATCCATATTTCATCGATTAGCTGGCTTGATGGCTTGAACTTGAGGAAGATCAAAAAGACGGAACCAAGGCTGTATTACTGTAGAAGGCACTCTAGGGGCTGTACAAATGGTAGAAGGGAAGATGGTTCTTCAATTAATCTATCTCAAGGCACGCTTGCCAATTGCCTTCTATATAGAAGAGCAATTGGCACTAGTCCCAACTGGGCTAGCGTACCTAGCGACTCACTGCTTTTCCATTGAATGGCCCAGGCCAGTGAGTCAGGGTGGCCAGCCAGGCCTCATTCCCTCGAGGCCCCTATGGCCTCTGCCACAATTACCTCTGTTGTAGCTCTATTGATCCGCTCAGAGGCAATCCGTCGATTCTTTCGAACGTGTATCTCTGGATTTCTCTTCAAAAAGCTCTCAGTCCACCTCTTTCCTAGCCCTTGAGGGTCTTTTTGGACCTCGAGGATCCTCTGAGCAAAATGCTTAAGTTCGGAGTGGCTAGATGGGAGCCCTAGGCTTTCCTGGACGAGGATCCATTCAGCTAACTGCTTTTCCTGAGTAAAAGAGAGCCTTTGCTGGTATTGATGGGCTGTTTGATGCGATTCTCTTCCTGCTAGACGTTGTTGAAGAGTAGACCTTGGTATGCCGTACTCGCGCGAGGCCTGTTTCCGTGACAAGCCCTTTCCGATAGCCTCGATGGCCTGGGCAAGCTCAAATTCGGTATACGGCTTCTTTTTAGGCATATCGAGGTTCTGTGAAGAGATGAAGTCAATTTGAATAAGAATTGGTTGAGGAAACTTTGTAAAAGTAAAGGTGGTGGAAATGGCGGTGTGGCTGTTTTCTCTCTCCAGATTCAGCGCTGCGGCACGCCATACCGTGGGCTTGAGTCAGGTCGTCTGGCTGCCCACCAACCATTCTTCTTTTAGGCAAACGAAGCATCGAGGGACGCGATGGTATTGGGTGGCCTGCTTGCTGACGTGGGGTGCCCCGGGAGAGTGGTGTGCCCCGGGAGAGTGGTGTGCCCCGGGAGAGTGGTGTGCCCCGGGAGAGTGACTATACCGCCTAACAAGCGCCAGTCAGTTACCGGCCTCATATTCTTACTTGAGACCCCGGCCGATTGTCGCAGCCCCTACTCGCCTACTCGGATCATGGGGGCCGGCGCTAGCTGAGGACTTGCATCGAGGTTGATAACCCATAAGGACCACGAGAAGCCATATTCGAGCTAATAGCTTAAGTAGGTATGTAGGTAAATACATTCTGCATTACAGAGGCATCGCAGACGAGCCACACACTTCAGTGAGCCTTGAGCCCAAGCACTACATCACTACTACTACCCCCCCCTCACACGACCACTTTATGTACCACATGGTCTACAAGCGTTACAATCTTTGTGGAACTTCCTGATTAGCACCTACTCATTCTTCAGCTCCCAAGCCCTGCCATACAGCCTCTACAACTTCTCCATTCTCACCATCATCCATGCATCTATCCACCCACATGCCTGATACTTCCAGCAGTACTACAAGCAAAAGTCCATCTCGGACTCTACTGGAGGACTTGCAGGGGGATCTGTGGACTTATCAGGACAATCGCCATCCATACCTCACTTTGGAACTATAGGTTGTAGAAGGCAGTAGGTACAGATATCAGGGTCTGCAAAAATTAAACAAATGATTTCAAGGAGATCCCCAAACCCTGCCCCCATGACCCATACATGTACATCCTACCCAGTACCCTGAACATACTTATGTTTTGCAGGAAGACCCCAAGCCCCGCCAAGACATCAGGATCTGAATGCAGAGGTGGGGAAGCGGGTAAACCACCACCACGGCACACAGGCCCACCACTCTAAAATATGCGAGTCAGATGGGTTCGTGCTGAAAAAAGGGTACCTAGTCGCGTATTTTGTGGCTCATGCGTCTTGTGTGCTGTTGTATCCTCTTGATGGCCCGCTATTCAACTACTAGGGGATCGCAGCGAATAAATTTTCACAAAATCTACCAAGTACCCAATATTACCCGTACCATAGTAAAGTGAGGCAACTTGTCACTTATCCCAGAGCTGAACAAAAGCTCGAGCAGCCCCCCCTCATAGTTTGCCTTGTTGTCCAGTCGTCCAATGATGTGTCTTCATGCATGATGCAGATCAGTGCTGTAGGGTGGTGTGGGTGAGACCAGCACAACACAACGCATCTTTCGAAGAAGAAGAAGAAGAAGAAGAAGAAGAAGAAGAAGAAGAAGAAGAAAAGGAGTCTGCATGAATCAACGTTCCTGCATCCCTCTTTCCATGTCGAGGAGCTGACCAGATTCCAACATATAAAGAGCATTGCTGCCAGAAGAAGAGCTTCCTGTCTCTTCCTCCAAGGAACATGAATATTTCAGACTGGCATGCATACTTTACATTTCAGAAGCCCGACTGATTCTTTCCAAACGACACTTGTGTACCATCCCTGTGCTTGGGGCTCAACCACCACAGCCAGTTGCTGCCATATCTTATCCCATGGTCACTTTTCTGGTTTTGACACAGAATCCAGGCTCATCTCGTTGAACTGCACGAGTTAGAAGCTCTGACTCGTTATCCTGTCCCTGGTTAGTCTTTCGTCCTCCTCAGATGTCTGTCTCTGCCCCTTTGTTCCTATTGCCCTCTTGTTTTCTTATTATTCCACCAAAAAAAAAAGAAAAAAGGGACATAACCAAGTGCCTCGACCACGGGGACATTGGTTGAAAGGAAATGGGATGAGGATGCAGAACTCCTGGCTATCAGCCTTAGTTCCGTCTAGACAGCTCTTGGCATGGTTCAAATCCATCTCAAGCCCCTTCATTCCTCCTATCCAAATATCTTCTTATCAGTTGACAGCTGCTCTGGCTTTCCGATTCAGACACTTGTCCGTGACAAATGTCCGCAACCTCGACTCTGGCCCATCAGGGCTCTGTGGCATCTGGGTATGTTGACATGATCTACATCTTATCTTTCCTTCTTCTTCTTCTTCTTCTTCTTCTTCTTCTTCTTCTTCTTCTTCTTCTTCTTCTTCTTCTTCTTCTTCTTCTTCTTCTTCTTCTTCTTCTTCTTCTTCTTCTGTTTTCCCCTCAGCTTTCGTCTCCTCAAATCACAGACACCCAACCTGAGGTCGGATTTCTGGTTCCTCTCTGTCATTCCCTCCCTTCTGGCCCTTCTGTCGCTGTCCTTCAGTCACATCTTCTTGGTTCCTCTCTACCATCCTCCTTGTCGGTCCCTTCTGTCGCCCTTTATTTCTATCCCCACTCTGTCGCTTCTCTCCTGGTGCAAATTCTCCTGCCCGCCGCCCGCCACCCCTAAGTGGTGTCTGCATCTCCCTCCCTCAACATCCCCTCCTATGCTCTTTATCTTCTCTCCTCTCTCGACCTCTTCTGATCTTCCCTGCCTCCGTCTCTCTTTCCCATTATCGTCTACGATGCAGTGTGGCCCCATGATCGCAGGAGGAATCACCAAAGCCCACATTGCCTAGCGTGGTCAAACCATCTTTACATGCCTTTTCTTCTTGTGCCCCAACCAAAAACCAAACGTCACAGTCGCTGAAAGCGAGACACAGTCGCAGCGCGTCATCCGTCAACGGCAGGAGTGGCGGCGGCCCATCTGGACACCACCACACTGTCGCCAGCTCTGCAGCTGCCCAGGTTAGCCAGAGCCGCGCTAGTGTGCTGACGACCGAACCCGTCACACCGCCGTCCAACGGTAGCCCAACCACCAACGGCAACACCTCCGGGAATAGTGACCAATTTCTCCTGGGCATTGGCTCTCATTTCGATGTTATTCACCCTGCCGACAGGGCTGCTAGGACCTGATCAGGGTGAGCAATTCTTGTCTGACGTGGGTAGCTTGCCTTGTTGTCATTATTGGTCTTATTCATGTTGCTAATGTTTTCTTGTAGCACTAAGTTATCGTTGTCGGTGGGCCCGGCGGCATGATGGATAATTGTAACGGTAGTCTTCCATGCCTTGCTCAGACAAGAGACGGACACATAGAGACGGAAGAAACAATGGATATGAAAGAGGAATAAGCGGGAAGTTGATAGCCAGTGCTGCACAAACCCCCCCCCCCCCCAAAAAAAAAAAAAACACAAAAAATCGAGGGCCGTGAAAATGGTGCTAGAGGTGAGGGAAAAGCAGGTATGGCGTATGGTCTCAAACGGAAGCAGTGTACTGGTTGGAGTTAGGCAATGCTTCACGACGGTTATGGTCATGGCTATGGATCTGAGAAATGTTGCTGGAAAACCTGTGTTGTCCACAATTAACAGCAGATGGCGTCAAATATCTTCATTTCTTTGAAAGACATTGTCAGTGTAAATGACAATCAATTCAAGGCGTCGTCTCGCATTTATACAGGGCTGATCAGACAGCTCCAGATAGTCTACAAAATATTCAACTTCAGTCGCTCTTTAAACTTTTTGACAAGAAATACCAAGTAATGTGTTGATGATTTCCATTTTTCCGTACAAGACCTTTTCCATCCGAACCCATCGTTCTCTTGGCTGTCATTGATTGGTCGGGGTCAAGGGAGAAAACAAGGTGCACAAAATGGTAGTGGACAAAAAAGTGAGACACTGACGAACCAAAGAAGTCTGACATGTCGTGCGAGTCTCTAATAATATGCTGGATGCCATGCAACTGTTCGGGTCCGGCGCGATACCGGGCCGCGTCTTGCCGTTTGTAACCTCTTCTCTTGCCCACCGCCCATCCGAACGATAACGCTCGCCGCTCATCACCAACAGCCTTCTTCACAACGATCCAGCTCTTCACACCTTCATTTAACACTATTGAATTGATCCTTGCTCGTTCAGTCCACAATCTTGTCAACACATTCCATCCAAAATAAGCCAATATGGGCAAGATCGAGAGCGTCCACACCAACGCGGCACCGCAGCCCCTCCCGCAGTTCTCACAGGCCGTCAAGTACAACGGCATGGTCTACTGTTCCGGGAACATCGGGCTCGACCCGGCAACGAAACAAATCGTCGAGGGAACCGTCAAGGACAGAGCGGTAAGTACATGCAAATCTCCCCTAATTACTCCCTTGAGCAACACTTGCCAGTTCAAGAAGGCTAATTCTGCGTGCGGGGAACCTGGCGATTTTGTTCTTAGAGACAAGCCCTCAAGAATCTCCAGTCTGTCCTCGAAGAGGCTGGAAGTGGTTTGCGCAACGTGGTCAAGGTGAATGTTTTCATCACGACCATGGATGACTTTGCGACAATGAATGAGGCGTATGACGAGTTCTTCACCTCTGACCCGAAGCCGGTAAGCAAATTTTAACCCCTGTTCTTCTCCTTCATCTGTCTTCTCCCCTCTCTTCTTCTTCTCTATTGTGAGATGTCATGTGTATGCTAATCATTATTACGATCAAGTGCCGGACTTGCGTCGCTGTGAAGCAGCTGCCTTTCAACACGGACGTGGAGATCGAATGCACAGCGTACGTGGGCTGAGGACGAGACCTCCTGGGCGGTTCGAGACAATAGCTGAATTCGAGCCAGGGCCCTCTCCATTCCTTCCTCTCGACTGTAAATTTTGTTGTCCTAGCCATTCGAGGGAAGCTGTGGGCATCTCCATCTTCTTGCAGGCAGTGTTCTTGGCTCGTCTAGGATTTGATTTCCTTTTCCTCCGTTCCTCCTTCAATTTACCCTCGGGGAGGGGGCCTGCATGTTGAGGATCAATAAGCAGTAAGAATACAAGGGCCATATTAGCATATTTTCTTAAACATGGTTGGCACGGATGATTCATCGTTGACCACGGACGGTGCCTGACGTGCCTGGGTCGAGACCCCCAGACCGCCTAGCGTGCTCAGCTTAGCGTGCTCGGCTTAGCGGTGCTATAGTGATTGACGTAATGAACGCATCAATCTATATTGGGTCACCAAAATTTCCCAGCGCGTGCACATACGCCGCCAAACAAAACATCTTGCACTTCAGCCTCAACACCCATCAAAATACCCAACAATGGTGAGATGATACCAACAACCCAATTGCGCATTCTGCGCACCGCCGTTAGCGTCCAAACGAGCCTACAACCAGGTTACACGGCCTTTCGCCATGCCTCTCCCCGGCAATACGTCCAGGCATGTCTGCTTGGACAACTCCCACGCACCGCGTCGTCGCGGTCCTTCAGTTCAACAACCTTACTCCTCTCGATAGAGCAACCATCACACCCCAGTAGGATACCAGGAGCAGGTAAAGGCGTCCTCACCACAACCACAACAACCACAATCACCGCCACCACTTCCTCATCCACCGCTGCCAACCCACCCTCGACCACGCGCCCTCCGCCCCTCGAGCTCCCAACCCGCGGGCCCGACACGAGCACCTTCAAGCACCTCTTCGCCACAGGCAAGGCCTACCTCACCTTCTACAAGACAGGTCTGCGAAACATCTACCTCAACACCCGCCTCGTCTGGTCCCTAGACACAGCCTCCGGCATCCCGCGCTCTGACACCTCGAGCAGCGCCACCACCCCGGCCACCATCCGCGCCGTCGGCACCACCACCCGCTCGACCCTCCTCCTGCACCGCCGCTGGCGCCACGACGTCCGCCGCCTGCCCCTCTTCGCCCTCGTCCTGCTCGTCTGCGGCGAGCTCACCCCATTCATCGTCCTCGGCTTCCCCGGCGTCGTGCCCTTGACCTGCCGCATCCCGCGCCAGGTTGAATTGCTGCGCCGCCGCGCCGAGACGAGGCGCGCCACCTCGGCCGCACGGCTGCACGATGAGGAGGAAGGGGAGGAGGAAGAGGACGAGGAGAAGGTGCGCTCCGCCGCCCTCGACCCGGCGCGCGCTGCGTCGCACATTGCACGGTCGCTCGGCCTCGTCTCTCCGCTGTGGGACCGCCTCGCCCTCCCCGACGCGGCGGTCGCCTTTCTCGCGCGCCGTAGGCTGCACGGCCACCTGGCGTTCCTGGCAGAGGACGACGCGCTGCTCGCACAGGCGGGCGGCGCTGCCGTGCTGGAGGGCGAGGAGGTGAGGCTGGCGTGCGAGGATCGGGGCCTCGACGTGCTGGGGCGGGACGTTGAGGATGCTAGGGAGGATTTGCGGCAGTGGCTGGCGGTGACGAGGGCGGCAGGTGATTCTTCCGAGGCACGTGGGGTGACGGAGAGGTCTGTGCTCGTCGCGGCCATGCTGGTGCTGGGGAGGCCTGGCGGGTTGGACAAGGCGCGGGTGCGTGCTTTTGCTAGGGACCACTCTGCCGCGTGGGATCGTTACTTGTAGGAACACAGGAGGAGAAGTCGTCTACTCGGTCACGCCATGTGCTACTATCGAGCTTCGATTGGCTATGGCTTTGCAACGGAAGGAGAAGGGGAACAGAAAAATTTACAGGGGTTCAAAATCCGAGCATATCTCGCGGCGTTCTCAGGGCGCGGATACATGAAAAATGTTGTAAAGATATAGACAGTCATTGTATAGAAACAAGAAATTACCAGTCTCGTCTCAAAACGGGTTCAATACTAACCCATGACAGTATTGACAGAGAAGTCGGCGAGAATATAACGATAATCTCCTGTCTAATACTAAGTGCGAGCGTGCATTTCCTGATCCAACCCCTCAAAAGGGTTCGCCCGGTTAAGGTTCATGTGTTGCTGCTGGAGCTGGCCGCCGTCTTTGCCCACAGTATGTGTGCCAGCCCAAGGGGGTTCCCCAAGTTAAAGTGCTTCGAGATACGCATAAGTATTTCTGGCGAAATCGACAGACCATTCTTACTGTTGTGGCAATAGTCACGTTCCGCCGCGCAGGTCCTCGAAATATCTCGACGAGTATGGTAAAGCCGTAACCATCATGGCGTCAGGACCATAAGGGCTAGTGATTAATCACGCTCATGCAAGATTTGCGCCTGTGAAAAAGCACAACAAATGTATTAAACTTCTACCCCCTGTGCCCTGGATTCTACAGTAAGTCATCCATCACAAGAGGGGCATGGCTAGTTGAATTGCCCCTGCCATTCTCGACAGGTTGGTTGTCTGTGGCTTTGAGGATCTTCATCGTCTATGAAGCGTCCGTTGCGGGAGAAGGGTCTCCTCCTGCCATCGTTTGGACCCCGCCCGGCACCGGCTCATTTTTCTTGACCCGACACCCAGTCTGTCCATAGGACGTGATGGTGGTCATCTCTGGAACTACTTATTACTCCATCGTCTTTCCAAAGAGCCTGATTATATTCTAGTATCAAGAGGATCAGAACTACCGTGGCGACAAGTGGCGTCTTGATATTCGGGTCAACAGAATCCGTTCTATCACTCTCGCCGTCTGCTATGGTTCTTGGTCTAGGCTGGAACACGACATTACTGCCGGTATCTAGCAAGCGTAGCCATGATGTTTTCGACGTCTCGGGCAGGGTCTGATGAGCCTGCGACAGGCTGATGAGGTCCACGGTTGCCCTGCTGGTAGGGAGGGGCAGCGTATCCGGGCAGAGCCATCAGAGGCTGGCCAGGATTGGCAGAGGCCGCAGAGATGTTGCTGATGAGGGCGTTCAGATCCATTTGCGTAGATGGCACAGCAGGAGGTGGCGCATGGTGGGCTTGACCCAAAGCCGGCGTGTGCGAAGGCGCAGGCTGCTGAAGAGAGGAAAGAATTGCCTGGATTGCCGAGTTATCGACACCAGGCATCTGACTCAGCTGGCCAACGAGACTTGCCACATCTGGTGCGGCGGCCACAGGTGGCTGCTGGAGTGGCGGCTGTGCGTATGCAGGGTAGGCCGCCGCCGGCATCCCATAGGGCTGAGACGGGTACCCAGGCTGTGGTTGTGAAGGGTACGCTGGCTGCTGTGGGGCAGACCCTTTTGTTCGCAGAACAAGCTGTGCGGCGATGGGGGGGTCCAGCTCCTGGTACTGGTCAAATCTGACATTGTTACCGGCAGACCTGTCAAAGACCTGGAGCGAGATCTTGGCCGTGTTCTGCGCTCGCATGTCCAGCTCCACCACACCGTGGACGCCCTCCAGCACCTGTCGCTGGATGACCGCATCTCGAGGCAGACGAGGACTCAGGAACATAGCATGCGCCTTTAGACCACGCTCCCAGAAGGCCCGCTGCACCCAGTCGACAAAGTCGTTATGGACCTCCTGCATCAGCAGGATCTGCACGTCGGGCACGTCACTGCCATACCGACGAGGAATGTCGAGCTGATCAGTCTCCTGGCGGCCGCGTCCATACGGGCTTGGGCTCCGTCGCCGATACGAATCATGTCGCTGATAGGTGTCGGGAGATCGCGATCGCTTGCGGCTGTATGTGTCGTGTTGACCACGTTCTCTGGCGTAGCTATCCTGTCTTCCGCGGTGGTCTCCTCGTCTTGGAGATGGGGACCGTCCCTGGCGAAACTCGTCCCGGCGCCCGCCACTGCGTCCCTCGTAACGATCACCGTTGTTGCGATCCGCATTGCGACCACCTCGCTCACCACGATTTCTGCGCTCCCCTGAAGGAGAATGGTCGCGGTCCTTCTTTGTCTTCTGTGTTCTCGAGATCTCTAGATCTGGTGGAGGAGTTAATGCGAGTCTCAAAGCGATAGACTGATTCAGAACAACGTACTAATTTTGCGACCTTTAACCTCGGTCCCCTGGAGAGCACTCATGGCAGATGTAGCGTCAGCAACAGTATGGTATTGGACGAATCCATAGGCAGACTTGAGGGAGATCTGTGCGAGCCGACCGTGTCGAGCAAACAACTCAAAGACATCTCTCTTTGAGACGCGTTCCTGAGACAAATTACCTGTACTCTCGTCAGCTCAAAGACGGATCAGAACGCACCGGGGGGTGGGGCAAGGCGTACCGATGAAGATTCGAGACCCTTCCGGAAAGCGCTCCCATTTGGCCTCAGCCATATGTTTTCTCTCATCTGCTAGAAACTCATCGTACGACTGCTGCAGTCCGGATTCCTCTTGTCCAGGAGTCTGCTGCTGCTGCTGCTGCGGCGGCGGCTGCTGCGGGGCGGTGCCAGGTGGAAAGACGTTGGGGAAAGAGGCAAAAGAGGGGGTGGCATTGAAGGTCTGGGATTGAGGCATGCCTGGGGCGGCACTGCTGCTGGCAAAGGAGGACTGGGGAGGCCCGGCGGTGGCAGGCGTGGCAAAGCTTGGTGCGCTGGGCAAGGAGGCATGTTGATAAGTAGCTGGAGTGAAAGTCTGCTTGGACTGCTCCTGGGTCAGAGCAGGCTTGGGAGGAAGAGAAGACAGGTCTACTGCATCTGTGGGTGATGGTGTGGTAGACTGGACAGTGGCAGCAGGCTTGTCGGCAGTTGACGGCTGGTCGGTGGCTTCTGCCTTGGCAGTGATCTCATCGACGAGCTTCTGGATGTCAAGGGAAGTGGCATCGGCAGGACTGTCGGCGGTCATCTCGACATCCTCGTTCTTGGGCTGGACATCGACAATCTTCTCTGCTCCTCCCTGCTCCACCTGGACAGCAGCCCCGTCGGGCTTGACATTAGGCTCTATCTCGTCTGGCTGGGACGACACCGGCTGCTGGTGGGTTGGAGGAAGTGTGGGAGAACTGATGGCATCTGGCATGGCCTCTTGGGGACCTGGGACGGGCTGCTGCTCGCCACCGTTCTCGATGGGGCGTGGCGCAATAGCTTCCTGGGTAAGGCTTGTGGCTTGACTGGGCTGGGGTTCTTCTGCGACAAGGCCGGGAGCTTGGGCATCAGCGGGAGCGGGCTGCTGGGCTGCTGGATCAGACCGCGCTGGCACGGCATCAGGCTGGTCAGGCTGCTGGGAAATGATCATGGATTCTGGCGCATTTGATACAAAATCTTGATGAGTCGACTGCTGATCCTGCTCTCCTGCATTCGCATTCTCGATCTCGACCTCGGCTTGTTGTTCATGCCCAGGAGAATCAAAGGTCCTCGCATAGTCGTCAGCAGTCTCCTGCGACGCGACCTGGTGCGCGCCGTCTCCCTGCTCCTGGCCGTCTACGCCCTCGCTGCCGTCGTAGTCGAAGCTCTCATTGTCGGCTATGCTGGCATCGTCAGACTCGGCAGCAGCATCCACGTCGTCGGCGCCCTCGACGACAGGCTCGTTGACGGGGTCGATCTGTTCAGGCTGACCGGTCGCCATGGCTGCGGCTGCTGTGCGAAAAGTGGTGGGCTCGAGAGGAACTACGTCTGCGTTCTCAGCCTGGTGCTGAAGATCAGGAAGAACCTGTGGTAGGGTGTATGTGTTATGGAGAGGACGTGGCGAGACCGGGCTGAGGCTGGCGGCTGCCACGATTTCGGGGTTCTCGTCCGTCATCAAAAAAAAAAAAAAAAAAAGGTGTGTTGGTGAATTTGGATGGCCAGAGAGGGTGGCCAGAAAGACAGAGAGGTTGGTGACTGGCTACTGGGACAAGGACAATCTCATTATGGTCGAGTAGAGAGGAGGGTGTAGAAGGGGGACAACTTAGGTTTGTCAGGTCCAAGGTGAGACAGGTTGTGAGATGGCAGGCCCTGGTGATGGATTGTGCTCTGCACCAAAGTGGGGTGGGAAAGGGAAGCTGCTTCTCTTGAGGTTGAAGAGAACAAGCAAGGGCTTTGTTTTGATGATGAGGGCAGCCTCATGTATGTGTGGAGAAGATTTACACAGTCACAGCAGCGTGGTTGAGCAGTACAAGATCGATGACTTGTTGGCAAGAAGTGGCACCTGAATGGAAGGAGGAACAAAAGGACGGAGAGAGTTGGTTGGGCAGTACAATGACGGAGGAGGGACCAGAAGTGGCTGCCGTGAAAACTGCAGAAAACAAAAAGTAGTAGCCCGGCAGGCAACCAGGCTAAACCCCAAGAAGCTAAGTGCAGAGCTGGCAATCAGCCTCATATTTTGGTGCCAAGATGTGTGACTAAGCCTGCGATCTTGGGGTATTTTTCTACTATGGTGCTAACCATGTAACCATGGAGGCTTAGATCAGAGACTCACAATACTTGTCCCAGACTCGCTCACTTTCTCGACAGTATCAATTGAGCCCATCCAGGCTGTGCCCCTAAACAGGGCTTACGATGATGTCGTGATGATCAGTCCTTCTCTGATGAGGCTGCCAAGTCTCATCTACCGGTACCGAGCTGCTCTCACGCCTCTCTTGTCCGTCCAACTGGCACCATGGAAGAGGCTGGCCAGATTTCAAGCGTTCGAGGCGTCTTTCGACCCTGCAGATTTGGCAGAGGCTAGAAAGTGGCGACAAAGTGTCAGCGAGGCTTCGCTCCCTAGGGGTACCACCACGTTTGCCCGGTCAAGCGGTCCAGGAGGGCAACATGTGAACAAGTTTGTTGCCCCCCGTCCCTCCTCCTCTCCCCTCCGTCAGCCTGCCATTGGCCCAGAATGCGCATGGCACTAACCACGCTTTTCCCCCCTCAGGACTGAGAGCAAAGCTATCACAACCTGGTCCATCTCAGAGCTCATGGGAGTCCTCCCAAAACTGCTGCATTCTCCCCTTCGGTTGTCGAAGCACTACGTTAGGAACAAGGACGGCCTCGCCTTCCATGCACAGACGTCACGGGATAGGGACGCCAATGCCGAGGAGAACAAGTCCAAGCTGCTTGAGGAGCTGTACAGGATGTACAGCGACACCGTGCCTGGCGACACGAGCGCCGAGAAGAAACGAAAACACCAGGGCCTGTAAGTGCGCACCGTTGTTGCGTTCACCCTCCACTGCCCAATGAGCCGAGGACAAATGTGTGCTGAGATCTTGTGACAGGGAGAAGTCGGCGCGTGAGGCGAGGCTCAAGTCGAAAAAATTCCAGAGCTCCAAGAAGCAGGCTCGGAAGGGAGACTGCTAAAGTGACCGCCTGTCTGACGGGTGTCTGTCCATTAGACTCTCTCCGGCCTAGATCTCTTGGCTGTGGTGGTTGGGCCGCAAGGCTTACTTCTTGTAGCTGGTTGGCGGTCAGACGCGAGCGCCAGGATGACGGCTGTAGACCACCTCAGGGGGGTACCACAGTATAGACTATAGTAGGAAGATCTAGGTTCAACGGCCGATTTCAAGACATCCTTAAGAAAAAAAATTAAATCTCATGTACACGGGGTTATGTCGTAAGAAGGGGAGGAAAATCAACAAACATTGATAATATAAAAGAATCAAAATCTAAGGTCATGCAGATGATCTCAACTCAAGAATTTGACAAAGGCTGTTCCAGATCTGGAGAAAATCTGGCACTGCATCCATGCAAGTCGTACACGGGTGTTGCAGGCAGTGAGATAATCAAACGTTCAATTGGCCCGTGATAATGAGGGGCAGCGGGCGCAACAAGTCTTTTTCTCTCTTCTCTCTTCTTTATCTTCTTCTTGCTCTATGGGTGCTGCGGCTGACAGACAGTGATACCACCTCTACAACCATGTACTTTGTACTACTTCTAGACCTTTAATCCTCGTCCTGTCACAAATTCTTGTGCAACTTATCTTCGCGAAATACGTTTTCTTCGCCTTCCCCTCATCTCGTATCTCTTGGTGTTTTTTTATACTGCTGCCACAAGAAAGACCCCAGTCCAGGCCTTGTCTCAAAAGACAATAAAGAACCCCCCCCCGCGCAAGGTCATCCAATTTTTTCCCGCCTCCCACTTTGATTGCCTCACAGGCTGTTTGTGTCTGTGTGCTCTTGTGTTCTGGACTAGACACCCTGGGGTAAAATAAGACGGAGAAGGCGCGACCCACAATCTCCTGGCTAGGCCACCTCACTTATCTCCCGCAGCGGGAAAAAGACCCTGGACATTCAACTTTCCTGTCCCTTCATTTCCAGCCAAGACAGATCATACTGAATTGAAGGGGAGGAAGACCTGCACACGACCAACAGGACACAGAACCAACTCGAGGAGTTCCACCGTTACCGAACGCACCCACAAACCGTAACCTCGACCTCTTCTTTGTTGTTGTCAAACTGCGATCCTACTGGACTCAACAGCCACCAGACAAAAACCCTCCGATAACCGCCTGACAACGGCTCGATTGCAATAGCGGGGCGACGAGCCAGACATCAACCTCGCGAACGCTCTGACTCCCTCTGCCTCCTACCTCGTCCCCCTCCTTCCCTCCTCCCTCCATCGATACACTTTGCACGAAACAAGGGAGACACGATCTTGACGGCGACGACCAACAATGGCTGCAGCTGTCCAACAACAAGCTGGTGCCAACGCCGCCCAGCAGCCCCAGATACAACCTTGCCGGTACAAGGTTGGCAAGACATTAGGAGCAGGGTCATACTCGGTGGTCAAGGAATGCGTACACATCGACACTGGACGGTACTATGCCGCCAAGGTGATCAATAAGAGGTTGATGTCAGGGAGGGAACACATGGTGCGCATTTGTCTCCTCTTGTCGTATCCCCCTTCGCTCCCCTCCTGCCCCTCTCACAAGTGGATGATCATCACGAAGGGGATAGAGAAAGAGAAAGGAGGGAGAGAAAAGGAAAGACATTGACTGACCGCCTGTCCCTTGATCGAATAGGTGCGCAACGAGATTGCCGTGCTCAAGAAGGTGTCCATGGGTCACCAGAATATTCTCACCCTCGTCGACTACTTCGAGACCATGAACAACCTCTACCTGGTGACGGACCTCGCGCTGGGCGGCGAGCTCTTCGACCGCATCTGCCGCAAGGGCTCCTACTATGAGGCCGACGCCGCCGACTTGGTGCGCGCCACGTTGTCGGCCGTGGCCTACCTGCATGACCACGGCATCGTGCACCGGGACTTGAAGCCCGAGAACCTCCTGTTTCGCACGCCCGAGGACAACGCCGACCTCCTGATCGCCGACTTTGGCCTGTCGCGCGTCATGGACGAGGAGCAGTTCCACGTGTTGACCACGACGTGCGGCACGCCGGGCTACATGGCCCCTGAGATCTTCAAGAAGACGGGCCACGGCAAGCCCGTCGACATCTGGGCGCTGGGCGTCATCACCTACTTCTTGCTATGCGGCTACACCCCCTTCGATCGCGACAGCGACTTCGAGGAGATGCAGGCCATCCTCAACGCCGACTACAGCTTCACCCCCGTCGACTACTGGCGCGGCGTCTCGGACTCGGCTAAGGAGTTCATCCGCCTCTGCCTGACCATCGACCCCGCGCGCCGCATGACCGCCCACGAGGCTCTCCAGCACCCCTTTGTCGCCGGCTACCGCGGAGGCGCCGACGGCGACAAGGGCGCCAACCTCCTACCTACCGTCAAGAAGAACTTCAACGCTCGCCGCACCCTGCACGCCGCCATCGACACCGTCCGCGCCATCAACAAGCTGCGCGAGGGCCAGCTGCACGCCGGTCTCATGGACGGCGCCAGGTCCAAGGAGCCCGACAAGGGCCCTGCCGCAGCACCGGCCCCCTCTGCTGCAGCTTCCGTCGTGAACAAGGCTGACAGCGGCGTGAGCGTTTCCGGTGCTAACGCTGCTTCTGCGAGCAGCGGTGGTGCGAGCAGGGATTCCGGTTACGCAACGCAACAGGGTGATGGCAGTACGACGGGGGCCGAGGACGTTGCTATGAGCGATGCCCCGCCGCTGGATACCAACGTGGTGCCTGTGAGCCTGCGGCCGGGCATGGAGGTGAACAAGGTAGTGGAGACGTCCAAGGGTCTGTGGCAGCCGCCGAAGAGGTGAGAAGGAGGAGGAGGAGGAGGGAGACGAAGGCGAAGAAGGAAACATGGACGAGTGTGTAGCACTTCTTGGAAGAAGGGGGGGGGGGCGGGAGGCACTTGTACATCCCCTTGATGATAATTTTTCTTCATTTTTGGATGAATGTCGTTTACAGCGAAAAGAAGAGAGGAAAACGTTTCATGATATCCAGTCGGGTTGGCCTCGATATAATGGCCGTTTGTTGATTGATGTTCTCTTCAGGGGCACACAGAAGCTCGTTGATAGGACGGCTATATACTTCATCAGAAATCTGGTCATACAAAGACATTGGCAGGACTGCTGTCGAATATACACAGCCCCGCGTGATTCCATTGTACATTGGCGCCACGCACTATCACTTGTACTGACTGCTAGGATGTACAGGGCATTGTGATGTCAATCGAGTCGATCTTACGGATTGGTTCAGGTGTGATAGGAGGTTATAAGCAGGCGAGATCCGGAGGTCAATGGCAGATCAGCCCAATATCCGTGGCACAGAAGGACGACCGACATGTTTGCACCGGCTGAGGCTTGTGTGGTACAACTATGACATGAGCAGAGGTTTGTGTCTCAGGCACAAACGACCACGCCAGTACGGAAGACCTCACCGTCACGTCCACTCTCGCCGAATCTCGAGCTCGTGAGAGAGCGGAAGGTGAGTCAAGTTGATTGGAGAAGGAAAGAGAGATGGCTTTCATTAGACACCCTCTACATATATATAAGTTTCCTAAAATACTAATTTTTTGGAAGGAAGACCGAGCAAACAGACTCAATAGTCATCCATGGATGCCCACGTAACGGACGTACCGATATGTTTGGGGGCTGGGTTGGGTCGGGGGGGAGGGGGGACGTTCACTCTCTTCCCCGTGTTCACAGGTATTGAGTGGCCACTTCTCATGGTGCACTTTCGCATAGTCGCCGACTTGGTCATCAAACAATCCTGACCTTGGGCGTGATAACAAGGTGATCATAAGAGACCTACCCTCGTTGGCTGGCGCGAGTGCGAGGCTTATTCCCAGGCATGTTCGCTCCGCGTGCTCTTTTCACATACTAGGATGTCTCCTTGTGCCCCGTAGGGGTGCATTGCGATGCACTTCCGGTCACTCGACCTTGAAGCTAGCCATCCCCCTCCTTCTAGGCAGTGTTGCGTCCACGCTGCTCAGATGGTCGACTTGGAAACGAGGCAACAAAGGCGGCCTCTCACACCTGCCCAACAATAGGTTGATATCATCTCTCTCTCTCTCTCTCTCTCTTTCTCAAAATATCAATCACGTGATAGTGAGGATCCCGAACCGCCGCCTCCCTGGTCCCTTGAGTCGTGCTGCCTGTGATGATGGAAGTGATGTAGTGTTCCCCAAACGTTGCACGGTCACCATCAACAAACAACTCCCTCCTCTCCTCGAGTAAGTAGATTACGCAAGCAGACCCCGTCGAAATGTAACACAACTGATGTCTCACGTCCCAGCCCAGCATACATTAGGCAGTCTGAATCTTTAACAGGGTATTGGACCAGCCACCACGAAACATAAAAGTCCACATCACTTTTGATATTGCTCCAAACAAGAAGAGAGTTTATTACCTGGAGGTCCAGTAAATTCATCGTCACCGAGACGCCCCTCCCCCTCCTCCTCCCCACCCCTTCCCAGACGATAAAACAGGATCACACACAGCTCTCACTGCAGGTTGGTTGTGGTTCGATCTGTGCAAAGAGAGAAGAGATCTGCGGAGCGATCATCTATCTAGGCGCTCGAGCCGCGTCGGATTTAGGAGAAATTTACCGAGGTGTAAGGATGAAACAGAAGCAGGAAGAAGAAAACGGAAAAGAAAATAGAAGGAAAGGATCATAAAGCACCGGACTTAATTCTTTTGGGAGTTCTTGTAGTCAGTCATTATGAAAGTCGCCGAATCTCAACAGGAGAGTCTGCTTGAAGATGTGGTCTGCAGAGATTGGCTGTGTTGGCTGGTTTCCTAATCCGCCGCCTTGCACTGATGTAGAAATGCGGCTTGATACTTAGGTAGGGCCCGGCGAATAATTGGCAATCCCACCCGGCGCAAAAGCCAAGTCCGAGGCGGCAGTCGGTCAGTCAAAGTCAAGCCAGTCGGTGGAGTAACATCTCGTCCCCCCACAAGGACCAAAAAAATTAAAAAGAGTAAGGTTGTTTTTACGCTAGAAGATTCGCAATTGTAGCGAGTCTGCATCTCATAGTACAAAGTGTGTGTGTGTGTGTACACCTTGCTTGCATTGAGATGTTGAAAAGGATCGATAATAAATACAAATCCTCCGCAAATACTTCGAGCCGTTGATGTTGGTAGTGTAGCATAAGGAGTAAGCCAAGCAGGAAAAGAAAGGGAAAAACAAAGAGCCCCGACTCTTCCGAATAGGAGGATCATTACTTGACAGCCGCATGCGCCCGAGCCATCCGGTGGTGGTGGCGTGAGCTAGTCGCGTGTCCCTCTGCCGTTCTGAATCGTCCCTCCACCCCCCTCCACAGCAGATGCAGCAGCAGCAGCAGCAGCAGTGTCTCGCGGCGTTACATTGCATGCATGCACGCACTGGCCTTCTCGACAACCAGGTGGGTGTCGTTGTGGTTAAGGTGGGGTCCAAAAAGGCTGTCGTGTGTGGCCTCTCTGAGCACAAAAATGCAAAACGGCGGTCACTTTGAAAAGCAAAAGTCTGGTTCGGAAGAGGAGGGGGGGGGAGGCACGCGACCCTGTGTTGCGAGCGCGACGTGCGATTTCTCTGTTCTTCTCGTCCTCGCAGTCTTGCCAGGACCCCACCGAGTCCGCCGCCCCGCAAGGCCCCCAGGGTGATAAGGCTTTCAGGGTTCGTTGGCAAAGCCTCTTGAATGATTTTGAATAAGAAATGGTCTTTGGCCGCCTGTTCGCTCTCGGTCTCGGCGCCGAGACGTTGATTGGACAGCAAATTCTCTTGCTGATGATGATCTAGCCCTTCGGCCACCCCCCCCCCAAAAAGCCCCAGCGGATTTCTGCTACTTTTGTTGGGTACCGACAAGATGGAGATCCAATTTCTCGGTAAAGCTTGTAGAACACTGAATACCTAGGCCGATCTGCTGGGTCCAGAGCTGTACCCCTTGTTGACGAATTGCGGGCCATGTCAGTAATGGAAAATGGAAAACATTTTGCTTTCCTCCGCGCCACCCCCCCCCTTTGCCCCATTTATCCCTCTCTTTCTGTCTTCCTGTCTTCGCGTCTTGTCTTTTCTCTCTCTTCTGAATCCTTTCTCCCATTGTACCGAATACGCGAACGAACAAGGCTCGAAAAATAGACAAGGCAGACAGACAGATAGACGGGGCCCACTTGCGGGTGTACGAATCAATAAATCCTAGTACCATACTTAGGCTACCCGACCCGCAACCGCTAGCGGACAAAACCGAACCAGCTGACAAAAATCGAACCCACACTGCAGCCCCGGAGCACTTTGTTGTTGCTTGCCTGACAAACATGGTACTTTGGTCAGTTCTGTCATCTCAATAGTAGAACCATGCTCTTCCTGTGGCACACCTCTCTCTCATGATGGTGGGGCCCTCTTTTTGTGAGCGGTGTCGATTGGGTCCTGATGAGCTTGCAGATGCCTGCAGGTGTGACGAGTCCATCCTCCCCTCTTGTGTCCAATCATGTACTCCCCCTGTCCTGTCCTTTACAGATAATATAGTCCGGAGAATGCAGCTGTCAGCATCTCACACAAGAGAACCCGTCTGGACGGGTGTCGTCCTATCAGCCAACCAATTCCAGGCTGCACGTAAGGAGCACCAGCGAGTAGCCACTTGGACAAGGACGGGGTGCGTGGGCGGCCTAGGCCTGCTTGTGTGAGTGGTTCTATGACAAGCGCCGGTGTACCGGTACCCAAGCAGATGGGTAAGCGGGTAGGAGTGAGAATGAAATGGTGGATGGAGTTCGGAGTTAGTAATGGCCCCCCTTGTTGCGCCCGCGACTGAAGATTGGAACAGAAGAGAGATCGGGCGTGATCAGTCACAAGCATCCCCGGATGCCAAGAGCATCATGCAATCATAGCAACAGATGAGGGCTGTTCAGTATTGATGTGAGGAAGATCAGCATAGAGACACTCGACATGTGGCCAGATCAGAACGAAGTGGATTTGGCTATGGTACGTTGCAATTAGTGCCCGGCTGTTGGATGTAAAAAAAAAAAAAAAAGCTCTGGATATTCCGGCTGGGCCTCTATCTAGAGTCTCAAGGGACTTGCAGAGACTGTTTCGTCTTATGTGCATACTGTTTCTGCGCATGTGGGTGCTGGCGCTATGTTTCGCGGGGGAGGCGGTCGTATCTGCATAAGGGGAATCTTCAGGTCCCAGAGCCCCACGAACGCCTGACCGGTGGCTGCAGTTTGAAGGGTCTGTGTGAGACGAAATATTACGATGTGCTATGCAGAGTAGGGCGACACAGCAAAACGTCGAGATGGGAGTTTGCCAAGGTCTCATAACTCGATGACTTGAGCCATACCCACATAATCTTGGGGTCGCCCAGATCGAGGACAGGACAGGCCCAGGTCTCCATGGAGGCCCCCCCCCTCTCTTCCGCCCCCACCTGTTCAGGTGATGTTCACCCAAGCCGGATCTGTGCATGCTGGGGCAGGTGTGAGTAGCTCAAAGGATCGTGCCCTTGCTGCCGATCTCGAGCGATGTTGCGATACATTGTGTGCATCACAGTAGTACCATGAATAGCATCCATCTTCCAACAGGCGTCATCACCGTTGCTTCCGTGCACGTTGGTGGTGGTTGCAGGGTACAAAAGTAATCCAAGGCGTCGTGGGCGTCACCAGGCGTGCCGGGATAATGATAGAGGCGCCACAAGGCGGCTCATGCGCTGAGGAACCAACCTGTTGCACCCCGGCACTGTCGAGTGCCCATCATTATGGATGTTTTGACGTCAGAGCGTCTATGCGCCATGCTAGCAGCCTCAACATAGTAACAGAGCAGCATAGTAGCACAAAGTTAAGGATAATGCAGATATTCGATAGCTGGGCATTATTTCTCTCTCCTTCTCTAGCGTCCTGAGCTAGACACGTGGAAAGCGAGAGCGAAGAGAAGAAAAGAGGAGATATGACCGTATCGTACCACTTTATGTTTGTGATCATTGGTGGTGGGCAAGATAAGGTTTCAGAGCCTCAGATGGCCATCTGATACAGTCAGTGGGCGTTCATGGGTCAGGTGAGACATCGATCTGTAAGGGAGAGAGGCACGAGGTAGGAAAGGGGGTCGAATCGCTTGAGTAGATGAAAGCGCGAAAAGACCGGAAGGCGCGGATGGGTCTTGAAACGCTATTCCCTGGCACATCCCTGCCACATCGGCAGAGCATGGCATGGGTGAGGGGAGAAACATCGACGATAGCAGTGCGTTCTACTGTCATAGTAAAGTGCTGCTATACCCATTCGTTATTTCCCTGCCAAGGTACCATGGCACCTATTCTTCAGTGGGGATCTACCGCTGGGTCATCAGCCGCAGGGCTTGTTCGCGGTACGTACCCGTCAAGGGGGTCCCCCTCTTTGCCCCAGAGCCAACCACAAAAGTAGTGGTACCCAAGCAACAATGACAGTATGGCAAGCATCTGTTCGGACGGAAGCCGGGAAATAGGCGCTAAGAGAGAAAAAAAGAGGAAAAAAAAGAACAGCACACGGGCAAGCCAGACAAGCACAGCACACAACAAGGGCTAGGCCTAGGCCGCTTTGTTTAGAGGCTATCCATCATCTCGCGACTTCTCGGACACTTGGGTTGGCCCGACGAAGCCGTTTTTTTCTCTCTTTTTTTTTACTCCGAATTTTCAGGATTTTTTTTTTATGGTTGCCTTCTCTTAAGTACATGGGACTCTTAAAGATGCTTGTATTCCTGCATCCTAGCACGACATACGTTTCGTTTCTTGGACCTTCCTCTCATACTTTTATCGATCATCTCGTCTGTTTTCAAGGTTCCCAGACTCAGGTTTTGGCTTTGGTTTTGGCCTTTTCCACCTCCCTCACCTACCTTCTCGCTATTGCCGTCGTTGCTACCTGCTGTCGGGCTGTTACTTAATCTTGCCTCAACTCCCTAGCTTCTCAAATTCCTTGCTCCTATTCCTCTTCCTCCTTGCTCAGTCGGGCGTGCCTGCGTGCGTGCTAAGCATCAGCTGATTTTATTTGGTTCCTGGGCCTTGCCTGTGCCTTTCGTCAGCCACTACGGAGGTCCCGGGCACGACTCACACGGCGATTACAAATTCTTTCCGATCGCACTTGGATTTCCTTTTTTTTTTTGGACGGAAAACGTGCCTGCGCTCTGATCAGCATTTGGGATAAACAATCTTAATCTTTTCTGCCTCAGTGCTTGCTTATCTCCCATCACTGGGGCCGTTTTCGAATCATCAGCGTCATCTGCAGACAGAACATGATATAGAACCAGGCGATAGATGATAGCGTCATCGACGACGATCCAATCCTCGACCAAAATCACCACAACACACACGACTCCACGCACCTGGGTTGGCAACATAGATATTGCGCCCACACACGTTTCTCTAGCAGCTGCCAGCCGATCGCCTTCTGAAATAGAAAAACAGCACCATCATACAGCACAAAGCGTCCTGCATCTGTCAGAATGCAGGACCTCAGCAACTACTCCCCACAGGCCAAACCGAAGCTGCACATCCCACACCTGCAGTGGCCCGGCGCCCTCAAGATCAAGATTCCAGAGAGGTACCGTTCAGGTGGCGGCGACAGCAGGAGGTCTCGGTCCAGGAAGCCCAGGAGAAAGCATCATGACGAGCCGACGAGCCTCACGAGGATGCAGACCTCGTTCAACCCCATGGACGGAGTGCGCGCCATACAACGACACAGATGGGGGTGGTTGGACATCCAGTACCCCGCCCTGGCAGGCTTCATGCTCTTCTCGCTCATCATAGCGCCCATGCCGATACTCGTCAAGATTGCCATCCCGCTGGTCTCCGTGTTCGTGTGTTTGATGCCTGCAACAAGACAATTCTTCCTCCCGTCCATGCCCATATGGATCTACCTCCTCTACTTCTTCTGCAGCCGGTACGTTCTGTGTTTTCCTGTCCTGTTGCGTGTCAGTGGTGGTGTGAGGTTGAACTGACCAGATGCCCCATAGCTTCATTCCCGTCCAGTACCGCCCCCATATCTGGGTCAAGGTCCTCCCGGCCCTCGAGAATGTCCTGTACGGCGCCAACATCTCTAACATCCTCTCCGCCCACACCCACGCCGTCCTCGACCTGCTCGCATGGCTGCCCTACGGCATTGGCCACTTTGGCGGACCTGCCGTGGTCTCTGTCACCACCTTCATCTTTGCCGCGCCCAAGACGACACCGGTCTTCGCCCGCTCCTTCGGGTGGTTGTGCCTGGCTGGTGTCACCCTCTCGCTCGTGTTCCCTTGCACGCCGCCCTGGTACGAGAAGGAACACGGCCTCGAGCCCGCACACTACGGGATGTCGGGTTCTCCCGCTGGCCTCGCCCGCATTGACAAGCTGCTGGGCGTTGACATGTACACCACGAGCTTCACCACCGCGCCCATGCCCTTTGGCGCCTTCCCCAGCCTCCACGCCGCCAACGCCACCCTGGAGGCCCTCTTCATGAGCTTCTGCTTCCCGAAACTGCGCCCGCTCTTCATCTTCTACGTTGGCTGGTTGTGGTGGGCCACCATGTACCTGAACCACCACTACGCCATCGACCTCGTTGCCGGGAGCCTGATGTCCACTGGGGTCTACACGATTGCCCGTGCCAGGTATCTGCCACGCCAGCAGCCCGACAAGAAGAATCGCTGGGCCTATGAGTTCGTCGAGATCGGCGACAAGCCGCGGAACCTCGACGAGGAGTACGGTCTCGTTGGCAAGGCGGACGGTGAGGGGTACAGCCTGGGCCTGCTGGAGCAGCGCGAGGACGAGGATGAGTGGACCATTGGGAGCAGCTCGAGCTTCTCTGCCTCGAGCTCGCCCAGGACGAGCACCACCTCTCCGACGCTGCTGAGCCCCAGCACACCCGATGGCGAGTTCGCGCACGTCACCATCCCGATGGGTCTCGACGGCCAGCTGATGTGGGAGGGCGCCGAGAGGGCGCCGGCGAGAGAGAGCGAGCTCAGTGAGGTCGTCGTTGTCAGGTGAGGAGGGCCGGTCCCAGGGACGGTCATATCACACCAACAACCACCACCATTGCAAGGAAGTAATCCTCCCGAGCCGGCTGTGCTGTGTGCTCTAGCTCGAGCATCCTGACTAGACCAACCAAATCTTGGCGGGCTTGTCAGACGTGATTGCTTGGCAACCAACCAGGATTGAGTTCGCGGGGGTACCACCACCACCACCACCACCACCTTCTTCAGCCTCATGGCCCTGGTACCGGAAAGGAACCGAGGAAACGATTGTCGATGGCAGTTGAGAACATCTTCTGTGAGCACCCTGATCGTGGTCATTGCGAACCGGCATCGTGCTGGCCACAATCTTCTTGACGTATGCGGCCAAGCCTCGCCGCGTGGTCACTTCCCGACATCAACTTCCTCTCAATCTTTCGAAACGGCAACTCGATCCATCTGAAAACTCTCACCTGTTCCTCTTGATACCCCTAGGATCACGGACCTGGTGCATAAAACTTTTATTATCATTATTAATATAATCTTCACCTTCCATACCACAAGCAGCATTTGCACGGCGTCATCACGACACACCCATGGGAACGAAATTAGACGATACACATGATTGGGAAAGGAGGGATGGAAGCGCAGGGTTGGCATGTGGGTATGGATAGGGTGGCTTTGGGTGTATCATGCATAGTAAACACCTCTGGGTTTTGGATCTGCATAACTGGGTTTTATCTGTAGTGGCACCGACGTGTTTCTTCTGTATAAGAAGGGCCGCAGCAACAGGCAAACACATACATGCCTGGATGTTTTCGGGTGGTCATGTAGTAGTAATAATAGGCTCTGAAGCAGTTTAATAATGCGATGAACGAATGAGAACATTCAACCGGTTTGAAATTTGTGCTTTTCTTGGTGGATGAGCTTGTTTGAAACAAGGGAAGAAAGTTGAGGAGAGGTGAGCAGATGAGACAAGAACAAGCGACAAAATGAGAACGTACGTATGAATATATACATATATTTATGATATCCCGCATTCCCCCACTGAAATGCGAAAACCGCAATCACCCCTTCGGACTCAGCCCATGCACAAGAAATAAGTCAGCAAAAGTCGGAACGAAGCGATGCTCGCTCATCCGGCTCTTGCTCTAGTTCGTCTCGGCGTGTGTGGGGTTTCTCCAGCCCGGTTTGCGGCGCGGCTGGAAGCGATTCTCGTTTCAGTAGTTGTGGGCGTGCGGCGCGCGCTTATTAGGATTTTTGTCTTGGGGGTCTGCGAGGGAGCCTGGACGAAGAAAGGAAAAGGAAAAGGAAGAATAAATAAATCATGAAAAAGGTAGAAGAGAAAGAAAAAGGGGGGGGGGGGGGTGCGCGGTTCTGGAGGATCTATGGGATGATCTCCGGTTGGATGGCAGGGCTTGAATTGCTTGTAAAGCGAAGAAAGGGCTAGAAGATAAGGGATAATCTTCTCGTAGAAGTTGGGCCCCTCCCCCAGTCTGTTCTTCTTCTTCTTCCGGTCTTCCATATGATATAACCAAATTCATCTGAATTTTGTGTTCAATTGTCTTGTTTCCTGCTCTCTGTCTCCGAACCAAGATCGACCGATTGACCGATTGACCGATGATGTACAATACAATACAGTAGAGAAGGCTGCGACATTAGAACAAGAGGGAACCCCCTCCTGAATGCCCGCATTAGATTATCTAAACCAACGAAAACCTTCTCCTTGAAACCCCCCCTTTGATAATCCTCAATTCCAAGCCACGGTATGAAGTCGGCACGGTGACCAAAGATTGACCCGCAAAAAAAATCATTATCCCAAACGACGCCATGCCTTTCCATATGAAACCTCCTTCGCGCTCTTAGTATGCCCAAGGCTCCGAGAAGGAAAAAGAAAAGAAAAGAAAAGAAGGAACCCCCAACATGCACGACAATGCCATAATCTGGAGAGATGCAAGGCCAAAAGAGAATCACGAGCCTGTATGTGGAAAAGCTTGAAAGTAGCCACCCAAACAGGTGCACATGTAGACAAGGCAGACATGTGAGTGATACCCTGGCCAAGATCTCACATACCCCCAGAGAATGGGAAGATGTTGGCTTCGCTTGATCGATCAAGAGTAGTTGCTTTGATGGGGGGAAAAAGAAAAAGGGCTCAAAATTAAATAGGCCTAGCCCATCATGTTTGCCTACACATGGTCCTGCATGTCACTATGAAACCCAGTGGTAATTCCAAGTGACGGGTATCCACAAAACCATGACAAACAAATCCACCAATATGGCCTCACTCAAGTTCCATCATCCTTTTCAGTGAATAGGCTGGCCACGGGAGTCAAAGCGGGGCGGAAGCACCTGGGTGACTTTCTTCGGGCTCTTAGCAGCCTTCGCGGCAGCCTTGGCAGCCGCCTTCTCGGCCTTCTTCCTCTCCTTGTCCTGTTTCTTCTGCTGCCCATCGTCCTCTTTGGTCACCTGAACCGAGGAGGTAGTCAGGCCTGCTTTACCAGTGCCGGTGGGCTGGTTAAACGCGGGGACAGGAACGGGTGTCTGCTTGCCGGTAGGTATCTGCGTGGCGGGAAGGGCAGCACCAGGCGACACGGACGATCTGGATCGCCCGACCGGCTGGCTCGCCGAGGGGATCGAGCTGGACCGGCTGCTGTTGGGCATGGCGGGGATAGGCACAGGCGTGACCTTTCGAGCCGTGTTATTGTCGCTACTTGTCTTCTGCTTCTTGTTGGACTTCTCAGCTGGGTTGTTCTTCTTCTTGCCGGTGGCACCGGAGGCGTCCCTCGAGACGGATGGGGTAGTGATAGAAGCAGTCGCGGTGGGTCCGTCCTCACCGTCATCTCTGTGCTTGCGCTTCTTCTTGGAGCTCGTGCTGGGGGTACCTGATTCCTGCGCTGCGGCCTTTGCCTGGGCCTTCTTGGTTGGGGCCGGAGCCGCGATGCTGGGTTTGGGGGCGGGCACGCCTAGGGGAGTGTAGCGAGCGCGGAGACCCTCTGGCTGAGGACGCGCTTGTTTAGTGGTAGCGACCGTCTGAGTAGTGGTGACGCTGGCGGGACCGCCAGGTGGGAAGGTTTCGCTGCGGGTGAAGTGTATGGTCTGTTGGACTGGTCGTTCCACTGTGGTGATATAATAGGTCAGCATCCAGTTTCAAGTCGTTCCTAAACAGAACGGAAAAGCTCACGTAATGAGTACTCCTCGCCCTGTTTGTTGGGGATGAGGAGCCGGAACGAGGAAGAAGCATCAGGGTTATCAAAAGCCATGCGGTAGTCGTCGCCGTTGTGCGATAGGACTGGCAAGCCACTCTGAGCCTTGTCCATGGGAATGGTCAAGTCTTGGACAACAGTGACGGGCAGTGAGGCTGGCGCGGTGATGTACCAGACCTGCTTGCCTTCTGTCTGGGCCTTGGAGAAGAAGCTGGCAACGTCTGAAGCATTAACCAATCCATCAAGCTTGCGCAGGTGGAAGTCAGGCGCCACAAATTCGGGCACATCGCCACTGGAATTGACTGTCAGCCATGTGAGTGGGATCGTGAGGAGTAGCAAGCTGCACTTACACCTGCGTGGGATTGCCACCGTTTGTCAGAGCCATTGACTGATCCATCATCTCGACATCGCCATCGGCCTGGGGTTCAGCGCGCTTAGCCTTCTTCTTGCTGGGTTTCTCCGGCGCAGTTGGAGCAGGGGCCTTGGAGGATTGAGACTTGGCAGTCTTGACGTCGTTCTGAATCTGCTTCTGGATCTGCTGCGCAGAGTCCTCACTGTCCTCCTCACCTTCGCTGTCGCTTTCTGATGAGCTAGACTCGGACTCCGATGTAAGCTCCTTCTTGACCAACGGCTTGGTCTTCTTTGCAGATGGTGAGGCGGTCTGTAGTGCGGGCTTATTCGCTTCGTCACTGTCGCTCTCGCCGCTGCTGGAGGTTTCCTCCTCTGAGCCTGATTCCGAATCAGACTTATTCTTCTTCGTGACCTGCTTTCCCTTCGCGCTCGATGACTTGGCCTTCTCGTCACTGCTCGACTCATCCTCCTCGCTGTCGCTGATGGCCTCTGAGCTCGACGAGGTCGCCTCTTTCTTCAACTTTTTCTTCGACAAGTGTTTCTCGACCGAGGTCGCAAGACCATTCACAGTGGGGCTCTTGGCAGGAATCGAAGTCTTCTGAGCCAGAAGGCTATCCTTGGACTTTGCGCTGTTGGTCTTGTTCTGGGAGGACGGTGTCTGCTGAGAGAGCCGTTTCTGGAAGTCGGCAGAGGACTCGGCAGCGACATCGTCGGAACTGGAGTCGTCGTCGCTGCTAGAGTTGCTATCAGAGTCGCTATCGTCACCGACGACCGTCTTGGGGTTGATCTTGGGCCCGGTCGGCTTGACGTAGCCTAAGGTATTGGTAGACTTGGCCTTGCTGGTGTTGGAAGCATGGGCACGAAGACTTCCACCTAGAACCTTGGAAGAGCCAGCCATGATGGAGCAATTGAAGGATGGCTAGGTATCGAGGAAGAGGATGGAGAGGAGTCGACGATGGAGATTTGTGTGTTCAGATGAATAGTGGCGACGCGCTTTGTCCGACGCGTCGCAACAGTCTGGTTGCAGGTGAACGCAAAAAGAAAATATGCGATGTTCTTGCTATTGGAGAGCACAGCACAACAGCAGTATTATTAGAAGAAGATGGGCAAAGACAGAGAAATGAGGAAGCTGGCTAGGATTGCGTTGTTGGAGGGAAAAAGAAGGGAGGCGCCTAGCTGTCAGCAACAGCAACAGCAGCGGCGCGCATATGAGCTTTTTGGTCCAAGTTTGGCTCGAATTTTCTTCTCGAAAGCTTCTTTTTCTGATCGCGTCTCCAAACTGAACCCGGCCAGGGTCAGCGTGGGGTAGCAGACTAGAATTGAGCTTATCGATTGGGCAGCGGGGCTGATGGCAGGGACTCTCAACAGGGTACAGACATGCTGGGCTCCACTAGAATTGCACCCCTGCAGGCGTGAAGGACTGCTTTCAAGATGCACATCACATCACTGGAACAGACCTCGCACTACTAGTACTACCACTACCATTATAGTGACACTTTGCTGAAAGAACTCCACCCTGCCACGAATCTTCACCCATTGAACATGTCTGCCAGCAAGAGGAGGAAGCTGGATGTTGGCCAGGGCACACAGAGTAAGATGATTGTCCAGTAGATCCCTCTTCAAAAGAAGACTGGCTAAGAAGAAGAATCATTACTTTCTAGTGTTGAGTGCTGCAGCTCTTCGCAGAAGGTTGCTCGAGAGGCAGGCCTCTGGAAATACATCTGTTGCATCAGAAAATGTTGAGAGCACTTCAGCTGAGGATGGGCTGAGCAGTTCTGGACAGTCCACCCCAAAAAGGGGAGGCTCAAAAGTCAAAAGTGCAGGTCAAGGGCCCATGAGGAAGGACATTATGCGCACCACTGAACAGGTGCTCCTTGGAGATTCTGGCACTGTAGAAGAGGAGGAACTTGAGATTGATGAGCCGGTAGATGAGCCTCCTAAGAGAAGGGTCATCCAGCTCTCTTCAACCATTTTGAGCAAGAATAATTGTCAGAGGAGGGCCGATGGAACTGCCATACTGAAGTTCTCGGATAGTAGCGAAGTAAGTAGGTGGAGGTTCATGACCATCATCCATCCCTTTCGTGTTTGTCTTCCCCAGGCTGACAGAATAGCAGCGCCTGGTTATCCTCGGGAGTTACGGCGTCAAGGTCAAAAGTGGAGAGGCAAGCATATACGGCGCCTCTCTTCATCCCTCCGAAACTATTCACTGGGTACACGCGCCACACTGTCATGCCTTGCCCGTGCTCCGATGTTCTGAGAAGTCGGTTCTCGAGCTACACCCTCACCCGGCAGCGGCTGACCTGAGGAATCTGGAGAAGCTGTCCCCTCTCTTCGGTGGCCTATGGCATGAGCCAGTCTCCTCGGGAGGGCAACGTAACCAGACGTGGCAGGTACTCAGCACCTCCGCCGACGGACCCAAAAAGGCCATGATCCAAGACCTCAAGTCGCCGCCCGAGTGGAACAGAAAGATTGCCGAGCTCGTCAAGCCGACCCGAGAGACTGCCCCGGTGTTCATGGTCTGCGGGCCTAAATCCTCGGGCAAATCGACATTCTCGAGGATGCTGACGAACAGACTCGTTACCCACCGAGGCGGCACCAAAGAGCGGGTCTGGCCTGGCGTCGCTGTGCTGGACATCGACCCTGGACAGCCTGAGTTCTCAGCCCCTGGTGCCATCTCGCTCGTCAGGCTAGATGAGCCGAACCTATCACCACCTTTCTGTCACCCTTTACTAAAGCCAGATAGCACCGTCAGGTCGCATGCCATAGCATCAGTCACGCCAGCCTCGAATATCGAGCACTACAAGGCCTGTGTCTTCGATCTGTTCTCACATTATCGGTCGACCTGCCCTGGCTACCCACTCATCATCAACACCCTAGGTTGGATACAAGGCAGTGGCCTTATCCTGCTACAGGACTTGTTAGCAGAGATTCGACCGACCGAGGTCGTGTACATGTCACAGGACGGGCCCGAAGACACAGTCGAAGGGCTCAGGTCCGCCGGCACCCGGTCCCCCCTCACAACGCTCCCCTCGCAGTCGAGCGAGTACACCTCCAGAACAGCCCTCCACCTGCGCCACATGCAGGCGATGTCCTACTTCCACATCAGCGCCGAGGTTGGTGCTGGTGCAGCTGGCGGCACGCACTGGGACGCCCAGCCCCTGACCTCCGCGCCACCATTACTTGTCAGCTACACCGCCGCTGGAGAAGACAGCGGCCTTCTCGGCATCGCATGCTATGGCTACCAGCCCCAGCCCGAGCTTCTGGCCGAGGCCATCGACGGCACCATCCTCGCCATCATAGAAGTCGAGGACGAGACCAAGGCCTTCGGCATACCTCCATCGCCCCCAGCGCCAGACGGTCCAGGTGTGGTCCAACGCACGGCAGCAGAGGCACAGCTCCCTTACATCCGCGCCAACGCCACCCCTCTCGACCCCAGGTACGCCCGCTGCCACGGCCTCGCCCTCGTCCGAGGCGTCGACACCGCGCGCGGCCTCCTCGCCCTGTCTACGCCGCTCTCGCCTGACCTGCTCAGCGGCAGGACTATCGTTCTGGTCTCGGGGAAGTTCGACTCGCCTACGTGGGCGTACACGGAGGATCACTATAGCCGCGCTTCTGGGAAGGGCGCGGTTGGGGCGGAGGTGGAGGCTGGGTCGACGGGGATCCCGTGGGCGGAGGTGTTGCGTGGGAACCAGAAGAGGGCTGCTGGGTCCAAGGTTTGGCGGGTGAGGAGGGACCTTGGGAGGAACTCGGGTGGTGGCGGTGGTGGTGGCGGGATCTGATGATGAACTGCCAGCAGGTGGCACCGCGAACAATCGTGTAGACGGACACGCAGGTATAACCTCATTCGAGACCATCACAATATAATTTGGATATAATAGAAGCAAATATCTTGCAAGACAGTCAATTGTGTTTAAATCCCTGGATTTCTCCCTGGATGGTTCAGAGTCTCAGTCTGATCACGGTGGCCAAGACAGTACTCCCCTCTCAAACATTTTCAACCGTACGAACTTGCTATGTGTCCCGGCTCAGCCCTAACCTTAGCAAGTACCTGTCCCATCCCACCCAACCATACCCGCCTTGAGAATCGCGCGTGCCACTGAAATCCACATTCGGCCAGCCATCAGCATAAGCAGAGCCGTCATAAGATCATGATTCCCGTGTTTCCTCGCAGTACAGCAGCAGCATCCACCCAATATCACCCAGAGGGATAGTATGTAATCCTTCCTGGAGAGGAAGATCCAGAGACAAACAGATAGAAAGTGTACGGAATTGCCACGAACAACAGTGACGTTCTCCCACACACAAGTAAAAGGCCGACGATGACCTGCCATGAAATGAATACAGTCGATGAGCCTCAAGGCTACAATAAAATTTTACAGGTATCTCTTTTTTTTGTTTCGTTTGAATGATCAACTCAAAGAAGAAAGAAAAATAAGAAAAGCGATCAGCCCACCCAATAAAATATAAAATACCACCTTACAGAAACAGCCTCCCACCCTCAATCGATTTTGTAAAGCACAAAGGCTCGCCTTCCCATGTAATCCGTTAGGTCTGATGATGTGGGTTGATTGAACCACCTGTCCCCTGAAAACGCCGGTTCCAAATAGCCAGTTTAAGGCATTGCACGTCCGTAAGGCTGACACTGATGAAAACATGCAGAGCGCGAGTGTGATGCAGCTCGCTGTGTAGTCTGACAAGTAAAATGAAGTGATTGACTCGTGTGTATGTGTGTGTGAGGCGAAGGTGAGCGCTGCATCAGTATGCCTGGTGCTCAGGGCCTTTGCGCAGGTCGATCCAAGATGCCTTCTTTTGTGCGGTGAAGTAATGCCACGTGATGTGACATGAAGCTATGCGCTGCCGTAGAAAAGAGGGCCAGTAATATGCACAGCTATGGCTTCCGTCGCCGCTTGGCCATTGAGAATTTAGAAGAGTTGTTGTTGCTGCCCAATATCTTTCTCTTGAGCGAGCGTCGGGCCTTGACTTCACGGCGATACTACTGCCCGCTACTGTCAGGACTCAACATACCCACAACGTCGTCCTTATCGCCCGGCCCAGGTGGGCTGCTCGGGACACCCTGACTTTGTGTGCTGTCCATGCGTTCCATTTCGGGGGCCTTGGGTAGGGGAATCTTGCTGATCTTCTTCCCCTTCTCGGGGGTTGAGTTCACGCCAGTTGGTTTCGGATCCGTGACCTGCACCTTGCCGGCCTCAAGCTTCTTCTTCTTCTTCGCCAGGGCGATCTGCTCCTTCGGAGGCCGCTTTTGTGGAGACACGATCTTGCCGGTAGCACCAAGACGGGGACGAGGCCGCCTCTGCTTAACAGGGAGGTCTTCATCCTCCACCAAGGGTTGGTCGGCATTGGCGTGCAGCTTGGCCAGGAAGAAATTCTTAACCAGTCCGATCTGACCCTGGATGTTGTCCTTCGTGACAGGCTCCGCGGGAGGCAGCGCATCGAAGAGATCTTGTACCTCTGCGTCGACGGTCTGTGTCTGCGCTTGGAACGTGTTGCGGACGCGAGACTGCAGGAGGTGAAGTGGCACAGAGAGCATGTCAAGGCCAAGCTCTTCCACAAGGCCGAGGGCCTTGAAACCAAAGAAGTCCTCGCCAAGGTCCTCAGCAAAGTCGCCTCCAACAAACTGGTCGCTGCCGTCCTTGAAAGCACCAGCGCCATCAGGACCAGCGTCGTTGAGCGCCGGCCGCAGCAGGTCAGCAAGATGCGACTTCATACGCTCGTGGATCACCCCAAGCTTGCTGCCGAGCCTGTCGACATCATCCTTGGCGTAGCCCTCGATGGCCTCCATGCTGTGTCCGCTCTCGCTCAAAGCATGAAGGATGACCTCCTCGGAGGTGAAACGAGGCTGGGATTTCGCACCACGCTCGGCCCATTTGCCACTAGCATTGACCTTATCTGCCTCCCTGTACACGTTGAATGTGTGGATGAGCTTGCCAAAGTAGTCACCAGCGATGTCGGCGACTACATCGAGAGCAGACGGTTGGAGCTCCTCAAATCCAGCATGGTAGAAGATCTGTGCGACAGAGCGCTTCAAGGCGGACCGGCACACCTCAGGTGCCATGACCGGTCCCTCCCCAGCAACGAAATGCGGCTCGATATCAGCTTCCAGAAATGGTTCGGGCTCGTACTTGGGAAACTGGTTCGCGTAGACTTGCGTTTGGATCTGCATCTGTTTGATGACGCCGATCTTGGAGCAGACCTTGCGCGTTTCCTGCATCTGGCGGAGGTTTGCGCGGAACTTCTTGGTCAAGATGCTGTCCGGGGCGACGAACTGTCCCGGTGGTACCAAACGCAAGACATCCTCATGCTGGTTGATTACCTGGCCTTCGTCGTCTTCGATCCATTGTAGCTTTGGAATGACATCTGGAAGCAGGTTGCAAGCCTCATAATAGTCAGGGATGACATGGTCATCCTCCACTTCCATACCTTCGGCCAATGTCTCGGAAACCTTGGTGGTCTCTTTGGCCGCCGCAGCTGAGGACTCTCCGCTCGATGCGGCGCTGCCCTCGACATCTGCCTGCTTGAGACGTCTCAGAACACGTCGCATGCTGGTTTTATTTCGCAGGATTGCAGGTTCATCAACGTTGAGCTTGTTGTCCTTGAAGAGATTGTGTCGTTCCCGGGCGATCAGTGCACGGTCCTTCTTGGTGACCTGCTTCCAGATCTTGTACTCTTCGTCCTCGAACTCTTGCTCCGCAGCCTCACCAAGGCTCAGGCCGATGCCATTCAGGGACGGTCCATCGATCTCCATGGCATCTGCGTTGCTGGTATTAGACTGCCCGTGCGGGCCAATAGGCGTAAAGGACCCAACGGGAGGTGTCCCGAAACCATTGCTGCCATCACCCATCTCCGAGCCCTCTCGTCCCGTCTTTGCGAGGATCCCATTGATCTGCAGAGTCGGCTTTGAGTCGTTACTGGGTGTGGCTTCCTTCTGATCAGCTGGAGCGGTTCTGGACTTGGTAGCTCCCTTGACAGCGTTGCTTCGGCCACGAGATGTGATAATGGGCTCGTCGTCGCTGTCATCACCACCGTCATCCTCGCCGCCGTTCTGTTTGCGCCGCTCCTCAGCCTCGACCTCAGCTCGCGGTCGGACGATGATGTCTGGTATGAGCGGAATAAGCTTGTCTGCCTCCCTCCGCATGCCGTTCGCCAGCCGAGGGAGGTGGTTGCTCAGATTCTGGTTGTATCGGAGACAGTTATCCCAGATTAGGTTCAGATCCGTCACGAAGTCGGCCTTGGACTTGTACTGCAGCTGCTTGAGCTTCTTGGTCATCGTTCCGAGGTCCATCGGCTGTTTGATGACTGTAAAACGGTCAATATGTAGCCCAGTGCTAATTGCGGTCAGTTTCAAACCTACCAGAGTAATAATCCGGGGCGTCCCTCTTGCTGACTTTTGTCAGGAACGGTGTCGAGTACTCGGTGTGTGCCTTGAGCTCGCTCAGGACCTTCTCGAGGGCCTCGTACAACTCCTCCTGGCCCACATTTTCCTCGCTCGCCCATTTCGAACGATTCTTCCTAACCTCATTCATCAGGCTGCGCAGCTCCTGATCGGTGGCCTGAACCTGATTGCGCTTCAGATCTATTCTGGCGATCAGGTGCTTGAGTGTGAGGCTGGACGCGCCGAGGTTCGCGCTGCTCAGGGTTCCGTGGTTCGGTCCGGGGCCGTCATTCGCGCTCCCACCGTTCTTGTCCATCTCTGCCTGTATCTGTTTCTCCGATTCTTCCAGCTGCTGCTGCTCCAGCATGGCCATGCGGTCGTTCTCAAGGGTGTAGAACATGGTGTGGAAGCTGCGCTTGGCAGCCTCCTCGGTAGCGTTCCGGGCCTCCTCTAGTTCCTTGCGCGCATCCTCGGACGACTTCTCCTTGCCCTGCGATGCGGCATCTTCTTTCGACTTGTCGCCGGTTTTCCCCGGGGAAGGGACGGAGTGGACTGGGGAACTGCCGGATTTGGAAGGGGAGAGGTACGTCTTGGCGGCGGCAGCATTGTCATTCTGGAGCTGGGTCGCGGCGGCAGCGCTGTGCTCACCCTCCTCGTCCTCAGACTCCTCCTCGTCATCATCATCGTAGTCGTCGATGATGACCCGCTTCGCCTTTTTGAGTGGCGGTTGTTGTATAGGGGTATGGTCGGTGGCAGGGGGTATGTAGACCTCGGCGGCGGTCGGAGGTCGCTTCAACGATTCGATGGCGGACTCATTGTAGTCGCCATCGTCAGCAAATAGCGACGCGATCTTGGCATCTGTCTTTCGGAACAGCTGTGCGAAGTGGGCGCGTCGGTGGTCGTCATCGTGATTTTCGGGTGCCTCAGGCATCAACGTGGGCGCATCGGGATGCGACCGCGACTGGCCATCGACACCGGCGTAATTCATCTTGATGCCATTCCCCTGGCTGCCGACAGGTGTTGGCCAGCCGTTCTGGGATGAAATAAAGGACATATTGTCCCTTTATTGATAGCCAGGGCTGGTGAGAAACCGCGACACTCCATGCGCCAGGTCAGGCGAGATTTCGACCGGCTTCCGGTGGGAAACGGAGCTCTAGACGGACATGGGACGAAAGAGCGACATTGACATGGATGGCCAAACGGGTTTGTAGGGCGATGCGGGTTGATGTGGTTGAAAAAATGATGAAGGTCGTGAGGGTAGATGCTGAGCGTTGATGAATTGACGTTCAAGTTTGGGTGGAGTCGGTCGTCAGGTCGTCCGCGGTACCTCTAGCGCAATGCATTCAAAGGGTTTGTACTGTACTGGGGGCAGGTTGCAAGTGGGCCGGTCGCGGTCGCAGTAACAGTAGCAATTCCCAGTAACAGTAGCAGTAAATTCCCAGTAGCGTCATAAAGTCAAGTCGGTAACTGGCCAAACCGAAAACAAAACCCAGGCACTACCCCTCATATCTGTTATGTGCAGCTAAAAATGAGATAATTCCATGCCGTGCAGTACACTCTGAGACCTTGCCCTTTTTGCCCTTTGCACGGCTGCCGTAAGTGGCCTTCTCAATGTCATTGTCGCAGCTATCGGCTTCTTACCATTCAGCGCCAGCCACCTCGTCTTACATAAGCACCTCCCACGTGACTCTTCAACAGGTCAAATATTCCAATATTTATTTAAGTTGTATAAATGAGCTTTGATCAAATATGCAATTTATATTGATAGAATGCAAAAGATGAATAATGCAGGCTTGGAAAGGATGGTTGACCCTCTGGAACTGGCAGGGTTGTATTCAGATGTCCCGCGTCTCAGACTGCTGCTGTACCACGATCGCTTACGCGAGGTGATCGAGCTGGATGGACCCTCTCTGTAAAAAGTCTACGGACAAGAACAAGCCTGTCTGGACCTCCACATGTGCCAACTGGCTGTTTCCTAGGGTGCATGAGAGGTCTAAGTCGGCTCTTGTAGTGTATGACATGATCGTCTGATGTGGTCGCATGAGTCTGGCCACGATCTTTTCAAAATGAAGACAAGAACAGGAATTTTAATAGAAATTGAATCATCAAAAATAAAAATAAAAAAGAGAGAGAAGAAAAATAGGATGTACTGAGTTATGGTATCGCATTGTGATGCCGACCCTGCAGCAAGCCGCCCAGGCGTTCGGTTCAGGCGCGTGGGGTTGCCCCCGTTAGGCGGGACGATACCCGCATACAGATTCCATGCTGGGTCCTGCCACGCCACACCCCTCCATGGCCCCTGTGGAGCTTTCCCTGCAGGCTTGCGTGCAGGGCTGGTGCAAGCTCCCCAACTGCTCCCCCCAGGCCCCAGGCAAGCCACCTATCCTTGAAACAAGACGTCGACCTGGCAGCTCTTCTTCCACCCACCATCACCTCAACTAAACAACATTCATCCTTCTTCATCATCCACTACAAGGGATTCCCTTTCCCACTTGATTCTCCCCTCCGTCCTCTCCCCTCTCCTGCCAAACCAACCAGCATGTCTACATCAACAGACAACACACTGTACTTGATCTGATTTTTCTTTGAAAAGAAAAAAAATATATACGCAAATCAGTCTGCCAATATGAGGATACGACTTCCATTCGCAGGTAAGGAAGCTATGTACAAGGCTCACCCCCCGCCTCCATTCCCCTTCCCTCCCCTCCTAGCTCCCGCCGGCCATAGCTCCACCCCAGATCCAACCAAAACCCTTTCGGCTAACAAAAATAAAGGCGTTTTCTTCCTCCTACTCCTCCTCGCGGGCTACGCCGGCCTGACCACGCTCCAGCTAGGCCTCTACATCAACGACAAGGCCCTCCACCTCCTCACCTTCTTCCTGCTCACCGTGGTCTTCTACTGGATCGTCGACACCAACCGCCGGCGCACCTTACACTTCACCCTCGTCATATGTACCTTGTGCCTGGGCGTCGGCTCCGAGTTCCTGCAGGGGTTCCTGCCCAACGGCCGCGATTTCGATTTTTATGACATCGTCGCCAATGTTGTCGGCAGTCTGGCCGCCCTGGGGCTGTGCAGCTGGTACCACAAGCGCATGCTCGAGCGGAAGCGCATGAGGAAGACATATACGGCGGTGCCGGGCGGCGAGGTGGGTGAGGATGGCGAGATGGACATCGAGCTGGGCGAGGGCGTCGTCGGTGCGCAGGAGAGCGGCATTACTGAAGGCGTAGACGGGGGTGGTGCTACTGGTGGTGCAAGTGCCGCGAGGGAAGCCATGACCTTGGAAGAAGAGGTGGACAATTGGGACGAGAATGCGCCGGACGACTGGGACGCTCCGGCGGAGGTGACCAACGCTGAAGATACCAAGAAACATCGTGCCGACTGATTCCTCATGCGTCGGTCTTCTGGCCATAGGACAGGACGACACAGGCTTATTATGGCCGCTCCGAACTTGTGAGGCTGGACATATGTTTCTTTTTTGCTATGGCGTTGGAGGTATGTACGATGACCGTAATGAATCTGACGTCTCTTTCTTTAATTGTGAGCAACATTAATTTATGGTGGAGAGCGAGTGAGGCCTGGCGACTCGCCAGTGAGAGCGCGCCCTATTTCTTGGAAGATTTGCGTCTGTATGCAGATGGCAGCAAGCAAGCAAGCAGCATGGGCAAGAGTACTCATGGTTGTGAGACCAAACTTCAAAAAAGATACAGCGACTTCATACCCTATTACCTTCATAGAAGACAACCACGATAACACAAGATAAACAGCGTCACAGCAGAGCATTGCAGGTGAAGTCTACTGGGGGATGTTGATTGTCCCCCTCTAGGGCAAATTGCAGCTATGTGAGATGACTTACACATCCTCTTCTCACCACTCAAAGCTCTCGCTGTGCCAGAACACCACCCTTCCCTTCTTCACCCACACGCCAACATGATTTCTCAGGTCTCGGCCCATGTTTGCTGGTCCGCAGAAGAGCACAGCCACCCTCTCCTCATGCCCGTGCCTAAACACATCGTCCACAATCTTCCTGAGATCAGGACGAACGCCGTGCTGCTGCTGCTCACCCTGCATCGTACTCAACTCGACACCGTCCTCATCTCCTCCATCCCCTTCCTGCGCACCAGGCGTGCTCTTGGACCCAGTCACGAAGAGCTGCACCCCATCCTCTGCCGAGAAGACCCTCCCTTCCCTCGAGGCGGCGTTAGCCCAAGCAGCCTCGCGCGGGCTCCGCATGGCCCACACCAGCTGCACCTTGGCGCCCGGGTTTTCCACAACGAGGGAGCGGTACAGCGGCACCGTGAACGTGGCGCCGACACCGCCCGAGACCAGCAGCACGCGGTCGTACTCGCCGCTGGAGAGTTTCCTGTAGTTGGCAGCCACGCCGTAGGGGCCCTCGATGGCGAGCGAGGTCTGGTGCTGCTTGGCGCGGGTCTTCTGGTCCGCCAGCTGGCGGAGGGTCGAGGTGGTCGGGCCGTCGAGGTGGCGGGCGACGAGGGTGAGCTCGCTGTTGTCCTCGTCCACAGCGGCGACGGTAAAGGGGTTCATCAGAAACTCATGGACGAGGTACTCCTTGGACAGGGGGTCCTGGGAGGAGGGCCGCGACTCGCCGGGGATCTGGAGGTAGATGTGCGAGCCTGGGTTCTTGCGAAACCGGTCGATCTTGTGGTGGGGGATGCTCGTGGTGACCTTGACGAGGCTCGTGCCGGCGACCTGCTCGATGGTGGCGGTGGTGGTGATGGTGTCGAGCTTGCGGGAGATGATGTCGACCAGGAAGACGACCAGGGCCTCGACGACAAAGACCCTGGCCACGCGGACGTGGAACCAGATCAGAGGCGGGATGATGAGGGCCACGGCCAGGTGGGTGATGAAGAAGATCCTGTACGAGTACTGGCGGATGGCCTTGAGCGCGGTGGCCCCGAGAAAGGTCATGGCCCAGATCCCGAGAAGGCCCGTCTGCACGGCCCGAGAGGACATCAGCTTCTCTAGGAAGATGCCCGTCTGGATGAAGTAGTTCGTGTACAGGCATGCGTGTAGAAAGAGCAGCACGTAGACGATCCGGCCGAGGGCACGGTGGAAGCGGTTGATCTCCTCGTGCGAGGAGTTCAAGACGTAGGCGATGGGGTTGAGGCTCTTCAGGGCGAGAAGGTACTGCAGGGGAAGTTGGGAGATCCCGATGATGCCGACTCTCTTTGTGAGATGAAAATAGTCTGCATGGAGCATGTCAGCGTTGACTCTATTTTACTTCTTCTCATCCTTCATCTTCCTCCCCCAAAGGATAAGGGTTGCGACATTAGAACTCACCATCGCCTGTCTCGAGGACCGACAAGATCCCCATCCACGCGCCCCAGCCCAGCCCAAAGACCCACTCGTCTCGTCGACCCCACGATTGACCCAGAAAGACAACATCGCCTCCAAGCCACCACAGGAACAGTCGATACCGTGCCTCCCAAGCACCAAGCGGACTCTGCCGCCGAATCTTCCGCCTGGGCGATTCAGGCACGGCTGAGTAGACGGCCTTCCGCGCGTCGAATGTCTTGATGGTCCATAATGCCAACCTGTAGATAAGAACCAGAAATACAGGGCCAAATGCTGATATCTGCGCGTATCCGGCGTATCTGTCGAGGGTCTGTCTCCTCAGCTCCTTTGCATTGCTGTCGACATGGACAAACTCCCACGGCCAGGCCATTTTTTCCCGTCTTTTTCCGTCTTCCTTGCTGGCTTCAAAAAAAGACCGTGAGACGAACTTGGGAAGGGCGAGTCCCCTGGGTCTTATCAACAAATGAAAGAGAGAAAATCAGAAGGATCACTGAGAAAGGACACAATGTCCATAAAGTAAGTAATTCAAGGACAGATGCGGCGTTAGCGCTCATGGCGTGGGCCAACCCCAGACTCTTGATAAAGTTCACTGAGAGGATCCTCCCGACACTACTGAGGCCCTGCCTATTTATAATAATTTATAATACAAGGCACCTCATGCAGATAATGCTTTAGCGGCCACGGGCAGTGTACTTGCAGGGAGATAATGACCGTACACATAAACCTCATCTCTTGAATATTGCATTCACTGTTAAGAAAAGAAGAAAATGATTTTTGAAGATAATTGATTATAAAAGATAAGATAAAAAATCAAGGGCACTGAAGATGAATTGACTACTGTATACAGTAAGGTCTGAGACTCCATTCCACAGGGTGTGGCCATTTGCTTGGTCTCAATGAACATGTGGCCTACTAATGTTGCTGCTTTCTTCTGTCTACCTGCAGAACATGTTTGTATAAGCCTTGACATTATTTACGAGTCTCCTCTTCCTTTCCCTAACTCACTTGATCCTATTTTTAATCTCTTCTTTTTGTTTATTTATTACATTTATTTCATTGGAGAGTAGGCAGATGGAGGTGACTGCCTTCCACGTCCCCTGTTCCTTGTAACTCAGGCTGATGACAGAGAGACAGCTAAACAGACAGCCTAGCCAAGCACCATCTTTTTGTCACCTGGACGATACTTTTCAACAGCGACCAGCTCCGTCAAGAAAACCTACTCACTACACCTACCCATAGCAGCAATCATGGCAACCATGCCGCCCCAATTCTTTCGCTCGCCGTCCTCCTCAGACGACGTGCGCCTCGACGATTACCTCGACGACAAGCTCCAGTATGCAGCCGACATGGAGAATCTCGACGACCTCCTCGCCAGCGTCGAGGAGCAGCGCGCCCAGCTACAATCTCAGCTCGACGACGCCGCACGCTCCCTCACCACCGCCCGCCAGTCCGCAGACGAGCGCCAGGCCTCCCTGCAGCAGCAGATCGACGACTTCCAGGCCCTGCAGCGCGACATCGACGTGCGGCTCCAGATCGTCGCCGCCTCCGACGCGCCCGACGAGGCCATCCAAAGGCTGGAGGGCCCCATGCACAAGCTGGCCAAGGTCGATCTGGCCCACAGGTACCTGGTGCTGCTGCAGGATGTAGAGAGCCTCAGAGAGGAGGCGAGAAGCCACCTGCCCAGGAACCCAAAGGCCGCACTCGAGCCATACACGAAGCTGAAGAGGCTGGCGGCGTACCTGCAGGAGCTGCAGGGCCCTGCGGATGGCGCTGCCGTGCATCTCGTCACACATGTTGCCGCCATCGCCGAGAGCCTGTGGGAGGAGATGAAGAGGACGATGTGGACAGAGATGGACGGCATACTGGCCAAGAGGGGGTGGCCGAAGAAGGTGGATCCTCGTTCCGATATTGACGAGGAATGGAGGGAGTGCTTTGAGAAGTCGATAGACCTGCAGGCGCCTGAGGTTCTCTACTCGAGCGGTGTTGTGACCCTGCTGCCGATGGAGGTGATGGCACAGAATTGGATCAAAGAGTTCCGGTACCACTTCATGAGCGACAATGCGACGAGCGAACCTCGAAACATCGGGAGTCAGTGTTTTCCGTGGATCCTTGCCCAGCTGGGAGAGTGGGACGATTTCCTGCGGGAGGATTTTGGTTACTTGTTGGCGAGCAAGTTTACAGATACCGAGGTGGCAGACAAGATGGTCTACATGGATCCGACGTGTGCTCTCATCACCTCTCTGCTACCAGTCGTCAGCGAAAAGGTCAGATCAACCATGAAGGTGGCGCTCAAGGATCCTGCTTTCCTGAGCAGCCTGATAGGCCAGCTCATGGACTTCGACGACAATCTGCGGAGACAATTCAGCTATGACGGCGGGGATGTCGAAAGAGGCTGGGGCGGCCTCACCTCTGAAGTGCTGGACGAGCACTTTGACCGGTGGCTCAAGGCGGAGAGGACCTTCGCCCTGGAGCGATACCAGGTTATTATGGCCAGCCCAGACGCTCGACAGATCGACTACGACTACAGCGGCCCAGGCAAGACCAAACCCACTTTCGGCGCAGTTCGTGTGATAGACCTCCTGCGTTCGGTCACCAGCCAGTATAATCGGATCAGGAGGTTCTCGCACCAGCTCAGATTCCTGGTTGATATCCAGCTCGCCATCCTGGACCAGTACCACCAGCGTCTCCGGGATGGGCTCGATGCATACAATGCTTCCACTTCCCTGGCCTTCAAGGCCATCTCGGGGGCGAGCAAGGAGGATCTTGCGGCTCTCCAGGGAACAGGCGCCTTGGAGACGCTGTGTAAGGTCTTTGGAAGCTCAGATCATGTGGTCAGTGCCCTCAAGGATTGGAGCAACGAGGAGTTCTTTGTAGAGATGTGGGATCGGCTGCAGGCCAGAGCGAGGGGATCTGATGACCAGAACAACCTGGCCGGCGGCATGAGCCACGATGAGGTCAGGGGCCGGACATCGCAGAGCGTCGGCTCCACGGGAGATGGCGGGATCCTGTTTGATGAGACCATCAAGGCCTATGCCGCGCGCCGACAGCAGGCGCAGGACTGGCTTATCGCAGCGGTGCAGGACTCACAGTCCAAGGCATTTCGACCGTATATCCAGCGCACACAATGGTTGACCATCAGTGAGGACTCGTCGCCTATCGATCCATACACACTTGCCATCACGGCAGAGCTGGACGAACCGCTCAGTGTAAGTTGTTTGCCCCTCTCTGAAACATGTACATCTCAGAAAAAATCTATTAACACACCCCTCAGATCCTCAAGCGCAACTTCGACTTCCTCTCCCACGCCCTCAGCACGGCCATCTTCAGGCGCGTCGTGCGCAGGGCCCTCGAGTCGCTACAGGACAACCTTTACGAACACGTCCTCGTAGCAAATAGGTTCACGACTCTAGGCGCCGCGCAATTCCTGCGCGACATGCATGCCATCTTTGCCATTGCGGACCGGTATGTGCACGACGGGTCGTCCGCGGCCATGGCCTTCCTGGCGGACGCTCTACGGCTCCTGAACCTGCCGGTGGAGGTGGTGGCCGAAGGACAAGAGGTCCAGGGCATGTCGCTGAAGCAGGTGAGCGATCGCGTGTTTGTGGATAACAGCGAGGCGAGGAGGGTGCTTGAGGAGCTGGGTCTCGAGATGCTGGAGCCTCAACATGCCAGGAGGATATTGCAGAACCGTGTGGAGAATAGTGACTAGGTGAGGAGGACGAGCGTGGGCTGCCGTTAAACAAGAAATAAAATCTTTGAAGAGGAAATCTAGCCCTCATCACATCCACCCCCCACAAAAAAAGAAGTAATCTATTGCCATGGATATCACCCATTTTGCCCTGTTGAAACCGCAGAAGAACCAGGGGAAGATATTTTGGATGCCCGTTGAAACTCCGCCACCTCTTTCTCGAATAACCTCTCAGAAAAAGAAGAATAAAAGAATCTCATCCACTCTATCCATCTAGCCCAGGCCACACCAAACTCCATCCCGTGGTCTAGTTAATCGCCCTCCTCGTCATCTCCACAACCGCAAAAGTGCCCGCGCTCACAGGCATGGCCCTCAGCAAAGTAGGCCCCAGCCCGCGCCAGAACCCGCCCATGCCCTCCTTCGCCCACGTCTGCGCAAAACAGTCCCGCATAGACCGATACCGCATCTCGGCGCCGAACCCATCGGTCTGCATCTTGCTCTTGACGACGTCGAGCGGATAGCTGGCCAGCCACAGGGCCTCACCCGCGAGACCGCCGTAAAAGGCAATCTTGTAGGCAGGGATGTCGTCGCGCGAGACGCGGTTGCGGCGGGCGTCGGCGTTCATCAGCCACTCGAAGGCGAGGAACCACACGCCGTAGGCCTGGGCCTCACGGAGGATGGTGACGGCCTCGCCGCGGTAGACGCCGCGCCACAGGCCGCCTCCGGGGGCGGCAACGAGCTTGCGGACGCAGTCGAGGGGGCCCGAGTAGAGGCGGGCGGCGCCGTGGGGCTGGGTCTGCAGGCGGATGCGGACGTGTTCGATGGGGCCTGAGATGACGCTGTTGGCGACGCCTGCGAAGGCGCCGGCGGCGTAGTACTGCGGGTAGGAGAGCGGGGCGGCGGGCGGGCTGCCGTGGGTGGTGGTGTTGCGGTCCTCGAACCAGCGGCGGGCGGCGTGGAAGCCGCCGAACTGGACGGAGACGCAGGCGCCGATGCCTAGGAGAGGGGTGAGGGTGCCTTTGTAGAAGGCGAGGGGCCCTTCGTTGCGCCAGATGGAGGTTGCGGCGCTGAGGGCCGTGGTCGGGGTTGTGGCGGTCTGGAGGCGGACCTTGACTATGTCGAAGGGTTGGCCTAGAGGAGGTTTGTTCAGCTTCGATGTTGGTTGACCCTGAGTGAGAATTATAGAGGAATGATGATGATGAGTCGAGTCGAGTCTCATCTCATCTCATCCCATCCCATGACGGCGTCGTTGCCCCTTCATTCATCCATCCAGCCTCTGCAAATTGACTGGAGAACAAAGCACTCACCAAGCAAGACCTGCGCAACACCACCAGCAGCCCCCGAGAACAAATCCTTGGCTGTCTGCGCCGCGCCTCCTCCCTCATGAGGGTGAGCATCAATATCAGCCGCCGAGTCCGCCATGACCATAAGTACTCCTGCTGCTGCTGCTGCTGCTGCTGCTGCTGCTGCTGCTGCTGCGTGCCCACGCCCCCTTCCTTCCTTTCAATTCTCCGACGAGGGAACGAGCTGGGAACACCCTTCCTCTGTTCTTCAAGTCTGTCGTTCCCTTACAGAGGTACGAGGAGGTGAGAAAAGTTGAGACTGAGGGGAGATTGGGTGATGAATCAGAAAAGGAAGGAGAAAGGAAAACAAGACTGGCTTGGTAAAAACGATTGTGAATGAATAATGAAGGTTTGGCAACAGAAAAAGAGGCCGAAGCCGGTCCCGATAAGATAGGGCCCACAGTAGCACAGAGAGAGTACTATAGTAGACCCTTGTCGTGTTCTCTGGGAGAGATTGCGTGCTGGCCACTCACAGGCACGGTAACTTATTAACTATTGCGCTACTGCATGTACGTACTATAGCATACAGTAGAACATACTAGGTAGGTACAACCGTTGCTAGAGAATATGTAATTCCTCGGCGACTTTTAAGGAGGCCTGGATGTGCTTATAATCTGTATGAATAATACTTTACAGTACTACCACAAATATCATCTTCTTTATTCCTGTCGTTCATTTCCAAAAAGAAAGGCATGGTTACCAGAACCAAACGTGAGGGAAGTAGTGTGAGAGTTGTATATATATGCAAGTACATCTTGATGACGGGCTACGGCGTTCGTCTCATCTGCATACATGTATCGTCTTTTCTCTATGAGATGACTTCTGCTCTCTCTCTCTCTCTCTCTCTCTTCTCTATCGCTTTTGAGCCTGCACCTGCTGGTGCATCTGTATGGCTTCCTTCAGCTTGCCAATCACCTCGGGCTGGTTGCTGAACGCATTCTGTAGCATCTCTTCCAGCTCCCTCTCCACCTTGACCAGGTTCTTGCCCGCCGTCTTCCTCCCGCCGCCTTCGCCACCCAGCAGCTCTGCCCACCGCAGCGTAAAGCCCCCAATAGCCTGCCGCAGCAGGTCGTCCAGCTGCTCGCTCGCGTCCTGATGGTCCGAGGGCCCCCCACCACCTAGCTGCGGCGTCTGCGCGGACGCGTTGGCGCCGCTGCGGGACCACAGCGAGGCTGCGCCGGGGATGAAGCTGCTGACGTACCCCACGAGGTTCTGCGGCGTTAGGTTGTTCCAGATCTGGCCAAAGTACTGCATGTCGGACTCCTGATTGCGCACGTCGCCGATCTCGAGCGACACCAGCTCGTTCTTGAGGATGAGGAGGTTCTTGAGCATAAAAAGGTCCGGATCGGTCCCCGATTTGGTCGTCTTGATCCGGGCCTCTGCCCGCTGTAGCACCTGGATCGTCTCTTTGACGATCTTGTACACCACTGGGCTGTTGCGTTGCTGTGTGTGGGATGAGAATGGTCAGTACTGGCGCTCTAAGGACTCTCGACAGAGCAGGTCTTCCTTGAAAGAAGAGAGGGAGCAACCTACACATCGCTCTTTGGGCATGGACTGGTCAAACATGACCAACAGCTCCAGAGCTCGTTTGACAGGTGGATACGCATTGGACGACGCGACACCGTCAACGACGGGCCCAATTTTCAGTGCATCTGGCAGGACGGTGACTTTCGAGATGGATTTGGCAATCTCGGCCTCGAACGCGCTGTCTGTAAAGACCCACAGGTGCTCCGCCAGCAGCCTCGCCGCCAGCTCCTGGCAGTGTCTCGTGAAGGCGGACTCGTCGTCGTCGTAATCCGAGATGAGGTACTCATTCGTGATCCACCCCAGGATGTTGCAGATCGTCTGCAGCTTCGCCGTCTGCAGCGCACCCTGTAGGCTGTTGGCGATCGGGACGACGTTGGTAGCGTTAACCATGACCCTCTGGTGTGATTTGAGCGTCACGAAGGCCGAGTTAGGGTCTGTGCTGTAGTGTGGCTCGACAGCAAAGATCTTGGCGAAGAGCATGGCCTCGTTGAAGGACCTCTCAAAGCACTGCTTGACATAGTTCCGGGAGGCCGTTTCCACGGATGCGTCTTTGGCCTCCTTCTTGAAGATATCCAGGTCATGCTGGATGATAGGCCTGAGGTCGCGGTCCCGGGCAGCGATGTACGCCTGGAAGATGTTATTCGCTGTGTTGGAGTAGATATCGGAGTTGGTCCCGGACAGGGCATTGCCGGACTGGTCATAGGCCTGGTGTACCACTTTCTGCACATTCGGGATGAGCGAGTACGAATCAAGCATCATCTCCTCGAACCGGCCGTATGCCAATGCATGGCGGGCCGACTCCGACTTTGTGCCCGCGATCTGCCTTGATATGTCCGCCGACACCCTGTCGAGACGGCTCTGCAGCCCCACCTCGAGCAAGTGCAGGGCCTTGGTCAGTAGGGCCTGGTAGCGCGCCAGATAGGACTCAGAGTCTCGATATGAAGGGTTCTTCCCCATGAAGGCGATACAGGCATCCAGGTTCTGCAGCGTCTCGCCGAACGACTCATCCTCTACCTGTCTGCCTGCGCCGGGAGCGTTGAGGCGCCGCGTGACGTTGTCAATGTATGCGTAGTAGTGCAGGTCAGTACCGACCTCGTCCGCCAGCGTCTCCAGCCGTCTCTGTTCAGACAGCAGACCCTCGCACTGCGACTGGAACGTGCTGGTCTGCTCCTCGACGCCGCGGAACGACTCGGAGAGGGAGGCGAGCAGCTTCAGCGCACTGTTAGTGTCGCCGATCAGCGTCTCCAGGTGCCGCTCCGTCATGGCCAGCTGCTCGCCATACAAGGTGTATTCCTGCTGCCCTGCGTCCAGCAACAACTCATCCTCCAAGGTGTCGTACAGCACATCGTCCCCGTCGAGAAGGGCTTCTGTTCCAGGCAGTGCTAGTGCATCCAAGCTGCTGTCCCGCCTCTGCGCCCGGCTTTTCTTCTTGTTAAATTTCTTCTTGGCGGTCTCATGTGCAAGCTGTTCAGCGCGTACGATGTCGTGGAAGTCGGAAACCGAGCGTGCTCGCCTCGAGAGGCCTGGTTCGGGGGGTGAATCATCGTCATCCTCCTCTATCAGCTCCTCTAGGTCCTCGACGGCCTCGTTTGCCCCATTGGAGCCCTGTTCATTGTCAGTTTAGGACTGCTGCCTTCTGAGAGAGAAAGAGACCTCGGAATTGGAGTGGTGTGCCACGAACAATTGGCTGCTGGAGCAGGGACTCACGCCGCCGGTGCCCGTAGGTCTGTGACGGCGCCTTCCTGTGCTGGGGCTGGGGCGGCTGCTGCTGGAGCTCTGGTATGTAGTTATACCAAGAGTCCTCGTACATCTTGGGAGGATTCGTATCCCTCCCTTGATCTGGTAATCTGGGTGTGGTGGGTGTGTAGATGAAGGAGGGGTGGTGGTGGTGGGTTGTGTATGGGTTGTGGTGAACCTCCAAGAGCTGTCAGCCCTGTATGGCGGGCTTTTTGGTGCCAGATTGCACTGCAGCCGAGATACGGCAGTGGGCACAGGCCTGGACTGACTGGGGTTGGGCTGGCAGGCCTAAAGCTATAGTGGATCTTCCCGCTGTGGGGTTCTACTGCAGTACAGTACCCATGCAAACTCCTACATACAGTGACTTAGAGGACGCCTTCCATTCTTGATGAATCGTCTCTGGCTGGGCTGAGAATGCAGTAAAACAAACAAGTAGAGCATGCAACAGAATTATACTTGGGTGCGGCAATCCCCCACCTCCATATCATTTTGAGGTTGAACCGAACTAGTAAATATGTAAACTATAAATACGTTATACAAAGACGGAATATCAAGGAGCTGTCATGTACCACAGCTGTACGTACCAGCTTCAAGACGAGGACAAGGATCGAAGCTAAGCTCCAAAACTTTACCAATTCTTCCACTCAGAGCCTTTGCTTTAGTAAAGGCCATCGCGCCGCCCACGAATGACCTCACCACTTACCTCAACAGACCCTTCTGAGCCTTCTCCAAACGGTTGCTGGACCACCCGATTTGCCCAATTCACAGCATCCTTCATGGAGCGGCAATGTCTCCTTGATTGAGTGTTCACCTATATTGGTTCCATCTGCTCTGAAGAAATTGAGTTACCAGCTTTGGGAGAGTCTTCGTCTCTTCAACAACAGACATGTCGACTCTCGTGCCAAGACTTGCTCTGCGACAGCCGACGTGCCTCTCAGCCAGGCGCACCCTCACAAGAGGCAGCCCCCTGCGCTCCGACTCTTCGTCGTTGTCATTGTCGGCGTCGAGAATCTGTCGCCGTCGCTATGCAAGCTCTTACCCAGGCCATCCGCCCCCACCACAGCGCCGCGGCGGCTCTAAGGTCGTTCCCATCCTCGGCGGCCTCGCAGTGGGTGGTGCCATAGTCGCAGGCGCTCTCTACCTCTACCCCACGCTCCTGGGCTCCAGCAATACCGAACCCGCCATCCCACAGGCTGAGATCGAGTTTGAGAAGAAGCGCAAGGCGCCCAAGGACAAGGAGGACAACCGCGCCCTCCTCTCGTCTCAGCACGTCCAGGTCAAGAACAGCTGGGAGAACCCGGGGGTCTACGCTTGGGGCTCCAACGCTGGCCGGGCAGTCGCGCCCGAGTCCAAGGAGGCCGTGGTCAAGACGCCGCGGCGCATCACATGGTTCGACGGGATGCTGCTGCGGGATCTGAAGTTGGACCAGGCGTTTGGCGTTGCCGTCACGGAGCAGGGCGATCTGGTACAGTGGGGCACAGGATACTGGGCTGAGGACCCCAGGCCGAGCTATACACTGAAGGGTATGGATATTGTGAAGCTGGCCATCTCGAGGGACCGCATCCTGGCGCTCTCTAAGGGCGGGTCGGTCTACTCGCTGCCGGTGGCGAGGTCGGACCAGCTGGGCGGCAGCACCAAGCCTAACGAGGAGGGGTCATCATCATCGTCATCCTGGTTGTCGTTCTGGTCGAGCCCTGGCGCACCCATCAACTATCGCCAGATCAAACCCGCCGACCTGGGCTGGGGAGAGAAGATTGTGGATATACAGAGCGGGCAGGACCATACGCTCCTTTTGACATCATCCGGCCGCGTGTTCTCTGCGGCGTCGAGCACTGAGAACTTCCCGTCCAAGGGCCAGCTGGGCGTCGCAGGTCTGACATGGCTTACGAGACCTAAGGGGCCTGTCGACCAGGCTCACGAGATCAGCACGCTCAAGGGCTTCAGGGCCAAGAAGATCGCCACAGGCGACTACCACTCGCTGGTGCTGGACGACGAGGGGCGGGTCTTTGTGTTCGGCGACAACTCGGTGGGCCAGCTCGGCTTCCCGGCCGACTCGGACGAGGCCACAATCGACGTGCCCTCATTGCTCCCCTTCAACAAACTCTACCGGGGTACAGAGCTGGCGCCCAGGGTGACCTCGATCGCGGCCGGCGGGTCCAACTCCTTCTTCACCGTGGACGCGGCGCGGCTGCTCTCGCAGTCGAGCGATACAACAGGAGCACCAGCACCAGCACCAGCACCAGCACCATCAACTGAGATCACCACGGCACCGGCACGCGCGCTTGGCAAGGTGGTGGCCGACACGTGGGCGGCGGGCGAGGGGATCTATGGGGGTCTCGGCACTGGCCGGTGGACGCACGTCTCGAGCGGACCGACCAAGATCAAGGCACTGTCAGGCCTGTTTGAGTGGGACGAGAAGGCCAACTCGGTGGTGCCGATCCGACTGGCGCGGGTGTCGGTCGGGGCGACGCACACGGCGGCGGTGATGGACAACATGACGTACGTGGACGCATCGGGGCGGACGGGCGCCAACGACACGAATTGGGGCGCGGATATCGTGTGGTGGGGTGGCAACGAGTTCTACCAGCTTGGAAACGGCAAGAGGACCAACTCGAATGCGCCCATCTACATTAGCCCGCTGGACGGGGGCGCAGGGGACGCCAGGGCGGGCAGGAAGGGCGAGGAGCACCGGTTCCAGATCACGCCGCGGCAGACGGTGCGGCTTGGGGAGGGAGGCAAGGGAAGAAAGGTGAGTGTCGAGCAGAGGGTGGAGTGTGGGCGTTATGTGACGGCTGTCTATTCAGGGACCTGAAGGAAAAGGGAGAACCATCAGTTGTTAGGACCAGGCATGAGCTCCTACTGCTGCTGCTACTACTACTGTTACAACAACATCACGATGTTTGTTTGAGTAGGGCAAGGTTACAAGCCAGGGCGGCCCTTCATGAGTGTGGTTCATCGGTACAGATGACCATTTGGTTGTGCTTGCGATGGTCGACTACCAGTGGACACTGCATAATGTGAGGCGAGATCAAACGGGGACGACAAGATTCACCTCTCAATGATTCATGTGTATATTAGTACTGTACTGGCAGGCAGTCTGGGTGTATATTCTCCCCTCATACATATACGTCAAAGACAGATGACATGGATGTTGACCAATCTGTGCAACGCTATCTGACCCGAGAGGATGGATCTACTTCTCAAGCGTGTCGCGCAATACTCCGTCTCGTTTCAGCCGCCAGGGGGGTCCGATGCTATGACGCAGTTCATGCAAGGAAGTGTCTAAATCTACGATTCGTAGAGGTTGGGGTTAGATGGTGGAATGATCTGATGGTGTGTACTATAGTAGGTGTGCCGTTCCGACCTGTTGGGTCTATGGTTCAGTTTAGTGGTGGACGATGGTCAAATGATGATGCAGGCTGTTCTTAGTTGGACTGTTTCTCTTGCTGCACTTGTTCTCTTTCCTCTTGGTCTCCCCTTGTTCATCGTCTCCTCTTCGACTTGCGTCTTCTTCTCCATCTCCTCCTTCGTCTTCTCCTTTTTCTTGATTTATTCCCTACCTCTTCTCCAGAATTCATCTTGCAACGGAAACAGGCCCTGATATGAGATCGGAGAATAATCGTCAATAGTGTATGTGACCACAGTTGTAATCCGTCATGCCCTGTCATCTGCGGGCGGAGCTCCACGGCATGGGTTGGAGGAAGAGTAGACGGGGGGGGGGGGGAGGGAGCCGAGGTGCGAGATCCTCCTTCCCAACCCCCTGTAACTTAGCTTCCACACCCCCTAAACTTAGAAACAGAGGGTTCCAGAACACTACCATACGGTACTCTAGTAGTACTGCCTGCTGCGTGGCAGTTCATTTGTCCTGCATGTCAAAAATGTCAGATCCCAGACCTTGTTGATTTTGTCCCACATGGCCAAGATGCGATGCACACACATGCATGCACCTTGGCCGGGCCCATGTCATCGGGTTCAATAGAGGAAGGAAGAAGAAGAAGAAGAAAAAAATAAAATCATGTCCCCCCTCCTTCATGGACCCAGATCCACAACCAGACAAACAGCTGATGACGGATCAAACCTGTGACCTCACGGAAGCAAGCTGAATTTTCCTCTTCATTCCTTTTCTCTTCCCTCTTTTGCGACTGTATGTGTAAGAGTGTACGGCAGAGAGAACAAAAAAGAGAGAACGGAGAAGGAAGATATTGTTGACTTTTTCTTCGAGACAACGCATGCGTCTCAGAGAGGAAAGGGTTCATCATCAATGACGACACGAAGGATACAACGACGACGACGACAACGACAATGATCAACCGCGATAAACGACGCCGAGTCACACGTCCTCATCACCTGTCGACCTCTCAATTTTCTTCTTTCCCACCCATCCAATCATCCCTTGGGACAGACAACCTCCCCGCTTGAGTGGTCACTCACTCGTCCACCATCTCCTCCTCCTCCTCCTCGCATCTTTTTAAGGTTACATTCCAGCCTTAATCACCGCGCTTGTCGCTGTGTTTTTTCCTTGCTGGGGGATCAAATCCAGCCAAACAGAGGACAGCAACCCTCTTTCTCGCTCTACGCCGTCGCACGAACGAACTGCTGCTACTTCGGCTGGCTGCGTTGCATTGCTTGTGCATGCGCAGCTAACTTTTATTAGGCCTGCCAACCAGCCTTGTCGTCTTTTGCCCCTTGTACTGTCTCGTCTTTTGAGCTGCAGATGCTTATTTTCTGCGGATGACACCATCTTGCAGCTCACGCGACATCCATTTTATCACGAGAGGGCGAAAAGGGTGTCTTTCTGTCGGCGAGGGGGGCCTGGCTGCCTTTTTCGAGGACATATCTGATTTAGTTCTTTATTAATCCAACAAAGAGCTATACGCCACCGAGACCCAACCCTCAGGACGACAGACAGTCAGACAGTGGAGCGCCGTTGTGTTTGTCGTCCTCATTTTTGGGGGCTTTTTGGGCGTTGGTTGGGCCCCGCGGTTGACCCACAGAGCAGATCGCCCACGCAGGTTCCGCCGCGCGAAAGTCGAGAGAGTGCGATCTGCATACAGGCTCTACCTCATACATCTTTGCGAAAGAAGGGCTTGGCTCCCTCCAAGAGAGGAGCGGCTGCAGCGTCCTCCTCCTCTTACGCCCGAGACTGCCACTGGTCGACACGCAGCCTCCCTCATTACGCCCAGTCTCCTCGACCACCACCGTTCCACCTCCTGCCCTCCTCCTCCTCCTCCTCCTCCTCCTCCTCCTCCTCCTCCTCCTCCTCCTTCAGCAGCAGCAGGGACGCCCACACCTCACGATCTCACGATGGACCGTCTACGGTCAGGCTTTCACAGGAAGTCTCGAAAAGAATCGCCCTCTCGTCCGACCATCATCACAGACACGACGGCTATCACCACGCCAGCAGCAAGCGGTCGTAGCTCTGGCAAGACAACCCCCGAGCCAGGCACTCCGCAGCCCCTCCAGATTCCCTCCGTGCCCAACAAGAAGACCTCCCCGTTCCGCACCCTGCGCGACCTCAGCCGCTCCCACAAGCGCGCCCGCTCCCCCGCCGCCGCCTCGGACGGTGCCAGCTCGCCCGTCTCTGCCCTCAGCGTCCGCAACAGTCCCATCGACCGCTTCATGGCCTCGCCCCACCCCCTGAGCGCCGTATCGCGGACCAACGATCATGACCACGGTGATGGCGGCGACGGCGACGACGACTCACAGCAGCAGCAGCAGCAGCAGCAGCAGCAGGACGGGCGGCCAAAGATGCCCTCGTTCCTGTCCCTGTCTCCCCACGAGATCGATATAAGGTTCCAAGAGATTGTCTGGCTGGAGCGTCACCGCATGGTTCAGAGCATGGCCAACCCGTCTCCGGACTTTCGCTGGGCGCGCGTCACGGGCGACCATCTGCGCAAGCTGGACAGATACATGAACATACAGCCGTGGCAGAACAATCGTGTCAGGCTGCGCGTGCCCGCCGGGAAGCAGGACTACATCAATGCCTCGCCCATCTCTCTGAGCTACGTCGCAGCGAGGAACCTTACACCACGCCATGGCGGCGCCACTGGGGGCGAAGCCAACACACCGGAGGAACCCAGCGCTGTTGTGGGTAGCGCCGAGGCGTCGGACCGGTACATCGCCATGCAGGGGCCCAAGCACAAGACGACAGATCACGTCTGGCGCATGGCGGTCGAGCAGCTCGAGAGCCCTGGCGTCATCGTCATGCTGACCGAGACGCACGAGGGCAACCTCGAGAAGTGCTACCCTTACTTTCCGCGCCGGCCCGACGATCCTCCGCTCGAGGTCGGCCGGAAGGACGAGTTTGGCGATGGGTTCCGGGCCAGCGTGCGGTGTGAGGCCATCGAGGAGACGGAGGCCGGTGACGCCATCGAGCTGCGGAAGCTGGTGATTCGAGTGTATAAGCGATCGAGCAAGAAAGAAGCAGCAGCAGCAGCAGCAGCCGCCGTCAATGGCTCTGCTCCAGTCGAGGCGGCAACGCCACCAGTCGCAGAGCCCAACCCCGTCGATGAGAATGGCGACATCAAGATGCTCTCGCCGTCCAAGACCTCGCTCGACGATGAGGGAGCCTCCGCCCAAAACGAGGACGAGGACGAGGACGATATCGATTACGACGATGACGGCGAGGACGATGCAGACAGCGTGACCGTCGAGCTGGGCCAGTCTGTGGGAGACACGCCCCAGGACGGCGTCGAGACACCCCAGCCGCAGCCCAACAAGGACGTCACTCCCCCCGCTGCTGCTGCTGCTGCCGCCACCGCCATCGTCACCGACGACTACGAGGAGCGCACCGTCTGGCACTTTTTGTACAAGAAGTGGCCCGACTTTGGCGTTCCAGCCCTTGGGGATCTCGACAGCTTCTTCACGCTGATGCGCCTGTCGCGCGAACGGAACGCCGGCCCATCAAACCCGCGCATTGTGCACTGCAGCGCCGGTGTGGGCCGGAGCGGCACGTTCATTGCGCTGGAGCACATCATGCGGGAGATGGACGCCGGTGTGCTGGATGACTGGGACGCCAGGGACAAGAGTCCCGCCGCCGAATTCGGCCACAGTGCCACTGAGGGAGGCGAGGACGATGCAGACAGCATGGAGGGCCAGAATGGCCACCTGGAGGACCCAGCATCCACCACCGCTACTACTGCTGCTACTACTGGAGAAGAGGATGTCGACACAGCACAGAGGATGGATGTCGAGGACTCGTCACTAGACGATGAAGAGCTGCAGGCCCGAGAAATTGCCCGACACGCCAGCGACGATCTCATCTTCCGCACCGTCAACCAGCTCCGCGAGCAGCGCCGCAACATGGTTCAGGCCGAGGCTCAGTTCCACTTTATCTATCAAGTTGTCCGCAAGCTGTGGGAGGAGCGCCATGGATCTCCTGCTGCTCCCCATCACAGTAACAACGCCGCCGCCGCCGCCGGCAGCGCCACGACTGCTACTACCGCCACCACTAGGTCTGCCGTGAGCAGTCACCCGCCGCGGCTGCCAGACCTTGACGGCGAGCCTGCGGCGAAGAGGTTCGAGTTCGACCCTTTTGTGGAGCCGTAGGGATCGCCCTTGGGAAGGGGTCCGTCCCGCGGGGTGGACAACGACGACGACAACGAAGATGACGATGACGATGGCAAGGAGAGAACGGAGGGTATCTTGACAAGGACGATGGTGCGGTGGAGGAGAGATGGAGTTGGGGGATTCTTAATACCCATACCGACTGGTTCTCACGGAGGTGGTGGGCTGCAGAGGTTAAGCAAGAGTTTGAGACAAGTGAGGTTTCAGAGTGTTTAGAAGGAAAGAGAGAGAGGCAATCATTCTGTATGCATTGGGCGAGGAGAAAAGGAAAGAGAGGGGGTCTGGAGAGGCATGATGTCGGGCACCCTTTGTTCTGCCTTGTTGAGCATGTTGTTGTGGTCTGCACATAGCATCATCATACCCAGGAGTTTGCCATGTTACTTCTTGTTTCTTGTTTGGAGGCGAGTCTGCATGCATAAAGGAATCAGGTTATTAGGGGGGTAGGAACTGGTAAGGGTACTAGGATAGGGCGAGGCAGGGTGGCATACTCATTGTTGTTATTTACTTAGTTCAGCATACCCTCAAGATACGAAACAAGGGATCGATCGATGGTCATTTTTGCATGTTGTTGTTGTGGAGAATGATTGACTTGGAATTCTTAACTTCCTATGCTTCGTCTTTTACCATGTTGTTTTCGGGTACCAACAAATAGCCATACCAAACATGGACAATTAGGTTTGAGGACTGAACAGAACAAGGTTTGATGCTACTACTGTAGGATATGATGATTGGCATTTGATACATGTGAACAGAGCATTCCAAAAGGGGAAAATGATGGTATATCTTGACTAAGTATCCATCAGTGTGTTCCCGGAACCCCAAAATTCTCCAACCTCTGATTTACTTCATTCTCAGTCAGGTCATTTTGTCCGCTGTCTGAAATTTTTGGTAGCAAAGATTCCAGTCATATGCCTTGTCCATCACCACGGACACCCCAACTATGATCATCAGAGCTTGTTCCCAAATCGAGTGAGTAGGCTTAAGATGGTCTCCTTCAGTAATTCAGAGTCAAAAATGATATTACAAGATCAGTTCTGCAACAGATTATTGTTCATTATTGTTACTTCAGACAAGACTAGCCATTCCATAGGACAGCTGTCAAGACAGCATTTCCACCTCAATGCCAACAAGCTCATATACTACAAGTTCCAACATCCTCGGAAATACTCATCATTCATCAGGGCACCGCAAGTTCAAGCGCTAGCAGAGGGGAAAATTCGTCGTTTGATTTCGCATAACCCCTGTTAAAGCCGTTCGCGTCTTCGCGAATAACACATGTCTTCCGTCCGGGGTAAAATCTGAATAAGCAGCGTGCTGGAGTTTATCCGAGAACCGAATGAGGATGCCAAGTCTAACGTATATCGCAGGCGGCACGAATTATACGATGCCTACTGAGTAAGTACTTGAAGATTTTTGGCGTGTCTGGCGGAAACTCATCACCCAATGCCAGATCCTTGCGTACCTTGGTTGGTATGACTATCTGCAGCTGGCGGAGAGATGTAAAGATGGAATTCAATGCTTTCGTAATCAGGCTGGCTTGACTATTCTATGTTGTCTGTCAAATTCGCATATTCGTTGTCCGTAGGCCGATGGCAATTCTAAAGCATGGTTCGCCATAGAGGCTTGACCCTGTAAAACCCGTTCTAGGATCTCTCGTCCTGTGCCTTGCAGATCAAAGGGGAGCAGTGATGGTGGAGACGATGCATGTGCTTGGGTAAGAGAGTTACATCGATACATACCAGTTTGAACGTCACTGCTTCCTATCCGGGAACTTGCTTGTATAAATATAATCCCAAAAGTCGTACCACACAACCCGTCATGACCTTTCTCATGCCACTATAGCCAACCATTCACAGGTTATCAGTTCATCTCAACAGAGGACTCGTAGAAACTGAACTTCTTATTCCAAAGTAAAATAAAAACTTGACGATGGCCTCTCAAACGACAACCCCTCCCACCAGCAGCCTCCTCCTCAAAGGCGGAACCCTTCTCCTCCACGACGAGCACAACCACGTCGTGCCAACCAAATCCGACCTCCTCATCCAGAACAACCTCATCACCAAGATCAGTCCCTCAATCTCCGCCCCTCTTCAAGACCCAGCCACCAGAGTCCTCGACTGCACCGCCAAGATCATCTCCCCAGGCTTCATCTCCACCCACGCCCACCTCTGGCAGACCCAGCTCAAGGGCCTGCACCCCAACCACACCTTGTTCCAGTACCTCCCCTGCGGCTGCCTCGCCGGCTCCCTGTACACCACCGCAGACCTCTTCTGGGGCCAGCTGAGCGGCGCCATGGAGTCGCTCGACGCCGGCACCACCACCGTCGTCGACCACGCGCACCTCAACCTGGGCCCAGACTACCCGCGCACCGCCGTCCAGGCCCTCGCCACCTCGGGCCTGCGCGCCGTCTACTGCTACGCCCCGTCGCGCCGCGCCGTCTCCTTCAACCCGCTGCAGACGCGCGAGGACGTCACTGACCCGGCCGTGCTGGCGGACTGGAGCGCTCTGGCTGCTGCTGCTGCTGCTGCTGCTGCCGCGCGCACTCAAAAGGAAGAAGCCAATGGTGACAGAAGCAGTAGTAGTAGCGACAGAGTCAGCGTGGGATTCGCCATAGACAGCCTGTTTCTGCCCACCGACAAGCTGAAGGGTATCTACGCTGCTCTGCGCGCGGGTCCTCACCCTGCCAAGATCATCACCAGCCATGCCGTCGGTGGGCCTGCGTTCGGCAAGGGCAGGCCGTACGCGGTGAGGATCCTGGGCGAGGCGGGACTGCTGAGGCCGGATGTGCTGCTGTCGCATGGGACAGGGCTGCGGGAGGAGGACGTGGGGGTGCTGCGGGAGGGAGGGGCTTTTGTGAGCTCGACGCCTAATACAGAGATGCAGATGTAAGTAAAATCTCAGGTTCACCCCCCCTTCTCCTTTCTCGCTTGAGGAAAGCACTTTTCTCCTGCCCAACGCCCCTTTCCTCCTGAACCTTTGTGCTTGAGAGCAAACCCCTTGCAAGAAGTCGAGTTTACACAATAAAAAAGAACTACTAATGATAACACTGCATCTATCAGGGGAATGGAACCTGTGAGTATGTGGCGGTCGATGCTGGAAGGCAGAGTGGGCAGTCTGGGCGTAGACTGCCACTCCTGGGGCACAAGCTACATGCCGACCCAGATGAACCTAATCCTACAGCAGAGACGAGTGTCGAGAGCACAAGAGCTGGGCCGGCTGGAGGAAGGACTGTGGCCGAGACGCGTCGAGGGGACAGCCGAGGAGGCGTTCAACCTAGGCACGATCGCGGGCGCCAGGGCCGTTGGGATGGAGAAGGAGGTGGGCACGCTGAAGGAGGGATACAAGGCCGACATTGTGGTGTTTGACGGCTCGAGCCCCGGCATGCTGGCTGCTGCGGCGCAGGATCCTGTCGCGGCGGTGGTGCTGCATTCTAGTATCAGAGATGTCGAGGTGGTGATTGTGGATGGGATTGTGAGGAAGGAGGGGGGCAGGCTGTGTGATGTTCGCGTTGAGAAGCCTCTGGAAGGGTTGCAGGAGGAGACTGTTCGTGCTGGCAGGACGATCTCGTGGCGGGAGGTTGCGGAAGAGACGCTGAAGAGCAGGGACGCTATCAGGGAGAAGACTCAGAAAATTGACTTTGGCCCGGCGGAGGAGACTGTTATGGACTCGTTCCATCTGAACCGGGCTACAATGGTTGAGAACTAGCTTTGGAAGTTTATGGGCAGCTATCTGAGGTACATGAACGGATTGTTAGATATTAGTTGTAATCATCTCTGCTCACTGTTCTGTTGCTGCCCTGACATTGTCTTCTTTCGAATAGTCTGTCTGCCTGCAGTCACTCGTATAGTTCCTTGAAGTGAGTATCAGCAAGTAAGCAAGCACCAAAATTTATGCGAGTGAGCCTTTGGAGAGCTTTCTAGGAACAACTTGTTTCCACAGGAGTATTTTTGGTTTTCACACATACATAGTAGAGACTTAGCTTGATGATATAAGAAGCACAGCAGTGAGAAATATTGCAAGTGTGAGTCATCCCTCTGTAGAACTCAACGCAAAAGCCAGCAGATGAATGTTCCAAGCTCCAGTATATTATGAGTTGAGTGGGGAGGTTCATATGAAGTATCCTGCTTTCTCTTGTTCGTGTCGAATAGCTGCTGGCATATTGATATATAGTGCTATTCGTGCCAAGATATAGACGATAGTAGCATGGGCCACAAGTAACTTAACATGAGACTACAGCTCATAAATGGCCATGTCACAATTCCATAATTTCAGGCACCAATGAACATAGTGTCACACATGCTGATTGGGCAGTAATAGCATTGCCTGAATGAGCACATGCCTGGTGAACCACAACACCATTTAAATTTAAATTCATCTCTGCATATCTATCATCGCTGAAGAAGGATGAGGACAAGTCACTGAGAGGATGACTATGTGATATTAGGTGAGTGGACAGCAAGGAAATTGGGGAGGGAAATAAAGAGAGAATGGAGAAAAAGAAGAGGGGCGGGAAATATCAAGTGAATACACATTGTCGAGTCGCTATTTAATAAATGTTTCCATAATTGTACTATACAGACAAAAGATTGCATCCCATCTTGACCGCATGACGAGGCTGACGCGGCCAATGCTCCGTGATGCCTCTTTTAGAACACACATGACGTTGAACGATTTCATCCTACCTAGCCCTCAAGAAAACTGGACTGTCAAGATGGAGGGATGGATGGCCACAACAAGTAGGCTGGGGACAGTCCAGTCGCCAACAAAAAGGCCTTCAATTACACATTTATCCAAGACTGGAAGCGAACCCTTGCAAGCACACAGCCGGAAATATACCTATCGAACCAGGGGTCCCGCACTCTTTCGTCTTGAGCTGAAGTGCTGGTTTCGGAAAAATAATAATATTCAAACGGTCAGTTCAAACCATCATGGGCAGCGGAGACATCAATCTCCACCGCTGATCCTGTCGTCTTCATTCTCAAAAAAATACATGCATGCGCCAGATACAGCAACCATCAAGGGCGATCTGGCTTATTATTTCTGTACCAGACTAGGCCGGGAGAGCAGAAGCAGTGATGAGAAACAGGCGCCACACACACCCAACCCCGCCCCATCTACGTTTCCTGCTCTGCTCTACAGGAGCTGACGGACCGAAGCGGCTAAATTTCGACGAAACCTTTTCATCTTTGTGTGACCAAACCTTCCAAAATGACCTGTCACTTGAAGCCCCAGGGGTGGTCCCTTTTTCTCGGGGAGGCTGTATGTAGGTAAGACTTACTGCTCTCCGAACCACAGGCGTGGGACTTGTGGCTTGTCTAGATGTCTTCAATATATTTTATGTAAATTATATATATAAATGTGTGTGTGTGAGTGTGTGTGTGTGTGTGAAATTCAAGTGGATCATGCCACGCATGTCATTCTCGACACCCCTGTTCTAAGCTCTGACAGTCAGTCCCCTCCACATGAAAATGCCTTCAATGCTTTCTGCATTCCATTTGTATCAGCACGCCTGCCTCCGCTGTCAACCCACCTCAATCGCTGCCTCGGGCCGGCGGGTATTGCGGAGAAGACAGCCAAATCCCAGCCTGTTTTCCCACCTGGTTTTCTGTTTGTTGCTGCACCACGAGAAGCAAGAAGGACAAGGGGGTTCGGGTGATCTGGGTTGACAGGTGGGTGACATGTGCCACAGAGTACGTACTAAGTACGTGACCTTGCGACCCCAGCATTTCCCGGATAGGGCTCTACCGGCCGTCCAGCCTTGCATGGGGGCCTCCCTCTTGCTGTTCCCTTTTTCTGGGACTACTACGCTGCAAGCCTCGTAGCCGAGTGTCACCGTCGTTGCAGGGTTGCAGCGTTTGCTTGCTGCACATGTGAGTGGTCAGCAAACGCCCCAACAACTAAACAGGCTGCAAGGTTTCTTGGCAAACACACCCTCCCTTTTCTCTCCCTATTCACCTCCTTTTGTTCTCTTCGTCTCCTCTTTATTTCCTACCTATAGGTGCTACGTACTATCATTATTTTCCTGATTCGTGACGTTCCCACGTCGGCATCCTCCGGGTGGCAAAATGAATATCCGCTCGAAGCGAGCGAGCCGATGTGCCCAGGACCCGAATAGAGTAGTATCTCCTCGGTCGACCCCCCCCCCCTATTTCTCTTACTACCTGGACGTCGCTTTTTTGGAAACCTTGGGTCGCATGCACATGGTCGCCATGTGGACAACATCACGAGCATAGAAACATGACACAAGAAAGGAAACAGGAAAACGAGCCAGGTGTTAAGGTTATCTGCTGCTCGTGAGACAACATAACAGGGCACATGTCCGCAACAGGATGAGGGGCGTTACGACCGGTGAGTAGGTTTGTTCTTCAAGGTGAGATTTTGGTTCCAATAAATAATTAAAATAAAAACAAAAGGACCCCTCTGGGCTGCGAGATGGTGGGGGAAGGGAAACACACCCTCGTCAGCCCTGAAATGAGCAGGGGACCAAGGAAGAAAAAAAAAAAAAAAAAAAAAAAAAAAAAAAAAAAAAAAAAAGGTGACGGCATCAGTTTGCAATGCTCGGCCGAGAGAGAATGTAGGGCGGTGTGTGCGTGCGTGCGTGTGTGTGCCATACTTAGATACAAGTACCATAGTACTATCATAGTACATAATATGGTGGTAATTAGCATGTCTCTAAGTGAGCTCCTCTCTGGTGCCTGATGCACGGGCGATGGGTCCGTCCGGGTCGTGTTAATGGGTACCGAGTCAGGGCCACCACCCCTAGACGGGGTTTTGAGACCTCTCCACGTAAACTCAAAAAAAAAAAGCAGAAGGAAAATGGAAGAAGGAAAAAAAAGATGATAGATCGTCCAAGCAAGCCTCGATCATTGTCATCATTTTCTGTGATCAGCATCCGTGGGTACTATACATACATAAGCGATGGTGGCAGGATGCAAGGGAAAATTAAGGATAGATGCGAAAGTAAAGGTCGAGCTTCCTGGGGAGGGGGTTGCAGTTGGGCCTGAAAGACGGTGCAAAGCACTGAAGATCCGGGGTACAACGAGACAATACGGCGGGGCTTACATAGGGAGGAGAGTGTCAAGTCACCCTGCACGTGGTGATTAGACAACATGAAGACAGAATAATATAGAATAAATGAAAACAAATGGAGGAAGGAGGGAAGAGGACAAGAAGAAATGGCAAGAGCTTCTTTAGCCCCGTCTCCTTTGGGGGCTCTCTGCAACACACACTCTAACTCTCGCCCACGCCGAAAAGTTGCTGGAAAACAGAGCCGTCCAGGACAAAGGAAGGCAGACGGCCCTTCGTCGGCATGATACGTAGTCGTCTGACCGTCTTGGCCCCGCTCCCACAATACTCGCAAACGCTGCTCCTATCCGGGGTAGGAAGCTCGTCTCGTCTCATCCCATAAAGAAAGGAATAAGAAAAAACGGCCCTTGGGGGTCGGCGTCCCTTTTTCTTCAATTTTTTTTGTGGACCTCTGCTACACATTCAATCATCATTCTAACGAGCGGGCAGCTGGGCAAGAGAGAGAGAGAGAGAGAGATAGAGTGAGAATGGGGGCCCATCAAACAACCTTTAACGGGCTGCCTTCCTCCTCCTCCTCCTCCTCCTCTTCTTCTTCTTGTTCTTGTCCTTCAGCCTGATGTCTCTCTCGCTCTCCCTCTCCGCTTAGGTGAGGATCTTCAAAACGGCGCTACCGTCATAGTACCCTGTGCTATGGTACCTGACAGCTCGGATGAGGCGTTCTCGTGGATAAAATTCCCAGTTCCACCTGAGCTTGAAACTCCACTGATAATCTCGATCTACCACGACGCACCCATGTCCTACTGATTCCCAAGCAAGGCGATTCGCGGATCCAGCTTCTCGGGCCCCAATCTTTTTGGGCTTCTCTCTCAGGTCGTCCCCTTGCCTCCGACTTCCAGAATTAATGCTAGGCGGCCTATACGTACCCGTAGTACTGTAGTGGCCACTCCGTCGCATAATTGTACCTCTCACTTGGTTCTTTTCTTCTTTCCTTCCTTTACCCAACAAGGCCCACCTGTTCCTGTCTCCGTTCCTGAGATGTGAGGGGCAATCCCAACCTTGATGAGACCCACCCCCTCCACCCATGTCATGACTTTCTTCCCAAATCCCTGCCGCCGGGAGAAAAGAAGAAAGGGAAAAAAAAAAAGAGGAACGAGTTACATACATAGTTCATGCTAGAGCCAAAGAGAATGAGAGAGAGAGAGAGACGAGATGGGGTCGAAGATTCCCGTCGTCGTGGACTCACGTGCAGGGCTATATCCTATCACCTTTCAGTGGATGTACCGTGATATAATTTACATATCTTGCTTCTTCTGGCGCTCTCCTACGTCAACACCAGTTCCGTTCCTGTCCCTCCCAGCCAGCCGCCCGTTTCCTACCTCCCTCTCCCCCCCCCCCCTTACTGGGCATTGGGTCGTCACGTCGAGCAGACAGACGTCAGACGTCAGACGTATCCTCCTTCTTCTTTTCCGGCTGCCCCCTTTGTGTTGTTGCTGCACCTGCTGGGCGACCTGAAAACAGCACATCCTCATGAGAACAAGAACAACCCTCTCAGGCCGAACCCAACATTCCCTTTTTGGTTCTTGCCCTGTCTGTCTCTACCTACCCATATCCATCTGTCACGTACAGTGTATGAACAACCGTCAAGAATACTGGGCCTCCTCCTCTTTGGACGACTGATTCTCTTCTTGGTCTTCTTTTGCCCCCAAAGAAGAAAACCATAAGAATTTGGGCCTAGTCCTCCTCCTTCTTCCGATCTCCACACCCTCCTCCTCCCTACCCGCATCCCGCAGCCGACGTCCGCCTGCCCACCACCCCCAAGGCGGCCCAAGGCCCAACGACCAACGGCTCAAACTCAACATACGCGCGCCACACAAACATCCAGGTGATAGATCGCTCCCTGCGAGATCCGAGGCTCGAAAATTTCAAGGAATCCATCGTTTCTTTCCTGGATGCTGGGGGCTGACCAATAAGTTGGGGAGGGAGAAACTGAATTATAAACTTGTGGCGTAGAAGGAAGAAAGAAAAAAAAAGAGAGAAAGAGAAAGAGACAAAGACAAAGACGGCAAATCGATGCTGCTGCTGCTGCTGAGCCTCCCTCACTTCTCGACAAACCACAATACTTACACACGACCTCCTCTATTTTGCCTTGACTTTTTCTCCTCCCACAGCTCCTTCCCTCCAGCCTTCAAACGCTGAGCGCTAGGTCTTGGTGGCCTTCACTGGTCGCAGTTTCCCATTATCAAGGAAGCGGCGACATCCCAGAGGGTCTAGTTGGAGGAAATTGCCCTCTCTTCTGGGAAAGACCCTTCTGGATCTTTGGGCCTTCTCTTACCCATCCACCCCCTGCACGTTGGCTCTGGGAACGGCCGAACCCGGGACGTCATAAAACTCTCAGCGGCGCAAAGAGAGACCGCACGACTGCACCTGGCGGATCGTGTGTCGTGTCGTGTGTGGGAAGAGGAAAAAAAAGAAGAAAAAAAAGAGAGGGAAAAAATCCTCCGCGCGTTCCGGACGAGATTCCCCCACGCCCGATCAAATCAATCATTTCACATACACACACACACACACACACACTTACAAATCCATTCATTACGCTATTCCCGCATTGTCGCGATCACGAAAGAAAAGAGGGCCACGAGGGGAGAAATTTCAGACCTGCAGGAAGAACATCTCTCGGATCACACCCTCCTGCAGCTGTCACGACCGACGATCGGGAGCGAGGCGGGCCCGCCCCTTTCGCGGCAAGGTACCTGAACAAAAAAACAAACAAAAAAAGGTACCACAACTTTTTCGAAAACATACCTCGAGAGCCACACACACACACACACACTCAGCTGTACCAGCAAACAGGGCGACGAGCGCATATCGTGGTCCGAGCACGTTCGTCACAGCCTCGGAAGAGAGTCAAACTCAGCTTCCTCCTTTGAACCTTTGGACCGGACAAGGAACAAAGAGGAGGAGTCGTCGCATGCCGATTAATTACCACTCGGAACGCACACACTGCCAAGCTGAGCTGAGAGGACCCAACCACACCCCCGGGCGCAGAGTTGCATTTTCCCACACGCACTCACACCCCGACAAGGAGAGCGAGAGCGGGAGCTGAAGGCTCGATAAGATAGAGAGGGATCGAGTGAGGGAGACAGCGGTCATGACGTCGATAGTGAGTCTTTGTCCTCCCTCTTTTGAACCCCTTCTCCGTTTGTTTGTTTTTGGGGGTTGCAGAAGTTTCAAGCACGGATTTACAATACATTGCAATGCAATACGTCTGAACTTGCACTACATCACACACTGCCTTACACCATCCCCGTTCTTTCTTTCTCCTTTCTTCTCTTGCCTTGATAAGCCTTCATCATCACACCATCTCCCATCCTTTTCTTCTTCCCCCCACGCGAGATGGAGTGGGATGTGAGAGGACATGGGAGATTCGGAGGATGTTTTAGGACGCCGAAAGGCTGCTACTAACTAGTCACCACCCCAAAGCCTCGCGCTGCACATGCATACTTTCCTTTTCTTTTTTTCCCCCTTTCGAAGGATTCTCAAAAGGAGGTCCTGAAAAAATGGTCTCCTTTTGGCCCTTGGTGTTACCCTCCTCTCTCACTCTCTCACACACACTCTCTCTCATTCACTTCCTCCTCCCACCTTAGTCTTGTCATCCCCCACGCCGTCACACATTCTTGCTTGGCCGCTCGCCCTCCCTCACAGGCTCACCGCCTTACCGCCTCATCTCGCCCTCCATCATCATATCATCCCAAACAAACCAACCAACCACTCACTCTGCATCGAGATTTGCTGAACGCCCAAAATTCCCGGGCTTGGGTGTTCTGGTGTGTTCTACATTCACCACGCCACCTGGAATGCACAGTGAGACACACCCATGTTGTGTCCCACACACGGTTGCCAGCATATCGTACATATTTCTGTCTGCCACTTGGCCCTGCCCCATCCCTCCCAAATACGTGTTATGAGAGATAACACATTGATGAGCGCATACTGCATACCACGTTGGATTGCACATGTCAGCCCCGGGATTCAGTAAATTCCTTGCCTGGGTCTTTTGTTTGCCGTGCAACCATGACAGCATCCAAGAACCTTATTATGGTTTAATTGTATATATACTTATGAATCATCCCATGCATCCACCCATATCCAACAGCCCTTGTCATGAACCTCACATCCCTTTCAGCCTGACCTTGGCGGCTACCTGTAACTTTTGATTTCCATTCTCTCTCTCTCTCTCTCTCTCTCTCTCTCTCTTCACTGCCCAATGTTCCACCTCCTGTTTCAACATTCCGACCCTATTCATTTGTTGGTCTTGCTTTATTCAAACCTCGTTTGGCTTTATTTTTTGTGTTGTTGTCTCTTTGCACTGTCGCAAGAATCTTTCTTGTATCCTTTGTGTTAGAATGTGTGCATAGCAAAACAAGGCTACAACACCTCACCTCATCATGATACTGATTTCCGGCGTCCAGTTATGTCTGGCGCATTACTGCGATGTCCACGGCCCAACGCCTCTCATGGTCACCGAGGGATTACCAATCCCATGCGCCGCCTGCTACGAGGACATACCCTATACCAGCAATAACAACACCAAGACAGACGTCCGGTCATCTTCGAAATTCTCCACTCCTACGTCGACCACCCAACCCAGCACAACCATCGCCGAGGCCCTCCGAAGGCTCAACCTCGACAGCAAACGCAGCTCTTTGGGCTCGGCCTCCGCCGCCGTCTCCGACCATGACGAGCCGACAGGTTACGGTGCACTCCGGCGTACGACTCAACTGGCTTCAGCATCGTCCACTGTCGATACACCTCCCGTCAGCCCGCGATATCCTCCCGAGTCCTCGGCGTCTACAGGAGGAGGGCACCACGGCCGCCGTGAATCGAGCTACAGGAGGACATACGACGAGACCACGACGAGGAGGGCTGGCCCCTGCGAGAACTGCGCCATGACCTTGCCCAGGAGAAAGGAGAGCACCACGAAGTCACGAGGTGGTGATGGCAGCGACAACGAGACAGGCCCAATATTGCGCACCAAGGCACCCTATGCCCGGGTCTACGGCAGTGGCGTGACTCCAGGCGACGCTTCTCCGCCTAACTCGACCTCGACTGTCTCGGACGATGACGGCTACTACGAGGACGAGCGCACGCCGTCGCACCACCGGGCCGGCACCATCACCTCGACGACCTCCCGCTCGAGCGCGAGCTCCCCTTCCGGCGCTGGCGCCGTACACAGCCACATGCACTTCCTGCACTACACCTCGTCCCACGAGCCTGTCGTGCCCTCGTCCTTCTCCATCGTGCGCGCTTCATGCATCCGCACGCTCTCCTTCGAGACGTTACCCCGTGGAGCACCAACAGCGGCCGCTACGACCACAACGATGATGGGATCTAGCGGCGGCGCCGGCCCTATTACTTCCGCCATCACCTCGCCCGTCACACCAGGCTTTATCACGACCCACTCATCTGGCGCCGCTGCATCGGGGGGGCCCATCTTCTTCGGCGATCCTTCAGCAGGGTACACAACGGCCTACATTTTTCGCATCCCTGATGTGCATGCCCGTGGGCACAAGCGCGTCTATGCGTTTTTAGCTCTGAGCACACACCGCGAGAGGCTCGCCATGAAGACGTTTACTTTCATCTCGACTGCCTTCCGCGAGCTGGCTGCGTGGATACAGGGGCTTGCCGAGGCCGAGGCCGAGGCGGAGCGTTACAGCAGTGGCAATGGCCCTTTCAGTCCCATGACGGCTGCGCAGAGTAGCCAGCCGCCACAGACCCCTGCCATGGAGACCAGCAACAGCAGCACGGCAGCCGGGAGCGGGTTTCTGTCGAGCGGTGTCGGCGGTCTGTCGCGGAGAATGGGCGGCGGGTATGGCTACGGGGGCTCAGGCGTCGCGCTCAAGGCGAGGGGTCTGCCTGAGCTGGTGGGGCTGCCTGACTTCTTTCTGGAGCTTCATCAGAAGTTTGTGCAGCTTCTGCTGGAGCTTGGGGTTGTGCTTAGCTCGTGAGTGGGGTTGAGCTGGGCTGCTGGTATCTGAGTATATGGACAGACTGGTAGGTGTAGAGACACGGATGGCTTTCTACACAAAGCCTGATGGGACCAAATTTTCTTTGGATCGGCAGCAGCATTGTTTTTCTCTTCTTTTTTTCTTTGTCGGTACGTGTCTGTGTCTCATCTTGAGCAGCAGCAGCATCGGAGTCTCTTGGATTTGTCTTCTTCCCATTCTCATGGAGGGTTAGCGCTGGGAAAAGGTTTTTATTTTGATTTTATCTTGATTTTTTTGTGTCAAAGCTCTCGACAACGGCTTAGAAGAGAGCGGTGGATGGATATACCCCCCAAATCAAAACCGGTCTAGAAGGAATGTTTGCACAATGCGAAATTGCATGGAAATATCATTATGTCGAACAAAAATAAAAAGAATGTATCATATCATGATGACTTGTGCTGTTTTGAGCAATCTATGTATGCTATTGGATTGTAGTGACATAGAGGATGAGTACCAAGTAAGTAAGTACTAACTTAATGATCAGGTAAATTCTGGACAAAAATCACGTAATTGCCAAAACTGAGATATGAAATGATATCACTGTCCCGCCCACTCATTGCGCCTGCTGTCAAACAATAGTAAATTCCCTCTTGGGCCAGTCAGCGGTGATGATGGGAGGATAGGGCTTCTCGGGATCGAAGTGGGATTCGAGAAAACCTATCCTGTGCCAGGAACCATTTGCCTCCTGCCTCAGGATTAATCCGTACCTTTGCTCTACCTCCAACCGGACCATTCGTTTAATGGCCAAGAATGTCACTGGCGCGGCCCAATCAACTACATCATCTGCAATATCCAAAAGTGTGCGCACGTAATGATCAAGGTCGACGTACGTCTCATCCACGCCGAGGCATCTCCACCCGCGAGTGTAACCACGTCGAGCATCGAAGGACAGGCCTTGGTTTTCTCGCCCCTCGATACCGACTGCAGGCTCGATTCTCAAGGTGCTGCTACGAGCATCGGAGGATAGGCCTTCGTTCTCTCGCCTCTCGATGTCGATTGCAGGACCTTTGATTCGCAAGGTGCCGCTCTTCAGTGCGCCGAACGGAGCCTCGGGATGAAGAGGCACGCACTCAACAGAAAGTATCTCTGAGACCAAAGACCCATACGCCCCCTCAAACCAGATTCTTGAACGTATGGCGGTCCAGGACCAAGACGGCCCTTGGTATTCTGTTGGTCGCGAGGGACTCGGATCCCACGTTTGCCACATAAGCGATGTTGGAAGGCCTTCTTCCCACAAACCTGCTGCGTATCGCCCAATGCCGGGGGTAGAGGATGCAAATCTCTCCGCGATCCCTGATATGGCGAGGATCTTGTCTGTCGGGAGAGATAAAGAGCGGTCGCAGTACGCTTTGACAACCATCTCCCATGTATCAAGAACTCCTCGGACAGATGGTCTCGGGTGCTGGTGATCCGGATTGGCTGAGGAGAACATGATGACGTCCAAAATGTGGCTATCTTCAAGCCACGAAGTCTTGTTAGTTTCGGCGAGGGATGGTTCTGGCATACTTCTTCCTCCACCATCATCTGCGGACCATCTCCGTCTCGCATTCTGGAAGGGAGATCCAAAACCCCGAGTAAGTCGATCATTCGACCACCCGTCACTATGGCTTGGCAGACCGCGTTCCGTTCGGCAAGACCATTCCGTCATATAAGTCCCAATCTCAAGTGTACGGCGGGAGAGAAGATGCTCTTGCATCGCCCATCCGCGCTTGTCTAGCTTGCTTTTTTCTTCATGCCAGAATTCGTGTTTGAAGTATAGCGAAACCCATCCTTCTGTACCATCGGGGCTGCGGAAGAGGAGGTTACTTGTTCCAAGGGGGGGTGATCTCTGATGCAGGAAGCCATCACTGGCTCGAGCAGCTCGATTAACCATGATCGTCAGTGTTGCATGGCTGTAGACCTGGGCCATCTGGGCTATCTCCTTGACCTTGTCGTTGTCATCATCTTGAATGATGCATAGGGAGTCGACCCAGACAAAGTGCATTCCGAGCCTGTGTGTTGTCACTGCGGCGTCTTGCAACGTCTGAGGGAGAGTTTCCCAGGGAATTTCAGTCTCGTAAGACTCGAGATTTTCTGTTTTGAGAGCCTTGGCGAGCAAGACTTCCGAATCGTTACCCCAACAGTAACTCAAAGCTGTGTACTTTGCATCTGGATTCAGGTTCTCTCCTCGAACAAGCTTCAGGTGAAGACCGGAATCTTGGGGCTGTACCTCGACAAGTCGAGATGGCAGATATCGAGGCCCAGACAAAGAGCATAACATATGGCTCCTGGTCTCATTGTTGGAGCATTCCTGTATCCATTTCTTGACGGATAAAACGGTTTCCTGGGACAGAGGATCGGCTGCTATTGGTCGTCTGGTTTTCACAGGGGCCAACCTGGCATGTTCTCCTTCAGACTTTGTTAATTCCCTTTAAAGCTGGCCTGGGAAACAGGTTTAGGGGCCTCACCTTCTTCTGCACCTAGTTCATAACTTATTCCAACACGCCTTTCGAATGCGTATATATATTTTTGCCGGACTTGTTCAGTGACAAGCCCGTCAGCGTCTGAATGATGTACGTCGTTCAGAGCTACAAGCCATGAGAGCGCCCCGGGTATATTATACAGTTGCACAATATCTGGACTCAACGGAAAGTTTTCAGGGACATCTCTCATGAAATAACTCGCAAAAGTGCAGCCAGCGAGGTCTGCTTTCTTGATATCTTCTAAAGAGACACCTAAGCGGTAGAGAGATCTTTCGTAGAATTCCATTTGGTCTACCGGTTCGCCAAACAAATACCAAGCGAACAGCAAATCTTCTTTAACTCCAGGTAAAACAATCTTTTGGCAATGACTGCAAGAATGGCCCCTGACATAAGGATCCATCGGACCGTCTGTCATGGTCAAAGCCATCTTGTGTTCCTGAGCGAGCGGACTGGACCTGGATGAGATGTGAATTTCAAGTCGAAGATTTAGGCAGGGGAGAGCGGACTGTCGGCCGGTGATGAACAGGAGGAGCCGTGAGAGGAGTTGACATGTGCGGAGGAAAGTTTGATTATAGGGAACCTCGCTCGATATAAAGAAGTCAAAATCTGATGGCGCGCTAAGCCAACCCCGATCACTGCCTGAGGCTAAACTAGATGTACCATGGCAATATGCATGTTGCCGACAATGGCTGAAGATGAGTGGACAAGAATGCTCTGCATATCACCTTGAAGCTTTTAGGTGGGGAAGTGTTTCAGGAAGAATTGGCCTGGACTGATCTGACAAAAAGCTGTTGGGGGCAAGTTTTCTCGCTGTTGGATGAGAGCAGGCCTCCTTGTTGGTCCTGGTCCAAAGCCCCTCTTTTTCATGCCGTTGGGTGTGAATCTCACCAGCCTCAATGCAAGTGCGGCAGGGTATGCGTAAGACTGTATGTAGATAGGACGCTACAAGACCTTCCCAACATAGAAAAGCCAGGAAACAGATTCTGTTTTCTGGACATGCTTGGACAGCCGCGCCCCCCCAGAATTCAGAAATGTATAAAATCTCCAAGACGAGGGAGGAGTATCGTAGTCTTTGAGGCTAGCTGTGCACTTTGTACACTTGGCTGAGAGTATTCAATCACTCGCTCTGGGAGACCTTATCTGATTGATCGAACTGCTCTAGTATTGCGACGGGAGATCAAATGGATGAGAAACCGCGTAGGTGGCGAAGAATTAGCAAAGCTTATATTGTATATCCAATAGAATCAAAAGTGGTTCAGGCCTTTAGATAGCGCGACGTCTGCAATGTCTCTTTCCATGAGACCATGTTAGGTCGTCGCCGTAGTGCCTTCGCTTTCGTAGTCATAACACCGCTCTGCTTACAATTATGCCTCGCCAAGTCCCATCTCTCTGTTCTACGCCCTCGCAACATCTAATTCATCCGCTCCTTCGCTCTGTCCTTGCCGTCTGACAGATCCTTCGCCTTTCCCTTCCCAGGCGCTTGCTCGAACAGCACCCTCCACTTGTCCTCCTGCTTGAACATGGTGATGCACTGCGTCGCCGATGGTGTACCGTAGTCTGGATCGGCGCCACCTGCGAGAAGTTTCTGCTCGTACCTCATCAGCAACAGATAAGAAAGTTGTGCCGTCCAAGCCCGTATCGCGACACAGATGGTCGGGCGTACAGCCACTGCCTCCTCCTCCAACGTTCTTGGCTCTGCCTCAGGGGCGAAGAGGAGGAAATGCCACAGTGAAAAAGGGGAGAGGGGGGCTCAGACAGGCAGACTGACCTCGATGACTCTGTCCCATTTCTTGAAAACAGCCCCCGCGAGCGGGCTCCGGTGTTTATCATTTAATCTATTAGGGTCACTTCCAGCGCTGATAAGATATTCGACCAGTTCATGGTGGCCATAATATGCTGCCAGCATGAGCTGCTCTACCCGTTAGCTCTCGAAAAAGACCAGTTTCCTCCCACGACAGATCCAACAATCCCCTTGGTGACTGCCTTGGCCAAGGTACCTGAACTCCCCAGGTCTCAGATGCTCAAGAATACCCAAGTGACTCACCAACGTGTCCCCATTCTCATTCGTGAGGTTCGGGTTCAGCTTCTCAGCGATAGCGGTCTCAATGACCTCTTGGTTTCCATCGCGAGCTGCATTGAATATTTGCGCCGTGAGCTTGATGGTCTCGAGGGACGGCGAGAAGGCGGTCGCCGACGTCAGGCTGGACCCCGGAATGCCGCTCATCTTGCCTTGTGAAGTTTACTTTTTCTGCCAAAAGGGGGCGTACAGAAGAGTATTTCTCTCTTTTTCTTTCTCGCTATTCAGCACAGCAGTTGACTATAATTTGCATCTGGGCACGGCGTGGATGTTGAGAGGTTAAAGACCATTCAGAGTCCGGAAGTTGGTCAGCAACCCGACTCCGTCGGCTCCGCCCCTGCAACCGCGCAGCCGAGGGGGGTTGCTTAAGGGGGAAGATTCCAGAACTAACGGACACCATTGCGCGCTGCGCGCCGGCCCGCTGACAGCTAATGACCAGCTGGGCATGGAGCATTTCCTAGTGGTGCGAAGGACAAGGATCACGGCCAGCAGTCCATGTAGAATTAATTTGATACATGTGTAAAAATATAAGTCTGTCTTTCATGTGTATAGATGTATAAAAATACATGTAGATGCAAATAAAGTGATGGCCAAGAAGATAACCATTTGTTCCACATCAGAAGTACTGAATGTACAACTCTCAAGAGTATAATTTTTACACTTCTCTACCTGAGCAGTGCGTACCATGCAATACAGAGCCCAAACTAACGCCAGCCCTATTCTAATAAATAAATGCTAATGTAGTAAGAAGATGCTGCTATTTAAGTAATGAAATGTCTATACTGAGTATTATCGAACAGCATGATAGTAGGAAAGAGAATAGAGAAATTTACTACATGAGTATGTACTGCCTGGGTAGGGAAGTGTTAAAACTATACCCTGAGAGTTGTATGTGTTTTAGCCGTAATTCGCTAATTAATATTTAAGCTCATTCCCCGTCAAAGGTTCATCCGAAGAAGGCCTTGTTTTCCCCCGAAACCCCGAAACAACACTCCGAGTCCTTGATTCTTTTCAATGACAAGCCTCAGGAAGACGGAACCTCATCAAATGTCAATCCTACAAGACACACATACGAGTCAGGACAAGGTTCGTCAATTGCATTCATCCGATGTATCATATATTCAACAATAAAGAGGCCTACCAACTAAAGGCCCCGTCTACTCTGATCCATAAAATATTGATTGTGCCTAGAAGACAAGAAGAAAAAGAATATATTCCCAGTATACACTCTATGCACTCTGCAACCCTTCTATACTCAAAATCGACAAGCTCACATTATTCGTCGTGCTCGGCGGCAACGCCCCACCCCCCATAATCAACAACCGATCCTGGTTCTCCTTGAACACCCGCAGGTGCCGCGTATAGCTCGTCGGCGCCGTCGTCTCCTTCTCCTCCCAGGCACTGGGATCCCCAAGCTTGGTATTGGTGAACACCGTGCTGGCCCCGCCCGAGCTCACGATGATGGTCCCGTTCTCGCCGCCGACCGAGCTCCACGTGATGTAGGGCGACCCGAGCGGGACGTTGCCTGTGTTGGCGGCCACGATGGGCTGACCGACGGACTCGTTGAACCGTAGCGGGTTGGCGTTGATGCGGTAGGTAACGGGGAAGAGGTAGGTGCCCGCCGTGACGTTGGTGTAGTGGCCCCACTCGTAGGTCATTATGTAGTCGCCGCTGGGCAGCTGCGTGACGGTGGTCATGCCGGGGCGGTCGGTGTAGACGGGGTATTCGACGTCTGGGACGACGGAGCCCCAGTTGCGGAGGTCGGTGCTGGTCTGGTGCACCAGGCGCTGGCCGTAGGTTGCGTTGAGGCGCTGGTCCGAGTAGTAGATGATGACTTGGTTGTCGTACATCCTGTTTTGCCCTCGATGTTAGCAAGTGAAATCGACTATCAACCCTTACTTCCAGTGTTCCAAGACTCACATAATAAAAGGCTCCCAGACAGGCGTCAGCCCATTATCCGGCAAAGCCTCGCCCCCAGCCGCAACATGGCTCACAAACTCCCAAGTCTCTCCTTTGTCCCGGCTCGCATACAGATCGATCTGCGTGTTGCTCAAGTTCGTCGGTATGCTGTTCCCCGCGAGCAGAACAGTCCCCTTGTCGAAGCCAGCATAGTCGACGGGAAGCTCGTACAGGAAAGGTTGGTACCGCAGGCCCCAGCCGTTGACCTGGTCGGTGCAGTTGGAGATGTGCTTCCAGGTCGCGCCGTGGTCTGTCGACCGGTAGATCGGGAAGTACACTGGTGGAGGCTCGGGGGAGTAGTTTTCCCACGTGGCGAGGAGGATGTTGTCCGACAGGGTGAGCTCGACCGTGCGCGCATAGAGGACACGCGGGTCTGTGTAGTCGGAAGGCGGCACGAAGATGATCTCGTAGGGGATGATGGGAACCTCGCCAGATGAGTCTCCGCGGGAGGCCAGAGGATCGCCGAGGGCGAGGGCCAAGGGACCCGTGAAGAGGAGAGTGAGGCTCTTGAGGGAGACCATGGTGAGAGGGGAGGAAGGAAAGGAGAGGAGGGAGAGGAGAAGTGTTTTGGTACTGGCCCAGTCAGCGATCGACAGACGAAGACAGAGGAGGGTTTGGGCAGGTACCGAGTCTCTGGATCAGGAACTATGTAGATCATGCAACCGTACCCCCCTCCCTTCTTATACACCATGGCGATACCGACGAACACCTGCAGGCTGCCATTGTGGAGACGTTCAGGTCAAGGACAGAAGAATCTTGGCGAGTTGGCATTCATCCAGGTGACCAAGGCTCGGTCCATCTCGCACGCCGCTAGCATCATCATCAAAGTGAACGGCGCATCCTGCCTCGCGACTGTTTTCGAAGACCCTTTCTCCAAGTCAGCAGTCCTCGTCCCAATCTTTTGGAGAACGTAGCGCTAGATGTGGATGCGATGCAGGGGTCCCTCGATACCTACCACTGACGATCCGGGGGAAATCTGGGGCACGCATGCGCCGGACCCTTTTCACCACGATGCGCTCCAATGGGAATGGAGCCCACTTACAAGTTTGATAGAAATTGAGTCTCTTCTCCATTGCCAGCCTTAAATACGGAAAAATGTGTCCACCATACACCGAAAACAAACGCCAGCTAACCAAGCAGACCACCATGCGACATGTCGTCATGGTCAATTGACTCTTGATGCCCTCATCTTATCTCATCATGGTCCGTATGCAAAGAGAAACCGTAGGCTCATCAAAAGTCCATCCTCTCGCCTTCTTCCCTCTCCCTCTTGACCTTCACATCCGCCCTCTCCTCCTTCAACAGTGCATTCACAAATCCCCTGAATTGCTCAATGTATGGCTTCAGGCTCGTCTTCTCCCAGTCCGGCATGCTTCTTCCCTCCTCGCCTGCTTCCGAATCCTCCCCTGCCCAGGCATCGATCTCACCCAATAGGGATTGCACGGTTGGCACCGCGGTGGGATCAAACTCTTCTAGCTTTCCTGGTCGCGTATCAACCGGAACACAGACCCTGCCGGTACCGGGATGCACCACGAATGGCGATTTCAGTAGATGGTTTAGCTTCTTGCTGACCTCGATATCGAGCCGCGGGTAGGTGTATTCCAGCAGCACATCCTGCTTGGCATCACGCAGGGCCGCACCATCAAAGTTCTTGCTGACGCTGCCGGCCTTGGCGAGGGCATCTATGTCGGCCCATTTGGACATTGATGAGCGTCCGGGTGCGGATCCCCATTTCTTGCGGAGGAAGTCGTTCAGGGTCTTGTCCGGGAGAAGGGCCAAGAGCTTCTCGGCGCGCTCGTCCGTGTCCCAGGGATCTTGCTTCTCGAGCACGTCTTCTTGAAAATGCGGTTTGAGTATTTCCAGACTCCGTCTATCATTCCTGTCAGCATGTTGTCTCTGTCGTTGGTTCTCTTGGTGGTGAGAACGTACGCTAGATGTGGATGCAATGGCCTTCTCACGTTGACCTTCTTCCCGCCCTGCGCACCCCCTTTCAACACCTCCAGATATCCAGCAACGGCTCGTCTCTTCTGGTCATCCATCACTCGTGCCTTGCGGTCACAAACCCAGGCGTGCACACCACGTCGTCCCGAGTACACCCACATGATATGCTTAAAGCCGAAGTCTTCGCGTAAAGCAATATCGGTCACCTTGATAGCCATTGTCATGAATTGCCAGCACTTGATGCAGATGTTGGCCTTGTCACAGCATGTGCGGATGTCGTCGTAGTCTGTCAAATCGATATCGAAGCATATCTCCTTGGAGAGCGGTCGGAAGGCGGAGAGGTTCCTGAGTTGCTTTCTGTCGCGTGGATTGGTGCTGTAGACGGGGCCGATGTCGAATCGGGGCGGGACATGATGGAGGACGTCTTTGCGCATACTGGAGGAAGACGACGTCAGCATGGATCGCGTTACTCGCGTCTCAGAGGCCGGCCAGAAATACTTACAGGTCAGCCGTTGGGAACGACTGGTATCGCCACACAGCATCATTCTGGAGGGTATAGGAAAATTCTCGATGAGCAAAGTCATTGGTGGGAGTAGGACTGTGGTTCAGCCACTGGAACAAGTATCGCCATGGGAAAAGGCGTTGGTAAAAGGTACGCAAGACTTCCGGGTCGCTGGCCTTGGCCTGGACTGGTGTGTCACTCTCACTACAAGGATTCTGTTAGTCCAGAGCAACTTTACTCACGACGGTAAAGGACTTACTCGTCATCCAGAGAAGAAGCAGGTCCTGGAGAGCTTGTAGTCAACGTGTCGCTGTTTTTTGTCTTGTCCGTGCTAGGAAACTCCTCGTCCGAGTCGACGTCTGCGAAGAGATCCTCCAGTTTGACCTCTTTCTTCGGTTCATCCGCAGGTGGCATGGGCTCTATGTCGGCCATAGTGATGTCCATGCTGGACTCGTCATGCTGCGGCTCGGTCTTAACGGTCGCATCATGATCTTCGTCCATCTGGTCGACCTCTTCACTAGTGGGCGTGGGCACTGGTGGGCTGGACCCTGGGGATTCGAAATGAGGCATGCTGCTGGTCAATTGATCTGTGTCTGTGGTACTGAAATATATGAAACAGTGGTCAGTAGCCAGGAGATGTGGTGCAGTACGCCTGGGGGAGAGGATGCCGCTGGTCAAGGCACGACTGTCTAAATCATATGTATTTGCAGACCAACTGCGTGATGGGAAGACGCGTCTGAGAACGCGCACAGGGGTCGCGAGTGCACAGGCCACTCTATTTAGTGGTGTGAAGACGCTAAGCCCCTCCAAGGTTAGGCGTTGCTGTGTACTCTAGCAGGCCATGTATAGGCTGTCCAGTCATTAGCGGGTACCACTATAGAAGGACATATTGGTGAGGGGATGCCGAGGATTCAGCGGGGTCCATAGTCGACCAATAGGCTCATCTACTTCGTACGGTTAGACAACTTAACAGTCGACGTCACCTGTATCGGTTCTCCCCTCGTCTTTACGTATCGTTCGCCCACGACGAGTCTCAAGCGGATCGGGAGGTCGAGTTGATGATCCTTACAACGCTCGGCTACTGCCAACCCAACTTGCACATAGCATACTTCCTTCAAGCCTTGCCTTATCTTTTCAGCGTTGCATGGACCAGAATTTCGAGCATCAACTCTGGAATCGAGTCTCCCAGCATTGACGTGACAGAAAGCCCGTTCCTCAAACGATCCCTGCGCCGCTGGTATATATTTCCTTCCGCGACAATCTCGAGCCTTTCTCGACGCCTCAGCATCTCACAGTCCGACCTTGCTTGTTTGTTGTGCTAGTGTTCTGTTTGGAGGGCAGTCGAAGTCATCAATCTACGTATCATGGCAACTCTTCGCCTCCTGATCGAGGACGGCAAATTCGTCGACCCATCCGGCCGCCAGGTCATTCTCCGTGGCATCAACGTTGCTGGCGACGCAAAATATCCGAGCGAGCCCTTCGACCAACCCTCGCAGGTAGCTGACGACTTCTTTGACGGCGACAACGTCAGCTTCCACAAGAGACCTTTTACAAAGGATGATGCGCACGTACACTTCGCGAGGCTGAGAAGATACGGGTACAACACCATCCGATATGTCTTTACATGGGAGGCCATTGAGGCCAAAGGCCCTGGGATCTATGATGAGGACTGGATAAGTCACACCATCGAGGTGTTGAGGGTAGCCAAGAGCTATGGCTTCTTTGTGTTCATGGATCCCCATCAGGATGTGGTATGTTCGCCTCTGAAAACCAAGATATTGTAAGAGCATGACACACAAGACTCACACAAGGACAACAGTGGTCGCGTTTCAGCGGCGGTTCCGGAGCGCCCATGTGGACGCTCTACCTTGCCGGCCTCAACCCTCAATCCTTCGCTGCCACCGAAGCCGCCATCGTGCAAAATACCTACCCTTCTCCCGCAGATTTCCCCAAGATGATCTGGTCTACCAATTACCAACGCCTCGCCGCCGCGACCATGTTTACCCTCTTTTTTGCCGGCAAGGATTTTGCGCCCAAGTGCGTCGTAGACGGCATAAACGTCCAAGATTATCTACAAAAGCACTTTTTTGGTGCGATGGAGCATCTGGCGCAGAGAATCAAGGAGGCTGGCGACGTTTTGAACGATGTTGTGTTTGGGTGGGAAAGCATGAATGAGCCTGCACGAGGGTTGATTGGCTTCGAGGACCTCAGTGTGATTCCGAAAGAGCAGGCTCTCAAGAAGGGGACGTGTCCGACGATTTGGCAGGCGATACTCACTGGGTCGGGCAGAGCCTGTGAGGTTGATGTGTGGGACATGGGGGGTCTAGGGCCATACAAGACGGGCAAGGCCTTGATTGATCCTCGAGGAGAGTCAGCGTGGTTGCCAGCTGACTATGATGACTCGAGATACCAATGGAAGCGAGATCTGGGCTGGAAGCTAGGGGAGTGTCTGTGGGCACAACATGGGGTCTGGGATCCAAGCACGGACACCCTGCTGCGAAAGGACTATTTTGCGAACGATCCAAAAACAAAGAAGCCCGCCGACTATCCTTTCTTTACGAACACCTGGTTTATGGATTTCTACAGACGGTACCGGGACACGGTACGGGCTCATCACCCAGAGGCTATCATGCTCTGCCAACCTCCGGTATTGGAGCTCCCGCCAAGCATCAAAGGGACCGAGGATGATGACCCTCACATGGTGTACGCGCCACATTACTACGATGGAATCACGTTGATGACGAAGAAGTGGAATCGGACATGGAATGTCGACGTGCTGGGAATCTTACGAGGACGATACCTGACACCCGCATTTGGAATCAAGATCGGAGAGACTGCGATCCGCAACTGCTTCAGAGATCAGCTGGCCGCCATGAGAAAGGAAGGCCTAGACTATATGGGCAACCACCCATGTGTCTTGACGGAGTTTGGGATACCATTCGACATGGACGACAAGGCAGCGTACAAGAATGGTGACTATTCGAGTCAAAGCGCGGCCATGGACGCCAATCACTTTGCGGTAGAGGGCAGTGGCATGGAAGGCTACGCCCTCTGGGTTTATTGCACCAATGTGAGTTTGATCCCTCCAACTCAGCGCAGTTGGACAAAGATACTGACATCATAATCACTTAGAATGTCCACCAATGGGGCGATCAGTGGAATGGAGAGGATCTCTCCATCTATTCACTTGAAGACAAAGCCCTACCCGTCTCCGCCGTGCCACAGGCGAAGCCCGACTCCCTCTCCTCGTCCAATGCGCCCTCCGCATCCCGGCCGTCAGAAGACCTAGCTGTGACTCCTAATAATCTCAAGCGCACGATCACTAACCCATCCATATCAACATCTTCACCGACCGAGGCCGATGCCTCCGCTATCCTTACCAGCCCAGCCATGCGCACCACAGATCGTGCACTCAATTCCCATCCCGGTTTCCGTGGTGCCGAAGCCTATGTGCGTCCCGCGCCAGTCTTTGTCGTGGGGGACATCACGCACTACGTCTTTGACCTCAAGACCTGCACCTTCACCCTGTCGCTGCGCACACCCAAAGAGACGACTGCCGATAATGCCAGCGAGTTCTTCCTGCCTGAGTTCCATTTCCCGCGGGATGGCTGCGTTGTGGAGACCAGCGGGGGCAAGTGGGAAATCTCGACGGACGAAGGAGAGGTACAGCGCCTGAGATGGTGGCACGGGAAGGGAGAGCAGAACCTGAAGGTGACTGGTGTGGTGAGAAGGATGAATGGGGGTGGAGAGGAAGGCTCCTATACGGACGGAGACGAGCCAGGGTACTATGAGGTTGTGAGTAATTGGCTTGGGCAGGGGTGTAATGTGATGTAGATGGATTGTTTGGATTTTTTGGATTTTATTTGGTACGAGATTGATTACTGGAGGTAAAGGACTTGCGGATCAGGAAGTGGGCTTGCGCAACGGGTACATAATGTTTCGAGGGTGGGCCAGACCGTGCCTGTATACCATCCCCTGTGTCGATACTGCGGGCTTTGAGATGGAATTGCAAGAATTGAGTACATATTTCTGGCACGTAAAATCCAACTGATTTTGCCAACGGACGTTCAGCAGAGTCCATTCGTTGTAGTCGTGGGTACGAGTGTGCGCGCAAAGCAGATGTTCATCCGAATGGTGCTTACATAAGTATATCAGTAGGTCAAGCATCTTTTTGAAAGTGTGAAATTCCAAATTACGTTTTCCATGTTCGGGATTCTATATGCCCTTCTGTCCACTATGATGAGATAATTTCTGAGAGCATCCTTGGATGCAGAGCAGATAGCCAGAAGGTGGCCTGAATGTATGGAGGATGCTAAGAAGTTACACGTAGAGTAGGATTGAAGCCCAAACCCAAGTTTAGTCCCCTCCGTCTAATTTAACTAGCTTAGAATTTAGTAGCACATGAGGGTTTGAGCAATAAAGCGACTTATTTCTTTCATTGCTGATTGATTCCGTCCCAGTCGAGATAACACAAATACTTGTGTACCTATGTAAGTACTCGATTTTGTATACTCGGGAGGTAGCGTCAGCGGGATATTACCCCAGGAGGCGCCTTCAGAGCAACCTAGGTTGAGTCCGTTACGGACTAAAATTTTGATTTTAATAACTTGGAAGCTTCCTCACCACAATACAGAAACGCATTTTAGGAAAACTCAAACAACCTCCTCAAACATCTTCGAAGATAATCGAAATGAGTAGGAGATGGATCAATATTGCAGGAGAGGTGAGATGGGCCAGAGACGGGGAACGGGTTTCACGTCTAGTTGCCAGTGATACCCTAACCCTCCATCTGTCTACATCTAAGTGGCGTCAAATCAGCGCCCAACCACCCTTGAGAAGCAGCGTCGTCACCTTTCTCGAAGAAGCAAGTGGGATATTTCCCGCCCAGCCTCTCATGATCCAATGTCTTTGTCTGTTTAGACTCTCTCATTTCGCTACCCGTCCTTGGTTCCGAAAACCCTTTTGCGTCTTGTCCTTAAATGTCGTGTGGCTTCTTTCAGTACACGTATACTGTACGATAACCTCCTACCTGTTCAGCGATCGAAAACGAAAGAGGGTAAAATAAAAAAAAATAAAAAAATACAGTATATCCGACCGTTCAACAATCACACAACCAACATCCCTCTTAACAATACTCAGATTTGAGGAGCGACACCCAACGTCTGGAAAGAGAAAGGAAAAGAAGACGACGACTCAGGCACAACCACCACCCCTGCTTCTAGATTCCTGCCTGGCCCCCAAACTTGCAACGAGCGCAGGACAGGACCCCCCTTGCCGACCTGGACCCCCCCCTCTTTTTTCACTTTGCAGCTGAGGGTTTCGGTAGGGGAGAGAGAGCACATGTAACAAGTGGCCACCTGCATAATCTTCGCCCGCACGCGGCCGCTCCAAGTCTTGTTCATCGGTGATCCTTCAAGGGCGAATTGCCTCTGCCTCTGCCTCCACCCTGCCCAAGTGCTCATCTAGATTTGGGCGCCATTTGCGAGGGATTCGGTGAGGCGCACAGTCGAGCGCCGAGAGTTGGCCGAAGTCAAGGCTCCACCAGGAAGAAATAGAAGACGAGAAGAAGGAGAAGAAGGAGGAGGAAGAAGAAGTGGTGTCCCGTTTCCTTCGAGGAGCCGGGACGAGTCAATCATTCTTCAGATTACACGTTGGGGGCCGAACGGCGTCAACGGTCCAACAAGTTCGCCCCTTGACTGTAGTAGAGAGACGGACAGAGAGACAGTCCAGACTACAGGCGTAGCGCCGCAGTGCATCATTCAACTCTACTTTCTGTCTCTCTCCCTCTGTACCTGTCAGCTAAGCGCGCCCACTCACATGTCAGCTTAGCCGCCCGCGCCGCCCGCCTTCTTCGGGTACCTCGCAGGACAGGCGAACGAGGGGAACAGGCGACGAAGCACTACACAGAAGCACAGAGAGAGGCTAGAGACGAAAGAGACCTAGAGACCAGACGAGACGAGACGAGTCGAGAGGGTTTGGCTTCTTTCCTCCCCCCTCTGTGCAGTCTCACGTCTTGCTCCGCCTGTCTATCTGCTATCTGTTCTGGCTGTCTGTCTCGTCTTTCTGGCTGTTCTGTTTACTTTACTGTGCAGTGCGGATTACTCTTTGTGGTCTCTCCTCTTGTGTGAATACATACCTGTTTGTAAGTGTCGCCCCAAGTCTCGAATGGATCACAGCCCCCACCCTACTATCTAGTATCTACGCCGTTTGTTGTATCCTTTATTTGAGCAACCCGACAGTTCGGATTCGGCCAGGCGAGGCGGACCCTCTCTTGTGACAAGGCCGCAGCGGTCGTTAGAGTGATCTCCTCGAGATCCACAGCAAACTCTCCTGTACCTGGCTTGTCAGACGGGGTCCTCCGGTCGACCGCGTCGCAGCAGATCGTATTGTTTGGGCCCCCCCCCTCTCTCTCTGCCAATTCTGTCCATCCTCTATCTTGTCGTCGATCTGTTCTCCTTTATTGGCGCAATCGATCATTTCTTGTTCTGTCCTTTCGTCTTGACTGTCTTTTTGCGAGCGTGAGAGTGAGAAAGAAGGACGAAGAAGAAGAAGGAGAGAGGAAGAGAGAAAAGGCGAAACAAGAAAAAAGAGAGAAGAGACAGGCACAGAGAAATCGAAAGCAGAAGAAAAAGAGAGAGAATGGCTACCTGACGAAGAAACTGCCTCACAGAATGCTTGGCAGACTCTACCCGGCCAGAGTCGAATCGCCTCCCCTCCAATGAATAGGAGCATCTCGCGCCAGCGCTCTGCCTCCTCGCTGTCATCCAGAGGAGCCGATCGCGACACCAGGGAACTTAGCACCAGCGGACTGCTCAGCCCCTACAACAGCAGATCACCCCTCGCCGGGCTACCTCACTCTCCCCTCGCTCTAGATGCCGCCGCTTCGCAACTCGTCAGACCCAAGTTTCTCGAGAGGAGAGGCACCGAGGACGTCGCAAAGCTCAACGGCATCGTCCTGAACGACGTCCCTACCATCGGCTCCACGAACACCTCCCTGGTCTCCACCCTACACTCCGACTCTCCGTACCCGTCCCTCAGCGCAGCAGGCGCAGCCTCCTCCTCGACCTCCATCTCGACGAATAATTCTCATCTGCTCTCTGCCCCCACCTCGGGCGGCTCGAGGCGGAGAGCAAACACCGCTAGCGGACCGCTGTCTCCAGTTTCGCCCGGCGCCTCTCCCACCGATCCGAAAACATCATCGAATCGCGGCCTCGCCGGCCCTTCTCTGCCTCCACCGCCGCCGAAATCACGCACCACGAGTCCAACCCCCTTGTCGTCGCCTCCGCAGTCCAAATTCCACACCACCCAGCAGTCCACCCAGGGCTCGGCGCCCTCGGGCAACCCAAACATGTATGGCCAGAGGCAGGGGACGGACCCCTCGAGGCCGTTCCAGGTGCCACCGCCTCCTCCTCCCATGTCACCACCACCCTCGCTCGGCACTTCCTCAATCAACGGCATCATGACCACCATCCCTCCTCCGCCTCCTCGCTACGCCAGCGCGCCGGCTGGAGCCATCCAACTGCCGGGGCCGCCAGGCGCACCACCTCCAAGCACCCTGCCGCCACCCCCAGGGCCGCCGCCCAGCAGCGCGACACCATGGCAGGGCACCTGGAACGGCTCGTACGGGTCCTACATACCTCCTCCTCCGCCACCTGCCCAGCAGGCCCCGCGCCCGTACAACCCTCTGCCATACAAGCTGGTCAATGGTCAACAGATCCCACTCTCCATCCCTCCACCCCCGCCTCCCAATGAGCAGATGTCGGCGACCTACATCCCGGCGGGGGACACTTATGGAGAAGGCGTTGGCATTCCAGGCTTGGGAATGGACGAGACAATGGCCTGGCCTGTGTCTGCCACCTCACAAAGTCCGTGGACGACCCAACAGAGCAGTATCGGCAGCCTTGGGACGTCCAACACCAACGACACGGCCAACACTACGCCCATCGACTCGTACGGTGGCACCGCACACAACAGGGTGAACTCGACGACCTCGAACGCGACAACAACGGCCTCGTCTGGGATCCCCTCGGAGCTCGCTGCGCAGTGGCCTCTAGATCGGGTCCTGTCGTGGCTCAGGGCCAACAACTTCAGCAAGGACTGGATCTCTACGTTTCGCGTGCTGGAGCTGCACGGCTCCAAGTTCCTCGAGCTGGGCAGCAGCCACAACGGACGGGGCAACTTCGGCATGATGCACCAGCAGGTGTATCCGCAGCTGGCCATCGAATGCACCAACAGCGGCAACAGATGGGACCAGACGCGCGAGCGCGAAGAGGGAAAGAGGATGCGGCGGTTAATACGCAGTATCGTCAAGGGCGAGACCACAGGAGCGGTGCACAACACGACCCACACGCGGAAGGAATCAACAAGCACCACGTCCCTGATACCGCCCCCTGCAGGCACGGACAGCGGCTCTCCAGAGACACCACCCATCAAGGCTCCAGGCCCAGGCTTCTCAGTCGGACGTAGGTCATCACCATCATCATTATCATTATCATCGTGCTCGCACGCCATGCCCATCTTTTTGAACGGTTTTAGTAACTCACTCGCGTCTGCAGATCCCGGCGGCAATCATAGGAAACTCCTCGTCAATGTCGACGACGAAGGCTCGCGCCGCCATAGCCCAGTCGAGCAGGGAGATGCAGGGGCAACTAATACTAATCTAGGAAGCGGCGGCGCCGCCGGTAGCAGCAGCAATCGCGCCTACAGCCCGTCCGGCAGTCCAGCTGCTGGGCTGTTTCCTTCTGTCCCGACCCCGAATCTCACCACCTCGCCTGTGAGCAGGTTTGGCAGCCACAGGAACCGAAACAGTACCGAGTCTGTCTCGTCCAACGCAGCCATCTACGGGTCGGGCGTCCCCGACGGTGCAAGCCAGGCCCTGCGGTCTCAGATGACCCTCGACATGAGGGATGCTCGTCGGTTCGGTCATGATGGGGGCAGTCGGCCCAGCCCTCTTGGCGGTGAGAGCGCATCGCCCGGTGACCGCTCGGCTGGGGCAAGCGAGCCGCCTGGGTCGGCCAAGGAGAGCAAATCGTTCCTCTCGTACTTGAACTTCAGGAAGAAGAATAAGAACCACGACGATCCTGACTCGCCTACGAGCCCGATGCAGTTCAAGCAGCAGTCGCTCGGCAGCAAACCCAACCACAGCGAGACGACAGTAGGTTCTTCTCTCTCGGCCTCACAGGACCAGCACACGCCAGCGTCGTCCATGAGATCGAGGCGCATCCACACGGGCAGGGTCTTCATCCTCGCAACACTAGACCATTGGAACTACAGGATGGTGGACGTCTCAGACCTGTCGACCCCACTCGAGCTGCGGCACTCCATATGTACCAATTTGGGCCTGCCCGACTCGGATGGCGCGTCCGTGTATATCACCGAACTGGGCAAATTCGACCATGACGAGGCGCTAGACGATTCTCAACTCATGACCAACAAGAAGCTGCGGGCAGACGCTGCTGGTTCCCTGAAGGTGTTTGTGCGGCCTGGGAATATGGCCGGGGTGGACGTCAAGATTGGACAGCCACAAAACGCGCTCTCTCCAGCACTGGGAGCCGGTGCAAGGATCGATGAAGACACCTACGCGCGTCTGGTGAATGGTCAGCGTCGGAGGTCCAGCTCTTCTCCGCCGACGTCGAGGCAGAATACTCTTGCTGGTGAACACGGCAGGAACGGTGATGAAGACGGTGAAGGCAAAGACGGCAAGACGAAGGAGAGCACCTTGGCTGAACGATCTGAAGCGTATCAGGCCGAGGTGGCCCGAAAGCAACAAGAATACTTGGCCAAGCGCCAGAAGGGTAAGGACAGCGCGTCTCCTGAAGATGCCGATACGTCCTCGTACAGCGGGATCCTGGGCCGCCGCATTGTGAACTTCGACGAGCCTCGAAACTCGCCCTTCGAGGACAAGAAGCCTTTTGATACGGCATTTGCACCCCAGAGACGAGCCCCTGCGGCACCTGTTGACCCATCTGCAACTCTGATCAAGGCAAACTCGCTTTCGAAACGAGGATCCCAGCAGCGGTACAGCGGAGGCAGTATGGATGGCTACCCCACGAAGCGGCCAGGCAGCGGTGTGTCAGAGAGTCCGAAGCAGCTGTCCCAGAGGAAACCAACCAACGAGCGCCAGGCGCTTGGCGGGATCGGATCTGCACTCGTGGGCATCGGTCGCAACATGGGAGGCATAGGGCATCCTGGAAGTGTAGGGCGAAGATCCACGTCACCTGGTAAAAGCCCAGAGAACGGCACTGGGTCCACGACATCTGACAGAGGTAAGAACACCCAGACGAGCATTTTTGTTTATATAGACAATAGGGAGAGTCCGCGACCGTCAACACCCAGATCGCCAGCCTCATCTACATTGAGCTCAGGGCACCAAGTGTTTGATGTGCCCGACTTGTCCCCTGCTGGAGGAAGACCTTTTCCGAGACTCTCGTCACCTCAGATGGAGTGGCGAACGGGAGCTTGGGAGAGGAGCATTGCGAGCTCACGATCACTACTGAGAATTAACACGGAAGCTAATTGTTCCCCAACAACAACAGGAGAAGAGCCCACATCTCGAAGGCTGGGCTCGCCCGACACCAGCAGCCCAGAATCTACGCGCGTCTCGGACAAGCCGCCCCAGTTGCCGAAAGTCATCATTAAGCCCAAGATTTTCCAAGGAGATTCATCTGACGAGGACGATGATTCCGACGACGGACTATTTGCGAAGCCTCTCACAGGACGTACCCCAACACCCAAGGGCAAGGAACCGGCTACGAGTACTCCCTCTGTGCAAGACGGACCCGGCAATCGCGGCACTTTCTTGGAGGAGGCGGACAGCGACGACGAGGACGATGAAACTACCAGCTTGGCCAAGAAGCCCAGCCTGACCGTGAACACCAGTCGCGCCAAGAAGGGGCTGTCAGTGACCTTCAACACGACGACGTCTGGGAGCAGGTCGCCAGAGGATACCCAGTCTTCCAAGAGCTCTTCGCGGAGGACCCCCAATACGCCTCGCTCCGAAGGCTGGGACTCGAACAATGATGACGTGAAGCTCAGCCGGCGCAAGAGTTTCATGGAGAAGGACAGCTCCATCTGGGCCAATCGCCCCCCGACGGACGCACTGATCAACAACCTCGAGGACTTCTTCCCCAACCTGGATGTTGATCAGCCTGTTCTGGATGAAGCCGAGGGACTGTTGAGTGACTTACCACCGAGCCCGATCGCTGAGGAGCCACAGGAAGGACAACAAGAAAACCAGAAGCCCTTGACGTCTTCCAGGATAAGCAAGGTATACAATGACGCGGACACTCTCGGCAGCGACGAGTCGACGCTGAAGGCACTGGAGAGGCCGGCTTCCATCATGAGTGTGGCAGCGAAGAGCTCTGCTCGGCGCTCACAGGGACTGGGAAGGATGAAGTCCATCCGAGAAGTAGCCCACAAGCGCTACACTCAGGGCTATGCATCGAACCGCGGATCGATCGTGCCACCGATGCCAACAGATGCTGCAGCAAAGGCGGCCGCCAACACCTCGGCAACCAACACAAATCTTATGCGGCGCAAGTCCACCAAGATGTTCAACGCCAACATCGTCCAGATCCGGCCTGAGCGAGGGTCTACGATCCTCCCGCAGATCCCTCAAGACCATCTGTCCAGCCTCCCACACAACGCCAACAATCAGATCCCGAAGCGGCAGACGACGTTCCGGTGGTTTAAGGGCCAGCTGATCGGCAAGGGCACCTACGGGCGTGTATACCTCGGTATGAACGCCACGACGGGTGAGTTCTTGGCTGTGAAGGAGGTCGAGGTCAATGCCAAGGCTGCAGCCGGCGACAAGAACAAGATGAAGGACATGGTGGCCGCGCTGGACCAGGAGATCGACACCATGCAGCACCTGGATCATGTCAACATTGTGCAGTACCTAGGCTGTGAGCGCAAGGAGACCAGCATATCCATCTTCCTCGAGTACATTCCTGGTGGCAGCATTGGTTCTTGTCTGCGTAAGCACGGAAAGTTCGAGGAAAGCGTTGTCGCCAGCTTGACCCAGCAGACGCTCTCGGGGCTGGCGTACCTGCACCGCGAGGGCATTCTGCACAGAGATCTCAAGGCCGACAACATCCTACTTGACGTCGACGGCACGGCCAAGATCTCCGACTTTGGCATCAGCAAGAAGACGGACAACATCTATGGCAACGACAAGACCAACAGCATGCAAGGGTCTGTCTTCTGGATGGCGCCCGAGGTTATCCGGTCGCAGGGCGAGGGCTACTCGGCCAAGGTCGATATCTGGTCTCTGGGGTGCGTGGTTCTCGAGATGTTCGCTGGACGTCGTCCATGGAGCAAAGATGAGGCGGTCGGAGCGATCTATAAGATTGCCAACGGCGAGACGCCACCTATCCCGGAGGAGGTTAGCGCGGCGGTGACTCCGGTTGCGCTGTCGTTTATGTGGGATTGCTTTACTGTGTAAGTGCGCCTTCTGCGGTCTTGATGAACTGCAATCGGACTGCTCCTGAGGAGGATGGGGAAAAGAAGATGACGAACAACAACTGATGTGTGTGCATTCTATAATAGCAACCCCCAAGAGCGACCTACCGCCCCGAAGCTTCTCGCCGAGCATCCGTTCTGCGTGTACCGAGACGACTATGACTTCCATCACACTGAGCTCTACGCCAAGATCAAGGGAACCTGGAACACCACCAAGTGAGATAGGTGGTGAGATCGAACCGCTTCTTGAGAAGAAGAAAAAATGGGCACATTCCCAGGATTCACATGATGTTTTTTTTTTGTTTTGTGTCTCTGGAATGCACTCGAGACAAGTATGGCTGGGAAAAATGGGATGCAACCTACAACTTGTCCTCATACAGTCCTTTTTGTCAGTTCGCCTGCTATTTTGTTTTATATTGGATACCTTTTGGTGTGTGCTTTTCCGGTTTTTGTTTTGGATGAGGACGTTGGGGCATAGCATTGCATAGCGTTCTGGACATGGACTTGTCAGTTTGTTAGTGGGAGAGAGACAGAGGGGTGTGTGTGTGTGTGTGTGTGTGTGTGTGTGTGTGCGTGTGTGTGTGTGTGTGCGTGTGTGTGTGTGTGTGCGTGTGCTCTCGTTTCAAGGTATTGATTGTCTTCTAGAGAAAGTAGACATGAAATTGATGAGATTATTGATAAAAAAGGTGTGTTTATGGTGGCCAAACTCTGGAGAAACGCCAATGTCCTTTTGGTCAAGGGTGTGCAGATGCGACCATGTCCAGGCAACAGGATGTCGATCTGTCAGCTCTCATGCCGCTTTCAGAATTCACCCCACTCTTCACCTTCGAGATGTCTACGCCATGGTGAGTGTTCTGCCTGATGAACCCTGCTGATTCGTTCTGGACGAAGGACTATAAATACTTAAAGACTTGAGCAAGCGTACTGCTCACTTACCTCCCTTGGAGAAAAGGCTTGCTCTGCTCGTGGAATTCATAATCTAATCACAACTTCACAACCTCCTTTCTGCAAGCATCCACCCCCCCCCCCCCCATATCAAACATCAACTTGCCCGGGCTAAACAGATAAAAAATGTCAGAAAATCAAGACGAGAGCCAGGCCAACGATGTGGTGGTTCCCATTTACTGCCTCACAACCCTGACCCAAGCAGAACAAGACAGCCTCCTCGCCGCTCTCGAAAACGAACGCAGCGATGACAACGCCGAGCCCCTCGACTTCGTCAAGCCCAAGCTCGTCCCGTGGACAGAAGAAAAAGACGGTGATATCGGCGACCTGTATCGTCTATACAGAAAATTGATTCAGGACGCGGACGAGAAGTCACGGATATACGAGTTCTTCTTCTTCGTCGACCGGGCGTGTCTCGGCACCGCCAAAGAAGGGGAGACCAAGACAAACAAGACGCAGATCATCCTCGCCCAACCAGACGCCTACACCCTCCAGTACTCCCCGGCCACAGTCACCGAGATGCAGACCCTCCTCCGCACGCACGGCTCCGGCGTGTTGCCTGAGTGGGACGAAGGGCTCGCGGAGGAGTTGGACCGCGAGATGCTGCTGCGGGCGCTGACGTACGGGCGGCTTCCGGTGGGGATGTGGCGGGATGCCTGGGCGAATCTGGATATTGCGAATATGGATATGGGGGAGATGGTGGAGGGGTTTGGTGGGGATGGGGAGGAGAAGGGGGTCATTGAGCGGGTGGACGATCCGGCTTGGGATGGGGAGGCGTTTGTTAGGAGGGTTGAGGAGGTGTATAGGAAGAGGGAGGAGGAGAATAAGGCGTAGGAGGGGTGGGGGAAAGCGTAGGAGAGTATAGTTAGGTTGAATTACTTATTACTCTACGGTGACTTCAGGCCCAGGGAAGAGTATCTGCTGTTATTTCATGCTTCGATCTCACCGAGACCTGTCTAACTCGATAATCCAAATGCTAGCGATAGGATTTCATGGGCTGGAAATTTTCCCTGGCGGCTCAATTTTTTACAAAATAATCCCCAAGCAAATTCACATGCTCGAGTCCTAATTGTTGTCTGGAAGAGTGGGAAACAAAGACATTACGAGGCTGTAAATAAGACTTCGTCACTGCCTCCAGCTGGCGGACAGAATAGATGCTCGGGCTCCGTTTCTTGTTCACTGATCTTCAATTCCAATCTCGTATCCCAACCAATGAGTGAAAACTGTATGGGTGTCTATCTTCAATTTGGTGTTGCTACTCAAAGCAGTTTAGCCTAGGCGCAAGTCTCCTATAAATCAGGCAGACAGATCATTAGCTTGATAGCCTCAGCAGGATCTATTGTCGTCCTTCATTCTCTTTCCAAATACAACATCGTCTACGCAGAATCCCGTTTTTTCGATTTACATTCACTGATCCAAACTCATAATAGTCATAACCAAACTGTCGGTTTTGAGATCATGACAACCGTGCGAAAAGTTTGTATTTTGATGGCCGATTACGGTCATGAGCCCACGGGTATGTTAACGCCCGCTGGACATCATCTACGATAGCTTGTCTCTCATCAATACATAAGCTGACTCCCTGCTCTAGAAGCCGCAGTTCCCTATACAGCTTTCAAAAAGGCGGGCTTCGGTGTGTCCTTTGCTACAGAGAAAGGTGCAGCCCCGGCATGTGACAAGCTGCTCCTCGAAGGCCTGACGCAGAAGCTTCTTGTACGTCCTTTTCCATGGTTTGAAGTGCTTATTATGCCCGTCAATGAAACCACGCTCACAAGGCGTTTCTGCCCAGGGCGCCAGCAAACCCGTCATCTCTCAATACAACGCCATGGTCGCCTCCCCAGAACACCAGACACCGCTCTCATGGATAAGCCCTGACTTTGACCTGACCGCCTTCGATCTGGTCTATCTCCCCGGTGGCCACGACAAGGCGGTGCAGCAGATCATCGACTCACCCACCGTGCATAAGCACTTGGCGCAATACTTTCCCCTGACGCGCAAACATGCTTCCACACCTGCCTCACCCTCCCCTGCTGCTCAGCCCAAGCAGAAAGCCATCGCAGCAATATGTCACGGCCCGCTCGTCCTCACCAACACCATCAACCCAGATACGGGCAAGTCTGTCCTGTACGAGTGCAAGACGACTGCGCTCCCCGCCGGCTTCGAGAAGGTCGCGTACTGGGGCACGAGACTGTGGCTGGGGGATTACTACAAGACGTATGGAAGCGGGAGTGAGGACGTGGAGGTTTCTGTCAAGAAGGCTCTGAGGGAGAAGAGCTTGTTTCAAGGGAGTCTTTTGCCTTCACCGTGAGTCCCTATTTTGGAACATTTGCTTGAGTAGATTTTCTGCGAACTGATGACTGACGTGTGAACAGCTTTGTCGTTGAGGACGACACCTACAACTATATCAGTGCTCGATTCCCAGGGGATATCGACTTGTTCTCGAAAAAAGTCGTGCAACTTGTACAGAGCTTGCAATAATATGCCAATCAAGTATGAAAGTCTTCCCGGTAATGATTTCCGTCAAATTGAACAGCTAGCAGCCTGATCAAAAACATTCGCTTTGGTTCGTTCTATTTTTGGCGATGCCTCTATGACTTATAGAATGGGTATCAATCTAACTATCTCACGCTGCTCGCCGCCCAGTACTGTTTTACCTCTCTTTCTCTGTCTTTCTTTCTTTCTCTCATATGTTTTTCAATATCGAGAATACGCGCTGCCCCAAGTCCCTCTCGCGCCAACACTCGTCACGGGCGATTTTGGCGGCGGCGTGACCACAAACGCAATCTGCTCACTCTTTGGCCTCCCTGGTCTCAGCAGCTCTGGATGTTGATGATCCGGCACCAACATGCTGCTCTCACCCAGTAACGCCCTGCTCGCCTCGTCCACATTCTGCCTCCTCCTCCTCCTGCTATCCCCAGCCTCCTCGTCCTCGTCCTCGCCGTCGTGGCGGCGGTTGTCGTCCTCAGGGCCCTCCGGCACGATCCCCAGCGCACCCCTCTCGCTTCCATCGCTGGGCGCCCGTCCTATCGAGTCCCGCACGCTCTTGACATTCTGCACCGCCCCGCCGCCCACCGCGATCGCGCCGGGCTGGCCGCCGACCATGATGCTGTCCTGGCTCGACGACCTGCTGTGCGAGCCCCAGCCGAACTCGGCGCTCAGGGCATCATCGATGTCGCTCTTGAGGTTCAGCGACAGGCGGTACGCGGCCAGCGAGTCGGCCCTGCTGCTCCTTTTATTCGCCGCGGCGCCTGAGCTTGATCTCTCGCGCGACGCAGGCGGCGACGTCACGGGTGAAGAACCGGAGGCCGCCGAGCTCCGGTTGCTGTTGTTGGGCGGTGAGGACGAGGTCCAGCTGGAGTTGGACCCCAGGCTCATGCGCTGGCTGACGCGGCGCTTCTGCTTCTGCTGGTTGGCGACGTACTCGTCAAAGGAGGTGTCGCGGGCGTGGTTGTACGAGGCGCGGCGGCCGACCCCGGAGCCGGTGATGGAGATGTAGGAGGCGGGTCTCTGTGGGAGAGTTGGCTGGGCGGGCGGTGGTGGGGACGAAGAAGAAGAGGAAGCAGAAACCTGGCTTGCTGCTGCTGCTTCTGCTGCTGGGTCGTAGGCGGTGTCAACGGCCATGAGGGCTGATCCCGAGTTCGCACGGCTGCGGGTTCCTTCGTTGTCGTCTGCGTTGCTACTCGTAGGAGCAATGAGAGGGTCATTGCCCATGCTGAAGATCTTGCGTCCTCCGAGGTTGGTGAACGACGAGCCTCGCTCTCTCGTGACAAACGGCTCGGGGGTCGTGGGCGTGGGCTCGCCTGGCGAAGGGGCCATGACGGCGGCGCCTCCACCGGGTGAAGCATTTCCAATAATCTCGACGCTGTTGCCCATCTCCAGGTCCGGGTCCCAGTCTAGATCTTCAGAGAGGATGCGCACATGGCTGTGGAGTCCTCGTTTTCCTGTCTTCTTCATGTCGCTCTTGAAGCCGTATGGGTTCACGTTGCCTGGTAGATGATAGTCGTCGTACTGAGCCAGGCGCTTCCACTTCCAGGCGGCATAGGAGCCCATATAAAGGACAGAGATCCTGTTTCATTTGTGAAATCTGACGTCAGCCCAACAGAGTCTCGAACGGCTTTGACCGGATAGAAAAAGCCAAATTATGAGTCTTGCTTACACTAGGAGGCTGTGGATGACGAGGGTTCCGTCTGACCAGGCGTTAAGCGACGTCCCGGTCACCATACCGTCCATGATCATGGAGAGCACAATACCGCCGAGTTTCACCAGGTTGGTCACCAGCATCGTCTTGGGCGTCAGCACCTCGGTCATAGTGCGGAAGATCTCATAGGCAGTGAGCAGGACGGAAATGACGCTGATGCCGATGTTGATGCACTCCCACCTGGTTCTTTCTGTTAGCACGTATGCAACATATATATATGCGAAAATGACTTACGCTATGGCGGTTGCCCGCACTTCGATCGAGTCTTCGATGGCATGGGCGAAGAGGTAGGCCGATGTGCCAATCAGGACGAGCAGCAGCGAGATCTGGGTGATCCAGCATGGCAGGAGCACCCTCAGCCTCCAGCCGGCTCGGTCGAATTTGGCCTGGTCGCGATGCTTCACCATCGTGGGCACCTCTTATGCCCTCCTTCAAGTAGCTGAGCCAGCTTCTCTTCTTCCTCTTCTTTTTAAAACCTTTACCTGTTAAGTATACTGAATACCGATATAAACGCTCGTCGTCTCGTCTTAATGATGGCAAAATTTCTTAATCTATTGGTGTAGAACAAATTTGAGCTGGTCGGCGCCTATTCAGGGTCTCGACGGATCTCCGGGTGCTGCAAGTAATCTCGAGAAGAAGAAGAAAAGAGCTGATTTTCGGAAGCAGGAAATATAATATTGTTTATTTTCGTTGATATGACGAGGAGAAAAGGAGCAAGGAAGATCAAGTAGAAAAAAGGGCGGTGACTTCAAATCCTCAAAGGAAGGGCGGATGAAATTCATATACTCTAGGCCCCGGCAGGGCAGTGTCCTAGGCTCCGGGCCCGACGGAAGGACAACAACCATGACATCCCCAGATTTTCTAGAATGAACGAGCAATTGTACATGACACAGCCCACCGAGAGAGAGAATGTCGGCCACAGCGAAGGGGCGGCGAGCCCACAGGCGGAACGAGATTGATCGGGCACTGAGGGGGATTTTCCTGAGCTATGGCCAACACACACCGGGGGCGGGCAGCTGAGCAATTGCACGGCCAGGGAGGGACTGTCGAACGACGTGCATGGGCCCAAGACCGAGCCACCCACCGGGGGGAATGGGGCTGAGGAAGAGGGGGAAGGGGGAGGGTCCCCTAGCTAGGAAAGTACATACTAGCATAGTATTCATCAGCTCACACAGCGGTAGGGAGATGAGGGAGAGTCAGAGAAGCACTGAGAACGGAGACAATAAGGCAGGTGTGTGGGTTGTGAATACGGCGGGCAATGAGCGGACGCTCTGGGCGCTGGGAGGTCCGGTGGTCCAGGGGGCTGACCCCATCACGACGTTTGACAAAACGAACGCGCAAGCTGGTTTTGCTGGGTCCCCAAGCGAGAGAGAGGGAGACTGAGAGGAGAAAGAAGCTCGAGAACGTATGCAGTCTGAGGGGGGGACGCGCATCGACACGATCCGATCTCGTGACGAGTAAGTATCCTGATGTTCGGACTTTCTGCCGAAGAGTACGTACTGAGCAAACGAAAATTGACTGCGGCTGAGCCATCAAGTGGCGCGTTGATTCCTCTGAACTCCATAGCGGTGGCCGCTTAGAGTCACTGTGTACTACTTTTCCTTTGTTTGCGTCTCTGCCTGACCGGTGTGATCCTGGAAGAAAATCCGCCCCGCCGGCGAAGACGTTGAAGACACTCGTGGAGAAATGCTAAACAAGAAACACAAACAGAAGCCCCATTGGACACCTCACCCTATTCGTTTCCTTCCCACCGCAGAAAGGGTCAAAGGGGACCCACAGAGGAGCTCGGAGGGCATCAGGCCTCCTCGCTACTAGTAAATTAATTACTAGCTCCCAGGCATCCTCGGTCTTTTGGACGTGGGCCTCACGATTCAGGAACATCGAAAGGAAGGACAGGGAAAGAGCCAGGTATCGGAAATAATTTTCTTTTGTTAAATTCACAGTTATCATAGTACAATCCTGTCAGGAAGGATAATCGCGTTGGGGCGGTTGGTTGGGCCAATCTGCAGATGACAGCGCACAACTTTGTTATTAGCGGCCAACCCTGTGGAAACCATAATCCATCTCCGGTAGGCGATCCGCTTTTTTCTTCTTTTCTTTTTCGTTTTTTGCGCTTTCGCGTGTTTGCCGATCAGCCGCGGTCTCGTCATTGAATGAGGCTCATTTCTCACGGGTTAGAGGCGTCGGCTTCCCCTGCCGAGTTGTCTATAAATAGAAAACGTGAACGTGCTCGGGCTGCATGGCTTTGACTGGTGACTACAGCAGTGTGGCGTGGCTTTGAGGATGAGCATCTCCATTTTTTGCAGATCTATGATAAGAAGACAAGAGAAGAAAGCGATCAAAAGCGATGAATCTACAGCCCAGGGTTTTTCGTCTCGAGGTGGGACTTCGCACTGCAAAGTAAGCATTGTTACTCCTGTATTATCACCGGAACTTATCCCCTGAGATTCCTGTGCCGGTGTCGGGCATTCCGTCTGGCCGCGGCACCCACCAATCACCTTCTCCATTCTAAGCGCGATGGAAGCTGTTCCTATATCTCTAACATCCCACTGAGAACAAGCGAGCCTCCCTGGTCGACTTCCTCTTCGAGTTGTTGCTGCAGCCCTAAGAAATATGAGACATGGTGGCTCTACTCCTGTGCTGTTTGTCGTTATCTCCTGCCAAATTATCTGGGGTGTTTTGTCTATAGCATTCACTGCTGCCGACTCTACCGCCTCCTAGAACTGCCCGACACGTCTGAGGCTCCGGACTGAGGCTCGGGAGAGAGAGGGATGGCAAGTTGGCGATAACCAAGGGGCTGCCGCCGGAGCGCCGTTGATTTACACGGCGACATCCTCACAAGGTCTATTGCATGTCTTCTGATATCTGCTGGCTTGTTGATAGTAGCCATTTCTCCCTTATTGAGCCGGGTGGGTAACGGTCATTGTCCCTCCAATTCCCCCAGTCTGGTCGGGTCAATCCTGTTATGGCTCTCCACTTCCAATCAAAGGGAGAACGGCACCTTCCTAACTGATAGTAGGCGACGATGGTGATGATCCAACCCGTGCTCACAGGCCAATGTCGGTCTCCAAAGAAATAGTTGCGCAATACTTGCTTTGGAGCCCTCTTCCGCTCGATGGTCGTGCAATGGTCGGTGAGACACATGGTGCACGATTCGACAACGTCTCGACACTCGGAAAATTGCTCCCCGGCGTCGCAGGACGGCGGTTTGGGCATCTTGAGAGCAGTAATTTTGTAGCTCGGATCGACATGATGACAGATGAAGTATGTGTATCTTTGGTCGATGGTAGATCGAAGAGAACAGTCAGGTATGCCGTAACTGTTAGCCGTGTGCGTCGCGCAGAGGAACAGCTCATCATCGATGACTCTAGCAGACCAGCTCTGTTCCCAGTGAGGAACCACCAAGTCGTGCACAGAGGCCGTGTTCAGGTTGTGAAGAGGTAAGCCGCAAGGTGCGCCATAGAATGTCGGTTCAGAACAAGACGGGCGTGATGATAGCCCAATATGTATTGCCCAGCCCCCAAGCGAAAAGATGTGTTAGTATAACAGGGACGTAAGTATCTGATTTGGCTGTTATACATCGTATGCTCGTGGGTCAGCGGACTATATGACGGCGAAAAGCGGTGCAGCTTATGGCATATAGGGCAGAAGTAGAACTGGCTGCCAACTTCAGCGTCTTTTTCAAGAAGAAGTAGGAGAGAGTCGCGTGCCAGGGGTTCGAGAACTGGCTCCTCTGGGATGAGTATCATATGCAAAGTCTTGCATGTCAATGCAAGAGCGAAAATGCATTCCGGGGTCTCATGGAGCTGTTGTACTATCAGCAGGAGCATCTCGATAGGTAGCTGCAAGAGGAGTGATGGCGAAGCTGCATGGTGGCGCCTGATGCGTGTTAAGCAGCACGAACTCGACTGGCCCATGATGAAAAAGTTTGATAGAGTGCAGAGTGAATGGCAAGCGAAGTCTTCAGGGAAGTGAGATTAGAGGAAAGGGCGGGGTGCTCTCGAGCTTGCCAGAACTTGACTTGTGGCTCTAGGTACTTACTTGACAGCCCAAACCTGACTAAGCCAAAGATCGTTCAAAGACACGTAAGGAAAGCTGAGGAAGAGTGACTTAAGTCAGGTAGCGCTCGTCCCACAGAGCCTACTAATCCAAGACAAGGTACCCAACTGAACTGAAGATAGTAACATGGGAGCAGAAGCGCTTCCCTATCAACAGTCGCCAGCTCGTCTGCGTTCTCTTACGACTTTACAAGTTTGCAGTTTTGTTGGCGTTGATGATGTTCCAACCCGTAGAAGATCAGATCATTCGATCTGGCCATGTTCATGAACGATTGAGAGCTGTGCTCGAGGGTTTTGTAGGTTTCAACTGTCTCCTGAACGACATGCCTATTCCTTCACTTCGAGCCAGTTGGTTGAACCTGCCTCCCCATCCAGCTTCCCAAACCTAGAAGTTCCAACTGTCGAGCATGAGTCCCACCTTCTGGTCTGAAGGAGAACAGAGGAAGTTGCTGCCCTCTTAGGAGGATGTCTCCCGCCAGTACTAAAGCTCGATTGAGGGTCCGCTCTCGTTTTCTCTCCTCTCCTTTCTTCCTCACCTTTCTTCCTCACCTTTCCAGCCTTTTCGTTTCTGACATCCCATATAATGGACTTCTTCAACTCACCAGCTGGAGTGTGGACGTTCGTAGGAGCGGCCGCAGGGATTTTGGCACTTTTAGTTACCATTGTGCCCCATATTATCCGTCTCTTTCGCCCTTGTGCAGTACAGCCCATAGATGGGAACAATCTTGCCCAGACTCTGTCCTCGATCCTAGTTGAACAGCGATGTCACAACACTATCCTGACAGCAATGACGGAAGGCATCTACTTGAATGCAGACATGAATCTGGAGGTTGTGCGTCGCCTCGGTGAACTGTCGAAGGACAGTCTCCTTAGCAGGTCGTCAGACTTTGACATGAGAGCACACTCCCCCCAGGATCTGTAGATCTTGATGTAACCTGAGGTTCGCCTCATGTTAGGGGGGTTCCGGAAAAAAACTCCTCCACCGCTTGACCGAACAGAGCGGTGGGGGCATCTTCAACAGATGTCCCCCCAGCGAACAGTTCGCACCTCATCGTGGTGCTGGGGTCTAGTAGCCTTGCAAAGGGTGAAGCCAAGACGAACTGACAGCCTTTGGGTAAGCTCACCAGTCCAAGCCCGTACCCTGTTCGCTGACTGTTCACTTGTACGCCACGTCGTCAAATGCAGCCCAGAATTCTCTGTCCCCCACACCTTTTGATCCTATATCGACAACCACCTCTCCCTCGTGTATCGATCCTGACAAGATTCAAGAGTTTAGACGGTATAGTCTTTTAAATTCCTGACAGGCAAGAGTCATAAGACTTCTGGGTGGATGTACAGTAGATCCAAGGCAACTTCTTGTGCAATGGCTAGCACATGCGATATAGGATACTCCCATATTGTGCGGAACTGCGACAAGGAGCTGTCCGGAACGGTTGAACTGCTTATTGGAGAATTCCTAGACCTGGGAGATAGTTATATGCGGTAGGCGCCAGGAGCACATCGCAGTTGGAATGACGGACTCGACACAAACCTCCACCCTAGGTTGGTATCCTGCTATCTGCCCTCTTTACTTTCTCGTCCTGCTAGGTGCCAGAGTCGTGGACCTTGGCTGTTAGTATCCTTTGCTGTGCTGGGCACTGTGCCGCAGTGCGCTGTAATGTGCGAGCCGGGGGAGAAAGGTTCGAAAATTCTACGAGACACATTGGTATGCTTCTGCTAAGCTTTCAATCAGAGCGCATGTCATAATATTGTTAGTGAAACGATCCCAGCAGAGACCGTCGAGCCAGCATCAAGGGCGAGGAACCCGAAAAAGATAGAAAATTTACATGTGTTAAGTCCTCAAGGTAGCACCAACGGATTGCTCTTTGAATCGATCGTCAAGAAAAGATGCACGAATTGAGGGTCAGGCAGTGCTACATATTAAGGGCATTGCGTCATCTGCCTATAGAATTCTGGAATCTTATAATATTTGCCTCGAAGTAGTTTCGCATCGATTCCAATTCATCCAAACCAAGATCACCCGACCGAGCCGTCACTATAGAATATTATCGTGATACGGTCGATGTGCATGGCTGCAACACAACCACGTGCTTGGCTCATTATCCCGTCGTGTCTTGGTATCATGACACCATAAACAACCATCTCACCGATCCCCCCTAGCACCAATTCTCACCACCGTAGAACCACGTCCTGCAGTAGTCTATCAAACGATAGCCTCTTACATCTCGAAAGAAGGGAAGCTGATTTAAATTCCCTTGGCGACAGAGGCCATGTAGACATTCGCAGAGTCGAAGGCGATGACGTTACCGTTCGCGTCAGTCATGGCGGCGTCCTGAACGGTAGGCTGGCTGTTTTGGCGCGGGACTAGACACATTTAATCCGCCATCAGCATCGTGCTCACAATCCCGTCGTCGTCGTCATATTCTCCCTCACGCGTGACATATATAGAGAAGCAGACTCACCATAAGAGGCCATAGCCGCAGAGAAGAGAGTGGCAAAGGTCAGGAGTGAGAACTGCATCTTGACTGAGTTGTGTGTGAAAGGATTGTCGGCCGGCGACGGGCAGATATTAAGAATTCTTTTGGGTGAGAAATGGGGAAAAAGAGTGAAAGACAGAAGTTGTTGGTCTGGACAGAAACTAGGCACTGGGACAAAGACAGGAAAGCATGAAGAACAATAAGTGGCAGGTCGAAGAAGGAAATTTGATATTTGTATACGAATGACCGTGCCGTTAGAAGTTCAGGGCTTGCATGGCTGTCACCATCGCCCCAAGCTCGGGACGATGTTTGCCGCCAGTTTCGGATGTCAATCATCCATTCCAGGTTGCTGGGAACAAGGGCAGGGGAGGAGGGGGGGGGGGGTTGTGTTCAAAGAAAATCAAGGCAAAACGCTGTGGTAGACTTGGTGGCTGTTCCCTAGGCCGAGGGAAGCTGAAGGAGAATCACAGACGTGGTGTGGCGCATGATCTGCAGTTAGGCGCGTGCTTCAGCACGCACGCAACGGCCACACTACGATATAATTAGCAGTATCGAAAGCCGGATAGAACATTGATAGACATCGATAATTCAACTTGATTAATCTACTTATTTTTGCTTACAAGTTAAATTCTTGGCATTGATCAGGAAGACTGAATGAACCGCAGACTGTTTGTTTGGTGAAGCCAAGAACTGTCATCTAAAGGTTGGATGGGTAAAACAGCAGAGTTTCGACGTCCCAACCTGAACGGTCTAGGTTTCTAATCCACCATAAAATATTTCACCATGGAGAAAAAGACAGGTTCCACACAAGTTTTGTTCAGTGCTGTCATCTCTCACTCTCTCCAAAGATGCTTAATCGAGGTCCTGGGCGATACGTGGGCATGTGAAACGCGAGGTGTGACGGCTCGTACATGATCAGCCCCAGACCGCCCACAGAACAAACCCGCGGACCTGGGGGAGGGGCATTCCCAACCCCCTCTCCCCCTCAAGCATGTGGTTCTCCCCGCGAAGCTTGGCCCTCGCTAATGCTGCATGCATGTTCGTCCAGCTAGGGTATTTTTCCCTTCCTTCCTTCCTTATTTATTTCTGTATTTCCCCTTTCGAAGCAGATCGCCCAGGCTTGTGGGCGGTGGTCGTCTCAGGTTCCCGGCATTTGGAAGATCAGACAGCCTAAACCACCGCTTCCCGTGCTTCCGTGTTTGTGGCACTGGCTGTCATGATTTCCAGTCAGAGCGATCTCGTCCCCGACCGTATGGGAATGCGAGTTCACCAATAAGCTATGCTATAAGCACTGGCAGCGGCTGGGTGAGATCTTTTTAAAACTTGGTCATTACCGTGGCTGGGTTTGACACGATCTTCGAGAGATTTCACGACCGTGCAGGGTTTCATACATATGACGCTCGCTGGCGGCTGCAGCGAACCAAAGGCATCACGGAAAACCGGCAAAGAAGCTTCTTCCATCCTATCACTTGAGATGGCAGAGCAACCCTACCAACCGTGGATCATCCTGATTTCGTCTCACGTAGCTTGTCTTCTAGCATCGTGGCAAGCGTGATCGTTGGGATCTGTTGAAGGAGTGTAGGAGCGTCATCCCCCTGGTCTGATAGACTGACTCTCGGACCCTCATCCTTGCAATATTTTTCACGACCACGTCAACATTGCGGTGCATCATCACAGACTTTGGCGTCTGACCTGACAGGTTGTCTCTCCATCCCTCGTCTCCCTAGCAAGCGCAACAACTGACTGCTTCACGGCTGCGAAGAGGGCAAGAGCGGACAAGCATCCACACACTCTTTAACATGCCGTCGTAGCATGTTAGCCAATCCCCCGAGCAGAGTGAAAGTGGCAGCGAAGCCGTCTTGGTTCTTATATGTAGATGGGGATCCTGGTCCCTCTCTATTCTAAATGAACATGGCCCCCTTCTATCTTTTCTTTCTTTCTCTATGGAGGTCACAGAGGACAGAGGGAGATACCATGCTCCCGAACCGCTTCTATCACGCCCAACGCGATCCGCATTCCTGTATACTCTAATCCTGCTACTTCTTCTTCTTCTTCTTCTTCTTCTTCTTCTATTCTATCAAAGCCTGTCCATTTCACGCCTCCGCCTTCTTGTTGCCAAAGCCGTAGTGGTAGTTCAGGTACCGGTAACTCTGTGTGAGCTGTGCACCGGCGTTGGTGAAGTGGCAGGCAAAGAGCAGGTAGTTCCGCGGCGTGACGGCAAGGGAGTATCGCATGAAGGTGAAAGCATAGACCACGAGCGCGCCGGTCATCGGCCCCGAGATCCTGGACAGCGTGGGCAAGAACTCGTCAGCACATCTCAGCAGTTTGTAATTGAGAAGAGAAGGAGGGGCTCACAGGTCAGGGCTCTTTTGTGTGTCCAGTACGGCCGCGATAGGAATTCCAAAGTTGGAAGCTGGGCCCCAGAAGTCTGGAAGTCGGCAAAGTGCACACGTTAGTATTCCCCTGGGAGCGCATTCCACGGAGAAAGCGAGAGTGTATGCATAGCTGGTTCAAGACGCACGCGTGGAGCAAAAGTAGTCGGACACCGGGTTGGACCGGATCTTGGCGTTCACCGCCTTGATGAGCGCAGCCATTTTCGAGGGACAGCTTTTTTTTCCCCGCAGAACTCGCGGGCGGCGGAGGAAGGAGAATGAAGAGAGGAGAGTAGAAGAAGGAGGAGGGGAACCTGTGATTTTGTCCGGTAGAGCAGTTGCGATATTGCGTGCCGGCGAGTAAGCGGAAGGTGTGACACGCAGAAAGCCCCGACGTTCGGGGCTTGATTTTAAGTTGGTCCGGAGTTTACCGCGGGGATTATACAGTACATAGTACAGCATTTTCAGGGTCTCCCGATAAGCGGAATCATTAGCCAAGCATTACGGTGGACCACGACACTAAGTCATAGTATAAGTAAAAATGCCCAGTACTCGAGGGAGTAAGAAATGACCAGTAGGCGAGCCACTACAAAAGTTGCAAGTCATGTATCTTGTCTTTTTCCCTTTGATGTGAGACCAATCCTAAGATCGAATTGTTTTCTCTACTTTTTTGTAATTTGTATTGACAACTGTGTTCCTCCGGAGACTCAACGACAAATCCAGATGCCCTGAAAAGCCAAGTATACATGCACTGGAATGATGTTCAAGGAGGATTTGGCGTTAGATTATACCTAGACGTTTTCAAAATTTGTTGTCCATATCATCCAGCTAAGGTACTGCTCACTGTTTTACTTGTCAGACTCCAGGACTTGATCAGCTTTGTTGGGCTAGCAGTGGAGCTCTTGGGCATCGAAGGAGATGATTACAGACGAGAGGGTGGACTATGCATAGATGCTGCCAGAAAAAGTGTTCAACATGTGTTGAACAACCCTTTTTTTCTTTTCTTTCTGTCCTTCTCCTTATCGCGAGTTTTTAGCATGTTAGGGAAACTGGTGCGAGGTGATTTTGTCGACCGACGTGCTCAGTCTGGAATATTTCGAAGAACCGACAGATTTAAACCGAAGAACAAATGAAAGGTCATACCTCTCAAAAATTACTGAAGATGAGATTCAGGCACCCGCCCCCCCCCCCCTCCAAAAAAAAAAGTGCTACTGTTTCTGAAAGTGCTACTGGTTTTGAAGCCACCTGAAAGCACAGCAAATAGAGCCATGGATGATTGGTTTTACGGGCTGCAATATCCCTTGTGTGAGTGGCTGTATAGTTGTATTTCCATGGTGGGGTCGTGTGTGCTAGAAGGGGAGGGAGGAAAACAAAAAGCCAGGGGACTGAATCCGAGGTCTAGGGTAAATTAAGAGGGTCTTTTTACCACAAGACAGGCCTTACCCTTTCGCGACTTATACAGCCAGATCAATAGCTACACCCTGCTGCGTCCTAGCCTCCCCACTACAGACACTTTTGATGCAGTTGGGCGGCACAGGTACCATTGCATTTGGGAGCCTATACTCTCTCTGATCACATACTGACGCCTGTCTAGCTCGTGAGATAGAACCGGATATATATTGATATTGACTCAAGTGAAAGCTACCGTCAGAAGTGATTTCGTGAGTCCCTGCGTCCTGATTAATTCCGTAGCAGGCAAACGGGTGATGGTGACAGTGCCGTTCTTCCATGTGAGACCCAGAATTTGTTCTTCTTTCCTTTCCCAATGGTCAGTATATACGATGGCTCATTCAACTACTTAATGTAGGGTGCTGGTATCATGCTGTACCTGCTCTGGGCCATTGGTTTCGGCTGCACCTCCGTTGCTTCTGCAGGCGTCGGTATCTTAACAGCCCAAGGCCTCGCCGATGCTCTTAAACACAAGTCTGCCTTTGTCGCCATCCTCGTGCCATCCGTGGTAGCCGACCTCGTGCAGAACCCAGACACGCTCACATACTGCGCCCGCCACCTTGAGCAGATCATGTACTGCGGTGGTGATCTTCCACAGGCCTTGGAGATATTGTGGCCGCGCAGCCATCCTCACCGGCTCTACTGGTACCATAGGCACGTACCTTCTAGGTGTCCTGCTCGACCGACCAGGAATCAGATACATCTTCTGCTTGGACTGCGCTGAGGATAGCGATGCAACTTTCCAGCATTTCAGGTCATTAGCCATCTAATCTTGTTACATGTCAAGGTCATCGCCACTCACAGAGGCGGCTATGCTCCCATGAGAACCTTTGAGAAAGACTCTCCAACCCCTCTCTCCTTTAAGAACATTTCCAGAGCGGCCATATCCCCTCTATTCTTCCTGGCCCCTCGCTTCTCGCCCAACTCATCCGTAATCTCCGTCATATCCTGAAACTTGCGCCCACCCTCCCCACACTCCTCTCGGAACCTCTCGCTCACTTTCTTCTGGTGACTGGGGATATCCCCCCAGCTCTCGTTTTTGATCGCGTTCATATAGTCGTCCACATCCTTCGAGGTGCCCTCCAGACATAACATCCCGGGTTTCCCAGCTAGGACGAAGCCGGTGAGCCTGTAGCGCGGCGCGTAGGTGACGAGGTCTTTGCGTTTCTCCCGTGTCGAGAGGGAGGGAAAGTAGAACCAGACGCGCAGCAGGGGGCCATTTGATATCTCGTTCGGCTTTTGTGTGTTTCTTGTGGCTTCCTCGCCTTTTTGCAGATAATATCTCGGGGCATATTCTTTCACATAGTCAAACGCTGCTAAAACGTCATCCGCGGGCATGGCAGCCGCGAGGTCAGCTACCTCGGCCCGAGACATCCACGGCGGCTGGCGTAGTGTGTATAGCAACGGCGGCGGTTCAGTGATTTGTTTTTCTTTTGATCGCAAAGGAACAGTGACTTTCAGCTGTATCGACGGCCAGAGCAATGTCGTCTCATGAGACGTTTCGATAGGTATGTTAATCATGAAGCTAAGGTCGGGAGGGATGCTTTGCGTGCTTGACGGTTCTGGAGTCTCGCACCACTCGCGTGTCTTGTCGATGGTGTCTTGTAGTGTCAAGTAGTCGGCGTCCTCTTCTGCAGGCGGATACATGGCCCTGATGAGCTCAACCATTGCCAACTGTGACTCGACCAAATCGCATGGGAGGGTCTGTTCTGCGAGTTCCGTCATGGTTGCAGGATAATTAGGCTCGAAAGTCTTGAGTATATCAAATTTTGATAGAGGTGTAGAGCCCTGCTATCGAACCAGGCGGTCGTCGACTTGTTGATTTCCTGTGGCAGTGATGATATGCCCTGCAGGTTTTTCAGTTGAGCGCAGCCCCAGCATACATGAAGGGAAAAGTTGGACAGAGTATGGATACGATGGAGACATAAGAGACCCTGGTATTTAAGACATTTTCAAGACATATATTAATGAAAAAAATAAAGAGACAGTAGCTGAGATTGATAAATAAATCAGATATCCATGAACCTTGAAAACAGAGCCGATCTCTAGGTCGAGCTATATCGGGAACGTTATGGGGGTTAGGGGTGACAAGAGACTGCTTAGTCAGCATTGCGACTTGCTCTGATGGTTGAAGAGACATCACTCTTGCATTTTGATCCTGAATGGTATCAAGTCCTCTAATTTCTCACATTTCCAAAGCACGCCTGTCAAGAATATGCGATCATCCTCACAATGAGACAATTTGGTCTAACCTTGCTGGGTCAGCGTCATGAGAGGCCAGTCAATCGTTACTCCATTCATCGCTACGAAATAGACAGTTCAGTTCAGAACGCAGCCTGTCACAGTGGCAGTGATTGCAACTTCCAACTGCGTATGGGAAATCTAGCATCAAACAAACGATCCTGTCCAAAGCAATAGGACCATCGAACCATTGTCCATTACTGACCTTTCGATGGACCAATCACACGTGCGAAACCCTCTGCGACTCCACACTCTCATCCGTCCTCCTCCGACCAGGCCAGTGCCACCGCTGCTGCCCTCCCTCCCCTGGCGGCGGAGCCATCCCAGGATGTGCAGGCCCTCCCTTGTTCGCATTCAGCATTTGAAGGCTCTCCTGCCTCCCAGTATCCGCGCTCGGCGCACACAATGACTGTCTCCTGATCATCGCCGCCTGCTGCAGCTGCGAGCGCTTCTCGCGGCGAGTCCGGGCGCGCCTTCGCCAGCTGTCCAGACCCATGGTGAAGACGTGGCGCAGGGCCCTCCAGAGGCGCGTGCCTACGTCCGTCTGGAGAACAAGGACCAAGATGAAGAAGGGCACGCAGACGGTGACCATAATGACGACAAAGCGCCAGTCGGTGGGAGGGATCTTGAAGGTCTCCATTCCGAAGATGGACTAGAATGAACTCAGATTCAATGGGGTTCATCGTCAGCATGCGTTTTCTCATCTGGGAAGCCGATGGGCTGAAATGTTTGTGACAGAGCAGAACTCACCGTGACAAAAGTCAAGGGCATGAACAACATCGAAACACCCGTGAGTATCTTGATGTTCTCCCCCTGTTCGATGGTCGTCCGATTCTCCTTCACGGAGCTCCCGCTGTAGAGCTGTTCTCTCAAGTTCTCAATTTCCCGCCGGAGCTGCTCGTTGGCCTTGATTAGGGCCTTGAGGTCTCGCATAGCAGCCTCCAGCTCGTGGCGGAGGTGGTCGAGCTGGGCGAGGTAGTTGCACCCTTCGGCGCTCTCTGGATCCGGGTGCGGCCAAAGGGTCGGATGCTGGCCCCGCCAAAATGTAGGGGTAAACGTGTCAGAATAGGCGTTGATCATCGACCTGATGCTGTCGTTGACCATGGAAAGACTGTTGTATGCCCAAAAGTACCGCCGGCTGAACGTGAAGTCTGCGTCCTCGAACAGGAGCTGGTCACGGAGCTTGAGGTCGAAGATGAATTGTTTCTGGATAATGAGGCCATCTCCGTCAGTGACCCCCTCCCCCAAAACATTCGCAGCAGTGTCTCGAAAGCAGCAGCAAGACTTACTGGAGGGATGACCAAGCCTGTAATCTGCTCGTTCAATCGCCAAAGCCTCTGGCCTGCCGTCTTGTACTCCGCTACCAGACACTCGAGGAAAGCCTGCGGTCCGCTGTGGCATGGAGTGCCAGCCAAGTCGCGGTCCGAGTCGATGCGGTCTGGGAAACAGCGAATGCTGAGGACGTGGAAGGGCGAGAACGTGTCAAACACCGATCCCATCCTGATCCTGTTGCTCTTGCTTGCCCGCCGTGGTATCTGCTCCCTGACTTCTCCTTCAAGGGAGAGTGCTACGACAGCGCTGCACTCCGACAGGTTGACGTGGTTCTCCGGGTTTATATCTGTCTGCCCGCAGTCGTGGTGCTGCCAGGAGCTGGGCGTGATACCCTCGTCCACCACGGTGTAGTATTTGAACACAAAGAAGAACGACCTCCGACGAATCGCCTCGTTCTCGAAAGCCCTCAACACGTACGGCGAGGTTTTCCCCTTGTTGAGCTTGTTCGAGACGAGGTGGGAGAACAGCTCGTCAATGTCAAAGTATCTTCCCAAGGTCATGTGTATACCGGCAAAACAGGTCGCTGAAGGCTGTGAAAGTATCCTTTGAGATAATCCAAAGGTTTTAGCTCATGTGCCCCCTCGTGAAAGGCTGGGAAGACCGGACAGTTCTCACTTACGTTATCCTCCCAAAAGCCAGTACTTCACCCATGTTGACATCCTACTACTTGTTTCAGCGAGCGAGGCCTCTCTGCGCAGGCGAGGCATTGTTGGAGTCAGCACGAACCTTGATAAGATCCCAAGCAACATTGGGCTCCCAAACCTCGCGGCGCTTTCCAAAGCAGCCGCCATCCTGTCGAGGTACGACAGACCCGTCTTGACAAATGTCATACACTTCGCAACTGGAAGCCTGCTCGCTAGGATCCACAATATCCAGGTCAAGACTGAACAGCGTCGTCACAGTAAGCTCGTCCCGCTGCCGAAAGACATCCCCAAGAGCGATGGCCGTCTCCTCGTGCTTCTCCGATATGCGGCCCAAGTGCCGGACCAGGTCGAAGTCCGTGTACGACGACGACGACAACGGCCTTCGTACACAACTGATCGGGCCTGTCCAGGTCGGATGAGGCCCTGTCATGGGGCTGAGGACTGGAGAAATCGGCCTGAAGCTGGATTGGTGTTGCTGTTGTTGTTGCTGGTCCTCCTCATTCTTCTCCATTTCAGTTTCGTCAAGCACCACCCTGTGGCCATCGCTAGACAACCGTTTCCGGCCGGTCAATTCGTCCGCGGCGACATCTCCAGGCCTCTTGCCAATGCTGAGACGCACCGGCATCTTTCGTGAATCTCAATGAGTTGATGAGGGAATGAATTTACATAGCTTCAAGTCACTAAGCATCTGTCAGACTGAAAGATTTGAGAGCCACCATTGGAACTATGTATCCAAAGATGGAGAAGAAAAAAAAAGAAATGTTCGCTGCAGTGCAGTTCTCATCGATACTCTAGAACCCCAGGGCACCTCCGGGACAAGGCCGATGTCTCACCTTCCCCCGTCCGGACGGGCCCACGAGATATAGTAGCTTCCACCGGAAAAGGTATAGAGAGAGCGAGAGAGCTCAATATCGATAGCATCGATAAGCAGTAAGCTTGTCCGCTACACGAATGATTATTTCGTTAATCCCTCGGGTAGGATTGGATTCTTGAAGGTGACGAAAGCTACTCGTGAATGAAGACATAATTGCGTGCGATCGGGATTGCCCTCTTTGCCCCCTTTCCCCATGCGCCACAGTCAGATCCTTTTGGCCAGAGACGACTTGGGGTTGTCAACTTTACCGTACATACATCCTGCTATGGTCCTTGTGTGCAAGATCTGGCTGATTCCGGATGCAGCCTAAAAGGGGGGGAGGGGGCACCAAAACATCGACGAAAGACTTGCACAAAATGGATAACCTTGGTTTAACCCGCCGGCACCCGCAATACATCACAGCGCCCACCATCCACCCCGGAGCAGCAAACAGGTTTATGTGTGACCAGCTTGAGTGCAACCAGACGCTTCCTTCCGTAGACTACCAAATCAGTCTATTTCACACAACACACAAGGGGGAAAAAAGAGCCTTCCCTGAGACTTTCAAACTTCAAAAAACGCCATGCTCATGCAATCAATCATCCGGCTATTCTCCTAAGCCAATCTCAAATATAGCTTCCCTATTTTTGATGCTCTTGTTTATCCTCCGTCGTTTCGCATCTACCACACCAAAAAGTCACGGGCTGTGACGCCTCCCTCTCTAACTTAGTACGTCAACATCTTGCCCTCCGATCTCCCTTCGACCTGCTGTGTCGAGAACGCGCAGTGCATGTCCTTGATCGATACCACCTCGTACGTGCCCTCCTGGCTTGCTCTGACCACCTTGCTATACTCATAGCTGACGTCGTGCCTTGTCTCCAGCACCTGACTTCGCTGGCCCTTGCGCTCGTTCGTACTGCGTGTGTATGTGAACTCGAATGGCGGCGTACCTGTAAAGTCAAACAAGATGTCCACCTCACCGCCCTCGTGGATGTCTGACCGGACCGTCCTGCCTTTGGAAATGCGCACGGTCGGGAATGGATGAATCGTCTTGCTGATATTGACGGCGGCCTGGCACTCGGAGGCCTTGTCCCTGATGGCTGTGATGGTGAACTCACCGGCGGTCTCGGCGAGCCGCTTGAAGTTTGTCGTTGTGGACTTGGCTTGGCGCGTCGTGCCATCAAATATATACTCGACCTCGAATGGCGGAGTGCCGACCAGGGTGTAGGAAATACGCTCGCCAATGCAGTATTCCTTCCGCTGATCCAGGGGATAGATCGAGGGGGCGTCGTAGAGCTGGACCTGGACGGAGGGCCCGCCTGTCTCGTAGGTGCGCCTGCATCCGCGAGCGTCGCTGACCTGACGGATGCGAACGGATTGGCCGCCAAGTCGCAAGTACTCCCTTGGGATCTTGACCTGCGACTTCTCTTTCTCTAGGCCTTCGACACGGACCGTCTCTGTGCTCGCACCGCTGTCGTGCTTAATTTCGAACACCACCGTCCAAGGTGCTGTGCCCGAGAACTCAATCGCCACCGTGTCTTCAACATCTTGATCCGCCATACAGCTCTTGTACGTCTGGCCGGGTTTCGCGAACTTGGCCGTAGGTTTCGGGTTGACCTTCTGCTCAAGCCTGACGGGACTGAACTTCTTGTTGTCGTCGTAGAGGCTGTCGGACAGGGTGGAGAAGAGATAGGTGTACGTCCCTGCCCTCGAGGTATCCATCTGGACGGTAGCCTTGCTGAGGGCGGCGTCGAAGTTCTTCTTGTTGATCGCCGAACTTCCACTATTCGGCTTGTGCCTGACCTCATACTCAACGTGGTATGGAGGAGAACCTACAGAAGATTAGCTGATGTGCAGGATGCATGTTGACCTTTGTACAAACAAGACTTACCGACGAGGCCAACTTCAAACCCATCCATGTCTCCTTCGCAAACATCGTTCTTGATGTACGCTCCACTTTCATCGTGGATGCTGGGAGCTTGTAGAATAGCCAGGCTAGGTCGGGGCAACCAATCCACCTCAAATTGCGCCGCTTTAGGATCGACAGTGCCAGGACACTGGGCGTCATCCACGTCCACAATCTCGTATGTGCCGCGTTGTGTGACACTGAGCACGTCGTTGCCAGACGAGAGGACAGCCCTGCGCACCTTGGCGTTCGGGCCCTCGTTCAGATTCTTGTAAGCGACTGTCCACGGCCCCTCTCCGCTCAGACGGACAGGCAGCTTGGTTTGCTCTTCTTCGATGGCCATTGTCTTGAACTTTCCGTCCAGCAGCCCAAATGCAGCCCGTGGCCGTTGGCGTCGGACAGCTATCTTGCGCTCGTCTTGGAGGAAGATGCGGCAACCTGATGTGTCCTTCACAGATACCAGAGAGACAGAGTACTCTCCGCCCGATGAAAATTTTGGTGTCCTGATCTTATAAATCCTGTCTTGGATGCCCTCGGCCTTGAATTGCTTCCTCTTGCCGTCGTGAACAAGTTCCCACTCCAAGGTGAAGGGCGCCTCCCCGGCGAAGACAACGTCAAATACGACGTCTTTGTCCAAGCAAGCCGAGACCATTTTGGACTCCTTCCGGATGTAGGCTGAGGCCGCTGGTGTCACCGTCGTCTCCAGAGTCATCTCCGGACCGGTGAGAGGTTGAGCCGAATAAACATTATCGCTGATTTCCTTAAAGACATACGTGTGCGTACCGGCCTCTGTGGGGATGAATTCCTCCTGATGCCTCATGCTGTTCGTTGTGAAGCTCTTTCTCTTCGTCGCTCCGTTGTGCATAACATCATATTTGACCGTGAAAGGAGGTGTGCCGACAAAATCGAAGTCCACAGCCATGCCGATAGAATTACCGGCACACTTGTCGGGAATGTCGGTTGAGCGTAGCACGAGGTTTGGTTCAAGAGGATTCAAGAGGAGACACGAGACAGGCTCCTGAACGTGCCCGTCGCAAGCGCTTGAAGAGACTGATTTCAGGGTGTACAGTCCCGGTGCTGAGATCTTGGGCTGGTCCTTCGCATTCTTCGCCTTGTACGTGTCAAATGACACGACCTCACCGTGGTCGCCATTCCTTGTCAGGGTGTCGATTGGCGAGAATTGCCAACTGATGGTGTGTGCCGTATCCGTCTGGCCAGCCACGTGGAAGCTGACAGGCAATTTAGTAGACTTGCCCTTGGCAACCTTTACAGGGTTTCGCAAATCACAGCCTTCGATCATAGCTGTCGGGCGTTCCTTGACGATGAAGTCCTGCACTAGGTGCTTGGGCTTTGGACGCATCTCTGGGTCATCTGCTGGCGACTGATACTTGACGATGTTGCCAAACGCGTCCTGAACCTCGTCCACCGAGTATTGCCACGCACCTCCCGTGTTCATAGACTCGTTTAAGCTCACAGTGACTCTCTCCGCTTTGGCCCACGACACAGAAGAGTCGTCGTCTGGCATGACGAGGGCCGACGACCTGTGTGAGCCCATCAGAGGCGACGAGAAGCCCTCGGGCTGTAGACTCTGAAAGTGGAAGCTGTGGTCCTTATCCTTGATCCTACGGCTGTAGTTGATCTTGAGTGGGGGCGTGCCAACCACCTCCAGCGCAAGGTCCGACAGGTCTCCCAAGCAGCGGTCAGAGGACGGCGAGGCAATGACCCGGGCCTTGGGGCAAGGTACCACGAAGGTATTCGGGGTCAGGCGTTGCACTTCGAGCTTGTATTCGTCAAGGACCTTGGCCAGCCGATAGGCACCAGGCTTCTTGATCGGCCAATCGAACCTGGCATCTGCCATTTCGGGATCACTTTCCTGCCTCTTGACCAGCTTCTTGATCGTCTTGATATGGTCCTTGGTGAGTTTGAGGGTCTCCTCGTTGTTTGTCTCGAGATCGGTGCGAATGACCTCGATCTCGACTGGTACGGTCGCGTTAAAGTGCAGGGGCAAAGTGACCGTGCGGTCGCCGCCCATACAATAAGAGTAGCCATCCGGGTTCAGGACCGCTGAGCCCTCGGGCAGGATGTTAATGATCTGTTTTCCCAAGATAAGGGAGGCGTTCTGGGTCACACTGGACACTTTGACGTATTGTTCGGATATGGCGACCTCGCGGTCCCAAAAGACCCTTAGGAAGGCCACGATGGCGGGGCCAAAGGGTAGGCCGATGTTGAGCATAACCAAAAGATCAAATACAGCGTGAAAGAGAAAGGCGACGGTGCAGGACAGCTGGGAGAACTCCAGCCATGGTATCCTGAACTCTGGCAAGCCGAATATGTAGACGAAATCGATGAAGATCCATTTCAGGACCAGCCACACGGACTCGCTGTCGTCCTCTACGACCATGACCCAGTCGTAGAGCTTCCATGCGAAGAGAGCGGTGTAGAGACCGAGCGCGTAGAAGCGCTGTGTCGGCGCATCGAGGACGTGGAGAGGTATGACTGGATTCGTGGGATACTGAGCTGTTGGAGCCAGTGGTGCTTGAGGCAGCGGTGGTTGTGCTGGTCGCTCGGGGGCTGGCTGAGGAGTATTGTTCGTCGGCGTGCCGTTGGGGGTTCCGTTGGGCGTAGGCTGCCGTCTGCCTCTCAGGTTCGTAGCTGGGGTCGCGGGGAAGCCCCCCACTACCCTTCGCGGTGTGTCATTCATAGCATCACCGAGCGGAGATGCAAAGCTGTCTGTTCGTGGACGTAGACGTTGGTGTGGGTAGGCTCGCGGCAGCTGATATCTACAAGGAAAGACGCGGTCAGTCGAGACTCCTCGGCGCGAGGGACGAAGCTATGTGCAGAGACATGAGGAAGTCCTACCTGTCCTGCTAGGTCATCATATCGTGAACGAGACGCAGTCTTGCAAGGTTGCGCTTGGCAGACTGGTGTATGTTCTCAGTGCTGAGCAGACGCACCGTTCCGGTTCGACAAAGATGGCGTGGAGCAGCGTGGTTAAACCTTGAAGGGGATAGAGAATGGTTTTGCTTTTGAAGTTGTCAAAAGCCTTGGTGGGTGACCGCGGTCAACAACCAGCAACGCGCTTCTTTCACTCGGGAAAATCCAGCAGGGTGTTGGCGACTAGCAGGGGTGGTCCAGCGGGTCTCTGGCCCCTGTTGCATCTGCTGATTGGATCTGTTCAGGCTTGCCTGCCAACACACCCAACTTGCCTTAGACCTGAATTCTGCACTTCATGATCCAACCTTGGAAGCTCAACATTCTAGAAATAATAATGCTTTTGAAATTCGGCCAGTTCTTTGTATCCGAAGAGAATACACTTCCAAATGGAAAAATAAACTTAAAGTAATGCCTTTTTTATCTATAATGTTTCTACCGGCTAGTCGTTTGCTTTTAGTATAATATTATATGATTTTAGATTTAACTAGGTTTATTTTATCCTGTTGTCGTCTTCTAAGCCTTTTGAATCGTTAACCTTAAGACCTTTTTTTTATTAAAAAAAAAAAATAAAAAATATTCTCAACTACATCTCAAATCAGATTATCCTCAACCTTGAACGATTAAAGGTAGTATGAAAGCAGACTCATTCTGGAAGTCAGCATGAGGCCTGCCTGCAGTACCAAGTACATACATCCTCTCCAGGACTGTGCGCCCCAGCACTTGTTGGTAATCCAATGGGTTGATGAGGTCCAACCTCATTGTCCATAGGTGTCTCGTTGTTTGTTCCTTTTCCTTGACATAGAGAGAGCTACACCAGCTTGACTTTGTTTTCTTTTCTCATCCCCAATCCATTCTTTTTTCTGTCAGCTGAAGCCAGGCATTTACTTTGGCCACTGCTGATTTCCATTCCCTGGGTCTTATTTGCATCGTCGTCACTTATCTCACTCAACAAGTCGCCCCTCCATCATCCCTTCGCAGCACCTACCCAATCCTGCAACTCCCACGGCCCACGAGGATAAAAAGTACCCACTGCAGGTCAATCACAGCAGTCAGAGCACATCGACAAGATGCCTCCACCAGCTATTCGACGTGCTGCTCAGCCACGCAATACAGCATGCAGAGCGTCTGTCAAAATCTCAGCAACTGCTGATCGGGAGAAGAGCCCTGAGACATTGAGTGACCATCCTGGTGGCCTGCTGGGTGAGGCTCTGACTACCAAAACTAGCGATGACCAGGATAAGTGGAAGGCATGGGTTGAGATGGAGTCTGAGCCTGTGAGCAACAACAGCATTAGGACAGCATATTCTCTGAGGACTTCAGCTGATTAGGATCTCTCATGCACAGGCATTCTTCAGTGGCTTGCTCCGAGATCTGGGTGTCAAGGATGTCAAGGTGGCCGAGATGTTCAGCGTCTCCATAGATGACATTCAGCTCCTACCGTACGTATCTACACACGCACAACCCCCCTTCCCGCAGTCTCTTTCTGATAGCACGTCCTCACGAAACTCCAGCCAGCCTGTCCTGGGCTTTATCCTTCTCTGCAAATACGCCAACGAGGACCAAGAGGAAGCCGCCACCCCAGCACCACCACCCAGTCTGTGGTTTGCCAACCAGACCATGGCCAATGGCTGCGCGACCGTCGCACTCCTCAATATCCTGATGAACCAGCCCACGGTGGACCTGGGCGCCAGCCTGACCGCCTTCAAGGCCCAGACAGCCGACCTCCCCCCTCACCTCCGCGGCTACCTCCTCGACAGCAACCCGGCCATGCGCCAGACCCACAACTCGTACGCGCGCTGCCTGGAGCACCTCAACGCAGATCTCCTGCTCTCTAACGAGTACGAAGATTGCGGCGGCTGGCCTGAGGAGGAGACGAGCACTACTGCCACCAGCACCACCGGCGGCGGCAACAAGACGTCCGCCAAGCGCAAGACCACCACCACCTCCAATTCCAGCGCCAAGAAGAAGCGCAAGTCCTCCTCCGCTCCAACAGCCAGCACCACCACTACCACGGCCACCCGCAAGAAACGCCGCCGCGCCTCAGACGACAATGCCTGCCACTACAAGGCCTTCGTGCCCGTCGACGGCCAGGTCTGGGTCCTGGACGGGCTAGAGGAGAAGCCCGTGTCGCTGGGCCCTACACAACCACCAGCAGTCGCCAACGATGGAGTTGTCTACGATGGTGATGCTAAGCATGATGACAACGATAATGTCTCTCCCCCCCCCTCCTGCCCCTCCTGGGTGCGCACCGCGCTGGGCGGGATCGCAGACCGCATGGCCGCCGCGGGGGACGACATGGTCAGCGTCCTGGCCGTATGCGAGTCCCCACACCCTGCGCTCCGACGCGAACTCGTGGCCAACATCCACGCCATGTCCGCCGCGCTCGCCGCCGTCCCGGACACCTGTACAAGTGTCAGGCTGGACCAGCACAGCAGCCGCCGCCTCCTCTGGGTCGATCCCGACGGCCGTATCGACCGGGACGCCCTGGCCGAGTACGGTCTCACGCCTGAGCAGGTCATCAGCAGCAGCAACAACAACAGCAACAACAACAACAACAGTGCAGTAGCGGCACCGACGGCAGCAGAGGACCCGGACCAAAGTGGCAGTGAAGGAGAGGGAGGGGCGGCTGATGTGGAGCACTACCGCCGCCGCCGCCAGAACGCCATCGAGGTGCTACGTGTCGAGCAGGCGCGTATCCGGAGCGAGTACATGCAGGTCAACAGCGAGATCGCGGGCGAGGAGGAGCTGTGCTCGGGCCGGAAGAGGGACTATGGGAGCGTCGTGCACACGTGGGCCAGGAAGATCGCCGAGAAGGGTGAGCTGCAGGGTCTCATGGGTTGAAATTGGGGTGGGATGGTTGCTGATTTCTGGCGCTGGTGGTGGCTGAGAAGTAATTTTGATGATCTTGTTGGTGGCGGCGTTTAGGGGTTTTGGGAGTTGGGGGAGAGGGAGTATGAGTCTCATAATGGGGAGCCATTGACTATCTTGTGCGGGAGGGTGAACATGCACGTCTGTCCACCGCCATCAAGACGTCTCGAAACGATGGTCTTGTTTAGACTTCTCAAGTAGGATGAGGGACGGACGGATAGACGGACGCCCCAGGAGCGCAAGAGTCGTTGAGGGCTAGTTCCCCGCGCAGGTTCTCAAATGATGATTAAAAAGCATGCATTACCACAGCACGAGATGCAACCATTCCATTCCAGGCACCACCAAACAGTCCAGGCACCCAGCCTCTGTTTCTTTGCACCATCTGCATCCAATCCCATATTTTCCCATTTTCCTTCCCCTTACCCCCGTCCCCTACTACAGACCTTCCCACACTGTGGGTCCCATATTCTGCCAGACATTGTCCGTCTTCCTCCTCCCCATGGAGCCTCCCCTCTACCTTGCCTCAAGACTGCTACACCCCTCATCTACATGTCACGAAAGAGAGATCCAAGTCAAGACCCAATCAATCTCTCCATCCACAGACCAAGATACTCGATTTCAGATGGTCATGATTTTATCCATCACATCGATACAAATGTACAATTATTACTAATCTACTAGTATCATCCGGCTGCAGAGTCAGTCATAGGCAGCAGGCCAGCCAGGCCACAGATGCTGAACAGTAGGTATCTGGGTGGCAGCAATACCACCTTAAACACATTTGTTCCTACACACATAATCCCACCTACCTGTAGACAGAGGATATCAATCTTCCATCAGGCACGGAAAAGAAACTTAAGAGATGAATGAAAATGATGCACATACCTTTCTACTCACAAACATTGACTATCCTCATGTTTTTTATCATTTTTTCCCTTTTATGCAACACCACTTTTTATCATATAAAACCAAGAACTCTCTCACCCTTGTCCCCTCGCTCCGTCCCTGGTTGGTCTGGGCCCCATTCCCCACACCCCCAATTTTCCGATTGATTAGTCATGCACACGAACACGAACCCTCGTGGCTTGTGGGTACCTTGATCCCTCGAGCTCCAAAAAAAGTGTCAAGGATGATGTCATCTAGCCCACAAAATCTTCATTCTGATTGGTTCTAGCCTAATGCCTGACGCGAGAAAACGCGACGACGCGTCTAACGGGACGGAAAGGTTGCAACCTCAGGAATGAGGGGCAGTAAATCCCCAAACGTTCCGTCCCCTAACTTCCTTTTCATAGTGCCTGGCTTATCGCCCAATTCCACTCACTTCTCGAGTGTTGCCTCGCCAATCTCAATTGGTGCCTGCCTCCCTTGCTTGCTCTCACGTTAACCATCCATACTTGTTCATACAATTTCTGCTCTCAAAAAAGAAAATTATTCCCATCAGAAAACAACGAAGGTAGTGCAGTGACAAATTCCAAATGCAATCCAGACCGGGTCAAAGGGGATTTGATTGGTAGTGCAGGGAAAATCTTCGTAGGCAGTGGTCGGGCTCGTGTCTCATGTATGTTTTTTGTCTTTGTTTTCTCATCGAAGGCATCTGGGGGTGTTCTTGTGGGGGGGGGGTGTTGGAATTTGTTGATGCAAGGTGTAACATTCAGGTACAGACCGGAGGGATAGTGTCGTGAAATGATCATAGTATTGCAGTTTGTGGGGCATGCCCCATCGTGTAGGGTAAGGGGCTCGACGTGAGCCAGGTATCACGGACAAAGGAAAAGGGGGCTGGAGTTGTTGTGAATAGCCAGACGAGATGATGGTCTGGCATGGCGATAGCCAAATCGTTTTCTTCGTAAAACAATTGAGTTTTGAGGTTCTCGACCAATTTGCCCTTTCTCAGAGGGCCTGATCAAACGCGAGGTGTCTTCTAGCCACGCTTCGCGGCGTCTTGGCCGAGCCCAGTCCGATCGGTGTCTTCCACGTCTTCTGGGCCGGGCTGGGGGTCATGTTGAGGTAGTCGGCAAAGTTGAAAGCCTGACCAGGCGTATGAGGGAACAGCGGGTTGTCCAGGTTTGGCGTGGCCATGGCCTGAGGGGTGAAGCCGAGGTGCTTGGGGGGTGGTGTAGAGGGCGGCTCCATCTGGCTCCGAGGGGGAAGCCCTGCAGGAGTGGGCGACGACTTCATGTACAGCAGCAGCTCTGCTCCTTCATCCCTTGACTCGAGCCTGCCACCGTTCTTATCGGCATTGCGAGGAGCAAGGCGGCGATTGCCCATGACAGGGGTGGTGGGCGGCGAGGATCGGGTGCCGCTGAGCTGAAACGAGTGAGAAGGGAGGAGGTCGTCATCATCCTCGTCGGGAACGGCAAAGTTCGGAGTAGTCATGCTTCGGTCGAGACGGGTGGAGGACGGGAAGAAGGACACGTCGGGGCCGGTCGAGGTCTTGAAGTGCGTCTGCCGGCGAGGCTTGAGGGGGGAGGACTGGACCAGACTGTTACGGCTGTTGCTCCACGAGACATGGTGGCCTGGGAAGGACTTGTGTGCCGTAGGTGAGAGCCTGTAGCGTTTGGCGGGGCTCGAGGAGAAATTGAGGTCGTTCTCGAAGGTCGACAGATATGTTCGCTTGCGGTGGCCAGTGCTGCCATTGCTGGAGCCGATGGCGTCGGAGAACAAGGGTGCCTTCAAGGGAGAGCTCATCAGGGCCCGTGTCGGGTAGGGGAGGTCGGATGCACTGGAGGAGGAGTCGGAGAGAATCTCGCCATCGGCCAGGCGCTTGCGTCGAATGGCAGCCTTGTGTTGTCGGAGCTCCTCCTCGAATTTGGGCTCGATCACGTCGAGGGAGAGGTCCTCCCAGCCCCGTTTTGTCTTGAACTGGGCGAGGGCGAGGCGGCTCTGGAGGCGGCGGGCCATCTGCAAAGGTAGAAAAAACCGTTGAACCTCACGGTCAGCGATCACAAGGCTCGGATGGGAAAGGAAATGTCCACGATTGTATCGATGGAGAAACAATGAGGAGATGTGTTGATAAAGGAAGAGGAGGCTTTCATCATGTTACTTACCTTGCCCACTTCTGCCCTCTTGAGGACCTTGTCAGCCACAGCCTCAGGCTGCTTCTTGGAGGGCGACATCATATTTTTTGATCTGGACATTGACATCGATTGACCTGGTCTGGCGAGAGATGAGGGTTGTCGTCAGAACAAGGGAAGAGAATGGATGAGGACTGCTTGGTCAGGCCAGAGGGTGTCCAGGGCGGAGTCGAGAGGAGGTGCCAGGTAGGTAGGCAGGTATGCAGTAGGTTCGGGGGTGGACGGGGAAAAGGGCAGTGCTAGGCATGGAGCTTGAGCCCTGAGCAGCAGACAAGGGAAAACTGGCTGTGGTTGATCTAGCCCAGTCAATCCAGTCCAGATTCCAGCGATAATACTGTGACTGGGCTGAAAGAGGTTGGAGTGGATGATCTTTTTTTCTCTCCTCCTTTCTTGGTGTCCTTCACAGTGTGTTCTGTTGAGGTTTGCAGGAAATTTCCCAGAAGAACAGATTTTTTGCAAAAAGAATTGAACCAAGCGAGGATTTCGGGGGTTCGAGAGGGTTGCAGGTAGGAGAAAATCGGTAGGTACTCACAGCTAACGTAGGGTCAAGTGAGGGTTAACGGGCTGGAACTGCAACCGAGATCCTCTCTCTCTCTCTCGCATTCCAATCCGGTCGCTCTCGGCACAAACCCAAAGCAGACCTGACCTTGTCCTGTCCTAAACTGACACCATCCTCGTCCCAAGGTTTGACCTTGAGAAGGAAAAAAGTCCTTGGACGAAAGCAGGCTTGGCTTCAGCACGCAAGACAAATAGAAGATAGATAACAATTCCTTTTCTGAAACTAGAGAAAATGCCTTCACTTGTCTTGGGTGCCATGCATGGAACCCAGCAGCACCGAAACGAGGCAGGGCAATGCTGGTGCAGTTGCAGTTGCAATGTAGTGTCTGTTCAAGTGTACAGTGGCAGCCAGACAGGGCAGGATGAACCCACCATACAAGGTCCAGATCCAGAGAAATCGGTACTATGGCAAGGGAGAAAGAAACCATTGCACCGAGCATACAGAGACACACACCACATGCACACACCACAGACCCAAGGAAAACGGGAGGAGAGGGGGCCAGGGGACAAGGATCCAGCACCATCCACTCACAGCTCATTGGGCAGGTAAGCTGCACAAAGACGCCAGTGCTTAGACCCTTTGGACTATTAAAGCTCTCTGGTACGCACCCAAGCCAAGGTCAACCGGCATGCAGTGAGCAATGAATGGATGAATGGGCACTGGCAGGAGATGATAAGAATAAGACTGGGCTTGCCCTTCCGAAAAAAAAACCCATAACCTCATGGATCAGGATCCTCTCCTCCGATGCTCTGCATTTTCTCATTTATTTTGACAGTACTTGCAGTAGCTTCGTTCATGTGGTCATCATTCCAACCTATTCATACTGTACAAACCATCGGTCATCCAGAGCTCTCATGGGTCCAAAGTAAGGGAAGAAAAGAAGAAGAAGAAATGTAAATAAAAAGAAAGAAAAGGGAAAAAAATTATTAAGCTCCAGCCATTGTCTCCACATTACGTATCAAAACATCGATCCATCCAAGGTCCTCTTCCTCCTCCAAACAAACCCCCGGTACTTTGTACGGTAGCAGTCACGAGCTCCGCATTCATCACCTGAGGGGCCAACACAGTCAGCTTCTTCTTGTTCTTATTGAGTCCATTCCAACATCTCTTCCTCCAGCATCATCGCGAAATCCCATTGGCCCGCATCACCTCATCCCTCGCCCTCTCTCCAAACCAACTCTGGTCAATCATCCGCCCGCCGCCCACACAGGCATCCCTTTCCATTCCTTTTCAGCATGAAACTATCATTGTATAATTACCGCTCGCTGCGCGAATGGTCTTGCTCAAAATCACCAACCCAAAGCAGGCGCGTAACTAATTAAGTCAATCAACCCCAGATCTCGATCTTCTTGGCCTCTAATCTCAGCACTCGTCCTCATGGGTCAGTATTCGAGAATGGAGAAGGTGGGGAGGGTTCCTAGGCTGGGCTGGGCTGGGAAGAAGCCGGTTTTCCTTTCCCAAGGCCAGCCCTTTCCCTCTCGTTCGTAAGCTCGCTTTTAAGCAAGAGAGAGGGCTGAAAGAGAAAGAGAGACAGAGGTTTGGTGTGAGTGGGTTTGGTTCCCCACTGCTACCGTCAATTTAACCCCCTGTCCTTTTAAGTCCCGAAGCGGCAGGTAGTCACCTCCCCACCTTGCTGAACCTAACCCTGCTTGAGCCTGCTAAGGCTGGAATACAGAAACTGGCGTGTCTAGGAGGACGGAGGGGTTTCAAGTTTCACGGAGTAGTTCAGTATGAGAACCTGGTATTATTTCATATTCAACAAGTCCAGGTCGTCCTTCATCCAAAGGTTGCTAAGACTGTGACATGTGTGTGTGTGTGTGTGTGTGTGTGTGCGCGCGCTCTATACAAATGGGCAAGACAAGACGACACGACCAAAACTCCCCGACCTTTCTTCCGCGTATGTTTCCCATTCCCCCTTCGACGATACCCCAAGGAACGAATAGCAGCTTCTTCTATCCACCGAGGACGGGACAAATATGGAGCTGTCTGCATGCCAGAGGTTGGAAAGCCCAATCGTGACCCTGGGTAAATACTGAACCACAGAGCCCGGATTCTGAGAAGGCTATCCTAAAGCCACCATGAAAAAATCCTATGAGATATCTCCAACCAGGTGTTGATGAAAGGAATAACCAAGGCCAGCCTCAACAGGTAGAGAGAAAGAGAGGCTGGTGCTAATTAGCCATTAAGAATGTCATAAGAGAATATGCCGATGCCTTGTTCCCCATTTCTCTCAAGGGAGTATCGTTGCTTAGTCTTTGAGTCGCCCTCATGCCTACCTGCCTGCATAGTCCGTTCCCTAAAAATGCAAAAGAAAAAAAAGAGGTGCGCTTGTTTGCAGGCGAGTAGTGGTGTGTCCCTCGGTTCGTCGCAAGAAAAGGGTGGGATTGTCGCTTCGACAAGTTTGTACATGAACTGTGCCACATGTGTTGCGAGTTCATAATGCTCTCTGATGGGTTCAATCTGCTCACTTCCGGATAATAACCGAGAAGCCGTCGACCCACGAGCCGCAAGAACCCCATACACCACAGATATTGTAGCCGTAGGGGGGAATGAGGGTGTGACTATAAGAGGACGGATCGTTAGCCTTCCTTCTGATGTGCGTGGTGAGGAGTCGCGAGAAGGTCTACTTACGAACTGCCGCCGTTCCTGTTTCCAAAGAAAGGCGAGCGGTTGCCCAAAGAAGTCAAGATCTGGATGCCGTCGATCCAGGCTCCTGATCGCACCACAAAGCCGGAGATGTACTCGCCCTTGCGGACATCTGTAAGAGATAAGGACATTAGCGGCCCATCTTTTCGAATTTTAAAAGACAAGAGAATGATTGCACATCGAAACTCACCCAGATCGAACACGCCCACATTAACGTTGGGCGGCGCCTTTCCGAAGACCTGCTTCGAGTCATCATCGTAGATAAACTCGATACCGTCCAGTGCTGCACCGTGGTACACCGCCACCTTACTGAGCACCCTATCCTGCCGCGTGGCACTCGTGAACACGAACTCGACGGGCTGGGAGCCCTCAAGTTTGGAGAGTCCGAGCTTCTTGCCGCGGAAGCCGGTCCAGCCCGTCACAGGCTTGCCGACGCTTAGCTTACTCTCCTTGCCGCACAGCGCCCGCACGTCGTCCACATCCAGCCCGCCGCCACCGTGCGACTTGATGCTAAGCCGGATCTTGCCCTTGCGCTTGTCCTCAGGAAGGCGCTTGCGCAGTTCGTCCTCCGTCAGCATGATCTGTCGCTTGACCTGGTTCTCCTCGAGAAGCCCTGGACACTCCATCCATGTTGTGCACAGGTCCTCGCCCTCGCCGTAGATCTCGATAAAAGAAATGCCAGAAGGGGCAGTCACGGCGACCTTGCCGTCCTCGACCGGCCAGGCGTGGACTGTGTCATCGGGGTGTCGCGGGGGGTCATGAGGAAGCGCGAAGCACGGGTGGCTGCGGAAGCGCAGACAGTCGAGACGGTGCCAGGTGCACTCGTCTGCCTGGGTGACAGGGCCGCCCTTGGACTTGGTCCTCGTAGAATATGCCTCGTGGCTCAGGAAGGACCTGTGCAGGTTGACGTAGTCACGCAGCATCACACCGTTCGCCTGGTGGGGGCAGCCAAACAGATGGCCCGTCTCGTGCAGATGAGCGCCAATGCCAATATTGGCGTTCTCCCAGGAGCTGCCCGCCTCGTTACAATCATTAGCGACGTGTTTTGTGTCGGTAGGGGTACAGTCCGTGAACGCCGGGACGACCTCCTCCAGCTTTGTGGGATAGCTGTGCAGAGCATGAGAGCCGAAGATGGCCAGCTTCAGGTCTCCGCTGGAGCTGCCCAGCGCGGCATGGCCCTGGATCATCTGGTCGTTGGGGTCCCAGTGGCTGTCCAGGTACATGCAGGAAACATATTGCTCCTGTCCCGGCCGCAGGTTGAAGTACTTCCTAACCGCCTCTGCCGCCATCGGAAACAGCCCACCCTTGTCAGCGGCCTTCTGGTTCTGCTGTGCGATGTCCAGGTTCCTGATCTCGGCCACTGTCTTGTCCATCCGGATGATGTGGATGCGCGCCTCGTTCCTGAGCCTCCCGCTCTCGTGGTCCCTCGCGCAGGTGGTGCCCTGAGTCCACTCCTCTTCAAATCTAAAAGTGCGACGCCCAAACTTGTTACGAAACATCTGCTCGGCCGTGAATGCCTGCCAGAGGTAAGCAGCCATGCGGAACTTTCGAATGGCAACGTCCAGGTCGTTGCCCTCCCTCTTGGCTCGTTCAGGGGGCGCATCGAAGGTCTCGGGAGAATCCTTGGCCACCAGGATCGCCAGCTGTAGAGGCGGGGATGACGAGGGTGGCAACGAGTTGATGGTGAGCTGCGTCGAGTGGATCGGGTTCGAGGTCCCGCTGTTCGCAAGCTTGGGGCTGAAGAAATCAAACCGGAGCTTATTCACGCCAGACTGCAGATAGACCAACGCCTTGAAGCGGCAGTCGCGGACTGGCCATGACACTGGCGGGTAGTCATCGTCCGACCGTGACACGGTCACTTCTCCATCAATCGATCGTCCAACTCCCGCCCCGACCGTGCCCGTTATGATGAGCACCTTCTGCGAAACCTATGTAGCCGATCGTCAGCCAATAATTCTTGGGCGTGGCTCCCTTTCAAGCTGCCATGCCGATGTCAAGCCGGCGGTGCGCAAAGCCCCATTCCGACCTGCAAACCGAAGACCTAGTAACCTCAGAGAGAGAAGAGAGACCATCAGATCTCCTCATCGTCTCCTCTCCCTCCTAGGATCCCAATTGGCTTATCGCAGCACACCAAAATGGCATCAAGACTCACCCAAGCACCATGCCGTATGTTCTCGATCTGCGGCGCATAAGGCGAGACGGGCAATTGTGGCTGCGGCCCTCGTCCACTTGTCGGCGGCGAGCCCAATCCCGTCATGCCAGACACGCTGTATCGATTGCTGTTATTTGTCGCCGTCCGCAATGGCGGTCGCAGGTATGGAATAGGAGGGACCGCGGGTGTGTCATTGGGTGACTCGCTCAACTTCTCCTTGGACAACTGATGGTTCAGTGCAATGTCGGACTGTCCTGCAACCGAGGGGGCGCCAGAGGGAGGCGTCAGCGATCCGCTGGTGGGTGTGCGCCCGTTGCTTGCGTCGCTCGAGGCGTCGGTGGCCACATCGGTAGAGGACTTCTCGGTCTTGAAGCTGGCCTTGGATCGTCGTCTGATAGACTTGATGGACAGCAGACTGGGCGCCATGACTGCTGATGGGAAGCGCTCGGGAGCGGCTGGTGGGCTCGAGTCGAGTTGCTAGGATAGAAAATTTGGTGTTGTTTGTGTTCCCAGTGACAACGCCACAGAAGGCGCGAGACACCTCTGGGCGGCCTTGTGTGTCTTTTTCTTCCTCGAAAGATGGGCACGAGCGGCGAGGTCTTGCTTCAGCTACCAACCCGAGTAGCAGCACCCACGGAAGAGGATTCGTGTCAGTGGACGAGATGTCGTAGCGGTGATAGGCGAAAGCAAGAAAGAGTGCAGGCGAGGTCGTCACTGAAAGGGGGATGAGGCTCGGCGGGAAGAAAGCTCTTGAGAGGGGCGCAAACGAGCTAGAGAAATCAAGGCCAAGAAAGATGATGCGAATAGCCCGGACGTCCAACAAACATCAGCAACAATAAGGAGTTGAATTGGAATCCCGTCCAAGTGGGCTGCTGGATGCAATGTCAGATTCCAGGCTCAAAGTTGGTTCGGCAGGTCCAGCCAGGGATACCTTGTGTGTTGCGGCGGGAGAGGAAGAGAAAAGCGGTCCCCAACGTCGTCCTGCTAGGTTTTTTTTGGTTTTTTTTTTGGCTAGCAAATCGAACCGACCCAGGGCGCGCGTTGATTTTGGGCGAGCATAAAGGGAGATTGAGGTGTCGTACTAAGAAAAGCAGGCCGGGTTCAGCAGGGAATGAAGGATGGGGTCAATATCGATGTGGAGGTAGTGCCGAGCCAGGCTGTGAAGAACAGGCCGAATCAGACGGAGATGGGTTTGCCAATGACGTAGCAACGTTTTCAAAATCTCCGCCTGGAATTGGACGTGGGCCGTTCAGATGATGAAGATTGAAGGGGAAAGAAAAAGAAAGAAACAGGTCCCAGGGGGTGGTTTAGTCAAGATCAAACGATCACTGGTGACCGACGGTTACACAAGACGCCGACCAAGGCAGTCGAGCCGTTTGAGGGAAATAACAATTAAAAAAAATTAGAGGGACAACGGCGCGAAGAGATGGCTCGATGAACCAAGGCTAGGGGACGCAATGTGGGAGATGTCCCGGCTGGCTTGGATGGTGGCTGGGAGGGGGAAGGTTCAAGTACGGGCAGAGCACCGAAAGCAGATCCCACCTACCAATCCTGCTTTTTTGGAAACCGGATTTGTCAATGGGAGCGGGCCTGCTATAGTAGGGACAGGTTTGAGCAGCCTTGATTCAATGGTGTGTGGGCAGATGAAATAGGGACCGGGTTGCTGAAGATTACGGAAATAGGAGAATGAGGATCTGAGCCCTCGATAAAATGCAAGATAACGATGATAATGTGTTGACGATTCAATAAGATGGGAGCGGGGGGTAGGGTGGGCTTGCAGATGAATGGGTTAGATGATAGGGAAAATCTACAATGAAGAAAATTAAAATAGAATAGAATAAAAAGGCGCAAACAAGAAAACGCAACGGTAGTGGTGGTGGAAATGTCAGTGCACGGCATTATCGGCACACAGCAGGATCGTGATTGTACCATCTATGCAGTGCTACTAAGCAACATAGTGCTGTACTTGTTGAGAATTGATAGTGACACCAACAGTACGCATGCATCCATGCATGTTTTAAACGTATTTGGTGGATTGCTGTTCTGATTTTTTCCTTCTTCTTTTGGCCGTCCTCCTTTCTCCGTCTTTTTTTCTTTGCCATGATTTCAGATGGCATTCTGACTTGTCTCATGGCAGGTGCTACCCTGTTGAGACTAGCATCATTGGATTCCCCCCTTCTCTCGATCCACCCTTGTCCACCCCTCCCCTCTTCCCTCCTTCTTTTCCTCTCCTCCTCCTCCTCCTCCTCCTCCTCCTCCTCTTTTGCATATTCAACCATCAAAAACAAGCCGGGAGGAGGAGGAGGCTCTGTGCAAGGGGACACGCGTTATGGCCAGGGGGTGGGAATGAGAGGCTCATCCTGGACAATCCCGTGCTTATCTATCTCATATATTGGCAACTGGGGATATATTGCCCTCCCTATCAATGCTGCAGGCGTGCCGTCTCATTGTCCTCCTCCAGCCAAGCCATTGAAAGCCTCGGATCAGATGTTTGAAATTTATGACTAGGAGGAAGATGAGGGGGAAAACAAGCTTCTGCACATGTCGGGTACAGGAAAGAGTTAGATGAGAGACAACTTTGTCTGATCAAGGCAGAGCGAGAATCAGGGCAGTCCAGAAAAAGTTCGTGACAGGCTAGACAAGGGGGGCAGGGCATGGGAGCATCCACCCTGGCTGCAGATCCGATCCTCGTTAGTGGATATACATAGTACTATAGTAAGTACGTACATAGTTGCGACTTGCAAGGAGAAGGACGGAGGGAGGGGCCGTGGCAGGGAGGTAGAGAGCTGCTGATAGCTCACGTTGAGCATCATCCTGCTGAGTTTTCACGAAACAAGGGAGGGAAGTAGCTCGATTTTCCCCTACGTGCCACTCTAAGGGGGTTCATGAGCATCCAAAGGGCCCTCTCCTTCTTGTTCCCTTCTTTTCTTCTTTTCTTTCCTTTCTGTCTTTCTCGAAAGGTTCCAGTTAATACATCTGAGAGGTTCCCGGTCCCGTCTTGGTGGACACTAAGCTTGGCTGGCCAAGCCCCCTGTAAGATACTGCGTCTGTACAACCCGTCACCATACAACACAGAGTAGTGCGTCATGTACCCTAAAGTACCGTACTCCTCAGTAAGACTCTCTGCCGACATGTGCCTCTAGCTGAATACGAGGACTGACGTCTCCACGGAACCACGCAAGCTTCCTGATAAACTCTACCCTTTGCTTTTCTTCGAGTTACGAGTAAGAAGGGCAAACTTTCGCATTCCCATGAGGAGGATAGCACATGAAAGGCCCTGTCCAGAGGCAAGAGGCAACTGTGTTTTTTCTGTCTTTCGTTCCCTTGTCTTTTTGTTTGTTCCTCGAACACGATGTCCATCTATCCCCTTGAACCCAATTTCCGGCAACAAGACGCCCCCGTGTTTGCCTTACACGGTCACCGGATGGCTGAGAAGGGGGTTTGTCTCACCGGCCATCCACGTACAGTAGTTTCCTGTACTATAGTAGGCGGTATCGAGCAGCATAGTATCAGCGTAATAGTAATACCGTTCTCATGTACCGCGGTGGCACCATTCCCCATCCCTGTGGAGGGGGGCTTGTTTGACGTGTCACACTACTATGGTACATACCTCGCAGCATCCAGCAGGCCCGCAGCGCAGTTCCATTTCACCGCAGGAGCTCGATCAACAGGCAGATCTTAGCTCAGGCGCGTTCAAAAATACGATCCTCACCTCATCCATCTCACGAAGAGGGGGGGAGCGGGGGGCGTATGTACGTTCACGAGATGATCGACGGCACATCGCGATAAGGGGGTGGCATGCTGCGCCGAACGAGGCAGTGCTGCTATAGAAAATGCCAATCGCTGAGACTTGCCATTTTACCAAAGTACCTGCTGAGGGTCTGGGTATTGTACTGTACTATCAAAAGCCCTCAACAGATGGACGACTTGCTGCTAGCAGGACTCCAGCGCCGAGATACCGTTCTTGGCATGTTTGTCTTGTGTTTGGGTCAATTGTGGCACTCTTTAAAACGAAACAACTCGACATAAGTGCTCGCCAATCATGATTCTCTCTCTTGATCGATGATCTCTCCAAGCATCCACAAAACTTTGTAGCATCTGCGCCTATTGGAGAATGGTGACTTCTCCTCCCCCCCTCGCCAAAATCTCGTCTGCACACACACCACTCGCGAGGTCCCCACCTTTCTGTCTGCACCTCGCCGGATGTTACCCGAGCATTTCGTAACCATGTTTTGACAACCTTGGGAAGGCTGTATACGGATTTGCGTTCGAGGAATGGCTGCAGATGAACAGTATGCTCTCGAGCCTGCAACGATACTTTGCATGCGGTGAGATAGTTCTCGGCGATACTTGTCCAGGAATGGTCCCGTGCCAGCCATGAAATGTCACTTTCTGTGGTGATTACTGACCATCCCGATGCGAGATGCATGTCCCACCATCGCTTCGTAGTTGAGCCTTGAACTCGGGAACCTCTGCCTATATTCTGGATTGACTTCTGTCTGTCTTTCTTCTCCATACATTGCGAGAGACAGACAGCCATGAGCATCTCAGCATGGAACAGAGCTCGGGCTTGAAGCAATATCTCGAGACCTAGTTCCTTTGTGATTCATTGACAAGCCACCACTGACATGCGTGTCGTGCCTACAATTAATTATGTGATGCATCTGACCGCGAATATCGTTTCGAGATACAACAAGGTCTGCCCTCGAAAGTTGAACTGTCTCCTCGTATCTTCAATGTTCAAACAGCAACTGGCTCGAGCGTGATCTGAGCTTGAAGAGTCCAGTAGGCTGCGGTACGCTGTCCTCCAACCAACATGTGTTCATCGTTGGCTTGTTACCTTCAGAACGCATAGAATCGAGAATCAGGACGTGATAATAGACGGGCGATCTGGTCCTAATTCAAGAGCTCAGGCAACTGAGCCTCGCCACTTTCCCCAGGGCAAGCATTCCAGAGCTCTCTCAGCAACCTTGGAGGCACCAAATTCTATTTTGAGGCCTTCCTCCCCATAATGTGTTTTCTTGCCCATCTCTCATCCAACCAGCCAGATCCATTGGGCTGGCTTTTGGTCTAATTCCTAGCGTCTATGCCTATTTGGCCCATTATAATATGCAAAAGTTCTACGTGTCCGTCCTCATCAAGAAGCTGACTGCATCGGATGAGAAAGCATGTTTTGCAAGAGAGACTGCAGTACAACCTCATTATAGAGCCATAGAATGTTCGCAGGTAAACGAGAGAAAGACCAAAGTTGGCTCAGCGTTCTCTTCTCGTTTCGATCTGGTGTGGATGAGAGATCGCTAAGTCAAGAATGAGGGAACTTCGGGGCGAATTCAGTTCAATGCTAGGTTCCGACTTGTTCGAGAGCGTAATTATTAGGGATCATCTATGCGACAGCTGAAAGAGGCGACCACTCCCTGCTGACTGGAAATGGCCGTGGCCTATAGAGCTGCGTAGATAGTCGGACTCACACATCATCTTTCCTGTGCGGAATCCTCAGCCTAATTACGACGTTTTATACCTAGATAGGTCACAATATTTCCAGCTTGCACAGCGATAGAGCTTCTCTTTAGAGCTCAAGCATTCATTAAAGTTCGTCTACGAGTTCTGGATCGTTAACGCCTGAACTATTAGGTCAACCTCTGGGATCAACAGAATACTCTGCCACGCTAAGCAACGAGCCTATCCTAATGCCAAGAGCAGCAATGGCCTGCAGAAGGACCTGGAGGGCGAACATGGGCTCAAGCAGAGAATTGATATCCTCCAGGACTGTTGGGGGAGGCCTTAGCAGCATCAAGACCCGTTTACGCAAGGTGAAGGTTTCGTCTGTTTGAGATTTGATACTGTATTTCTACTTTAAAAAAAGTCTACTCTCCCATGATACGAGGAGGACTCCTGATGAGATAGATAGTAGCCAGGACGCCTCTTGCTTAGTTGCAGAAATTTGTCTCAGACTCGACCTCCTACCTTTGTAGTCCAACATGACACAGACTTTCAAAGAGTAATTAACTGTAGTCTAAATAACGCTTTTCAATAAAAAGGATAACATTCTCAAGCCCGGCATTAACGACTTAATGCAGTATGCTCCCGATGGGTAAAGTCAACCTCACGGCTCATGCTCTAATTTCACAGAACTGTTGGTTTGCAGACAAGACCTCGAACAGTAGGCAGAACACATATTCTTAGCTAGAAGCAGCATCCAGGTGACTTCTCGATCTTATCGCAACTTAGTCTTGTTCCTTCTTTGCAGACCTACCTGTGAAATGTACTGCAATTACTTGGTCAATTACTCGAAAATCAGGTCACACTGCCAATGTCTATTGGTGATCTATCGCGTTGCGAACGAGCTATGCTCAGGAGAGGACTCATTCAAGTCAACATTACAACCGCAGAACCTGAGCTGGAAGTGAGGCATCAAATAGGAGACAATTACAGATGCTCAGCTCAGTATAACTTACCATACAGTAAACCGCCCGGCAAACAGAATCTTTCAATGGTCTTCAGTCTCGCGAACATCTGGTTCATCCTACAAATCGATCCTTAGCCCGGATCGATGCCCTAGGTCGTCCTCATTGTGCATTGATTATTACTGAACAATGAATCTAATACTATTTACCCTCTCGTCCAGCACGCTGCTCACAGCCTCGGGAGAGCCTTCACCAGATCCCAAAGGCTTCTGAGGCGCCAAGCCGGACTCGGGACGCTAGACATCCGGTACGGAGGATGCCAACTCACAATAAATTTCCGCCTACTGACACAAAAAAAAAAAAAGGGTTCAATTATAGCTAGTAACAAGTGAACATGCACCCTCATGCTAGCTATATCGACGAACCAAACGCCCCCTTTCTCCGACCAAGATCTGTTGTTATGGCCGCTAGATTATTTATGGCCACAAGCCATACGTAATATTTCTATCCAGTCCGGGGAGCACGAGCGGGCCACAGAAAACGGGCCGGTTGTTTCTTGTACTATATAAATGGTTTGCAGAGATGTGGGGCTCTCCGTGTTGACGTGCTTTGGCCACGGGCGTTCGTCATGGCTTTATCTCCGGGATGGAGGTTAAATCCGTTCCAGGTAGTGGGAGGGTAGATAATTGCACAGTTACCATAGTTCTGATTTGTCGGAATGTAACATATATACTTGAGGATTTACAGAGGAGGGGAGAGGGGGGGAGGTTTTTTGCAATCTCCTTACGCTGCTCAGTCCGTGAGCATCTATACCGGCGAGCGGTTTGACAGGTATAAAGAGAATTGATAATGCTCAATCGCTCTGTAAGACTGGACTCAAGTGCTCTGAACGAGTAATATCGAAAACAAATCGCTTCGATATTTTTCCTCTTGGACCCTCTATTCTCCAAAGAAATGAGAGAGCAAGAGACCCCCAAAACAAAACTAGGGCCATGCTCGCTCCATGAAAATCTTTAAGGGGGCGGAGGGGGGGGGGGGTGTACCATAGTAATTATGTGGTTTTCGCCCTTCCCTTCAACGGCTATCGTCATGGTCCAAATTGCGTGCTCGCAGGCCAGCGATGGCACCTTGCCTGGCCTGATTGTCTGATTCGTCGCGACAGGGCTTGAAAATACTTCCGAATCTGTACGTCTAGACTCTTACTGCTTATTATTCTTTGCATCGGTATAAGTCTAGCCGCTTGGACGTTGGAGCGAACCTGTCTGTCGGGACCCTGCTACTACTTACTAGTCACCTCCTGCGCGGAAGCTACGGTCTCTCTGAAGGAAAAGACAGTCAAGTCGCCCGCCAGCAGCCAAGACTCTAGAGAAACGATGGCCTCAGCCAGAGACCACGAGGTCGACAAGGAGGCGAGCCTGGAAGCCCCTGGGGCTGGCGCATCCCCTTTGCCCACTCGTGACAATGACATCGAGAGCAGCTCGGACGATGCGCTCGACGACAACTTTGCGGTGTTCAAGGCCACAACGGACGCTGCATTTGAGGAGGCGGAGGTGAAGAAGACGCTGAGGAAGATTGACATGCGCATCGTGCCGGTGCTGTTTGTTACCTATTTCCTGCAGTACCTGGACAAGAGTATGTTATGATTGGTGATCCTTTTTTCCCTTTTCTTTCTGGGTTGGTCTGGACGAAGCACACGGATATAATCTCTCTATCCCAATACCTGGGCTGTAGACAGCTGCTGACAATTATGAGCATTGCAGACTCACTCAACTTCGCCAGCGAATTCGGCCTCAAGACCGGTACTCACCTGGTGGGACAGGACTACTCGTGGCTGAGCTCCATCTTCTACTTCGGCTACCTGATCGCGCAATTCCCGGCCTCGTACGCGCTCCAGGCGCTCCCGATCGGCAAGTTTGTCTCCATCGTCACGATCATATGGGGCGCCATCCTCATGACGACGCCCGCGTGCACGTCCTTTGCTGGGATCGCGACGAACCGCTTCTTCCTGGGCGTGACGGAGGCAACGGTCAACCCAGCATTCGTGCTGATCATGAGCGTCTGGTACACGTCTGCCGAGCAACCACTGCGCCTGGAGTCGTATTACTGCACCAACGGCCTGGCTACCATGTTCGGCGGCCTGATCGGCTACGCGGTGGGCCATATCACGACGGGCCTTCCGCAGTGGATGTACGTCTTTATCATCTTTGGAGCCATCAGCTTCGTTTGGGGCATCGTGTCCCTGCTCATACTCCCGGACCTCCCCTCCACGGCCAAGTTCCTGACGCCGCGCGAGAGGGCCATCGCGGTCGATCGGGTCAGCCGCAACAGGCAGGGTGTTAAGAATCGTCACTTCCGGAGGTACCAGGCGGTCCAGTGCGCCAAGGACCCCAAGACGTGGGTGCTGTTCGTCATGGCGGTCGGCGCGCAGGTGCCCAACAGCGCGCTGACGAGCTTCACGAGCATCATCATCGACAGCTTCGGATTCGACACGCTCGGCTCGCAGTACCTGCAGATCCCGGGCGGCGCTGTGCAGTTCCTGGCGCTGCTCATCGGTGGATGGGTGTGCACTCGGTGGCCGCAGAGTAGGTGCATCACCATGATAGTGGCCAATACCATCTGTATCATTGGCGCAGCCTTGCTCGTCGGCCTGCCCGATTCCAACAAGGTAAGTTGTCCTTCTGGCGGAGTGACTATGCATGCAAGCTGACCATCCCCAGTGGGGCCGACTTGTCGCACTCTGGCTGTGCTACTTCCAGGGCCTGGGATTCAGCATGTCCCTGACCATGGTCTCGTCCAATGTGGCCGGGTATACCAAGAAGCAGCTCACCGGTGCTATTCTGTTCACGGGGTACTGCGTTGGCAATATCATCGGCCCGCAGACGTTCATCTCTAGCGAAGCTCGTGAGTTTTCTTCCTCTTTCTCTCCTACTCCTCCTCAGTTCAAAAGACGGTAAAGTGCTGACCAAGCTTGAACCTCACAGCTGGTTACCACAGTGCATACATTGCCATGCTGGTGGGATACGCGGTGAAGCTGGCCATGGTGGTGGTCCTGTATATCTACATGGCCAGGTCGAACAAGGCTCGCGACGCTGCCGGGCATACTGACGGTGCGGCGGCGATTGAGATGGGCATGCATGATCAGACGGAGTTGGACAATCCTGGCTTCAGATATACTCTGTAAAGAGAGGAAATATTGTCAGCAACAGGCGGCGTCTATTGCCTGGGTTTTAGGATGTTTGATACCAAATTAAGAAGAAAAATAATATTGAGAGGAAGAACCGTCAAGGGCCTGCATACGACTGCACAAAATCACTTGATCAAGTAATGTAGCTTTCTCGCTATAGCATCTGCCATGCATGCCTTCATGCATTTTCACCTCGACAACTTCTTATTGGTTTCTTTATCCTGACCTCAGTGGCTGGCTACGTCTTCCCGTGGGACTCGACCCTCTTCTAATTCTGTGGGGGGTGGGGGCCCTTGTCCAGGCCCTGACGTTTAGGAGGGCAGGTCTAGGCCTAACCAAGGTAGAGCGATGACGGCATTGCAAGGCGCCAGAGGTGGGACCTGACCTTGCTCCTGCGGAAGCTCTGCTGCAAGCTTGTCTGGGGACCGTGCTGTGCTATGGGAAAGTCTTGCATATGCGCTGCAAATCAGATCCAACCACTACGTAGTGTTAGCCTGTCTCGAACCAACGACGTGCCCTTGTGTGTGTCTTGAACTCGAAGATCTCTCTTGTGAAAGTCTGTGGGAGCCCTCCGTCACTTTTCTTTCACTTTTGTGTCCTCCCTCCGTCTTTTGAAACTTGTTTCTCTTCTCAAGAGGCCTCATTTCCGTTCACCGCATTAAAATCTCTACCTCCTACAGCTATTCCTCCTCCTTCTCTTTCTCGTCATCTTCCTCTTCCTCCTCGTCTGTCGCATTGGACTCACGACAACAAGGCCAGCCGCATTCCTTCGCACAACTCTACCACATCCGAGTCCTGCGCCAAGAAGAAGTCATGTCGAAGCGTGCCTCCACGATGGCCTCGTCCAACGGCGATGCCAAGAAGGACTTGGTCGACACCACCTCCTCCTGTAGGCCCCTCTTCCCCTCCCTCTCCTCCTCCTCCTCTCGTACTGTCCTTCTATATGCCTTCAAAGGACCCATACTAACAAATGCCTGGAAAAATAAACAGCCTATGACAAGCAAAAGAACCTCCTCTCCTCGGAGGTGGGCCACTTCTCCCTCATTCGCGCCCTGCACCTCGCCGACCTCATCACCGAGCTCAACGGATTCTGCGGCATCATGTCCGTTTTCTCCTCCATGCGCTACCTTCTTGGTGACCCCGCCTCGCTCGGCAACCTATACGCCGCCCTCGCCTTCTTGCCATTTGGTCTGTTCTTCGACTTCATGGACGGCAAGGTCGCCCGCTGGCGCAAGAAGAGCAGCATGATGGGCCAAGAGCTGGACAGTCTCGCTGACCTGGTATGTCTTCCAACAACCCACCCCCTCTCAAAGGGAAATTCCCAACACAAGACAACCTGTCTTCTCGCCCACCCCCCAACCCCACCTCTTCTCGATCACAGGCTGACCACAACAACCGCAAATTGCAACAGATCTCCTTCGGCCTCGCCCCCGCCGTAGTCGCCTTCGCCATCGGCCTTCGCACGCCCCTCGACCACATCCTCCTCGCCTTCTTTGTCCTGTGCGGCCTGACCCGCCTTGCGCGCTTCAACGTGACCGCCACTGCCATCCCCAAGGACGCCACCGGCAAGGCGCGCTACTTCGAGGGTACACCGATCCCCACCTCGCTCGGCCTCGACGCCCTGATGGCCTACTGGGTCTACAGCGGCAACATCCACAACAGCCTGCCCGGCGGCGTCTGGTTCGCTGGCTCTGTGCTCGAGGTTCACCCCGTTGTGCTGCTGTGGGTTGTTCATGGCTGTTTGATGACGAGCAAGACCATTCATATCCCGAAGCCTTGAGAGCGTGGACTGGCTTTTGCCCCACATCCCCGCCCCAAAACGCCACAGCCTCTCTCTGCTTGTGTCTTTACACTGGTGACGACAACGACAACGACGACGACGAGAATTCCCGGCAGTTGGAAATCAGACCGTGACGTGGGGCCTTCAAGGGGGAAGGAATAAATAGGTCGGAGGAGGTCGGTGTTGGCTGCTTGTTTCGTTTTCTTTTTCTTGGGTCGGCATTGGGGACAGTAGCACATCATGGCATGCCGGGAGAAACAGAGAGATGCACTACTGCTATAGGGCTCGGCGTAGGCATGATTATGGTGATGATGATACCTTTCTTGTTTAGTATACGCAGATTGAAAAAGGGGCAGATGCAAAATACTCGGTCTTCCCTTTCCCCTTCAGATACGGCGGCAATAGAAGAATCACCAAGTTTCTCTCCAGATGCCTTTTTGTTGTTGTTGATATTGGGACTCGTGTGTTTTAATTGCGGTATAGTAATAAAGAGAGAGTAGTCGAGCCGATTGATGACTTGAAACCATCTCAGCACGCACACACAGGCCGTGCGTATCCTCAGATAACAGTGCATAAATCATCCCATCATGCAAAGTATAAGAGGATGTATTCCCCGAACTAGTTCCACTGCCGACGAATCTGAGGTGCCGGCAGATTCTCCTAGTCACTGTCATCGTCTTCATCGTCGTCATCCCCTTCCTCCTCGCTGCTCTCCTCCAGCCAGTCTACAAGGACCTTGCACCGAGCTCGGACACCACTCATGGTCTCGCCCTCCGCAGCGCGCTTGTCTCCCCACCATGCCAGGATGCCATCCTCTTCTACGACATCACCGTTGTACATGCGCTGTAGCATCGCCGCGAGCAGGGTACCCAGCCGCGCGGTCTCGACCTCGTCGGCGTGCGACACCAGGCTCTTCTGCACGGCCATGATGAACTCGACCTGCTCCGCCACGCTGCCGCTGCCGACGCCCACCTCCCGCAGGAATTTGGCCGCGCCTATCTTAGCGGCGACGGCCTGCTCTGCTGCCTTTGCAGGCTCCAGCGGTCCGCCTTCTCCAGGGGAGAGAAGCTCCACTGCCCGCCGCACGAACGCCGCCGCTACGGCCCGCCGGACAGAGGCGTCAGAGGCGTCCTGGCCCAGTCGCAGGCCCATGAACTCGAGCTTCGCGCCCTCGAAATCGTCGGCTTCACCGCGTAGTGCGTCCAGCAGCCCGTGGACGGCTTCCTTGTGAAATGCGGCCTTGTTGATGCCAGAACCAGAGTCGTCCGAGGCAAAGGATGAGAGGCGGGATCGGGCTGTCTGATTGAAGAGCTCTCCAGCCTCGTCGTCTTCTGACTCAGTCTCGACCTCTGAGGAGAGCGTGGACACGGAGGAGGTGGAGATGTTGAAATTTGCGACCGAGTAGATGAGCGATTTTTGAAGCTGGGTCGGGTCGGTAGGGTCAATCTCCTCATCATCCTCCTCGTAGTCGTAGACGGCACCCTTGCCCTTTGGCCCGAGAAGCTTGAGGTCGGTCTTGACTGAGGTTCGGTCGTGTGCTAGCACGGAGAGTACTGTGGATGGTGGGATGGAGATGTTGTTGCTGATGGTCACGTCGAAGGAGATAAGTGAGCCGGCGCCGATGGTGCAGTCCTTGCCCACAGTTGCAGAGGTGCCAAGTATGGAGCGCGTGACTGTGGTTCCATCCTCGATTGTGACGTCGTCCCAGATGTAGCTGTCCTCAATCGTCACATTCTGTCCGATGAAGCACCGTCTTCCGATGACGCTGTTCTTTATGCTTGTGCCGCTGCCGACAATGGTTCTGGACCCAAAGACCGACTTTGAGATATCTGCATCCGACTCGAACATAACGCCCTTTTCTCGCAAGACATTCCCCTTGTACATGACGTATGATTGGCCAGAGACCAGATTCGAGTCGGGAACAAGTGGATAGGTCCACCGGCCGAGCACGTCTCGAGTTATAGAGTCGTACATCTGCAGGTTGCTCGCACGTGCTGCATAGCCCTGGTCGACAATCTCGGTGTAGATGAACTTGCCGTTCAGCTCCCAGTCCTTGAGGACACCATGCAGGAAGTTCTTCCTGGGCAGCTCGTAGTCGAAGCTCTCTGACCACAACGCCAGCACGTCCGGCGTGCAAATGTCGATACCTGGGTCGATCAGGTCTGTTCGAATCTCTACAGCCTCTTGTTCGAAGATCATGGGGTCCAGGACGGCGTAGTGGTCGCTCTGCAGAGGGTTCATCTCTTCATAATGCAGACATCTTCCTGATGTCGAGTCCATGGCGAAGATTGGTGTTATTCCCTTTGACTTTGTCCTGTGCTCGCTCAGACCGCCCGACCTCAGCACGACAGTCATGACGGCCTCCCTGTTGGCCTCGCGCCTTGCCTTGTGCTTTGCCAGGGCAGTTTCCAACTGTATGTTTGCCACGCAGTCGCCGTGGACAAGTATAAAATCTCCCGAGATCAGTCCTCTTCCATCCAGGTCGCGCAGGAAGTCGCCGACCGAGCTTGCGTCGGAGACCCGGATGAAGTCGACAGAGGTGAAAGGGTTGATCTTGCTGGTAGGGCTCCAGCGCGGGTGATCGTTGATGTAGCTCTCGATTTGATCGGTGTGGGCCCCTGTGTAGATGATGACCTCCTGAACCCCGTTCATATCAAGGAACTCGAGAGTATACTCGATCAGAGGCGTATTGGCCAGAGGTAGCAGACACTATAGGAGGCAAAGGAGTCAGCATGGCTTGTAACGGGTTGCGAGGAGTGCGTATTGGGTCGCGGGCGCGTACTCTTGGTTTCTCGAGGCTAAAGGGCACGAAGCGGTCCTGAAAGTAGTCTGCCAGTATCTATAGACGTTTTGAACCGTCAGTCAGCATGCTCACAACAATGTGCCCTCTGTCATAGAACTCACGACTGCCTGGAGGACATCCTCGCGCTGCTCATCATTGCCAGCCTTTCCAGAGGGCTTTTTGCCCTTGGCGGCGGCTGCTTTGCCGCTTTTCTGTGACATTGCTCAGGCTTGTATCCTGGGGATGATCTACAGTCGGTCACGATGGCTATGAAGGGGCTGTTCTTCAAGAGATTGTTTCAGGCGTTGTGGTGAGCAGTGCGCGTTCATTGTTCCTAAAGGTTGATGGGTGGGATGGTGGGGTTCTTTCTCGCTCTGAAGGCAGGCCCTGGCATTGAGTGACTCAATTGTTCGAGGTCTCCCCAGTGGAAAAATTTAAGTGGGCACTGGGGGGTAAGTAGTGCGGGACCTGCCGCCTTGGGCGAGCATCCCTGCCACCAAGGCAATGTCACTAAAATTGTATTGAACCTCCTCGCATTTTGGATGAATTACATATCACATGAAATACATCTTCTGGTTGATGCGCCGTGCAAGTGAAATTAGATTTCACAGGGTTACTCGTACTTAGTCTGTACTCTATATTGTAAAGACCCAGATCAGCATTGCTTTAATACAGACACACATGTCATGTAAGCACTGACATGATTTGGTGTACATTTCATTTCCTAGCTCTGTCCCTGCAGTGTTATGTTGTCTTGCAGGTTGATCATGTCTCCGGGGCCAGGCGGGGAGAGGGGGATCTTGTGCCAAAACCGTGGGTGTAAATCCTCAATTTGAGCAGTACACTGGACTCTCTCACTCCTTCTTGTAGTCCCTGCCTGGATACTAGTCTCATATGAGTATATGTTGGTGTCTGAGAATCCTGCTCTGGGCTCGTATGCTCTTCCAAGTGTGTTTAGAGCTAGGATGCCTCTCGGCCTCTCTCCTAGGCTGACAGTAAATCGAATGACCCTAGCACTTATGAAGAGGCAATATTCGAGACGAATTTGTCTCCCAATTTACAGTATACGTCAAGATAGACAACGTCTTGGAGGATGCAAGCAGGCCATGCACAGTGGTGCCATATCGGGCCTTGTGCTTAACAGGTAGCGCCTAATTTGACAGGTCACCAAAAGACAAGGCTTTGATCATCTGCAAGAAACGTTGGGTGAGCCCAGTATTTGTCAGGCGATGTGGGGTGAGATTGAAACAAGGGGAGGAGGGAGTCGTGATTTATTTCTGACAACAAATATTCGGGTTTGTGCAGAAGGTCAATATCATCATAACACAACAGATGGAATGGCTACCCTTTCTTTGCTAATCACTTACTCTTCGCCGCCTACTTGGCTACGTAGATCACTGTGAGAGGAGGCTGATCAATTTATGTTTACCGTGCGAGCCTTGCGTGTGACTTGTTGTTGCAAGTTCTTAGTTGCGTTCACTAAGCATGGCTTGCACTGCCGCAACACCAGCTGACTCGAGTCTTTGTATGTTATGTCGACTACTTGAAAAGCCGTCTTCGCCCTTTGCTTCTCTCCAAGTATGAAGAACCCGAGATCCTGATGATGGTACTTCCATTCCTGGAAGCAAACTCCCGTGGCTGCATGGCACATTGATTTTCGAAACAAAAAGGTCACGTTGGACCAGGAAGATGTTCACCGTTCTTATCAATATTTACAAGACAAGTTCGTGTTCGAAATTGTAAATAAAACCCAATCATTCAGGATCACTACATCAGGACCATCTATGTGTATGTCATTGTGTGGAAAGCAAGGGAACGCAGCATACAAGATATCTGCACTGATGACACTGAAGATATGTCGGCGCCAGTAATGGAAGAGTATCTACTTGTCCCCCAAATCTGACGTTCGGTGTATGGGGACGTGGTAGCGAATTCCAATTTATATGGCCGGCCATTTCAAGCACAGCGCATGATTATATTTGTTGGGGGAAGTAATTGTCCTGTGTCCTAGTGTTGGGTTGTTCGTATGTTGTGTAATTGTTTCACGGATTATTTCCAGGGGGCAGCGACTTCAACAAGGCTCTAATCTCCTCGCACCCAACTCTACAAGCATGTGTTTTATCTGGCACCATACTTTCAAGAGTGATGACAGCTCTGGCACGGCGTAGGTCCAGGCACACCGCCTTCGAAAGGCCGAAGCCCTTCCAGCCAAGGCCAGACAGCAAGGAACTTTGGTTCTTGGAACAAGGCGCACACTCTGGTGGCCATACTTGAACGCCTAGAATCAAACTGGAAGCGGGACGGACCATCTGTCATGACCAGACACGACAGCCTCGTGCCCCAGAATTAGCAAGCCGCACCTGGCTCGGTATGATGCGGTGTGGGTTGAAATATGCATGCTGTCATCTTGGGAATTGGGCTACGCTGATTTGAAGACCAGACCAGCGCCACTGTGAGCGCCATTTCGCACTCGCCGTCTGAGCATCTGCGGGCCTTCTCCCACCTCTTGCGAGTTCATGAGATAGTTAAAGACAGAAGGGGTAGGGTGAAAGAGAAATGATTGTGAGAGGGAGGGAATCCACAAGTCAGTTTCCCCGTGACGCTGACTGCTGCTTGGTAACGAGGGAGATTTCGCCGGCAAAGGTACCCGTTCAGGAATAATGACCCACGCCGATGACAGTAATACGAAGAAAGAATTATGAGCAAGTTTTGTATGGAATGGTACTAGGAGCCTGTAGATAATAGCCTTGTTTTATGAAAGAATCCTCCCGAAACCTTTTCTATGAATCAGGGTTGATGATAATTGTTGACAATCCTTCTTACGGATCACGTCTGAGCCTTGAAGAAGGACGGACGTCGGCACTCACTGGACTGACTGTTGCCCCCTTCCCGCCGCTCCCGAGCGCGGGCAAATCTTCCGAGGTCTCGGGATACCGGCTACATCATCAGCATCCTTCTTGACATGTGGGATTTGTGTGATTTATGCATGCATGCATGTGTGTTGTGTGTGTGTGTGTGTGTGTGTGTGTCAAATGTATGCTCAGGCGTGTTGTTGGTTTGGAATACTTAGTACCTATTGATGGTGTGGGGAGGGGTGCGTGCGCTGCTGGACTAGAAGATCAGAAACAAAAACGGCTTAACCGAAGTGCCGATCGATCTTTATCTTGGCCGGAATGAATGATGGATCCTCACATGTGCCATTCCATACCACTTAACCTACATACCTCTAACATGTAAGCTGTGATGTGATGAGTGATGATGATCATCATCACCAGACAGGTCCCGGGCCCCAGGGTGGAAATCTAGAAGCCTAGAGACCCGCACAAAGGGTCCTAAACGGTCTGGGCCCTCGTCTTTGCGCCGTGTACCACACACCATCAATCACACCTTTCTAGTAAGTATTTGGGAGGGTAAATAGGTAGGGGGTAAGGAGGTATTCAGGCAGAAAGAACATCGAACAGGTTCTCGACCATCACCGCCAGGGTTCATTCTGTTCTACGTTGCTACACAAAGCCCTCTCCTCCCCTCCCTTTCTCCCCCTCCCGAGAAGAGTGTTTCGAATCCAGAAAGACATTCCAGATGTGATGGGATCAAGTATGTAGGGCTTATGACGGGGCGTATTCATCTCGTTCAGTTGTAGCTTGCATTGATTTCCCACCATGTAACAGCCTAAGACTGTACTTTGCTTATTTTCACAAGCCAAAAAAGAAAAGCACTCATGTAAAAGAATGGTCTGGCTGGCTCTAGGCAAAAAGCCCCGGTTTTAGACGCACTCTAGACCACTACAACCACCCCTGTATGTGTCACTTATGATATCCCACACCAACACACACACACCAGAAGGGCTATGCGAACAGGGATTCTTTTCTTTCTAAAGCGTGCGTCAAGGGCTGAACCTCCGTCGACGAAAACCCGTGGCTATGAGGATCTGAACCAGAGCTATTATAGTAACGTCGTTGGTAGAGCAGTAAGTAGTATGTAGCATTAAATATTTATGCCTTGTACAGTTCGGATTACCGGGAAGTTGAACTATCCGGAATGATGATGAGATTCCAGTTCTTTCTTTTTCCAGCTCTCTGTGAAGTATGAATGCTGCTGTCCTTCGGGTCATCTCGTGTTTTGTGTGTTTTCTACTCTCATTTTTTTCTTTTTTTTTTCTTCTTCTTGGCCTCTCGTCCTCCCTCTTCGCCCTCCCTCCCTCCTTCTCTTCTGCCCCGACCTCGTTTGTTATCCGCGGTAGAGAGCACAGAGTAGTAAAAATGTTTACACGAAAACCCATATAGACACACAAGTCCAACCTCGCGTAAGGGCGCGCGTCGGCAAGGGAAACCCGCATCAAACAACCCCCCTCCCCACCTCTTCCCAAGGTCCCGAAAAGTTGAACTACGTAGAGGGGGTGGTGGGTCGGTCCCAAGAGGTCCAGACCTGTGATGGACTGACCCCGTGCGCGCGCCTCTCTCTTGCTCCGGGATGCACGGGACCGCCACGGTTCTTGATTCGACACAAGGGGCTCCGAGAGGGGGGTAAAAAGGAAAGAGAATAGAAGGATAGTCGGACAAAATAGACAAGAGGAAGACACAGATCCGTCAGTCATCTCGATTCTCAATCATCAAGCAGCCTTGTTCCCGGTTCTTCTCTCTCTCCCTCTTCTTGTCCTTCTTTCTGTTACTGTTCTCCTTCATCACATCCCTCCCCCCCCTTCACCCTCCAGTTGAGTCGAGCGCGTACTGTGTGTTTGGCTGCTCATGTCATCGTGACCGCTACTCTGCAGCATCTCGCAAAGTTCTACACCGACCTCCCTCGAGATCACTTGACTGATTACAAAACAGTTACCGGTTCATTCTGGGACACTTTCCTTCTTCTGTCTTACCTCTTCTTCTTCTCCTCTCCCTTCCCACGTCACATATATGATGCAAGATTGCATTTAACCTTTTCGATCATGACCATCCCGTGAACAAGAAGCAACCCTCGCCTCTTTCTCCCCCCCCCCCCCCTCTCTTACCTACCTTAGCTCCAACGGCCAGGCCTGGGCTGGTGGGGGCCTGGCCTGCACTACACTGTACCGCACCCGAGCCAAGACCCTTCCCTCCAGTGGTGGGGGTTCCAGGCCATTCGATGGCCGCCACACCTGAAAACAAAACCAGGAGCATCAGCACACGGGAATGACAGGAAACACAGAGACACAGAGAGAAAAGGTAGGGGGTTGGAAAGGGGGGAATAGTTTGAGGATGTGTGTATAAGTGTGTGTTCCTGCGTGTGTGCCTGCATGCCTGTGCAAGGCGGCGGTGGAAAGAACCAAGTTCATCCATCCGTCCGTGGAACTATCTGGTTTGCACTCACATGCTCCGTCCCCCGTTATTGCTGTCATGCCATATATCGAGATATATATACATTTTCCCAGCAAACCCCGTCGCCGTTCGTCTTACCTTGTTTGCTCCACTCTCGTGGGGTTTCCCTTGTGCGTTGGGATACCTTCTCCGGGCTTTGCTTTATCTTGACACCTCTCTTGATTTTTCTTTCTATTCTTTTCCCTTCTTTTCTTTTCTTTTCTTGCCCTTATGTTCCACACCACAAACACTATTTTCTTTTCTCCCTAATCCAATACGCTTCCAGGCCCCAAGATGGTGTCATGACGAGCCTTCGAGCCTTCGACCATCACTGTTATAAGCCTGCGCCGTCATCTTTCCTCTACCCAGGTGGTTACTCCCACATTTTTCAGAGAAAGTTTGCACGTTACACTCAGGCACACACGCATACACATCCACTCGTTTTCAGGCATCCTCCCCTTCCCTGCCTCCCACCTGGCAGGGATAGATAGCAACCCCCCAGCCTTCTTTCCTCTCCTCTCCTCAACCCTCTTGTCGCAGCAGCAGCAGCACCAGCACCACCCCACCACCACACACAACGGCAGCAGCAATGACGACGACGACGACGACGACGACAATGACAAACAAACCCCCACCACCCCTTAGCTAAGGCACCACACAAGGACGATAACACGAGACCAGACGAACACGAACCCAAAGCTTGCTCCCCCCCCCCCCCAAAAGCGACATGGGTGGAAAATACGACAAACCCACACCCCACCAACTTTTCTCTCCTAACCCCTCCACGACGACTCAACATCCCAGTCCCCCGCCCTCACACCGTTTAAGACCCTTGAGGGGCCTGCAGCAGCAGCAGCAGCACCACCACCACCACCAGCAGGGTCCTTCCTCTGCATGGCAGCGACTCCTTCGGCGATTTCGGAATGGAACTCTAAGGGTACCTTGGTTGGGGGCCGGGGGGAGAGGGGGGGAGGGGACCCTTCATGTCGTAAGAAAAAGACGTGAACCAGGCATGACAACCACGTTGATGAATCGCTTCCATGGTTGTTGTACATTTCCTTGGTTTTTTTTTCTTTCTTTCTTGTTCTTTTATCTCTCTCTCTTTTTCCCCCTTCTTATTTTAATCTTACAGTCGACTTGCCTCCGATGATGCCTCGACCTGTCTTGCATGCTGTCGTTTTCCCAACCTTTCTACAACGCTGCGCAGGACGAGTGTCACCAACAGCTGCTGCCTCCAAGCCCTCCTCAACATCTAGACACAACCAAAAGGGCAGGGAGGGGGTTGGGTTTCGGGGGCAGGCTTTCTCTATCTTCAAATGGTCGTCAGCCATCAACCCGCCTGGCAAGACAAGTGTCAACGATCCTCCTTCCTGAGTCTGCCCGCTTCAGTTTTGATGCCAGTGCACAAGATTCAATCCAGTATGCAGTTGTTGGACAGATGCGACATGTCTCATTGAGACTTCTTCCTAGTTATCCCGACAGGGCGTTTTCCCTTTCCGAGTCTCATGCTCTACACATAACCATTGCTGGGATAGGTACTCTCCGCCTGCCAATTGCCTTCAGAGGAGTCTGCAAGGGGAAAATCACATGTTGGTGCACTTGGTGCAGGCCGCTTCTTCTCTGCAGCCCCGCCCATCCTTCGTCCCTCCCCCTTTCTATAAGATGCATCCTAGCATGCGCACAGCGGTACCCAAAATCACAAAACAGAGGGTGAAAGAGAGAGAGGGGGGGGGGGGGAGGTAGAAGTTTGGGAAATCGTTAGGAAGGTTCGCAACGGGAAAAGCGCGACGGATGCCTCGAAATCCCCCGCCGAGGACCCAGAGGCACGATGCTCCCCCCAAACGCCGCTCGTGAAAGCTCAAATGGAATCAAAACAAGCCAGGCCTTACGGAGGTAATCGGCAAAACTCATGCGACCGAACCGTATATCTTATGTCGCCGCGAACAATAATAGAGAGGCTGGAAATCGAAGGATGCCGATAGATGTCAGTTTGGGTGTTGTGCCTCCCGGCTGGTCCAAGATGCATTCGAAGTTGTCGAAACACACGAGAGCGCGCCATGGGAACACGCACACAGCGCATATATGATGGCCAAACAGCACACGACAACAAACACACAAACTTTTTTTCTTGATCGTTCTTGAGGGTGGCTAGTTGGAGGAGGAGGACGACGTGGAAGAGAGGGCTTTATTGCCTGTACCCAGGTCCGGTCACAGGCGTGTACATGCGCTGGCGCTTTCCGGGTGGCTCACCACCACCGCCGCCACCACTCATGTCTCCCGTCATCCGTGGAATCGGCGGTGTCCCCATCTGCGGCGCAAATGATCCACTCGGGGTCATGACCATCTGTGGACCACTGACGCTGATGGTGCCGGACATGTATCCCCCATCCATATTGGGCGAGGTGTGCTGCGCAAGCTGCTGACCTGGCGAGTGCCATGAGCTGCTGGTGGCAGGAGAATTGATGGGCGTGGTCTCGAATTTCATGCCGGACCCCGTGACTGGAGGAGGAGCGTTATACGTGGGTGTCGAAACGCCAATGCCCGTCATGGGCCCTCCGTTAGGCTCAAGGTCCGCCGCGTTGGGGTTCTTGAGCATGTGACGGCAGTATTTTTTGACAACCTTGACCATGCCCTCTTTTGTGAAAGGCTTTGCTAATGTGTCGTTCATTCCTACAGACCAGTCAGTCCCAAATTACACTCGAGGGTGGAAAGGGAGGAGTCGGGGCTTTTCCTTACCAAACTGATAATAGTGGTTAATCTCCTCGGCTCGAATGTTGGACGTCATGGCAATGATTGGCACGGTCGGCGAGACTGTCCTGATATATACCGTGGCCGACACACCGTCCATATTGGGCATGATAATGTCCATGAAAATGACGTCGTACCGATCCGGCTCCGAGTTGATCTTGTTGACGGCTTCCTCGCCATTTTGCTGCAAATGGTATTAGCGCCATGCAATTGCCTCGAACCTGCTTGCTTCGAATCAAGAAACCTACCGCGAGTTCCACCGAACATTCAATCTGGTGCAGGAATTTGGAGCCAATCCTCGAGCAAGTCCTGTCATCCTCGACCAGAAGGATTCTTGGCTTCCTCTCTTCCCAGATGGATTCCTCCTTTCTTTTATTTTGAAGGTTGATCTGGGCTGGCATCTCGGGTGGTGGTCCCTGGGGTAAGGGGAACGGCAGGTTGTTGACATGATCTGGATGGAAGGGATCGATACCGACGTTCGGTCCAGCAGGGTACACGAGATGGCGGGGGTCATCCATGAAAGGGGTTCCCATCATGTTGGGCGGCAAGATGGCGGAGTTGGGCTGCGAGAACATGATCGAGCTGGCAGCTGAGTCCGGTGGCGAGTTCGCCTGGTACGCAACAGATAATCTCTGGAACGCGCGATCTGCGGGGGCGTCTGGCTCGATGGCGTTCAGCAGGTCCCGTGCCCTCCGGAGCTCGATGGAAGGCTCATCATTGCCGTCAGGGAGCACGCCCAAGGCGCCATTGTGGAAGTTGGACGACTGGCCGGAGTGTCCTGAATGCCCCGAGTGCCGGCTGTTGCGTCTATGCTCGTCGAGGTTGTTCAGGTGAGTGAGCAGCTCGGTGTTGACCTGCGTGGTGATCTTAACGTTCTTTTGCAGCGCCACGAGCTCCTCTACCAGGATCTTGTTGCTGCTGGTGAGCTGGCCGACGTGCTCTTGGAGCTGCTGGACCTGGTGCTGTGTCGCGTTGAGCTGCTCGGTGAGGAGGGCCAGCTGGTTTGCTTGGTACACATCCTCGGCAGGCTGTGCCTTCCTAGGCGCAGGTGCCTTGCGACGGATGTTGTCCAGGTTCCGCTTGTTGTGGATTGTGAAATCGGGATGCTTGAACTCCCACGCCTGCGACGATGGTGGTGAGATGCTAAGTCTACAGAGGTCATGATCCGGGATAACGTGCTACTAACATTAGGACCGTACGGGGATTGGCCATTCTCCTCGTTCTGTCTGACCTTGTGGAAGTCATATTTATTCAACTGGCGGACAAAGCTGGCGAAATTGCTGTGCTTGAAGTGCTTGGGCAGTATGTCGTTGGTGAACTGGTTGTTCTGTGCTCGGAGAAACTTGGTCAGAACGGGTTCTTCCGCCCCTGCTCCTCCTTTCTCTTCACCTCCGGGAGGTCGACAGCAGGGAGGGGGTGCTGGGCATTCAGGAGCTCACCTCAAGCACAACGAAGCTGTCGCCACCATCCCCCCATCGAACGATAGATGCATACTGGGGATCCTCTAGCATCCTATTTTCCAGTGGTCAGTATGAGTCGGCGGTCCATGGAAGGCGCGTCAAGATAGGTCGAGCATACTTGTAGAGCTTGCGAACCTGTTGGCCGTTGCGCCGTTAGTGCTGAGTCTTGTTTCTGGGCAGGGAAGAAAAGAGGGAGGAACAAAGATAAAGGATCATCAACGGTTGCTGGCGATCCGCAGGACAGACGTACAAAGTCGCTAGAATTGCTGCCTCCTCCACTAGGCGCAGCCATATCGCCTTCGGGCGGCATGGCAGAGCCGCCTATGGTCTTTCCTGCGGCGTTGTGACTGGACCGTTCAACGACCCGTATGCAAAGACTTGCGCTACTGTCAGGGCGATGATATTTGACCGCACCACAGCCAGGCCGACCAGACTCGTCGCGGTGCGTACTCCGACAGAGCGCGGTTCCTCTTTATCCTCTTGTAGCCTCCCAGAATACCAGGCGCATGGACTTAAAAATACCCTCGCGCGTTCCCAGTGTTAACTGTAGAGAAGGGGACAAGGGGCCCGAAAGCGCGGAGAGAGAGAGAGAGGGAGAGGAAGAGAAGAAGTAAGAAGCGTCGAGGTATATTGGCCTGTGAAGCGTCGTATTGTATCGTTGGCGGCTCAGAACTTGGACTTGTCCACTACGTAATCGGGAGGGCGGTCGCGATCGATGTTGGGAAGTTCGCAATATCGAAAATAGCCCTGATGCGAAACGTGGGGGAGGGGAAGAGTCGCGTTGACCACAAAAAATGGCAAAACGTTGAAACGAGATGCGATCGTCAGAAACAGAGAGAGATATTTTGACAGGTATTGTTGATTCTGGGAGGGAGTTGGAGATTGGTGGGCGGCAGCGGGCGGTGGGCGAGCGATCTTGGCGTGGTGGTGCTTGGGTTTAGTCGAGGGTAGCCAGCCGTGGGTAACTTGTTGAGTAGCAGTAGTGGCGTTTAGTCTTAGTCTGGAGGGTCAAGTACCGTAGCGCACGGTTCGAAAGCGCCCGTAGGGACGTCCTGGTCTTCTGATAACTAGCTGGAATGCGGTTTCGTTTCGCCCAGCAAGTAGGGGGCGGAGAGGGCAGGCAAGTCAGGTCTTGTCAAGGTTCGGGGCAGGCCCTCTCTGGTGGGTGGTCGCGGTCTGCAGCCTGGTACCTATTCCCCAAGCTCAAGGAGTTACCAGCCAGTCTGCCTCTGAGTCTCCCTGTGTGTGTTTGTGTGTGTGTGTGTTTGTCTCTCGCTGGCTGGAGACAGGATGAGAAATTCGTGAGAGCCAATCTGCTGGATGAGCAGGGGGGGGGTTGCTTGCGTGGAAGAGCCGAGTGCGAGGTGAGCCAAGTCAGCCCGGGCGGGCGCTGTAGGGGACTTCCCAAGAAAAAAGACGGAGACGGACGGGGGTGCCACCACCAGCAGTCTGACAGGGACAAACGCTGACGTCCGTGGCTGGAGGGACTTGGATGTGGATAGTAGTAGTAGTAGAGAGAGAGAGTAGCCCCTAGTAGGAGGCCTGGTGGTAGTGTGTGTGGTGGCGGCGGCTGTCTGGTTCTTGAGAAATGGGAGAGACGTCGTCCGTGTGTATACCAAGCGAGTACTGTCAATTGTCACTGTCACCGACACTGTCGAGGAAGGAGGAGAGTAAAAAGATTAGATTGAGAGGGAAGGAGAGCGAGAGGGAGAGAGAGAGCAAGAGCCCTGTCCGAAAAATCCCAAATCAGGTCCAATCCAACCCCAAAGCAGTCATGCTCGACGATCTGACCTGGTCTGTTCCTCTCCTTCACTTTTCCCTTCCTGCCCATTGACCTCATTTTGCTTCGCTGCTGGGCTGGGGGCCCTGTTGGGGCTTTGCTTTTTGGCCACTGCTCTGGGATTGGTACATAGTACCCAGCCTGCCGAGGTACGTACATTGTAGTACTTGCACAGTTACAGAACCACCGCACATTATTACGCACGGAGAGCGAGAGGAATGGGCAGAAATGGGCAAGATCCGAGGGCGATCTTCACCGAGCATTTGCCAAACTGCCAGACTGCCAACCAAGCGCCCCTCCTCTTTTCTTTCCCCTCTTCTACCCCCTCGTTTTAAGTTCTGTCATGTTTACCCGCTTTTTGAATTGTTGTTGGTTGGTTGGTTGGCTCGTTCTGTGCTGTCAGGTCCTACCCACTGTTGTACTAATAGCAGCTATGTGCTGTCTTTGGTGATATACTCAGGTGGCAACCAAATTTTGAGAAAGGGAGGGGGGGGGGCACACACACACTTGGATGGACTGGGCGCTGTAATGGCGCGTAAAAAAAGGCCTGCCTGTAAGCTTGGCATACGCAGTGCTGCCAGCTGCCAGTTGGGAGGTGAACACAGGCTGGGCAAAGGAAGGTGGCAAGGTGCCAGGGTGTCAGAGTCCAGGGCATCTCAAGGGTATCAGGGTGTCCGGTGCCCACTAAGCACAGTAGTAGTAAGGTGTTGTCTGTGGGTGTGTGGGGTCCATCCAGTGCCCCGGCGCCCCGGAGCCCCCATCGATCCAGCGTCTCAGGGTCCATTCATAGTCAGAGACGTGTACCTTTGTACCTCAGCGAGAGGCACCGCAGTACGTGGTAATCTGTGCCCGAGATTATCCCTCTGTACTAATTGAGTGTACTTCCAAAAAAAAAAAAAAAAAAAAAAAAAAAAAAAAAGGAATTAGAGAGGGCCTCTCAGTCATCGTGCTATATCTCTCTCTGTTTCCCTGCCTTCAGGGTGCTGGTGTGTATCCTCAGCAGCTTTTTCTTGGCCCTTTTCTTTCTGCCTCTTTTCCTCTTACCGGTTCTTGAGGGCCCAGATTAGGTGTGCGGCGATCTTCTCTCTACATTTCACTAAAACTGACTCTCCCTTCGAAGACATCAATGCTGAGTGAGGAAAACGAGAGTGAGAAAGGGCAGTGGGGTCGGACTATGGCTCTGATGAAGGATCTTGTTTCCGGTCCTAATCCCCTCTTTGGGCTGAAATCGATGGCGATCCTCAGCACCCCCGTCTTTCCTCCCCTTCTGCTATCCGACATGTATTTTCCCGCCTTTTCTCTCTTTCTTCTTTCTTTCTTATTTTGTCTCGCCCTTCAGCAAGAGCACACTCGTACTGTGGTCCCTTGCTCAGGGTTACCATGCTTGTCAGCTGCAACCTGTGTGAACCACAACCACGTGCACATCCCATTTTTTTTGGGGGGGGGGGGGCGGTTACTGGCGTCCGCTATAGATCGATCTTCATCGCCGCTCCTGCTCCTGTCCTTGATCTACCGCCTACATCCGACGGCAGTCTTGATCCTTAGGTCTCATCAGAATTTCGATGCTGAGACAAGTAGGAGAGACAATGGAAGAGGTTCGAAGGGATTAGTCCGTCCATCTGTTACCACAATGCCAACCTTGTCGGGTTACTGAATTAGGGACTCACGATGCGCACGTGTCAGAAGGCCTCCTTCGTACTCGTTTTCTCGTTTTCTCTTTTTTTCCTTTTCTTTGTTCTTTTTTTCTCTTCTTTTTTTCTTCTTTCCATTTATGAATCCCTCAAGACAGGTACGCCAATCCCTGCCGGTTTGGCCTTTTAGGTCCCTTGACGCCATTTTCGTTCAATCATAGCTCACCGGGTCCCAGCCGGTAGCTGTCAAGCAACCTATCGTCAGGACCGAATCGTGTCGGAAAAGCGAACGGAACTGCAAGGCCCCGGGGTGACAGAAGTGTGGACTCGTCTGGAGGGCCACGACTTCCTATGACATAAGCCCGCCCACAAATACATGAGCCTGGCAGGTCAAGCAGGCCTTGTCATAATGGACAGGCCTTGGCCCCGTTCCCACCACAGCCCCATAAATGTATTATGTCTTGACACTCGAACGCTATGTGGCCCTGCTGCTGAAAGATGGCGTCCTGATCGGACTCCCCCGCGTTTCCCCCCCTTCCCCCTTCTCTGTTCTATCTTTGTTCCCTCCTCCCTTCCCACCCTCCAATCTTCATCGTCCTCCAAGTCCTCCTCTCGATTACCGAAGGTCTAGACCATTCGACCCAGGAAAGAGGGTCCTGGAGCTGCAACCTTGGTTCCAAGCTTATCAAGTTCGCTGACCCAGCTGTCGAGGACCCCAGCAGAGGCAGTCCCTGGATGACGGGCATAAGGCACGGGATCTGGGTAGATCTAACTCGATCACTTTCCATGTGCTCGTGTGCCAACAAAATGACGGGTCGGAACCTGCCGACATGAACACCATTGAAGAGGGAGGAAGGGAAAAAGGGGGAAAAGAAAAATCAAACAAAATTACCCAAGCGGGCGCACTGCAAAAGTGAAGGAAAAGAAACAAGGGCAAGCCCGGTACAAGCATCAGCCGCGAACTTGATCGAGAGCCAGATGGAGGGTGAGGAGGGGCCCCCTAGGACTCAGCTCGCCTACGGTAGAAGCTCATTTCCTCTTCTGGACGACTATTTTGATTTCTTATATCTACATAAATCTTAAATAATGGAAGAGTTAAGAAGAAAAAATCGGCCAGTCAGGGGTCGCAATTCCCAACCAGTATATGCCTCTCTCTCTCTCTCTCTCTCTCTCTCTCTCTCTCATACCCCCTCCCCGGCTCCCCTTTTCTTTCCCTCGTGATTGTAGCCGCCGAACTTTTCCCATTTTTCCTTTCTTTTTCCCACCAACCTTTCTGTTTTGGGACTCGTGACGAGACCGCTCATGAACCCAAACCAAACCGGGCACGGGATCCAGCGATACGGTGGTGCGAGGTGTTTCAGCCAGCTCTTCCTTCTTGTGCTCACCCCCCCCTTTGGGGCGAGAGGATAGAGTTTTTGCTTTCAGTTAAAGATCGTCGTGCGTGGTGTGCCGGCGATATAGCAGGCCGCTCCAACATCGGAAATCCGACCGCACCAGCCGTGAGAGTTGTCAATAGTTGTGGTTCATAATTCAGAGACATACATGATCTTGCCCTCTTGCTATGGTGCAAGTCACGGATCACGATCGAACAGCTCACATGGTAGGACAGCCAAACACCTGACCCGCCTACTGAATCGTCGAAATGCCTATCCAGGGCGCGATCATTGGCTACAGAAGTATTTGCAACTTTGTCTTTCGAGAGGTGCTGTCTCAACATATCAGACATCCCGCGGAGGCCAGCCGGGACGTTTCTCTCCAGGCTGGTCTGACAAGGGGCAAAAGGCTAACTCTCTGCTCAGGCACATCTTGTCTTCTTGCTGAGTCTCGTGGGAGAAGAGAGGAATTTGGCCGCTGCGGAACAAACTCTGCGTGCCTGTTCCTTTTTTTTTTTTTTTTTTTTTTTTTTTTTTTTTTTTGGTAGATGCCGGATGCCCCGAAACATCGAAGGCGCGGTGCCACCAGTCCTATCTGCCGGACCGTGTTCCTCTACTCTACGCCAAGGAACCTCGGCTGAACTTCCTTTTGCTCGGGAATACGAATCGTTGTGAAACCCTCTCCTCCATAGGGTGCACAATGTGATAAGCGAGGATTTGAATGGCATGGAGGCCCTTGGCCTATGAGATTGTAGGGGAAAATAGACTCTCAACCCGAGTCGTCAGGTAAAGGGGCGCGCTTTGGTCGGTTGGTTTTTTTTCTTCCTTTCATTTTGCATCGGCAGGTCATGGGTACCGTAATATGACCGCCGTAGCCCCGAGTCGTGTCCGGACATTTTCTTCCAGCTGCCTGCATTTGTCTATCTATAGTATAGTATATACTTATCTCGGGTGCCCTTTTGGTTGCATCCTCCTGACTCTACGTAGTATCTATTCTCTTCTGCAGAAACCTCAAAATAGCAAAACTTTGTCAAAACTCTTGGGCAACCTCCTTATTCAGCAGCAATGTGATTCGTTAATCTTCCTCTTCCTCCTCTAGCTAACAATCCTTCTCCCCCCCCCCCCCCTTTCACGCTGATGTTTTCAGAAAATTGCCAGCCGATCGCGCCATACAGTCCGCCTCGCCCACGATCACGAGCTGCGGCCCCTCCCGCTCCGCCAAATCTCCGACCACCCTGCCCTGTCGAAGATGCTTAGGATGTCCGGATTTTTACTACCACCCAATCTCCAGACTCTTACCCTAAATTTCAGACGCACACGTGTGAAAGGTTGATGTAGCGCGAACCAGATCAGCGGATCGGAGCTGCCGCAGATGACCTGTCTCGAGTCAGGTCGAAGGGAAAGAGGGAACCGGCGGCGAGTATAGAGCGTTTTATCTACAGGTGCGGGTGGAAGGGGAAAAGGGCAGGAATTTTTCATCTTCTTTTCGCCTTGCCCACTGACATGAACGAGTGCACGGCAGGGGCGCAAGAACGAAGCGGAGGCAAAGAAGAAAAGATTACTACTCTCTACATATCGAAATATGGGCGGGCGGGGGCGGATGTATTCGACCGTGCCCGCGATCCCTCCACCACCTTATGTACAGGCGACGTGAACCTTAACAACTGCTTGCTCTACCATTGCGTTTCCTTCTGCAAAACTGACCAGCTCTTATCTCATTTGTCTTGAGAGGCATTGATGATCTTGTACGGGGGGGAGAGACGAGGAGGGTTTGTTCGTAGCATGGGCAGGACATGATTTTCTACAATTCGGATACTCGGTACACCAAATAAAGAAAAAAGGAGAAAAAAGCGATATTGATAAGAGTCACACATATCATTCCTATTACTTAAATCAGAAGAAAATTTTGACCAGGAGCTAAAAGAGGAAAACCCGCCAAAAAAGAAAACAGCTATTGCTGGCAGTGCGGTTCGAACGCACGCATCCTTTCGGATAGCAGAGTTTATAAAGTTAAGTCCCTTCTGAGAAGAACCACTCTTAAATCTGCCGCCTTAGACCACTGCACAAAGTTTTTTGCGTTAGCGCCTATTTGGATCGCGAAATTCCCGCGCGCGCGCAGGCGGCCAGGAAAAGAGTCGAGCGTCACACGTACCTCGGCCATACCAGCGTGAATATGATTGGTTCAATTTAAGAAAATTGTTTGATATATATACACAGGATCTTTGGTGGGGGTTAGGGGTTGGTGGTCTTCTTCTTTCACCACCACTTGTAGGTACCCTTCTTTGATACTATGTATATGTATTTCTTTCTTTTCCTTCTTCTTTTGGCATGTATTTTCTCAAGATACTTTTAATCTGATGCGTTCGCACGTTGTAAGGTCATTTCAGCCCAGATACGAACAGGCATCCTAAAGTGCGGTGTGAGAGCTTCTCAACAGCATCATTTGTCCTCCGAGTCTGCTGCCGAACGATAGGCTCACGTTCGTCTGTGCGGTTCGATGGGCATATGATCTTAGATTTCGCTTAATTGCAATTAAAAAAAGTATATTGGAATTTCAAGTTGTTATAATGCCGTATCTCTCGGCCTCCTTGAATTCCATAACCAGACTCAAGAATCAAAAGATGAGTGTGAAACCCCCCTTCCCCCCCGGAAGCCCGAGAGGCCTAGCCGTCAGGATAGAACTCTTTGACGTTGGACACGAATGTGCATGTCTTTGCGTCAAACTTTTTGAAAAACTTCCCAGCATCTTCCATCAGAGTCTCGGGTATGAGCCTCGGGTCATGGATGATCTGGATAGCATCTTGCGCAACGACAGAACGATCGTTTTTGTGCGTCCTGTGAACAAAGATGGTCAGCTGAATTTTCCCCTGGCTTCTCTTACATGCCCTCCCGATATAGTGTTGTAACTTACAGACACGTGTAGAAAACCTTCTTCCTGAGTCTTAGCCCGATCGTGTCACTGTCCGTGCCGGAATCCGACAACTCATCCATCAGATCCTCCATGGCCAGGCTGGGCGCCCCAGGAAGCGACGACGTCCCTCTCTCACCCCAGCCGTTGATGATCCCGATATATGCATACCGCTTGTGTCGGAACACCTGCCCTACGGTGTACCACACGGTCTGGTTGATCTCCTGCGTGTACCGCCTGTTGACGGTCGGCGTCCTGTTGTCCGCGTTGCGGATCAGACGCAGGACCTCGGGCACGTTCTCCAGCGTGAATCGGTGCCGCGGCTGCACGGTATTTGTGTGAATTTTGTACAGCGGCGTGAGATACATTTCGACCATCCAAGCGTCCTCGGGGAAGTAGTGCGTGACGAAGTGCAGGAAATGGTCCAGTGAGCTGTCCCACTGGAAATTGCTCACAGGAGTCATCAGGAGGTTCGCCCAGTGGGCTGCGTATACCGAGCTCTCAACGGTGCGCTTGGAGGGGGGGCGGTCGGCTCGGAGGACCGCGAGGTGCTCGACCGAGAGGTGCTCCTGTCTCCGGTGGATGAAGTCGTGGAAAGTCATCTTCATATTTCGCCCTACCCGCTGTACCAGAACCGGGACTGGGGCGGGGACGAGGAATGCCTCCTCCCCGTGCAGCCAGTCGAACTCGACAAGCCTGGACCGGAGGTCCGCCAGATGGACCTCCTCGCTCGAGCCATATGGGTCGAGGAACATCTTGTCGACATCCGTCGTGGGAGGTTCAATCTGTTTCCCGTCTAGGTCGTGTCCCAAGGGCGCCATAATCATGGCATGAACATGGCTTGGAAAGGCGCAACAGGCAGCGCGCAGGCCGGCTCGCTCCGCCAGACACGTGTAGATGGCACACGATACCAAGGGGAGAGAAGGGTGGTTCTCGTCCCGCAGCGCGTGCCCGATCAGACAGTTTCGCAGGCAGCGGTAGTTTTCCCCAGGGTTGTCCATGCCCGTCAGGTTCCTGTCCCTCGTCCACTTCAGCAGGGCCAGTGCCTTGTCGCGTGTAGATAACGCATCAAACCCGTCCTGCTCTTCAATGAATTCCGCGGCTAGCCTGTCGAGCAATGCGCACGTGCCGTCGATGTCGCCATCGTCCTCAGGAGCAAAAAACATGTCGAAGGCGGCCAGCGCGCGGTCGAGTCCAAAGGGAGTGAGAGGCGTGCGCTGGTAACTGTACCATTCGTGAACGGCGGCGCCTCGATGTATGCTGGACAGTGCGGTATTGGCGAAGTATCTGTGGGGCAATCAGCGGCCAGGCCTTGAGATAATAGAGAGAGAGAGAGAGAGAATGGACACTCGTACCGCCTGGCGAGAACGTCATCCGCGGTATCGGGCGTCTGGACCTGCTCCAGGAGGAAATCTTTCGCATCATAGCCCAACTGGCATATCTTCCCAATGTTGCCCATGCGCCCGACCTTTGTGGCGATTGCCTTGTCGAGCAGCCGCGCTGAGAGGTCATTGCGTTCCTGGCGTAGCCTCCAGAGACCCCTCCAGTCCGTCTTGGACGCCCTCGACTGTAGCTTCTCGCCCAGGCAGTGTTCAGCGTGCCAGTAGCGGAAGCAACTCTGGCAGTAGTCCCTCCATAGCAGAGGCTCAAACGCAAGGCGCCTGAGACGTTTCGAGACCAGCGGCACCTGGTAGTAGGCCTCGCCGGGAGGAACGTATTGGAGGATCTGCCGGACAATTTCGTCGGGGACGTTATCTAGGCTAGTAACCATTGTGACTCGTCGCGAGGGCAGTCGACCAGCTGTGTGGAGGTCGAAAAGAGGCTGTAGTTGTGCAGATGACAAAAATTCTTTGGAGAGCACACGACTTTCGTCAGTGCCCCGATGGGCACAAGGCGGCGATGCTCTAGAGGAGAGCTCGTGTTGTTTGATTGCGGCGCGTGGAAATTGGACGGTTCGTGAGAGGCTGATCTTGGGTAACTTTCGCCCACGCTCTATGGCGTCAGCGGGCCCGAGATGAATGCAGCACTGCGGCTAAGGCCGCACGCGAGGACATGGACCACCTGTACTCCCCGCACCGAATCCGCTAAAATTCGGGTCACTCGTTGCTCACCAAGTACCATCGTACTGGTACTTTTCAGTGAGTACGGCAGGCCTATAAACCAAATGACCGAGATCCATCTTCTATGAGCCCTCCACGAATAGCGAATTGTGAGTCGAAGGAACACAACCTACCACTAGTACCTTGTATTTACCCTGCAAAGATTTTGCAATCACTAACCTCTTCCCTTCTCATGTGAGCTCGAGCTGCAGCGAACTGGAAGGGTGGGCGTGCTGTGTGTCACCTTACATCGTAGTGCGTTAGTTCTCAGCTCTGGAGCAAGGCTCTCTCTTCAGCGACCCAACATGGATTTGCACTCAAGACGCTGCTCTTCCATGCCCATTTCATAAAGGAGAGAAAGAATGAATGGGTAAGGAATATTTCATATAGTTCAGAGAACAACGATATTGGTGGTTGCCCATTCCTAGGAAATAACATCCCCCCCCCCCAGTTCTTTCACGAACGCCACCCTATTGTATCTTTTTCTGCCCCCCCCCCCTTCTCTTGTTCCTTCTAGTCAGTGGGTTTTGTCCGCTGGTATGGAGTGGGAATAGATGATCATGTGTCAAATGGGTTTGTACAGGCTTGGAACAAGATGGAAGAAGAATAACAATAAATAACGTGCCAGACGGTTGAAGAGTGACTTTTTCTGTGCTGAGTATGTGCTATGGTCATGATGGCCTAGGCCTAGGGAATAATCGAGACCCCTGAACCATGCCGGCAGTTTGGAGGGGTGAAGTGAGGTCTAGCGCGGGGCAGTTCCCTTTAATCCTGCAATTGGAGGCCACGATTTTCGAGACACCAATTCAGCATCGGCTCCGGGACATCTGCCACACATAGTTGACTCCCTCTTCGTGACTCACCGGTAACATCAGCCCACCAGACGCCTCATAAGCCTTGGTGGTGCTCCTTGAAACCATCTCTTGCTCAATTCATTCTGCCCATCAATCATTCACCCTCCCAATTAAGCAAAATGGCGGACGCGGCTGCACCAGCACCAGCGGCAAAGCCCCAAAAGGCGAAGAAGGAGAAGAAGGCCGCTCCCAAGGCCGAGGATGCAGGCCCTCTCGAGATGCAGCCTCCTCCCTCTTTCCTGCAGGACCGTCTCGACCTGTTCGACCGCCTGAAAGCCCGACAGGACGAGGAGATCGCCAAGAAGCCTCGCGAGCCCATCCAAATCACCATGCCCGATGGCGCTGTCAAGGAGGGCACCTCGTGGGAGACGACACCTGGCGAGATTGCGCTTGCTATCTCCAAGTCTCTGTACAAGAAGACAGTTGTGGCACGGCTGGACGGCGACGACGAGAAGCTGTGGGACCTGGACAGGCCTCTTGAGGCGAGCTGCAAGCTAGAGCTTCTCGACTTCAACGACCCCAAGGGCAAGATGGTATTCTGGCACAGTTCCGCTCACGTCCTGGGAGAGGCTTGCGAGCGCCGCTTCGGCTGTTCTTTGTGCATTGGAGTAAGGCACCTGCCATCCACCATACGGTGAACACATACCGGGATCCGACAGGCCACTGACCAAGACTATTGCAGCCTCCTATCGACTCCGGATTTTACTACGAGATGGCTCTTCCCGACGGTGCAGCTGTCCAGGAGACGGATTGGAAGCCCCTCGAGACGATTGTTTCCAAGGTGGCCAAAGAGAAGCAGAAGTTTGAGCGTCTGGTCATGACCAAGGAGGAACTACTCGACATGTTTAAATACAATAAATACAAGGTAAGAGAGGTTGATGGTTTTAAAGGAGAAAGGGAGCAGGGGAGAGGGGGTGATATCTTTTCTTCTCCTCATACGCTTGCTGACTGGCGATACCGTAGCAACACATCATCAAGGACAAAATTCCCGACGGCACCTCCACCACCGTGTACCGTAATGGCCCGTTGATCGATCTCTGCCGAGGACCTCACGTGCCCGACACCGGACGGATAGAAGCATTCTCAATCCTTAAGAACTCTGCCAGTTACTTCTTGGGCAACCAAGAAAACGACTCTCTCCAGCGTGTTTACGGTGTCAGTTTCCCCGATAAGAAGCTGATGGCAGAGCACAAGAAGATGCTCGAGGAGGCTGCGAAGCGAGACCATCGCAAGATCGGAAAGGACCAAGAACTTTTCTTCTTCGATCCTGTCAGTCCTGGATCAGCCTTCTGGCTGCCTCACGGTGCCCGTATCTACAGCAGCATTCAAGCGTACCTGAAGAAGGAGTACCGCAAGAGAGGTTATGAGGAAGTCATCACCCCCAATCTGTTCAATGCGGATCTGTGGAAGCAGTCAGGGCATTGGCAACATTACAAGGATGACATGTTCATCCAGAAGATCGACGACGTCGACTTTGGTCTCAAACCGATGAACTGCCCCTCTCACTTTGTCATGTTCGGCCACCGAGAACGTTCCCACCGAGAACTGCCTCTGCGTTTGGCAGATTTTGGTGTGCTGCATCGAAACGAGGCCTCCGGTGCACTGTCAGGACTGACACGTGTGCGGAGATTCCAGCAGGACGATGCACACATTTTCTGCCGTCAAGACCAGATCAAGCAGGAGATGGATAACATCTTCGAATTCCTGCAGGAGTTCTACAGGATCCTGGGCCTCAAGTTCAAGCTGCATCTGTCCACGAGGCCTGAAGGATTCATGGGCGAGATAGAGACCTGGGACAAGGCAGAGGCATCCCTGAAGGAATCCTTGGATGAGTTCACAAAGAAGAATGACATGAAGTGGGAGCTGAACCCCGGTGATGGTGCCTTCTACGGACCCAAGATCGATATCAAGGTCGTGGACAGCCTGAACCGTGAGTGGCAATGTGCTACCGCTCAGCTGGATTTTGTACAGCCCGAGAACTTCTCCCTCGAGTACATGACCCCCGAGGGTGCTCAGGCCAAGGCCCTGGAGAAGCAGGAGAAGGACGCCGCCGCGGCCAAGGCTGACCCGACGCCCGTCGCGGCCGAACCTTCCACGGCCAAGGAGGCCCCGCGTGCTACCAAGAAGCCGCTGACCACAGGCTGCGCCAGGCCCGTCGTCATCCACCGTGCCATGGCCGGCTCCATCGAGCGATTCACGGGCATCCTGTGCGAGCATTTCGGCGGCAAGTGGCCCTTCTGGCTCAGCCCCAGACAGATCATGGTGATCCCCGTCGGAAAGGGCTTCTATGACTACGCGGAGGAGGTGAAGAGGATCTTCTGGGCCGAGGACATGTGGATTGATGTCGACTTTTCAGGCGAGACGCTGCCTAAGAAGATCAGGAGGGCACAGTTGGCGCAGTACAACTTCGTGTTTGGTAAGCCCCCCCCCCTCCCCCTTCTACTATTCACTAAAATCATCATGAACCTTATCAATTGCCACATATTAACGCCTTATTTTCCCCTCATTCAGTTGTCGGTGACGAGGAGATGAAGAACCGCCAGGTCAACATCCGCTACAGAGATGACACAGACACCCAGTCAAGAGGCTCCCCCGTCGCGCTGGACGAGGCCATCGAGAAGCTCGTCAAGCTCAAGAATGACCACGGCATCTACAACCCTTTCCCGGCGAGTAAGGCCGAGGCTAAGGAGCTGCCTGTGCAGCAGAAGAAGAAGGAGTAGGTAGCAGTAGAGGGTGAGCAGGTCTGCGCTGCGTGATGACGCTTTGTGACGGCTGGCTGGGTTGTGCAAGAAGCGAGGTGAGAAAGATCATATAGACAGGTAGAACAATTCCTGATTATGGTATCATCGAAGAGAAAATCTCAGTGGGAGAATGCCGAGCCTCGTGAATGTGAAATCACACCTGCTAGGCCATTTTCACACGGCAAAGTTTGCCGTTTATGTTGAAACATGACGAGAGAAGGCCTGATTAAGAACGGAGTTCACGTCGTTCCGGGTCTTAACAACTGTGCGACCAGCAAGCAAAGTCCACTAACAAGTCAAGCCATTACAATAGATGACATTGTCAATTCAGCCATATCACAGGTAATTATGACCCTTTTATTGACCCAGCAATCAACCATACTATACTACCGAGCATGTCAATCATCGAAACAAAAAACAATAACCATACACTCCCAAATAATGCAACCTCAATGCCCAGCAGCCTGAATGCTGCCTGTCTCCTGATTTCGTAAGACCATACTTCTCCTCTCCAGCCCCTAACCTTTTATCTGTCGTTTATTTCATTTCATCCTTGCGTCCCGCCCCGTAATGTACGCCGCCCAGCTGCGACGGGGAGATGAAAGACGGGTATTACACGTATGTTAACAGTGAACCTTTCAGATAATGCCGTTGGAGTACAGTGATACCTCGTTCATGTTCTCCTTCTATTCCGATAGCAAGTCAAAAAAACAAGGCGCTGTGGGCGAAGAAGTGGAGCATGAGGAACGGATACAGATTAGAATCCGTAAAACTCATGCTTGCCGCCTCAGAGAAGACTCTGTCTCGACCTAGCCGATTTCCCCTTGCTCTCGCTGCTTTATGTTATATAGCACTCTTACATGTCAAGGCCGTGGTCTCTCCACTGGCGCCGGAGGGCGCGACACGAGACCATTTTGCTCCTCTTTCGAGTGTCGCAAAGCCTCGCTCGTCCCCCTTTGGTTGAAACAATTTTGCTAGTCACCGCGGCGCTTGAAGACGAATCGAGAGACGGGATCCTCGTTGGTTGTTGCGCCCGTGTCGACCATTTCGATTCTTCTTCTGCGCGGCGGTTCTCCAGGCAAAGAGATGATATTGGCCACCCTCTGCTGCGTATCTGTGCTGTCTGTGCTGCTTACAGAACCGACTTCTACCTTGACGTTCAAGACCCTGTCGGTGGTTATATGCACAGCTGCAAGTGCAGTCGGTTTCGGGCCCTCTGAACCCGATAGTGGTGGCGTCTTGTGTTGGGGCTGTGTGGTCTGAGCCGTGTCCACCTGTGAGGACGTGGCGTCTGAGGTAGTCGTATGTGTGACTGCAGTATGCTTCTGCTAGTAGAACTGCTCCACACCACCACTCCCACCGCCATTGTTGCCGGACGCTCCGCCTCCTTTTGATCGGGTCGAGTTGAACGATGACGCCCACTGTCCGCCACCAGGGGCATCGTCGTACATAGCAGGCGATGCGCCATTGACGAACTCTCCCTTGCCGACGTCATCGAGGGAATGGTAATGTCGTGCACCTCCTCCCCTTCCGCCCCGAGACCCTCCGCGACCAGCACGCGCTCCGCCACGGTTGCCTCCTTTGGGCCCGCCACGGAATCCACCGCTGTTACTTCCGCCCCCGCCGCCCCCGCCGCCCCCGCGGTAGTTGTTGAAGCCGGCGCGACCCCTGCCGCCGAAAGAACTGTTTCCCCGTGCATTATTGTGCCCGCCGCGGTCACCACGGCGCGCTGGAGAGTCGTCGCCCCCAGCATGCTTCCGTTTGCCCGTGCCTTTGTGCGGAAACAAGCTCTCGTAGGAGTTCTCGCCTGGGTTGTCAGGCTCGATACGCAGCAAGACCTTCTCGCCGACCGTCGAATCGAACTCGAAGGCCTTGTCGGGCGTGACGGGCTGCCAGTTCTTAATCTTCGTCGCGTCGATAGGCTTCGCGCCTTTCCTCAGCGCAAGGACCACCAGTGGAGAAGGGTTTTCGGTGTGGAAGCGCGCGCCGTCGGGGACTGGACGGAGACATGCGGCCCAGATGCTGTTGTCGAGGCAGGCGACGCCCGTAACGGCCCAGCGCATCTTGGCGCCCATGCCGCCGACCTTTTCGAGGATGGAGGCCGAGCAAGGACGAGGACAGATCATGATGTTGTTGCCGTGGTACTTGAGATCGGCCTCCTGCACTCCTGCCGGTATTGACGCAAGACTGAGGAGACGTTTGGTGTCTGCCGGACTGATCATGTACCCCGTGAAGAAGACCGTCTTCTTGATCATCAGCCTGTCTCCACGAAACGTCCGGTTCGCTACTGCTTCATTGTGGTCGTTTATAATGTGTTGTATCTCTGCAATCTCCACGACAGGGTTGAGGCTTGTTGACATGTCTGCGACCTGAATCACCTCTGCGGTGATAGGGTTCCTCACCGCGTTCGGTCCACGCTGCGTCATGTTGTAGCTGTGCATGAAATCCCGAAAGCCCTTGGTGTGCTTGGGCCGGTCCTCATAGATGCGTATCTCCTCCGCGTCCTTGTACGTCTCCATCAATGTGCGCAGAAAGACCTGCTTGAAGTTCATGGTGCTGGTGAAGCGCTCTCCGTTGGGACCAACGCCGGGCTTCAGCGAGACCATGTGGAATTCCAGGCCCTTGGAGGCCACGATCCGCTTGATGAGCGCGCCGAACCCCGACTCGGAGCGACCTGTGAGTAGCACGCAGAGCGCATCCTTCTGCTTGTTGCTCAGCTGCACCAGCTCCACAATCTTCTCGTTCCACCATCCCTCCCACGCCCGCGGCTCTTCCTTTGTGAGTCCTTCGCCCGTCGCTGCCAGGATGCGAGAGTCGTGCCACCAGCCGCCGTTCGCGAAGATGTCCGCGTTGGAGAGCAGACCAATCGTCGAGCCGTTCCAGAGCTTGACGTTGGGAAGGGGAGTTTTGAAGACTGCGATATGAGGAAAAAACCAGGTCAGCAGGAGCCGCGGTCTTGTATTTCGACGCTGAAAACAAGTGAAAGCAAATGAGGCAGGCGTTGGGTTGTTCTTACGGGTGTTGTCGAAGTCGTAGACATGTAAGGCCTTGATCTGGTCCACCGGGGGTAGCTGCTTTGACGTGACTGACCACCTGCTCATCGCAGTCGGGGTCAGAGGCACCTGATGGCCGTTGGCCTTGCCATTGACGGCGCCGTGTTGTTGCTGCTGCGACAGTGCGCCAGCGTAGGATGGCTGCTGCATGGCTCCTCGCAACCTTGTCAATCGCTGCAAACCGGGCAGTCTGAGCCGGGCAGCATGCATGCAAGGGCCGGTGATGGAGCTTGAGGAAGACGAGGGGGAGGAAAGCCTTGGAACAACAAGGCGGGCGGGCGACGTCAGTGACTTTGGTTGCGAGACCCTGCTCGTCACTTTTTGGTCGATGAGGTCGTTGATCCAGGGTCAAGGGTTCGTCTGGCAGGGGCCCTTGTCTAAGGTTCTAGTCCGCTGACTTTAGGCGAGGGCCCCTGCACTATTTCCCCAGGCTCGTAGCCTCGTCCAAGTCAACACTTCGTCTTCCGATCCTAGCTGTTCTTTTTTAGCAATTGAAAGCTTTTGAATTAGTTTCATCTAATTTTTGTCTGGGTATAAATATTGACGTGGGGGTAAGAACAGATTCCTGCTAGTCAAAACTGATCTATTATCAAGCAGCCTTTCGTACAAGTATTACTTCATGCAGACCGTCCTCGTTGTCTGGTAACGTCTTCAGCTTCACGTGCCACCTCAATTCCAAAGGATGAGCAAAGTAACGTTGGAAAATTTCAATTGTACAAGCTAGGAAATGGACGTTGCCTGTCCGGGGTGATATAAAGGTTCAAAAAACACATGAGCTTCCTTGCCGTTGGCCCTCCCACTACTTCCGCCAGGAGCAAGCCATTTAGTTGGTAATATTGTATGCCCCGGCAGCTTCGTCTTCCGGAATCTCCTCGGTGCTGCCTCCCCAAGCCTGCTCTTTCTTTCCTTGTCTCTCTCGGTCTACCTTGACCTGATTTTCATGAGCTATCGTTCGCTTCTCGCCTCAAAACTTTCGCCGGGCATGCAATCTCTCTTATAGTAAGCTTCGCTGGTGCTTTACTTGTTGTTCTTGGCCATCGTGTTCAGAGCACTGCCGTTCTTGAACCACTCGATCTGACCGGCGTTGAACGTGTGCGACAGCTTAATCTCGAAGGCCTTGCCGTCCTTGGGCTTGACGACCATAGTAATGGGCTTGCCGGGCTCGAGCTCGGTGGCCTTGATGTCGACCTGTATACATTGTCAGTCAAGAATTCGGGTCTGAGGGGCCGTGATTGTCTATATAGAATTCATACCTTGGCATCCGTAGGAATCTTGTCGTAGTCGGCGGGGTCAGAGAAGGTCAGGGGCAGCATGCCCTGCTTCTTCAGATTCGTCTCGTGAATACGGGCAAAGGATCGGGTGATGATGGCAAGGCCACCAAGGTGGCGGGGCTCAAGAGCAGCGTGCTCACGCGAAGAACCCTCACCGTAGTTCCAGTCTCCAATGACGACCCACCGGATGCCCTTGGCCTTGTAGTCACGGGCAACAGCAGGAACGGCATCCCACTCGCCATTGGTCTGGTTGCAAACCTTGTTGGCCTCACCATTGGCAGCGTTGATGGCGCCGATCAGCATGTTGTTGGAGATGTTGTCCAAGTGACCGCGGTACTTCAACCAGGGGCCAGCCATTGAGATGTGATCGGTGGTGGTCTTGCCCTGGGTCTTGATAAGGATAGGCAGGTCGGTAGCGTCCTTGCCATCCCAGGCATTGAATGGTGACAGGATCTGAAGACGGTCGGAAGAAGGTGCGACCTTGACCTCGACGGCGGCACGATCCTTGGGAGGTGCCTGGTAGGTGTCCATGCCTGGGTCGTAGCCCCGGGTCGGGAGGCCATCACCAGTAGGGGGCTTCAGTTTGAACTCCTTGCCGTCCTTGTCCTTCAGGGTGTCGGTCAGCGGGTTGAAGTGCAGAGAGCCAGCAACGGTCATGGCGACAACCAGGTCGGGGGAGGTGACGAAGGAGTGAGTGGCGGGGTTGCCGTCGTTCCGGCCAGTGAAGTTTCGGTTGTAGGACGAGACGATGGAGTTGGCTGTGCCCTTCTCAACATCGCGACGATCCCACTGTCCAATGCAAGGACCACAAGCATTGGCAAGAACGATGCCGCCGTACTCCTCAAAGGTCTCAAGCTGACCATCGCGAGCAATGGTAGCACGAATCTGCTCAGAGCCAGGGGTGACAGTGAAGATGGCCTTGGACTTGAGACCGTGGTCAAGGGCGTCACGGGCGATCGCGGCAGCGCGAGACATGTCTTCATACGAGGAGTTGGTGCAGGAGCCGATGAGGCCAACCTTGAGCTCCTCGGGCCAGCCGTTGTCCTTGACAGCCTGGCTGAACTTGGAGATAGGCGTAGCCAGATCGGGAGTGAAGGGGCCGTTAATGTGAGGCTCGAGCTCGGACAGGTTGATCTCGATCAGCTGGTCATACTCGGCACCCTCGTCCTCGCGGAGGTCTTTGGCATAAGTCCGGGCAAAGTCACCAATCTCCTTGCGCTTGGTAGCCTCCAGATACTTGTACATGCTCTCATTGAAGGGGAAGATGGAGGTTGTCGCGCCGATTTCAGCACCCATGTTGCAGATTGTGCCCATACCCGTCGCTGAGATGCTGTCAACACCGGGTCCTAGAATGTTTAGAAAGGTTAGTAATGCTGTACAAGACAATGAGAAAGTTTTTTGAAGTGTTGGGAAAGTTTAGGGCACCGGTTAGCCGCGAGGAAATGTTTTTGCTGAACCGGCGACGTTGAGGAAGGGAAGGAACTTGGACGATGTCTGACGGCTGTCTAGACAGAGGGGCGGGCCATGAGAGGGAAAATAAGACCGGAATCTTGAAGGTGTCTCGGTGGCATCTAGGTAAGGGAGTGATGAGGGGATTGGGAGGAGGGTGAGAGAAGAGAGAGGAAAGAAAAAAATTAGAGGGCGGAGGGGTAAATAAAAAATGGATGGAGGGGAGAGAGAAAAGGCAGTCGCGAGGGGTTGCTGTCAAGCTCATGTTGAGGAAGGTGCGAAAAGTACTTGCCGCTAGTAAAAGTTAGTATCACGACTTCAAATGATAACTTCAAATTATAGAAAGACGAGAGGGGACAGGAAAACCAACAAATAATCCAAAATCGCCCCCGTGCCGCCTTTGACAGTGAGAATGCCGGCGACCTTGAGGATAATGTCCTTTGCTGAGGTCCAGCCGGACATCTGGCCGGTCAGCTTGACACCGATGAACTTGGGGGCCTTGAGCTCCCAGGGCAGGTTGGCCATGACATCGACAGCATCGGCACCGCCAACACCGATAGCGCACATGCCGAGACCACCGGCGTTGGGGGTGTGGGAGTCGGTGCCGATGAGCAGACCACCGGGGAAGGCATAGTTCTCGAGCAGGATCTGGTGGATGATACCAGAGCCGGGCTTCCAGAAACCAATGTTGTACTTTGCGCAGGCGGACGAGAGGAAGTCGTAGACCTCCTTGTTGATGCTCACGGCGCGGGCCAGATCCTTCTCGTTGCCAACCTGGGCCTCGATCAGGTGGTCACAGTGAACCGTGGAGGGGTTTGCGACCTGGGGCATGCCGGCGGACATGAACTGCAGAATAGCCATCTGGGCGGTGGCATCCTGGCAGGCAACGCGGTCGGGCCGCAGTTTCAGGTAGGAGCTGCCGCGTTCGATATCCTGGCCTTCTGGGTCGTCCAGGTGAGAGTACAGGATCTTCTCGCCGTATGTGAGGGGTCGGTTGAGTCTTGCGCGGACGATAGCAAGGTTCTCGGACATCTTCTTGTAGTTGATGAAGTTGCCCTCTTCCCAGTTGTTTTGCCTGACCTATTGATCACTTGACGTCAGCAAACGGCTGCAAGGTATACATAACGCGCGCAATGACGCCGAGGTCCAGCTGGATTGGCGATAGAGGGGCAACAACTCACCTTGCGGTCGAGAGGAGAATCTGTGACGGTGGCCATGGTTCGCCGCAGAGGCAGGCCGGCGGCGGCACGGCTCCGGGCAACATTGCCCAGGAGCTGACGAGATGCCAACATTTTGGAGGCTGCGTCTCTCTTTTTTGCACACGAGAGAAGCTGTTGTTTAGCTGGAAGCTGTGAGTGGAGAGGAGAGTTGGAGAGAGGTCACACAAGGGGAGCTCTCAGAGAAGGTAAAGAGGCATGGAATTACCACCACAGAGCAGGATTGAGGTGGGAGTGAAAAGAAACCAAGAAAGGCAGAGGAGGTTAAGGGTGGAGGTTAGGAAAAGTGGAAAAGTGTGCGTGGAAGAGAAGGAGGGAAGAGGTTTTAGATAGCAGCCACGAGCGAAAAAGAGCCTGGATTCCTTGTTCCTTTCCCTCGGTCGCAACCCGTGGCATTTCCTGCGCTAAGCACCTCACACAAGTTGCCTGTAGGCCCCCCCTGCTCCACCTCTGCACCGAGGATAAAAGGCTCCATTCCTCCTACATCATAGCCGGATCGGCCAATCACACTGCGCGAATTATAAAGATTTGGAGGCAAACAGTGTCAAAATAACGTCACAAGGATGCATGGCTGTACCGATCCGGCAGGGATGGCACGTATTTTCGACCGGAAATAACAATTACGACGACGATAGCCTCACCACCACACCTATTTCCTTAGCAGCAGCGAGTTGACAACAGCTGGATATCGAGTAGAAGCTGTAGCGATAGTTCAATTGTTAAATTTAATCGAGAACCTGTTTCGGATTTGAGAACTGCCTGCGCAGCACTATGTCGTCGTGGTTCCGGCATGTGCAAACGAAGTGGTAGGAACCTGCTACCTCCGATGACTTTTCAGGTGGTCAGCATTCGCGTTTGTTTTGCTTGTACTTTCTTGAATCTATATCCTAATTACATCCTGGCCGTACATGCCATCTCGACGGGCGTGGGTATGTCCTTCTAAGCTCAGCCTGCTTTCTAATAGCAGCGGCCTCGTTGTGGTTGACCTGCATTGCGTGTCGTTGCGGAGGAGTTATGAATGATGGAGGGAAACGTCTTCTATACCTTTCATAGAAGCTATAAACGGTCATCCACAGTTTGCCATAAGACACATAGCTCAAATAACCGCTCATTGGCTTCCATGAGGGCATTCCGCATAGCATAAAGCCATTTGAATTGACTCGTGTAGCGATTGATTGTTCCGGAGACAGCGGCTCACGTCGGTTGCTGCGCTACCGGCTTCAGCCGTGGGGCCGATGTCCTTTCATCCGGGATGCGGCCCAAGCTCCATAAGTACATAGTAACTTGCTGCGGCGCTGATTCAGACGCCCGTGACTGGCTGGCTGATCATAGCTTCGTCCAACCATTGCCCTCTGCTGATAGCCTTTGGGGGAACGACCAAGACTGGTGAGGACATGCTACAAATCCGTATTCATAAAGCCTCTGCAGCTATCTGAGGCTAGCACTGCTACAAGTGCAACAACCGAGCTCATGAAGAAAAGGAGGAGGAGACCAACCAGCGCGGCAAAACAATCACTAGAAAATTTTCGCTGGCCTGCAGACCAGACCGTTCGCGACAGGACCGTTCCATTCAGTGGAGGGGCCAACGAGCCCCAGCTTGCCCAGCACCCGGCACCCAGCCCCAGACCCAGACTCTGCGGGCTGTGGAGACAGGCATCGCGCTGTTTTTGGATCAATTGAAGCTGTCTGTGGGGCCTGCGGACCTCGACTTTTGGCAGCCGGCCTCGGTTGACGAGATTTCCGCCCGGCGTTGAAAGGCGTTAAGCGTCTCGGCCCGGCACCGACTCGGTCATCACGAGAAACAGCGACGCCCATCAGATTGACACTGTGACAGGAAATAAGAATGGTCATCAAATGAAGGAGTAATTTTTGCTTCAGGTCGTTTTGGTCTCCTGGAAGGAAGGAAAACGCTTGACAGGGGGTCGCAATGCTGGTTGGTCTGGGGAACTTTGGAGGTTGTGCAGCGGCTCGGTTGTAAGACACTTCACTGGTAGCCACCCTGCCACCCCCTCACAGACCCCTGTAGGTGCAGTAGCTTAGGTAATCATGTACGCCTTAACCTCACATCAAAATTTCTCACAAAGGTGCACTACCAATTTGCATGTGAAAACGCAGACGCCACCACAAACGCAAGATATTTACGTATCAAACCTCACGCCTGAGGCAGCCCAACCAGTAAACCGATCAAGGCTTATTCACCAAAATGGGCGTTCCGAACAAACGGACTATCACCAAGACTAGGCGGTACAAGAGGTACGTTTGTGGATGGATCCTTCCTTTCTCACGAGATCGATGGCCATGAAACTGACTGCTCGCAGGGACATTGACCAGATCAAGGCCGATATCCTGTCGCCTAAGCACCTGAAACAATACAAGGACACAAAGGCCCCTGAGGACCTTCCTGGCTTGGGCAGGCACTACTGTACCGAATGTGCCAAGTGGTTTGATACGGAGACGACGCTCGTTGTCCACAGGCGGGGCAAGCCTCACAAGCGGAGGTGAGTTGAACCTTTCGTGTCCTAGGGTGCATGAAGTGGACTATTAGGCCTAATTGGTCTCTGTGTAGGGTCAAGCAGTTGAAGGAGGAGCCATACACCCAGAAGGATGCCGAGGCTGCAGTCGGTTTGTGGACTGACAACAAGGGCCCATCCAAGGTCCAAGCGAGCGACGTCGACATGTCTTGAGAGAGAGAGAAAGAGTGCACATTGAACCAGACTCATTCGAGTTTACTCTTGTGACTGAAGTCAGTCTTATCCTTGCGGCTTCAGAACCTTGAACGGTGGGCGGTAGCCTCAGCTTCAATATTTGCAGTGTGGGCCTCACAATTCTGCGGATGAAGGCTCCACGGTAATGGGATCCAGGATGGCCAAGGCTCCCAGCATGGGACATGTGGACATTACGAGGGTTAATTTTGGCGAATCACCACGACATGGTCGGTCTGCAATGGTCAAAGACGACGAGAAGCGACTTAATAAGAGGTATCACGAGCGCGCGAGGTAGCGAGTGGCTTTGCCTCATATACCAGGATATGCCAAGGCGTCGATATATCGAAATATCAACAGAGGCAGCCTGAGAAGGAGTGTCAGGCATGGCGTTGAGGCTGATGCAGGGGGACAAGATGACAGTAGGTCGAGAGACGATGTACATCGCCAACTCGCAATGGGATGTCAGTCTCACCCGGCCATTTCCAATTCGTTGGCGTGAACAGAACTGCGGAGTCACGAGCTCTCAGTTCAGTGCACCTCTAGTATTGAAGATTGAACTCCAAAAGGCGTACATAAAACGGTGGTAGTCTGATCAAAGTAATAGCACACCGTGGGCCGTCCTGAGACCTAGAACCTCGCGGACTCAACAGAGCAAGTGATTCGTTACGCCTACAAGTCGTTGTCCAGACTCGAACAAGCGCGAGTATTTGAGCAATACGAGACACCACTAAACAAAATGCTGTTTTCCATTCATTTTCCCAAACCCTCCAACCATGAACGCCACTCGTCTCTGTCCATTAATAAAGTCGAGTTTGCGCCTAGACGACGAATTGGGGGTTGAACGCATGGTACAAGCATGTCCCCGCTAAGTGAAGAGATTATCGATAAGCAGTTAGCGGAGTTGCCAGATAGCTAGTGAACCGCCGCAATCCGGGACCCCAAGGTACTAGCTTGTTCAAGCGATTTCCATGCTGCCGTCTCCCACCTTGCTCTCCTGCATCATCCAGACCAGCAGAGCATAAGTGATTTCGCAGGTGGACATTCCCTTTGAAGATGGTCGCGAGCTGGCCAGACAAATCCGTCGAGACTCTGAAACGACAAGCAATACCGTTATAACGGAATCCATTCCCCGAGAGGACACGTGCCCGCGCATCAGCCTCCTTGGACGATCTTCGGAACCTGAAATTCCGACCGCAACAGTTCGCCTCGGGCCCTTGGAAATACCACTCTTGGAGGTGGAAAGGAGGATCGGAAGAGAGGGGCAGGAGACTCCAAGCCATCACAAACCATGCCGACCATCTCAATTCCCTCGCAGTTCAGCGCCGTGCGCGCACGGTCTTATGTATACAGGCTCCCGCTGCTGACAAGGCTGTTCATCTTGGCGATAATCGCCACATGGTTCGTGGGGTTCGTGGCGGGTGCCAGGTGGGACGTGAAGGCCTGGGGTGCGCTTGTGCCGGAGGAGGTCGGAATCACCAGCTGTGAGTCGCGAAACCCAAATACTGATGGTCTACCTCCTCTTTTGAGACCTTGGTGGAGGACCTTGCGACGGAGACGGTTGCGTGACGATTTGAGGGGCTGTGGGAGATGGGACTATGGCCTGACAGCTTTTGCCGTGCGCAGTATATCGAACGAACACCTACCCATTCATACACCTGGGCTTTATACACATGGCCACGAACGTCCTGGCCCTGACACCACTTCTGGAACGCTTTGAGAGCGAATATGGGACGCTTACGGCGCTTGCGTTGTTCTTAGGCCGTGAGCACTATCATTCCTTCTATTCTTTACCTTCTCGGACAATCTGACTGACTTGTGCGACCGCTTCAGCTTTCTCGACCTTCCCGGCCGCACTGTACATACTCGTTGAAAACTATATTCTCCATTCCAACACCGCCGTTATGGGCGCCAGCGTCTGGTTCTTTCTGCTGATCGGCATGGAGGCGATCCGCACATATAAGACGAACCCACATTTTGTGATCGCGACATATCATATTCCGACGTGGACCACTCCCCTTTTGTTGGCTGTGGTATTATCGGCCCTGGTGCCGAGTACGAGTCTGTTGGGCCATATATGCGGGCTGTGTATTGGATATATATGTGAGTATTATCTTGACGGCAACCCCTCGTTTCGCCTACATCGTATGGTTTCGGGCTACTGGATGATTACCACGGCGGGAACGTTGGCTGACATGACCATGTAGGTGGCCTCGGCTACATGAAGTTCCTCGCTCCGCCGGAGAAGGCCCTTCGCTTCATCGAAGCCAAGTTGAAACTGCTGCAGAGGCTGCCGCGGTACGTGAGTGTGGATCAAAAGACGTACGGCCGGTTTGGGGTTCTGCCCAGCACGAATTCTCCTGGGGTACCAGGTGTGGCTTTGGGGGTTGTAGGATCTACGCAGAGGCTGGGGCCATAGGAACAAGAGGTGATTCGGGGTTTTTCTTCCTCATGATGTATATTCTCGTGGCAGAGTCTTCCGACTGGGACGATTGTCACTTGAAACATATCAGCAAAGCATTCTTGATTGGTGAAATAGGGACGGCCAAAAAAATATTTGCATAGCGGATGAACGACCTTGATGGTCTTTCAATGCTCACATTTCAAAAAAAGGGTTCAAATTCAAAGTCACGGGCTATCAAGTTCGCTTGCTTGCTCTGTAAGATAATATTAACTCCATTTGACCTTTGTTGCGAGGGGAGTTTCGCGGGCTGCTGATGACTTGCATGTAACGGGGCTGAGATATGCAATCACAAGCTCCAGGCCCATGTAAATAAGCTGGACCCTGTGCGCTTACACCTTGCGTGCGCGCGCTGTGTCTTGAATTTCATTCCGAGCTCGCTGGAGCTCTGTACAGTAGCCATGTGACACTTCCTGCCGCCATCTTGTACAACGTACCTATGGATCTCGTGGCATCATAACATTTGCTGAAGACACTCTCACGCATTGAGAGTTGGCGGGCTCCCGCACAGCCCATTCCGCTCCTTCTTGAACCTCGACAACAACCCCCCTGAGCCCCTTCACAGGCCACGCAGCGCGGCGCATCGCATCGCATCGCTTTTGCTCGCACACCTCCTTGACTCAGGATGCCACGCCTCATATGTGAGTCCCACAGAACACCCCTTCTCTAACCCTGCGATTTCAGGTCCCAACGGACGACTAAAACCTCCTCTTCAGCCGGGGCCCTGCGCCTCCGCGGCGATCCACGCCTCCTCAAACTCCCCCCTTACGTCTCCCTGCTCTGCATCGTCGTCGGTGTCGCCTGGCTCCTTATGCTGCCACAGAATGACTACAGTCGAAGGACATATATCTCGGAAAACGCTCTACTGCCGGGCCAGGTACATACATACTTTGGGGGAAGCGACCAGAACGTATTCCGGGCCTACAAACACGAGGTAGACGCCCTCGCCTCACCAATACACGATGGGCCAGACGGTCAGGAGGAGGGCGTGCCAGGGAAGAAGAATAATTATGAGATAAACGACGGCCTGGAAGAGATGTTCAAGGGCAATGGCTTGAAGGTCGGGCGACAGAATTTCACGTACTCGGTGTCCGGAGAAAAGTACGCGGGCGAGAATGTCTATGCCATCCTGCATGCCCCTAGGGGAGATGCGACCGAGGCCATCGTTCTCGTCGCAGCGTGGCAGAACGTCAGGGGCGAGCTCAACAAGCACGGCGTGGCGCTGCTGCTGACGCTGGCGCGGTACTTTCGGAGGTGGTCGCTCTGGTCCAAGGACATCATACTGCTGGTCACGCCCGACAGCCTCGCGGGCCCGCAGGCGTGGGTGGATGCGTACCACGACGCACACGACACGCGCCACATCGACTCGCTGCCCGTCAAGTCCGGCGCGCTGCAGGGGGCCATTGCGCTGGATTACGCGCAGGAGACTCGCTTCTCGTCCGTGCACATTGTCTACGACGGCATCAACGGCCAGCTGCCCAACCTCGACCTCATCAACAGCGTCGTCTCCATCGCCGCCGGTCAGATGGGCATCGGCGTCAGCATCCAGGAGATGTGGGGCCACAGCGACAGCTACGAGGACAGGCTCCGCACCATGCTGCGCGGGATGATGAAGCAGGGGCTGGGCGTGGCCAGCGGCCCACACAGCTGCTTTATTCCTTACCACGTCGATGCCGTCACCCTTCGGCCTTATGGCGACGGGTGGCAGGACGAGATGGCCATGGGCAGGGTGGTCGAGGGGACGTTCCGCAGCCTGAACAACCTGCTGGAGCACCTGCACCAGAGCTTCTTCTTCTACCTGTTGATGCACCGGGACCGGTTCGTCAGCATTGGCACATACCTGCCGAGCGCGATGCTGATTGCGGCCAATTTCACGATTATCTCCATCTCGCTCTGGGTAAAGAGCGGACAGCAGGACGACCAGGCTGTCGGGAAGAAGGGTGAGAAGCAGGAGAGCAAGAGCGAGGTCAAGGCAGCAGTGGAGAAGGGCCCTGCCGACGCGCGCATGACGCCCGCTACGGAGAGGAACGTGTCCTTGCCGCTGGCCCTGGTGGCAGGATGTCAGTTCCTCGGCGTGGTGCCATTCTATGTTTTCAACCATGTGCCTGCAGGGGTAAGTTCTGATCACCTCCACCGTGCAACCCGAGATGAAAACAAGAAAACCTGACAAAAACCTGTATTCAGATGCACACCCCGCTCTTCGCAGTTTTCACCGTGTTGAACGTCTTCCTCCCACACATCATCAGCCATCTCCTCACCACCAACTTCCACCCTACGCTTCAGCAATACTCGCTCATGCAGTGCTTCTCCCTCCTCCTCCTCGGCATGTTCCTCTCCTCCCTGGCCACCCTCAACTTCTCCCTCTCCCTCATGGTCGGACTGCTGTCCTCCCCACTGTCCTTCATGCGGCCGTGGCCCAAGCTGCCGGCCCTACGCTGGCTATGCACCGTGCTGCTGAATCTCGTCGCGCCGACGGCCGTCTTTGCGGGTTGGTCGATATACTGGCACGGCGGGCTGGCGAGTAGTAGCGTCGGCGAGCTGCTTCAGGAGGCGGCGTTCGGGTGGAGGGTCTGGGGCATGTATACCAGCGTGGTTGTCTGGGGCGTGTGGTGGCCAGCCTGGTTGGTCGGTGCAGTTGTTGTGCTGGGGAGACCGGGAGCCAAAGGCGTGGGAACGCGATAGATAGTATGACTGGATCTCGGTGAAGTAGCATTTGACTACAACAAGGTGCCTTTTTTAGTTTTGGGGGCCCCAATTTCGAATACAATTTCTCAACAAGAATATTCTACAAACGGGCGCAGAGCATTCCTCTTTGCTGCATGTCGTGGTCCCAACAAACTGCCTTCTTCCTCAACTCGCCTGCTTACATCTCATCTGCTCTCGAACTGTATGGTCAATTTATGTCGCCCTCTCGAGCAGGCAACTTGCACTTCCAAACACAAAGCAGCCTGTCATAAAAACTCGTCGAAACACACAAGACCTCACCCCTCTTCTCGCCCGCCGAAGGGACCAGCCTGCTCTCGATCCTAGACCAGTCGCTCCCGTAGTTCATACTCTTGTGCTCCTCAAACCGCCCCAACACATCCACTTCCACGTTCACATTCACAGCCGCACCTCTCCCCCCCCCCTCCTCCTCCTCCTCCTCCTGTCCGCCGACCCCCCGGATCCTCAGCACCCGCGGGCCGGCGTGCATACACGAGGCGAGCACAATGACCTCCCACGCTCCACCTCTCCCGGCGACAGCTACAGGATTGCCGATGGCGTTCAGCCGCCAGACGCCGCCGCCGAGGTTGATCTCTGCGAGGAGGGTCGCCTTGCGCGCGCCGTAGGTGGTGTGTAGGGGCTCGATGGTGAAGACGCGGAGGGTGTCGTCGTAGCTGCCTGTGAGGAGAAGGATCAGGTGTTGGTGGTGGTGGTGAGGGGAGGCTGGCAGGTAGAGCGGGAGGAGGGCGGTCACGCCTGCGGTGTGGTTGGTCAGTGTGATGGCGGGGTAGGGTGTGAGGGTCTTGGTGAAGTTGTTGTTGTTGTCGTCGTCGTCGTCGTCGTTGTCGTTGTCGTCTGTAACTGGGGTGTATGGATTAAATGAGGAGTTGAGGGTGGTGTACTTTAGTGCCGAGTCGTCGCCACCGGAGAAGACTGTGTAGGGGGGTGGGGTGGACTCGGCGGGTGGTGATGGTGGCGGTGGTGGTGGCGAGGAGAAGGCAGCGACCCAGGCCTCCATACTGTGCTCGAGGAGAGACTCGTGCGATACGTCGAGGCCCTGGTAGTCATCGTGGATCTGGACGAGGATGACCTGCCCGCCGGCTGTGGTGATGGCCATGAGGCCGGCGTCGGTGGGGTGCCAGGCAAAATACGTGAAGAGGATGTCCTCGCCCAGATCTGGTATCCGCAGGACGCTCAGGGGCCTGAGGATCTCTCCTCTCGGTTCTGATGTCTCATCGTCCTGGCCTCGAGGTCCTGTCCCTGCAGGAGGAGAAGGAGGCAAGAGTTTGAAGAAGGAAATTGTTCCTGTGCTCGATACTGCGGCGCAGATGTCGCCTTTGTCACCTTGTGGCTGGAAGTGTAGATCGAAAACGGCGGAAGGCTGAGGGATGGTTTGGACGGCATGTCTAGAGAGTATGAGCATGGCATTCCATGTGAGCAGGGTTCATGTTTCCTACACTTGTCCGTCTTGAAGCTCAAAGACAATCAGGCTGCCGTTTCTACTCTGAGATTGGCTGCCGGCCTTGGTCTCAGATGGGTCCTCATCGTTATCTCCTGGTGTTTCTGTGCTACTTGGTGGTTCGTCGGCTTCCTTTTCGAGATGATATGTTCCAACCACGAAATATGATGGGTGTGCAGGGCAAAACTCGATGCAGCTTGGGGGAAGATCGAGGACCATCGACTGCATGGACGAGATACTCTCGCCCTGTAGACTTGCCATATCTAATTGAAGTGCCCTTTTATGATCTTAGTAATTATCACTTCTTGGAAGAGGGAAAAATAAATAAATATCAAATAAATTGGATTGAGGGTATAAATCATGGGGAGGCTTACATGCCACTCACACGATATGGCAAGGCTGAGGTGAAAAGTGAGAGATTTCACCTACAACAGCCAGCCAGCCTCTAGAGCTATAGGGTTATAGTGAAGAACTTCTAGGGTTTTAGAGTCAAGGCTCCAGGGTTGTAGGGCCATATCGTCAAGGTCCAGTTAAGGTTCCAGGAGCTCCGCTTAAATGCATCCCGGGACAACTCAACACCCAGTCAAACCCCCTGCTGGATCAGGGTGCCTTTGACCTCATGTTGCAGAGAAAAAGTAAAGTTGGCAAAGCTGCAACCTTGCGGGGAAGAAGAACATGTGCAGAAATAAGAGTCTGCTTCTCTGCACTTTCTCCATGCCTCTGTGGTTTCTAGACCCGTCGCGGGAAAAACCCCTATTACATAAAGTACTTAGCACACGGGATCTCATACTGTACATGCGATGGACTCAGACTCGGACTTCTACGGTGGGTGCTCATAAAACCGATTGATCCGCCTCCTCACCTTCCCACTTTGGGGTACCAGCGGCTCACTTAAGACAACACGCCACACAGGTGACAAAGACGAGGTGCAGGACCTCGAAGCACGCCTGTCATCCTTTAGCCCAGCCAACTACTGGCAGAGCCGCTCTATCACCAAAACGGCTTCACCAGCAGCTACTATTACTACTACTACAACAACAACAACAACAAAAACAACAAAAATGAAACAAGAACCCAGCTCTCCACCTCCCCTCGCCCCCGCCACCACCTCCAGCAGCCTGCACAACCCTTACGAGGGCCGCACGGCTTGCGCCAAGCAGCTGAGCGAGACCACCCAGTCCTTCCTAGACCGTCTCCCACCCTCCACGACAGACGCCGTCCCGGGCATCCTCCCCTGGATCTACGTCGCCAACCCGTACATCCCGCGCGCGGATCGTGGCGGCGAGGAGGCGCCCGAGGAGTTCGGGGCCGAGGTCGGCAGGTTTGTCGAGGGCGGCGGGGCGAGGCTGGAGATGTTTGGGGATCTGCTGCGGGAGGTGGAGGAGAAGGCGGGCGGTGGCGGCCAGGGCCAGGGCCTGAGCGGCGGCGGCGGCGGCGGCGGGGGGTTCTTTGGGGGCCCGTCGAGGGCGGTGGTGAATAGGGAGGTTGCGAAGCAGAGGGAGGCGTGTGTGAATGATCTGTTGATGCTGGCCAATGTGTTGAGGGTGCGGACGGGAAAGGTGAGCGAGCAGTTCTCTCTCTCTTTTTTTTCTCGCTTTGCTTTTTTTTTTCTCCCTTCCTCTTCTCTTCCCCTTCTTTTTCCTTTGGTTTCTTATTTATTCTTATTATTCCTCTTCCTCTCTTGGCCTCGCTGACAGCAGAGGGCCATCCGTCTAGTGGATGCTCTTCATCGATCCCGCCTACGTCGACAGTGTCTGGGCCACGGTGGTGCAGGCAACCGTTAGAAACGAGCTCGGCATCGCGGCCAAGGTCGCACCCCGCGAGCACAGGGGCTCGACCAGGTCCCGGCTCATCTGCATCTACACGTACGACTTTGGCGACCGGGACGACGTCGCCCGCGTGCTGAACCGCATGAGGCAGCTAGAGCTCGTGCGTACCGGCCCCAGGCGCCAGCAGGTCTACTATAAGACAGGTAAGTCTTCTTAAATGTCCCAGACCCCTTATCCAGCAGTCAGGCCTGCTCTGTCTACTACCATCACCAGCTCTCCCCGTGACTGACTCGCGATTTATTCTTGTCTTGATCCGAATAGATGCGTGGACTTATCTGGGAATCGGCGCCGACAATCCCTGGGGCCTGAGGGCCTCACTCTACAGCTCCAACGACATCTTCACGTACATTAAGGAGAAAGACGGCACAGTCCTGGATAGGATGGTCAAGAGGGAGAAGGGCCCCGCCGCCCTGGAGAAAGTGATCAAGGAGGAGGAGGAATTTGACGGCGGAGGGTGGACATTCTAGGGCGTCAGCAGCCACGAGGTGCTCAGGTGTTCATGGGGATTACATCTTTTCTTCTTTCCTGTTCGATCTGCGTTTTGGAGGATTTTCTTTCTTCCCCTTTTGCTTTTGTACGATACCCTTTATGTGCACTGCCCTTACCCCCCTCCGCGTTCACCGGCAGATAAGTGCTGCTGTCTGTCTGAAAGGTGAAGGAGTCTAGTCTGTATCTTGGGGCGCTCAAAAGCTCGCACAGTTCTTTTCGAGCCGGGACGGCATATGATAGCGATGATGATGATGATGATGATGATGATGATGATGATGATGATGATGATGATGATGATGATGATGATGATGATGATGATGATGATGATGATGATGATGACGACGACGACGACGATGACGACGAGCACTGAGATCGTTGAATGGACATTCTAGCCTAAGAGAAGGGCTTGAAAGGAACATGTAAAAAAAGAATCTCACAGATCCACATTCCAAGGCTTGCCTCTCTCCTTATCCAGAACAGCCCTCGGATAGCTAGTTTCAAACCTCGACGCCTGCCCGCCCTCAAACACCACCTCCTCCCTCTGCGGCGACTTGACATACACCGTACCGCCGCTAAACCGTCCCTCCTCCACTAACCTCATCATGGCCTCAGCAACCTCGTCAGGTGTGTTCTTGCGCGTGCTCTCCTCGTCGTAGTGGTAGTACTTGGCCCTGTCGTCCTCCCTCTCCTCCCACAAGGGTGTCTTCACCAGATTGGGGCAGATACACACGACCTTGATGCCCTCGTCCGGGTCCGCCTGGGCTAGGCTCTTGCACAGGCCCACGACGGCATGTTTAGTCGCGCAGTACAAGGCGCAGTCGTAGGCCCCCGCCAGGCCGGCGCCGGAAGCCACGAGGAGCACGACGCCCTTTTTCTCGGCGCCGACAAGGGCGCGGAAGGCGAGGCGGGTGAGCTTGATGGGGTGCTCCGTGTTGATGCGGACAGCAGCGTAACCACCAACCCTTCCCCCATCATCGTCCTGTCCCTCCTCGTCATCCCAGAAGTTACTCCAGGGCGGCTCAAAGATGCCTGCACAAGGGCAGTACACATCCGGCACATCACCGAATTCCAAGACGGACGCCGAGATGAGGGCGTGCAGAGATGATTCTCCCTGCCAGCGCGTCACGTCGCAGCGGCGGAAGACGGCGGAACCGGGGCGGTCGACCTCGGTAGTGTGCAGGAACTGCTCGGCGGCGGGGGTGAGTTTCAGGTCGCCGAGGAGGACGCGGCCACCGCGGGCATGGAACTGGCGGGCGAGGGCGAGGCCGATGCCTGAGCCGCCGCCTGTGATGAGGAGGATCTTGTTGGCGATGGGGAAGTCGCCCACGTTTTTGGTGGTCGCTGTGGACATGATTGGTTTGCAAGGGTTGGTCGAGCCGAATGCACTTATCTCTGTCCCTTGGTGGTTTGAGGGTGGCTTGCCCATTTGACAATGTGAAGGATCGAGATGAGACGGCTCACGGTCTTCGAACTTCCCTGCCAATGTCCTGTCCTCCTACTGCACATTCCGTTCAAGGTACCGCTGCAGTATCTCGCAGCATCATGACCAGCACCATCATTATATGCTCAGTCGTTCTCAAGGAAAATGACAAACCATTGATCTAAGTACTTTAGTTTCAGAAAGCGAAGAAACTCCCTTTAATCAAAAGCATAAAAATAAAAATTTCATGGCGATGGCGGTACTTGAACTTTACAGTGTGATTAACGTGGTACGAGATCCCCAGTGGCAGGGGTAATTTCGTGGATGACGAGGAAAACAGAGGTGTAGCAGGAGATTGCGTATTAACAGAGGAAAGGGAAAAGAAAAAGAAAAAGAAAAGAAGAAAGAGGCAAGAGAGACAAGTACCTAGATGTACCAGTAAGTAAGTACTTGCCCAAGCAAGCATATAATTGTTCAAGTAGCAAGTATCATAGTGCTTCCTTCCTCCACTAGACTCAACGGCTTCTTCCAGGGGTTCGATCACCTTACATAAGTCAAGTACTCAAGTACTTTAAGTACTTTACAAAGCAATCAACGTAGGGTTTCTTGTCTTTTCTCATTCTATGCAGCATAAGCCCTCAGACGGGTGACACCTCATTTACCCAACCCTTTTCTTTTCTCTCTTAGGCAACATGGCTATTCTTTGGCCCCCCAAACTACTTATACAACCAACGAGCCTACAGTGGGAGCTGAACCAAGCAAACATGCATGCAACCTTACTGCTTCACCACCAACAGTGAATGCACCCTCCCAAGGGTCCTTCTACACAGTACTATCTGAGATTATTTCTTTTGGGGGGACGATCTGCTTACGAGCTAAAGAGGCGACGTGCTTGTCTTGCCGTCAGCCCAACAACAGTTTTGAACCAATGCTCTGGACGACCGGGGCTGACGTGATGCTTTTCCTTCTTTCTCGCTCTCTCTTTCATTTCCTCCCCGCCCGTACTCACATAGAATAATCTTTTGGTCTTGTCAAACCATCACGCATCACAGATGGCTCCCGCTGTGCCCTTCATGGCTGCTATTCGCTCGTTCTGCCGTCGTTGACTTCCTTTCTGATAAGCAAAGTATTCACGATCTGAGGGTTCGCTCTGCTCCACCTTCAGGCCCGACTTAATCTATCTTTTTATCTCTTAACGAGATCTGCCTCTGGCCCACAATGATCCTCGTGCGCACACGGCTGATCGCCACCGTCGCCGTCTCCATAGCTGTCATTAGCGCCTTCTACCTGCTCCGCCCAAACCGGCCTCTCCCGCTTTACTTCACATCGTCCATCCAGACCAAGTCCTCCACCACTACTTCGTCTCCGAACGAGAAACCCTACGGCCGGGACTACAGAGGCCACGCAGAGCCGGCAGATATCAACCGCGTGGCCAATGGCACCCTTGGCTTCGGAAAGGTGTTTGTCGTCGGGCTGCCCGAGCGCACCGACAAGAGGGACGCCATGACCCTGTCGTCGTCGCTGACTGGCTTCGACGTCGAGTGGGTGGACGGCGTGCGCGGAGATAGCATCCCGGACAAGGCTGTGCCCTTTGGCGTGAATCGCAAGAAGCTGATGGAGACAAACCTGGGCAGCTGGAGGGGACACATGAACGCGATCAGGAGGTACGTGCGCTGACGAGAGTGCGGGGCCTCGAATCATAATGACCCTGAGGACGGTTGGAGATCATGCTGACATCTGTGTTGCTCTTTCTTTTCCTTCCAGGATCGTTGAACAGAATCTCGACTCTGCTCTGATTATGGAGGACGACATGGACTGGGACGTCCGCCTCAAACCCCAGCTCGAGCTCCTCGCCTCCGGTGCCCGCGCCGTCATGTCCTCCCTCCCCGATGCCTTCTTCCCGACCGGCCGCCCATCTACTGCCGCATCCTCCTCCTCCTCCTCTCCCGACTCAGCTCCAAACAGTCCTTACGGCGACGACTGGGACATCCTCTGGCTCGGTCACTGCGGCGAGCCCTTCCCTGAGGACCTGGTCGAGAACAAGGACCTCCCTCCCGAAGACCGAGGCCGCAAGGCCATGGCCCGCAAATGGACCATCCTCAACGACGCCACCGTCCCGCCCTACGATCATCTTACCGGCATCGTCGACTTCGCCGCCCACCCGGAGCACACGCGCTGGGTACACGTCACCGCCGCGCCCATCTGCACGTTTGCCTATGCCGTCAGCCTACACGGGGCCCGTAAGATCCTCTACGACCTGAGCGTCGACAGGCTGTCTGGGCCGTTTGACAATGCGCTGGCTTGGTTGTGCCGGCGGGCTGTGGGGAGCTGGGCCGGGCTTGGGCGGGGGGAGGACCCGAACACCCTGGGGGATCGAGGGTTCGATGCCAAGTGTTTGAGCATTACACCGCCGCTGTTCTTTCATCATAAGGCGAAGGGACTCGTGAATGCTGATAGCGATATTCAAAACTATGGTGGGGGTGGTGGCGGAGACAATGAGAAGCCGCCTGAAATTAGGGACAAGGGGAAGACGGAGAATATCATGTGGAGTGCGAGGATGAATATTGCTAACATGATTGCCGGCAGGGAGATGGAGAGCCAGTTTTGATACCTGGCTGAGACCTATTGATCTGGAGTTTGAAACGTTATGGTTGGATTCCGGCGCATATACTGGAGGGTCTTGCTTGGGCATACACTTTGGGTGTTGTCTCTTTGGGAAGCTTTACTTTTTATTTATTCCTTTTTGTAGGCCTTGAGGTCTTTTTTCTTCTTTGGTAGCCAGAATTTTATGATATTTTCCAACCAAAAGCATCGCCCCTGCAATGCAGCCATCACTCGTTATGGGCATCATGAGTCTGGCCTGGATCTTTCATGATAAAACACCCAAGCCAAAATGCACCGCGAATATAATAAGCAACCCGCCGTCATCTGATCTCAAGCTATGCCGCCACCGCCTCACGATGTCTCCGTCCCTGACCAAACTCTAGCATAATCCACTCATATACAGCCCATTGCACCGCATTCACGATGAAAGCCCGAACACTACACACCATCAGCCCGCGAAAGAAGACCCGCAGGCCCGCCTCCCTGTACGCCTCACGCGCCACCTCCACCGCCCCTAATCTCTTTGTGTTTGTTGCCGTCATCAGTGTCTGATTCCTCGGCTCGGCGAGAAGAGGTGTCCGGTCCTGGTGGCGGCGTGGTGATGTAGGGGCAGAGCGGTCACGGTCATCTAACCCCCCCACCACCTGCTGCGCCTGCAGCCGCGTCTTGATGACGTCCAGCGGGAAAATACTAGCCCAGGTCACAATACCCGCGATGCCGCCGCACAGCAGAACCTTGACGGCCTCCACACCGTCCACCACAGCACCAGCACCAGCACCACCAGCGCCAGCCCCTGCCGACGGAGGATGGTCGCCCTGGCGCAGCCACTGCTCCGCCCACCGCGTGCTCAGCTCGTAGCTCCAGAAGTAGAAGCCGTACCCGATGCTATCCCGCAGGGCCGTGACGGCGCCCCCGAAATAGAGACCGCGGAGGCCGCCTTCGGTGGCCCAGATCTTTTTTGCTATGGCCCAGCTCGAGGCAGAGACCGGGCTGGCCGCCAGCTGGGCGCGGCATTTGATGAGCTCGGTGGGCGTGGAGACGACCCATGTGGCTAGGCCGCCTATGGCGCCTGCTGTGAAGGTTGTCCAGAGTGAGGGGACGGTGGTGGTGATGGTTGCGCTTGCGGGAGCAGAGGTTGAGGGCGAGGAAAAGAGCTGGTTGATGAGAGCCTCGGAGCGGTTGTAGGAGACGAAGAGGAGGGCGTTGAGGGCTCCGTAGCCGAGGATTGGGGCGGCGGTGCCGGTGGAGAATTTCCTCAGCAGGGAGACGGGAGTGGTGGTGGTGGTTGAGGCTGTTCGTGGGGCTGTAGGGTTGGCAGAGGAGGAGGAGGGAGGTGCAGGTGGTGGTGAGCCGGTGGCGGATGTGCTTTTTGCTTGGAGGCGGACCTTGAGTATGTCGAGAGGATTGCCGATGATGATGCCCACGGCGCCGGAGATGTATCCGGCCCAGAAATCGGCCGACATGTTTCTTTCGGTCCAGAGTATTATGAGATTCAGCCCTTCAAAGATATTGGGAGTATCATTATCGAGGAGAGCCTCGGTAATGGTTCAAGGGCCGAGGAAGATAGGACAGGACCTCGTTGAGCATCACGACGTGGCCTTTGAGGTGTGATGGACGGGCCAGGAGGACAAGACAGAATTAATTTACAATTTGCCAAGACTAGGCAATCAAGTCTTGACGGCCATCGTGGGTTGTAAGTCTAGAGACTCGCGGGCCCGTTGAGGAGCCACGAGAGGTGTCTTTAGGGTTCGGGTTATAGAGGAAATCAAAATCATGGACGATCCATTTTCGTGGTATTCAAATGTATCGTTGAAGAGTTCTGATTAGAATTTATGTATCGCAAGTTCAAAGATAGGTTTTCCTGAATAAGAAATTTGGGCATATACTTATCATCTCCAATATTGGATGCTGCACAGGTGTGATGTGTCGAAGTTGCCTACCTGCATTAGGCAATGTTCAGCCACTGAACAGGTGAACAAATAATCGACCATCTTACATCCAAGAACATTAAATTTATGTATTGAAACAGAAAAATCCTGATATAATTCTAAGAATATAAACTCCTAAAATTTCTCAGGTCTCCTCAAAAATCAGCATGCGATAGGATAGTCCGGCCTCGTCAAGTCCGTTGGATGAGAGTAAAAAGCATACGGCACGTGACAAGGTGAGGCAGACGCGTCGGCCCCGGCCTTGGCATCGCGCTCTTTCCCTCCAATGTCAACAAACCATCCTCCGCCACCATCAAATTTTCCCGAGACAACAGAACAGTGAAGTGACAATTTCCGAGAAAAAAGATAGCGAAAGAAGAAAAGGAAGCCCATCTCTCTAGGCTCCAAAGCCGGCCACAATGTAAGTGTGATCCCCTCCAAACACGCCCCGGCCTTTTGTTCCACCTCGAGGACTCACAATGTGTAGGACGCTGCTTGCGTCGACGCCCAAGGCGAACAAGGAGAACGTCGCGTCTAGAAGCCGCTTCCCTGCGCCTCAAACCATCGATAAGCTGCACAAGCCCTTCAAGTGCCCCGGTTCGGCCAACAGGACACCTGCCAGCGACCGACCTACCAGGAAGAAGAGGAAGATCGACTACACAGGAGCAGATGGAGAGGTCGATGCGGACAAGCCATACACAAATGAGGACCGTCTCGCCCTTGCCAATCGAGATGTCAATCGATTCCCCGTATTCCAGGCCAAGGACAAGAACACAGTCTTCCGCAAGGCTTTTGCTATCCCTCTGATCAACAAAAATTCCGCTGCCTTCAATCCCAACCGACCGCCACCCACGCTCGGCCTCAGGCAGGGCGCCGTCTTCGTCGCCAAGCCCCTGCATGATCCGAGTGGCGAATTCGCAATTGTTCTCTACGATCCTACGGTGGATGACAAGCCTAAGGAGCCCGAGCAGCTGAAGGAGGAAGAGAAGCCGGTCGAGAAAATCCAGGAACCGCTCATGCACAAGAGTCTCGCCGAGATCCTGGGCATCAAGAAGAAGGTCGAGGGGCAGCACCCACGGGTCCCCGTCGTCATTGATCCTAAGCTAGCCAAGGTCCTGCGGCCCCATCAGATCGAGGGTGTCAAGTTCATGTACCGATGTGTCACCGGCGTGATTGACCCAAACGCCAATGGGTGTATAATGGCAGACGAGATGGGTCTCGGCAAGACCCTGCAGTGCATCACCTTGCTGTGGACGCTTCTCAAGCAGTCGCCAGATGCAGGGCAGACCACGATCCAAAAGGCTGTCGTGGCCTGTCCCTCGAGTCTGGTTCGCAACTGGGCCAACGAACTGGTCAAGTGGCTGGGTGCCGATGCCGTCACTCCTTTCGCCATAGACGGCAAGGCCACCAAAGAGGAGCTCACCAGACAGCTCAGGCAGTGGGCTATCTCCAGCGGGCGTGCTGTAACCCGCCCGGTCATTATCGTGTCCTACGAGACCCTGCGGCTGTATATCGATGAGCTCAAGAACTGTAAGATTGGCCTGATGCTCTGCGACGAGGGCCATCGTCTCAAGAATGGAGACAGCCTAACGTTCACTGCCCTGAATAACCTCAACGTCACGAGGCGGGTGATCTTGTCCGGCACACCGATCCAGAACGATCTGTCCGAGTACTTCGCCCTCATCAGCTTCGCCAACCCTGGCCTGCTCGGCACGAGGCTGGAATTCCGCAAGCAGTTCGAGCTTCCCATCCTCCGCGGCCGCGACGCTGATGCAACCGACAAGGAACGCCAGAGGGGCGACGAGTGTCTGTCTGAGCTGCTCGGGATTGTCAACAAATTCATCATCCGCAGGACCAACGACATCCTGTCCAAATACCTGCCGGTCAAGTACGAGCACGTCGTCTTCTGCGGCCTGGCTCCATTCCAGCTTGATCTTTACAACTACTTCATCACCAGCCCGGATATTCAGGCCCTGCTCCGCGGCAAGGGCAGCCAGCCTCTCAAAGCAATCACCATCCTCAAGAAGCTATGTAACCACCCGGACCTGCTTGATCTCAGCAACGACCTGCCAGGGAGCGAGGAGCACTGGCCCGACGATTACGTGCCCAAGGAAGCCCGTGGGCGCGATCGCGACGTGAAGCCGTGGTACAGCGGCAAGATGCAGGTTCTAGACCGCATGCTGGCCCGGATCCGTGCTGACACCAACGACAAGATCGTGCTCATCTCCAACTACACGAGCACTCTCGACCTGTTTGAGCGCCTCTGCCGCAACAGAACCTACCCGTGCCTGCGTCTTGACGGCTCGATGAACGTCACAAAGCGGCAGAAGCTTGTCGACAAGTTCAACGATCCTGAGGGGGACGAGTTTATCTTTTTGCTCTCCAGCAAAGCCGGAGGCTGTGGTCTTAACCTCATTGGCGCTAACCGTCTTGTCCTCTTCGACCCTGACTGGAACCCGGCAGCCGACCAGCAGGCACTTGCCCGTGTGTGGCGTGATGGGCAAAAGAAGGACTGCTTCGTCTACCGGTTCATCGCCACAGGTACGATCGAGGAGAAGATCTTCCAGCGGCAGAGCCACAAGCAGTCACTGTCTTCGTGTGTGGTGGATGAGGCGGAAGACGTGGAGCGGCACTTCAGCCTGGACAGCCTCCGAGAGCTGTTCCAGTACAGACCAGGGACGAGAAGCGATACTCACGACACGTTCAAGTGCAAGCGGTGCAAGCCTGACGGGAAACAGTACCTCAAGGCGCCGGCAATGTTGTATGGTGACACGAGCACGTGGAACCATTTCAACAATGAAGGTTTGAATGCGATTCAAGACTTGCTCCTTCGGCAGGAGTGTGGCGTGGATGAAGTATCGGCCGTGTTCCAGTACATATCGCATTGATCTTGCTGTTGCTGGGTGGTCCTTTGATTGTCATTCTTTCTTTCTTTTGATTGTCCTTTCTTTTTTTCTTCCCCCCCCCCCCCTTTTTTTTTTTTTTTTGGTTTTGGCTTGCGTCATGACATTTTGATGAGGACGGTTTGGAGGTGACTTATATGGTTGCATCGAGAGCAGTGGCGCATTGGCGTTCAGACGAAATCGTTGGTAGTCTGGCATTGCTATATACTTTTAGCGGAAAACCTGCAAGCTTGTTAGAGGTAGAGTTTCAGACAGCTACGGAAACGTTTCCAATACACTCAACATCACTCCCTTATAATGACACCAAAGTGACGGTGCCACGAGAATCCGTGCCATGATTGGTGACAGGCAGTTTGCTCATGTCTAGCAGGGCTGATAAACATAATTCATGAGCTCGACCTGGCGCGACACAAGTATATCTATGATACTGCACAAAGAAGGGCGAAGCTCTGCCCAGTTCGAGACATGTGAAACCCGGTGGCTGTGTATCGGTATTGCTTCTTTTGATCCTGATTGATGTTCCCAGGTTAAGCGTCAAGCCACACGGGGAATCCCACCTAGGAAGCTTTAATGAGCAGCTACCACCAAGACCTGCCTTCCCAGAGGTCCTTCACTCAGCCCTTGTAAGATTTGGACAGTCTTGCTTGGACACTTCACTGCGTAACCCCAAGCAGCCACTTCTTTCTTTTTGCATCCTGCTGCTTGCTATTTCCTTCTTGCTTCCTATTCTTCTTCCCCTGGCTCGAGCGGGCTTGATCCTGTGCAGTAGCAGAAGGAATATCACTGATTTGATGCTCATATAGAGTTTTGAGCCCAGTCCTGTTAGAGAATCCGATCAGACCGAGCTTTCTTTTTTTGGCAAATGCAAAGAGGTGAGTCCAGCATTCCCCTTTAGCCACAAAACATTCGATTCGCAATTCACCTGAATCCTCATATGGTAGCCACAGCAGCAAGAGGCAGACAGGCCATGCAGGCGGCCGAGTTTTGAATCCTTTGGGTTTCATTTTTAAGGACCCTAACTTAGCTCAACAGCGGCCCAGGCTCATGTGAATCGCAAAGGAAAGCGAACAGGGAACCCAAGCCCTTCAGCAATTCAAAAGGACTGTCAAAGGCGCCCCTTGCCAGCTGCTTGGATATTCTTGGGATTTCTTCTCTCTTACTAGATTCACTCTCTCATTGCCCGCCCACACCCACCCGCCTCTAAAGGCGCTGCGAGGAGCTGAGGGTTTGTCCTCCCAGGTGCCCCTAGGTGCGGACAGGCATCACCCCTTCAGAGTCCAGACGACAAGCCCCAGTCAAGCAAGCCAGTTCAACTGTTCATCCAGGCCATTCATCCCAACGACCGAGGGGGCCCGCCTCGCTCAGCGTACAGCCACAGTGGTTGCGGGTTTCTTGCGGCTTGGGGAGGTGATTGAAGCTTGGCGGGTGCCTGACAAGACGGTAACAAACGAACAAACAAAAGACCCAAGAGGAATCCTCTTCTTTCTCTTCTGATGAAGAAAGAACAAATTCCTAGCCCCAAGATGAGACCCCAGGCCTATAGCAGAGAACCAGCAGCGTACGACGGGCCAAGAAGCGGCACAGCGCGGCAGTCACAGGCGCAGCAACAGCAAGTCACCTCGGCAGCCGCCATCCAGACGCATTCGTCCACCAAGGACAATAGTACGAGTAAGTCTCACCTAGCCAAATACCCTCCCCGAACGTGTTGTGTGTGTGTGTTTTTGTGTCTCAGACACAAGACCCGCGGTTCCAGCTATTGGCGCGCTGCCGAAGAATTTCAATTCGCATGTCTCTGGCGTGCAGCAGATTTCCTGGGAGACCTGAAGCTTCTTTTCCCCCCTTTTCTTGCGACTGCAACTGCGACTGCGACACGACGTAGCAAGCCCTCCCTCGCAACCTGTCATACAAGCGAACAACACGGATTCTTGCAGAGAGAAGAGACCAAGAGAGAGGAACAGAGAGGGAGAAGGATATAGAACAACCTACAAAGAAGATGGGTTGGCGTCATGCACGCCCGACGATCTCCCGCAAGACCCAACAACCAAGGAGAGAAATCGAACTCGCAACAAAAAGAAAGAGAAGAGCCACTGGACCTAAAAATGGCAACAAGAAACGACACGAGCGCATCCCATCCATCAGCCCCCCTCCTTCCCAGGGGTGCCCAGGGAACAAAGACCTAAATACGCCTGTCAGCACTGGTCGGGCTGTGCCGTCACCGACCCCCGTTCCCAAAAGTGAGATCGATCAGCACAATCATACAAGAATCGAAATTGAATATTGGATTTTGGGCCTGTGCCGTGGGATTGATCACTCATGTCCCATGCCCGTCCATGGCGCATGATTCGTCCCCTTAGCAAAGCCCATTTTCAGGCAACCCGTTCTCGCCCCTTAGCAAGCACACCCACACACCCACCCCCAGAGGTCTCAACTGTGTGGTGGCCAACAGCTGCAGTGGGTGGATCTGAAACCCTGCAGCTTGTGGAGCAGGGGCTTTCTTCTCTTTTACGAAGGCTTTGCCGCATTACATTGAGGGGGGATCGATTGCATGAGCGAGACCGACCGGAATAGGGCACGGCATTCGACATACTACCTCCCTCCACACTTCACCTTGGCCTTGTTCGAAAAAGGGGCTGAGCTCTCGTCAGTCAGACACAGACATCAGAGAACGCGACAGCGGCTTGGCTCCCCGCCTCCCCTATCAAGACGTGCTCTGGGCAACGAAGCTGGGCAGCAGCAGCTCTGGGCCAAGCTGGAGTCAACAGGGAAAGAACCTAGACGCAACTACTCGGTACATCCCCATAAGAGATTGTCCTGTCCAGGCCCTGCGACACCTTCCAGAAACCTCTCCAACAGCCCCTCTCGACCCCCCTTCGGCCCTGTTCAGGCTTCCCACCCAACCCACCCGAAACCGCCCCCCCGCCCCCTCGCTCTCGTCTTCCTCCGCAGCCTTGCACGACCAACTCTTGCTCCGGGGGAAAAAAAGAAAGGAGAAAGAAAAGAAAGCTTCAGGTCCTACCTGGGAATATATTTCTTTTAGGCCTAGTGGATTGCAGGGGTTGAAGAAAAAAGGGAGGACGCAGGGTACTCTCTGGCCTGGCTGACAGATCAATCGTTTTATGGTTGTATTTATGCAGGCTCAACCCCCCCGCATCGCATCGTTTCCTACGAGATGCCACAATTTGGAGCAACTTTCGTTCCTGGCGGTCACGACGACTACCAGATGCCGCAGATGTACGCGCCATCGCCCCAGAGGTCAGTGTTAATTTCCCAACAGTCCACTTCTTCTCCGTCTCCAGTACCGGCCATCCCGGCCCCCGTCTCTGTTCCCGTCCCAAGTCGCAAAGCGTGCTGTCCTCTGCTGTGTGCTGTGTGTGCTTGTGCTGTGGCGCCCTCCGTACGCATACACAAACACACACAGACACAGACACATGCTGGCTGGCGGGCTGATCGTGCGGTACTTTTGTTGACTGTGCTGAGCTATGGACTCTGGACCATGGACTGGGCTGGGCATGGGCTAAGCTGGAAAAGCTCTGCCCAACCCCCTAAAACTCATGGCGCTTTGAAGGCTGACGTTGGATTCGGGCCCTTACTACCTACTACAGGGTTATGCCCGAGGTCCCTCAAAACATGCAACAAGGCCTCCAGCGCATGGAACTCGAGGCCCGCGAGGTTCACCCACGACCGAACAACAACGGCTCTGCCCCCAACTACCTCGGCGACGCTGGCCACGTGCGAGGCGAGTCGCTCAGCAACGCCCTCTCCGGCTATACCGACGCAGGCCAGAACTTCCGCCCCTTCGAGGACGGCGACCACAACAAGAGCTACAGGCCCATGGCTGACTACGAGGCCCCCGGCGACTCCCCCTTCCCCAGGGTGAAGGGGGAGAACATCCCGCCCAGCGACAAGGAGAAGGAGGAGATACTATACAATGCGCGCCAGCATGTGCTGCACTCCAACAACGTGAGCATGCAGCTCACCTGGGCCAGGGACTCGCTCAACTACGTCGAGACTGCTGCCGAGGTCCGCACGCGCGAGGCCCGCGACAGCTATGGCGCCCGCCCCCAGACCCCCGTCGTCGAGCACGACCTCAAGGTGGACGCCATGAGCATCGTCGGCTACCTCGTCGACCAGAACCACCCCGAGGCCATCTTCATGAAGGCCAAGTGGGACGAGTTTGGCAAGTTCGGCGAGAGGCAGGACCGCAAGGCCGCCTTCAAGGCCTACCGGCAGGCCGCCGAGGGTGGGTGGGCGCGCGCCGAGTACCGCATGGGTATGCTCTTCGAGAACTCCAACGATATCGACAGCGCCCTCAAGCACTATCACATGGGTCTCTCCCAGGGGGACTCGGCGGCCATGTACCGCCTCGGCATGATGGCCCTGCTGGGCCAACACGGCCAGAGGCAGGACTTCCGGTACGGCATCGACCTGATCAACCGCGCCGCAGACACGGCCGACGAGGACGCCCCCCAGGGTGCCTACGTCTACGGCATGCTCATCGCGCGGGACCTGCCAGACATCATGGTGCCGGACGACCTGCTGCCGTACAAGGTGGACACCGCCAGGCAGTACGTCGAGAAGGCCGCCTACCTCGGCTTCTCCAAGGCGCAGCTCAAGATGGGCCAGGCCTACGAGCTGTGCCAGCTCGGCTGCGACTTCAACCCCTCCTACTCCCTGCACTACTACGGCCTGGCCGCAGCACAAGGGCAGCCCGAGGCCGCGTTGGGCGTCAGCAGGTGGTTCCTGTTTGGCTACGAGAGCAACTTTGCCAAGAACGAGGCGCTGGCCTTCAAGTTCGCAAAGCAGGCTGCAGATGCGAAGCTGGCCACGGGTGAGTTCGCCATGGGCTACTACCATGAGATCGGGATCCACGTGCCCAAGGATCTCAAAGAGGCACGACGCTGGTACGAACAGGCGGCGTCGCATGGTAACCAGGACGCGGTGGGGCGGCTCGACAGCCTGAGCAAGGACAAGAGCCTGTCCAAGAAGGACCACGAGACCACGGCGCTCACGAGGATCAAGTCGCAGCACGGCTCGATGAGGGGGAAACGGCCAGAGAGACTCCAGCGGATGAAGGACCAGCAGCACATGGCGCCTCTGCCCGAGGCTCCCAGGACGCCAAATGATCCCAGCGGAAGAGGAAGCCCTCGGATATCACCCAACCCCTCCCCTCGACATGGACCCGTGAACCCCGACGGTCGGCCGCCAGCGTTCGGCCTGAACGTCAACGTCGACCACGGCAATCTTGCCATGCGACCCAAGTCAGCTGCACCGTACCCAGATGACGAAAACGCCCCGCCGCTCAACATGAACCGGCCCTCGTCGGCCGCACCATACCCCGACGACGGAGGATCCAGACTACCACCACCATCCTCACAGCGCCCCTACTCGGGACTGCCACCTCCAGGGCGTCCAGATCCCAATGGACCTCGTCCAGGAAGTGCTGGCCGCCTGGGGCCAGGGCCAAATCTGGCACCTGGCATCATCCCAGCAGGCATGCCGCTCGGTCCTGGTGGTGCAGGTCGCGGTCGTATGCCGTCCACTTCACCCTACCCGCCTGGCGGGCCGGCCGGACCAGGAGGTCGCAGACAGGGCAGTATGAGCAACCTTACTCCCGGTCCAGGTCCTGGTCCTGGTCGTGGTCCAAAACCCATGGCTGGGCCTGGTGGCAATGGTAAGGACAATTCCCTCTTGCTAGCCTAAACTTTGTGTGGCAAGAGACAGATAGGCTAACCGGAGTGCATTCACATCTAGCAGGACGTGGAGGCCCTGCACCAATACAGCAAGCGCCGTATGGGAACATGGCCGCACCCCAGCAGTCACCACCCCTCATGCCCCCCTCGATGCCTGGTGCCCAGCCGTACGGTGCTCGCCCCAGTTCACGCGGCAGCGGCGCCCCACCACCACGCCACGACTCAATGGGAGGCGGTCCACCAATGCCCCGCTACGACTCTCCACAGGGACCACGGCAGTCTAGCCAGCCTCAACCGCAGATGCGGCCCATGACCGGGAACTCGCAGCAGGGCGTCAGCCTCAGCGATGTACCCATGGCCGGCCGGGCGAGCGCACCTCCGGCTCAGGCTCGGCCGACGCCGCCATCGAGCTCACACGGCACGCCCTCGCAGTCGAGCCCGGCGGCTAGTGTCAAGCCGCCCAGGAAGCCAACGGATCACCCTGACGGCAAGACGATGGGAGGGGGTCCATCTACTTTTGATGAGATGGGTGTCCCGCAAGTCAAGGATGACAAGGATTGTGTGAGTACTGCCTGTCACATCTCCCCCCGTTGTAGCTACATTCTTGTTCCGACGGCTGACGTTTGTTGTTCTACCTATCTAGATTGTCATGTAAACTTGCTTCAAGCTTTTGTGTCTAGATGAGAGAGAGAGGGAGGGAGGGAGGGAGAGAAGGAAAGACAGACCAAAGGGAGACGAGACGTTCTACTACATGAAAGCGAAAGAGATACCATGGGCAAGGCTAGCGTGATTGATTGATTGAATTCATTGAAAGCGCTTTCTTGTCGTCCATGATTCATATAACATGCATACACACATATTTGTTGTGGTTGATGGGTAATTTGTTTTCTTACATGTCTTTTTTAAAAACAAAGATTCTCACTCTGGGCGCTGTTGGAAGAGGTTGAAGCAGAAAAGGAAAAACGTCCCCACATACATATATACATAAAGTACTGAGGTATTAATTACGGGCCAAGTCATGGATGAAAATCATGCCTATGGTGGTTTAACTGGATATGAATATAATAGTCATGTACTTGTGCATGTAGACGGAGCATGCAGATGGACGGACGGAGCGTTTTCGCCTGGTTAGCTTGATTTGAATATGTTACTGGGGATATCATGGCACTTTCGAAAGTGAGGTTGGGGTCTTTATCGTATTTTGTACGTCACATCATAATTATAGGATACCTTTGGAAGTTGGAGGTGTTGGTGTGAAGAAAGGGAGCAGGTGAAGCGTGGTTTGGATGGTGAAGATGGGAGGACTTGACTTGTATATTCCTGATTGGATCCTTTACCAAGCTGGTCCACGTACTTAACTATTGCATATCATGGTTTTCTGGGCTTGTGGTGTCTCCTACCGGCAAATAACAACAGACTTCCTAGTCTTTTTCATATCTTTATATCGGTGATTAGCTATGCTGTGGTTATTTCTGCGTAAGAAATACTGTGTAGGGCTTGTCAAATATGGGCTCTGTGCATACAACGGTTTTACTCCAAGAAAAAAAAAAAGTTGGAAAAAGCTTGGCAAGGTATTATCCTTGAGAATTGATTGTATTTTCAGAATGTCCATGAGGACATTCCCGTTACTCCGCTACAGAAGTTGATATGTGTCTGAACGCGAGACTGGAAAGCACGAACGAAGAACTCCGAAAGACAGCAGCGGATCTTTGACAATCTCATGAGAAAAACCACAACACCACCATCGCCGTTCAAACGGCCCCATGTTCCTTCCATGCGTGACGAATGGGCAGTGTTGACTTGTGGTAATGATGTGGGGCGTAGACGTCCCAATGTGAGGGTGGGAATTTGTGCACGACATCAGAATTCGACACAGCATATATCTCAACAGCTTCTTTTCGCCAAAGGACAAAACAGAAGAGGCCATATTCTGAATCCAGTTGTTTTCTCTTGTTTTTTCTTGTTCTTTTTGTTGCGATTGGGGAATGCAGAAGAAGAAGACTTGTGTTTGTTGTTGTAGGAGAGGCCGAGGACGGAGCATCGCGACCGATCAAGGGTGTTTGCTCCGGCAGAGAGGGGAGGATGAGGAGGCAGGGACTTTTGCTGCCTCTGGTTCTCCTCCAGGCCCCCGCCCCCAAGAACATGCCATCTTTTCTCGCCCGTTGGAGGGGGTTTTTGCTGCTGCTGCTGGTGGGCTGCACGTCTCGAAAACAGCAGCGAGTAAACAGGAGGTAGAGCAGCTCCAAGGGAGGAAGAAGGAAGGGGGGAGGGGCCGGCCACAGGTGCACGAGGCCATGCGTTGTCCTGGCTTGTTTGGCGCGTCGGCTTGACAGGGCGCTCTCGACGGTGGCGAGATAGGAGGGAAGAAAGGATATGGGGCTGCTCGTCTTATGACAGTGATTGCTGGGCTGGCCCGAGTTCACCCATTCTTGGTCGTACGTGGCTCCTCTGTGACGGCGGTATGGCGAGAACCTTGATGGTCGGTCGGCGCTGCTGATGGCGAGGGCAAGAGATGGCCTGGGTCGCCGAGGAACTTGGTAGCGTAGCCGGAGAGTTGGTGGAAGAAAGTATGAAGGATGGAGGAAAGAGAAAACAAGAGAAGATGAAAGGGGGAGGGAGGAGGGATATTTATATGTTGTTGTCCCAAGATGCATAGGAGAGAGTCACAAGCAATCAACACAACTATTCCTCGCCTTAGCAGACTGCCTTTGAGTCTAGGGAAGCCGGGCGGTCAAAGGGCTGGCATGTGCTTGGTCCAAAATACCTAGTCACTTACTTAGTCTTATTCTCGTGAGATGGTTAGATCGGCTTGGTCTGTTAACTTGGAGTGACGATGAGGACAACTTGCCTGTGCAGAAAGCCTCCGTTGATGTTTGTCTTCCGCCACTGGCGACCGGCAGGTAATTAGGATGTAGCCTCTACAAGTTTCAGGCATATGGCATGACCTTGTTGTCATCGACGGAGCCATTAAGAATCCTAGAAACAGCGTAAAGTGCGATGGTGAAGTTCACTAAGTCGATATTTTGGGTCATGAGCTGCACCAGTAGAGTATCTGCGCATCACAACAACTTGGTGTATATTCCTTGGTCTGGAATGAGCGAATGAATAGAAGAGTAGCATGCATTATCTCGACTAGTGCTGGTAACAGTTGAGGCTGGCGATAGTTATATGATTAGGTCAAATAGCCAGAAGTAGAATATCAAGCAGCTAGCTTAGTGAAGATGCCTGAAGCACGCCTATCCTCGTGTCATATAGTACTGGGGTTTGGTTTTTTTTTTTGTAGCAGATAGCTAAATGTTCAGTGTTCAGGCTGGTAGAAGCATGTCACAGTTGTTGAGGTTGTCAAGTGGGTTGCAGGGTAAGAGGGGGTCGGAGGAGCAAGAGGGTCGGTCTGGCTTATCAGGGTCTGGACCTATGAATCTTAGGACAGACCATACTACTCACTGCAACCCCCCCTCCCCCCATCCCAAGCTCATGCTGCCAGCCCGGAGGTCAACGTCAATCGTCAGCTTCCCGCAGCCTGGCGCTGGCTTTCACTTTAAGTATACCCATTTCAGACGACCTAGCATTTACGACGAGACAACCCACACTCCCAAAGAAGACCGTACAGAGCAAAGACCGCTCTACTCTTGTTCACCAACGACCTTGCCACACTTTTGATCTAAGTAAAGCAAGGAACAAAGATTCCAATCAGATTCCCACTACACCATTGCCCACCACCCTCTTCTGGGCTCGCCTCGGCTTTCGATCACCACCATCACTACCACCTTCGCCACAAAACACACCACCTCCACTTCCTTCCCCGACTCCAGACCTCTCAAGATGGCCGACCGCCAGCTGCAACAGATCCTCAGCCAGCTGAAATCCTCGCCCTCCTCCCTCAGCTACGCCGACGCCGCCTCCCTCCTCTCAAAAGCTAAGCTCCTCCTCCTCAAGCTCTCGGCCCTCTCGCCCTCCAGCCCGCCCCAGCCCCAGCCCATCCTCGCCCTCGCCCGCGAGACCTACGAGCAGGGCGCCCTCTACAGCATCCGCGCCCGCGACCCGGACGCCTTCACCCGCTATGTCACCCAGCTCGCCCCCTTCTACGAGCTGCCCGCCGCCGTCCTGCCCCCGGCCCTGCCCGAGCGTAACAAGGTCACCGGCCTCTACCTGCTGCTCCTCCTCACGCAGGGCCGCTACGCCGAGTTTCACAGCGAGCTGGAGAGCCTGTCGACGCGCGAGGGCGGCGGTGGTAGTGTCGATGTGGAGGGCGACCGCTTCCTTGGCTATCCTATCCGCCTGGAGCGGTGGCTGATGGAGGGCAGCTATGATCGTGTCTGGAAGGCCATGAAGAGCCGCGAGGTGCCTAGCGAGGAATATGCCGTCTTCTCAGAGGTTAGTTCTGCCTGCATGCCTGTCGCCCCCCAGCCCGCTCTCTTCACATATATGATTATTATACGAAACATGCCGTGTCCGCGGTTTGATCTGTATCTCTGCTTTCCTCATCGTATGGAAGAAACCTGCCCGCTGACTCCCGCGGGGATACCCTCTTTGGGGGGTTCCCTTTCTCTCTCCATACAGATCCTCACCTCCCAGATCCGCTCCGAGATCGCCTCCTCCAGCGAGCGCGCCTACCCCAGCCTCCCCATCTCCTCAACAAAGTCCCTCCTCTTCCTCGACTCCGAGGGCGCGGTCATCGACTTTGCCAAGTCGCGCGGTTGGATCCTCCGGGACGGCATGATTTACTTCCCCAAGGAGACCGAGACCGCAGACGAGGAGCAGGACGACGCCGCGGCGGGCGGCGCCGGTGCTGGCAAGGAGGGGATGAGCAAGTTGGTTATTGAGAATGCGTTGGGGTATGCGAGGGAGTTGGAGACTATCGTGTAGCCGGAAGTGCGGTCTCAGTTCAGTGTGGGCGGCACGTTGTGCATATCAAACAGTCGAGCCGTGATGAGGAATTCAATGCTAGCGAGAAGGGAAGAAAGGGGGGGGGGGGGGACGGCCAACAGAAGAAAACAATGGCACTTAGACCATGATGACAATGTAATATCATTAGACAACCAAATGACGACGCACATGGCCTGGTCGCGCTGCTTGATGGTGGTCATGTACACCCGATGGCCCATATGCAGGCACCGGCCGAGACGACAGTACGCGAACATAAGACTTGTGATGATATGAGATGTATATATATACGTATGTATTGCATTTCCGCGGAAACCCTCCAGCAAAGAGAGCGTTGTTCTTTTCCGTATCCGCCCGCAATTTTTTTTTTAATCTAAGAGCCAGATGCAAACAGAAACACAATTGTTCAACAAGCCAGCCAATGTCCTTCGCACCTAGGATACGTCTTCGCGTCATAATTACATGTTGGCGCAGGGGGCCCGTGACCGTCGCCTTTTTTCTTTCTTATGGAATCATGATCGAATTTCAAATGGCTACCTTCTACTCCCCCTTCCCCCCTTGCCACCAAGGACCCGACAACTTTTTCCTCATCGCGCCCATTCTTCTGTGCGCGTCCCCATCCTCCTCCGAAATACCGTTCAGAAGAACAGCTTAAGACCGCTGCCGTGCTTGCCGACCTCGCAGACATCGCACACCGTGCATACTGTGCCCTTGTATTTGGTGTGGTACTTGGCGCCGTCGAAGGCGCACTCTTCGTACGCCGTACCGCTGTAGATAGGTGTGTGGCTGGCAGCGCAGATCTCAAACTCGGCAAATTGGTCGAACTCGATCTCCACCGCGTCGTGCGGGTTGCGCTCGCACTGAGCCTTGGTCTTGCGTGCCTGTAGGAGGGTTGTCAGCCAACAAAAAGGAATACAACATATCTCACTTCAACCTGATGGGGCCTTTTATGACTTACATTTTCCAAGATTTTGTTAGCACCACCATTCGCCAAGATGCGATTAGCAAAGCTCAATGCCGAGCTGTAGTTCTTGCTCCTGAACGCTAGGTTCATGGCGTTGAGTAAGGCCAACTGCCGGTGGGGTACCTCGATCTTGGGGATGGTGAAGTATGCCGACAGCTCGAGAGAGCGCTTCAGCTTCTCGGGATCGGCATTGACCTCGTTGGGGGCACCGAGTTTCCTGCGTGCGAGCTCGACGCTCATGGCGACAGAGTACTCGCTAGCAGAGGTGATGAGCTTCTTGGCCTCTGTGACCTCGCCCTCGCTTGCTACCGCGTTGACTAGGATCGCGTGCAGGATGCTCTTGAAGATTGTGAGGCCATCTTCCAGCTTGTTGGCTTTCATCGAGTCGTAACCCCGTTGTAGGTCGTTGCTGGCCAGATGCTCGAGGTCCCGAGGGATGAACGGCAGCACCTGTCTCAGATCCTGCTCCTCAACGGTCCGACGCACATAGTTGATAAGGGGTGGGAGTCCTGCAGATGCAGGCAGGTAGGTCTTGGACGCCTCGTACACTTCCAAGAATCTTGGCTTGAGTGGCGAGAAGTTGACAGCACCAACTTGTCTGCTGAGAAGGTTCATGGCGCTCTCGAACGATCCTCCTGCGACGTGATCAACCGCAAGGGGCGAATTCCGGGCCCACAGATCGGCCTCGCTGCTGCCAGCGCCGCCGGCATCCGCACTCTCGACGTTGACAAAGTCGCCCTCGACTTCTGGCACGATGTCATCGCCCATATCCCATCCTGCAGCGTCCTCGTCCTCATCGTCTTCAGCTAGCACGCCATTCTTGACAGCGACGTCATCCTCGACGTCCTCACCGAAGCCATTGGTGGCCGCCGGTGTGTCGTCGAGAGAGAGACCTTCCATCTCACCCATGAGGGCCTTCTCGAAGAATGACTGCGAGGTGGCCTTCGTAGGCCAATTTGCCTTGTAGGTCGGCACAACGGGTTTTGGAGGGGTCAGAGCATTGCCAATCTTGGGCATCGTGATCTGATCTTCTGTCAGGCCTGTAGCCTCCAGAATGGCTTGGCACTCGTCCTCCAGGCCGTATGATTTGGCGGTCATGTAGGCCAGCGGGTACAGGTCAACCTCCTTGAACATCTGGACCCGATCTTTCTCGCCGAGATAAAGGTCATTCTGAAATTGTGCGGTGAAGTCTCCTCTGTGCTCAGCGATCTTGGCCATCCTCGCAAGCTTGGACTGGTCACCAGTCGTGAGGTAGAGGAAGGACAGCTTGTCGAACTGCTTCAGCTTCTGGTAGGCCATCTCCACAACCTGGTGGTTTCCGTGGGACAGAGCCTCAGTGCCAAGCTTCAACCACAGAACCTGTTTGTCCAACTCCTTGGCCATCTCTACTGCAACGTCCAGGTTACCACACTCGAGGGCGAGCTCGAAACGGGTTGTTGGGTCCTGGACGAATTGCAGTGCGATCTCAGGATAGCCCTTCTTCTGCACATAGGAGATGACAGATTGTCCCACCAGGCTCGAATTCCGGATAATGTCAAGCATTTCGCTGTAGTTCTTCTTGACTAGCGAAAGCTTGAAACGGTACTCGGTGGGATCGATGTGCAGAACCTTAGGCTTCGCCGCCCGATCAAGGCAGTAAACGTTGCGGCCCTTGACACGCGTAAGATACACAGTCGTATCCAATGTGCGAACAATGCCGTTGTCACCATTGAGCAGGGTATACTTGATGTGGTTGAGAGTGGAGTAGAGAAGCACACCAGCGTCATCCCAGGTGGCACTTTTGATCCTGATCGTCTCGTGTAGGGTGCTGACCTGCTCCAGTGCCTTGGTCACAATCGTGACATTGTGCTTGCTCAGGAGGGCCGCATAGAGACCGTCGTTCGACCAGACCACGTACTTCACACCATTAACCGAAAGCTCTGCAATGCTCTTCTTCTGCTGAATGTCATAAAGATGGACGGCGGTCGGTGTGATGATGAGCAGGTTGCCAGTGCCACCGAAGTAGATATCCGTGGTACCAACGGGCGGCTTGAAGGACCGAGTTGTCGAGTTGGAAAGGTCTTTGATGTCGATGGTTTGGGAAGCGGTGTTCAGGACAGCAAACCGATTGCGAGCAACGAAAATGGCAGAATTGCCCTGGCCACGCTTGGACTCTGTTGGTTCTATGGCACCGGAACCATCACGGGGAAGGTTGATCAGCTCGTAAGAGCCCCCATCCGTAGAGGAAGTCACCAAGACAGAGCGTTCGGCGGGGTTGTAGGAAAGAGTCCGAGGAGGGACCCATGCTGGTCCGACCTTCTTAAGGGACAAAAGCGTTGGGCTCTCCGTCCCCTTCTGAAAGTCGTAAGACTTGACATGCTTCTCCTTGGTGATGTAGAACAGAGTATTCTGGTGAACAGCCATCGCGGGCCGCTCGCGCTCCAACTTGAAAACCATCACTCCGTTGTCGTGCCCGGCTGCGAACAAATTAATCTCGGGGTGCGCGGCGATGACCCAGAAACGGTCATTCTCGCGCTTGAAGCTCTGCACGCTGGTCCTCTTGTTCAGATCCCAGACCCGGATGGTCTTATCTTCGCCGGCCGAGAGGATGAGGTCTTGGTGGGGGTGGAACAAACAGCCCGATGCGTTCTGGAAGTGCCCTCGGCACGTGTCGACCTCCCACGCCTTGGTCTCGCTCATGCGCCACAGCTTGACCAGCCTATCGTCGCCAGCCGATACGATCAGGGGCATGGTGGGATGGAACGCGACCCAGTTCACGCCCCTGTCGTGGCCCTCCAGAACAAATTTGACGACAGCATCTGTATTACCGAACATGTCGGCCTGGTTCTGGTTGCCCCTCGCCACTTGCTCCTCGAAAGTCATCGATGTTGGGGCGGAGTGCTTCTTGCGAAGGCCCGAGATATCCCAAACACGAACAGACTGATCTAGCGATGCGGAGACGACCAGGTCCTGAGTAGGGTGGAAGTTGGCGCACATGACATAGTGATTATGACCGGTCATGGTGCAGATCAGCGATCGGTTCTGCCAGTTCCATATCCTGATGGTCTGGTCGTCGGACGAGGAGATGATCCATGGCAATTCGTGGTGGAAAAAGACAGTCCGAACGTAGTCCAGATGCCCATTGAGCGTGAACAGCTCGCGCCTCGTTGTCAGAGACCAGACCTTGATCTTGTAGTCGTCGCCACCGGAGACGAAGAGGGGTTGGGTCTTGTGGAAGTCGACGCCTCGGACGGGGCCGCTATGACCTTCGAGTCGATCGATCAAGGTTCCCATACGGTCTTTGTGTGGAGTCAGCATCGTTAGCTTGTACATTGAACGAATTGAAGATTTTTCAAGAGGTAGAGCGCGTAGGAGGAGTTCGCGACAGCTTTGGCTGGATGCCCCCATCCCCGTCGTGTGTCCCCTGCCCCGGAACCATCACCCGCGCTGGAAGAAGATCTTGGGCTGATTTGTACGTACAGTCCCATAGTTGAATGGTCGAGGAGTGTAGAGAGACAAGAATCCATGGTCTGCGATAGATGGCTTGTCAGTCTGGAGGAAGCGACTCGGCAGGACTCTCGGTGGGGGGTCGGTTTGGTTCAGCTTACCGCTTGGGATGAAAGGCGATTCCCTTGGCGCGCGAGCTCTTGCTCTCGAACTGTGGGCGCAGTGTCAGTGTTTTGCCATTGTTGCTCTCTCAACGGGCCATTGAAGAGTAAGAAAGAAGGCAGACATACTTTTGTGAGCATGCCTGAGGAGGCCATGTTGGGTGGTGGGTGTGTTGAAGCCGGAGCTTCACATCCACTCTAAGGACAGACTGGCAGGACAGTGGAATTGACCCAGGAAGGTCAGAAAGCCATACGACAGCCGCAGATGGGTGATGTCGATGGACTGGGAGAGATTCAGTTTAGAATAAGTTTAAAGAGAGAAGATAGAGCCACCTGGAGGGTTTGATTGATCAGGTTGGCGGCGTGCAGTGCTGCTGCTGTATTGGCAATCCAGGACCTGAGAGAGTGGAAAGCGTGTTCATCTGCGATGTGGGCAAGGTCGCTCGTCACAGCAAGGTGGCCTGTGCTCCTACAGGTGTGCTCTGCTCTACAAGTACTCTAGGCTAAGCTGCTGGGCTAGGGGTATTTGCCTGCCAGGGGGTGGGGTGGTTTTGCCTGCGCAGCCCACACTTTGGAGCTGCCACTAAAGTCAAGTACTGTACTGTGTATGATACAGGCCTACAGACACCATAGCACACTTTCTGGTCATGCTGACATGTACCCTCAGGAATGTTTTCCTAAAAATTACTTACACTACACTTTAGTCTGCAAGCCATTCAATATCTAACTTAATTGCCTGATTTTCACAACTCACTTAACTTAGTAAGGCCTCCCAATTTAGAAGTTACTCATTGCCTGTCTTCCCAATGCAGTTGTGTCATGTACAACCATAGCTGGTCAGGCCCAGAATCCAAAGCAAGGGTGCTGAGGGACAAGGACAGCTACTGTGTTAGCTTCAGGTCCCTTGGGCTGAGGCAGGCTAGCCTGGTTTGGATAGCTTTCAAGGGTATGGCCTAGGTGGCACTTTCAGCAGCAGCGCCTGTTGACGTGTGTAAGACTTCAGACAATAAGGGCCGGGCCTTCTAAACGTATCCGTGCGAACACTTGTCATTTTTTCTTCTTCTTCCCCCCTTACAAAATTTACCAACTCAAGACTGTTGCCAATCGCTTAGCGTAAACTGGAAAGCCTTGTCCGTTCGGCAATGGGAGCATAGAGAAGCTCAGCTGAGCGGTTCTTCCACTCTTCATACGAAGCGTCGAGGCCTGCGCCAGATCGCACCTCCATTCGCCAAGACGTTTTGGAGTCCTCGAGTCCATTTTTTGGCAATCTGCTTGTAGCCCTTGTGGCTCGACGGTAGCTATACATACGATATGATACAGGTGGCTCAACTGCCATGGGGCCTGACGGCTTCCATGCTAGGAGCAATCGTCCTGGGAGGCCAAACAGTATGCGCCGGGCCGTCTGTTGACATTTCTATGAAGGCGGCCTTTCCCTCTGGCCCGTACCTCATAGAGCTGCTGTGAGTTCTCCCCCGCCCTTCCCCCTCTCTCCCACAAGACAAGAAGAGGAGAAGGAGGAGACGGTACTGACCTGGTTTCTAGCGAGACCGCAGCGCAGGAGAACGCTTCTAGCTATTTCCCCCTTCTCGATCGCATAGCCGATGGCTATTTCGCCAAAGCAACGACCGACAGGGAATTATACCAGGAATTTTTGGATCTAGTCAAAAATGATGGCCATATAACAAGCCCTGAGAGCCTCTCGACCTTCAAGCTGGCCCTGTCGACCAGGTCTGCAGCTCCCAGACTCGAAGCCCACTACCAATACTACCAGACCGGCGTTGAACCTTCGTTGACAGGAGACCAAGCTGGTTGCGATATTTGGGTGTTGTGGCAGGGACAACAATACTGCTCGCCATCTCTGGACGAACCCAGGGGCCAGGTGCCGGCGGGACAAGACCGTGATCTACCATTTGACATCGCATTGGGCAGTGGTCCGGGCTGCATCTTGTATGCAGATATCACTGCTCCAGAGTTTGGACAGTTTCACAAGCTTCTGGACCAGAAAGCTCGGAGCCGGGAGTGCGCCTACAAGCTCCGACATCGCAGGTCCTCGCACGAGCCTCTGGAGGCGCTGCTCGTCAGCGGCTATGGCGTCGAGCTCGCTCTAAAACGGACAGACTACATTGTAATCGATGATCGAAAGGCAGAGGAAGATGCCGCTCAGAAGGCTATCGCCTCAGAGATTGTACTGGGAGAGGAGGAGGAGGTGGCAGACCTCAAGCCTCTGTCCACATCAGAGCTGAGGGACCTTGGTTTGAAGACGGGCTCTTTCATTATGCACAGTGACAGCCCTTTCGACACTCTGCTCAAGTTGACACAAGACTTCCCAAAATACTCGACCTCCTTGGCGACGCACAACATCTCTATGGACTTTTTGACGGAGCACAAAGCCAACCGCGCCTCCTTGGTACCAGGTGGCGTCAACGCCCTCTGGATGAACGGCGTTCAGCTCGTGGAACGGCAGATGGACGCGTTTGCCCTTGTGGACTTGGTGAGGCGTGAGCGCAAGATGATTCATGGCGTTATGGATCTCGGCCTCACCGGGGAGGAGGCTATTTCTCTTCTTGCTCACAACTCTGTGAACGAAGCGAAAGTCGACGATGCAGAAGTTCAGCGATTTCTGTGGCATGATGGGCCGGAAGAGGGCAAGGTTATTGTCTGGCTCAACAACATTGAGAAGGACAAACGATACGAAGAGTTCCCAAAGACTCTCATGACTCTCTTGCAAGGTGGAATGCCCGGTCAACTGCCCTCGATCCGACGCGATATTTTCAACCTGGTCATCCCGGTTGACCTTACCCAGAAGAATGACACCACGACAGTGGTCAACCAATTGCAAGACTTTGTCAAGCGCAAGCTACCTGTGAGATTTGGCATCGTTCCTCTGTCTTCAAACGAAGCATCCGAACGTCAAGCCAAGGTCGTCTACCACCTTGTTGAGACGTACGGTCTTGCGGCTATGATGTCGTATCTAGTGTCAGCTCTCGACAATGAGAGACTGGGAGACGCAGACAAAGCGCTGTTCGATGCTGCTATTCTCGATAGAAAGCTGCGCGAAGATGCAGAGGCGCTCCCGTTCGAGGCTATATTTGACTCTGAGCATCATACCGAGCAAATTCGACTTTCCAGGCAGTGGGCAGAACGGCTTCGGGTAGACAGCCCGGAACCAGTGCTCTTCGTTAACGGTGTTCCTGTACCACGACAAGGCAACTGGATGCCGGCAATGGGTCAGCAGGTGGGCATGGATCTACAGCTTTTCCGACAAGCGGTGTTCTACGGCGAGGTTGAAGAGGGCCAGTGGCTGCCGGAGTTCTTCCTGAAAGAAGCCTTTTCGCGTCGCAACACTGTGATCTTTCCTAGCAACCCCAAGGAGCTCACGGTGCTGGATGTCAACAAGATTTTCCTGGAGCATGGCGCTCTATTCGAGAAGGTTCCCGTCATCGAAGCGTATCCCGACTCAACAAAGGAAAATTGGGCAGTCCTGACAGTGATAGCCGATCTGACCACCACGGACGGACTGAAGCTGGCCGGGAATGCCCTCCAATTCCGCATCAACAACCCTGGCATTCGGGCGGACATCGTCCATAATCCTACAGATCCAAGCGGCGCTCACAAGATCAACACTGCCCTGAAAATGAGCCAGTCTGAACTTCGCGATGTGGACAGCGAGGATCTTCTGCGGACTGTTCTAAGCGCGTGGCCCGAGGTACCGGATGATCTGGACTATGATACTGCTCTGCAGCGGTTCCTGGCTACGGCTGGGATCGGATCTGGCCAGAACATGCTCATGCTCAACGGTCGTCTCATTGGACCTATTGATGTAGCAGAGGATTTCGGTCCACAGGACTTCGAACTGTTCTTCGAGCTCGAGCAGGATAGTCGAATTCTCCCTGTCTACGAGGCTATCGAGGAACTTGGCCTAACAAGTAAGGTCTCCGGCCCCCTCGCAGCTGCCAAAGTCACCTCGATTACTGCTTTGTCGACGATGCCCGATCTTCCCGAGGGCATCTTTGAAAAAGGCTCGTCCCTGCGAATCTCAGCTTTCAACGTGTGGAACTCCACTCACACTGCTTTTGAGATCGGTGATAAGTCAACGGCAACCATCCAGTTCGTTGCTGTTATCAATCCGGCCAGCGAGCAAGGACAGAGATGGGTTCCTATCCTGAAAGTTCTCTCCGAGCTCGACGGTGTCTATATGCAAATCTTCCTGAACCCTAAAGATAAGCTAGATGAGCTGCCTGTCAAGAGGTTTTATCGATATGTCTTGGACTCAGCACCGACTTTTGACGACGCCGGCAAAGTCAAATCGCTCAACGCTGAGTTCAAGGGCGTGCCCTCAGAGGCCTTGCTCAACGTGGGCATGGATGTGCCCCCTGCATGGTTGGTGGCGTCCAAGGTCTCCGTCCATGACCTGGACAACCTCAAGCTGAGCTCCATCAAGAGCAATGTTGAGGCCACCTACGAGCTCGAGAATATCCTAATCGAGGGCCATTCCAGGGAGCCAACCGGAGCCCCGCCTCGTGGCGCACAGCTTGTGCTGGCCACGGAGAAGGACCCGCACTTCGCAGATACCATCGTCATGTTCAACATAGGCTATTTCCAGTTCAAGGCCAACCCGGGATTCTATAACATCCAGCTGAAGCAGGGCCGCAGCTCAGACATATACCACATCGAGAGCGTGGGCGCCAAGGGCTACAACGCTGTTCTTGGTGACGAAGGAACTGACGTCGTCTTGATGGACTTTAAGGGCACAACGCTGTACCCACGCATCAATCGCAAACCCGGAATGGAGCAAGAGGATGTTCTCGACGAAAGCGGCTCCGAAGGAGCCCTGGAAAGTGTGTCCAAGAGCCTGAAGGGCTTTTTCGGCGTCAAGACCAAATCAGTCTCTGATGAAGAGCACGCGGAGATCAATATCTTCTCTGTCGCCAGTGGTCATCTCTACGAGCGCATGCTCAACATTATGATGGTCAGTGTGATGAAGAACACCAAACACACTGTCAAATTTTGGTTCATTGAGCAATTCCTGTCGCCCTCGTTCAAGGATTTCATCCCCTACATGGCCGAGGAGTACGGGTTCAAATATGAGATGGTGACGTACAAATGGCCACACTGGCTCCGCCAGCAAAAGGAGAAGCAGCGTGAGATATGGGGCTACAAGATACTGTTCCTAGACGTGCTCTTCCCGCTGTCCCTCGACAAAGTCATCTTCGTCGACGCAGACCAGATCGTCCGCACGGATATGTATGATCTCGTGCAGCATGATCTTGAGGGCAAGCCTTACGGCTTCACACCCATGTGCGATTCACGTACGGAGATGGAAGGCTTCCGCTTCTGGAAGCAAGGCTATTGGGCCAATTACCTCCGGGGGCAGCCGTACCACATCTCTGCCCTCTATGTGGTCGATCTCCGCCGCTTCCGCGAGATTGCGGCCGGTGACCGCCTGCGCCAGAGCTACCACACCTTGTCCGCAGACCCAAACTCGTTGTCCAACCTCGACCAGGACCTGCCCAACCACATGCAGTTCCAGCTGCCCATTCACAGTCTACCACAAGAGTGGCTCTGGTGTGAAACGTGGTGTAGCGACGAGGCGTTCAAGGAGGCACGCACGATTGACCTTTGCAATAACCCGCAAACAAAGGAACCCAAGCTCGACCGCGCGAGACGCCAGGTTCCCGAGTGGACTGCATATGATGACGAGATTGCCGCGCTTGATCGGAGGAGAAAGGCCAAGACTGCTGAGACGAAGGAGGAGGGCGGTGATACACAGAGGGTTCTCCGGGGCGATGGTGAGATGTTGCGCGAGACTGTGGAAGTATCCGAGAGGAACACAAAGAGCCGGGCTTTTGAGGGCGAGGATCCCAAAACTGCGGCTCCTACCGATGTTGAGACCACAGAGAGGCGTAAAGATGAGTTGTAATTTCTAAGGAAAACGACATACAGGTAGACTGGGACTGTATTTATATCATTAGAGCGGGATACATCAGCATTTTTTGTGAGGCCGGTGGCAATGTCAAATGGATTCAGCTTTTGCAACTCAGTCGCACCTTTTGAAGGCATGAGCGCAGATTGTGTGGCTTATTGTAGACAGTTCATATTGTCGTCCCCACTCTTGGGAGACATCATGTCTGCGCTAACTTTCACTGGCCAGTGCCGGACATGGGATTTCCAAAGACTGTTCCATACAATAGGTCATCTCCATGTATGATGGCACCGTAGACGTGCAGAGCCGAGGCCGAGGTACAGAGAATCTGGAAACGGGTGATGGTTAGGATGGTAACAGGTTCTAGGCTCTTACTATGGCCCCATCTCAAGATCACTCGGCCTTCGGCACCTGCAACGGCTGTCCGGCTCAAGCTTGAAATAGTTCTGCCTTCTTCTACGCCCGCACATTTGCTTTGCGTGACGTACAAAGTGATGATAAGTGTGACGAGTCTCCATCATCCAACCCAATTGATCAGGCTTGAAGGGCTTGATGTCGCGTGATTTGTTCAGCGGTCTGATATTATAAGGACCGCCCCTTGTACGAACCAGAGCATGGGATTGAGCCTTCCCTAGGGCATTGTAGGACGTACTGACACGCGTATGTAATCAATTGTCCTTCACCTAGACACCCTTGAACCTCTGAACAGAAGAGATTGTTGTATCCTGGAGTTCGATTTTGCGGTCTCTTTTCCCATGGCTTTGCTGGAGCTGGAAGAAGAAGATATTAAAAAAAGCTATGCCACGACGACGACACACGTGGCTAATGCAGGTAGCCGCCATTTCTCTATCGGTCTGTCTGGTAAAGTCCTCAGGGCTGCATGAAGTACAATCAATCTAGATTCATCAGTACACACGCGATTGATTAAAGTACTCGAGTATGTTGTTACCCTCACCTCTGTAACGGAGAGGGGTATGAGTGTATATACAGAATCAAGCCACTGCAGCGATGACGCGCAAGGCATGTAGCTTTGTTATATCCCATGGATCTATGCGGGAGTACCACACTTGTAGTTGGGGGGGGGGGGGTTTCTGCAACCTGACATCCATGCACGAGCGATGGAGATGCGCAAGCTCGGCAGTGAGGTGGGATCGTACTATATTTTTTTTATTTATTTAAAAAAAAAAGACCTTCGGTGCATAATGGATTTCTACCGGGTAGTTTTAGCTGGGAACTGGAACGCTCTTTGAAAGATATCATTGTACATTGGAGAAGTTCATCCGTAGTATTTGCCGATCGCCAGAATTGTCGGTGAAAAGGCAAGTCAGGAGAATATCCGGGCAGCGAGTGGTTGAAGCAGAGTCCAGTCTACGCTATTCTTCCATGGATAGACACCTGTTGGCTTTGTAAATCTATGTGAACTTTTGTGTTGTGTAATATCTCATTGAATCAATTCATCAATTCATTATTTTTGTGCATCCGTTGGCCGCGCGTTGCCTCAGTCGGCCGAGGAGGAAGACAACCGAGAGGAAAATCGCTGCTCCAAAGGCGGGATCCTACAGTCGACGCATCAAAGGGTCATCCGAGCTCTCCGAGCTCTCCCACTCGGCATACCTGCCAACCCTCAAGGATCAACTTCTCGTTACCATATTTACCCGGAACTTAGAGAAGGATCCTCACGAGAACTCAATGGGACCCTTTAATAAAGTCCATGTCTATTTCGTCTGCAGCGTAACTGGTCAGTCAATCCACAGTGAATGCCGGCTGGCTTACATACAGTTTTATGTATTCGGGGGGTTTTGTGTAGAAAACACCCTTGACAAACACGCAAAACACCCCTGCCAATCGTTCACCGCATTGTAGATCGATTCCCGGTTCGGAGCTATGCTGCATGGAGTGACGAATGAGTGGGCATGCATATATTGTTACAATGCACGGTAAACTTGCATTGAACATGGCTGTATTCTACAAATATTTTTTTTTTTTTTTTTTTTTTTTTTTTTTGCAAATCATATGCTAAGTAAAAGTATCCTAAGAACGTTGCAATTGCTACGGTACACTGGAAGGGCCCTGGAAGTCAATACGACTTTTGATCCCGGTCAAAGTTGGTGGTGACCAGCGGTCTCTTCGACTTGCTATTGACTCGCGGTAAAGGCTTCACATATTTGTTTCTTGTACCTATCTCTCTCTCTCTCTCTCTCTCTCTCTCTCTCTCTCGGCAGTGTTTTCCTTTGGCCCATCGTCGTCTGTCTCGTAAATACGAAAACCATTCTTGCCTACAGGATGACGGCACTGTTGAATGTTAGGAAGCTTTCGCGATGCATGTAAAGGCTTGCCGAGTATAAGTATTGTTCCCCACGGGCACTTTTCCGAGCAAATGTATTCAGCACTTCAGCTCCTCGGTCTTTCAACCACCAAGACTTAGTCATTCTGGTAACTGCACTCGTTGACTCCGGTATCGATCATGGTTCTCTTCTCTGCTGCACTGGCTGCTGCTGCCAGCCTGAGCTTGCTTCCGCAGGCTGCTGTTGCAGCCGTCAACATCTCCTCGCTGCCCGCGCCGGAGGCTGTGTCGACGTACCAGCAAACGGGTGTGGTCGGCGCGCTGCACCGCCCTATCCCCGGCGGAGATGCGGACAGAGCCAGCCTCGTGGTGCTTGTGATGCATGCTCAGACAGACTATTGGGCGTGTGAGTATTTTACTATTATTATTATTATCATCATTCTTCTTCTTCTTCTTCTTCTTCTCCTTCTCCTTCTCCTTCTCCTTCTTCCTCCTACTTTTTACCCCTTCTGCCACAAGAGGGAGGTTATGCTGACTTTCGTTGATGCTCTCCAGTTCCCCCTTGCACAGAGCTGGCGGCACGAGGCTTCACCGTCCTCTGCGCCAACAATGCAGCCTCGAAGCTGAACATGTGGCCCGATGCCGATCTGGAGTTCTTGATGCAGAACGTGGCCGAGATGGTGGGGTGGATCCGTAACCAGACTGAGTTCTCCAAGATCGTCTTATGGGGACACAGCGGTGGCGGTTGCCTCATGTCTGCATAGTGAGTCCAAAAAACATCCCACAGCTTCAAGTGTCTCTCAGCAGACTGACAAGAGCACACAGTCAAAACATTGCCGAGAATGGCATTTCGGCATGCAATGGGACTGAAAAGATCTGGCCCTGTGGTGACGAGGTAGCAGGCCTCCCCCCAGCCGACGGCGTCATCCTGCACGACGCCAACTATGGCCTGTCGACCATGATGTTCCTGAGTCTGAACGCAGCCATCATCAACGAGACGACGCTCGAGACAGACCCCTCCCTGGACATGTACAGCGCGACCAACGGCTTCAACACGTCTGGGCCCAGCAACTTCAGCGAGACCTTCATGGAGGACTGGCAGACGGCCCTTGTGGAGCGCAACAACCGCCTCATCAGCCACGCCGAGGACCGCTGGACCGCCATCATCAACAACGAGTCCGTGTGGGCCGACGAGGAGGGCTTCCTCGTGGCCGACGCAGCCTACGGCGAGGACAACAACAAGATCTTTGCCGAGGACCTCAAGTATCTGTCGCACACGACCAACCCGTGGCCGCTGATCCACAACAACGGCTCCATCACCACGGAGATTGTCTACAGCGTGCGCGTGTCCGAGTCGCCCACATCCGACCTGCGGTCCTACATCAACGGCGCCCTCAAGACCACCGTGGGCCGCTTCCTGCGCATTTTTGCCCTCCGCGTCGAGGACGACTTTGCCTACGAGGAGGACGACCTCAGGGGCATTGTCTGGAACTCGAGCCACCTGGTCCCGCGCAACGAGGTGCGTGGCATCTCGGTGCCCCTCCTGACCATGGGAAACACGGGCCACTGGGAGTATCTGAATGCCGAGAAGGAGGCCCTCGCCCACGGCGGCAATGACACCACCACGGCCTTTGTCGAGGGGGCTTCCCACTTGATCACCCCCTGCACCGAGTGCGAGACGTATCCTGGCGAGTATAACAACACGGTTAAGAACGCATTTGACTTCCAGGCCACCTGGTTGGCCAAGCCGGGTCGCTTCTTCTAGACAACAAGAAAAGAAAAAGTGGGAATTAGGGTTTCGTTTCTCATGTTAAAAGTACTTGAGGTAGCATTTTACGTTTCCCTACCGGGGCAGAGATAGAACGAAACAATTTATTGAGTTTGATCCACCTCTACATTCAAGAGTAAGACAACTTTAAGTATGACTTTCTCTCTCGCTCCTTGTGATGTCTGAAAAAATGGGAAAATAGAATGTCCAAGGTAAAGAGTAGTAGTAGTAGTAGTGGTAGTAGTCAGTGATTGATTGAGAAAGGCCATATAATGAGCAGCACAACTGCAGATTACGCAGGAATTCCGCCCCTTTGATTTCCAATCTCCTATCATAAAGTGTCGAGAAGAGAAGCAAGGAAATTTGCTATGGCCAGATGGTACTGGGTCAATGACCCGACGAGCATTGCGTAATGTGCAGGCAAGTTTCCTGGTTGCAGGTCCTGAATTAAATATGGATATACCCGCAATTTTCCCGTCCCTGTCAAGCCCGGGGGGAGAAACATCTTTACTTCCGCTCATGGTCAGCTGCAGGACAAGTTAGACTTGAAGGCACCGCCCCCCTGTTGACTCCAGAAAAAAAAAACCACCCAGGACACCACCAAGAAACCCTGCAATCTCACTGACAAGCTGCCGAAGTTCCTCCCCCTCGTCCGACGACGCACACTCCCCCCTGATCCGGGTTGTGGGAGAGAGGTTGGTTGACTGCCGCGCGCCCGTTTGCTATGCGTGGAGCAGGTGGTGTGGATGCTGCGCCTACGTCCCACTCTGTACAAACAGAGAAAAACCACGCCGTTGTGGCATGGGAAAAAGTGATCAGTTACTTAATGCAGGAGGCAAACAGCGGAGCGTCCCCATATGGGCTTACGCATGTTGAGAGAATGCGTATAGCCTCGTATTTCCGACGACGGCTGAGAACAAAACATAGGGATGAAGTGACAGTTCATTCCAAGCATTCAATCATCAGTAAGCTGTGGTCAGGCTGTGTATCTTGTCTCGTATGTATGTGTGGGGAGGAGAGAGGCATGATGGTGATGGTGATGTTAATATAAAGTTCTTTTTGCTTCTCTTTCTCTCGAATCAGTCTTGCTCGATAGTATCTCCCACCCTCAAGTGGTGTTTGTGTGTTCTCAACATCCTTCATTTCAGTATTAGCTGACTGGTATACATTCTTTTTTTGCGACTTACATTCGTTCATTCAACAACACACACAAAAATGAAGGCCTCCTCCTCCGGCCTCAAGGCTGGAGTGGCACAGGCCCTCCTAGCCACCGGCAGCAATGCCCAGTACCTCTATAATCAGACCATCCAGACTGCCTACGGTCCGATCCAGGGTGTCCCTGCCCTGAACTCCACATGCTGCTCGTACATCAACGGCTATGAGAACGTCACTGTCTTCCGTGGCATCCCCTTCGCCGCCAACCCTGGTGGTGAGAACCGCTTCAAGGCACCCCAGAAGGCGGCGTCCTGGAACGAGACACTCGTGGCAAGCGAGTTTGGCTCTGGCTGCCCTGCCGGCACCGCTCCTTATGGCGGTGCCGACCCCATCACTGATGAGGACTGCCTGAACCTCAACATCTGGACCTCGGCCTCCAGCACGGCCGAGAAGAGGCCCGTCATGATCTGGAGTTACCCTGCCGGCGCCAACAATGCCTGGACCATGTTTGACGGGTCGCAGATGTCGCTGCAGGACATTGTGGTGGTCACCTACAACTACCGTGCTGGCCCCTACGGCTGGCTTGCCCTGCCGGAGCTGTACGTGGAGTCTGGAAACCTGACCACGGGCAACTATGGCATCCTGGACCAGCTGTATGCGCTGCAGTGGGTCCACGACAATATCGCCGACTTTGGCGGTGACCCAGACAGGATCACGACCGTGGGGCAGTCAGCCGGCAGTGCTGCGGTGTACCACACTCTCAACAACCCGTTGGCCAAGGGTCTCGTCGTCGGCGCCATCGCCGAGTCAGGCATCCGGGACCCTCGCGACCCGCAGTCCAGGGACCTCGCCGAGGGCTACAACAACATGTCGACGTCGATCGAGCTCTCGTACGAGCTCATGGACTACCTCAACGTCACCACGCTCGAGGAGCTGCGCCAGGTCTCGGCGGCCGACATCAACGAGGCCAGCACCTTCACCTCCTTCTCCAACTGGCGCGGCTGCATCGACGGCTATGTCTTCCCCGCCACCTACTGGGAGGACCTCCAGACGGGGCCCCCAGGCAACGATGTGCCCGTCATCACGGGCAACACCAAGGACGAGTCTGGCGCCACGTACGGCCTGACGGCGACCGTGGCGGGCTACGAGTCGACGCTCAACTCGACGTACGGCTCGCTGGCCGCCGACTTCCTGGCCGCCTATCCTGCATCCAACGACACCCAGGCGGCCATGCAGGAGAACCTGATCGCCCGCGACACGTCGCTCATCGGCACGTGGAACTTTGCCAACATGTGGGCCAACTCGTCGACGCAGCCCATCTACACGTACTACTGGGACCACGCGCCGGCCGACAACGAGGAAGGGTCCGGGGCCAAGCACATGTCCGAGATCAACTACATCTTCAACAACCTGTACGGCACCCAGCTGAGCTGGACCGAGGTCGACTACCAGATCGCCTCCACCGTCAACGCCTACTGGGCCAACTTCATCAAGACCCAGAACCCCAACGACGGCGGCAGCTGGACCAACGGCACCACCCTGGGCACCTGGTACGCCTCCAACAGCTCCAGCCCCGCCACCTTCCACCTGTCGCCGGCCGCCCCTGAGAACCTGAACGGCCTTCCTGCTGGCTATGAGATGGTGCCTGTGGCCACTGATGACCACATCACCCTCATCAATGAGTTCCTCGCCACACAGCAGTCTCTGTAAGGGAGGGGAACAGGCTTTGTTGTTGTTGTTGTTGTTATGTTGTTGGATGGGATGGGATGACGGTACCATCTTCTATCTTTCTTGGCCTGTAGATACTTTCTGTTTATTTCTTCTCTGCCTCTTCTCTCTTGTCTCTTTAGTCAAACAGCAATAGAACAGACTTGTACATAAGAAACGTTGTCAGATCTTCTGTCATGTGAAATTACCACCCACGCGTTGCCATGATGTCAATTTGTCAGTCGGGGATACCATTACTTACTCCCTTGGTGCAGTCAATCGGTGGAATCCGAAGAGAGAGAGAGAGAGAGAGAAGCAATATAATCATGGATTGTTAGTAAAATTATCACTGGGCGCAGGAGATACATGATTAAAGAACCCGGGCAAGCTGCCAATCTTGTCTGCCTTCCGACCCCGCCACAACACAAGTGATGATATTCGTCTCGGCTTCCGGAACACTTTCGGCCGCAATTTGCCGATCTCGCACCGAAAAACGTGATGATATTACTCCCTAAGTTCCTCACAACCCAATGACCAAGTCGATCTGGATCAAGTAATATCCAAGCCAAGTTGATGCATTGCTCATCTAGATCAAGAAAGTGTTTTGTTTGTAATTATGATGCTCCAGAGAGAGTAAGAAGGGGTCGTTGTGGTGTGACAGACTTTGGACGATGAAGCTTGCCCATGATACGTCGTGCTACTTTTCCCCCCTCCTCTACAACTTAGCATTCCTGAAAGACATTTATAACTAGGAATTAAGCCGAAGAGCATATTTAACTCCGTTATAACCGCTGCTCCCTTGCAGGTGGGGTTGATCAAAAGCCAGCTCCTCGCCCAGGTCATCGCAACGTTTCATGGTCTGCTATATCTCCAAAAATTGATCGTGACCACATCATCTTGTGTGCGCTCTCCCCAGCCCTGGACAATCGCACCATCATTACATCGCAAGCAAAACCAAGATGCCAGCCAATGAACAGGTCGAGGCTGCCTTTGCACTCATCAAGCAAGACCCATCTAATATCCTGGGCCTGAAAGTCGGCAAGCACAACATCACGGAGCCAGGCCAATATGTCCCGCGCGCAGGTGAGTCCCTCCTTTTTGCCAGTCCCTGTCCTACGTAAATTTGCTCCCTCGCTCATTCAATCCACTCTCTCTCTACCTCTCTCAGATGCCAAGGAAGCGCCCGAGATCACCTACCCCGCGGCCTCGCCCTCCAAGAGCTACACGGTCATCTGTCTAGACCTCGACCCGCCAAGCCGCTCCTTCAGCTTCCTCGGCCCTGCCCTCCACTGGATCCAGCCGGGCCTGCGGGTGGGCTCCTCCTCTGCAGAGCCACTTGCGTCCTCCGAACCCTTCATCGCTAACTATCTTCCGCCTGGCCCTCCGCCGGGCGTGGCGCCACACCGCTACGTGTTCTATTTGTATGAGGAGCCCGAGGGCTCTGCGCTAGACGGAGGAAAGTTTGCTCCCAAGGATGGGAAGCCGATGGGGATTATGTCGCGGGTGCGGACGAGTTTGGATGATTGGGTGGTGAAGATGGGGTTGGGGCCGCTGGTGGCTGCTAATTATTTCAATAGCAATTAGGTGCGGCACGGGTTTTAATTGTTGGGTTTGGCTTCTTACTGGGTGAGGTTGGACGTGATGTTGATGGGTCAACCGAGACGGAGATACATGGTCTCTTCTTTGGGTTTCTATTTCGTTCTCGTTGAATATACCCTTGAGTTACTTCGGATTCAGTGTTTTCGACAATCATTACCTGCAGCCTTTTTGTGTGTCTCAGAATTGATTCAGCAACACAGACCAATCATGAGTCCTCCAACTTGGGTCTCCATAGAGTACGTAGCAACGCTAGAACTAATATGCATCTCAGGTAGGCCTCCTGCAGATTTGGGTGCTGATATAATCAGCATCGACAACTCAGCAATGGGTGTTGTCTATGATTATGCTGTGAACTATATATCCTGGATGAGCTGCTGTCTGCAATCACCAGTAGAGCCTGCGTTTTGTGAAACAGTTATATCGGCTCGAGGTCTCTTTAAGAATTCAACAACATTCTCATGGGACCAATCTGGTGGGCTTTGTTGGGTTTCATGCTGCCTGGTTCTGTAGTGTCAAGACTTCAGTGTCACGTCTTGTTGACCGCTCCAGGTACTGCCCCCTCTTGAATTCTCGCGTCTTTGTTATTGGCCCAGACGCGAGCTGTGTTGGCCAACAAGAACCTACTTACCATCATCCATCACTCCCTCTCCTGCTCCCTCGCTGCCCTTGTTCCAACCAACCCTTCTTTCCACAACATAGTCTTGTCAAGAGAAGAATCATCTCAAAAGCCTCCCTTGTTCAATTCTTGCATTATTCTTCTGCACACTGTGAGGAGAAGAAATACCCAAGGGTCTTCCCCTTGTCATCTTGGTGTCTGCATGGTTCTCTCGCATGCTCTTGTCTACCTACCTGGGCTGCCAACTAAGATCAAAATCATAGACAGGGCCATCGAGGTTAGTTGGCTATCGACACATGCCTGACCATTCTAGATGACCACCCAGCTGACCATTCACACATTTTCCCAGACAGCAGGATGGATCCCAACCGCCATGCACGACGGCCCTGTCATTCCTTTCAGAGGACAGGCAGCTGTGGATATGGACAGAAGTGCAAGTTCTCTCACGACCTATCAGACAACCATCAGAAGCAGCGACGCCATCATCATCGAAATCACAACAATGACAGGCCGGAGCAGGAAAGCCAACAAGTAATGGGCGGAAACAAGCTTCGCGCCTGGAAGCGAATTCTCGCGCGCGGTGAAGAGTCATCCAATGTGCCCTATGACACAGTGAGCCTGTTCTTTGAGCTCAGCCTCGCCCTGATGGAGGGAGACATTGCTATCTCGCAGGAGGCCGTCAAGCTGCTGGCAGGCGATGCCGGGCTCAACTTCATCAAGGCCGTCTCCAGCACGCACATCGTCCAAGCAGCAGCAGCTACCGATGCCGACTCCTCTTCCATCAGGGTGGAGTTGTGGAAGACGCAGATCTCGCCCATGTTTCGCCTCATTACCAACGAACGGCTTTTGGACTCCAACGTCCTGGAGCAGGAGGTGGCAGCCATCTACTCATTCCTTGTCGGGGTCAACGCGACTCGAATGGACAGGCTCTTCGGCTTCATCACCCAGCTCGTCATGGATTGGCCTGGCCTGCCTGTGGGTGACCTCGCCCAGGGGACGGTCCTGGAGTTGTCGCTCACGGTGCTGTCCAAGGTGCTCGACTGCAACACGACCAATGTACTGAACGAAAGGTTTCACCATATCGTGGAGCAATTCTCCAACATCCTCACGACCCTCTCAGCCACACCGGGAGAGAAGAACGATGAGGCATGCATCCTGCGAGCAACCAAGTATCTCGACTATCTACAGCGACGTTTGGGCGTTGGAAAGACGATGATGGCCACAGCTAACCTAGCAGAATCTTCTCCTGCGACTGCCGGCGACCCAGCCGGCCCATCCGAGTCGTTCAAGCTCAGACGAGACCTCCCAGGCAAGCTTTCCCCCGACGGCCCTCGCCACGACAATGATCATGCCGAGATCGCCTCCATCCAAATCATGCCCACGAGTGAAGAGATCACCTCACCGCGCAAGGAGTATCTGCCTACTACCGACTCGTCGCAATGGCACCTCCCTGGCATCCGTGGCCGTCTGGATCGGGAATTCCGCCTCCTGCGCGAAGATACCGTCGGCCAGCTCCGCGATGCCGTCTTCGAACTGCTCCAGGGCACTCGTGACAACATCAACAGCAATAAAAGACACAACCAGAACAGTGCCCAGACGACCGCCTACGACGATGCCGTGGTGCACAGCGTCGATATCGACAAGAACAATGGTCTGGAGCTGACAGTGCGGTGCAGCCAGCCCAAGATCGTACAGAAGATGAGCGATGCGGCAAGAAACAGGTGGTGGGAGCAGTGCAAGAGACTTCAGGCTGGTGCCCTGACGTGTGTGATTGATCGCGCCGGCGCGGCCCAGTTCTATGTCGTGGCGCGGTCTACCGTCCGCTCTGCGTCACAGAAGGAGACGTCGGCACGTAAGAGAGGAGAACCATCTTCTCCTCCTCCTTTCTATCAAGAGGAAGATAAGGAGAAGCCGCTGAGCCTCAGCTACAGTCGCGAGGACCTCTTCGTCAAGCTGAACCTCGTCGGCACCTCTCGAGTCGAGATGCAGCAGACTCTGCGTTGGTACAAAGACATCGGCCGACCACGGCCTCGCCAGCTGGTCGAGTTCCCTGGCGTCTTGCTGGCATCCTTCAAACACACCCTGGAGGCCCTCCAGAAACTCTCTCGGAAGCCCGACCTGCCCTTCACCCACCTGATCGCGCCCGACACGCCTTCTTCTTCTCCTCCTCCTTTACGAAGAGTCGAAAGCCGCGTGGCTCCGCCTCTGTTCTCTCGCGCGGCTGGGTTCGAGTACGACCTCAAGTGTCTAAACTCAGGTGGTTTGTCTCCGTTGTCAGTCAGGCCGGGTCAACACATGCCGTCCATCGAGGAAGTCTCTGAGAATACTGGCCTGGACGAGACCCAGTCGGAGGCCCTGCTCAACACGCTCACGCGCGAGCTGTCGCTCATTCAGGGCCCTCCCGGCACAGGCAAGTCGTACACGGGCGAGAAGATCATCCGGGTCCTCCTCGCCAACAAGGCCAAGGCCAAGCTCGGCCCTATTATCTGCGTCTGCTACACGAACCACGCCCTGGACCAGCTTCTCGAGCACCTCCTGGACGACGGCATCAAGGGGATCCTGCGGATCGGGTCCAGCTCCAAGTCGGAGCGGCTCAAGAATTTTAACCTGCGCGCCGTGGCGGACAAGTCGGCTGTGGCGGCTACGCGGACCGAGACGTATATCATAGGTGGGCAGACGCGCAAGATGAGGACGGCGGAGACGGAGATGAAGAAGTGCCTGCGCACGCTTGATCAGTGCGATTCTGCATCTTCCATGGGAAATTATCTGGAGATGAACCATCCGGTGTTTCACAAAGAGCTGTTTGGCCCTGCTGCGGACGATGGTTCCCGTGGTGATGTCCTCAGTGGTGGTGGACAGTGGGAGACGGTGACACGACGCAGCAAGCCTGGCAAGGTTGTCGAGACCTGGCTCCGAGGTGGCTCTCGACCACCGCCACCAGGCCCTGGACACAATCACAACAACAACCCCCCACCGAGAGACCTGGCGGACCTGCAGAGGACCCGTCTCAACGACATGACTCACCTGGAACGTCAGATTATCCACAGAGAGTGGCAAAAGAGCATCCGAAACCCCGTCTTCAAGGAGATCATGGCGCTGCACCGCGAACACGAGGAGGCCAGGACGTTCAGGAACACCATCCGCGACGAGGAGGACCTGCGCTGCCTGCAGCAGGCGGATATTATCGGCCTGACCACCACGGGTCTGGCGCGCCAGGTGGACATGATGCGAAAAGTGCGGGCCAAGGTGGTCATCTGCGAGGAGGCCGGCGAGGTTCTCGAGGCGCATGTCCTGACGGCGCTGCTGCCCTCTGTCGAGCAGCTGATCCTCATCGGCGACCACCTGCAGCTCCGGCCGCAGATTCAGAACTATGACCTGCAGAGCACGAACCCCAAGGGGCTCAAGTATTCGCTCGACACGTCGCTGTTTGAGCGCCTGGTCTGTCCACAACATTCAGAGGACCAGAAACTACCAGTCAGTGTCTTGGCGACGCAGAGGCGCATGCACCCTTCCATTGCCGAAATGGTGCGCTCTACGCTCTACAGCAACCTGAAGGATGCATCGCACGTCGAGAGCTACCCAGAGGTGGTCGGCATGGACCGTCGCTTGTTCTGGCTGCATCACGAGCATCTTGAGGATGGTCAGCACGCGAAGGGAGGAGAGCCTCATGACACATCACGGTCCAACGAGTTCGAGGTCGAGATGGCTGCCGCGCTTGTCTCGCATGTGGTGAAGCAGGGGAACTATGACCCGGAGGATATCGCCGTCCTGACGCCCTATACTGGTCAGCTTCAGAAATTGCGCAGACGTCTGGCGACGGAAGCCTCCTTTTGCGTGCAGATTGACGAGCGCGACCTGCAGGCACTCGACGAGGAGGGCCTCAATGAGGCAGAGGAGGAGACCAAGGCGGTGGCAACGACCGTCGGAAAGTCGACCCTCCTGAAGAGTATCAGGCTCGCCACTGTCGATAATTTTCAGGGCGAAGAGGCCAAGGTGGTCATCATCTCGCTGGTGCGTAGCAACATGGAGAACAGGTGTGGGTTTCTCAGCACCTCGAACCGCATCAATGTTCTGTTGTCGCGCGCAAAGCATGGATGCTATATCCTGGGCAACGCAAAGACGTACCAGAGCGTGGCCATGTGGGAGCAGGTTATCAAGTTGCTTCAGGCAAACGACAACTTCGGAACCGCCCTGGCACTCAAGTGTCCTCGCCACCCTGCCACGCGCATCGAAGTCTCGAGCCCAGACGATTTTGCCATCTTCTCGCCTGATGGAGGCTGTCGTCTGCCCTGTGACCGGCGGCTGGACTGCGGCCATGCATGCTACGGTCGATGTCACTCGGACCTCCTCCACCAGGCCATCAAGTGCCACAAGCCCTGCCCCCGACCCAAGGATGGCTGTTACCACGCCTGTCCCAAGGAATGTGGCGACCCGTGCGAGGAGAAATGCAACGTTGTTCTGCGCAGCCTCTCTCTTGCCCTCCCGCGCTGTGATCATACGGTCACGTCTGCAAAGTGCTGGGAGACGCAAAACCCCGCAGCCATCAAGTGCCGACAGGAGGTGGAGCGCGTGATTCCTGGGTGTGCGCATACAGTCAAGATGCAGTGCCACATCGACATAACCCGGCCTGGTTTCAAATGCCCAGCGCAGTGTGGCGCCGTTCTCCCCTGTGGCCATACCTGTCGACGCCCCTGTGTCCAGTGCAACCGGCGCGAGGTCGAGGACGACCATCTCTCCAAGATCGCGACGGATCATGGCCCCTGCAGGCAGGCTTGTGGGCGAAACTACTCGACATGTCCTCACAGCTGCATAGCAACCTGTCACGGCCAGCAAAAGTGTCCACCGTGCCCCAAGCCCTGCGAGGTGCGGTGCAGCCACTCCCGCTGCAGCAAGGCCTGCCACGAGCCATGCACCCCCTGTGCCGCAGAGGACTGTGCCTCCCGCTGTCCACACTCGAGATGCACCATGCCCTGCGCCGCGCCTTGTGACTGGGTGCCCTGTTCCCGGCGCTGCCCTCTGACGCTGGCCTGTGGACACCAGTGTCCTTCTCTGTGCGGCGAGGCCTGTCCTGCCGAGGAGTACTGCCAGCAGTGCGGCGCAGACGACATCCTGGCCACGGTTGTGGATTACCTGCTGTTGAGCGAGTACAAGGACATTGACCTCAATGACGACCCTTGCGTCTTTGCCAGCTGCGGCCACTTCCTGACCCGGTCCTCCATGGACGGCCAGATGCTGATGGGCGAGCACTATGTCCTCGACGACAAGGACGGCGGCCCTGTGGCCATCAGGAAGCCCCTGGAGCCCTTCTCCATGGACGGACGCAGCCAGCTCAAGACCTGCCCGCAGTGCCGCGGCTCTCTCCGCGACATTCCGAGGTATGGCCGCATCGTCCGCCGCGCCCTGCTGGACGAGGCCACCAAAAAGTTCATCTCCTGGTCCGAACACCAACACCATCAGCTGGCGGGCCGTCTGCTGGACCTCCAGAACAACCTCGCAGCACAGCAACAAGAGCAGAACGGGGAAAAGGGCAAGGGCGACGCTGCCGCTGCTGCCGAGGACATCGCCGCGCAGATTCTCGACTACATGCCTGGCCGGTTTGCGCTGAAGGGTTCTGCTCAGGACCAGCTGCGGGAATTGGGGAAGTGGGTTGGGAAGAAGCGGTATACCGAGCTCATCAGGCTGCACAGGGACATTGTCACGTTCCGGGGCAGAGTCAGGGCCGAGGAGCAGCCCTTTCAAAAGGTAGCCAACCTCGTGCGGTTCGCCAACAGCAACAAGACCGTGGACTCTTCTTCTTCCTCTTCCTCCTCTTCTTTCACGTTCGACTCCTCCGTCATCCAGCTGCGCGGGTTCCTGCTCGCCACCTCGCTCCTCCTGCGCTGCCACCTCACCGTCCTCTCTGATTTCCTGGACCTGCGGACCAAGAAGGACACCGCCTCGTGCGCCTGGAAACATGCAGACATCAGCGTGGACTTTGCCCGCAACACGGCCCAGTGCGAGGACCTCGTCAGGCTTGCCAGCGAGACGGACCGCCCTCAGCTCCAGGCCGAGGGCCACATCTACCATGCACACTTTTGCGGCCTCGCACTCGCCCTCGGCAACGGCAATGGCAATAGCAATGGGAGTGGCGACGACAAGAACAACAACAACAACAGCAGCAGCAGCAGTAGCAATTCCTCCTCCTCCTCCTCCTCCTCCTCCTCCTCCCCTTCAGCAGGCGACGAGGAAAACATCCTCAAAACCACAGGTCTCGAACACATCGCGGCCGCCCAGACCATCCTGGACAAGCGCAGTCCCCAGCCACACTGGGCCGCGACGGTCCAGGCCGAGCTGGACGCGGTGCGCGACCTCCTCTCGCAGGGAATCTTCTACACGCGCGTCACGGCGGCCGAGATGCGCGCCGTCTACAAGGCCATGGCTGCTGAGTTCCGCGGCACGGGCCACTGGTACACGTGCGAGAGGGGCCACCCGTTTACCGTGGGCGAGTGCGGCATGCCCATGGAGCAGGCGCGGTGTCCTGAGTGTGGTGCCGCCGTGGGGGGGCGGAATCATGTGGCGGTGGAGGGGGTGCGGCATGCGGTGGAGGTTGAGGCGCTGGCTAGAGGGGTGGAAGGGATGGCGATTTGAGGAGAAGGGGGAAGAAGGTAAGGAGAGGAGAGGAAAGGGAAGGGAAGAGGTTGGTGAGTGTTTATGGTTTTTTGGTTTTTTTTGTTTTGTTTTATTGGTTCAGGGTACGAGGTCAGGTTTGGACATGAAGAGACTGGGTATTCTATATGCCTCTGTTTCTTTTGCAGGGAGGACTCTGGAAGTCGTTTAAAAATGGAGTGAGAGAGACTCGATGAGCAGATCATGCTGCTAGAGGTCGAGAAGACTTTCGAGGTTCCCTTTTTCACTTTTCTCCTTTCTCCGGTCCTGCCTTGCTGGATCCATTGTATCTTCCCTTCTCAATCAAATCTTCATGACCCCATTCAACTAGATACTACTGAGGTATTGCGTGGCATCGTGCGATCCGTTCAAGCCATCTGCAAATGATTCATGTCCACAGTAGCGCAAAGGAAACCGGCCTAAGAAGCGGGCGGGTTTCGGAGGTCCCGACCGGTGGGACGGTACGAGTTCGAAGCCGAGGTTCCGGGATTCACAAGCTTGAGAGGATCGCCGGTGATGAACAATCCAAAAATCAAGATGTTTTCTGCAGATCAGGCAGGCTGACATGGTCGTCTGATTTTCTTCTTCTTTTTAGATGGAACTTGAGGGAATGCATCCTATGCATCCTATGCACATGTTTGCATCCTAGACTTCACATGGGTCTTGGTAGAAATTGCGTGGTTCATACAATCAAGTGCTTGCTTGAGTACATATGTACTTGCGTGCTCACAGGACAGAAAGGTCTACCACCTCGGAAGTTCAATAACGAGAGAGGCACTGCCAAGAGAGAGTGCTCAGGATACGGACTTCACATGCTACTCCATTCAAGTCCGCCGATCCGCGTGTCATGCTTTGGGGGCTTACTGCCTACAATCAGCTGAAATCATGCTGTAGTCTGATTAATTGTTGCGGATGGCGTCTTTATGTGGTTCTCTGGTGGATCTCGAAATGGTCCTCAAAAGGCTAGTGTTCATCTTGAAGAGGAGATTCTGTTTGTGTGGCTTTATTTGCTTTCAACAACTCTGTTCGAACTTTTCATTTTGGGTTTTTATTTTTTTGAAAAGATTTTTTATTGGAGACGCCACTTCGAAATAGAGAATTCTTCTCTCTGGCTGCCATCAACCGAGGCAGGATGGACAAACATTCCTCAGAGTTTTCCTCTCTATTTTCTTGTGACATCCTGAGACAGGTCTAAGAAGATGATTTTGCCGTAAACATGACCGGATACGGACATATCAAACAACCTGGACACCGACACCCAAACCCTTCGGCAGCCTCGGTAGCCGTCATCTGGCCGAGTAGGAACTAGATCGGCCTTGACATCACTGAAAATGGGGTGCGTCATGCCGCTAATGTTCGCTTTAGCGTACCACTAAGGAATTTCCTCCTGAGCGCGAGGGCCCGAGGGTCGTTGTGATGGTTGTTTGGTTTGGGTTTTTGTAATCTTTGCTCGTGCTTGATCCGTACTTGAAATAGATTCGAATACCCACTTTCCTTTTCCTTTCTGTAACTTACTACTTAAAAGGCACATCTTATCTTCCTATGACGATAACCTTAGTTGTGTGAACTATTCGAGACGCGACCCCAAGTCGAGCCTCAACACGACCAAAGACGGTTTTCATTGCAGCACAGCGAGGCGTCGCTTTTGTTGGTGAAGGAAGCAGTTTTTGATTATTTAATACAGAATTTTGACGGATCAGCACAACACGACATACACAACACCTTTTCTCCCGTCAACGCCTTTTCCGGCTCGAAATACAAATTCCAAGCCAAGCAAAGAAGGAGGGACAGAAAGAAAGAGAGAGAACCAAAGATATGGAAAAGGACCTCGAGAAGCGCCGACCGGGGCGCATCAGCCACTTCAAACGAGTGTTGGATCAAGGCGCGGTCAACGATGATATCATCAACGCCCACTACGCAGGTGCAGGCACCGAGGAGGACCCTTATATCGTGAAGTGGCTCGACGATGACCCTGTGAATCCGATGAACTACTCCGACAGGCGAAAATGGTTCATAACCATGTTAGTCGCCCTTGCGACTCTGGTTAGTCTTGATCTCTCTCTATTGCTCTTCCCAACCTCCTGTTCTCTCCCGTGGACTGACCATTCATTCTTGGATCTTTTTGTAGGCTGTGGCATTTGTATCGTCTGCATATTCGGGAGGAATTTCCGAGATTCTTTTACAATTTCGCGTGGCCACCATCATTGGCACTCTGGGTGTATCTTTATTTGTCGTTGGATTTGCGATTGGCCCTCTCATGTGGGCGCCTTTGAGTGGTAAGGTTTTCTCTAACTCATCAGTTTGATATTTCTCTCTTCTTTCTTGCATTCTTTCTTCTATGCTCTTTTTCTAACCAGCCCGTGTGAAATCATACAGAACTTTACGGACGACAGTATCTCTTCTTTGGCACCTACATGTTCCTCACAGCCTTCAATGCCGGTGCTGCCGGGTCCCAAAACATAGCCACGCTGCTCGTGCTACGTTTCCTCGCCGGTTCCTTCGGCTCATCTCCTCTGACCAACGCCGGCGGTGTCATTGCCGACATGTTCCCAGCAGCACAGCGTGGTCTGGCCACCAGCCTTTTTGCCGCAGCTCCTTTTCTCGGCCCAGTCATTGGCCCCATTGGTTAGTATCTCTCTACCCTCTCTCCTCGCTCAGTTCTTCCCCTATCAAATTACTTCTTCCAAAGACTGACCAAGTATTCGTTATAATCAGTGGGCGGTTTTGTCGGCGAGACAGTTGGTTGGCGCTGGGTCGAAGGCGTAATGGCCATCTTCACCGGTGTCCTCTGGCTCGTCTGCGGCGTCTTCGTCCCCGAGACGTACGGCCCCGTCCTCCTCCGCAAGCGCGCAGCCAAGCTGTCCAAGATCACGGGCAAGTGCTACAGGACGCAGACCGATGTGCAGCAGGGCCGCATCAGCCTGGGCCAGGCCTTCAAGACGGCCCTGTCGCGCCCTCTGATCCTCCTCTTCCGCGAGCCCATCGTTTTTCTCCTGTCCATCTACATGGCCATCATCTACGGCACGCTGTACATGCTCTTTGCGGCGTTTCCCATCGTCTTTCAGGAGGTGCGCGGCTGGTCGCCTGGAGTCGGGGGTCTGGCCTTTCTGGGCGTTTGTGTGGGTATGCTTCTTGCCGTTGCGTACTCTATCTACGACAACAAGCGGTACATCAGGGTCATTGAGAACTCCGAGCAGGGCTTTGCGCCTCCAGAAGCTCGTCTCCCGCCTGCCATTATTGGTTCTATCTGCATGCCCATTGGTCGTAAGTTGCTTTTTGCCCTTTCTCCTTGGTTGTTATGGAATTGTCCCTTTCTCTCTTACTCTCACTAACCAATTTTTTCTCTCTTTCAAATAGTCTTCTGGTTCGCCTGGACCAACTCCGCAAGCATCCACTGGATCGTCTGCATCATCGGCTCCGCACCCTTCGGCTTCGGCATGGTCCTCGTCTTCCTCTCCATCATGAACTACCTCATCGACGCCTACGTCATCTTCGCCGCCTCCGTCCTCGCCGCCAACGCCGTCCTCCGCTCCCTCTTCGGTGCCGCGTTCCCCTTGTTCACCTCGTACATGTATACCAACCTGGGCATCCACTGGGCCTCCTCCATCCCGGCCTTTCTCGCCCTAGCTTGTGTTCCCTTCCCTCTCCTCTTCTACAAGTACGGCCCTGCGATCCGGAGCAGGTGTAAGTTTGCTGCACAGGCGGCTGCTTTCCTGGAGAGGCTGCGTGGGGAGGCGCAGGCTGAAGAGTCGGACGACAGCAGCTCGACTGTGCAGGACGAAGACGACGACGTCGTCGAGGATGCAGCGCCAGGAGTAGCAGCAGGGCCATCTCATCAACAGCACCACCGCTTCAGCAGGGAGAGCAGCAGGCGCGAGGCTGAGCTCGAGGCCGAGGCGATGGACTACAGCTACGGCGACGAGGAGCACCAGCCCCAGTACGCCGCGCTCAACGCGGCCGGTGGTGGTATCAGCCGCAGCAGAGCCAACACGGTTTCTTCGCGGAAGAGCAAGGCGAGTCTTAGGAGGACGCGCAGCGCGGCGTATGATGCCAGTCCTTATGATATCGATCGGGTGAATACGAATGAGAGTTTTCGGGACAGGGGGTTGGGGAGCAGGAAGAACTCGTTTGCGAGGAAGAAGTAGGAATGGTAGATGGTTATGCAAGGGAAAGGGAAAGTCGAGCCGTGTGTGACCTGGAGTCTTGAGGCTAGCTGGACTGTATTTGCAATTTGGTCATGATTTATGCATTAGACTATTATATTAATTCGATGATGTACAATTTACATCTATAATGATGGATATCAAGAGAGAGGGAGAAAAAAAAAAAAAGGGAATTCATCCATGATTGGATCATGTAATTCACAAAGTGGCAGAACTTGTACATTTCTGATTTAGTAGTTGCTGCAAGATGTGTTTTGTTGTCTGGGAAGCTCTCAAGTATATACATGTACTTCTGTAAATTGTATTTCCGAATAGAACAAGAAGAAACAACTCAGCACCAACACACTCCAAACCTCCACCACCTCACCTCACCAGTGTCGAGCTGTTCTCAGGAACCCACGAAGAGAAGTCCCGCAGCCACTTCCTCACCGTCTTGATCTCCCACCAGTGTACCTGGCGAATAAACTGCGGCTCCCCAGGGATGTCCAGGATGCCCGAGCTGTCCCAGTGGTGGCCGCCGACCTCGATCAGGTACTCTGGGTGCAGATCCGAGCTGTACCGCGGCGGGGCGTCGGTGGCATGGTAGCAGGTATCGAGCCAGGGGTCCTGCTGCCCGTCGACGAGGGCCAGGCGGTCTGCCGACAGGCCGAAGCCGCCGTAGCCGTTCCACAGGTCGATCTGGGGCGAGGCGGGGATGGTGTTGTACTGGCCTGGGGGGAACGCCAGCTCGCAGATCTCCTGGGTGTAGGCGCCTGTCAGGACGCGCGAGAGGAGCGTCTTGCCCTGCTTGGGGGCTGCCTGGTACAGGCCTGCCTCGTAGCAGGTTGTGTAGATGTAGGCGCGGGTGCCTGGGTCGACGAGTTCCGTCCACCAGGTGGCTTGGAGTTGTGAGGTTTTAGCACTGTGTACATGAAATATAATTTGTGTGTGAGAGAGAGAGATAAAAAGAAAAAGTGAACTCACCATTTCCTTGTCCAAAGCACTCCCCGCTGGCATAGTGACCACTCGGGCACGTGGGAAGAATGACTTGTTTGATGTAATTGGCATAGTTGCCCAGGTTCGTCCACGGCTCACCACCCGTGTACTTGGCCATCTGCTCGTCCACAGCAGTCACATTGGCCGGCGCATCCAGGTCCGTCACGGCGCCGCAAAACTCCCAGAACTGCGCCTCCTCGTCGGTCCAGATCAGCTCCTGCCACGTCGACGTCGGGTAGTCAAAGGGGTTCCCGATGGGGTAGTTGATGGTCTTTGCAAAGTCGCGGTCGTCCGTGAGCAGCTCGAGCCCGAAGATGGCCTTGAGCTCAGCCACGGCGGCCGTGTTGTTGGCGGCGAGCAGGCCGTCGAACTTGTCCACGATGTCGTTGATGCTGGTGACGCAGTCCGAGGGCGCGTACTTTTGCACAGGGTTGTACCACTCTGGATACTCCACCGACACGTTGACGATCTGCGAGGAGGCGATGCCGCCGTAGATGATGTCGCCGTACGTCTTGACCGTGAAGGCCGTCTGTGCGCCGGCCAGGCTGCCGCCGTACATGATCCAGGGCGTCGAGGGCGCGGTCAGAGTCGCGTTGATGCCCTCGAAGGAGGCGTGCTGCGCGAAGTAGGCAAAGTCCGCAATGGTCTGCTCGTTTGTGAGATAGGCCAGGTGGTCCGTCGTCAGGTCGAGGTAAGGGTAGCTCTCGCCGTAGTAGCGGTTCTCGATGATGACCCCCAGCCCGCCCGTGGCGTTCATGAGAATCTGGATAATGCCAGTCTCGAGATACTCCAGCCGCTCCTCGATGAACGTTTCCCCGCCCACGTACAGGAACACGGGGCCGCCTGGCTTGTAGTAACTTGCATCAAACACATAGCGCTGCGCAAAGGTGGCATTGGTGTGTGGTGCGTAGATGGCCTTGTCTGGGAAGTGGTCGATGGGCTGCTGGAACGTGTAATAAGTGTAAGACGAGCTGGCGCTGGCATCCCTTGACTGGATCTCGGCTGCTTGTTGTCTCCGGCGCAGAGGTCCCCGGGCAGAGACCAGACCGGAGAGCCCGGCCAGGAGGAGGACAAGGGAGAAGGATCCAGCGTGCATGTCGTCGTTGTCGATTGTTCACAAGACGAGCTTGGAGGAGGAAGGGGAGGAATAGGAAGGGGGGAGTGGGACCTGCATGTAAATAAAAGTAGTCTTGGCACGTACTACTCTCACCTCTACTGGATGTGTGTGCCGTTCCTGTAAACGAAGGACATTATAATGTTGCATCCGACCGGAAATACCTCAACAGCCGGCTTACTTCTTACTACTATCCCTACACAAGTACGGTGGCGCAAAGATACTCCACAGTAGAGCAATGTTGAAAAGTGATATTCTAAGCTGCTTATTTGAGTAACATAATCGTTATGGAACCCCAGCTGATAGCTACATAGTAAGAAAGCCTAACCCCCACAGTGTAGTAAAGGTTGTCCACCTTCCCGACGAGGATGGTGATCTTCATGCAATGCAACTCTCCGATCTTCCTGGCCCATCCGAACGGGCCGAGCCATTATTGGCCCCGGGCTTGTCTTTGGTTTGTAGGCCTGAGCGTCTCCGAACAATACTTTAACTCATTTCGACCTTGGTTTTCTGGGCTGCAACCTGTTTTCTCAAAACGTGGTGGATACACTCTCAAATACTATGAAGTGCAGGTCAGCTGATCTCTACATGACGAGATAAGTTTGCTACCAATAATGCTGCTGGCAGGATCATGAAGGAATATATTTGCGATAATAACCATACACAAAGGTTTGGGACATGAGTTTTTCATAAAATGCACTACGACAGTTATATATAAGCCAGCGTAACAACAAACCATAACTTTCTCAGATCAGACGGAAACTTCATCTCATCGTGTATGTAGTTTTATTTATACAAATGTTTCTTATTTCTTCGTGCTTCAAGACAGCAAAGAAGAAGAAAAGAACATTGCTGGCTGAACACGAGTATCGCTCAAGCCAAACGAGGCGGCAACGGTAAATAAGTGTCGTGAACAATCCATCCATTGAGCCGTATTTTGTAGTTGTCCTCTTACAATTTTCTGTACCCTGACTTCCAGCAAAAACAAATATCATAAATATCCACATCTACGCCCTGGGAACCAGATGCACCCACAGCGGCGGCTTACGCCACAAGTTAAATACCTTCTGGCCCCGAAGCCAGTTCTCGCCCTCAGGCGCCAGCTTGAGATCAAAAGCAAACACAAGCCGCGCTATGATGGTCCGCATCTCGGCGTAGGCCAGGCTGTCGTAACAAAAGAACAAAGGGGAAAAATGGTCAGCTTCCTTAAAAACTTTTCCGGTGCAGTATGTATGATTATAATTCGGATAGGACTGAAACGGTTTGAGACTCACTTTCTCCCGATGCAGTTTCTGGGCCCGTACGAGAAGGGCTGCATGGCCTCCCTCTGGTCGGCGGCGAACTCGGCGTTCTGGCCGTCGATCCAGCGCTCTGGGTGGTACTCGAAGGGCTTGGCCCAGTTGGCGCTGTAGTGGTTGGCTGCCCATTGCCACACGCCGACATGTGTCTATGTATTGATGGACGAGGACGTCAGCACTTTTTCTTTCTTCTTTCATTCCCATCCTTTTGCTTTCTCCTTCAACTCTTGTCTCTCTCACACATGCACTAGCCATCATCCACCAGACTGGATCATAGACTTACTCCTCCAGGCATAAACTCCCCACAAATCATCCTCCCACCCGGAGCCACAATCCGAGGCAGCCCAGTCGGAACAGGAGGGTACATGCGAAAGGCCTCGTCCAGACACGCCAGCATGTACGTCAGCTGGCCCGCCGAGGCAACCGTGATCTGGTCCTCGGACGTAAACGCCGACCGCACCTCGCGGGTCAGCTTGGCCAGGGCCTCTGGGTGGCTAGCCAGGAGGTAGGTTGCTCCAGAGAGAAGTGTGGCGGTGGTTTCTGAGCCGGCGACGATAAGGAGCCCGGCGTGAGAGTCTATATCCTGGCGAGGCATTTGCTGCAATTTTGGGGTTTCATAATATAGTCAGCATGCGTTGGCATCAGATATTTGCTACAAAAAACCAAAAAACCAAAAAAAAAAAAAAAAAAAAAAAAGGAAATGTCTTGTTCTCACCCAGTCGTCTTGTTTCATCAACAGGCCTTCGATGAGGTCGTTTCTGCTCGCGCCTAACTCGATCCGCTTGGAGACTTTTCTGTGCGCGAACTCGGCGTTGTCGTCGAGCACCTTCATGAATGATTTGGGGATGGAGTTGATCAGCAGGTCCTTGATCAGAGGGTAGTGGATCGCGGACTGCATCCAGACGGAGAGCTCGGTGAGCTTGAAGAAGGTCTTGACCCAGTAGTGCATGGAGGCTTCCTGGAGACAGCCGAACGAGTCACCAAAGGCCAGGTCGCCAATGACCTGTATCGAGATTGTTAATTGGTTGTTGATAAGTGAATGTTGACACAAATAGCAGCCAAATTAATCTCTTGGGGATGATGGATAGTGATGCTGAACATACATCAAACGTCGTATAATTATACCACGCCGTCATATCCAGCGCATGATGCCCCTCCTGCCCATGCTCGTGTAGCCTATCCATCAATAAGTCCACATACCCCCGAATGATAGGCTCCTGGTCCCGGATAGCCCTGTCCCCAAACCCATGCGAGAGCTGCCGCCGGATCACAGTGTGCGTCTTCTTGTCCGCCGAGATGATGTCCTGCGGCATCCCCTTGCCAGGTCTGTAAAACTCTGTGAACTTGCCATTCTCCTCGGTCTTTGGGCTGTGGCCGCAGATGTCGCGCCAGGCTTGTGCCTCGACGTAGGCAAGCTCGTTGGGCGCGATGCGCACCACGGGGCCGTACCGCTCGAACAGGGCGGCCACGTCGAAGGGAAGGGTGCCGCGGATGCTGGAGACGCAGAAGGGGAGGCGAGAGGCGCGCCAGTGGAGGGGGCCTGGGTAGCGGCGGAGAGGGTGAAAGAAGAGGTTGTAGAAGACGCTGCCGATGTAGTGTACAATGCCGGCCTGAAACAAAGTGTGAACAACAAGAACATCCACCCGCACGAGGTAAGTAATTTTTTGTGTGGTGATAAAGACGGGAGACGTACGAGGAATGCCCAGACTACCAGAGTCTTGCCAATGTGCAGCACATGTGCCGAGGTAACCACCACCATCTTGGGCGCAATGTGATATAGTATGTAGTGATGGTTGCTTTTCCGCAACTCGGTGATTATTCAAGGAATGGAGCAAGGACCACCGCTCGGCTATTGATGTTTCGAAAAATGGTGTTGAAGAGCATATGGTGTTTTTGAAGAAACGTCTCCTTCTCGAGGAACAGTTTGATGCAATTAGTCGAGGTGTTGCGTGGATAAATACAGTCAAGTAGCGAAAATGGGCAGTGGTGACATTGACACCGACATGCCTATCTCGTCGACCCTCGCAATGCAGGCTTGTTCCCTATTCAAGCAGATAGGAAAAATGCCATCCCCTATTTACCCCGCTTAGCATTTCGTATTCGTTCTGCAACTCCTAGTATTCTCCTCGCTCAACGTTCATCAATCTCCGACTGACGTGACATGACTTGCGTATCCATCCTCCCCCTGATCATCGTGTTTGGTTTTCAGTCCACCGTACAGCGAAGAGAGAGGAGAAGGGAAACATATAGCCGTCTTTGTTGTAGCCACACACAAGAAGGCTGCATAGAACTGGACTCTGACACTACGATTAGTAGAAGCTTTGATTAATTAATAGCTGCCAGTAACGGCCTGCGCCACGCCACCCGGATGAAGTTGACTCTAGTACGGTTGACCGTTGCATCTCTCTGATTATGACAGTCTAATAAGTAAGCCTCTAACATATGCCACCATCCAACCAACCAACGTGTCTGCTGAACGTCTTAAAAGTAATACTATCAACCAGACGCCATGCGCTTGTCTCATCCCCTCACACACCGCCGCGGCCCCGCATCTCGAACCCCACTGTTGCCGCCGCCATCGCGAAACGTCCCGTCGCATCCACCCGCCCGGGCTGCTTCCCGACACCCTTTTGTTTCTTATGTTTCTCTACAAAGCTTCTGAAATGGTGGAGGCGGTCTGGGCCGTTTTGTTGTCAGAATTCATAGACCGTTGCTGCAGGGTTCGATATGTCTGAGACACTTGACACACTGTCGAGATGCAGTAATAGAACGGCCTGTGCTCGCTAAGTAGGACAGACTTGGGATGCGAACAGGTCCTAACGTTGAATTAAGAGCTGTTCTTACAACCTTTTCTTGTGAATGACCATCCAGTCCAGAATCGTATATTGTCGAGTCTCTCTGCCACCTTTTATCTGAGAGTATTCATATCCCCAACACACTGCATCCCGCAGTATCGTGATGCCCACAAGGGGTCGTCTCCTTATTCTCCTTGTTGTATTCAGGAAGATAAGAAACAAGACACAGAAAAAAGCTGCCGAAGCCACCCAGCGCAGTGAGACATCTGTGCTTCAACACCACCTACCATTCATCCATCTTGCAAAGCAATTGTCTTTCCACGTGCCGCTGCGCGCGGGAAACGGGACCTGGCCCCTCCCGGTTCTTCACCGCCCAGCCAGCCAACGAAACATACTTGCTGCTCTCGCGCACACGACAGAGACTTGTGCGAGAGAATGCACGTCAACATTCACTGATGGTGGCCTTGCCGCAAACCAGAATAGAAACAAAGAAGGCAATCCTCTACCCCCAGATTCCCCATTTGGCTGCCCCGCAGGCAGACTCGGATAAGTCGGCACCCAGAATTCCCACATCACCTCATGCTTAGCAAACCACTCCCCCTCCCCCACAGACCAACACCACCCACCCCATCTTTTCATCCCCTCTCATCTCCACGCGGCAAGCATGCGAGGCAATCGAGAGAAAGAAAGAAAGAGCAAACAAGCTTATATCCGGCATGTAACCCCCCCACTTCCTCTCCAGCCCCCCCCCCCCCAACCTGTCTCGCCCGAGGAAGCACCGATATTGTTCTTCTTTTCTCTTCTTTTTGTTGAGGCTCACGGCGTGCAGGCTGACGGACCCTGCTTAAGCTTACTTTGGAGCTTACACAGACGTTGAGCTGGAGGAGTGTGCGCGGGCACAAACAATTTCGCGCACTCACACATATCTCTTTCAATGGTTGTAGTCCAGTGTCTAATAGGCTTTGTGGCCATAACCGTCGACAGTGCCGTGATAATGTGAAGCGACTCAGCAAACCAACTATTTGTTGAAACCTTGATGGAAAAAAAGTGAGCCGTGGAACTTCTCCCTCTCTCTCTCTCTCTCTCTCTCTCTTTCCCCTGCGCTGCCGACCTGCAAGTACTATCAGCGGTGCATCAAGTTGATATATAGACCCCCTGGTTACGTGTTCCAGACCAGAGATTTCGGCGGTCTGTGAGCCTAATGTGCTTGGACCGTCACTGACGGACATGTCTCAAGGGACAGTTCTGCTTGCGCCGGCTTTTCTTGTGCGCCACAGATATCAAGTACCTGTTGGACGACCACTGGTCTCAAGGAAAGAGAAGGAAAAGGTACCACCACTTCCCAAAACAAGACCCCCAACTTGGGAACTTTCCATTGCCGTGCTTGGTGCCCCAAGGCCTCTGACAATGGACGGAATCTATGCGCTTCTTGTCTGACACACGCACAAACACACACGTCCGTCCATCCCCACCCTCCACCCGCCCTTCCTCAAGGCGCTTGTGTGTTCCGTCGATGGGGCGGTGTGACAAGGCAAAAGAGGCGCCCCCCCCCCCTTCTCTCACTGCCGCCTCACTAGTGGCAGGAAAAACAAATGATAAACAAGACCGCGCAGATATATTGGACGCCATACGCGTGACGTGGCATGGCGCAAGGGGAAAGTGTCTCACCGGCGCTACAACGGCATGTCGACAGCCTCCAGAGGCAATTAATCAAGAGGTGTGTGTGTGTGTGTTTCACGGCACGGCTCCCTGCATTGTGCATGACGCATGACGCTAGCCAACGCTGCTTTTCTTTCTTTTCCTCCTTCTCTTCGGTTCTCTTTTCCAGACAGGATGTCTATACGAGCAACACACCCAGTGAAGTTTCCTACTGAGAGGAAGACGAGGAGATAGATAGGAGGAAGGGGATAAGAGTGTAGATGGGAGGCGGGCAAGGGTGAGCATGTATGTGTGTGTGTATGTGTGTGTCTGTGTGGACGTAAAAGAACGACCCAAGCATTGTCATCTATAATGTGTCATCCTTGATGGCACCCATCGAAGAAAATGAGGAATCTTGGATCAGAAAGTGAGAACCAAGATTTGCCCAAGTAACCCTCATCGTCTTCCCCCGCCCCCACAGGATGGCGGTTCGCCCCGTGCCACGTGAACACATGGCCGGGGGAGCACACACGTAAAGAGGACGGATCATAATTCCTCTTGATTTACCCACGAGAATGGTACAAGATGAAAAGGGATCAACAAGCATGTCCTGGCGTAACGTGTTGAGGCGTGTCACCGTGCGACAGTCTATAGGTTTTGTGCCCGGCACAAGTAAGCACTCTAAAACCGCGGCGCGATGATCATGTCTACCGGGTAAAATCCAGGGCGGGAACACGTCCCCCTAGATGATCCGCTGCATGGAATTAAATCCGTTGCAATTTTGATAACCGGAAGCATTGGTCTACCCCTTTACGCATCCGTCCAAAACATTTCCTTGTTCGGCGGCAGAACTATTTGCCGAGCTTAAACAACTTATCATCATCATCATCATCATCATCATCATAATTATCGGCTCACGTGCTCTCGATTCGGAGACTTTAATGCTAATGGCTACGCTTGAGACCGCGAACACCACATGCATTTGGAATGCGCTTTTCAGTTCGCTCATCCGATGCTGCTGCCAAGGCACTAAAGGCTCTCTGGGCGATGCGAAAGCGCCGAGACCTTGCGTTGAACTAGTCCTCAGAATGCTTTCGACACAGACCGCTGGGTCGACATAGCAACATACACTATTATGCAGGCCCCATAGTGTAGTACCTGGGCTTGCCAGGCAGACCAGGGAGAATCTAGACGCATCACAATCCGGGTGCCGGCCCCTAGCGTCTCGTCAGTTCTGGTCAGTCCATGCTCGAGACGAGCAAGTCTCGAGCAATGCATCCGTTGTGTGGTGAGACGATGTTTTTCCCTTCTCTCTCTGGAATGTTTGTACCAACGGACTTAGGCGTAGGGTGAGCCTTGCCGTGCAGACGATGACGAGGAGGAGGAGTCTCATGTTGAGGATCCGCTGGCTGAACTTTGTAAGAAGAGGATCCCGGGTCTGGGGAAATGAGGCCATATTCGGACCGATGACAGGCATCACGAGGTCCCAGCGGGTCCAGCTTGGTGCTCAAGCCTGACGGGTCCTCCCTGATGAGAGCTACTGCGGACGTCTGTGCTGTGTAGCTAGCTGAGGCTCAATGAAGAAAATAAAGAAAAGCTAAAGCAAGAAGATGGAAAAGACAAAGCGGCCGGTGCAAGAGTCTTTCATCAAGCAGGTCATGTTGTCAGTCAGTCAGTCAGTCAGTCGGTCGGTCGGTCGATTGGTCAGTTCATGAAGGCGCCATCTTGCATCGCAGATAGTTTAAGCCCCGAGGCATCCGAATTCCAAATCGGCGCTTGTGAGGGCAAATGAGTTGGATCTGCTCAGCAACTCGTAGAATCGACCTAGTCATGTTGTTCTGTCCAACATGATCAACATGACAAGGCCAGCAATACCGATGATCCACCAGACTGGATGATTGTATGCATGGGGTCGATGCAAAATAAAAGGCTGGTCCGATCGAGCGCAAGACCCGACAAGATGGTGGCGTCTGCACACCCCCATCGCCAGACATGGCTGCCATGTGTCGGCGTAGCAGTCGCTGCTTGGTATGATACCCCCAACCTTGTCTGTTGTGGTGCACTTCTTTTGGCATTGCGTCGCCTCCTAGATCAACGCCTGGATCATGGGAGCTGTTATAGCCCAATGCAGCCTCACCCATGTGATGTCGAGAATCCAGCCGTTGTGTGTAATGTAGTGGTGTTGACTGCGTGGAGCGCAAGCAATAGTGAGTTTGCGGAGCCCCGGCCGGGGTTGGAATCCCAAAATCTTGGGGCCCCCAAACTAGTTCCACAGAGGGTCTAGATATGGGAGTGGGGACTGGCAAATTCTGTGAGTGAACAAATATGCTTGAATCCTTGGCACACAGGCTCACGCCTCTGTTTGAAGACTAGCGGTCCCACCAGAACCTGCAGCGTGTGTGGGCCGCGGACGTGCCTAGGCGATCTTGTTGGCTGCAGATACATGGTACCAATCTCGTTCAGATGGAAAAAGTGACTCCTCAAACTGACTTTCGCGTCCCACATTCTGCAAGTGAAAACTGATCCTCTCTCTTACGCCCCCCCCCCCTTTCCATACATCCTCACTCTCCCTGCATGGCGGCAGAATGTAAAAGACAGAAAGACAGAAGAACCACAGGAGAGTAGTAATACAAGCGCATTGAGATAGGGGCGGCGAGACAGGATGGACCAGGGCCTGCAGTTCTGAGAACAGGAACGGCCTCAGATAGGTGCATGAGGTTGATTCTGGAGGAGCAGGTTGCAGCAGGCCAGAAATTTGTCGAGTGTCTCGCTTCGAGATTCCGCCGAATTGAAACGCTGAACTCTAGATCTGGGGGAGGATTCACCACTAGCGCAACCAGTACCACCGAGCCAAGCCCATGTGGCTGAACGGCCGAGCTGTGAGATTGGCCAGCCGACGACAATAAAGGATGTGCTAGCAGAGGGCTGTCTGGCCACACGCAGCCGTCAGTGGTGTTGTTGGTGGTGGTGGTAAAGGTGGCGTGTGTGTGGTTGGTTTCTGGTCGTCAGGTCACACTCCTCATTTTCTTTCCCCCTGCGGATCTGGAGTAAAAGTTAGGGCCAACAAACCTGGGGTCTGGGGAAATATCCACGTGGCGTTGTGGGAGGGATGCCATGTGGAGGTCCTTGAGTTTCCATTCTTTTTTCTTTCTCTCTCCCCCCCCTCTTTTTTTTCTCTCACTCTCTCTTCCAGCATCCACTTCTGGTGGATCTCTGTCTGTCCTGGTAAATATAGAGCACTCTGAGTTCAGATATGCCCTGGTCCCCTCCCCCTCTGCATCGCCTGAAGCTCTGTCTCTGATGAAACCATGGTGACGACATCTGCCTGTGGGTGGGATCTTTTTTCTTGTGAGCAAATGCAACGGCCGCTCACAGCATGACAGTTTCCGGGGTAGGTAAGTGCTCCGTACAAGAAACCAGTGATGAGGCCGAAAAGAGCCCGAACAATGCGAGCGTGTGCCAACGGTGCGCTATCGAGGGAGGGCCTCTGGGCGGGTTGGTCTCGGTAGCCCCCGTTCCATTTGGCGTGTATTCCCAGCGCCAAGCCAAGCCATCCCATGCTATGCATAGGAGATATGCCCACCTCGAGCGGCAGCCGGAGATGACATGACCATGACCCGACAGTATCCTCCGTTCCCAGCACTTTGGCTCCTTGGATCTCGCCGGCTTTCCCAAGGTCTCGGGTACGAACAGTCCCAGAGCGCTAGATGACTTCCTGGGGAAAACTTTTTTCTTTGTTCTCTGCGCAAAGGCACGGCCGAAGGCGACGACGAGGGTCCAGCACACTACCCCGGACCCCACACCGGGGGGTCTCACCTTCGGACGAGCTGAGACGGCACGGTGTGCACGTGAGGAAGTTCATCTTCTGACCCGTTGAGGCCGTCTGGGAAAAGAACTAGAACATATCTGGGGCCTGTTGGTAGGCAGCCAATCAAGACGTGTGGGCCAGTGGGGGATGGTTCTAGCCGTGGCCCATGATCGGCCCTTTTATGGGAATTTTGCGCCGGTCTGGGTTTTCGCGTATTCTTTTTTTGGCCTTAGTCACCGGCGTGTCCTCGGTTCGTTTTTAGACTCGACTCGACTCTCGACTCGTGCGCTAGGAGGCCGTCAACGAGTGCTTTGGAACCCGCCCGCCGGTGCTGGGGCGGCATAGCCAGTTGACTCGTTCCGTAACCGCACTCTGCAGGGACCACGCGGCTCTTTGGACACTGGGTTTGCTTGTCCATACCGCTGGCCGGTCCAAGTGTCCGGATCGATCGTACTATCACATACTAGAACTCTTTTCGAAGCCCAGCTGGCGAAAGCAGCCCACCCCACCTTGGTCCGACTGGCCCCGGGGGCGCAGGTTTGCTGGCTCAGGCCTAGAATTGCAGTAAATTTTCGAGGTCACGAGAACTAGACACAGTCGGACACTGCCGTAGGAGAGCGCTTGTGCTGCTAAGCGTCGTTCCACCGGGATGGCGGTGTCATCGTCCAGACCGCACCACGAGCCCCACGATCGTGAGCTTCACGGCCGCCATCGCCGTCTGCATCACGGACTCTAGGCGACCGCACAGAGCCGAGGCAAGATGTGTCAGAGAGCTGAGACGAGTCGGCACCGAAGGCAAACCATTCGTCACGAGACACGGAAGCCCTCAGCGCGAAAGTAGCTGACGTTCTCGGTGACGAGCTGAAAGGTAGCAGCACATGGAGAGGACAGCGTTGATGATGATTCCTGTTCAGGTTGTTGAAGAAATGTTCTGACTGATGGCCGTACGAGAAGCAGTTACGACCGCAGCCCTGGGCATGAGACTCAGCGGGCAGGAGCACCGGATTGTTCGTACCTGACCCCCCTTCTGAAGTTGCTTGACCCTTGACCCTTGCATTCTTCTTTTCCCACCTTATTTGCCTCCCCAAGGGCCAACCCCAGGTTTACGAGGTACCGAGGTACGGCCTTCTGCCACCTTCCCCAGGCCCTCCACGTTTCCACACACAAAGACCGGCGCCACTCTGGGGCCAGCGTTGTTTGACGGCTTGGTACGAAAGGGAAGAAAAAGAAAGGGGGAAAAAAAGAAAGAAAGAAAAAATCTAGTTGATGGTGAATGCTAGCCGCTACTAGTTGTGTCAACATGCATTGAGAGTGAAGCAGACGGGTGGTGGTGGTGATTGGTGTGTTCTTTTGTTGAGTGCAACGCATCAGTGAAGTGAGATAAGCCCAGCATGTGCGTTGGGGAGGTACAATGGTGAAGGTGCTGCGAGTTTGCATCGTTTTACTGCTGCATGTACGAGGTACGGAGCTGGCCGTCACATGTACCAAGTGTTCCTGAGTATTCGAGTACCTCAGTACCTTTTCTGCTGACCCCCCCCCCCTTTTCCTTGCTTCCCTGCTCGACATCCGATGCCCAGCACCATAACTATTGACCAGGAGGCCCTAAGCTACCCCTGTCCCAACCTAGTCGTCGTTCACGCATCCCCCTTGTTCCTGGGGTCCCTGGCCTGGCTGATCCGACCCCAGATTGGACTCCGGACCTGTCTGGGGAACCAAACCCTCTGGCCAATGCAGTCCCCCAAATACTATGAAAGGGTGAAAAGATTCATAAAGTCGGTCGTGTTCCCTTTTCTCCCATCTGTTTGTCCTTCATCTCGCTACCTTCCTCCTCCTCCATCTTCACACAAACACACACAAAAGAGTCTCTGTCTTGGCACAAGCAGCAGCACTCTCTACTATCTTCCATCTTTCCTCCTACTAAACACTTCTTCCTCCTCGTCTCTCTTCGAGCAACAACCACCCCTCCCATAGAAACCAAAGGTCGCAATGACTGCTGGGGAAAAGACCGAGTACGGTCATGAGCACGACGGCTCTGCCGTTACTGCTGCTGGCCTCCACACCACCACTGATGTCGAGCGCATCGAGGCCCCTGTCACCTGGAAGGCCTACCTGATCTGCGCCTTCGCCTCCATCGGTGGTATCTTCTTCGGTTATGACTCTGGTTACATCAACGGTGTGGAGGGCGCTGCCGCCTTCTATAAGGCCGTCGATGGCGCCTCCGCTACTGCTCTCACCTCGTCCCACCAGTCTCTGATCGTCTCTATCCTGTCTGCCGGTACCTTCTTTGGCGCCCTCATCGCTGGTGATGTGGCTGAGTTCATTGGCCGCAAGTGGACCGTCATTGTTGGCTGCGTCATCTACGTCTGCGGTGTCGTTATCCAGATTGCCACCACTCCCAACAGCTCAGCTCTCGGTACCATGGTTGCTGGTCGTTTCATTGCCGGTCTTGGTGTCGGTTTCGAGTCTGCTATTGTCATCCTGTACATGTCAGAAATCGTGAGTTTTGACCAACTACCAGTCCTTTCCTCTGATCTAGGTGTTCCTTTGGCTAACCAAGACTTTGCTTCCCTCCGAATGTAGTGCCCTCGCAAGGTCCGTGGCGCTCTCGTCGCCGGCTACCAGTTCTGCATTACAATCGGTCTGCTGCTCGCTGCTTGCATCGTCTACGGCACCGAGAAGTTTAGCGACCCCAAGGCCTACCGCATTCCCATCGGCATCCAGTTCATCTGGGGCTTCGTCCTGGGTGTCGGTCTGCTCTTCCTCCCCGACTCTCCTCGCTACTTTGTCAAGCGCGGTCGTCTGGACGCTGCCACCGATGCCCTGGCTCGTCTCCGTGGCCAGCCCCGTGACTCCGAGTTCATCCAGGTCGAGCTTGCTGAGATTGTCGCCAACGAGGAGTACGAGCGCCAGCTCATCCCCAACACCACCTGGTTCGGCTCGTGGGCCAACTGCTTCAAGGGCAGCCTGTGGTCCGGCAAGTCCAACCTGCGCCGCACTATCCTGGGTACCTCTCTGCAGATGATGCAGCAGTGGACCGGTGTCAACTTCATCTTCTACTACTCCACCCCCTTCCTCCAGTCCACCGGCGCCATCTCCAACTCCTTCCTGATCTCTCTGATCTTCACCCTCGTCAACGTCTGCTCTACCCCCGTCTCCTTCTGGACCGTCGAGAGATTTGGTCGCCGCAGCATCCTCATCATGGGCTCCGCTGGCATGACCATCTGCCTGTTCATCGTCGGCATTATTGGTGTCACCGTCGGCTTCAACAAGACCCACACCGTTGGTACCTCCACTGTGGCTGACAACATCAGCGCCGTGAACGCCCAGGTTGCCTTTATTGCCATCTTCATCTTCTTCTTCGCGTCCACCTGGGGCCCTGGTGCCTGGATCGTCATCGGCGAGATCTTCCCTCTCCCCATCCGCTCTCGCGGTGTGGCTCTCTCGACCGCCTCCAACTGGCTGTGGAACACCATCATCGCCGTCATCACCCCCTACATGGTGGGCACCGACAAGGGCGATGCCAACATGAAGTCCAGCGTCTTCTTCGTCTGGGGCGCGCTCTGCCTGTCCTCATTCGTCTACGCCTACTTCCTCATCCCTGAGACCAAGGGTCTGTCCCTGGAGCAGGTCGACCGCATGATGGAGGAGACTGTAAGTTCTCACACCACAACTATTACTACCTTCGTTTCTCTAGAATGAGAATGCTAATTGTTTTTTTCCTTTCATAGACTCCTCGCACATCTGCTGGCTGGAAGCCCACCACCACCTACGCCGCTGACCTGTCTGCCCACACCGGCAAGATGCAGCACAACACCGTCGAGGATATTGAGAAGAGCTCTGCCTAGATTTCCAACATCAGGTCTTGCTCCGGACACTTGGTGTCACCTACGCATGGTGGCATTTGGTATCTGTAATCTTTTCTAAGACGACGACGAAGCATAAGGAGGATGAATGAGTTCTTCTGGGTGGAGTTGGTTTTATGATTCCCTTTTTTTTTTCTCTAAAAAATCTGTAATACCCATGGGTTGGTCACTAGGGGCATTGGCGCAAAGAAGTTTATGAACGAAGATAAACGTGGATACCCCATCTCGTGGACGTTGGGTACGATAAAGCTGAGGTATAGCCTCTTAATTCCCATCGTGGGAATAAACTATGAATAGACAGAAATAAATTCTTCTACTTCAACTTACTTTTCTTCACCCAATTGGATTTTCTCTTGTGACGTCTTGAATTTGTAATTCCATTGGTCAAAAAGTTTCGCACTTCTCGCCCGGCGGAGATTGCGCTCCACGGTCCTGCAACCAATCACCTCTGTAGGGAAGCCCTCGGTCACTATTTCAGCTGACAATTTCGTTGAACCGAAGGATGCGAGAAATGCAGTCATCCTTTTTAGCCACATTATCGGAGGTGGTCCAATTGCTGTCCTGATGTCACCTCCTGGCGGTTTTCTTGCGGATAGTCTGCGGAAACTCCACAGCATGCGACTAGATGCTTGGTAGCGACACGTTGCACTCAAGCACTGACTCACTCCTGAAGGGTGGTTATGGGAAATTCTGACTGATATAGGGAGTTCAATAGAAGCTTTATCGATCTCCGTTACTTGCGTGTTGGTATGGGTAGGCTCATCCTCTGCGGAAAGCGTGCGTAGTCGTCGTTGTCGAGGCCCGTAGATATAGATTCGATGGTACTTGTTGTGCAATCAGTGCAACCACGGCTAGCTGAGGCTTGTTTCACATCTTTATTTTTTGCTTGTCCATGGGTTCTTTAGAAGGATCATTTTATTGTTGTGGTGACTGAGGTTGATCGCTCGCAACTCACGCTGCATATATTCCCACCAGCAAACACTCTCTTCTATTTTCTCTTATATATATATATGTGTGTGTGTGTGTGCGTGTGTGTGTGTGTAAACCCTTCCTGGATCCGAAAAACCATCCTGAACTAATGATCAACCATAGCATATGGCCGGTTGTAAGATGCATCGGGCTGGGCAGCATCGAGCATGCAGGTCCAGCAACCACGCTCACATCTCCTCTTCCATCTCCATCACTCAGCCCTTTAGCTGACCGCCCCAAAACAGATGGCTACATGTCCCTTACAACCCACGCCAACCCAATTGAACCACCCCTCCTCCTCTACAACTACACCCACTATTGCGCCCACGACTCAGCCACCCACCACCCGAGTATTCCCCACCACTTCCGAAGGTCTCTAATAACCCGATATCATCTTCACCTGCGTAAGCAACAACGCCGCCGTCCAGCAGACCTACGCCACCCTCACCAAAGAGTAACACTTCACAGGGAGAATCCTCATCGGCACAGAGACCGCCGCCTCCGAGACAGCAGATACGGCCGAGGCCCTGGCGCGCGCAGAGCCTTTTCCTTTGTCGCCTGCCCTGTCCTCGACCCTCTGGCTGCTACCGAAGCGGGCCCTGCTGCTCACTATCCCATCCAGGGCCATCGAGAAGATCAAGCCCTGCCTGACAGGTGGCACCAGAAGCAGCAGCACCCGAGGCATGTTCGCCCATGCCCTCCTCTGCCCCTTTCCCCGACAGGCCTGCAGGATAGCACTCATGATGAGGGATCGTGACCAACACTATCAACCTCGGCGTCATAGTCCAGCTGGCGGAGGCGGTGGCGTATGGGGCTGTGAGGATGGAGGCTGGTTTGAGTTTTCGGTTTGAAATTGGGTTGTGAAGGGATGACTTTTGGATCGGCGGAGGGAAAATGAGATTCTGCGTACTTGCTCAGCCAGAAGAGATCGGGTTTTCTTTTTTTTCCTTTCTGCTGCTCCTAATAATGATTTGATTCTTCAGTGATGGTCCAGTGACGAGCATTTGCAGAATGATTTAATGGCAACATAGGTATATATCATCTGAGAACATATTTAGTGTAGCAAGAAGAGAGCTTTTTTTCTTTCTTTTTCAGTAGTATAAGCCCCAGGTTGTGTAGGAATGATGTCGAAGTACATGTAACATAAGTTCGTGACTATAACTACACGAGGAAGGAGGGCGTCAGTTGAGCATATCGACTGAAAAAAAAAAAAAAAAACTAGTCTTCAGCGAATTTGGCAGACAGAAATAAGTGGTAATTGTTAGCACTAAATACTTACACCTCACCTCGAAACAATTAGAGACTATAACGAGCACCGAATTCTGTCTTTCAGTATGGACAGTAGTAATCACTGTTTTATCGTGGCACTACTGAAGTTAGTCACCCAATACAGCATACTACACTGGAAACGCCTCATGTCTGACCCGCTCAGTTTAGACTTCTTATTAATTGGTCGTGGGTCTTGTTGGAAAGCCGGGACAAGCTGATCTTGGAATCGTGCATCGAGTGGATCGACTAGCGGTGAGGTTCTGTAGTATTCCACAAAAGGATAACGAGGAGATCCATATCACACGTCTGTAGCCTTGCCATGTATGTAACTATAGCCTCCTACCTAATGAGAGTACAGATTTGACACAGGTGACTGAACCGAAGTGGGCAGAAGGAGCTGGTAGCAGTTCGCAAAGCCGCATCAAACTTTTGCCGGATAGCTAACCACTTGACACGTATGCCATAATGAGGATTGCGGTTATCACATGCTTTTAATTGGAGCCGATAATGTTTGCGCGGCATACGAAGTGTGTAGTGCCTAAGTCCGCTGACTCTGTTAATCTTGTCCAAGCCCCACAAGTCTCTCCAGTGTCTTTCTTCTTCTGTCCTCCTGATTCAACATCAAGTACATCCCTACCCAGTCGTTTGCTGACCTGGGTAATTGTCGCCAAGCCTGATTCCCCTCTTGAAAGGAGTTCCCTTTATGTGAATGCGGCTCATGTAACGCAGAGTCTTGGCCTGCGCAAGCTTCACGACCTTGGGGGGTTTATCGCTGGACCGGTCCGAGGCGGGATCTAGTGTGTTAGAACATTGAAGGAGAGCTGGGGAGGGATTAAGGGAACAAAAGTATGATAGGGGGAAAACGATCTTGGCATGAGCCACTGGAAACACATCCACTTTTCTTTCTCACTTCGGAAACCCGTACGACAGCCGAGGAACAAGTCCGGATCTCCGGCAGTCCCACAGTCCTATCAGGGGAGGGTGGTCTCTTGACCAGTGGATAAACAGGATGGGACCGCATGGCATTCTGAAAAGAGGTCTCTCCCGACCCCTGTTTCTTCTCGCAAAGGGACATTTTCTTACTGTTTTTGCTACTACCATATATAGTGTGTATTATGTAGTGTACTGTAACGACGTCAATACCCACACACAAGCTGCGATCGGCCTTGCATATTTGATAGCTAGACGCGTTCTTACGTGTCCCCCACCCTGTTTGAAACCTTGCACCAACGAGGAAAGGCTCATTATGAAAGGAGTGGCCCCCATAGCCGAGACCATGTGGGAAAGACCAAAGACCCTTAAACCTCGTGCGCGAGATTCTCTCTTGAAAGGGGGGAGGGGGACAGAGGGATGAAAAAGAGCTAAAAACTTAGAAAGGAGGAAGCGGGAAAAAACCCTAAGGGAGTAAATATTTTGAATTACTGAAGAAAAGACAACAACTATTCTCTTAAGCTTATCTTGGCCGTTGCCTCTCTTCCTTTATTCCTTCATGCCTTGTTTCCCATAGCGAGTCGCTATCGATACTCGTTGGGAATTTTCCCCGAGTGCCGATAAGAGCCAAGATGTTTGCACTCTCCCTCGTCCTCCTCCTTCTCCTCAACCTTGCCGCCCTCGTAAGAGCAGACGAGATCCACGAGAACTACACAGCCTACAACGCAGCCGAGTTCGGCATCTTCCCCAACAATGTTTTCAAGTCGGTCAACGCCAGGACGCCGCAGCTCCAGGTCAACATCTGGAACCGGACGGCCATGTCCCTAAGAGGATCACACATCTTCCTCCGACACGACGGGCATAACTCGGGCGTCGCCTCGCCGCCCCGGGACTCGGGCCCTCTGATCCTGCGCACCGACGACCTCAGCGCCGTCTACATCAACCGCACTTTTGACGCCTGCTTCAACGTGCGCGTGCAGGAGGACCGCGGGTCTGCGTACCTGACCTTCTACGGCGGGCCCATGAGCGGGATTGGGCTGGGCGACGGATATGCGCATGCCTTTGACCAGACGTATAGGGAGACATACCTCGTCGCGGCGCAGAAGCTGAGGGTGAAGGCCGACATCCACGAGTTCGAGATGACGGGCCACGGGACTGCGCTTGTGACGGCGTATGAGCTGGTCCCCTGGGACTTGAGCGCTTTTCTGGGGGGCACACTGCCCTTTAGGAGGGTGTATATAAAGGACAGTATTTTTCAGGAGATCGATCTCGATACCAACGAGGTCCTGTTTCAGTGGCGGGCTTCAGAGCACATTAATATGGGAGACTCGTACCAGCCTGTGGGAAATGGCCGGTCTGGGTACGTCTTCTTTTGCTTTTCTTTTCTTCTTCTCTTTCTTTCTTCTTCTTCTTCGCCAGCCTTGTATTCTCGGTGTTCCCCTCCTTCTCTGCCGCTTTCAAGGCCCATTTCCGTCTTCTAACACACACCCTCTCTCTGGACACAGCTGGGACTTTTTCCACATCAACAGCATACAAAAGAGCAAAGCAGGCAACTACCTCATCTCAGCCCGCCACATGCACGCCGTGTACCTGATCAGCGGCACAACAGGCCAGATCCTCTGGACCCTAGGCGGCAAGGCCAACGACTTCCTCGAGCTCCCCTACCCCGAAGGCAAAAACTTCACCTCGCCCTTCCTGACCATGGCCTGGCAGCACCACGCCGTCTTCTACCCAGGCACCGACGAGAAAGAAATGACCATCTTCGACAACCACGTCATCGACAGCGACCTCAAAGTGACGGGCTACACAGACTGCGTGCCGGGGCTCTGCTCCCGCGGCATCCACATCCGCCTCGACGCAGACGGCGAGCAAAAGACGGTCCAGCTGTTGCAGGAATACCTGCACCCGTCGGGCCTGGCCAGCGTCAGCCAGGGCAGCGTGCAGGTTCTCGACAACGGCAACGTCTTTGTGGGCTGGGGGCGGAACCCTTCCTTTACAGAGCACACGCCGGACGGCACGTGCGTGTTTGACGTGCAATTTGGGCCCTGGCGCATCTGGCCGGATCGCGACCAAGGGCTGGATAACTATCGTGCCTTCCGGCTCGACTGGATGGGCGCGCCGTACTGGCCACCTGATATCGCGGCACGGCGGGGCGAGGAGCACGATGATGTGGATGTCTGGGTGAGCTGGAACGGTGCCACTGAGGTGCGGCGCTGGGCCCTGCTGGGGAGTTCCTCGCCTGATGATCTCAATGGTGCCGACAAGATTATGCAGATTGTCGAGCGCGAGGGGTTCGAGACGCAGTTCTGGGTGCCTCTTATGCCGGAGGATATCACGCATGTGCGGGCTGCGGCGCTGAATGAGGCTGGAGATGTTATCGGGTCGACAGGGATTGTGGAGCTCAAGTCTGGGAATGTTCTTGTGGCTGCATATCCTGTGACGGAGGTCGAGACGTCAGAGGAGCCCGAGGAGGAGCAGGAGCAGGAGGAAGCGGAGGGAGAGAAGACAGAGGTTCCAGAAGGTACGCTTTCTGTCAGTCCTGAGGAGGAGGCCAGCAGTGACTGGTCGATTATTATTTTGAGGTTGGTGGGTTTTTGTCTTGGAATATGGCTCCTCAAAAGCATCTTCTGAAGGCGTATTCTGTTTGCATTTGGGTGCTTCTTTTTTTTGCTTTTTCCTGTCTGCTCGTTGATGATACCAACCGGAGTTCTCAACCATTAAATATCTGTCTATTGTTGGATGAATGTCATGCCATAAAAAAACCAAGTATTCATATCAGATCCACAAGATGAATGGGGAAGGCCCAGGTGAGAGGTCCATCAAGCCTACGATGGGACTCACTTACAGAAGAACAACCAAGTATTGGGACTGAGAAGTAACTATTAGAAATGAAATGATGGAATGTATATATGAGAGGGATGATTCTCCCTTCCTTCCTTTTCTTCAAGGACCTTTCTGAGGTAAGATTGAGTGGGTTGAGATCATATTAACTTCCTGCCGCGACAGTGGCTCAGTCTACACGAACACTTGACTAGCTGGCTATCTTTCATAACATTCCAGAAGAAGTCACTATAGAGCTTGATATTCGCCAGATAGGCTCACCTACAAATTTGTATACTTGTAGCTATAGCGAGGTGCAAAAAAAAAGGGTGTCATCCAAAGCTAGTTTAGACTATAGGCTACCCTACTCAGCCTAAAAATTGATAACCTGATAGGAGAAGCCTCTATGGCGTAGTGGTAGCGCGTCGCACTTGTACCATGTTCAATGCGAAGGTCTCTCGTTCGATCCGGGATGGAGGCATCCTTTTACTTTTTTTACTGTTACAAATTTTGAAATACTAATCCTCGATCGGGGATGATTTAGTCACTAACAAGTTGTAGAATGTTTTTTTTTTTTGTGCCAGCCTTGTTGCAGCTTGATGGGGCTGTTGATCGGGGTCGGCTGGGTGGACGCATGAGGGCCACGGTACAGGTACGAACATGACGGAGCAAACCAATTTCACCCGGGATTAACAATAGTAGATAAAATATGAAAAGCGTTGTAAACGTCGCTGATCTTTGTCTATGCTCCTCTTTGAGGGATGCAAGTCTAATGCACGCCACTCTATCCATGCTGTCAATGCAAGTCACTCTTCTAAGGACTTTCTTCCTGCCCTCCTGGCCCTTCCCCTTCCCCTATTACATGCCACACTAAGCCAAAGTGTGCTTTACAATAAAGTGATACAATGAGTAAGTGACACACAGAAAAGAGCCCCCTCCCCCCTCCTCTAATTTCACCCTAGCTCTTCCACGTCGGCACCACCTTCTTCAAGAAATTCATAAACTTAAACAACCCCACGGCGTACTCGACATTCCCCTCAGGGTCAACCACGCGCTCGGGAAACGCGATACCAGCACCATACAGACCCGGAATCGGCGCGCCTGTCTCCTTGTCGGTGAAGGCCCCCGTGACGTGCTCGAACCTGGGCGACACCGTCTTCCCATCCACGCGCAGCACAGGCAGCGGGTCGGCCTTGTACCCGATGGCCTGGCAGGCGTAGTTGCAGTCAGCTAGCTCACGCGCGTACGTCTCCTCCTCATCGTCACGGGTGGTGGCGACTTTCGCCAGGTGGGCCGACACGGGGGAGGCGGCGAGGACCTCGGGCTCGAGGTTCTGGCGGGCCCAGGTGGCGACCTCGCCCTTGAGGCCGGTGTTGTCGCGCAGGATCCAGCCGTCGCGCTCCTCGGCGTAGCGGAGGGGGTGGCGGGTGAACCACTTGATGCGCAGGTGCGGGTGGGTGGTGGAGGCCAGGTTGGAGAGGTTGCGCAGGACGAGAATGGCGGAGTGGGAGGCGCCAATGACGGCGACCTGGACTTTCTCGTGGCGGGGCAGCTCGGAGAGAAGTGTGGGCGAAAGGCCCGTGTCCAGTGGGATAGGGGCGCAGTGGTGGTCCTGGACGGGTAGGGGGCCGGTGACCGGCGAGGAGCCGGTGCAGAGGATGAGGCGGCTGGCGTCGACCTGGGTGGCCTGAGAGGAGGAGTCTGATGGTGAGATGGTTACGGTCCAGGTTGACTATCCGAGAACAAAAAGTGAGTCAGCGATTTGAAGTTGAGATTTGGACAAGATGAATGAGTTTGCGCGGTCAGAAAGAGGAGAACTCACGTTTGACCATGAGGCGTCGGTCACCCTGCCCTTGTGCTTGAACACCTCCTTGCTCTCATCCAAGCCTTCGGTCAACATCAGGCATAGGTCTGCTGCCTGTGCAATGTGACAAGTCTTTTCTGGATCCAGGCTGAGGAGATGGCTCATGGCGTTGGGCTCTGGTGTGTCCCTGGCGACCGCCTTGAACGACTCGACCCCTTCTGCATATTTGGTGAAGAACTTGACCTTGGTGTTTCTGGGAAGAAGAAGAAAGAGAGGGAGAGGGACAAGTCAGTCAAGAGAAGGAATGAGTAAGGGAATGAGTGAGAAAGGGAGGAAAACTCACGAGGGTACCTCACGGTAGTGCTTGTTCAGTCTGCCGCCGTCGAACTCGTCGTCGACCCATAATATCGGCTTCTTCTGCAGGTCGAGCAGGTTACCAACGACGCCGATACCACCCGCCCCGGCACCAACAACCACAGCCTCGTACCTGCGGTCGCTAGAGTACATCCTCGTCCAGCCCTGTGAGCCGTGAAACTGTCGCGGCGGCGTGATGGTTCCCATGTTGGTCGTAGTGGAGATCCTGGCCCCACCTGCACGTACTAGTGATGATCGTGATGGTGATGGTGACGACGATGACGATGACGATGACGATGAGGAGGATGAGAATGGCCTATGGAGGAGGTTGTTGGCAGCGGTGATGGTGGTGGCGGTGGTAGTGGTGGTGGCTGATCTTGGTGTGTATCCGGAGCGGTAACTCGCAGTGCAACCTCGGGGACCTCCAACAGCTTTGGCATAAAGGGAGGAGGTCCTTGCAGGCATGGTCGCCGTTCTTAAAGGCAGCATGCTGGCCATTTTTATCATCCAGAACGGGAGAATGAGAGGACGCGACAACCCTGCCTAGGGAGTACGTATACAGTAGAATGTTTCCCCCCCTTCTTCCCTCGTATGGATACGTTCTATGGGCCCCCCACACCCACTCGTGGGCCGGCAAAGACAAAGATACAGTTTTCTCGTACGTCCTTGTCTGGTAGTCGTATCTTTGTAGGGTGTGCAACCACCTCCAGAAGGAATCAGACCAGATTAGCTTCTGTCTGCCTCTTCCCCGTCCCTGCTCCTCGGTCGTGATTTGATAGTCGGAACCCGATGTCGATATCTAGGATACCAGGTCGTGGAGGTAGCGCACAACGGCAGTCCCAAAATAGGATGTGCGTTAGTAAAGAAAACAAGCCTTATAGGAAGCAGCCGCAGATTTGCAACACAGCCTGCAGATGTCGTGATGCGTAATCGCCAGGTTTCAGGCAGGTCACGTGAAGATAAGATGGGACAGGACGAGCGGGGTTGGCGAGGGCGTGGAGGGCAAGAGGGGTAAATTGGGGGTTCCATGCTACGTTGTACAGAGCGAGGCCCGGGGCTGTTGGTGGTGCCTGCCTCAGCTGGTGACTAGTGTCTGCCCTTGCGGGCGGACGAAGGCGGTGGACGGGTTGCGGGCTTCCACTGGTCACCGACATTTCCCCCTTCCCCTTCTTCATGTCTTTTGGTGCTGTCCTCTCGCAGGACGGGCATTGCCAAAACAACCCAACAGCTCAACAACCGTGCAGCTATGCAGCCATGCACCCCTGCACATGCCACGGAATGCGATGCTGTCCTTCCCGACTGGGCCCTCCAAGCCAGGGTCCCATGAGCCCGTGGGGACTTCAGCTCCTTCATACACTGCATGACACCTCACAACGAAGCTGGCTGACCGTAAGGCTAGAGGCTAGATCCAGCATGGGATGGGAGGAGGGGGCTGGGGGATATTCGGATGTCGGTCAACACACTACAAGACTATTCTAACACACACAAGATGAAACACACCACTTAACCTCTGTCGACACGTCATGATTCGCAAGCAGGCAGGGAGGCCGGCATGACATGTTGTTTCTGCCCTCAGGATCTGGAACGTGGAGCCTGTGTTGTCGACATCGCCGCGGCCCTGCATGCTTCCTCCTCTGATCCTATTATCTGCCTCGCTTCATCCATGCAACCTCCATGGCCTTCTGTGCTGCTCACGATGATGGCTCCTCTGCCAACTTGGTGCAGTAGAGTCGACAATGGCGCACCACGGAGCAACAGCACATCGCTGGATCCTGACGCTGGGCGTTGACTATAAAATGGTCCACCATAGTAGTAGGTCTTTGTTCTGGAACTCGGTAAGGCAGCATCAGATTTCAGGCTTGCAGCAAATATCAACATGGCTGGCATAATTCCTCAGGACGAGCGCTTTGACTACGACTTCCTCCAGGTCTTCTCTGCGGGCCGTTATGGGGGTAGTGATGTGAGGGACTTGGCACTGTTGGCCCAGATCATCACGGCCGGCGACCTCGAGAGCTGGGCATGATGCTTTCTACGCCCTTGCGTAGCGCGTCGAGGCCCAAGTGGAGGCTCGGGTCGGCAGTACCCCAGACTCCAAGCTTACCAAATCCCAGCGTGTCGGCATCAGGGACCGTCTCTTCGCTGCAGCCTCGTACGACCGCTCCGCCGATTTCTACCTGCATGGGAAACCCGAGGATCCGCACATCAACGCCCTCTGGGAGCGGCAAACGGCCTGCTTCGACCGCGCCCAGGCCATGTTGGGCAATGGCACCCGGCACGCCCCTGAAGAGCGCACAGGGCGACTCCGAGATCCCCATCATCTACTTCAGCGCTGCCGGCTCGGGTCCTAAACGCACCCTGCTTCTTGGCAACGGCTTCGGCGGCGCCCAGGAAGAGCTACTGCACTGGAACGGCTTCGCTGCCCTGGAGCGTGGCTTTAACATTATCACCTATGAGGGCGTTGGCTAGTGCAGTGTCGTGCGTAGCCAAGGTCTCGCTTTATCTACAACTGGGAGCGTGTCGTGACACTGGTGGTTGACTGAGCTCCCGAGACCGCTACCCCCCTGGGTATAGACCTGTCTAGGATCGTCCTGTTTGGTGAGTCACTCGGCAGCTATCTTTGTGTGCGCGCCGCCGCCTTCGAACACCGCCTCGCCGCCTCGCCGCCATCGTCGCCTGCGATGGCCTCTGGAACTTCGGCGTCGTCTACCTCCCCCGCACTCCTTTCGAGGCAGTTGAGCTCTACCGGTCCGGGCATCGTGCTGAGTTCGACGGCACATTCAACAAAATTGCCACGAGCAGCCGCATCCCGAACGCGATGCAGTGGTCCCTAGACCAGACTCTCTGGTCCTTTTGCATGAAGTCTGCATCTGAGTTCTTCGACCGCGTCGCCAGCTTCACCCTCGAGGGCGTCATCGGCGGCGTGCGCTGCCCCATCTTCATTGGCGACGCCGAGGCCGACTGTTCAAAGGTCAGCCGGAGCAGGTGAAGGAGGGCCTGAGGAACAGGGACCATCTGTACCTGTTTGACGAGGCGTCCGCGTCAGGAGCGCACTGCCAGATCAGGGCGGCAACGTACTTGAATGCGGTCATCTCTGACTGGATCGAGAAGCAGTTCCAGGCGCGACATGATTGTGAGAGGACGTCAGCTCTGATTCAGAGGTGACGGATAATCCCCTTAAGGTATGGTGTTGGGTGGAAAGAATGGTTCATTATGTCATTATGCAGAGGCCATGCACATTCAAAAGCTGAATGTAGGCATATGTACCCCTTTTTGAGGTAAATAATCCCGATTTTTACGCACCGCACGACTTTGCACCCGGAACACTTGGCATACTATCCTTGCCAACTTCACCATAAAGCTCAAGTAAGTAGTCACCATTGCAAGTGAATCATCAGTCAGGATGAGTGGCCGCATGCGAAGTTTGTTGCTTATCAAAGTACGTACTGTAGGAATGTGATTCTGCGGGCGGGATAAATCCATTATCTTTGTCCCACTCTCTTGCATTAGAGGAAATGGGAAATGGTCTAAGATTTAGTGGCGTAAGACGTTTAAATGTCTAGCGTAAGACCTTTAAATGTCTTCCTTGTCCCAACAGCCACGATTCAAACTGCACAGAACAGGAATAGTTGCTGAGAACTGTGGTCATACAAACTGGTGAAGTCCTGAATCTTATAATCTATCAGAATGGGTTCAAGGGACCATAACAATTCACCTGGCGTATGAGAAAGACCCGCGTCTTTTGAGAAATGTATAATTATTTCTTTTTTGTCTTTTATTTTCGTAACCGATATTTACCATTTACCTCGATTTCAAAGTCACAAAGGGTATCTAAGCATCCGCAATCTTCAAAACAGCCTTGCCAAAGTTCTTGCCCTGGAGCATGCCCACGAAGCCCTCGGCGGCATTGTCGATCCCCTCCGTGTAGTGGACCTTGGCCTTGAAGGTACCGTCGTGGAGCCACCCCTGCAGCTTCGTCTGGTGCTCCTGGTAATAGGCAGGGCCGAACCCTTCGTCACCGACAATGAAGCCCTGGAAGGTGATCCGCTTGGTGACGATGTTGGCAAGGTTCTTGACACCGTAGCTCTCGGAACGATCCTTGATGTTGTATTGCGAGATCTGTGGAGTTTCATTAGGCATTAGTCTTCAGCCTCTTTTCGGTTCTGGAAAGTTTTTGTATTCTTTCGGGGGGAAAAAATGTGAAAAAGAGGATTTGACATAAGTACTCACCATTCCACATGCGATGACGCGCCCGTTGGTCTTCAGAGCATCCAGAGCAGCCTCCAGGATCTCGCCGCCGACATTCTCGTAGTAGATATCAATACCCTCGGGAGCGAGCCTCTTGAGCGCATCAGCAGTCGACTCCTTCTTGTAGTTGGTGACGGCATCGAAGCCGAGCTCCTTGAGCACGAACTCGGCCTTCTCGTCCGACCCGACGCTGCCAATGACCCGCAGGCCCTCGTGCTTGGCGATCTGGCCGACAATGGAGCCGACAGCACCCGCGGCGCTGCTGACAAAGATGGTCTCGCCCTTCTTGGGCTGGCCAATCTTATACAGCGAGGACCAGGCCGTCAGGCCCGGCATGCCCAGGGCGCCGACGAACAGGCTGGGCTCGAGGCCGTAGGGGTTCTGCAGCTTGCGGGTGTTGGTGGCGGCGATGAGCCCCTTGGACAGCGCGGCGTACTCGGCGATGGGCGCAAAGGCCACCACCAGGTCGCCCTCCTTGATGTCTGGGATGTCGGACTTGACGACCTTGGCGACGCAGCTGCTGACCACGGGGCTGCCCAGCTCGAAGGCGGGTGAGTAGGACTTGATGCTGGCGTCGCGCATGCGGCCGCGCATATAAGGGTCGAAGGAGGCCACGAGGTTCTTGACGACCAGGCCACCCTCGGGGACGGCGTTGAGGTCGATAGGGCGGTCTTCAACTGTGATGTCCTGACCCGGGACTGGGAGGCCCTGGGGGACCTTCTGGAAAACGAAAGTCTTGTTTGGGGTCGACATTGTGTTTGCTTTTGTGACTAAAAGCTTTGTGTGTGTGTGTGTGTGTGTGTGTGTGTGTGTGTGTGTGTGTGTGTGTTGGGAGGAATAGGGAGGGGTAATAGACGTGAGAGGTGCGTATTGAAGTATTTGGTGGTTGAGAGGATGATGAGCTCAGGCACAAGCACACAGACGTAACACGGTAGGGTCGTGAGCTTTTTAAGAGTATATAGGCATATCCTCACGAGTCATGGAATCGACAGATAAAACGCAGCATGGCAATCTATCCATAGTTAAGCACGCAGGTGCGGGGCTTCTCATCGTCGAATATGGAACATTCTGAAGACAGCATTGTGACGGAGGCTCCGCGAATGTGACGTGATGGATGAATAATACAAGCAGCTTCTTCCTGGCCCCACTATGAAAACCCCTCCTCCGATGGGAAAAGTTTCTAGGGGTGCTTCTATCCATCGGTCTCTTCCGTGTGCGAGTCTGAAAAAGGTCTAGGATGTTTTCGTGACAGAGCGGTTGCGGTCTTGACCGTTTTCTTTCTTCCCTCCTGGCCCGAGGCTGTCGATAGTGGGAAAGCTTGGTAATACAGATACAGTTGTGCCGAGGCCCAAAACCTGCTGTGGCAACGGGGGTCCGTCTTGTCTGGTGGACCTGGTGGTGGCACTGACTTGGGTGGCTTTGGCTTTGAACATCAACGTACCCTGCAAACGGATTTCGGCGTTCGATTTTGCAGATCCCGTCAGCTAAAAGCTGCACTGCTAAGGCAGTACTGGACGCAGCATGCTTAGATTCATTACTGTCAGTACAGATTGATCGTCGATGAGGACGATCGTATGGATTCTCAACATGGAAGATTTTTCTTTTTTCTTCTTCTCCTCCAGGATGCAGGTACCACTTGTATAGAGTTTGTGAGAGCTGCGGCCCGTAGTAATTAATAAGCTTCTCACTGCATAGAAAAATGTTGAGGTGTGCCTCGGCATATATTTTGTCTCAAGTCTCCAATTATTAGAGGCTGTGCAATAACTAGCAAATGCCCAGCGACGCGCAGCGCGGGCATTATACATTCCCATACAAAATTCCTGAACTAATATTAGACTCACTTCAGCGAACAAATACTGTCATCAAGCAAGATTTAACTATTACAGTATTATTGCGTGGAAGCACTTTCATCGAATGAATAAATATAATTCAGCTTCGATGGCGAATTATGAAAATTCATCCCAAGAGTTTTGGGTGCGGATTTAAACAGCTCTACAAAGACTCAGCTCTCCACAACTTACGCATGATCGTCAATCAATTACCTGGTCTATCACTGCAAACTGTACCGGCTCGTTCTACTGGTGAGAAATATAATGATAATTTTTTGATCATCATCGCAAGCGAATAGCACCTCGTCGTCATTTACGCACGATACCGAATCAAAACCATTGAATTGCAGGGGGAAAAGATTCATGTTGAACTATCTATAAACGCTGTTGTACTACACAATCGACAAAATGGTCTTCTCTTACTAATGATTAAGTGACTACTGTGAACGACACATTCTGTCTACAATTCCCTTTGCGTCAGACGCAATGAGCAGGGAAGATATCATCGAGATAAATCCCCTGATCTACGAGGCCTCAGAGGCCGCGGCCACGGTGAATAAACGGCCGAGGCGCCAAAGCGAGGATTCTCATACCTTGGCGGCGGCTCAATGATACTCTCGTAACTCGGCGGCGGTCCCATATCTTCATATTGTGGTGGAGGCGTCCTCGTCACCACAGCGGTCAAAGTCTGCAGTTCTATGCCCTCATCAGCTTGGGGCCCTAGATGCACAATGTTCGTTCTCAACCTCTCCCGCCGCGACGCACTCCCGGAGCGTGGCCACAGGCCTCGCAGTCCGCGCGTCCTCGCCTCGGAACGGCCGCGGTCCAGCCGGAATGCCGGAAGTCTATCATGGATATCATGGATGATCGTCGCCCTGTTTGTTGTTCTGTCCCGACTGTGTCTCCAGCGTCGGTCAATGAACTTTTGCCCGCACACTGCTAGTAGCAGTACGAGCCCACAGAAGAATATAGCTAGCATAGTGATCTCAGCAATGATCATGCCCCTAGAACCTTTCTTGTGCGGCTTTAGGTTGAATACTGGTGAGTTGGCAAGGAGGGAATCAGATGCATTCTTCATAAATACCTGGTATGCGTAGCTAGGGTTGAGAGTGGTGTTGTTGGCGGGAAGCTGATGAGCGCCCGGGAAGGGATACAACCACTCCGTAATTGCTTTTCTGGAGAGGTCAGCGGTATCTAAAGTAAACAAATTACCCTGTTAGTACCTCATTAAATCTCTCTTCAAGCTCACCTTCAGTATGGACGATATTGAAAAAGAGAGAACAAAGAAAAAAAATAAGAGGTAACCTCATACCGTTGCTAATAAGAAAGGTCTGGGACATCTGAGAGTCTGTTAGATGGGTGGTGCTATCACTACCTGTCAAGAAGATTGCAAACGCATAGTCTGCGTTTTCGGGAGAATCGCAAGTGACATTGGCTACGGCTTCTACGGTGAGGTGAGGTGGCTTCATGGTGGTGTAATTGAGTGCATCCGGGACAGCCACCGACCATTCCACACAGTTTTCGTCATTGCAAAGGAGGGATGTAGAGGTCACTGCGAAGAAATTGGTGCCCAAAGTAAATCGTAGCAACATCATAGAGAAGTAGTAATGGCCCATGATGCTAAGGTTTGTCCTTTTAGGTTTTCAGGGCTGATGCGACTACTTGTGAGGTCTCCAGTTCGTTAGTATGGCGGGAAGCTTATTTGATGGGAGGGAATTGGTCAAGTTGATAATGTATTGGAGGGAAGCCTTGGGAGTATGTTTGCAGATGGAATGTTGTATTTATAGTCGGTCGGAGTAAACGGACAAGTGCTTTTCTGGCTGTGATTCAGAACGCCTGTGTATGTGATACGCTTCTCCTCAGTCACAGTATATCGAGTTTCAGAAGTGCGGAGCATTTCATTAAATCACTCAGTAGTTTGATCATTCGACCTCCAGTGATTGAAGCATATTTTTCATCTTGGAAAACAAATGTTACATTCCAGGATGTGTGCAATCTGGCCAGAAAGAACCAACAGGAGCAAAGATTCAAGCTTGAGGTTACTACTCTTGTGCAACCTAATCAAACCCATATACAATCACACCAAGAGCAGAATTGTCCCGGTGACCGAGTTGCTCAGTCCACTTCTCTACTGATGTGAGTGTTGAGAGTGATGTGCTGCACCTACGCAGGCTCTGATAAACCCGATACCCAATGCCCACAGGAGTGACAGTGCGACAGTTTTGAATGCTGTTCCGTCCTTTTTTCTCTTTTTCTCTTATTTATTCCTCAAACTCAATTATCTAAGTTGAACGCCATTGGCCGTTGATAGGGCTGACCTTATTTAGCAGACACAAGGGAGAATGTCTAGATTTTCATACTGTTCCACCAGCGCTATGATGCTTTCAGACGAATTGCATTCCTATATTTAGCCAAATATCTATGCTACTGAAGTACTGAAGTGTCAGGTCTATAGAATGAATTCAATAGAGTGGAGTTCCCTGCTTGGCTTGTTAGCGTGTGACAGGCCTTGCACGGTTCAACTTCGGGTGTGGCATCGATTCGTTTTTTGAGCTGTCCAACGTGGCGCGGTGTTCTCACTAAGCAATCCTCCATGCGCAGAACCTCAACCTCTTCTCGCTCAGACCAAAATTGCGTGCCACTTATATGTGTAGCAATCAGCAGCCCGCCTCATCACCATCAGCAGCCAAGACGACAATCCTGAGTCAATTCAGCAGTCAGTTGATTATTGGCTTTTGCGTCTGGTTTTCAACCTAAAGATTTCAAGAATCATGGCTCATCGAAGTCGCCATGACCCTGGCCAAGATCCCTTCTCCAGCATGGGATACTGGGGCCCTCCGTCCAGCACAGCAAAGTCAGTATGCATCCTATAGGAAACGAAGGCATCGCGTTACGCCTGTGCGTCGACATGTCTGCCTCCGCCCCCCGTAAGGGCCAGCAGCGAACGCCCTCGGCTTAACTCTGACGACTGATGTTTCACTCCACAGCTTTTGCGAGGAGGACTACGCCATCACCAAGTACATAGCCGAGTTCTTCAATACCTTTACGAACCTCGCTTACGGTAAGCCATGCGCCGTGCACCAACCAGCCTCTTGACTCCCCCCTCAAGGAGGCGAAGTAGGTCACAATGATTCCAGCATTTTTAACGCGCAATCGACATCATAGTATACTACGCCTTCAAGATCTCACATCGGGATGCACGAAAAGGCATCCTCGGCGGCATGGACACAATGGCCCTCTCACTCCTATTCATCGGCATCTTCTCCTTCCTTTTTCATGCAACGCTCCATCGTGAGACCCAGTTCCTCGACGAGATGTCCATGTTCTTCCTCGGCTCCGCTCTACTACAGCCGCTCTACACCAAGGGATACGCCCCGAGGACGCAGAGGACCATCACCATCGTCCTGCTCTCCGTGGTCGTCCTCATCTCCGCCGTGTATCACCAGACCAGGATCGTCGAGCTCCACTGGGGCTCGTTCTTCATCATGGAGAACATGCTGTGGACGCGCGCGCTGTACCTGTCCTATAACCGCCCGCGGCCCGAAGGTGCGCCACCGGGGACGTCCAAGGTCTCGAGGCAGTTTTGGTCTTCGACGGGGACCATGGTTGTGGCAATCACGCTGTGGCTGATCGACCTGGAGTTCTGCCCTCCGCTGCGGGCGCTGCGGGAGGCTGTTGGGCTTCCGTGGGCATATCTTTTGGAGCTTCATGGGTGGTGGCACATCCTTACTGCTGTGGCCGCTGCGGGATACATTAAGCTTATTAGGGAAATTTGTCAATGATGGCGTTTGTAGTCTATGATGGCGGGCAGGGGGGGGGGGGGGAGTCAGGGAGCGAGGATGAAGAGGAATGGCGAGCTGCTGGGTAACATTACATTGCTATTTTTCAGCCAGCAGGGGAACATGAAGTTGAATAGATGAGAAATGCCATGCCTCTTGAACAAAACACCACATCAGCTCAAGCAATGTCAAGGAGCCTAGTTTTGATTACATGTTTAATGATTATTGCCGTGGTCAGCACTGAACAAGAAAGACTGAGAAGGCTGGACACCTGATGAGTAACAACATGCATGAGATTGGGGGGAAAAAGATTTGACGAATTTTTGGTGATGTACAGGCGATGAAGAGGCTGTTTGTTGGGCATGCCCAAGATGTTCATCTCAGTCATTGAATGCACTTTGGCCAAAAGAGCAAAAGATATGATCTACACAGGGATCGAACCTGTAATCTCCTGATTCGTAGTCAGACGCCTTGCCATTGGGCCAGCAGACCAATTTGATTGATGTAGAACCTGAAAAAATTCAAGTCTAAGTATGTTGACTGCGAGTGGAGTCCGCAGTTGAGAATTTTGGTGGAGTGGATACCAGCTAGTCCGAATTGGAACTACCGTTGTAACAATTGAGATGACGTAACAGTTCTTTCGCATTCTGATTCAGCAGCTTAGAACAGCTTCCCAACAAATGTTTCCAGACTAGTAGGCGCTCAAGTAAGTTGTAGAACTAAGACAAGCCATGGCCCTCAAAAACATGGTATTTATTGTATTAGTCTGAAATATGTGTGCTAAGATCCTGATGACCTTTGTATGCTTTGAAAGGAAGATATTATAGACTGATGATGGTAATGATTATGACAGCGGTCACACAAACCTCGGTGCCCCTGTACCCATATTGTATACTACAGTATGCGACATAGACCAGCAGCAAGCAGGCAGGGACACAGACTGGTCCCTACAGCCAGCAAGCCCAGAACGGTCTTAATCTTCCTGCCGCAGCCGCGACGCTGGTCGTACTGGCTGCAGCTGATGACCCGGAGCCTGTTGCTGTTGTCTGCGTGCTGGTAGAAGTTGCAGTAACACCCAGCCCCGTCGCGGTGCCGTTCGACCCCGCAGCTCCCGTCCCCGTCGATGACAAAGTCGAGTTGGAGCCTGACGCCGAAGCAGAAGAGTTCGAGCTGGATGATGATGCGCCGGCGGTCGCTGTAGGCGCAGTACAGTTCTCGGTGAAGAAGACGTAGTCGGCGCGGCACCCGAGACCGGCACAGGCAGAGTCGCACGAGAAGTCAACAAAGACGGTCGGGATGGCGTCGGGGCAGCCGCAGGACTGGGTTAGGGCTTCGACTTCGACGCAGGCGGGCTGCGCGCAGGTGCTGCAGATGCTACTGGTCAGGGTTACGGTGGGACAACCGGCCTGCTGGGCGCCGGTGGCGGAGGTCGTGGCGGTGGCGGAGGTGATCTCGGAGTATATGGTGCTTGATATCGTGGAGACTGGAACGGACGTGGTCAGGACAGCCTCCGCGGCGGTCAGAGTGGCCCTGGAGGAGAGTTTTGCGTTGTGAGCTTCTTTTTTTCGTGAAACAATAGGACTAGGAAACTATATGCAAGGACTTACGCCGATACCATCGTTGAGACGGAGAGGAGCTTCATGATGAGGGTTTGGAAGTGTGGGCCGCCTTCGTGAGACAGGTTGTGAGATGTCCTGGTCTCGCAGTTGCCGATGAGCACGTATCTGACACAATATTCTCGAAACACAATGTTCCAGGACTTATGCAGGACCAATGTTTCTCTGTTACCGTTCCATCCCTGGGTCTTTATGAGAGCTCATCTGTAATGCATCTCAGAGGCGCATTGCTCTCTGCAAGGTGGCAGCGTAATGTCACGTCATGACGTAGATGGCGTTTTGTTCCTGCGAGGCTGGACCGCGATCGACGACTTGGAGCCATCAGAGAGCGATCCGTATTGGACGAAATGCCATGCTGACCCTTGGCAAGCACAACGACCCCAGAATCTTGGTTTTCCTGTAAGCTGTCAGCACATCGCTACCACCTGAAGGAAATATTCCGAAAGTGAACGGGATCGCTCTCCAGCAATAAAAGTTGGCTGCCACAAGAGATGACTTGCGTATACGCTAAACTTTAATCTCCCGATTTTTTCGAACTCCCGAGAGAGAAAAGAAAAGGGAAGAAAATAAAAGAGAGACTATATCACTGACAAAAGAAATTTAACCAAAAATATGCGATAGTACACTGAGGTTCCTCTTTGCCACGTGGTCTGCCACTACATTGCCCTGATCTTTTTGCTCCTTTCACCGAGAAGAAGCTCAATGTTCACTGATCTCTAATGTCGTTCAGAGTGATTGGGTTTGTCTACTATGTCGTTACAGTAAGCGGATGGTGTCACTCGGGGTAAAGCAGAAACCAATATTAATCGAAACTATGAAAAACAGAATACAGTGCCATGCGGTACAGACGATCAGGACCTTGAGAAACACTGCCAGGTCATGCTGCCAGGCCCCCCCTGTAAGCTAGGGTACACCCTGGCATGCAGCAGACCAGGGGCTCGCGTGACACCTTATCAGCGGTCCACTGTAGTCACAGCAGTCACGACTTGTCCGTGCTTACTTCTCATCTCCAGCTCAAGTCATCGTCCGCCTCAACATCTCCTTCAACATCGTCACTCAAATTTCTACCTCTCACGCAACTTTTCACGATGGCTGCGTACAAGGGCTTGTGCCTCATGGCGCTCGCCATGTCTCTTTCTGGATCGACCGCTTCCTCTATCCAGCAGCAGCCTTTGTTTGCGGACTCGCAGCAGTCGCCGCTGTCCCCAACCTCCGGCAAGCCTCTGGTCGACAGCGAGGCATTACAGGCTGCCATCTCCGGCGACAACCTTGTAAAGAGATCAGAAGAGCTCTACAAGATAGCCAACCTCAGCTGGCATGATTATAATCGGCCGACGCGGGTCATCGGGAGCGAAGGTAAGAGGCCTTATTATTCTGTCCCTTCGGCATGAACCCTGGCGGTCGAAATGTCATTAACAATTGTACAGGACATCTCGGAACATTGAAGTACATCCAGGATGCTATTTCGAAGCTGGGGAGCTATTATAAGATCGTTCAGCAGCCCTTCCCGGCCTACTCTGGTAGCGTGTTCGAGTCACGTCTTGTGCTGGGCGATGCTGTAGCCAAGTCGGCGTCCCCAATGAGCCTGACTCCGCCCACCAAGGACAAGGAGCCTGTGCATGGCGATCTCGTCCTCGTCGACGAGGAGGGCTGCTTCTCCAAGGACTATCCTGCGAGCGTAAAGGGCAACATCGCCTTCATCCGCCGCGGCTCGTGCGCCTTTGGCGATAAGTCTGCGCTCGCTGGCCGTGCAGGCGCTGTCGCCGCAGTGATATATAACAGCGAGAAGGGCACCCTGCACGGCACTATGGGTACCCCACAAGATGACCATGTGGCTACCTTTGGCATTGACCTGGACGAAGCCCAGTCCATCGTGGAGAAACTCCAGAGCGGGCAGACCATCGATGCCATCGCATACATCGACGGGGTTGTCAGCACGATCGAGACTCGCAACATCGTCATCCAGACCGCAGAGGGCAACCCGAACAACTGCGTCATGCTGGGTGCTCACTCGGACAGCGTCGCCGAAGGGCCTGGCATCAACGACGACGGCTCCGGCTCCCTGTCGCTTCTTGAGATTGCCACGCACCTCACAAAGTTTAGCGTAAACAACTGTGTGCGCTTTGCCTGGTGGTCTGCCGAGGAGGAGGGGCTTCTCGGGTCCGAGTTCTACGCCTCTACTCTCCCCGACGACGAGAACCTCAAGATCCGTCTCTTTATGGACTATGACATGCTCGCGAGCCCCAACCACGCCTACCAGGTCTACAATGCCACTAACGACGAGAACCCGACTGGGTCCGAGGAGCTGAGGGACCTCTACATCGACTGGTACAAAGCGCACAGCCTTAACTACACGCTCGTGCCCTTCGACGGCCGCAGTGATTACGACGGTTTCATCCGGGCGGGGATCCCTGCAGGTGGCATCGCTACTGGCGCCGAAGGCATCAAGACACCCCAGGAAGCCGAAATGTTTGGAGGCACGGCCGGCGAGTGGTACGACCCGTGCTATCACCAGCTCTGCGACGACAGGGACAATGTCAACGCCACCACGTGGGAGATTAACACCAAGCTGGTGGCGCACTCAGTCGCCACGTACGCCATATCGTTCAAGGGCTTCCCCGAGCGCACTGCAGCTGCCCTGAAAGGGTCGAGCAAATACGAGGAGACGGTGAAATTCCGTGGAGATCGTCTATTTTGGTAGATTGGCATGTGTGTCTTTATAATCGTGTTTGATTCGAGCCCTTGACATACAAGAGAGAGAAAGTGAGCATGTTGCATTGGGTCAAGATGGGGTTCTCAAGAAGGACAGGAATCATTTGTTAAGTATAGAATAGACTAGGTCGAAATGGTAGATTACATCAAACAACTGTATTTGCCTCAACTCCCTCCAAGCAAAACTTATGAATCAGTTGCCCCCTCTCTTCTCTTTCCGTTGGAGTTCCCTAACTCAATCGCTTTTTACAGAATAGCAAACTCATTTCTCCTAGCCATAACTACTCATTATGCAGTGAGCAGTTGCTAGCGGCCTCTGATCAATCTACCTGACCCGACCGTGGACATGTCCACTGCCACAAAGTAATCACAAGAACGCCCGTGTAAAACCTCTGATTACTCCTATTCGATGGCCGGCACCGGGTCGGAAGATGAATCGGCCTCATTCTCGACCGTAGCAAGGCCAGTGACGGGAGGTTTAGGGAGAATGATGCGTGAGACAGTGAGCGTGGCACTGGTCGGCTCAATGGACTCGCTTTCCATCATCTCGTCCCCTACCGTAACAGGGCCGGCGACGTCAGATCTCGTGATGATAATGCTTGACACAGTGAGCGTGACCTCGGTCGGCTTGACGGACTCGACAGGCGTGGACTGGGGTGTCTTGGAACCCTTGAACTTATGACTCTTGGACGTCTTCGACTTGTGCGTCTTGGTCTTGGTGGGCTCCTCTCCAGGAGGCAAGATGGTCGGCAGCGGGAAGGGAGGGATGGTCAGCGCTAGGAACTCCTCCTCGAGCTGCTGCTGCTGCTGCTGCCACTCTGCATTCTCACGCTCTTCGCCCTCGGCCTCGTCCGCTGCGTAGTACTCATAGTCATCATCCTCTTCCGAGTCAGACCAGGTGGTGGGAAACACGGGTGGACAGAGGGCGTAGCAGTACTCCTCGAAGCAGTAGGCCTTGACGAGGAGGCCTGATTCCTCGGCTTGCTTGCACTGGTCGGAAGCCCAGGGGAAGCAGTCGGCGAGGTCTGTGCAGGCTGGACGGGGGAATCCGTCTTCAGTTGCTGGTGGAGAAAGGGGTATTAGCCGGAAGTTTTTGTGGGGCTTTCTATTAATTAGGATAGTCTTTGGTTAATACTTACGGGGTGGCAGGTCCTCAATGGTAAGGTCCATGAGGGGGCGAGGCTGGGGCGCTGGTGAAGCGACGACACCTGTCACTGAAAGTAAAAAGAGGAGCAGAAGCGTGATTTGAGACGCCATAATGATACTTGGCTGAGATTATAAAACTATTGTGCTGGTTCAGAACTAAGAAAGATAGCACACGGCTCGAGACTTGGAAGTACGATTGAGTTGAAAGGAGTGTGAGAGAGTTTCAACGTGGGACTCTTGCTTTTGGATCGAGCCAAGGCATATTTGTAACATCATCCTTCTCTCTGGCATCTTCACATGGGTAAATGAACAGCTGGATGTGATTACATCAACGAGATTCATTAGGCCAGAACTAATTAGGACGCATGTATGGCGCACTGCTTGTTTGTGCTGTTCTTGACATGTGCTTTGGATCATCACAGACACGTGCTTCCCAAATGTCAGACACATGTAATTCCCTTCGTAACTACTTGATCAATACTCTATAATTTCACTATTCTAAGCTTGGTCTAGTACTTCCAAAGCTGACTTGGTCGGCACAGTATCACACAACGGCGTGATCTGGTCCTCCGCCAACTCTCTCGCCACTTGCTCCGACACCTCATCCCATCTTGCTGTGGTATCGGCCTCAGCATCATACGCGTACAACCACCGGTTGCGCATCTTGACAGACTCGGGATCAATCTCCACCCCATCCTCCAGATTCTTCAGAGCATTATGCCATCTATCTCTCAGGTCCACCCCAGCCGTTTGGCTCTGGCGCGTCCGCCCAAACCTGATCTTCTCATAGACCCGCGTCTGGCGCCTTTTGTCAGTTCACACAAGCTCAGGAAGAAAAGGGAGAAAAAAGGCTACCTGAAAGAACTTTCACGTGAACGAACAATCTTGAAGACTTACCGCAAGCGGGATTCGATCAGGCCCAGCCAGCTTCAAACACATAGCCAACACGCCGGCGCTCTCAGTAGCCTGGCTTGCCCCCTGCGCGCTGGTCGGTAGATGAGGATGACAGGAGTCTCCCAGAAGCACGATCTTGTGACTGCGCGAGACCCATGTGGGTAGAGGGTCGCGGTAGCAGATCTTCCAGTCTAGCAGGGCCGGCGTCTTTTCGATGGCGGCGGCGATGCGGTGGTCGAGGGTGCGGATGTGGGCGCGGACATCGGCCAGGTCGCCTTCCTGGAACCAGGACTCTTTGATCTCCATGTCCTCCTCGTGGGAGAGCTTGCGGGTAATGATCCAGTTGAACTCTTTGCCGTTGCGGAGGGTGTTTTGGACGAGGTGAGTATCCTCGCCGATCCTGGAAGATGGGGTGATGAACGTCAGAGAAGTGATATTAAATCCCAATTCGTCTTCCAACATTTTGAATCGTACGACTTCCTTCGCCTCAGGCGATTTAAACAAGGGAAAAAAAAAAAAAAAAAAAAAAAAAGGGAAAAAGAAATTGCACCGAGACAAGTTGGACATACCAAATATTGACACAGTCGTGATCCACAAAATCCTTGCACAAAGGATCATCTTGCAGGTGCTCACCAGGGAAATACGCCCTCCAACAAGAATAGCCGCTGCTTTTGGGTGCATCTGCAAATCCAAGAACAAGTTCCCGTGCCCGACTCTTGATGCCCTCCGCCCCGACTACCACATCTGCCTCCTCGACCCGCCCGTCCTTGAAAGTAACGCTCGGCCTTCCTCGGCCCGAATCACCCTCCTGGAAACTGACCACCTCGCAGCCCATATGGATGGGAATCCCCGCCTCTCTCACCCCGTGTAGAAAGGCCTCGTGGTAGTCACCGCGGTGGCCGATGTGGCCGGCCATGTCCATCAGAGGCTGCTGTGCTAGGATCTTGCCGTCGCGCCACCGCCGGATCTGCATGTCCTCGGACTGGTTGCCGATGGAGGTGACCGAGGTGTACAGGCTGTCGCCGCCCCAGCGCTGGAGAAGCTTGAGCGCGTTTTCTCCCAGGCCCAGCGAGTCTCCTAGTCGGCGGAAGTTGGTGAGTTTCTCGTATACGGTGACATCGTGGCCATGGTGGTTCAGGGCCAGGGCTGCTGCACATCCGCCCAGGCCAGCACCGATAACCAGGACTGCGATAGCAAAGTTAGTAATTTGCTTGTTGTTATTTTGGGGTGTTGAGCAGGTTTCGAGCCTGTTGCAAACCTTTGATGCGATCCTGGCTTCCGTTGGTTGTGTTATTCATTGTTGGTCAACTTTCTCTGTGCTTTTAAAGTGAAGAGGATATTGATAATTGTGCTTTGATTCAGTTTGTAAATCAGCGATGTTACATTATAATTGTGAGTGGTATTGACTGGAATTGCCGCCAACTATTTGTGCATGTTTTGTCGTTTCTTAACAAGTTGGTTCTACAACCTCAGTGATTAAAGTTATCCCGAGATCGTAAGGACAACGCCATATAATCATAGCGAACTGAACAGACTACTTGTTTACCCCGCTGCTGCGTCTCTCCAAAGCGTCTTACCTGCGGGGTTTAGGAAGATTTGAGGCCCGGTACATACTGTAAGACGGGCTCTTGCCGCGATGGTGGGTTGGAGATGACGATCCACTAGCAACAATGCCCTCACACAGGAGAAACTTGACGCCGGGAATGACAGCATAGGCATGCTGTCTAATTAGTGGTTGAAGAATAGCCTAATCAAAAAGTGACATGGCATGTGGCCAATCTCAAAAGGATGTATTACCGTCTTCTCTTTTGGTCACCATTTTGAGTGTATATTGATTGAGAATTAAAACGAGAACAAAAGAAAAAGATCAAAAGAGTCAAAATGGAAGCCAGCAGAGAAGAACAACCTACACTCCCTCCCAGCCTAGAGGATGTTTACTCAGGTAGCCCCTTGCGGCTATCCAAAGAAGCCGACACAGTTAAGAAGCTACTAGGTCAGGGTCGGACGCTTCCTGTCAAGCAATCACGGCGATCGAGCCTCCGCTTACCTTCAGACGTGACGCTCGAGGCCTTCCAGGATGCAGTACAAGACCTCAAGACACAGATCGGCCCGGATAATGTCGTCGTGAACGACGCAGAGCAGCTTCAAGATGGCTGGTATCTCGAGTCCCCCAACACCCACGACGCCTTTCACATCATCGACCACGACGAGCTCGTCGCCAGCGCGCTCGTCTACCCAGGGTCCACCGAGGAGGTCCAGGCCGTCGTCCGTTGGGCCAACAAGTATACCATGCCCATCTATCCCATCTCGCTGGGGAGAAATCTCGGTTACGGTGGTGCTGCGCCTCGAATTCCTGGCGGCGTTGTGGTCGACCTGGGAAAGAGAATGCACTCAATTCTCAAGATTGATGCCGAAAACGCGAGCTGCGTCGTGGAGCCGGGCGTCACCTACTTCAAGCTCTACGAGGAGATCCAAAAGCGAAACTTGGCCCTCTGGATCGACACGCCTGACCTGGGAGGAGGCAGCGTCCTCGGCAACGCCCTCGACAGAGGCGTAGGATACACGCCGTACGGAGACCACTTTGCGAACCACTGCGGCATGGAGCTGGTACTGCCCAACGGCGAGCTCCTTCGCACGGGGATGGGGGCGATGCCAGGGCCCGAGGGCGAGGACAACCCTACATGGCAGTCATTTCAGCACGCGTACGGCCCTGCGGTCGAGGGCATCTTCTCGCAGAGCAACTTTGGCATCGTGACCAAGATGGGGTTCCACCTGATGCCGCCGACGGGCCACCAGAGCTACTGCCTGACCTTTCCAAGGGACGACGACTTTGGGAAGATTGTGGACATCATCCGCCCTCTGGCACAGCAGCGCATCCTCGGGAACATCCCACAGCTGCGTCATGTCATACAGGAACTGAACGTCACCGGAAACCCCAAGGCCACATTCTGGTCCGGCACGGGGCCCATGCCCAGAGAAGACGTTGCCAGCGCGTCAAGAAGCCTCCCGCTGGGCGAGTGCTCCTGGGTGTTTTACGGCACGCAGTACGGCACGCCCGAGTCCATCCAGAGCCAGCTCGACCTCATCAAGGAGGCCTTCACCTCGCAGATCCCAGACACCCGCTTCTTCCTGCCCCGAGACGTGCCGGCCTCGCACTACCTCCACTCCCGCGCCCTCGTGTGTGCCGGCGTGCCCGTGCTGACCGAGCTCAACTGGCTCAACTGGGTCCCCAACGGCGCCCACCTCTTCTTCTCGCCCATCGCGCCCACGCGCAGCCAGGACGCCCGGACCCTGCACGACATCATCGCCACCCTGCACGCCCGGCACGGCTTCGACCTGTTCCCCACGCTCTGCGTCGCGGGCCGGGAGATGCACTACATCGCCAACATCGTCTACGACCGGGCGGACCGCGAGGAGAAGAGGCGCGCCGTGCGGCTGATGCGCGACATGATTGCTGCCTGTGCCGCCAGGGGGTTTGGCGAGTACCGCACGCACCTGCTGTTTGCGGACCAGATTGCCAGGACGTATGGCTGGGGCGGACAGGCGCTCCTGCGGCTGAACGAGACTATCAAGGATGCTCTGGATCCCAAGGGGATATTGGCGCCTGGGAGGAATGGGATCTGGCCGAGGAGGTTTCGGGGGAGAGGCTGGGAGCTTGGGGAGGAGGATGTGGACATGGAGACGGTTGGGCCGCGGAAAAAGAAGGAGGAGGAAGAGGAGCTGGAGGGTGTGTGTGGGAATGGGGCTTCCAGCTAGTGAAGAATGTGTGGTGTGTGCCACGAAATGGAATCAATCTCGTGATTCTTGCATGCTGGCGTCAGGACGAGAGGGCCTTCTACGTCCACTTGAGTCAGTAGTGCATGTATGGTGTCCATAAACACCAGTGTTCATTGGTTGGGAAGACGATTAGATCCAGAACTAGGTGGCTACTGTTTTTTTTTTTTTTTATAGATAATAACCGGTGTTTGCGGCCATTCGGACATAACTTGACCTTTTCCTTTTCCCACCAGCGTGATATCGAGGTATGCAGAGGATTCAGACATCTCGATGCTGCAAGGTGTGCGTGACTTGTCACTTGGGCATTATAAATCCTACAACGTGGGTGAAGCGGACCTTTGATTGGAGCTGGAGCTTGAGACATGTGCGTAATGCCCTGATCTCCTGGCCACGCCTTCCATAGAGACATAAATCGTTTTCTTTTTCCTTTTGGAACAGGTTAAGAATTTTATTTCGTCGATGTTTAATTCTATAACATAGTGTATCTTCAGTGAAAAAACATGTCTTTTTTTTCCCTTGTTCTTTTGTGCTGAAATGGCCTAAGCGAGTGGGAAGCAGTTGCTGTAATGCATTATTTGAGGTTAAAAATGCCTGGAGCTTTTGAATATGGAGACATAAGTACTTACTATAGAACTGAGAATAAGTCAATATCACGTTCCTATATGTTTTCGTTCCCTGTCACTCCCGTAATGCTTTGTAATTCCTCTTAGGGCCAAATTTCCATATCCCAAGCACAGTAACAATCACGCAATTTGATCTTAGCAATGAGAAACAAACACCCTGCAGCTCCCACCCGGCCCAGCTGTAACCAACAATCGGATAGTGCGAATCTCGTCATTTCCCCCTCACATTGCCCACTACATTGAAGTCCAAAGAAAATGGGGAAAAAATAGAGTGGGTGCCTGGAAGTATCGCGTGGGACCGCAAGCTCATTTGTTACGAGACGAGCCCAAAGATGTTTGGGTGGTTCCGTCTTCTGGGGGGCTGTTACAGCCACGCGCCCATGCAAACATGGTGATAAGAAGATCTCAGCTCATTTACAGGCAGCATGGCGACATCCCACCCATGCAGTGCGGAACAGGGCTCGGATCTCGCTGTAAAACTCGTGGCATGTTATAGGGGCGAGCTCATTGTAAAGTTCGGCTAGACCTCGGAACGGAAAAGAATTATAGTACGCAGCCAGACCAACCCTCTCGTTTTCGAAATGGATAAAATGCGCCTTGACCTCAGGGAGTTCTCGAATATCTGGCCTTGTTGTTATTGTTGGCATCGTTGTTGACGACTTCAACGTCTTGTCGATGGAGAATTTCAACATATAATCTCCTGCTGCCGACGAACAACACCATGTCACCAGTCGCGTCTGATGGAGGCGACGAAAAGTCAGCCCAGGTGCTGTCGGGGGTGAACAATGACATACATTCTGACTCCAGTCAGGGGAAGAAATCTCGTTGGCATAATGTGCAGCGTTATATCTGGGACGACCCAGATAAGCCAGCTGCTGAGAAAAAGTTTCTTCTCAAGCTTGATATCTTCCTTCTGACTTATACGTGCCTTGGCTACTTTTGCAAGAATCTTGATCAAGGTATGGAAACTATATTCATCTCGTTGATACACCCCTGTTACTACTAATGCATAATTCTGCCAAGACTATCGAGTGCTGACATGTGATTGATATCTATAGCAAACATCAGCAATGCCTACGTGTCAGGCATGTCTGAAGCAATCAACATGGGCGGCAACGAGTTGACATACGCTGCCAATGTCTTCACGGCCGGCTACGTTATCAGTCAGATCCCCGCCGTCATTCTCGTCACCAAAGTCCGCCCGTCCTACATCATCTCGACTCTCGAGATCCTCTGGTCCATCTGCACCTTTTGCTCTGCAGCCGTCACAAACGTGTCGCAGCTCTACGCCATCCGCTTCCTCGTCGGCCTGTGCGAGGGCGCCTTCTTCCCGACCATCATCTACCTCATCTCCAGCTGGTACACCCGAAGCGAGCGGGCCAAACGAGTGACCCTGTTCTACTCGACTACGTCCTTTGCAGGCATGTTCTCTGGGTACCTCCAGGCGGGCGCATACGACGGCCTCAACGGCAAGCTGGGCCATTCCGGGTGGCAGTGGCTGTTCATCGTCTGCGGTATCATCAGCCTCCCCGTCGGCGTCCTGGGGTACTTCTTCAACCCGGACTTCCCGGAGAACACGCGCGCCTTCTACCTCTCCAAGGACGAAGCTGCCTTCGCGCAGAAGCGCCTCGTCGACGACGGATATAAACCGCTGGGCGCATCTGCGTGGACCAAGAAGAAGGTGTTCCGCATCTTTACGAAATGGCAGTTCTGGGTCCTGGGCGTCTCTTACTTCTTTGTGCAGAGCAGTTTCCCCTCGCAGCAGCCCTTCTTCGCTCTGTACCTCAAGGCCACCGATCACACTGTCTACCAGCGGAACGTGTGGCCGACTGGTCAATATGCTGTCGGGGCTTTTACGCAGATTGCGGCTGGGATCCTTTCCGACTCCCCGCTGCTCGCTGGCCGAAGGTGGCAGGCCATCACGGCCATGCAGGGCGGGACCATTTTTGCGACCATCGTTCTGGCTGTCTGGAACGTGCCCGTCGGGCTGAAGTACTTTGCCTTTTACCTTTCCTACACGGCTGCCGGGGTGCCGGGCCTGTACTACTCATGGTTTCCCGACCTGATGCCCGACGATCACGAGATGAGAGGGTTCATGACGGCCTTTTCGAATGTTTTCTCCTATATTAACCAGATTTGGTTCCAGGATGCGGTGTGGAGGACGTCAGAGGCGCCCGAGTTCAAACCCGGTTTTATTGCCTGCGCAGCTTTCGGCGTTGTATTGATCTTGACGGCTTTGTTGCTGCGGTGGCTGGAGCAGAGGGACAACCGGGGGAGGGTAAGGACGGAGGGTATTTCCGGAGAGGTAATCCAAGATGAGGCGGTATAGTTTCTTTAGAGCGAGGAGCACTGGTAAATGAACGTCGACAGAAGCATAGCTCTTGGATCACCAGACTTGAGTCTGGTGCCTCGTTGAATCCGACGAAGCAGGGATGACAATCACACTTCAATTACTCATTGAAGCCGAGCTTTTCCATGACATCGAATTGATAGCCTATTGATGCAAAAGGGAATGATTATATCTATGTGCTTCGTTTGGTATAGTCTCATAAAATTGCAATGATTGTCCGGGTTTGATAAGGTCAAAAAAATAACATGATGTGTCGATAGCCTCCCATTTATCATCATGCAATAGGACTGCGTATAGAACTCTTGACAACACCTGAGCATATCTATAGCGGCAGAACAGTAAAGTTGTTCGTATAGGTTGACCATCCTTCCGAGGAAGTGGGCTCTCCAAAAGGCAGCAAAGCTGCCAAACGCATTCTGATAGGCAATCAATTCCGTCAGCTCTAAGCTCCCAAATATGACAATCACAAATATCAGAGGGGCTGTCACGCAATTCAGGGGACACTCACACATAATCACCGGACTCAATCTGGCTTCCGTTCGCCAGCCCTCCAAACCACCAGTATTCCTCCGCCGCAATATCCACCGTTGTTCGGGGCAGGTCTGTCAAAGGGAATGCAATGGTAGTGTTTGGGTCCGCTGATGCATCGTAAACAGTGACCTCGCCCGAGTACGCCCAGTACGTGACTGATCCCACGTAGCCATCCTTTCCAACAACTGGCGGGTATGACCACTCTGACTCTGTCCAGTCTTGTTCAAAGATCTGCGCAAAAAGAGTTTCGTCAGAAAGTTTCTCACATGTTGCTAAGCTGGGGAGTCTGGGAGAACACGACAGGGAATGATTCAATTAAGACGAGACTTACATCCCACCGTAGCTCTTCGGTGCCCCATTGTGTTCGAACAAACAATTGGGGGAAGTCTTGCGAGGTTGTCGAAAGGTTGAATGTAAATCTTCAAGATATGGTCAGTCCGATGCATTGATGAAGGTAGTAGTACCATCCCAATGGGAGAAACGTCTTACGAAGAGTCGTCGCTGATATTGGTTGCGCTGAGCCCTGACACCACATAAGGATAGCCAGGCTGCCACTGATCGGCGATTGTTTCCTCAAGATTACCAGCAATACCTAAAAACAATCAGCATAGCCCAAAAAATCTCCAAGCCAGTTTCACGGTTATTTGGTATGAAAGGAAGGACATACCAAGATAGGGCACGGACAACGATTCACCAAGACTTGAGTTGATCTGGATCTTGCCACTATATAGTGGGAGGTTATCGAACCCTGTCGGATATGAAAATTCAAAGCTGTCAACAAGTTAGCGGTTGTGGGAGCCGAAAGCGCTCATGACATGGAGAAATATTCAGAGCCCAGGGGGTTCGTTTCCACTCACGACACTGTAAGAGTCTCCCCAGCTGCAAGAGTTGCCACATCTGGCAGTGAAACGCTAGGCTTGATCTCAATGGGCACCAATTCCACAAAGTCCACTGGCCTTGGTGTGGTATCGTCACTCGAATCAGCAGACAGCCAGGTCTCGAATCCCGCGGCGTCTTGGACATCGAAAGTATACGTAACCGATTCCTCGGCAGCGTTCGTGATCTCGACCGAGTGGGATGAGACGAAATCTGCCGTGTCATTAAGAGCGAACTTAGAATATGATAAAGATGACGTGAAGTCAAGAACTTTCGACGCGTTGATAATTCCTGTACCAACCTGCGCCGTGGGCGCGTACAGGCCGTAGTTGGTCAAGGTCTGTCCGTCAAAGTAGGGGAGAGAGTCGCCGCTGGTAATGATGCGCATCATGAGGTCGCTGGCATTGAAAGCAGAATTGCTGCTGCGGCCGCCAAACTTGCCGATGTACAGAGCTGCCACGCCCGCGATGTAAGGTGTCGCCATCGAAGTTCCACTAAGCACGGTATAGGCGTCGGTTGGATATGTACTGAGGATATCACCTCCAGGTGCAGCGATATCCGGCTTGATACTGAGATCGTACAAAGGACCCCAGGATGTGAAGTAGTTGGGCAGTCCACCGGTGCCTTCCGGGTTGGGCATGCCAACGAAGTAGTTATCTGCGTCAATAGTCGTGAAGTCTCCCGTCACTTTACCACCCGACTTGATGGTCTCGATGATGGCGGCGCCACTGTCGGCAGAAATGACGCCTGTGAAGCCTCCGGTGGGCAGGTATCCAGGAATGTCGGAGGGGTCGTCTCCAAGATACCACAAGGTGACATGACTGCCAGCGTTTTGGACGTTTGTCTGCTGAACACTGCTGTCGCAGTCTCCTACGCGGACCAGCGTGATATTGCCTTCGAGGTCGATGTCGAGAGGCTCGCACGCATCAGTGGTTGAGCTTGTGTTTAGGGAGAGGGCGTAGATGGGGAATCCGGCTGATTGGAAAGTGTTAGCAAAGATGATTTATAGGTGATGCTTAAAGCATAACAGTAATTCCGAAATGGCTATTCCAAGTCAGAAGCACAAGAGATATCCTTTCACAATTATAATAGCACCAAACTTCAAGAACAAGAATAAGCTGCTCCACAAATGAATGGATAGGAAGGGGGTGAAGACGAAAGAAAGAAAGAAAAGTGATCCTCAAAACAACCACCTCACGTACTGTATGTATATGGGATCGGTTCGAAGCCCGAGTAATAACCGACCGCGGCAGAACTCGTCTGGTTGCTCACTGTGAAGTTAGCGAGGAAGGCAATCTCAGCCGTCGTCTCCGCCTCGATCGAGGCCACGGCGAGCACGTTCTGCCCAGACGATCCGTCCGAGGTGTAATAAGGTCCCTCTACCCCGTCATTGCCTCCCGCAATGGTGACGATGACTCCCTGCTCTGCGATCCTCGACGCCACGACCGCCCATGCATCGCTGGACCAGCCGCCGGCACCACCGACACTGCATGTGATGATGTCTGCGTCTGCTTCATACGCCATGAGAAATGCTTCGATGAGTATGTCCTCGGTCGTGTCGTCGAGGTCAGTGAAGACTTTGTACGAGAGCAACGTGGCCGAGGGGGCAACCCCGACGAAGATGCCGTTGGGGGCTTGGCCCACAGCAATGCCCGACACATGCGTTCCATGGCCGATCTGATCCATAGGATCATCGTCTGGTTCAAGATCACATCCTAAGTCTGGCCAGCACCCGTCACCGACGAGGTCATAGCCGCCCGCGACCTTGCAGCCGGCTCCGAAGCAGCCTCCGAGGGCGGGGTGGGTGTATTGAGTGCCTGTGTCGACTACCGCGATCACTGCACCCTCGCCGAAGATGCCTGCGGCGTGTAGCTTGTCGACACCTGTTTGTGCATGCACTGAATAATTACTTGATGCGGCCTCGGCTGCTGCATCGACGGCAGTCCATGCCCGAGAAGGAACTGATGTGTCGAGCGTAATGATCTTGGAAGTCCATGTTTGCGCTACTGAAGTGAATTCTGAGAGCGAGTCAACATTTTGACTGATTGACTCGACACTGACGCCAGCAAAGACGTCAGTGTTGAATGTGCGAAGAATAGTGGTCCCCGGCTGCGCTGCTATGCTGTCCTGGATGGCAGTGTAGTCGGATCCCTGTAGTGTATGACTTGTGGTCAACTTCAAAGAGCATTCGTTCGTGCTGCATTAGAGCCTCGCTGACCACCTACTTGTTTGAATTCAATAATGTATCTCTTGGCTTGAGGCGCCGTGCCGTTGGATGCATTGGCAGGCTGGAATGTGCTACGGCGGCTGACAGCAAGCACATTGACACTGCCGAGAGACAGGAGCAGTAGGTGCGGAACTTTCATAATGTGAATTTAACTGATGAGCTTGATGTAAATGTAAACTGGGGCCAAGCAGCTTGGCTTGAGCACTGAAGATGTGTATCAACAACAACAGGATCTGATGTGTCTGCTGGATCCGTGATGAGTATTTTATATTTCTTGATTTCTATGGCAGCTTCTTCATCAAATGCCCTGCTTTCGGCCTCGGCACTTGAGCGTGTAAGTGAACCATTTTAGGAACCATTGACACCATCTATGGATTAGTGTTGACACTGGGGAAAAGCGTACTCTGAATAGATCAGATAATGAAACCCTCCGTCTCTGCCGACGTGCATCCACAGTTGCACGCGGAGATAGTCACGTTGCCGTCACTGTCATATTATGGAAGCGATTATTACCGGGAGATATTGCTATTGGGTCCAGGTTTGTGTTCTGGCTCTGATCAGAGTCGGCCCGCATCAATCAACTGGATTATGACAGGACGCACGTAAGATCATGTGCTATTCATTTGCTGCTATCTACATTGTGTGATGATTGTTAGGGTAGCAGTGACCTCAAGGGAGTATCAATAGTGGCTTGGAGATAAGGCTGCAGACCACCTGGTTGGAACAGGACGACAAGGGGCCTTATTAATGGTGAGTGCACACTATACATGCTTACACCATCTTTTTATCTTAGAAGTGAGGTGTTCATCATGGGTTTAGATATTCATTGGCATTTTGAAATCGACTCCGGGCTCGGGTTCAGACTGCACGTGGTGGACCGTCTACCCAAGCCTCGGCAGACACGGTAAGTAGCTGCGTAGCGATTCCTACCACACCGCATATGCAAGCGTCAGCATGCGACGAGATATATGCTTCAATACGTCAGAAACTCTGGACGCTGCTCTCGACGTTCAGTACATGGGCAATATACGGGTTCAAAGATGGCTTGCGCATTTCGTGGTTTGGGAAGTATTTGTGGTCACGTTGATACGTTGCTTAATTACACAATCAACAGGCTTTGAGATACAAATTTGTTTCTTTCACCCATAGCTACATAGCTGAGTAGAAGTCTCCCGACTTCCCAGATTCTGGGTTACTGGAGATCTGCGCGCCATGTCGGCTGTCCGGAACGGGAAGCTCGCGTGACCTCTCTCCAGCATATGCATGGGTTGCAGTACCAATGCTGCTGGGCATGCGGACCCTTTGATTGTTACCCTCCGACCGATAGAGAGGCGCATCTAGAGCCGCCCATCGCGTCAATGACTACCCGTCGGAGGTTTCTAAATTTCCTACTACAAGCATTCTGAGATATTCTTGCATGTAGAATACCGGTGTTCCGGCGGCGTCAGTGTATTCAGGTGAAGGTCTACCGAGGCGCTAGACTTGGCCTCGTGATGCGGTGATAAGTAGGAGATAACTAAGGCCAGGGCGCGATGCCTTACGCAGTCAGCGTCTAAAGCCCTGAGGAATTTCGGGTGCATAACCCCTTCTTCGGACGAGCAGGAGAGGAGGCAGCGGAATAGTATTGCGTATAGTGACGAGACATATATCAGGTCCCCAGAATCTCAAGTAGACTTATCTAACCTCAAGTAGACTTATTTTCAGTATCAAGTCAGAGAAGTGAAGGAAACTTCCGCGTAATTATCCTCTGGCTTTCGTTTAAAATATGTGGCAGACTTCCCTTTCGACCAGCTTCTGCAATGGTAGCAGGGCCGTGCAGTTGACCGTCTCAGAGAACGTAGAATTGTAGAAATGATACCTATCACGACTTCGTCTTGAACATTACCTCCCAGCTTCTTGACAAATGATGACTGTAAGGTGCATATACAGAGCAGCTTCCTTTGAAGGTCGGTTGACGATTCAGGACGTACTGTATAGTCCAACCTAGGGCTCTCCATGTGAAGCAGATGAGCATATAGGCTCAGGGGTGCTCGAGATGTGGAGGCATCTTGAGGCCGGCATTATACTGACGACAGAAAGCTAATGACCGCTGACCGGCTGAGCGATGCGTGCCATAGGTCGGATGTGCCCGACTCCATAAGTATTGAGAAGACTTATGATATATTCATGCCGGCTTACGTGTTTTGCCTAGGTGAATGCTATGTCTGAGTCTTGTTCTCTGACTATGCTGATTGACATGATCGTTCAAGATGCAATCTCGTCGTGACTTCAAGCTGTATGAATAGCATCTGCTAGGGGTCCTATTGCAAGGCCTGCATCCCATGGGCAGAGGGGCTTGGAACTTTCCCTGCTATACTCGTTAGACTGGTATACTAGTACAAGTCCAAGATGAATTATGAAGACTGTCAGGTTGAGAAAGAAGTCCCCCCCCCCCTCTCCCCTTGTACTTCATCTTGGTTTCCCCCTTTCCTGAGACTCGTTTAAGGGGAGAAAGAGGGTAAGGGAAGAGGGGGGAGGTGCTGCGGATGGATACTAACAATGTATTGCGTTCAGGATTTATTAGTCCCGTGGCGTGTCACGATCCGCTCTTTATCACCTTACCCCTGATTATTTTCCAGCACAGCTTCTGCCACATTTTATGCCTCCTCTCCCACCACGTCTCGTAACTCTTCCTGTACCTCATTCTCTGCATGATTCTGTGTTTGATATGGTGGCTGGATCTGTGGCTCGTTTTGGACCTCGCTCGGGAGCTCGATCCGTGATTCATATTGTGGCTCACTCTGGACGGCACTCTGAAACCCACTCAGAACCTCATGCCTGGGTTCATGTTCGGGTCCTGTTTTCGGCACGTTGTCTGCCTCTTCTTCTACCTCTTTCTGGGGCCTGCCTTTGCGTCGTTCGCTTCTTGGATCTCTTCCCCTATCTTGAAACCTCGTCTTTGCGCCGTGTCTCAAGGTGTATTTGATTTGGGCCATTGTAAAGCCAGTGGCTCTGCGAATCTCTGCTGGGCCGAATTTTGCATCTTTTGAGAGAATGATGATGCGACGACGATCTTCTTCCCGAAGTTGCTTCGTATGAAGTCCTGTTGGCCGTGTCATCGTCGTCGCTGTTGGCGTCGCAGCCGCCACCTTGGTTGCTGGTACTGTGTTGATTGGAACGGGAAAGGTCTAGAGACACGCGATTGCAAGATTGCGTAGGAAATAATGGGCAGGTCTCAGGTCAATGTGGCTCGTGCATCGGGGCACCAGGCACTTGACAGGGGCATTTTATTCTTAAGGGCTGGGGAAGTGGGGGCGCGGGCGTCCTGCGAGCTCCCGCGCAGAAGGAGTTTAGGCCCAAACTGCCTGCCGTTACTAAATCGAAGCGAGATGGGTCTACAGATGCGACGTCACCTCTGGAGGCTGATGATAGCTGCTGAAGCTTGGACGGTAGATAAACCTTGACAACATCTACCAAAAAACAGCCCAGGCGCAAGCTGTGAGACCACGACCGCGACACTGACCACCTCTCTGCTTTTCCTTCTTTCCGTACAGAAGAATGGCACCCGATACCCTCCGGACGAGGTTAAAAAGCCGCGCTATGAACTCTCAGTTCCTGAACTACATCTACCGCGCTGGGCGAGCTGCTGCATATCCCGTCCAAGGCATGTGGTACTTTGCACGACATCGCGAGTTCTGGCCGTTATGGATGGGAAGGCTGCTACCTCTGTCTATCATCTCACTGATTGTCTATTTGATACTGTTCTTGTTCGCCTACTTGCCTCAAGTTGGCTTTCTGGCGATCTGGCAGGGCAGCGGAGCATGGGTCAATGCTCTGATCTTGACGCTTGGAGAGGGGCAGGTCTTGATTCAGGCACTGTTCGAAGGCTTCTTTGTGGATGAATGCCGAGTGGATATCTTTGATGTTCGTTTTCCAATGTTGCTGTCTAAGATGTCCATTCGCACTGAATGCTAACCGAGCCTCATAGGCAACCTTGATCAATGAAGGTCTCGTCGACCTCGTGGCTCCCCAACGTCTCCTGTTTCCCGATGCACCTAACTCGGTCAAGATGCTGGGCAAGCCTACCTCACGCGCTGAATATGCCCCTTGGAGCTTCACCCAACTTTTCGAGCTCGTGATTTACCTCCCGCTCAACTTCATCCCCGTTGTCGGCTCGCCGGCCTACATTATCATCACTGGCAGCAGGCTAGGCAAGTTGAGCTTCCACAGGTGGTACAAGCTGCGCGGGCTGAGCCGGCGCGAACGCAAGTCGGAGGCGAAGAAATATACGTGGGACTTTGTCTGGTTTGGCACAGTGGCCATGGTCCTTGAGCTGATCCCGCTCTTGGCATTCTTCTTTCTGTTGACGACTGCCACTGGGTGTGCCCTGTGGGTGTCGAAGCTGGAGAAGAAGGCCAGGGGCTGGGGCGCGGACGATCAGGTGAGGGCGGAGGAGGGACAGGTCCGAAGTGATGGGGAGGGGACACAGACTGGGCCACAGGAGGCGAACGGGAGGACGGGTGCTACCGTGGATGAAAACGAGCCGCCTCCCCCATACTCGGATGATCCAATATAGGGTGTTGTGAAGCTAGTCCGAGACAGCTCTCAAATGGCATTCACCGAGCTGCTGTTGTTCCTGGGGCCTATTATCCCGAGAGGCTTGTGTCTCTGTAGTGGATGCTACATCCATTGATAGCAAGCCTTGCTCTCCAGATCTGCCTTGCTGTTCATCAACCCGGTCGAGTCGAAATTCGTACTTGGGACTGTGTGACTGGGACAGAACATTGAGCTACAGCCGACAAATGAAAGGAGCCTTGTGGGAGCCCTCTCGATATCTCGAAGATGACAGCTGCTCAATCTCCTGCAGCCTCAGAGATTTTATTACAACAAACTCGACAAACCTAGGGATCTTTTATCCTGTCTCCTGTGAGCGAACAATGAAGAGACTCTTCTAAGTGATGTGATGATCCAATGAGAGGATCAAGTGTGTGTGTTGGGGGGAAGGGGGGAGAGGGGAACATGACCTCTGGAGCTTTAGACCTACTGAGGATATGAGACTTCACATGGCGGACTGTAGCTAATCTACCTGGGCATGTTACAGCAGTATATTATCTTCCGAGTCTCACAGCACAAGATGATGCACTTCAAACGAGATCAAAGGCTCTTACAAGTGGCGAGTGGTGCAACCGGTCGTGCTCACTTGAGGATTTCTCTAGCCTAGCAGCATCATGCCCTCCTCGATTAACAGAAGATCGCCAGCCAGTCCTGTGATCAGTCTAGAGGCGCTCAGAGACTGCCCGGATTGCTGTCATTGCTCATGCAATCAGGGCTGGCTAGCTACTTCAGTTATTGGTCTTCCGAGGAGTAACAGCAGGAGCAGGAGCTCAGCTCACTTTCCCTTGAAGCCCTGTGTCTCCGGAAGGTCAGCAGACATCCTTGCACCTGCATCGCGGATCTAAGGACGACATCGTCCCTTCCCTCTTCATCGACGTCCCACTGCCCACCAATTACCTCCTGCTTCAATCTTCCCTCCTTCCCTAGACATTGGACATTCGCTGGGCAGAAACCTCCGGCGGATCTTATCGTCATGTTCCTTCCCCTTCGACTCTCCTTCTCAACAGTCTGACTCATTCCTCTTGTCTAAAGTATCTTTGGAACTCTCTTTTCCCTCTCCCCTTTCCTCTTCACCATCTCCTTCGTCCTTTCACTCAACCGTTTCGATCGATCAATCCCACCCTCCATCGATCTCACACTTTCCCTCCTTTCACAGCCTGAGCAATCTACACCGTCATTCTTTATTCTTGAAAAGATCTACCTTTCTTTGGCTGACCGCAAAGAAAGATCATCGCACGGGCCGTCACTCCGTAAACCTCATCAGCACTCGCGTCGAAGCATCTCTTCTCGCCCATTGGCTGTTGAGAGCATTCAGTATGCGTGTGGTTGCGTCGTTGGGTGCCTTCGCGGCCCTGGCTTCGCTCGTCAGCACGGCCGCTGTGCCCTCTGGGTAAGTCCGTCAGACACATCCTCTCCTTGCTATCATTACCAGTCGAAATTGCATTCAGCGGCAGCACAGAGTTCTCTGGCAAACCAACACGCGTTTGCGTCATAGTACCGACCAAGACCTAGATTGTGACTGACGTTGTTTTGTTTCTTTGGACAGTCGCGATGATGCCACCTGCTCTGCAGAGGCTCCAGCCACCGTGTACATCACCATCAGTGCTGCTGAGGTTCCTACTACCTCTCTCGGCGCCACTGCCATGAGCATGGTCAGCACCGAGACTGTCGCTCTTGAGACTGTCACGGTCTTTCCTTGGTCTGCCCCTGAGACTGGTCCTGCTAGTCCCTCCTTCACCTCTTACGTGTCTGCTTCTGTTTCTGTCTCGGAGTCCACCTCTGTGGTCCCTCTTTCTACTGGTAAGTCGGTATTTGCTCACATTAATTCCCTGCTCTTTGCTGTTGTATTGCAACTTTCCCACTGACAGATTGCTACTGATTCCAGTGTCTTCCCCTTTCGGATCCATTTCTTCAACTTCGATCTCGGCTCCCGAGACCCCAGTGGTCCCGGCTGCGGCTGGTGTGGTGTCTACCTTCTTGCTCACCACGACTGTTACGTCTGGGTACACTCCGCAGGTTATTGAGACAAGTACTTATACTGTCATCGAGACGCTGGGTGCAGTGGCCACCCCTGTAATCAGCATGACTCCTGCAGGCACTACAATGACTCTTCTAAGTGGCACACCAACTCTTCCGAGCGTCGGGCATCCATCTTCGACGAGCACTGCTAGCTTTACCTTGACTTTGGAGACCATTATCCCAAGCCCAGAAGTCATCTCGCCCACCAGTGGTACCAGCTCCTCCTTTGAGATTACCTCGTACGGTTTCGAGACATCTTCTATCGTGTTGACCTCTACTTCTCCTCCCTCGTCATCGACCACCACAGAGATCCTTACAATTACAATCCCGCGAGGACCTAGCTCGCCAGCTGAGGTCATTACCATGACGGCGACTGCTCTGGTCTCTGTTGGCCCCGAGCCCGGACCTTCGACTGTCACGAAAACTATGACAGTCTCTTCTGGCACAACCGAAGTTCCTTTGGCGCCGCCGACCCCGATAGTTTCTGATGTTGTCATGACATACACAGTCCTGGCTGCTGATGGAGCTCCCTTGACCACTATGACAATGACCACGGAATACACATACACCCCACCAGTGGGTGTTGGAACGTCGATGATCACCGTCTCAACAGTGACAGCCGTGAACACAGTCTTTGTCACTGGCACCGGTCAGTGGTCCCCCTATCCATTACAAGTGAACTCTGTCACTAATGATCTTCTCAGTGCTTCCACCATTCCCGAACACGACTACCCCATTCATGGCCACCATCACCCCAACTTTACCAGGCACGACTAGCTTTGCAACCACGTTCCCTTCACCCCCCGTCAATACCACCATTACTGCCAGCCTTGAGACAGCCTCCATCAACGGCAGCGCTGCAGCCACTAGCATTATCGTGCCCGTCAACACCACAACTCTTGTGGGTCCTCTCCCCACGGGTAATATCACCTCCTTGACTCCATCCATTCCTTCATCATCCGCTCTTGTGACCGCCAGCGTGGAGACGATCACCGTGAATGGCACAGCGGTGGCGACAACCATCTTTATCCCTATCAACTCCACAACACTCCTGGCTCCGGTCTCGGGTTCTTCCACTATCATGTCGCCAGTCCCGACCACCAATGGGACTGGATCTCCGTTCCTACCCCCTGGAACTGAGACTAGTTTATCACCATCGTCGACATCCACCACCGTCGTGCTTCCTCTGAACTCTACCACTTTGGCATTGCCAGTGCCCACAAATGGGACTGCTTCGGTCACCACAAGTGTGGTTGTGCCACTCAATTCAACTACTCTGGCCTTGCCTCTCCCAACCAACGCGACGTTGTCAGGTAATCTCACAGCTCCCACCACCTCCCCAGCCGGAGCCCAATCCCATGCTGGTGCATCCGCCACGGCATCTACCAACGGTACAGTTCCCACCTCTGCTCCGGCCAACGGGACCATTTCTGGACACGGTATGTCATCCATCACCAGGCCTCCTGGAATTTCCGCGCCAACAAATACTACTATCTTCACTGTTCTCCCAAGTGGCTTTTCATTATTTCTGACTGACCCTTACAAACCAGCTGGTCCCACGGCTCCTCCCAATGGCACAGCTCCAGCTCCAGCCCAAGGTGGCCATGGCCAGTCCGCGACTCTCAACAATACTATGCCTATTCCGACTGCCAATCAGACGACAGCAGCTCAACCGACACAAGCCCAGGGCGGCCAGGGCGGCCATAGCCAGTCAGCCCCAGCACAAGGTGGTCACAGCCAGTCCGCGGCTCTCAACAACAGCACCACTCTTGCTCCTACTGCCAACCAGACCGCAGCGGCTGGACCCAGTCAGCCGGCACCAGCACCAGCTCAGCCAACACAAGTGCAAGGTGGCCAGGGCGGCCAGGGTGGCCATAGCCAGTCCGCTCCAGCACAAGGTGGTCATAGCCAGTCCTCAACCTCCAACAGCATGACACCTGCTCCGACTGCCAACCAGACAGGATCAGCCGGACCGAATCAATCGGCACCAGCTCAGCCAACACCACAATCCCAGGGTGGCCAAGGAGGCCAGAGTGGCCAGGGTGGTCATGGCGGCCAGAGTGCTCCAAGCCAAGGTGGTCAAGTTAGCCAAGGCGGCCAAGGACATGCAAGTCAAGCTGTTCCTACCCGAACCGCCCAGGGACAAGGACAAGGACAAGGCCAAGGCCAAGGTCAAGGCCAAGGCCAAGGCCGGACGACTCCATCCGTGCAAGGTCAGTCTTCGTGAGAGCATGAGCTGCTGCTGCCAGTGCAATAAGACCAGACTAACCCTTTCAAAGGTCAATCTCAAGGCGCCCAAGTTCAGTCTCAAGCTGGTCAGGGACAATCTCAAGAAGGCCAACAACAATCCCGAGAAGGTCCTGGTCAAGGAGGGCTAGATCAGTCGCAGACTGCTCTGGGCCTGCCACAATCCACACCTTCAGCCATGCTCACAACGCTTGTGACCCTTAGTACGCTGAAGCCGCGGGACTCTCCAGGCATCCAGGCACAGACCATCCGGCCACGGCCTACAACAGCCGCCACATGCGGCAACCCTGCTGATCAGAGTGAAAAGGTGCTCGACGTGAGTTTATTCATTCTCTGCTAGTTTCATCTTGGTTGGCTAACCGGGACCAAAGTTTGACGACCTGATCACTTTTGATGATTTGTCGCCCAATCCTATCTACGGTTCCTATTCAGGTCTTACTTGGTCTGATGGGTTCAGAGTCATTTCAGCTTCACTCTGTCCCTACAACGCAGCATCCGGAACCCACGTGGTCGAGTTTTCAAGCCCAATGAATGAACAGCACGTTGCACAGGTCGGTGCTGGAGATCTCAAGGCCAATCCCTCCTCATTCAACTTCATCAGTTTCCGTGTCGGTTGTGCTTCGAACGATGCCGCTTGCAACTTTAATCTCACAGGCCGCGCTTGGGACAACGACACACAGACTGAAATCACTACTTCTTCTCATACATTTACCACATCGGCTTGCCCGGCTGAGGAGGATTGCGATCTAAGTCTACTGGAAGCGGACCAAATCGGCGAACTAACCAACCTCACTTCACTTCTTTTTGATGTCACCGCCGGTGGTCATCCACAGAAGTGGTGGGCTGATGACCTGACGTTCACGTGGACCGACTCTTCTTGCGAGGCTAATGTCCGCCGTTCTCAGGATCGAGACGGTGTCTCAAAGCGTAGTCGTCGCCACGACTTTTCACGCATTCGCGACGCCCGTATGTGAGGATCATGCGTCACCGATATGTTTCTCATGACGAGATGTCAGCAAGTTCTAGAGATCATGGTCGGCGTCTTGCATCACCGTCATACTCGAGATAATTGGTGTTCATCTTGCGCTTTTGGAAGTCATCTCACTTGGCGGATGAGCGTACACTTGTGGTACGAATTTTGTTGATGTCTCATTCCAACTTAATGTATTTTTGTCGGAAGAAATCGATGGACGATCATAGTATGGATGGATGAGATGGAATTACAGCATCCTAATCAAGGTCTTTGTGATGGTTGCGAGGTTTTTACTTGTGCAGAGCCCATGTCTCCACCCAAAGTCAGTCTCCATATGAGAAGGCGAATAACAACTTTGTTTCCATTAGTTTGAGAAGAAACGATTGTTGAGGATGGCATTTCTGCTATCAATGGCTGACATGTCCAGTCTATTTTGACTCGCAAGAGCCTCTACAGCGTCGTGCTGCGTTGAGGTATCCGTCATGATACAAGGACCTTTGTCAATGGCGCTCACCCGCTGGAAGAGGACAACTATCTCACCATCGGTCAATAGACCATCCTCAACTTTCATGTCAGTAGTGCGATACTCATCAGCCAAACGAGTCTGCCAACACGAATGGTCCCAACCTCGGTCCATTCATGTTCACACAAGTGTCAATGCCGCCGAGGTCGGCTTGTCCCGGCACTAAAGAACGACAAATTGAAATACTGTCGTGTTTAACAAGCCGCTGCATCATATCCCCTTGCCGACACCGTCATGTGGCCGGGAATAACGCATGTCTGCCACGCCCTTCACTCGAGCGAGGAGAATTTCCTGAGAAGCGACTTGGGGATTTCCGGGGAAACGGGTCGTGTCTCCACCATCGGCCCTTGCAAAAGAGTCAGTCCTCACCGACTTCGCGGCGCTCACGGTGCAAACGATCGGGATTTACTCCTTGATTGCTTGACATCGTCTCGTGTACACCGCAGCCGGGTGGGTCTTTGCTCATTTGCGCGCCTGTGTCTCCCTTTGCCGAAATTTGTTTGCCAGCCTTCTTGCCCAAGGCCAGACGGTCACTTCTTCCGAGTCTGCTGCGTGTATCATCATCTCCTTTGAGTCATCTGAGTCTGTGTGAAATAGGCACGTGACGGTGAAAGCGAGGTTGTCATCGCCAACTGAACAGCTTTGTCTTTCTCTTGGAATCTGCAATGAAAACACTTCTATAATACTACGACCAAGTACCTCTTCTCGCGTGTCTCTGCTGAGCATATCGCAAGTATTGTGTCTAAATTGCCTTTGGGAGCCTACTTGAGGTGCCTCCGAGCCTCATTGGTACGAATTTTCTGTGCTCGCTCACCTCGCGGGCGACCGGCAACACAATGTCCAGAGACTCCTCGGCGACGAGTACACCCGGCGACGCTCAGAAAGTTGCCAAAGATGCCCTTCAACGAAATGTCACAGAGGCAAGCCCTGGAACAGAGAAACCAGCCATTGACATAGAGAAACAGGCGCATCATAGCGGAGGGAGAAGAGATTCAGATGTTCAGACCAGCCTAGGGATTCCATCCGGGGAAGACGAGGGGTTTGGTGATGATAGCAGTCACACAACAGAAGAAGGATATGCGAGTGAGCCGCGGCGGAGCGAGAGTGTTCGTGGCGGACTTGCCGGTGTTGTTGGGAGGGTCGTCAGTCGCGCGTCAACGAAGAGCTGGAACCCCGGACCGCCGCCTGATGGGGGCTTGAAAGCATGGACGGCTGGTAAGTAATTCCATCTTGTTCTGTTATTTCTTACTGTTCTTGATGGGCTTAGTTATCACACGGTCTTTGAATGATGCTCGATTAGCTGAAGAATTTCGTTTCCCCCATAGTTGCCTGCTCTCACCTCGTCGTCATGACTTCTTGGTATGTCCAACGCATTCTGGAAATATAGATGAAGTCGAGACTGACGCCATCAATATCGCAGGGGTTACATCAATTCATTTGGATTGTTCGAGACCTACTACTCCACCACCCTCGGCCTCCCTCCATCTACCATTGCGTGGATCGGCTCCATGCAAGTGTTCCTCCTCTTCTTCATCGGCACCTTCACCGGCCGGCTTACCGACGCTGGCTTCTTCCGCCCCGTCTTCGCCGTCGGCACATGTTTCACGATGTTGGGTATCTTCACCACTTCGGTGTGCACATCGTACTGGCAGCTCTTCCTCTCGCAGGGCGTGTGTATGGGGGTTGGGAACGGCTGTCTGTTTTGCCCAGCCCTCGCTACCGTGTCGACATATTTCCACAAGAGGCGCAGCATTGCGCTCGGCATTACAGCGTGCGGGAGCGCCACGGGTGGGCTCATCTTCCCTGCCATGGCGAGGCAGCTTCTGCCGACTGTTGGGTTTGGGTGGACCATCAGGGCCATTGGGTTTGTGCAGCTGTTTGGACTGGTACTTGCAAGTCTCGGGCTGAAGACCAGGGTTCCTCCGAGGAAGTCTGGAGCGCTGGTCGAGTGGGCTGCGTTTAGAGAGCCGGAATACAGTTTCTATGCAGCGGGAACTTTCTCAGTAAGTATATTTGCCCTATTTTGGATATGGAGACAGGTACTGGGCTAACATCAATGGCAGTGCTTCTTGGGAGTCTATATTGCCTTCTACTACATCGCCTCCTTCTCCCGAGATATCATCGGCCTCGCCTACTCCGACTCCCTCAACCTTCTACTCTTATTGAACGGCGTCGGTATCCTCGGCCGTCTCGCTCCTAACTACATCGCCGACAGATACGGGGCCATCAATGTCTTTGTCCCAACAGCCATCATCGCCAGTGCCTGCAGCCTCGCCTGGATCGCTGTCGACAATCCCACGGGCCTCTACGTCTGGACCGTTTTCTACGGGATCGCGTGCGGCGGAATCCAGTCACTGTTTCCTGCGGGCCTGACCAGCCTGACCACGGACCTGCGCAAGGCCGGCACGCGGATGGGCATGGTGTTTACAATCAACAGTTTCGCCACGCTCATCGGCCCTCCGATCGATGGGGCGCTGATTAGTGCTTGTGGAGGGAGGTATTATGGCGCGCAGGCGTTTGCTGGGACCGCATTACTGGTTGGGGCGGGTTTTTTGACGTGTGCGAGGTTGGCGAGGACGAGGAGGGTTGGTGGTGGTTGGAAAGTGAAAGTTTGAGTATACAAAGAGAGGGATGCTTCATGATAGTAGCATCGGGACTTGGGCTACAGGTTGTACACTACCATCATCGTCGAGGGAACATAAAAGAATGCGGTGGCTTTAATTGGTGCATACGTCTTGTGGACGATCCAGACGTCTTACTTTAGTCGACTGAGAACCTCAAAATTGAGCAGAAGAGGCCACGATTTGTGTATATAACACAAGGATGATGAGATGGCAGACTGCAGTGTCTGGAGGGTCATCTTTTATATAATGCATACAGCGGGCAATTATTCCATGTTCTTCATGATAATTATCTCGCATCTTATCTCTTCGGGCCCTGCAGCAATAACCCAAAGGCGCCCAGCAGTTTGTCCAACACTTCGGTCTGGCCGCCAGCTATGTCCTCCAGGACTGTGCGCCTACCGGATTCACTCGAGTTTTCAACAACACGAGACGCATCCTCCTTGCTGTCGACCTCAGCATAATAGACCATCGATGCCCCGCCTTCTCCGCCGGAGTATGGCGGGAAGGGATCCTGACCGTTCACGAAAGTGAGCAAGTCACTGGCCATCTTCTCAGCGCAAGCCCTCTGCCCATCACTGAGATACTCGTTGAAGTTACCCAGCACGATCGCTGCATCCAGAGCATGGGAGGCATGCCCTTGCCAAGGGCCAGCCCAAGGGTTGGGCATGTTGAAGTGAGTCAAGAAGGACTTGGTGCCCAGTCGTGGCCCGGCTCTGGCCCAGGCCTGTGCAGTTGCCTTGGCACCCTGAGCAAACACGATATCGTTGATGAAGTGGAGGATCGGCAGCCTGTCGGGATTTGCTTCGTCGACACCGTAGCCACGCAGGACGGCCTGTACTTTGGCAGCGTCATCGGGGAAGACGGCCTCAAGAGACGATTTCAGCGACGTGGCCAGATTGTCGGTGCGATGTGCCAGCGCCGTGATTCCGATAATCATGCCGTCGAGCTGGGCATCTCCCATCATGATGGACTTGCACCACCCGACTCCCGGAAACAGAGACTTCAGGGCGTCCGTGTCGGCAAGGCCTGTCAGGGTGGGTGTCACCTTGATGGAGTGTTCGTCGACAACGGCGGTCAGTGGGAACCCTGCGCCGTCCAATTTCTTGCGTAGGTCCTGGGCTGGGATGTCGAGGAGGGCTTGGACTTGCTCCGCTGGTGGTAGCTTGTCGAGGCCCAGGGCGCCTATCGCAATTCCGTATGCGATCTCAGCCACGTTGATTGGGATCGGCTGGATTAGAGGGCTGCCGCCTAATGCCACCAGCTGGCTGAAGAGTGGCTCGTTGGCCTGTAGGTGGTGAAAACCAGCCGCTAATAATGATAATTGCAGTCAGCCGCAGCCTGATGACAACAAGAGACACTTTCTTGGGTGCGAAGTAGTGATGAATACTCACCGCCGCCAGCACTGCTCCCTAGATAAGTCACCCTCGTTGGGTCCCCACCAAAGCCAGAGATGTGTTTCTGGACCCAGCGAAACCCGAGCTTTTGGTCGTCCAGCCCGTTGTTGGGCTGATAACCGGCCTCTCTCAGGGCTGAAGAGGTCAAGAAGCCAAAGATGCCGAGCCGATAGCTTGAGGAGCGTGGCATGTTAGCATACTGCAAAGTTCTCGACTTCATGTGAGGACTTTGAAGGGAAAGAAACGCGCTTACTTGATGCCAACTGCGATGGTAGGTTTTCCGATCTTCACGCTGTGCGCAACCAGTGCAGCAAGATCGTACTGGGGCCAGCTCGCACTCCCCGTGACGAAACCCCCTGATCGGCCAAAGAGTGTTAATTAAAATGTCTTTCGCAGAGGCATGGGGCGAGATGAGAGGACCATTGGTCACTTACCTCCATGGACAAAGACAACCACGGGCAAGGTTTGATTTGTGGTCCTCGAAGAGGGTAAGGATACGTTCAGGGTCAGACACTCGGTCTCGCTAAACTCATACTCTGGATGGGGCAGAGTGTGCTGGAACAATCGATGTTCGCTGTCACAGTTGTTGGGATTGGCAATGGGAAGACGTCTGTTGTCAAAGTCGGCGGATCAGTCCAAGAAGATGGATGAATAATGCGTGAGAGAAGGGGCATAATTATCTAGAGGCTGGGACGTAGAGCAGGACAAATGGTGACAACTTACCCTACTGATGTCGCCTCGATGGGACCAAGGAATGTCTCAACCAGTGTGCCTCTCGCGAAACGATTTGCCAATTTTGCATATTGGATTCCGAGATACTGCTCTACTTCTGGGTGTGCAGGGGCCTGGATTCCGGTCAGCTTGCCAACATCGGCGTGTTCTAAGGTTGTGAGTTTGGTCGCCATGTTAGTGGGCATAAGAACTGGTTCCTTTCTCTCGTCTATATTTATTCTTCCTTGTGTGGGTTCTGGGAAGGACACACTGAATTTGCTGTGACAAAAGTCTATGAAATACAATTCGAGGTAGAACTTGCAACTTGCCGTGGAAATGCAAGCCGTTTATATGAGCCGCTCCGCCTGGGGTGAGGGGCAGCCATTGGTTTGTACATAGAATACGGCACCTGGGCAGCCGGGATAAATCAATGTTCCGGATAGTAAACGTTTTCACGTGCATATGACGAAAAGTCCGACTCAATGACCCTACAACGCAAATGATCCTTCCACACTGTCCTCTCATATAGATAAGTTGTATATAGATGCGAGAGATGGAGAGGGAGTGTGTGGACCCCAATGCCCTATTGCTCAGTCTGCCGAGCCCTATCCATTGGTATTATAAGCAACCGGATTTGCGTCGGCAAACAACTAAATCAATCCCTTGATAGCTCAGTGTCAGTACCACCCAACCCCACAACAAACCCACAAATTGGCCACCACATACTAACCCACTCAACAGTGGCAGAGCGATGGACTGTAATTGTACAAGAATAACCAGATTCTAAGAGATCAGAGGTGCTATCCACAGGTCGCCGGTTCAAATCCGGCTCGAGGGATCAACCACTCGAATGTGTTCTTTTTGCCGTGCATGACGATGTATATTTTGATGGATACACTGCCCGATCATTGTCTCGTACATATATACCTAGTACTGCTTACCCAAATGTTGCAGCGTTTACCTAGGAGCATATTCCCCCCCCTTCCCCCCTCTCTTGCGCCTGTCGAGGGCTGGCCAATGGATGGGGCAACTATCTCAGTGTATCCTGCAAATATACGCCCCAGATTTACCTCTCCTGCTGCCGCTAGGCTGTCATGATGATCGCCAGAAAGCGGAGTCCCCTTTCATCGAAAGCTGGTCGGTGCCGTGCACAGTCTGCGAAAAGCTTGCCTCGGCTGCGAAGATGTCACCCTTTGCTGCGGAAGTGCTCCACCATTATCGGCTTTACGGCATCCCGAGCCGATTCTCACTCGTTCTACGTGTGTACATCTTTGACGCTGCTTGTCACAGTTCTTTGAATTCCACACACATGTTTGCAAGCAATATTACATTTGCTGAAGCGGATCCCGTCATGATGGAATCGTGTGCTGCGAAGGACCAAGGAAAATTCCAAGCAACATCGACGGTTCTAACGGCCTAGTAATACTATATAGCCATTGAATCGTCGATGTCAAACAAGGGACTCATCTCGCCTATTTCTACGGCCCACCTCTTACGTATAGAGAGACCACCCAAATAGCCTCTCTGACGCGTCCCGACTTTGCTATATCGCGTGAGTCCTTTGCATACTATTCTGCATGGTTACAGCCATATGACTAAGTAAAAGTAGGACAATGCATTGCATACTTATATAAGATGGCGTCGACTTGTTTCAGGGGGTGCACTCGTGCCGAGGGGCCTGTAGGGATGACGACCTCACCCGCGAACAAAAGCAGGGCAGGCTAAATCCGTCATTCATTCCTGACCGACATCCTCTAGCTTCGGTATGAGCCCGTTTGAAGCATAGTCCGTTCGCAGTTAGTGCTTGAAGGATCTTGAGGGTTGATACCTCCTTCGAGCTGGCATTTCCACGGCGTCGACTTTCATTTGACAAGCTATCATCACAACCGAAGCTTTTTCTTCCCTTTCTTCAACCAAGGCATCTTCTCTTTTGCGAGGCCCCGGATCGTCACCGAAATCAAAGATTTGGGAACAAACACGAGACTTGCCCTTCTCAACACCATGTCACGAGGGGACTGAGCAGGAGCTTCTCATGAGCTATGGCCCTACCATGGGAGAAAGGGACACTGTTCCCAGAGGCGTACATGACAAAGGTCCCCGAGAAAATTCGCCGCCAAGAACGCGACCTGTCCGAGGTCTACAGCATTGAAGGCTCCGGATATCCAGAAGGGATGTTCCAAGTCAAGCCCAAGTTCATTGCGCATGAATCTGGCCTCTTCTATTTCGATTACGGAGCTGTCCGCCTCGGGCGCAGGCCCAATTTGGAGGACGCTGGTTCCGGAAACAACATGGTCTGCGTCGGGCTTGGCTGGCTCCCTGGGTGGCAGTTCACAGTCAGCGAGCGCGGACTCCCTGATACTGTTCCTGTGCCAAATCATCCTGGCCGGACGGGTACTGCTGAAAAAGATGCCTCCGAGGAGGGCGTGCTGGGACTGGTATATCAACTCGTCAGCCCGAACCAGCCGACGTATGGGCGGTCCCCCTTTTCCAAAAGGAAGATACCAGACATCGATACCCTATCATACGCAACTGGAAAAGACTGGGCAGCCGCCGTGCCGTTTCACCCAAATCTCAAGGTTCTCAAACAGGTCCGTATCTATCTCCACGTGTTCGACGGCGAGATTGGGCACCGATACCAGAAGGATGGCTCAGTGGTGCTATTCAGGACGCCCAGTCGGCCTGTGAAGGCGGTCGTTCATGTCGATCCGGAAAAGCTGCTGGCTATGAGGGAGGAGCCGAAACTCGCCAAGAGACAATTGCAGGGAGAATGGGCGGTGAAGGAGCTGGAGAAGTGGACGAAAGAAGCTGGGTTGCCACGAGAGTATGTCGAGAAGGTCATGGGGGAGTATATACCACTAGGAGTGAAGCCTGCACCTAATATCAAGGGCCGGTCGGAAGGAGGGCTGCTGAAATTTCTTGGCTTCAAAACTTGAATATGAATTTGGAATTATGCATCACTATTCTGATGCTTCATGCCGGAAATTGTGAATTTGACAGAACTGCAACACGGAGTGACCGTGATTCAAATTGTGTCCCGGCGTGATAAGCTATACGTCGTCTAGGCAAACCATGTCGACTTTTACAATATGGCATATTTCTCCCGTCTGTCACGATTGACAATATGCTCCGCAGGCCTCGTCGGTGCTACAATCCTAGGTTACGAGTACAGTCTCCATGCCTGTTTCCTTTCTTCTACCTAAGAATTTTTAGATCCAGCTGGCAGACGTAATAAATTTCAAAGGGGGAATTGAAGTACTTAAAGGCAATAAGTCCTGACAGCTTCCGCCGTTTGGTCGTCATCTTCTTTCAAGCACGTTTTTCAAGCACGAACCCCACTCCGCCTTCTATTTGCGTCTCCTTTTCTTTTTCTGTCCTATTTGTGTTCCTTTCTCTAGACTTTCCCACTCTGCAGAGAAAAGGACGTATGATTGCTTTTTCAAATGATTTGAGGACGATCATCACAGGGTTAGGGTCGTTATTCGCCAATTCTTCTGCTGCCTGGTCCAATCGCTGAATGACTTGTGTCACGGTCACCGCCTTTCGGGAGCTTCGTTGTTTCAACCAACGCGTTGGGCAGTCAGGCATCCTTCCACAATGCCACAAAACCCTGGGCCAGCGCAAAACCTAGATTGCGTGACGGCGCCGTCATCAAATTTGCTCGAAAGTGTCTCATCTAGTAGATATCTATGAAAAACACCAGGAGAGCTGCAAGATGAAGCTCGCAATCCTGGCAGTCGTGTGGGCCCTGGCGCTGCCCAATAGCAATGCGCTTTCTGATGAGGACTTCTATGGCCAGTCTCCTCCGGTCTATCCGTCTCGTAAGCCCTCACCCCTAGCAAGCAGATAGAATAATAGTCCATGTAACTAATTTTTCGCATTCTTACCCAGCTCATGGCAAGGGCAGCGGCATTTGGGCCCCAGCCTACACCGCTGCGCACCGTCTAGTCGGTCAGATGACTCTAGAAGAGAAGGTCAACATCACAGGCGGATTTAGCAGCCCAGAAAATACCTGCCATGGCAACACAGGCAGTGTACCACGGTTGGGTTGGCCGGGGATGTGTCTTCAGGATGCGGGTAACGGGGTTCGAGGTGTGGACCTGACCAACTCCTACCCCAGTGGCATCCATGTTGGGGCCAGCTGGGATAAAAACCTCACGTACCTCAGAGGCCTGGAGATGGGCAATGAGTTTCGAATCAAAGGAGGTGAGTCTTGTGAAGATCTGTGGGCGGCAGCAGAGCTCTTGTCTAGAAGGCCGAGGGAAAGACTGACGGTTCGCTCAGCGAATATTGCTTTGGGCCCGGTAGCTGGGCCGCTGGGCAGAACAGCAGTGGGCGGGCGTAACTGGGAGGGCTTCGCGGTAGACCCCTACTTGTCTGGTGTCTTGACTGCGGAGACAATCAAGGGCATACAAGACGCGGGCATTATTGCCAATCTCAAGGTGCGTGAAAACCCATTCATCTTAAAGACAGACATCAATGGACTCTGAAGTGACTGATGTGCATTCCTGCTCCCACAGCACCTCGTTGCCAACGAGCAAGAGACCTGGCGGAGACCATACAACGGCACAGAGGCCGCGTCGTCTAACATTGACGACAGAACGTTGCATGAATTGTACCTGTGGCCCTTCATCGATGGTGTCAAGGCCGGCGCGGCCAGCCTGATGTGCTCGTACAACCGTGTCAACAACTCCTACGGCTGCCAGAACAGCAAGCTTCTCAACGGAATCCTGAAGACAGATCTCGAATTCCAAGGTTTCGTTATGTCCGACTGGCATGGACAACATAGCGGTGTGGCGAGCGCCCTGGCTGGTATGGACATGGTAATGCCGGAAGAAGGCTTCTGGGGCAGCAGTCTCATTCAAGCAGTCAAAAATGGCTCAGTGCCAGAATACAGGGTGACTGACATGGCGACACGGTGCGTCCAGCTCTATATTTAAGTTTGGCAAGGCATCAATGCTGATACTCAAGCAGGATTATTGCGGCATGGTATCTTCTCGGTCAAGACAGCACCGACTTTCCCAGACCAGGGGTTGGCATCCAGAATCTCAGCCTGCCGCACCCGCTGATAGACGCTCGAAGTCCCGAGGCGGATGCTATTTTGCTGAAGGGTGCTATTGCCGGTCACGTCCTCGTGAAAAATGTCGATAATGCTCTGCCTTTGGGAAAGCCTACGATGCTCTCCATCTTTGGGTACGATGCCAAACCACCACCGAGCAAAAATATTGGTGAACTTTTTGAGCTCGGGTATGAATCTCAGCCAGAGATGGCTCGGGCTGAACTTGGCTACGAAGCGCACTTCTCTCAGTGGGCGGCACAAGGCGTTCTCTTTGCCGGAGGCCGAAGCGGCTCCAATGGTCCTGCATATATTGATGCGGTAATAATGCTTCCTCTGCGATGCACATTGCAACTCCAATCATGAATACTGACGTTCCTCGCAGCCTTTCGGTGCATTAACCCAACGTGCGAAGAAAGACGGCACATACCTGAACTGGGACTTCCGCTCCGGAAATCCCATGGTCAATCCCATGTCCGACGCCTGTCTCGTCTTCATCAACGCAATGGCCACCGAAGGCTGGGACCGTGATGGCTTACACGATGACTTCAGCGATGGGCTCGTCCTCAACGTCGCTTCAAAGTGTGCCAACACAATCGTCATCGTCCACACCGCCGGCATCCGTCTCGTGGACCAGTGGATCCAGCACCCAAACGTCACAGCTGCGATTATCGCCCACCTCCCAGGTCAAGAACTTGGAGAGGCCCTGGTGAAGATCATGTACGGGGAGGTGTCTCCGTCAGGCAAGCTGCCGTACACCTTGGCAAAGAATGAGAGTGATTATGGCAACTTGTACGAGCCGTGTCTGCCCGCGTCGCTGGACGACCATTTTCCGCAGTGCGACTATACCGAAGGTGTCTACATTGACTACCGCTATTTCGACGCCAAAAAAATCGAACCACGTTTCGAGTTCGGTTTTGGCCTGAGCTACACCAGTTTTCAGTATGAAAGTCTCTCTGCCCAGGCCCCCGGTCTTTCTGGCAATCCACTGCAGAAGCCCATTGCAAAGGGTTCGCTTTGGGATGTCATTACCTCCGTCTCCATCAAAATCACAAACACGGGGAAATTTGCCGCTGAAGAAATCGCACAACTCTACGTGGGCATCCCTAATGCGCCGGAGAAACAACTTCGGGGGTTCGAGAAGGTCTACCTTGCTCCTGGAGAAGAGGCCGAGGTCGTTTTTGAATTGACCAGGAGAGACCTGAGCGTTTGGGATGTAGTATCTCAGGAATGGTTGGTTCAGCGTGGGCAGTACAAGCTTTTTGTGGGCTCTAGCAGTCGAGATATCAGGTGGGAGGGGTTTCATACTATAGGATAGAGGTTGACTTGCATGTGTGGTCGCGCGTAGAAGATGTCCGACCCTAGCTGCTCATAGAATAGAAGATAGAAATATAGGAGACATAGATACAGAGATTCCATCATCAATGGCTGCTGGAACACCAGAGCCTCTTGTGAAAAGTGAACTTCACCATGATCTATAGACAATACACCATGAACACTGTTGTTAACATAACGGCAGAGCTTCAGCACTTTGAACAGGCTCGCATGTTCCCAAGCAATCACAGTTAGCTCTAGTTTGAAGCAGATGCCGTGCAGGATCCTCGAGGGACATAATATGGCTGCTTACTGGCATGCATAGATAGCTGCGCCACGCACTAAGTAAGCTGCAGTGGCCCCTTCCCTCCCCCCCCCCCCCCCCACCACCTGCATGGGGGCTGAGTGACCAGGCCAGGAAACTGAGAGACACTGTCACGCAGCAGTGAGGTGCGAAAGATCAACACATGAATAATGATCCTTTCCAGATTATTGTCGTGGCTTACGAGCATAAACAGGGCCTTAAGGTGGGCAACATAGTGGCTGCTGTTCCTTCTTTTGTCGAACCTCGCGCATATCGTCTATGTTCAGTGTAAATAAGCTACGAATCATGAAGACCGGATCTGACACCCTTTTTCTTATGGAGGCAGAACTAGACTGGGGTGCATATCAGGGATTACTAGCCCCAACATAAACATGCCATTGACATTCAGGGAAAGCCAATGGAAGAACCCTAATAATGGTGGTCAGCTGCACAACAGTGCCCGGCGTCTCGCTCCTCTAGCCGCGGCAGTGCTCTCAATGCTTTCTCTATGCAGCCCTCCGAGCGGTACATGATTTTTATACTTCTGAGAAGTGTAGAAATATGTAGGTCGGAGTGTATGTAGGCCATATAAGCTGCCTTCTGCCGCATCACCCCTGCTTGCAGCAACGCTCACACAGTTTCCCTTTAGTATTTATCACCACCAATTAAGCTCAAAACGAGCGGCACCACACAATCAACATGGCACCTACGACAAGAGCAAAGTCTGACAGAACGAAGACCGCTGTAACTCAGCGAAAAGGTCGCTCCAACAAAAGAATCGCTGCGAAGACTCCACCCCGGCTACGAAAGCAAGAGGCTACGAAGACAACGACATCACCAAGATCAAAACCTTCTCGCAAATCAGTATCCGCGTCGACTACGGCACCTCATATGGGCGAGAGCGATGCCACGCATAGGTATCAACAGCTGGACTCAGTAAAGGACGAGATTCGCATCCTCAGCCTTCTTCCGGGGAGACCAAATGATGCCGTCGAGACCACGATATCCGTTGCTTGCCTGGACGACGACCCTTACTACGAGGCGCTATCATATGTATGGGGTGACTCAAGGCCAGAATTCTGTCGATGGATTAGGGTGGATGGCCAGAAGAGGTGGGTCACGCAGAATCTGTGGGCAGCCCTGAGGCGACGTAAGTGCGGGCAATACTATAACTCCAGAAAATATTCTGCCGAGGGAGCTCTTACTGATAGGAGAGGCAATAATTATAGTACGAAGAACAGACGAGGAGCGAAAGCTTTGGGTGGACGCTCTTTGCATCAATCAGAAAGACGACGTCGAAAAATCTCACCAGGTCGCAATGATGTCTCAAATCTACTCAAAGACTGCTATGTGTCTCGCCTGGCTAGGGGACTTTGAGAGCGATGCAACCAACGTACCATTCACCAGACAAGCTGCTAAAGTGCGTGCGTCCCAGGAGCAAAGAACGCACCATGAAGATCCTCTCTCCATCAAAGAGTCTCCAATCGGCACAACCAACATGATTTCAAGATCAGACGCGGAACATGCCTTAATTCTAATCAAAAAGCTGAAGAGGAAGGGTGCGGATGGTCATTTCACTATGAAGGGTGACGATGTACCCCCCGGATGGGTCCACGTAGTAAAGAGCGAAGTTGACGGGCTGGAAAAGCTCATGAGACTTGAATGGTGGCAAAGCATCTGGACTGTCCAAGACCTCGTCCTTCCCACTCGACTAAAATTCATTTGTGGATCACTAGAATGGATACACCAAGATAAAGGTAATAACATAGGTCACCACGGTCCTATGAGCGGATGCTGTCGAGAGAGATAACATCATCAATGCCGTACTTTTGGGCTGTCACCGATCATTATGATGGAGATACACGATTTGTACGACAGATGTACAGGCCTCTTCGTCTCGATGATGCTGTCGACATGTTTCGACACCGTCACTCCCATGATGAGAGAGACAAGGTTTTTGCGCTGCTCGGAATGGTTAGTCCAATGGCAAGACACTTGCTTGACTATTCACTGTCAAAAAGAGAAGTGTACACGAGATTCACCCGCTATTCGATTCTTTCGGCAGACAACCTTAGACCGCTGCTGAGATCCCACGAGGACGATAGGGACTGCAATTTGCGGTCTTGGGTGCCCGACCTCGCCATCACCATCCACAATGGAGGTGGAATTGCTAAGAAACGAGGCCTTAGACGGGATTATGTCCAATTCAATGCCTCGAAAGGCAGACAACTAGACATGAGTCTCAGTCAAAAAGACGAGCTGAAGATTTGTGGAGTCAAGACTGACCGGATCAAGGCCGCGTCACTAAACTTTGGCCCATCCAGGGAAACTCTTTTCGCTGAAGGGGTGTGGGCACTATGGCGCATGTTTCTTGAAGAGAACCCAGCCCTGGACTTGGAGAGGTATCCTGGTGGAGAGACATATGATCAAGCCTTCATGCGCACCTGTCAATATGACATATACGAAACGCCGTACAGAGTTCGAAGAATACGGGCCGATGATGACAGGAACACGTTTTCTCACATTTTCCACAGGCATGTCTTCTTGAGATCCCGATTTTTCATCACATACGGGGGCAGGATAGGGATCGGTTGCCCTGACACTCAGGTGGACGACGTCATTTACATTCTCTCCGGGGGGGACGTGCCTTTTATTCTGCGCGAGCATCAGAAAGACGTTGTTGCAAGGCAATACACTTATGTTGGAGACGCGTATGTCCACGGTATAATGGATGGAGAAGCTATAGAAGATGATGTCCAATGGGAGCGGATCACGATTGTGTAATCAGCAGGAAGAGAAACCAGTAATAAGAAGACAAGTACTACGGAGAGAAAGAGAGGCTGTACAGCATAGGATCTTGTTCCAACACTCTTTATTATCTTTTATGTCGAATTTTGTGGATGGAACGAGTCGAATAAGAAGTTGGTGTTATCATTGAGGTGTTCGTCTCTTTTCCTACGCCTCAGGTCAACAAATCTTGATCAAAGCGGCAGGCTGAGATTCATGAGCCTCCGCGCTTGAACCTCTAGCTGTTTTGCTCGTTGTGATTGCAACTGCCCAGATGAGCAGACCGTGAAAGACCAATCGACAGTGACGAGGTGCATTACAGAATCCTCGACGCGTCACAGCTGCCCAGTCTAGCACTCTTTGCCTCACCGTCAAGAATGATCTCACTAACAATCTTCCCCGTGCCAGGGCCATTCTGGATTCCCCAGCACGTATGACCAGCTGCCACAAGCAAGCCCTTAGTGCCGCCCACCTCACCAATAAATGGCCCTCCCTGAGGCAAATAACACGCCTGCCGTGCAAGGACCTCTCCATCGCTCCCCAGCTCATCACTGATGCCTCCCACCTGGCTTATGATATCCTCACACCGGGCCCTATCAACTTCGACCTCCGCCGTCGTCAAGGGCAGCGGCACCGTCAAGTCTGTAGGACCACAGGCATAGGCTGTGCCATCCGGCCTCGCGTAGATCTCCGGCTCTACTACCTGCGTCTTCTTAATGGGGATTTGCGCCGCAGGCGTGCCCCTCGCGTTCGGTGGCGTCGGTGCAGGGAACCCCGGCGGGAGCGCAATGGATGTGAACAGGGCGTACGCCGACACTGGTCTCGGCGTCTTGATGACGACGCTATGTGCGCGGGAGGCAGTGACGGGCACGTTGGGGAGCAGGCGAGATGTCCATGGCCCAGCGGCTACGACACAGTCTGTCGTCGGGAGCTGCGTCTCCTCCTTCCCGTCCTTGATATAAGTGACGCTCTCTACCTTGCGGCCATCCTTGCTCTTGTTGACGGCTGTCACTCGAGCGCCCGTGATGACCCTGACGCCCTTTTCTTCGGCCAGCTGGGCCATGCTGCGGGTGAAGAGCTCTGGGTGGACCTGGGCAGTGTTGTCCGGCGTGCCCATGCCTTCGTATGCGGCGAGCGACTTCTCGGTGTCAAGCCAGTCCAGATCCTCTGGTGCGCCAAGGTTCTGAAGAGCCTTGATCTTCTTGCGGTGATCCTTGTGGAGGCCCTTGGTGACCTCATCCTGGTCTTTTGCATCAGCCACCTCTTTGCTGACCCTACTATTGTCGTCCTTTAAGAGTCCAGACGGCAAACGAGCCTGACACTCCACCTGGCTCGCGAAACAGCGGCGGTAGCCCCATCGCTTGTCACCACCATGCTCCTTGGATAATTCATCATGCAGCCTGAAGCTCAGAGGCACAATGTTGGACGGAAAAGCCCACAGCGCAAGAAGCCCTCCGGCCTTGCCACTCGCACCTCCAGCAATGCCCTCATGGGAAGGGTTCTTCCTCGAGGCACCTGTGGCCGGGTCGGCCAGGGTCGCCGGGTCTTGTATGCTGTCCTCGGTGCGACCGCCTGCGCTAGTGGACGAGGCTTCTAGAAGCGTGATGCGGTGTGTGTCTGGGTTGTATGAGGGGTGGCGAGTGAGAAAGTAGGCTGTGCAGCAGCCGATGATGCCGCCTCCTATGATGGTGATGTCCTTTTGCGCCGGGTCGGACATGGTGAAAAGACTGTTCTTCTTCCTGCGGGGCGTGGTAAGGGACCGAAGTGGACGTATGATAGCTAAGTTCATCCGACCTAAGCACAAGATTTCAATATCGAGGAGTGGTTGTCACACAATATGGTTGGGAATTCAAAGGGCATGGTGTGCTGCGGATTGGGAAAAAAGTTGTGTGACGTCGTTTTACCGTTGGAGAGGCTCAACTTTGGTGGGGCTGGTGACCTCATCTCAACTACAACCTCACTGTGCACTTCATGTGTAGGAATTACACCTGCTGATTTACAGGCCTTTCTTCACCTTTGCCTGATCTTTCCATGTTGCTGCAAAGGGATAGCAGACTATCCTTTTCTTCTTTCTTTTCCCCTCTCCAAGATTTGAAGGTTCAATTTCTGGTCTCTGGGGGGAAAGACAAGCAAGCACATAGTAAGACATGAGCTTATTCAGGCGAGTATTAATAATGAGCATGCGGCCTGATCATACGTCGGTAGTTTTCATAATATGAGAAAATAAAATAAAAAAGTCTTGCAAGTGGCATGCATAGAAACTCACTCCTTTTCTGTCCATGTCTTATTTCCTTGAGAATGATAACAGACAACGTCAGCCTGTGCAAAGGAGGCCCTAATTAACATCAATCTTCGAGGGGGCTACACCTCATGCATGATTTGATCCATTTTCCAAGCCCTGCCTGTCATGATGCCATTCACTCTTTTGTCGAAAGAAGAAACAAAAATTAGAAGAAAAAGAAAGAAAAGAACTCGCAACCCCTTCCACAACGCATCGTAATGACTTTTTCTCCAAAGACTGAGTGATCAGCCAAGTCGCTAAAGTCACCCCAACAAATTCCCCCAAGGAAAAAGAAAAAGGAAAAGAAGAAGCAGAAAAGAAAAGAGGCACCACTAGACTAGACCTCGCCCAACAGCTTCAAGTACCCAGCACAAGGGTCCACCGCCCACTTGACCGTGACCACCCCCGGATAGAGGCTCCGCAGCAGCTGGTGCGCGCTGTGCGCCTGGGCCCGCATGCTCCCAAACCGCCACTCCAGCGTCCGCCAGCCGTTGCCCTCGGCCAGGACCAGAACCTCCTCCGTCTGATACTCAAAGTACTGGTCAAAGAGGTCACCCAGCCACTGCCGGTCCACGATGGCCGCGGGGCCCGAGATGACCACGACGCGCGACGTCGGGTTCTCGTAGCTCTGCGCCGCCGTCCGGTGCCGGTTCCACTTGGCGTGGATGCGGCGGCCGCCCACCCTGAAGTCGCCGCGGCTTGCGATGGTGAGGAGGCGCTGGGCCTCGGTGGGGTGGTAAAAGATGACTTTGGCGGCCGAGGTGCGGTGCGAGAGGGGCCCTCGGTTGGTGTGCTGTGGTGGTGGTGGTCCAGGCAGGGCAGACATCGAGGCACCGTAGTGGTGGGCTGGGCTGGGGTCTTGTGCCTGGCGTTGCTGGTGCTCGTGCTGCTCTTCGCCCAGTGGGCTGTTGATATAGGTGCTCCAGACCCGCCCCATTCTGTGCTGGGCGATGGCCCGCAGGAGGGTCTGGTAGCTGCACCGGGCGGGCAGGTTGGTCAAGAACAAGGCACAATTCTCCTCGTTGGGGATATTGGCCGACTGGTTCTTTGGGTTCTCAGGGTTGCCCTCATAGTTGTCTGAGATGCCCTTTTGCTGTCGCAGGGCCCGCTCTTGGTCACTCAACGGCCGTTTGGGTGCCTTGGGGTACAGGACCGCGGTCATTGGCTTGAAGATTCTGTGACGTTTTTCTATAGAAGAACCGTCCTCGGGTCCCCATATCTTTGGTAGATGTCCTTGGATCAGACTCTGCCCAACATCTTGCTCAGAGCCAGGCCCAAGCCGTGGGTCTTGAGGACCCATCTGCTGGGCTGTACTGTTGGCCTCGACCCAGTCTGAAGGAGGCACAAAGCCAGCAGGGTTTGCGCCTCCGACCTGGCTACCTCCTTGCCTCTGTAAATTGACCCTTGGGCTGCGCCAATCAGACAATTCAGTGACCCATGACTGGCCAGGGCGGGTGACGGTCAGGCTCTTCTGGGCGTCGGTGATATCGGCAACCCGCTCAATCTTCTCAATACTAGTAGCACCTCTTGGAGCAGCTGACTGCATTGAGGTATCCCCATCGCTCAGACTTGTAGTAGACCGTAGTGTATTGTGATTGGGGCCAGCAGAATCAAGGCTGGCGAGAAAGGCTTCTCTACTTGTATCTTTCGATGATGCAACATGATCTCCGGCGGGGAAGTAAGGACCAAGGTCAGTCGACTCCGAAAAGGCTGTAGTCGTGTGGCTTGGGGTGTCGTCGTTGGCAACCACCCTACCACTTTGTGAGTTGAAGCCTGACGCACCCTGCTGAGTGAGTGGGAAGTTGAGCAACCTGTGGGGCTCGAGGAATGCTGCGTAGCCATCATCAGGAGCATGACTATTGTGACTGGCAGAATTTTGATCGTCGTCCGAAAGCCGATCGAGCGCCGAGTGCTGGGCCCTCTTCCTGGCCCAAATCTCTCGCGAAGCCGTCTGCTGGAAGTTGGTCTCTTCAATATTAGAAGAGGTGCTGGGAAGGCCGCTGAAGCCAGTAAGGCCCCTCGGAAAGACCGACGAGGTAGAACTATTCAAGACATTTGGGGCGCAGGCTTCCGAACCCAAATAAGTGACTGTCTTCTTGGATTCGGACCCGGCTGGAAAGAACCGTGACTGCGAGAGCGTTGAGGAGCTAATGTTTCGGTTCTTGCCGCTCAAAAGGTCAGTCGATCCATTCGGTTCTCTCGGATTCTTCTGTGAACTGCCTGCGATCATATCTGCCTCGGTTACAGGGAGGATGGGCGAAGGTGGCATAGTTTTGCCTGATGTCGGCAAGGGCTTCAAATCCCAGAGGTTGGGCAAAGCCGTTTTGGGGTATCTAATGTCGATAGGCATCTTGAGCCCTGGAGCCTTGTCTCCCATGATGTCTTTCTCGTTGGAGAACAGATGTTGTGGCACGCTGTCGTCATCTATATTGTCACAGGGTGCTGTTGGCTGCTCTGGCTGGCTGATGGTATGCCGCTGCTGAGGGAAGGTAATGTCGACTGGAGTGGAGCTATTGCTGGACCTATCGCTGACATCCAGCGTTGACTTGATGATGTTTGTATTAAGCTTGGTGGCAGGATAGCAGCGCTGATGTCTGATGTGAGGTTTGTTCAAGTCTCCCATCTTTGCAATCCACAGGGAGTCCATGCCACTGGGCAACGCCAGGTCCTGCGCGTACTTTAAAGGCATGTTGACGACTTGCTGAGGTCAACTTTGAAACAAATATGGAGTCAGAACTGATAAGTTAGAGCTGTGAATTGATAAAGCATTTGGGTTTGCTACCACCTACTGGACAGCACTTTTGTGCTTCGTGTATGGTAGTGTAATATTCTTGTAGTGTATAACCAATGCAGGTTCTTCTGTATAGGTTGTTAAAAGGAAGGAGAGCGCGCTTGGCTCAGGCCAAGAAACAGAGAGTAGGTTTGGCCTGTGTGGGATTCCAAAGAAAAGTTGTGGATGAGGCAATACTAGATAGCTGTCCAAACTTACTTGCTGGACTGTGTGTAGAGAGGTATGGATAGGGAAGTGGTGGGGCTGAAATCAGGACAGTCCAGGTTGCTCCAGAGATCAATTTTTATCTTGCCAGCCAGCACTTTGCCAGTGAGTCACTTGATATGCCAGAATTCAACAGAAAAGTGTGATTGAAGAGATGACTGACTGAATGGTAATAGACAACAATAGCAGTGACGAGTGCAGGGACAGCAATACAGGAAGTATAATTACTGGGAGTCGCGAGAGTCAACAAGTCATCGGGAAAGAGCAGGCGCATAGCTGGTAAGCTGGAAATATTGAGAAGGAAATAATGGATTTCTCTTGCACTAGAATAGAATGTTCTGGTCAAAAGAACCCTCAAGGAGATGGCCTGTGGTCATCAATGCAGGTGGGTATCTGAGTGATTCACAAGTGATATACGCACCATAATGCTTTGGAAATCATTCACTGACATTCAGTGAATGGCTGAGAGAGCTGTTATGGTGGGACCTCTACGAAAAGCTAAGACAAGTCCGTGCAGTACAAGTGCCGGAGGACGAAGTCAAGAATCAGATATGAAAGTATGCTCTCTCCTGGCTGATCATCAACAGGTCCCTGTCTCCAAAAGGGACACAACCATCGTCAAGAAACCGGGTTTTATAGATCAACAGACACAACTCAGCTCACATTTGGCGTTATTGTCCAGACCAGAAGCAAGAAGGCATCATTACATCTCATGAGACTGGAAATGAATAAACAGTCTTCTCAGAACTAGCATTGCATGCTTCAAGACACGTCGAGAAGTATTCTAGAAAATGTAGAGCGAGGTGATCATACTGGAAACACCCTGCCAATATTCACGGGAAAATGGAAATAGAAAGTTTGATTATCCCAAGACCAACAACACCTTGCAATCACAAGCCCAAACGCCGAGATATGCAGGTGCGCTTCTAATTTTGGGGGGGTTGGGGGGGTTTGAAGCCAACGCTGCCCATTCCATGCCCAACGTAAAAGACTGAAAAGCACAGTTGAGACCAATGAGGCCCTCAACAACGGAAATCGAACTCCCACGACCAGGTTCCAGACTCTCTAGAGATCACCAAAAACCTCCTCAACAACATCTCCCAGCATCCTCAACCCAAAACACTTGGCCACGTTCCGATACACTTTCAACCGCCTCAACACCTCGTCCCGCCTTATACTTTCCACCCAGCTCCCCGAGCAGACACAGTGTTCCATGAACTCGTTGACCCGCAGGGCACCGCACTTGGCGCACTTGAGGTCCTGGCACGCCCAGCTCGCCACGAAGGCCTCGATATTAGCAACAAGCCTCTCCTCCAGGTCGTTACGGTTATAGTCTGCTTCGCAGAACGTGCACTTCCACGCGACCGGCTCGTTCGGGTTGTCAGGGGAGGGCAGGAGGTCCTCGTCGCGGCAGAAATCGAGGTCCCGTGCCATCGTGCAGTTCTCGCAGCTGACCTGTGCCAGCTTGAGAGACTCGGATGGGTTCTGGAATGCCCCTTCCTTGCTGAACTCGCGCACATCGAACAGCGCGAGCAGGTCTTTCCGGATATGCCGAGCGTCGGTGACGATGTTCTTGTCGAGTGACAGGATTTGCATGAGCATCTTGACAAGCTCAAGGACCGCGTTGCTGTGGCTGAGGTTCAGGTGCGAGCCTGGGAGCGTGGGGAAGGTATAATCAACTGCAAGTTCCGGGTGTAACAGCTCGCGCTTCTGTGTCGCCAGCAGACCCTGGATATCACGCCTGAGGGGCTTCTCATAAGCCTTGTCAAGGATGATGCCACCCGTAAACTCGTCATCTTGGCTGTCGCGGTTGTGAGGGAGCTGAGTGAGACGCGGTGTTGAATTAGGATCAGAGCCGAACATGGGACGCTTGAGGTTGTGCATGAGGGTGATGAATTCAATGACCCAGTCGGCGAAGGTGGGTTGCAGCCGGACAGGCAGGAAGGTCGACATTTGCCAGTGCATGATTGTCTCGAGCTTTTGTGTCTCGGCCTCGATGATCTGTTGCGTAGCCTTGCCGCCATAGTTGAACTCGTCGTACCAGACGAGGTAGTCCCAATACTCCTTGATCTCCAGGTCAATGAAGTGGAACAGCGGCTTACCCTTGATCGACTTGAGGATATACTGGCTGTATGCATAGGCGTTCCCTATTTCCGCCTTGGTTGTTTGCAGCAACAACCGATTGGCGTTTGCAAAGATGACCTGTGAACCCACACGTCGAAAGTCTGCCATAAGTTGTTGGAAAGCCTTGCGCGACATCATCTGCACGTAGTAATGCAGAGCACGGTCATAAAGGAAGGAGTCCGGGTTCTCAACCCATCGAACAAGGTGCTGAACCATGACATCCGCCATCTCGTTGCCCCTGCATGCCTCTGCCCACCAGCCCTTGACCATCTCCCGAAGGACCTGAATGCCTGCGTTGGCGAAGGCATTGTCCGAAGATAGCACCTCTGTGCCTTCTCCGCCCGTTCCGTCACCAGCAGGATTGAGGGCCACGGAGTCTGCGCCTTCTAGTTCGTTGATGAGTGACGATGTGAGAATCGTGTTGATGGCCAGGTTCTTGACGTCGAGATCGATACAAACAGACGAGTACGTGCCAGGAGTATTGACCGAGGGCATCTGCACCGTCTCCAAAGAACCGGTGATATCGTCCTCCTCATATCCAGCATGGTCAGGGCGAGGCCCAGCAGACCACCATAGAACTACATTGTTGCTCTGTAGGCGTCTCGCATATGCGACATCGATCAAGAAGCGCGGATCCTCCCGCTCGAGGTTGCAAAGCGGTATATCAGCGTACCTTGCCAGGGCAGTAAGATGCAGTATCCACGGTCCAAGTCCAAGGTAGTGATGGATCAACCGCTTTGCGACGACAGATTGCCATCCGAGAGGCGGTAACGAGCTGTCGTCGACGTTGTACTTGAGCGGCAAGACAGGCATCTCGCCCAGGATTGGGACGTCATGCACCAGCAAATTCCTCTGCGATGACTGAATCACCATGATAAGCGGTTTGGTCTCGTCCTTTCTCATTTTCTTGACCACATCGCCAATTTCAAGGAAGGCCTTGCGTCGGGTTGTCACCTGCGTGATCTTGAAGGTCAACTTCTCCTGGTACGGAAAGCACTCTTTCCAGTTAGACCCGTCGACAGCAGCTTGTTCTGCATGTCGTGCTCGTAGATCCGAGTACATCTTCGTGATGTTGGGCAGGTCCTGGCCGCTCTCTTTGTTCTTGTGCAACGTAATGACATGTGCTGCATCGCCTGTGCTGGAAAAAATGCCAAAGATCTGCCTCTCGCCGGAGCTGATATGCGATAGGTAGATGAACGCCATCTTCGATCCGCTGAGGTACATCTTGGGCTTCGCCGGCCGTATCAGGCTTGGCAGTTCGAAGCCTTGATCCAGACCTTGACCCAGTACACCAGGCTTGCTCTCATCAATGGTGCACAAGTTTCCCAGCCGCAGCACAGCGCGGATATTCAGCGGCACCTGCCTCTCATACACGCCCTCCACACTGGGATGGTTGAAGAGAAGCGAAAATTTCTCCGACTCGGCAAAGTAGACGTCCTCAGGCACCGTCAGCTTGAACAGATGCACTGAGGAGTGTCCATTCGGCAGTGTGTGGCTGACTTGCTCGACGTCGCAGCCCTCAATCTCAATCTCCGGAAGATCCTTACTCTTCAGGTTCAAGAAGACCTGGCGGGGCACTTTGATTTTGACGGTGTGTATCTTGTTGTCTATGAGCACGTACGCCATCACCAGCCCGGGCGTGTCTGTTGGCCTAAGCTGGAGGAGCTGCCAGGTATTCCGGAAGGTAACCTCGGCTTGGTCTCGGAAAGCCTGTTGAATGTTATTCTCGGGCGCACGTCGAGCACCAAAAAGATGCCTTCGTCGGATGCGGGCTTGCTTTTGGATCTTCCATTTCTTCTTCTGATACTCCAAGAAGGCAGCGTAGTCCTCGGAAGGATTTGGTTTGACCTTGGGTAGAGTAGAAAAGGGATCGAGATTCTCTTCCGGCTCCGGTGATTTTCTCTTCTGCGCAGCAGGTCCCTTTTGAGAAGCCGCGACTACCTCGGCGACTGGTTTGGGCTTCAGCAGCTGCGTACCAAAGTCTTCTAGATCTGCAAGGGTTCTGTTCTTGATGTTTGTAACATCCTCGAGGGGACCTCTGGTGAACAGATCCGTAAGCTTCTTTTGCTTCATCTTGTCATCCTTGATATTGATCCTTCTCTGCAGCCAGTCAGGATGTGGCACCCGTGGCACCGGGTTGCGAATTTTCTGAAGCGCTGCCGGAATCGTAATCAGTTTTTGGATGACGGAGCCCAGGCGCTCCAGGTAGTAGTCCCAGTCAAGTAGTGCCCTCGGGTCCGTATCTGTTGGCACTTCCTTCAGCCACTTCGCCAAATACAACCGCTTGACGTCTGGCTCGGCCGAGAAGATGGCCACGGGAACGGCACGTTCCGTGACGGGGGCATTCTTGGGTCTCGAGCAGATAATGAACTTGCAGTTCAATCCCTTGTCTTTGATCATGCCTTCGCCCAGGAAGTCAGCCAGACGCTTGGCAGTAGTGATGGACGTCGACTTCTGCGTGCCGTACTCCTCAAGAGTCTTGGACATGCTGCGGTTCTCCGAAATGAGCTCCATGAGTTCCTCGTCCGCGAGTGTCACACCCTTACTATGGAGCACGTCCAGCCAGCGGTTGGCAACCTTGGCGACGGCAGCGTAACACTCGGCAAGCGTGGACCCTTCCAGGAAGAACTTGAAGATTTGCTGCTGGAAGATCTTGATGAGCTTCAGCTCTCCTCTCCGCTTGACCTCGAAACCTTTGAGCTCCGCGAGACTGCCGTCGTCGTTGAACACTGCATAACGTTTCTTGAGATTCTTGTCCTCCTCTTTGGAGGTGGGCAAGACCATCGCCTTGTACGGACCGTCAACTTCGAAGAAGATGGAGTTGTCGCTGTGAGTCTCGTATTTGAAGGTCTTCTGGTCCACCAGAGTCTGGTATTGATGATTGGTGAATTTGTCGTGGACAAGATGGTTCAACATGACACAAGGATAGGAGATTGTCAGCTTCTTGCCGCCCTTCATCTTGAATGCAAAGTTCTCGGGAAATGTGGCTGGCAGCATACACCAGATACCATCTGTATCCAGCTCAAGTGGTCGGCCAAGCCGTTCGACGAGGCCCCGAGCCAGCTGGATGATGGTAGCTCCCGTCAAACAGGTAACTCCAGCCATCTCCATGGAGTACCATCTCGACCCCTTTCGCATGACATAGCCGTAGAAGGAATTGAGGATGACCTTGTGCGCCAGCTGCAAAGAGTCGAACAGGATGATCATCTTCTTGGCGGCATCGATGTCTGTACCGGAGGCACCCGAAGACTTGAGAGACTCCGTCTTGCCCTTCCATACCTTGGCCTTGCCTTTGTAATCGTACCGTCGGTCGCGAAAATCACGCACGGTGTTGATGTAGAAAGGATTCTCCCGTTGACAGATGATAGCCTCTCTGACGGTGGTTGTTGAGTCGTGGATCTTGTGGTAGACCTTCTGCGAGTAGAGTTGCAGACGTTTCCTTACGAGATTCGCCTGCTCTTCTGCCGATAGGTCCTGAAAGGATCGCATCGGCGAATTTGGCCATTTGCCCGGGAATCTCTCATTCTCCAGGGCGTGCCTGATCATATTGTACTCGTCTCGCTTCGCCGGAAGATATTCTCCTCTCCACGCCCATGGCAATCTCCTATCACAAGTCTTGCCGGGTCTGTTGAAATCGCAGGCAGCACAATCTGACTCCTGTATCATAGAGTCCGGCTGCAACCTGTTTGTAGTCATGATGTTGGGATACATGGATGCGACATCCAAATGGTAGATCAGAGGCCTCTCGCTCCTGTTCGGGGTTGCCTTCAGCTGGTTCAGCCGCGCGAGGATCTGTGCCTTGACCTCGTCGTAGTTCTCCACATCTTCAAGCTTCTTCTTCTCCTCGATCGTGATGACGAACTTCAACGCATTGTCCAGATCCTTGATAAGCTCGTCAACTGCGCCAGTGTCCACAGCAAAATTGACTGGTATGTCCGCTCGGAAGACACCAGCCTCGATACTCTCGACGTGGCCACCAACATACGTCTCGGATTCAAGCAGATGGCCTTCCCAGAACGCTTCCTTGGGCGACACATGCTTATTCGGGAGTACGATCTCATGGGTGTATGCCTGGACCATCAACAACATCTCGCAAAGGGTTCCAGTACCCTTTCGTTCGGTGTCGTCGGGTCCTAGTGGAATGATGGTGCACAGCGAGAAGATAAAAGGGTGCACATATTTCATGTATAGGTAGTATGTTGCCACTGCATCGGACACTGAGTACTCAGCCAGTGTCTGTGGCCTCTCGGCAGCGTAAGGTGTCATCAACTCCGGATCAAGCTCGTCAGGGTCGTATCCAAGCTTCGCGACCGTGACAGCCTTCAGGCCACGACTGCCCTGCGGGAGGTAACTGTCTCGGTTGACCCAGTGGAAACAGTCCATGTGGGCGCTGTAGTTTGACTTGAACTGGTCCTCACTGTCCTTCTTCCAGCCGATCTCGTGGTACATGTCGATGCCGTTGATGCTCGCTCTCGCCTCCACGAATGGCCAATCGAAGAAGTCACCGTTGTATGTCGCGATGACAGTGGGCCTTGCCTCCTTGATGTGCATGAAGAACCGCTCGATGACAGCGCGCTCGTTCGGCTCGTTGAAAATCATAAAGGGTCCTGGGTATTCTGGTTTGGGCGTATACTCAAAATCGGCGATGTCTTCTGATACCACTTCCCGATTGGTAATGAGAAACCCCTGTCCATCGATCATGTACGAAATCATCATGATCTGGTCGACTGCAGCATCGGGAAATTTCAGCGGTGCTTTGCAGGTCTCAATATCGTAGGCCATGACGACAGGGTCGGCCATGGCGAGATGCTCTTCATTGCATGTCATTGTGGTCACGCCATGCTTTGCTTCGACAAAGTACCATTTCCCCACCCGGATGCCTATTTTCTGTCATGAGTATTGCTGTGAGCCACAAGAGTAGAAAGGCAAGAGAACTGACCTTTGTCTATCATTACTCTCACATAGTATGGAACGTCGTATTCTCTTATATCAACAATGAAATCGCTGGCATCGGAAATAGAAGTATTGAGTCGCCGGTCGTCATCTCGTGAGTTGTCGTCAAAAAGGTCAAAATTGCCGTTGCTTGCCCTGTTCGATTGTCAGCGTTTTTCTTTCTTTCCCTCCCTCTTCTCTCTCTCTCTCGTCGAGAGCCATCGTCCGCCTTCAGGTGGGGTGATACTCACGCAGCAACCTCCGCATAGGTATCCATAGCGTCCATGCCCTTCTTATTCCTCTCCGCCAGCGGCATGATGTCCCTCCGAGCCGCCAGCAGGTCGCTCACGTTCGCGAACCTCAGCTCCAAGAACGTTCGCCTGTATCCCAGCAGATGGTTCGGCATTTTCAGGTCCTCCCTCTCGACCCTCCTCACGCTCTTCACGACGCCGCCGCCGGGAACCCGCTTGCACCACTCCTCAACCTCCATCTCACGGCCCTTCCGCACCGCGATGAGAAAGTACGGCTCGTACTCGATCGTCGCCTTGAAGGTGGCGCCGTCCTCCTCGATGAAGTAGCAGTCGAGCGCGGCCCGGCCGCCGCCGCCCGGCACGCGGGGGTCCTCGAGAGAGGTCGGCTGCACGTTGACGAGCCAGCCCTCGCGAGGACGGCCCGCCTCGTACCGCGCAAAGCCCATGTTCTCATCTATAGAGTGGGCAAGGCGCGTGCGCTCCCATTTCTCGTCGGCAGATGTCGCCTCAGCGCGATTTGTGGAGGAGGTGAAGGTTCGTGTCCTGGAGCCGCCGTGGTAGGATTGCTTGCCGCCCCGTCCGCCACGGAACCCCTTCTGGGGCCGGCGGAGGGAGGTATTTGGCATGGCGTTAGACAGAAGGGGTCCTGTCTGTAGGAAGAAGTACTGAGGATTGGTCGAGGGGCCTTAGGTCGGTAGGGTGAGATCGTGACCGAGAATGTGCAATGGCTCGGTTTTGAGAGGGCCAACGCGTGTGTAATGAGGAATTGAAGACGTGAAAGGGACTCGATGCGAGTGTAAAGAGTGCATACGAGTGAACTGATCAGGGGGAACAAAAGGGTATAAGTAAACAGAAGAAGGGAAAAGGGACCATCAGTAGGACTTCATGAATTTTCGTCCATCGGCGTGTCAGCAAAAACCAACATGGTGTTGTTGGCTGCTGCAAGTGAAATATCAAAGTGGTTCCCCTCGGAATCTGCTTGACGCGTCTAGAGTGCAGTGCTGGACCGCGTCTACACGCGCCGCACTTTGCAGGGCGCTGGGGGGCCTGTACAGAGGTACATCGAGCCCCATAAAAGCCTAGCTCGATGTTGCCCCACGTCCTGGCTGCATGAGCTAGCTGCTATCCCTGCAGGCTGCACAGACCAATTGGCATGGTCTTTTGACTGTGGTGGAAGACGTCAGTATGATGAACTTTTAATTCAGTCCTCATTGTGCCGACGAAGATCTCTGCAACAAGAGAACTTCGATGTAGCCCGCCATGTCCGCCTCACCCTCGTCACCTAAGCAGACTACCCCCATCGACCGCGAACTACAACAACGAGAGGCAGAGGCTGCCGCGGCACAGCGTTTTGCCGAGGTCTCGTTAAAGTCAAAGCCCATACCAGAGGGTGTCGACCCCAACAAGCGCGCGACCCTGGGCGAGGCCGTAACGACGATCAAGGCGGATGATTTTCTCAAGGTGCACCAGGCGCCGTGCACGCGAGAGGGGCTGCTCACGGGCATCGGATCTGGATCTGCGATTGGGTTTCTGAGGTACATCGTTGGCGGTATGTTCACAGAATTGTCCCTTGGGAGCATTGTTTAGGAGCTCAGCAATCTTGCCGAGGAAGGAGAAGGAGACCTTGTGGCTGACTGGGCGGGCGAACAGCACCGATACCAAAGGCGGCAAATTGGGCTGTCGGCTCCGGAGTCGCAGTCAGCGTCATCGCGTACGAGTACTGCCAGTACCAAAGGAGGGTCGAGCGTGCAAACATGAAGAGGGTGGTCGAGGTGGTAACCAAGAAGCAGGCGGAGCAGAAGAGACAAGAGGACGAGAAGAGATTACAACGGCAGACAGAACAAGAACTTGCCCCACAGAAAACTGCACAAAAGAGCTGGTACAGGTTCTGGTAGGAACCCATCGGCCTGCGCAAAGAGGAGAAAAGCAACAAGAAACAAAACAAAACAAATACAAATCATGGTCTGAGGCACTGGAAATGCGTCAAGAGAAAAATGTTAAGTTGCATTATTGTGGCGTTGTATGGGTATACTGTAAAGCAATTTCTTAAAGCAATTCTCTCGAGCTCTGAGCCCGCGATCGCAAAAGCCTGCTCCTTCAACCGCGTCCCAGCAAGCGAATCTGCTGAACACCCCCCCCCCCTCTCCCCTGACAAAATGTCCATTCTCCAGAACAACGCTCGTGTGTCAATGAGGGAGGGTGGAGCCTGAGGCTGATAATCCAAAAGTTTGGATGATCGGGGCTCCAAACACCAAATGATCCTCCTAAGCGATGGTCCTGTGGCGGTGATTCGTTCAACTGTAGAACCTTCTCCCCCAAAGCAATGGTCATCAGATCGTTTCAATCATCGCGGTACTCTCGGCCTCCGTAAACCGTACTTTTCTGTCACTCCGGTTCTTATGCTTCAAAGTCGGTGTCACAGGCTTCTCTGGGCTGCCCCGCCTCCTGTGGCTCCTTCGGGCCCGGGCTTCCTTCTCTTCCCTCTTCCTGTACTCTGCCAGTTGCTGCCTCCTCTTCATGGTGCGGGCGTATGCAATAGCGGGAGTCGGCTTAAACCCGATGCCATTAATCCCCACGCCATCGTCATCCTCGTCCTCGGGATCGTAGACTGTGATCTCGTTCTCGTGCCAGGTCAGGGCGGCTCGAACTGGGTCGATATTGGTGTTGTTACCTGCGACCGATGGCGAGTCATCTCGTTTTCGGTCGGCTTTCGTCTTGGGCATCTCGTCAGGGAGATCGACAGCGGGAGCGGGCCTGGAAAGTTTGCCTGGAGATGGCTTCGGGGACGAGATCAGGAGTGTCCGGTCGATCGCAACTCGTGGGACAGTATCGGGCTGTGATGGTGCATCTTCGACAGCCGGCGCGACTCGAGGTTGGATGGCGGTCAGTTCTGTTGCGCCGTCGGGCTGGCTCTCTTGCGCATTAGGCGTCGCATGGGCCTCGTCCTCGACTTGCGGTGTAGGTGGCTCAGAGCCAGTATTTGCATCTGGCACAGGCGATATTCGGGTGCGCTTCCTCATCTTGGACTCGTCCTCGTCTATCTGCATCCTGTCCGTCGTACCATTGTTCCCATCGCTACCGGCAACTCCAGTCCTCGCGCGCAGCACAGGGGCTTGTGCCGCTGCCGCTGCAACCCCGCCCCCACTTCTGCTGCCGCTATGCACGCTGCGGTCGGCCAGGACGAGACCTCCGAATTTGTGAGCGACCTTGCTACGAGGGCTGCTTTCATCGCTGAACGGCATCGAGCCGGCCACGCTGGCGTCGAAGCGGAATTGTGTATTCACCGGAGGAGGGCCATTCTCAGAAGTGACATGCGGTCTCTTGCGTTTGGGAGTTGAGAAGGGTGACGGCGACGAGTCGGTCATGGTTGCTGCCTCGAGAGTCTGATAGATTTTCGTGGATCTAAAGCCTCAACAAAAGGCTAGATGGTGACAACAGATGGAAGAACGTGAAATCGGTGCACGCAAGTCCAGGCCGGTTCGGAAGGCAAGAGGAAGAAGAAAGGCAGTTAGTTGATCGGTTCATGACGCCATCTGGAACGAAAGGCTGCTTTTTGTTGGCCCGGGACAAAGATCTGCTGTGTACTTCAGGATTCGTTCTTGGGACGATTCAAGTCCAAGGTGAGCACGAGGAGCAAAGAGGGTTGAACAACATAGTCCGGTAGGAATTAATTACGTAGGCGTGTCGGCGTGCCGGGCAAGTGTGAGGGAGGCAAACATGGCGTCTCATCGCCTGCGCTCCCCGCGCATAGTCAGCCCTGTTGGATTGGTGGGGGAAGGTGGGGTCTGCTGTACCATAGCGGGTAAGTGAGTAAGTAGTCACGAAATAAGCTGAGCTCACAAAAATAAGACACACTTTCAAACGTTTCACCGCTAACGAAGATCCAGTGAAAGAGAAATAGAAAATATATATACTTGGTTTGAAGTAAGATTATTTTATTCTTAGCCACTTATTTTAAAAATTCATCAAATGTTGTTAATCTAATGCGTTGACAAAATCCAGCCCAGAATCTGCTCCTGTTGCTAAATGTGCTGTAATTGGCTTGGAAAGCATTTTTGTGGGTTCGCGTTGTTTCGTGAGCGTGGTAGTTAGTTTCTCGTGTAGTACAAGGCTTCTCAAGTGGTACAAGGCTTCTCAAGGGCTGGGAAGCTCCTCGTTCGTGCTCCAATCTTCGCCTCAATTTTTTGATCCATTGACTTTCAAGCGCACAACTTCAATCGATAAGCTTGCATATAATGTCAAACTCGGGTTTATTCTTTTTTTTTCTGCCGGAAAACCATGCTAATTTTCTCGAAGCCCTGGCAGGATTTGGATTTGTTTTGACGTACTTTCAACCACAGCATCTTCATGACTGCGGTCAAGAGGCAGGTCAGAGTACCGTAGGAGACCTGGGGAGCATTGCGGCAAATCTTACATGGACACCTTATTAAGAATGGAAATTCGCGATGGCCTCGAGTGGGTGTAGTATTTTAGACATCTACGCATCTAGGCATCTGGCCGAAAGTCTACTTTGGGACATGCTCCGCGCGAAGGATGCCAACACAATCGTCCTTCCTCTTGACGTAAATACCCTCTCGGACCTCGCCCTCGACTCCTCCCAGCGCTCCCGTGGTGCAGAACCCAAGCATTCTCTTGACTCTGTCGGACAGCTTCGCCTCGACGTCCTTCCGCAGAGACAGGAAGTTGTTCTCCTGTTGGCGGATGAAACTCCTCATGAAGAACATGAGAATGGCAGGCCTCTCGCCCGACTTGGCATTGTTGGGCCCCGTGGCGTGCCACACTCTGCTGTCAGTGATGAGGCATGTTCCAGCTGTGCCCTCGGCCGCGATTGTGCCCTCTATGCTGAAGATGTCCTCAGGGGCGATGGCACCCAAGTGGGACGCAGGGAAGATGCGAGTACCGCCGTTCTCCTCGTTGAAGTCCTCAAGGAACCAGAGGATGTTCAATCCAAAAGCGAGGTTGCGCAGAGGCGGCTGGATGGCGACCTGGTCCGTGTGCAGCTGCATAGAGGTGCCTCCTGGACGGGTAATGCTGCAGGGCAGTGAGTGTCAGCATCTTTTCTTCACTTTCTGTTCTGCTTCTTTTTTCCTCCTCCTCTTTTGTGTTGCAAGGGGGAAAACGCATTGACAATGTTGCTTACTTGGCACTGTAACTGTGAATCAGGGCGTGCTCGCCAAGGAACCACGGGATGATGGCATCGATCAGCGGGTGGTTGAGGAAATCAATGAACTCATCGCCCTTGTTGATCAGGGTCCAGATGCGCTGGTTGGATCCGCCTCCATCCTCCTGTCCCACTCCGGCCTTGTTCTCACCAGCAGCCTGCTCCTGTACAGCCTTCTTCAGGATTGCGTTCTGCTCAGGCGTCAGGGCATTCTTGAACAGGGCGTATCCAAACTCCTCGATGTCACGCTTGACTTGGTCGAGATCCTCCGTAGGCTTTGGCAGGCGAGGGAATGCCCCTGGCACAACCTTCTTTGGTGGCACGGGAGGATTGGGCGTGAGCAAGTCGGCAAACTTGATACCGAGAGGGATGCTGCCCTTGGGCATGGACGCCGGATGGAAAAAGGCATCCTTGAAAAGGCCATAACGAGGCTCCAGCTTGCCCTCGTAAAATTGAGCGATGTCTGTGCGTGGCATCAGTTAACTTTGGTCCACTCTATCGGTGTTGACATAACGAGGGCGTAGTCTTACACTCAGCCTTCATATTCAGGGTGGTAGTGGGCTCGCCAGAGAACGAGTCCACCAGTTTCGCCTCCCCCGAGCGAGCATCGAGGAAGACGGGCTGGCGATCACCAAAGGTGAGGGAGATGACGCCATGCAACTGGCTGAGAAGGGGCAGCTTCTCCTTGATGATGGCGTGAGCCCTCTCGATATCAGCATCAGCCTTCTTGGCCCAGTCGACGTAGGACTGATCACTGAATTCCAGCCCAGGCGTCAAGGTCTTGCCGGGAGCCATGCCTGCCATTGTGAAATAATTGACTGAAGCAAAGAATAGGGAATCAAAGAACTGATTTCGTTTACTCTCTCTCGTGTGGACAAAGACAATGTAAAACACCCTGGATCTTACACAAGCATTCTCGTGGCCTCTTCCGAGAGCTTATTCTCCCATCTCGAGAGCTTGGCCCTGGCCTTAAATGTGAGATCTTGCTGTATTGTATCAACAATGATCTATCACTATCCTTGCGCTCCCTGTCACGCCATACGGAGACAATAATTGGATCATGGTGGGCCTTACTTTTACATCTGCTGCCAACGGACAAATCATAGTGCAGGGCCGAGACTCTTGGTGTTTTTCCTAGGGTAGGAACTGGTATCTTCACTATGCCAGTCCACAGGAGAAGGTGGTGTACTAACGCGACTCGTTACATGACGAACCCAAAGTGACCTTCTATCCTCCAACGTGCCTCTCAAAGTGGACGCTTTGCCCAATTGACGCTCACCGATTGGTGCTCACCGCCCCAACACGCTTCCCCGTTGGCATTCCTTCGTGCCCACCCCCCTCAACCCAGCCGTCGCACTCGCCGGAGACTGTTTTGGATCCTATTCGTCCTTGGCATCAAACTTATCAATAGTCCAAATCCAGCCAAGGGCAGGAGTCACGCGCACGCAACTATCTGCCGAAGCTGCATTCGCGTAATATTTCCTCAACTCCTCCCCCCCCCCCCCCGGCCCCTTGTGTGCTGCCCGACCGCTTCTGATCGTCATTTGGATACCCGAGAACTCGGACACACGTAAAATTTACCCCTGAGACTATGACAAAGGGGCATTCATCCCTCTACCATGAAGAATAAAAAAGGTGTTCTAGAACGCTGGAACTCCCCTCGAGGGCGTCGACAAGGTCTCTCTAGATCTTTGTGGGACTGTAGTTGGTGTCCGGTGCAGGACTGGTTCACACGCCTCACATACTACTACTGGCCTCTCGTATCTACTATGGAGTATTTCAGAGTGTTTTGTCTCACAAGATATTTAAGGGGGGCAAGACATGCAAGTCGACGTCCGCATATTGTCGCGTAATCCAATCCTCCTCGTTGTTGGTTGTGGAGAGGATAAATTATTATGGGTCGGTGTTAATTACTACAAAAGAGAACAGATCGGCGCCCTAAAACACGGGCCGGGTAGTGGTGGATTATTCCTATAGATATACCCGCCCCGGGGAAAGACTGCCGAGGACTTTTAAACGTCTCTCGTGGGTATCTGTGGGACTGCCGGCCCCGGGGACAAATACCCAGCGGACACGCATGGAGGGTGACTAGTTCCTAGTGGGGCCTCCTCGATTCTTGGAGCAGTAATTGGCTTAGAGCATTTACCCCATTTTGAATCCTAAACGAAGGATTCCGTAGTTAACCATTGTTCAGGGTTCAATCTCTCTCTCTCCCTTCCCCCCTTTCTCCTCAGGCACCAGCACTAAATGAATCGTTCAGCGCAGAGTCCTGACACGTCAAGTCAGTCATTCGATACAGTACAGGGTAGAAAGAAAAATCTTATCCCACAAGGTTTTCACCTGCACATGTGTATCGCGAGCCACGACTGTGCACATTTGTTTCCTATATGTGAGATACGACAGAAGTATGGCTCTTAGCAACAACTTTTTCATATCCTGTTCGCCGCCCATAAAAAAGACTTTGAGCGTTAAAGAAGAGCGGCACTCTTTCCTTCTTCTTCTTCTTCTTCTTCTTCTTCTTCTTCTTCTTCTTCTTCTTCTTCTTCTTCTCCTTTTTTCCCTTCCCTTCTTTTCGTGGATACTTGTCTTGTTTCGCCAATGGTCAAGGATTCATGCCCAGGCAACGTCAACTATCCTCCTTTCCAGGGAGATGAAATGAGAAAGGCGCAAGTTTAGGAGAGAAGTGTATGAGAAGTTCCAAGGTAGTCACTTCGTCCAATGTCGTAGCGCGAGTGGGTGCATATAACGAGCCACATAATGAGAAGCCACACATGGGTCCTCAGCCTGAGACTTGGGACCGGGCAGGCAGCAAGCCAGATATGGCGATGCTGATCAACAAGACTTGCGACGAGGGGACTATAAACTAGCAAAAGCCATTCAGAGCGACCGGTGAGACGTGTGGTGCACGGGCTTTGAGGCCATGAATCAAAACCCTGTCCAAGGCGTGAGTACAATCATGAAAGGGCGTTGGGCCTGACGAGTTTGGCTTGAGGAGTAGATAGTCGTTTATTTCCTACGAATATACACGTATAGTCACATACACAACAATCATATACGTAATATACGGCTGTGTTCCCCTTAGAGATGCATGCTGAGCTTAAATACGTATAGTACCTTTGTACCTGGTCTACAACCCATACGAAGGGTGGTGTCTTCCTCCACTCGAGTCTCGAGCTGCTGATAGGCTTTGCCACCTAAATTTCCAAGACGTTGCCCCTGAGTACGTATGATTGAGCCCCACATGGAGGGAACGTCTATGTCTGGATTTAGAAGTGCTCGACACTGGCAAGGTAACGAGACGCCCGAAATACAGAGGTGAAATTTGCTCTGTGAAGGATTAGCTGAGCGGGGAGCAGAGTCGCTCATCCCGTAAACTTAATCATTTTTGTCCTGCGCATTATTCGTATACGCTGGTCCCCAAGATATCCTCTTGGCTCGAGATATTCTTTTTTACAATCGCTCCAGAACATTCGTGAACACTTTTATTTTACATCCTCTGTCAATCGTATGTTTTCGCTGATCCTCCACATCGGGCCTCTCTAGTGCTCCATCTCTGCCACGGTGTCACACCCCACTCGATCTTCGTCCTCCAACGTCGTTCATTGGGACGCAAGTCTTCCAGCCAACCAAAGTCTCTGAGAGACTAGCGACTGCCCCTCATGTCAACAGAAGAGAACTGGATATGGCATCCCGACGGCCTGGGCATGGCCACTCTGGTCGTCACTGTCGTGCTGGCTGTTCTGTGCATCATAGTAGTTGGGATGCGAACCTGGACTCGAATTCAGACCGGCAAATACGGACTTGACGATGGTCTTATGATTATAGCCGTGGGGATATACACTGCGTGCTGTGTCTTCACCTGTTTGGGTGTGTACACTGGGCTGGGAACCGCTGATGGACGTCTCAATACATGGAATAAGACTGAGACTACCAAGGTCAGCAAAGCATTTAGAAGTGGTCGCGGGAACTATGATGACCAAAACTTTTCATTCAAGAGCTGATGCTAATCAATCTGCTTTTTAGAACATCATCTTTTTCCAGTTAACCTACGCCTGTAGCCTACCGTTCATCAAAGCTTCCATTTGCTTGACGATGCTAAGAATTATCACCGAAAAACCTTACCGGATCACTATCTGGGCGGCCATGGCAGCATCCGTAGCTAGTGGAGGTAAGCAAAGCATTAAGCTCAGAACACCCCCCGCCCCCCAACGAAAAAAAAAAAAAAAGATGACATTAGTTTCCTTCAAGTCATCGACGGGCGTCCACCCATGTCGCCAACGGCTGCTTGTCAGCTGACTTGATCCGACTGAGATGAACCATGTTTGCTAACCATCGTTTTCAACAACAGTGATTGGCTTCATCGCCGTCGCGTCTCTCTGCCAACCTATATCCTTCTACTGGGATACCTCCATCAAAGGAGGATGGTGTGCTTCAGTGTCGATCATCACAGGACTCTCATACATGATCTCGGTACTGGCCATTATAACCGACTGGACCTGCTCCCTGGTTCCATGCATCGTCGTGTGGAACCTGCAGATGAAGAGTCGGCTGAAGGTGTCCGTCTGTGCTGTCCTCGCCCTGGGTATTGTGGCGAGCGCTGCAACGGTGATTCGATTGCCTTATTTAAGATATTACAACATTGTGACAAATTATGATTGTACGTGCCCCTGTCACATGCTTATCCTGCTTACCTTCCTACGATTTGACTTATTTTCTCTCTGTGTCTAACATCTCATTCCTCACCAGACAATGTTTGCAACATCCTTCTCTGGTCCATCATCGAGTGCGGCGTGGGTATCTTGGCAGGCTCTCTGCCTTCGCTACGGACACTACTCAAGTCATGGATCGACAAGTCTTCCAAGGGCTCCTCGTACCGAAACACCCCCGGGTCCTACGCGATGAACCCTCAAAGTTCCAGCAAGAGATTGAGGGGGGAGAGTATGAAGATGGGCTACATGACGCCCAAAGGAAGGGGGACCACGACCACCGTCTCGGCCTCGCAGGGAGGCCAGGGTCCTTGGATTGAGCTGGACGATGACAGTAGCCAGAAGCACATCATCCATCGTACCGTGCAGGTCTCGGTCGACGTCTCAGAAAACACGAGCATTCGCGACTGAGGAAAGCTTTCTTATTTCTTTCTTTTTGTTTTGTTTTTCCCGGTTTAGATACTCTCTATTGTTGGAACAAGTGCAGCACGGTACAACCAGGTGGCCGGCATCCGCCCTGTTGGTTTCTTCACTGCACGGTCTTGTAGGTGGCTACCTACCCATTTGCGACTTATTTGGGATATGTACTTTGTCATAATATTGGTTCGGAAAACAAAAAAATTAGATAATACAGCGCGCGAGACCATTCACATTCTTCGCCACCCCTTTTGAGCAAGTATATTTTGTCCTCGGTTGAACCGGAATTAGGAATGACACCTGGGAAACCTTAAACCTCGCTTGCATCGTGTGCTCAGGCAGTAACTGGACTCTTTGTCGCTCAGTACCCGAGGGTGTTGTTCATAATGTCGTTGTGACTGAAAGATTCATCATTAGATTGAGATTCGTGTGCGTGTATAGCGACAAAATGTGAGCGTTTGTCAAGTTGCCGTGCGATCAGTTGACTGGATTAGCAGTATTCCGCCTGATGAAGCCGGGGTTTGGGGCGGGGTTCATTGCCGAAAAAAGGCACTAATTACTCCAGATGGCCAATGTTGCATCAAAGATTCTTATCAGTATTATCATTGCAGATGAGATGACACCTAGAACAGGATATAACGTCACTCTGTATGTGTTCTGTAACCTTACAGACCCAGCAGAAAGAAGTGCTACTATCTTTCCACTAGTGACATTTTAATTTCTTCATTATCTTAAAAAAGAAGGAAAGAAAAAACCACCAGAAATATCTGTGCCACCGTTCACGATGCCTCAGCCAATCCAATACACAGAAGGGCATGCTCAGTCCACTGAGCAAGCCCAGCAGGGGTCGTCAAGCTATAAGAGTGCCACGAGGGAAGATCTCCAGCAGGTGGCAGATTCGCTGGGATTTCCCATGCAGCCAGATGATGAGTCGGATTACCTTCAACTCCTCCAGTCTGCTGTCTCAGCCATAGAGACCGTGGACGCCTTACCGGCATACAGCGTTCCACACAAGTCAAGCGGAATCAAGCGGCTTGACAAGCGAAGTTGACGGTTTGGCGATGGTCTTCAAGACAAGTAAGCGGCCTTTTTGACCAAGCGGCTTGCAAGCGAACAAGCGAATTGCCTCAGTCCTATTGTGGGTCCTTATAGGCTCAGTTGAAGCTATCGCGGCCCACTCTGGATGCAACCTTGCTGGGGTTTTTGGTGTTTTGGCCTAGGCTTTTGCCCTGGCCCTTGGCTATTCGGCCTATATATCCGTATTAAGTCTTTTCCTCCGCTGGCAGGCAAGCTCTTCTGTACCTCTTCTACCCTTGTACTTGGCATCCTCGCGTTTACTTCCTCGCGTCTCGCACCTGGGTGTCCTCGCGTTTATCTATCATCGCTTTCCTTTCACTATCATGGCTAATAGCAATGCTTTCAACCAGCTTAGCCACGCGAGATATACCTCTATCCAGAAGCAGATCGATGCCCACGATGCCACAGCACAGTTCTCTCTTGGTACCCTCAAAGACCTCCCACGCATTAAGGTTCCAGGACGATCCCATGCCTTTGTCCCAGCTCGCTGGATGCCAACATCATCGGCCAAGAGGAAGCGCCACGGGTCTGATATCTGGCATTTCGGCGAGAAGCTCTTCGAGGTCATCGTACAGGCTGACGGCACATGCAAAGTTGCAGCGGATTGGTGGTTCTGTCGCCTCTGCGATCAAAATAATCGACAGACCTTATATACCACGCGTAACAGTATCTCGACAAGCACATCAGCAGCTCTAAAGCATCTCGAAGGTCGCGATAACGAGGGCCATAACCTTGGCAAGCTGAAAGAGCTTGTTGCAGAGGCAGAGAAAGAGGAGGTTAGCCCAGAGGAGCTTGGCCGGCGAAAGCGGCGAAGAATAAACCATCGTGGCCTTTTCAACAACAGCAGTCTATATACAGCGCCTGATGCCTTGAAAGACGCTGCCAACGCTCCAACTCGTGCAGTTGTTAGTCTCGCGAAGAAGGCTATAACAGAGCTGGTTGCTTGTTGCGATATACCTCTTTCAACTCTCGAGGCGCCTCAGTTCCGCCAGCTGTTGATGGTCTGGAATAGCATCCTGACGGAGCACTTTTTCCCTCGAAGTGATGGCACAGTGATGAGATGGCTGTTTGAGGCGTTTCACGAGAACCTAGCTGGTCTTCAGCTCCAGCTCCAGCGCGAGGCTATCTCGAAGATTCATCTATCTGCTGATCTCTGGACCTCGCCTAACCACAAAGGCATTCTAGCAGTGGTTGCGCATTTTGTTGATAGCGATGCAAAGCTGCGAAATCGCCTTATAGCAGTGAGGATGATCAACGGCCAGCATACTGGCGAGAACCTCCAGTGGCATCTCCATCAGGTTATTATGGCTTTTCAGCTTGAGGAGCGGCTCGGCTGGCTTACTTTTGATAACGACAGCACGAACGACAAGGCAACAAGGCTTCTTTTTCGCAAGATGTATGGCTTCAATCATCGTGAAGCTGAGAAGCTGCGGATTGAACGGCGATGCCGCTGCTGGGGCCATATTATTAACCTTATTGTCAAAGGCTTTCTCTCTGGTAACGCTAAACAGATACTCGAGGCTGAAGATAGCGATGCTGATGAGGTAAGTTGAGCTGTTTTGTATCTTCCTGGCTTATTGCTAATATTTAAGCAGGAACTCGAGCAACAGAGGAATCAGTGGGATCAGTGGCAGCGAGAAGGACCTATACGCCGCGCTCATCTTATTGTAGTCTTCCTCAAGGCAAGTGTACAGCGGGTCCAGGACTTCGAGAAGATTGTTCAGAACTCTTTGTTTTCTCCAGAGGACCAAGATCTCGAGAACACTACAGCCTTTTTGGCAGAGGCCCTTCCTCAGCCAACAGCACAAGACCTCACGATGCCACCACTACCGCTTCCTACAGACTCTACAGATGAGCAAACTGGCGATATATCTACCTTGCGGCCAGTGGTAGCTCAGGAGACGCGATGGAACTCAACAGAGGCTGAGATATCGCGGCTGCTGAGGCTGAAAAGACCTATTGATTTCTGGGTTAAAGAGCAAGTTCGAAGCGGTGCTAAAATATAACCTTTGAGTGAGCAGGACTGGCGAGTGCTTGAGGCAACTCGAGATCTTTTGCAGCCATTCCTATGGCATACAAAACACCACGAGGGGAACGCTGTAGCTGTTCATGATGTTCTCAGTTCTTTGTGGGATCTCGAGAAGCATTTGCGGTCCTTTCAGGAGAGATTTGGAGGCAGAAAAACGTATGCTGAAGAAGAAATCCTTGAGGAGATTATTGTCTCGCCAAATGCAGAGAAACCAGCCCTCCAGCGGCCCTCATCGCGATATCAGGCCCCTTCAAGACCTTCCTCTCGGCCCTCGCCTCGACCCTCCCCTCGACCCTCCTCTCGACTTTACTCTCGGCCCTCCTCTCAGCGTTCCTCTCGGCCCTCCCCTCGACCCTCCCCTCGATCCTCCCCTCGCCGTCGAGCTTCACAGTCTTCAGATATATTTCCCAGCACTCCAGTACGGGAATGGCCAGATGTTGGTTCTCAACAAGAGGCTGAGATATACCCCGAGGAATGTGGGCTTGAAGGTGCTGAGTTTCTGAGAGAATCAGTAGCCCACGCATTAGCAATTCTCAAGCGATATAAGAGCAAGCTTCGCGAATGCCCTATATATTTTGCTGCTGCTGTTTTGCATCCGAAATATCGCCTGGTTGGTATTCGTACAGCAGCGCCAGCTATTGCTGACGATGTTGAACAAGAGTTTAAGGCTTTTTACGAGAAATATTGAGCATATAAAGATCCAGCCTTATCATCAGCATCAACACCCAGCTTGCAGGAAGATCAAGAACATAACAAGCCAAAGAAGCAGTGGAGGACCGCCTTCAGAGCACAACCAAGGCCAAAGCATCAACGGCCACAGTCAGAGCTGGAGAAATATCTCCAGCTAGAAGAGGACGACGAGGACGACGATGGTTTTGAGCCCCTCGTCTGGTGGGCAGCGCGTAAGGCCGAGTTTCCAGCCCTCTCACAGATGGCCTTCGACGTCCTATCTATCCCCGCGATGTCGTCCGAATGCGAGAGAGTCTTCAGCCAAGGGAAGCTTACGATGTCCTCGCAGAGGAGGAGAATGAAGAGCAGCACTCTCGAGCTCCTTTTGTGCCTCAAGGACTGGCTGAAAAATGGAACGCTGGCAGGACCAGCAGCAGAGATGAGGAGGAAAGGCATTGCCTAGCAGCTTTTTGCCAAAAAAAGGCATTCGAGGGGGTCAGAAATGTTTCTTTCAGCACTTGAGCGAGGGACCTCGCGCGGATCAGAGCGTAACAAGGAAAACTATCATCATATGCCTCTGTACCGGTTGAACCACGTGCGTAGCTCATTTGTTACTCTCACCACCTTTCGTTTCGTATATCTATCGTACATTCCTAATCCGGTATAGTGACCAAGTCACCAAGCGAATCAAGCGGCCAGGTACTAGAAGACAAGCAAGCGGCCAAAATAGTTAGCAAGTCAAGTGGAGGGCTACCGCTTGCCTTGACTTGACTTGTGTGGAACGCTGCCCTCATGGATATTATGCGGGGCCTGCCCGCTGGCTTCTCTGGCAGTATGAATAAGTTCACCCTCAACCTTGACCTCGAGGATGAGGTTGGACCCCTTCTCACTTTCGCTGACAGCATTTTGGAGTACGGATAGAATCTTCCTGGCCAGCCTGCGGGCTATAACCTCATCATAATCACTCTCTACTCTCTCTACACCGTCACAGAAGACCCTTCTGGCCGCCCACTCCTCCACCGGCCCACCCGGCACCATTGATCAGGCAGAATTGTCCATGTCTGCTATGGATCAGAAAGTAGAGGTCAAAGTTGAGGCCAAGGACGAGGTTATGGAAGAGATCCAGATTGAGGTCAAGGGCGAGGCATCCCAGGAGACCTGCTGTAGTAGGGTCCAGGACGGCCACCGTCAGTACGGCAGGTGTCGCGGGAACAGAGCTTAAACGGTGCTGCGCCGTGTGCTTCAAGCAGTTCGGAGAACACAACAAGAGCTGAAGGGGGGGGGGGGGGAGGCTTGTGAAAAGTCGTGCGCAGCAAGAGAGGAAGAGAACGTCGAGGTGACTTTGGTTTAGAATGACAATGGAGAAGTGAGTTTGGGAGATTGTAATGGGTCTTGCCAATCTCTTGGGCTCATACCGGACCTTACGTGGTACCTCAGGATGTGTGATGAGGTAAACCCTGCAATTGTAGACTTAGCTGATGAAATCTTCGACACAATATTATGGGAAAATCTGCAAGATGAATAATCATGTACGCATATATTGGAATCGCTGCAATCATTCTGGCCTTTTGAGTTTCCAGAAAGAATCTGGAGACAGTCAACAGTGTCCGCTATATTGGGTACTTGGTTGGTTGGGTCGGTTGACATTAGCCTGCTGCACAAGGTTGTGGGAGCTGGTCCGAGAACTCTGAATGAGCTTTTCATATCGCCTACTCACCTGCGGCTTTCTCTGATGAAGCGTGCATTCGAAGTCGACGAACGATGGAGAAGGCATTCAAACAGAAATCACTAGTCCAGCAAAAATTTAGTAGAATAGAAAAATTTGTTGTGCGAGTTCACTATGAGAAGGAAAATGAAAAAAAAGTCCTCTAGACTTTGGTGCAACCAAGCCTTTGGGAGGAGGAGGAGGAAACTGGAAAGGAACGCCCTCGTTCCAACACACCCCACCCCCCCTCGTGGGGCCCTTCCCCCTTGTAAGCTGTAACTATCAACACACCTGATCATCGCGCTTGTCAAGACCACGAAAAATCACCGCAGCAGAGAAGATCTCATTGGGGAGGGTCCATTCTAACTTGAGAATACAAAAGGGATTCTAATAATTTCTATATAGATATTGACCGTGTAGTAAGTCCAGAGAGGTAAAAAGAAGACTGTCAGGTGTTCATCTCACAGTTTCCCCTTTCTCCTTCCCTTTCTTTCTCCTCTGTCTTAAACCAAAAGTTGGCATCGGTGGTCGGCGGCAGAGGATCCACTTAAGCCGTGGTTGCCACTATACATGAGAGAGAAGGAGGAAAAGAAAGCTCGCGTCTTGTAGCCTCGACATCCCGAGTTATCCACAAAGCACCTCCCGGGGCCTGCTGCTAGGTGAAATAAACAACAAAGTTCAGCCTGCAGCTTCTCTTGCTTGAAAGTACAATATCATCATTCTTAGGAGGCAGGTGGGTGTGCCATGGGTGTGATTGTTTGTACGACTCGGCCTCGCGTTCACTTTCTTCTCCCTGGGCTTTTGGTGGTGGTTTTCTTTCTTTTTCTTTCTTCCATTTGGCGGTCCGTACCCATCCTGATCTATCCAAACTTTGAAGATGATAATATCGAAAGACAGAAGGAGAGAAACAAAAGAAAAGTCTTCTATTGGTCCCGAGCTTGATCAACAGGGAGGATCTTCGCCTCGGCGTCGGCAATGGCTCTTCATTTGTCTCATGAAGAGATATCATGGTGTTTTGGGCCTCGACTAGGCGTGCAGCTTCTGGATGCGGGCGCTGCGCCTCTCAGCTTGCCTGTAGGGCTTCTGCACCCGGCCCTTTGGTGGACCAGAGGTGGTGGTCGTCTGCTCGCGAGGTGCAATGCGGACGCTGCTGCGGCGGCCCAAGTGAGTAGCGGGGCTCTGAGGACTGACTGGAAGCGTAGAGGCAGGTGTAGGCGTCCTCTTCTTGCTTCCGGCACTCTTTGTGGTCCTCATAGTGCCGGGTCGGGGTGGTGGTGACGGCGATGGCGGCGTCGTCGTCGTCGTCATCCTTCGGGTGGTTCTCTTGGCGGCGATGGTGGTCGTCATCGTCGTGCCAGGAGAGATCCGTCGCGTTGTTCTGAGGCTGTCCTCGCCAGAGCGTCTATCATTATTCTTGAATCGTTTGGCTGCACGCTTCATGTTCATGATATTGGCCCTGACCGTGACCATGATCAACACCACCGCTCTGGGTTGATAGCCTCTTGGGTGGTGGGGGTGGTGATCGTGACGGGTTCGTCTTGGTCCTGGTCCGATTCGTGATCGTGGCCTTGATGACCTGAGGGCTTGTCGGAGGACGCCAGGAGGGGTGTGGGGTCCACGCCGTTGGGAGAGGCGGCCAGCAGCTCGGGAGGCGAGCGATGGGGGCTGAGGAGGGCCTTGCAGAGGGAAAAGAAGCGGGCGAGGGCTTCAAAGGCGGGGGAGGCGCGCAGGAAGGCCACCCACTTCTCGGCGGTGTCTTCTTCGGCGTCGTAGTAGCCCTCGAGGGCGGGCTGCCAGGCGGCGAGGCGCAAGGACACGGCGTGCCAGCAGTTTCGAAGCTCCCGGAGCCGTTGTTCCTTACGGGCCTTGAGGAATGCGTAGACGCCGCCCTGGTATCTGCAGGGGAACAAAAATGGTCGGCGCCGTGGTGGGTGGTAGAGAGTTCCGGGGTGGGGCTCTAAGTAGGCTTCTGGATCAGGTTCTCCGTCGCTGGTGGTGGAGAAGAGGGAAGAGAGAGATGATAGGCATCCCGCATCTTTCACGTAAAAGCTTTCTTGATGACTCTGTGGGAGAGGCCATCTTTTAGGTCGGCGCTCCATCTCTGTATGTGTGCTTGTCGGATGATATAAATATTTGAGAAGGAAGGGAGTTGGGGGGGGCGGGGGTGAGGGATAGACAGAGAGATAGAGCGAGAGAGAGCGAGAAAGAGGATATGGATGGTGGACTGGACAATGGGATTTCGGAGCACCCCTGATCCTTGTTCTTATTGGAGGGTACTCCTTCTCGAGTATCGATGCAACTTGGAAGCTCATCCTTTTTAAATATGCCGCTGGTGAGAACACAGTACAGATGTGTTGGCTATGTTCCAGGAGGCCCAAGCTTCTCAAGGTCATGGATGGAGGGGGACGAGCGCCCAAGAGGTATCGCTGCAAGTGCTGGCGCGCTGGCATCCTACAGCGGGCGGCGACACCTCAGATGTTCATTCCTTTCAGTGGTCCTGAAGCTGCTTGTGAGAGGATACTGGACGTCTAAAGAACATCGCCAGAGCGGACCTCGGATGAGTCAAGAGTTGGAATCATGCAAACGCTTTGCTATAATCAGTGTTCCTTTATCCAACTGGCCCGCCTAAAGCTGTCGAGGATGTGAGCCCCCAGGAGCATTGCTGAGCGGTTGTCTGGCATCTTGTATAAGCGACGATACCCCTTTCTGATTCTAGCGGTTGTCAAGCTGCAGCTCAGACGAGGGCGCTAGAAGTATGGCAGAAAGCTTATCTTCCTACAAGCAGTGACAATGCCCTCCTGTGTGTGCACCTGTTGGGGAGCACAGAAGGGCGGAGAGAGAAACACTGTCCGCGACGCGAGTAAAACACACGGTGGAATCAACCTCTGGAGAGATACGTATCAGTTAACGTTGACCACGTCAGGGAAGGGAAGACTCACTTGTTGAGAAAGAAAAAAAAGGGCGACCCGACACGACACGTCTTCAGAATGTGGCCCCGGTGCAGGTGCAGCATGGCCTAGCCTTTTAGAATCCACGTCGTTGCCCGCACAATGGCCACACACACAAGTGCCACGTCGTCCGTCGTCCTTCTTTGGTCGAGGATAAGTGGTCGGGGCGGGAGGGGATCGATCATTTCCCCTGCCAACAATGCGTAAGTGGATCAAGGCATGCCGGAGGCACCGAGCTGTGTTGTTTCATGTCAAACCATGCCCATGTTCGCTCAAAGGAGTGAGTGGTAAGGCCAGCATCGTGAACAGCAGGCAAGGCGGGTCCGCCGAGCAGAGCTTGTCTGCGCGTGTGTACGTGCATATTTGTGTGCCTGGAGAGATAGGAGAGAGAGAGAGAGAAGGAGGGAGAGAGAGACCAAGGAAAAGCCTAGTGACCGTCAGCGTAGGGCTTAGTCTTGGCCACGATGATGGGTCGTATCTGACAGCGGATAAATCGACTCGCGACGAAGGAAGAGGCTAGCTGTGGGGCCTCCTCCCCTTGGTGTCCTACCCGTGTGGGCCAGCCGTTATTCGTCGTAGGTTGTTGTTGACGTTGACGTCGTTATGGTCTGGAACTCACCATCTATCTGCAGGTCCACACTCACTGACAACAGATGACAGCCTTGGGACCAACGATAGTATATTCCAGAACAAACTTCGACTGCGTCGATGGGAATCCTCCAACGTACACGCACTATCCCTGCGACGAAATAAATGCAAATCGAAATCATCAGTTGCAAATGGACACGGACAGTGATTAGTCATGTGTGATGATCAACTAAGCCAGGACAACACAGGGGCCCCGCCTGGGTTTCAGTGAGAGGATGACTGACAGATTACTTACTTAAGCACATCGTAGCAGTCAATCTGGAAAAGAGAAGGGCCGAGAATGGTGGGGCCAGCGCTCTGTGTCGACCACGTGCGAGCCTGCCCGCTCTGCTAGAAAAAGCGGCTACAAGGAAAGAGAAAGATAAGGCGAGATCCACAGAGGACCAAGTAAGTCCCTCCTGCGCTCCACTGAACCGGACAACGCATACATACAGTACATGCAGACTCTTTCTGCTCTCCCTCTCTTCTGTTCCTGTTCACTCCATAGCTCGCCATTCACTTTTCCCCTCCCTCCCCTCTGTGTCTCTCTTCCTTATTCATGATTTGTTTCCCTTTAGTTTTTTTTTTTTCTTTTTCTTTCTTCTTTTAGTCCAGAACTTCCACGCGGCAAGAGCAGCCTCGCATGTCAACTCAGTTTTACAACAACTAGCGCAGAACCAACGCCCAGGACAACACCAAACGACCCCCAGTTTTGGGGGGGGAGGGAGAGGCGGGGCCTACAGGGGGGCCTTGCGGCTGTCCAGCGTCCACTACAGCGAGTACACAGCAACTGCCCCACACCACCCTTTGCTGATCAGCGATCCACCCCTGCTCATTCTCCCCACCACTGAACCCCCTGACCGTTTGCCATCCCACAACCCATTGGCTAGAAGGTGCATTTGCGGGTATAAGTGATAATGTCCGTATGACAAGTACTGTAAAGCCTGTCCGCCCAACGCGACGGGACCACGACAAGAGACAATGCAATACAATGGATGCTTGGCAACTCCAGTCCCACCAAGACGGCCATCAATCTCCGCGGAGAAGGACCATCCACTGTCTCCTCCTCGGGCGGTCCAGACCATCCATTCATCTATCTACCTGGCCTTGCTGTATCATAGTTACAGTCCAGGACAGTCCATTCAATCCCTTTCTTGAGGACCAGCCACACCATTGTTGGAGAAATGTTTGCTGGTGCCTGTGGGATCACGCTGAAGCCAGGCTGGGACAGTAGAGATCTTCCATGTCTCGCAAGAAGAAGAACCGAGGAAAAGAAAAAGAAGAGAAAACCTTCATCTAGGTCTAACAGATTCCGAAGCATGCCCGGGGGTGGGGGAAGACCACGCCCATGCACGTATGTATGCAGGCTGTCCCACCCTTGCAGACAGCGCAACTAGTTCTGCTGCTTTTGTACACGATACATTGACAGTCTCATATTGCCCATCCAACACTCACGTATACAAACAGACAGACAAAGATACACACACACACACACAGAGAGAGAGAGAGAGAGAGAGAGAGATTCTCCATTCGGTTAAACCCGACTTTCTCGTCCTCAGCTACACCATCCAATCCCAGCAACAACCACATCATCACTTCCTACACACACATACAACCATACACCCAGACCCATGTCCTATAGCCCCAGGTTCTTGGGTCACTGCCTCTATTGGCATGCCTCTTCCAACCGCTCCCTCACAACGCTGGCTACATGCAAAGTGACTTCGTATTGAGACGCTCTGGGAGGCGTAGGGAGCCGTGGGATGGAACGGGACCCGACCGTCCTACCGCCCCCCCCCCTCCTTTCTTGTCGTTAGCATAATACAGTGCATAGAGGAGTTCTGTTGAGTTCAACTGTTGAGGGTTTGAGAACAGCGCAGAGGCGACGTTATTCAACAGGTATCAATCAAATCGATCTCTGCTAGACACCCGCGTGTGAGACGTTTGTTAGTATTGTGCTGGCACCAAAAAAAAAAAAAAAAAAGACAAAAAAAAAAAAAGAAAAGAAACCGTGCTCGTGTAGCTTGCACCATCTCTCAGCCTACTCTTTCTGTGGTCCGATGTAGCCCAGCTATAACAACCTCCCATCAAATAGCCCATTTTCCTATATTTTTCTCGCTTACGTCATGAGAATCCATTCGCTGTATGTACCATAAAAACACCTATCTAAGAAGATGGTGTCTCCCGGTGACTCAAAGACGAGATTAGGGCTATGTGACATATGGTGTGATATTACTTCCGCCCCCTGCTGGATTTCGCCGCCCTGGAGTGCACTGTGGTGATGGTGGTAGCAGCGCCAGCGGCTGACGTGGTAGTGATACACGACAGCTTCCATCGAGGATTATATCACTGGCCATAGAGGCTACTTCTCCGGTCTCAAGCATGCACTTATTTTTGTTGTCATAACATTCTGAGTACGCTATGTGTGAGAGAGCTCACACGTACACATCCGAATAACAGCATCCCACAACCGTAACCACTACCATATCCATAAGATAGATAGAAATGAGAGCAAGCAAAAAGAGCAAAGAAAGAAGGGGGGTGGGGGGATAAGAACAAGGAACAAGAGAGGAATCCATATTGAAATGAATAACAATTTGAACAGAGAGAAAAAGATGAAACGAAAAGAAGAGAAAAAGAGACAGAGCAAAGAGAGAAGAAAAACACATTGCCGGTATCCATAGTCGTGGTCATCATTATGAGGATAATAATGAGAAACCTAAAATCCCCTCTCTTGCTGATCGCATTGCCACAACAGCTTGCCGAGCCGGCTATCCAGGCAAAAACGCCCCCAAACTCCCTGCTTCCCCATCTCGAGGCCAGCGCCATGGCGCAAGCATGAAAGATGCGTTCTGCGTCGCCCCCAGCCAGATCTCGTCTGAGCACCACACACCTACACAGCGCAGCAAGAAAAGAAAAAGAAGGGGAAAAGCCTCTCCCTCCTGTTACTATTCCGAGGTCATTGGTCCTGGTTATCAGAAGAAGTCTTATCAACAGGAGTCTCGTTGTCAGAAACATTATTAGCCTGGAGTAGGTAATTGAAGGGATTGTTGAAGTCAAAGTCCCAAGGCCCAATCTCAGGCACGTCGAGTAGTGCTAGGATGTTTTGATCGTAAGTGAAACCCTGGTCATTTTCGGGTCCATTGGCCTCCTCCTGTGGTAGTTCAAACAGGCTAGACAACGGGTCTGGCTGCTGCACTTGGCTTTCAGCCTGCAGTGGAAACCCATATAGAGGCGAAAGTTGTGTGAGGTCATCATCAATCAACATGGGATCAAAGACCGTTGCAGGCGAGGGTTGCTGGTGCTGACTGCCGGCAGCAGCCTGTATGGCAGCAGCCTGCACGGCAGCGGAGAATTGTGGTGTTTGTTGGGGTTGACTACCAAAATGCATGGGAAACGAAACCGTAGGTGGTGTCCGTCGGGCTAGGCTCTCTATCTGCATGGATTCAGAAAAGAGAGTCGAGGGTAGTTGGATCTGATGGCTAGTAGGCCGTAGTGGATGATGAGATACTGCAGGTAAGGCTTGTTGCGGTTGACCAACAGACTGCAGTGGATGAGATGCTACAGGTAAGGCTTGTTGCGGTTGACCAACAGACTGCAGTGGATGAGATACTGCAGGTATGGCTTGTTGCGGTTGACCAACAGACTGCAGTGGATGAGATGCTGCAGGTATGGCTTGTTGCGGTTGACCAATAGACTGCAGTGGATGAGATACTGCAGGTATGGCTTGTTGCGGTTGATCAGCAGACTGCAGTGGATGAGATACTGCAGGTAAGGCTTGTTGCGGTTGATCAGCAGACTGCAGTGGATGAGATGCTGCAGGTATGGCTTGTTGCGGTTGACCAACAGACTGCAGTGGATGAGATACTGCAGGTATAGCTTGTTGCGGTTGACCAGCAGACTGCAGTGGATGAGATGCTGCAGGTAAGGCTTGTTGCGGTTGACCAGCAGACTGCAGTGGATGAGATACTGCAGGTAAGGCTTGTTGCGGTTGATCAGCAGACTGCAGTGGATGAGATGCTGCAGGTATGGCTTGTTGCGGTTGACCAACAGACTGCAGTGGATGAGATACTGCAGGTATAGCTTGTTGCGGTTGACCAGCAGACTGCAGTGGATGAGATGCTGCAGGTAAGGCTTGTTGCGGTTGACCAGCAGACTGCAGTGGATGAGATACTGTAAGCAAAGGTCGTTGGCCGCCAGATTGTACTGAGGCATCAGATCCCGCCGGTGAGGGTTGTTGGTTCCGACCACCAGAATTGAGTAGCTTACGAAATTTGAGAGGCGAGGTTCGTCGAGGTTGGCCATCAGCCGGTTGCGGCTTTTGTTGTTGATGAGATTTGTGAGACGAGGTTCGACGTTCTCGAATGCTCGCCTGCATCTGTTGAAGAGATGTGGGACGTAGAGTCTGCTTCTGGGATCGGTCACCCGACTGCTGTGAACGATGAGATAACAGGGACGCGGCATGTAGTCGAATTCGATCGTCAACCTGTAGTGGGTGAGATACCTTGGGCGGCGCGGATTGTCCGTCTCTGCTGCTGACCTGTACTGAATGAGATGGTGCAGAAGCAGAAGGCAAGGTTGGCAGGTGATGAGTGCCAGGTTTGAGAGGCTCAAATTGATAACCAGCTCTGAGGGGAAGAAGGCCGGCCACATCTGGGGGTAGTGACTCGCCGTTCTTCGGGTCTGTTGGAAGGACGTGCTCGGTGGGGCGGCGTGGCCGAGGATGGTCAGGAGAACAAGTTACTTCAGGCAAGGTTTGCTGCTGCTGCGGCACAGCACTGCCGCTAGTCTGCTGTGACGATGAATTTCTCGCAGTGTCCACGGCCGATACCGAAGACATGGCTGACAGTGTTGTGACCTGAGGCTTGTTGGGTGGGGATGGATGACTCTTTGTGGTCTTGTTTGTATGGTCTGGGTCGGTCGTCGGCCGCTGAGGAGTTGGAGTCGTCATCGTCATCGTCCTGTCAGCATGCGATGAACCGAGATGGCTAGCCTGTGACGGACGAGGCTGGTTGTCTCGGGCGGCTGCTCTGTCCAAGCGATTTTCCCTCTGTGGTGGATGATGAGACGAATCGAAGGACCTACTGGGTCTCGAGGTCCATGACGGAGGAGGCATGCTGCTCCTACTGCTCCTTCTGCTGCTGCTGGTGGTGGTGGTGGTGGTGGTAGTGGTGGTCGAATTGGGGGATGGTGGAAGAGGCATGCTACCGGGTGACCTTTGCTGCGATGGACGAGGAGGATGAGGAGGAGATATGATTCCCCTATCCTTGGATGCGTCCACGGTGGTATGCCATGGTTGTTGATGTTGATGTGGAGGAGCCGGAGGCATGCTGCCGGGAGGTGGAAAGCCAGGAGACATGCTGGTCTCTGGCAGCGGTAGAGGAGTGTTCGACATGCCGGGCTGCCATACGTGATGGTGAGGGGGAGGAGCCATGCTGTTAGCGTTGACTTGCGGTGCAGACGACGGCTGAAACTGCTGCATAGATGGCCATCCTTGTGGTGGTAGTTGCTGGCCGGGCCCGCCAGCTGGTGATTGGTGAGTAGGAGTAACATTCATAGCACCAGCACAGACTGAGGTGGCTGCTTCCTGCTGGACCGGGTAGTTCCCAGCCGCAGCATGCAGAGCCAGCTGCCGGGCAGCAAGCATTTGCGATGGCCAAGGCACGCCGCTGCCGTGGCCTTGCTGCTGTGGTGGCAGCCAAGGAGGCACGCCGCTGCCGTGGCCTTCCTGCTGTGGTGGCAGCCAAGGAGGCACGCCGCTGCCATGGCCTTCCTGCTGTGGTGGCAGCCAAGGAGGCACGCTGCCAGCGGCCTGTTCCTGCCAGAGGCGCATGGCGGTCTGCTCTGGACAGAGCATCAGGGCAGTTGCCTCCTGCAGGTGGTTGCGCACAGGGAATTGGTGCTGTTGCATGACAGACGGCTGCTGTGGTGGTTGTGGCGATAGTGCTGAACCGTAGAACATGGTACGCGACGACAAGTCCTGGGAGGTCTGGGCTTCGGGGGCAATTGGTGGTTCGTATCCGTACCCATCTTCACCTGTCATAAAAGCCCGTGGTGGAAGACGTGGGTCAGCCCGTTGTATTGGGAAATCGCCCATATCGGCGACGGGATGCAGATAATTGGGGAGAATCTTCAAGTGTATGTGAACCTATCGTCGTTGACAATGAGACATAACAGTTCAGTGCTTGCCTGGTGGCATTGGTGCAGTTTCTGATGAGACACGGCCGGCGATCTGTCCTGGGGTCGCTCCTGCTGATGAGACACCAAGGCCTATTGGTGATGTGATGGATCCAAAAAGGTAGGCCCGGTCCTTCTGGATGGTGATAGTAGTAGTTGTTCTCTGTGGTGGTGATGGCGGAAGAACAAATGACTGAGGAGGCGCCGGCGCCGGCGAATAGGATGGTGGAGGGCGAGGATGAGGAGGACGAGAAGAACACACAACAATTGCTGAGGAGGTGGTTCCGGGCGGAGCTTTTTGTTCAAGAAGGAGAGTCAGAAAGGTACAATACCGCCTATGGCGCAAGGGATGAGTGAGGCGTGGTCAACGTGGGGAGGGAGGGGAAGCGTTGGTTGGTTGCTGGCATGTATTCCAGCTCTCTCTTTCTCTCTCTTTCTCTCTCTCTCTCTCTCTCTCTGTGTGTGTGTGTGTGTGTCTGTCTCTCTGTCTGGGTCACTCGCTCGTTGATATGTTACTTCCCTGATCTCTTGTTTGTCTTCCTCTAATATGAGTACGCAAACGGCCCGCACGTCGGACAGATCTCCCTGGTGTACCTCTGCCCCTCGACAGGCTCACACATCCACCCGTTAGAGGTGTGGTGACACAGATGAGTCTGGCGCACGAAGTAGTACTTTTGGATGTGCTCGATACACATTGTTAAGAAAACGCGGGTCAGAGACACGCAAGGAAAAACAAATAGTAGTTGTTCAGGCCCCTCAGGGGTGGGGCAGGGGAGAAGCCCTCTCTACTGTGTCGAGGCACTGGACAGAACTCTCATCTTCAACATGGATGCGGAGCTGTTTCCTACCCCATCCTCACACCTTTGACAGTACAGACCGGGGTAGGGGTGAGGGTGAGGGAGGGGCGACAGAAACGAATCACGGTCTTGCTCCAACATGAGATGTTGTCTCGGCGGCATCCAGCAGGGAAAAGGCCAAGAAGCATCCTCAAGCCACAAGCGGTCAGGTTTGTTAGCCAACCCAACCGCCCTAATATGCCCATTTTTCTTTTCTTTTGCTGGCCGGGTTGACCACTCACAGGCAACATTCTCTTTTCCAACGTCACAACGCTCTCTCAGCCTGTCTCACTGTGCGCGCCAAGGGGGGTATGACGGGCCAACACGAGCATCATTGTGTGACGAATGCAAACAGATTGAGAAAAGAAGAACAAGAAGAAAAAAGAAGAGGAGTTGGGTTTTCCAACAGGCGCACTCCAAGTCCTAGTGTCGCTACAGGCGGACACCGGGGCAGCAGGGATAGATGCATCCGAGCTGGTTTTCGTGGTCGACAGGTATGTTTGTTGTTCGTTGTGCAGGGACTGGACCCAAGCCACAAGACCTCAGAGGCGGCCCCCAACGCAAGGGTCTCCATCTCCCCCTCCCTTGTCATTGCCTCCAGGGAGTCCGAATTTCGTCCAGTCCAGGGAACTAATGTTCACTCTGTTCTATCCGTCTTATTCTTCTTTTGGTCTGATTTTCGTGGCAGATGAGCTCTGCACATGGGCTCAACTGGAGACAGCCGACCTTGCCAAGTCTCGACTTTATCATCGACATCGTTCTTGACCCATGGTCGGTAAAACTATCGTTTGGTGTGCGTGCGTGCGTGCGCGCGCGCGCGTGTGTGTGTGCGGGTGCGGGTGCGGGCGAGCGATAGCGCGAGACAAGAAGGGGTGTGTGTAGGTCTGTATGGTGCTGTTGGTCATAGAAGAAGAAAAAAGGTGGGGAGATTGACGAAAAGAAGAAAAAAAAAAGGTGGGGAGATTGACGGGAAGAAGAACGGGCCTTGAATTACGTGCCAGAAAGAAGGTTAGTACTTGTGAAGAAGGAGCCGTGGAAGGTATGACGATCTTGATCCACACGCCCACAAACGCCCCCCTGGTCTGTCAGTAATCAGCTGTTAAAGTACCAAGTACCTGTACAAGAGCCGCCGTACTGGATTACCATTGCTATCGGCAGGGGTTAGTGAATTAATGCAAATGTTCATGGTTGGGTGACGGAAAGGTACTTTGGTACAGGGAAAAGGTACTACGTACAGGGGCCAGAGCCCTGGCGTCGATCCTGATTGGGAAGAGCAAAGTGTTCGCGCCGGCCTGTGCCCAGAAAGCAACTGTCCTGGTTGACGAGGTGGCCGGCTGTCTCTGAAAAAAAGAGAAGGAAAAAGAAAGAAAAAACACCAAAAATAGGAGCAGAAGCATGGCAAACACTGCCTCAATTAGCTCTGCTGTTGGGCATGTGACAAGTTGATACCAGGATAAACGAGGGTGTGCTGTATGGCGGCCCGATCGTCAGTGAGCCAAGATACGTCCCTCCTCCACCCCTCCTTCCCTACAGACGATCACCACGATACGGGACTAGACCAATTCAGGTAGCTTAGCAGTACACACATACACGCGCACAACAAGAGGTCGGAATTCTGGTAGAATGGCAATCGTGCGATCAAAATGCAGTAGAATCAAACAAATATTTTAAGAATGAGAACCGAAAGGAGAAGGCGGGAAAAAGACGAGGAGAAATGAAAACCCTCAAGATAGGACCTGTCATAGCAGTTCATCCAAAGGCTGTCAGCAGAAAGGCCTCACAGCGGTTCGGGCAGTGTCTTGCGGGTCATCGGCATTTGGCCTACACGCACTAGCATACACGGTAGGGCCAACTTTTAGCGAACTCTCGAAATTGTGGTGGAAGAAAGGACATCGAATGAAAATGAGACCAAGAACAACTTTTTTCAGGAGGCGAAGATTTGACTTCTTGCGAGGCTTTTGTATTCATGGGATGAGCGCTGAATGATTACTGTCTACCTCAAAAGGCTCCCTAGCTATGCTTGTTTTGATTTTGTTGGTGTTTTTTTTTTTTTTTTTGTGGTAAAAGAATGTCATGATTTTGTCTGCCAGTCTCTGAGGCCCTGCACAGGCTAGTGGAGATAGACAGGTGTTCGTTTAGATTCTCTATAGCACTACAGCTCTACAGCCACTACTGCTGAAGCCTGCTAAATGGTGGCCTTCCCGCTCGATTTAGCACGTATATTATGTAACTTGTTAAATCTCCATGGTCCATGCCATGATGAGGCCTGAATGACCTCAGTGTCTAAAAAATACTGTAATAATAAGTACTATTGCTCATTTTCTTCGTCTGCTTTCTCGAGTACTGATAGTGCACTTCGAAGCTTTCATAGAGCGATGGAAGGAGCGACGGTACTTGCTCTGTAAGCAGGTTAGTAAGGATAGGCCAGCTTGAGCTTCACGTTCAGTAGGCCATGTCTCAACAAGTAACTTGATCTTGAGTTCAACCTCTGCCCCCTGTTGTCGTACTCAGTACCCTCCTATCTCTTCTGATCTTCGTCCCTCGGTCTTTTTTTCGAGGTGATCTGAATCATCTATTTTAGTAGGCCCCAGGAGAATAGTCAAGAGAATGTGAAAATCGTGACAACGCTTTCATCCTGATTCGTGACACCATTTCCAGCAATAAGTAAGCAAGGCGATGCAAGGATAGGAGGACACTGTTTTTCCAAAAGCCAAACGAAGGCTTTTGAAGGATAAAATCGGTCCCTCCTCATTTACGTCTCTCTCACATGAAGATTCCCGCACACAGAGAACAGCAGGCACGCAAATCAACCATTCAGACCCAGATCCATGCCCAAGTCAAGGTCCAGATCGAGATCCATGTCCAGGTCCAGTTCCAGATCCCAGTCCTTCGTGGCCTCTGCCAGCTCTTCGACGGTGATACGGTCAGCCAGGGGCAGAAGCATACTGTGTACCAGCGAGCCCAACTCAGCTTCTTCGCTGCTCGTGTACAAGGTGTCCGAGAACTCGAGCTTGTCACGCATCCTGCCCACCTCGCTGAGCCAGCTTGTCATGGCGTCCCGGCTGGCGGAGTCTCTGGCATGGTGGACATCCTTGATGAGCCACTCACGGTGCTCGTTGTGGACGCGGTACCAGGTCTCGGGCAGAACGCAACGCCGCATCAGGTACAACATGACGACTCCGAGGGCGAAGACGTCGCATGGTGTGCCGCGACGACCTTGTTCCAAGTACTCTGGCGCGATATACCAGGGCGAACCCTCGCTGTTGGCAAGGCCGCTGTGACCTGCGAGACCAAAGTCCACCAGCATGGCGCCGCCCTCTGCAGCCTGGTAGGGCCCAACAGCGGGCCAGGAGATGTCGGTATAGAGAATGTTGGCCGGCTTGATATCGTTGTGCGCGATGCCCTGCTCGGCTAGGAAGGCGACCGCGCTGGAGATATGGGTTAAGATGCAGATGGCATCCCTGACACTGCCAAGAAAGTATCCGCGCTGCTCTCTCTGTCCGGCCTGTCCAGCCTGGGCGCACCAGCGGGCATTGGCAAGGTCCTTGTGTGGCTTATACGCAAGGTGGAGAGCCATCGTGTGGGCGTCGGATCCTCGAATACTAGCAAAGTGGTTCTGAAGAGAAAGAAAAAGACAAACTCAATCAGCGTACGCCCTTCATTGTGCAATTTACAAAGTGTATAATCAGTAGTACTTACGTGCTCTAGGTTTCGGTGTGCGGCGAATCCAGCCGACCATGCCCCAATGGCGTTACCATAGTTGGCTGTGTCTTTAGATGATGCCGATCTTATAGGGCGAAAAATAGGCATCTTGAAGGCCACAACGCTGGAAGACCCGAGCGTGCCGCTGCCGCCGCTGCAGCTACTTCTAACGCTGCCATTACCATTGTTAGGGAAGGAGAGGGGCTGAGCGCTCCCAGAATGGCTGCTTTCTCGTCTGTCCGTGAATTTGTTGACAATCTCCTGGATTGCCGGTTGGTGGTGATTGTGGTGATGCTGCTGCTGCTGCTGCTGCTCCTCCCATTGGAGACTGTTGCTTGGCCGCATGCGCCCCGGTGTGGTGTGGTGGGGGGCCAGGGCAGGTAGGTGTTCCAACACAGTGCCCACTGCCTGTGAACCGGAAGGGAACGCTCCAGAGAGCCCCCTAACCCTCTTGGACGATTGCTGCACATCATCGGTGGATCTCTTTTTAGATCCTAGTGCAAGCTCCGCCGACTGTCCATCCTCATCCTCATCCTCATCAATCTCGTCTTCGACAACGGAGGGATGATAGGGGCGGGGCAGGACCTGTAGCTCGACGGAGCTCGTTGGATCAGAGATCCGCCAGCAAGCTGAGTCGATAATCATCATGGCCCAGGGGTGGACCTGATGTTGGATGCCATTCTCCATGGGAGGGAGAGCCACCACCGACAGAGGCTCTTCACCCATGTTGACAAGCACCACCCCATCAGAGGCTGGGATGTAATGAAGGTTGCACTCAATGGTGCCCATCTTGAGGGTACATTTGACCTCATCGTGGCTTTGCGATGCGGCGGCGGCAGGGAGTTCGAATGAGGTGGTGGAGGAGGACAAGCAAGAATCACTCTGCCATATGGTGGGCTCCACAGCCAGCTCGCATGCTTCCCTGGAGCGGATGGATATGGTGGGGTTTCCATCCGTGTGTCTGAAGATGATTCTGGGATCTCGCAGTGGTCTGAAACCATCGATAGTAGGCATCCTCTTCCTAAGGCGGTCTTGACGAGCCATAGCCGTAGCCAGGACATCCCTAGAGATCTCTATTGCCGGTAGAAGTATGGCACCCGCACGCTCGGTGCGGACTCGCAACTCGGCCGACCTGGCATCCACGTAGTCAGGACGATGAGGAACTGTTGTCTGGCTGTCCACGCTACTCATTCTTTGGGTTTATCTGACAATCGATTGGCAGGTCTGATCATTCAAGGGAACAGTAGTATACAGATGAATCGAGAGGAAGAGAGGAAGGAGGAAGAACAGGGAGATTACAAGAGAATATACGAAAAAGAATATGAAATTAGCCTGCTGCCTGCGCAACCTGACTTCTCCACAAAACAAAAAACAAAACTCTTGTCTCACATATCGAGGGAGGTTAGGAGAACGAGCAGAGCAAGGGAGAGAAGTCGATTGGAATGTATGAGGGGTGCGGCGCGTACTGCGGCCGCACTATCCGGGAACCAATGTATCTACCTACCCCTGTGTGTTCTTGGGCAGTATTGTGGGCTGTCTTGTCTTCTTCTTTCTTTTTCTATTAGTTGGCCTTTTGCCAGCGATGCTGGTGGTAGTGGTAATAGTAGTAGTATGTGTGGGCCTGCGTGTCCACGAGGGCCCGCACAAGCAAATCCACTTAAGGGCCCCTCTGCATCCCCATCGTAACATAAGCACGGGCTGTGGGACATCATCCAGTTAGCCCTAGTGACTCGCAAAATGGCCAGGATATGTAGATGGAGTTACCGTGGTCTAGAAGCATTTGAGGAAATCGAATGTTTGGAGGCGGCTTGGATATCTTTGTTGCCGCCCTTTGCCTTATCACCACAAGCTGGGAGCGCATCTTTCCATCCTTCTTCTTTTGTTCGAGGGAGATGTTAGCACGCGTTTATCCTGCCAGCACATTACTGATAACCCACCTCTCTTGAAGTTTTTAATCAGATCATCCTCCATGTCGGGACGAAGCAAGACGCAGACTCTACAATGCAGTAACTGGGCTGAATCTAAGGTCTGCGCTCCAAAACTTTTTAATAATACTATGAAATGACGAATAAAAATATATATAATTAATAAATAAAGTAAACAAGAAGACGGCAAGCACGTATCAGGAAACTGCGGTTGCCCGAATAGGCAAGGTCGCTTGGCGGCTCGTCTTTCGTACAACCTCCTCTCCTCTCCACTTCCTTCTTCTGTCTCCCTTCCCACAATCCTGCCTGCGCCTTCGCTTTGTCCGCTCTCGGCTTCACTTCTGTTCCTGCGGCTCCTTCTCGTCAGGCGTTTTTCTCATTGCAAGGCGTTTTCCTCGTTGCATTGATTGCCATTCCCCTTCCACCGCCCTCTGCGAGGACGTCATTCATCTCCCTCAGCTCGTTGGGATTCCTTCGCGCTGTCATGCACACGCACACGAGGCATCAGGCACTCTCCTCCAGCACGACTTTGGTAGAGTCCTTTTGCGCACATCCGACCTGCACTCAGTGCCAGCTAGCCTTCACAGAGCCCTCCGTCTTCACCTCCACCACATCAAACATTCTGAGGCAGTTTTCGCCTCGTATGGACATGGCCAATACGAGGGGAGGGAAGTGGCCAGAGGGCGAGGGCGGGAAGAGGGCGTTCCTGGAATGGCGCGCTGCTGATCGCTGCGTTCCCAGTCGCCAGACACCTACCACACGCGCTACGCCATAGCGATGCCTCATGGGTGCACAGCCGGCGAGCATTAGCAACACGAGATGGGCTGTGTCAGGATCCGAGCTCATTTCATCCTCTTTCATGCTCGTCCGCATGAAACGCATTCTGTTGCATTGCGCTGCGCCAGCGCGGTCAGCGCCGCTTCGTCCTCCTCCACAATGCGCCAAGCTCCTCAATATCCCGATCTAGCCAATCGATTCATCTCGGCTGTTGCCTTCGCCTCCTCTGCTGACGCGGTTGTGTGCCTCGTCCGTTTACAATTGTACGATATCAGGCCCAATCGGGATTCCCGATAATTGCTGCTGAAACGATCATAATTGGGAAGGTGGCAATGCTGAGATCCATGTGCTTGGTAGATTGGGGCATAATGATAGTGGTGGCTTGCGAGGCATTTTTTGCATCATCCTGCCTGGACGCCACGAAGGCGTGCAGTTTTCATGCGCTATTCTCTAGGACCAGGACGCTGCTGCGGTGAAACTGCTGCGGTGAGGCTTCTTTCAGCTTGGATGGGGTGGGATCTTATCCCCTTCATTATGCCTGGGTGTGGGTGTGGGTGTGTTGTGACCGGTGGCGCCCGCCAAGCTCTCGAGCATTTAAACCCAGGCATACCCCCATTCTTCTGAAGAGAGAGACAGGACAGGAGACACTTTCAAACTTCGCACCCATGGCCACGGTATCACAGACTCTCGCGCAGTTCCGCTTCCCGCCAACACGACAATTCATCTCTTACAGTGGCCCACCTAAGGCCAAGTGCAAAAAGCGGACTGTCCCCTTGCAGCACATCAATGATATCTTTCCAAGCGACGTCGAGCCCGGTGCGGCTGATGCAAGCGTTGAGAAACGGTCACCGACTATCGAAAAACTGCTTTCAGTTAATGTGGGCGGTACAACAAATCCCATCACAATAGAATCCGACACTAGCGAGCCAGAAACGGACGTCAGCTTGCACCTTCACGACGATCAGGACGAAGATGACGACGAGGATTTCCCATCAATCTCCAAGCTGCTACGACGGAATGCAAGCCTTCGCGGGAACGATCCAGCCGATCAGCCTCAATGCAGAAATGACGTTCCACGACACTCGCCACCGCCGTCGAATGATGGCAATGTGGACACAGCGAACACAGCTATGACCCAGGCGGAAAGTAATAATGCCGATAATGGATCCCAGGGAGATTTTAGAACTGGTGAACAACGCGGCGACAACGATAGCGGCAAGGAATTCGACATGTCGGAGCATTGCGGACCGGACAATGATGACGCTGATAGTAGTGCCTCTGGTACTCCTGGCGACGCTGTTGGTGCTGCTAGTTGCAATGGCATCACTCAGAGCGCATTATCTTTGGGGGCATTGCAGAAGAGCAGAAAACATGGCCGGGAAAGTCCTGAGCACCAGTTGGTCAGAAACTACGACGAAGACGACAATACGGAAGACGAAAACCAATCTCATTCTTCAGAAGTGATCCGAGCAAAGTCATCTCCAAGCAAACGACAGAAAACGATGCATGCTATATCCTCTCTTGGTTCTACTGCCAGTCATGCTCAATTCGATGCCTGCGAGACTACTCCTACCGCCCTGAACAGCACCTCCAGCTTGAGTACCTGCAGCAGTGCAAGCGAAGTTGGCGTTATCTCTGGTACGCGTCGCACGGACGATGACACGAGCATTCCAACGAGCAACACTGGTACGGCTGACAAGGCCAGAAATGGACACAACACCAGTTCGCTTCAAGTTGATCAGATTTCCGGCTCGGACGACGAAGATGCAATTGGTCGTGACGGGCAAGAATTGCGTCGCCTGCGAGAAGCCACAACATCTAACTTGGACGGTAATGATCACCAAATCCGTTCACTCAACGAAAGAGGAAGACCAAGTCGTGGCATGCGCATGCGGCGTCCAACGAAAGAGAGCAAAAAGCATTAGCGAACATCCAAGCGGATCAAGCAGAATTACACCACCCCCTCAAATGGTTTCAATAATTCGAGCAATGACTCCGAGTCCGAGTCACCAATGTCCCTGCGAAAATCTCCACTGTCAAATCGACGGGACACGCGAGCTTCACGAGACCTCTATGCAGCCGAACGAACGCTTCGGAAGCGGCCCTATCGACATTCAACGGGTCTTCATCATGCCACTTCACACCTTGAAGCCGGAGAGACGCAACTCGATGGTTCGAATGCACTCTCAGGGACACCTCCAACACGCGTTGCACATGTCACGATCCTCCCGGTCTCCAGGTCCGTGTCTGTACTCCTTGCTTATGGCAGAGGTCACCAGGTGCCGATGTGGTACGATAAAGAGCTTGCGTCCGCTATTGATGAGGAAGTTGGTCACACGTTGAAACCTACGAGCATCGTGATCAAGCGACTATCAGCCAGGGACTGGCTGTTAACCGGGCTAGTCCTCGGACAGGATGACGATGAAGATGTCCAAACTGGTGAAGGCCAGTCAACCGCGCAAGCGACTCAGCCTGCAGAACGAACCCCACGATCCGCATTACGTCCACGGCGCGGGAAACAGAGCAGTAGCGTTCTCCTTAGGGGCGACCGCCACCAGTCAGGCGGCAGGGACGAGGACGGTGACAGCAGCAGCGACGCCAGCAACACTAGCGGCGCCTCTCGCAACCGGCAGGAGTATTCTCAAGAGCTTTTCGAGCAAGACAACAGCGAAGAAGAGTCTGATGACCTCGACGGCAGCAGCGGTTGGAAGTCCAGTCACATCAAGGGGTTCGGGTTGGGCCACATCCGAGGATGAGCACCTCCGCATGTGGGTTGGAGGGGATGCGAGGCCAAAATGGAAGGATATCTGCCGGCGATTCCCGATGCGAACTGACTCCTCGGTGCGCCTGCGTGGGCACCAGATACGGAAGGAGATGGTTTGAACATGGGGAAGCAAGGGGATTTGGTTTGGGTTGGACGGTGCGAAACTATTGGACATGCAGTTGGTCAGGTTCCGGGCTGCGATCAATTACCGCACTGTGACTCATTAGACTATACTTAACCAGAGCTCCAAGAGTTGACTCACAAACCACCGTTCTCCCTATCAACTTTAAAGTGCGCCTTTAGCTCCCAAGGCATGCAGGTGCAAGCGCTTGTAAACAACCCACCCGGAAAATAATTGAACGACCCAACCCTTCACTTTGCCTCTTTCCATTCTTGATCTATTGCGTTGCTCTAGAAGAAACGGTCAAATCACGTGATATTAAACAGCTACGTCATTGTACTTTGTGGATTCGCTGAGCACCTCTGTAGTCACAGCCTCGTGCTACATTGAGTCAATTCAACAACTACTTTCCGTTACCATTGTCTTTCATTGCTGGCCTCTGCCAAGGTAGAATGTCCGCCCGATGAACTCATCCGACCTGCCACAACCTGATCCTGTTTCCTCCACTCGTCGCAACCTCAGGAACATAGGGGAATAAGACTTTCATACATAACGTAGCATTACTCAGCCCACATCAGAAAGCATTGCTTTTTAATAATGCTAAGACTATATTGCAGCCTGGAATTTGATTCTGCACTAATCGGATCAACATTAAAATAAAAAATTCGAGCTGTGGCTGTGTTCAAAATCAGTGCACGCGCGGAGGGACCAGGAACCGGGACCGGGCTAAGGAGGCTGTGCTACTCGGTCCTAGAGTATCGGAAACTGCCGCTAGCGTGACGAGTCTGCCTTGTCCTCAGCGTGTCTGCGTGATCCAGATAAATAATCGTCCAGCCTGCTGGCATCCTCTCTGTTTCCGCTACTGAATAAGAGATCCAACGTATGGACGACAAGGTAGCAAAGATCCGGGATCCAAGATCCGAGCGATGATAAGATCATAGAGAGATGCAGGGAGCAGGTGGGTGCTACGGAGGTGTGCGGCAAGCGCGATCTGACTGCCATTGTGCTCAGATCGAATGCATAAATTATGCAAAGCCAGAGTGGTACTCCCACAAGGACTGCGACGAGATAACCCCTGCTGGCGATACCGCGGCCATTGTCGTCGACGCTCGTACCAACGAGGCAGCGATCCGCATTTTCGACTCGACGACCAAAGAGCGTGTCGGTTTCGTGGGCATAGAGGAGCAGGGGAATGTTGTGATTGTGCCATGGCGGGATGGCTGGTACTACTTTTGCACGAGATCACCTAGGGTCGCGCATGTTAAGAAGCAAGGCTAGGGTGGATTGGCCTTCATGTACTGTAGGCACTCCCGTTCATGAGCTCTACAGTTACTCTATCTGACATAGGAGTCTAGATGCCGCATTGCCCGTCTAGAGTAAGTGGGAGAAAAACATAGTTGTAGGGAGCCAATCCGAGATCCAAGACTGTCTTAACACTCTCGTCAGAAATCGGATACGATTGACCCACAAAAGAGCCAGAATTGAACCCAGTGGAACCATCGACATTGAGCTGCATAGGGATCTGGAGACTATGCGTGCTTGCTTGAGGCTCTGCGTGCTGGTTCGGTGCATCCAGCGCAAGGGGTGATGCAACCAGCGCTTCGTCTGAGTATCTTGCCCTTTTCGGCGACTCTTGTTCTAGGCATATCAGCTGTGCTTTATATGATTTAGAAAGGTTCCCGTACCTATGTTCTCAGAATCCTTCATCAGTTGACGCTTCCGACAGGACACGAGGTTTTCGAGCGAATGTTCCCTGAGCAGCGTTCCACACAAGTCAAGTCAAGGCAAGCGGTACCCCTCCACTTGGCTTGCTAACTATTTTGGCCGCTTGCTTATCTTGCAGTACTTCGCCACTTGATTTGCTTGTCCGCTTGATTAAAAAAGCACCTTACCTAATCTAGCCTAGATTGAGTCATATTTCTAGCTTATATAAGCCTGAATTATGGAAGTTATGATTATATAAGCTAAATTATATAAGCTAAAATTCTAATCTTATCTTATCAGGGTTAGGGTTTACTTTTCTTTCCAAAAAAACCCAGAAAATTAAAAGAAAATAGAAAGAAGTGGAGTAAACTGAGCCTATAAGGACCCACTATAGGACTGAGGCCACTTGCTTGTTCGCTTGCAAGCCGCTTGGTCAAAAAGGCCGCTTGCTTTGTCTTGAAGACCATCGCCAAACCGTCAACTTCACTTGTCAAGTGGCTTGAATCCGCTTGACTTGTGTGGAACGCTGAGGGCGCTGATGCAGTCTGTCATCAACCCTCCAGTGTGTCGCTCCCACACCCGTTGCTTGCTTGCTTGGAGAGCGGAGGCAAGGTCGGGACCTAACACGGTAATTGCATCAATGTGTGCTTCAGAGTACTTGTACTCAATCTCTATTTTTGAGTCAGCCAAGCTGCCATCGCCGAAGGGGCCATGTTGCTCACGTCTTTCAATAGAAACAGGGTTGGCAGTCGGTAGAGTAGCGTCCAATCCGTCCTCAGGTCTATGCGGCTCACTCATGCTACATTGCGTTGCACATGTAATGCCGAGCGTCAGGGCTGCATCATCTAAAATGGCGTGTTCGAAGGTATTGCGGTTGCTCTTGAGATATCCCAACAACGAGATTCGTTCCATATTCTTCAGTTCCACGATTCTTCTCTTTCCAAGACTCGATGAGCAGAGAACCACAATCCCGCCACCACACTGTTCTAGGACATCCTGGAGGAACCTTTTGTAAATCTTATCTCTCCGATCTGTTGTTTCGCTTTTCAAAATCTGGGCCGCCGACGTGGCAAGGTTTGCCGGATCATCTAAGCGCTGTAAAACCTGGAGCGGGGTCAAACTGGCTTTGAGTTTTCTCTACACAAGTTTTGACGGGCCCCGGTAACGTTTCGAGGACCGAGATTTTGCGTCTTGTAAGCTCAGTCTCCATGGAAACAAGCATTTCTCGACTGAGTCGCAAAAGCTCTTCAAGTTCTTGTGTGGCAACATCATCGTAGCCATCGTGGAAGTTGAAGGACGCTTTGCCTTTCGTGCTCAATGTAATGCCAGGTTCGTCCATGGCGATCGTAGAACGAGGGGGAAAGAAGGTGATGGTGGGAACGTTGAGGGGTTTGACCAGTAAATTCAAGGGCACAACCCGGGAAATACATGGGAAATGACTGGGAAAACATGGGTAAAATCTCAGTAAGATTGACTGTGGGTCTATGACCGGACGATCCTCGGGTGGCGTGAGTAGGCAGAACAGTGCAGATGCACTGTATTCATTCTCGATTTCGAGTATTTCTGGTCCTAGATGATCGGCCACAGCCTGGGCGGGCAAGTTGCCGACTGACAACAGTTCATTCGTGCATGCGGCCCTGTGACAGGAGCCGAAGCAACCGGGCTGAGTCACTATTGGACTAGCGACCCACCGGAGTTTGGGTCGGTAATTGCTTGGAAGGTGGCTGTTGCCACCTGGGATATGCTGGGTAGGATCTGGGTAGGATCTGGGTAGGATCTGGATAGAACCTAGGTAGAACCTAGGTAGAACCTAGGTAAGACTTGGGTACAATCTGGATTCAGACTAGGCCTAATCTATCCATGGCTCGGGTCTTCTTTTCCTGGTGAAATACGATCCCAGTCACTAGATGACGTAATCAATTTTTGCCGATCGGAGGGGCCCACATTCCAGATCTGGTCAATTAGCCTTAATGGCTCTGCCTTGCGAAGGTCTCTGAGAGCTTTCTGTTGTAGTTCCTACCGCAGAACTGATGAAGATAAGTGAACTTATTGCTTAATCCCTGAATATTCAGTCTTAACAAGAAATTCGTAAACTCTGTTTATCAAGAAGGCATATCGCTATGACAGTTAATTGATTTAATGTGAAAATACCCCGTAGTTCACGCGCCGTTCTTGTTCGTTGAATCATCCTGAATCTAATCATCCTTTCTCCAGTGATTGCCCTGTTCTTCCCCTCCTTCTCTATGAACAGTTGGTGCCATGATCGCCATCATATCATGACTGGTAGGCGGTTCATAATCTTCTCCATCACGGGGGGTCAAGGGCTGTCCTTTCTCATTAACCTCTACCGTTGGTGCCACAGGCTCCACGATATCATGCTTGGCCCTAGGAGACTGTCCTGAGTTGGTAGACGTCTCAGTAGCCTGCGTCTTGGTGGATGGAGGCTCGGAAAAGGAGGCGGGGATTTTGGTGTCTGCTTTGCTTGGTTCCATAGTTGCCCTGTTCATGGGTAGTAGAATGTAGAATGTCAGTTTAGACTTAGGAAGGTGCATTCGGTTCATTTATAATCGAGGGATACAAGAGGTACTGAAGTCCAGGAGACGAGGGTCAGCAGAAGTGCAGACACGTAGTGCTGCAGGCTTTGAACACCGCCATCTCGTAAATGAATGTGCAGACTGCACCACCATCATGTAAGTTGGTTCTGGATGTGCCAAGCTGAACTGTGCTTGCATGATGGTGTCGACTTCACCGATCATCACTTCGTTCATAGGCCGCAGAGACGTGACCTGCATACCACCAGGCCAACTCGGGGTTCGAGGCTCTGACTAGTGCCAAAAGTTCTGGCGGAGAGTACAACTTGAAGATGAGTATTATAAACATGGGTAACAAGCCAGTGCGCTTACCGAGGTCCAATGATAGGTACGAGGTATATAGCTCTGTCCATCGCATGGGTAGGATAACATAGCAACTTTAGTTCTCTTGTATTACTTCCTATCAAGATTATTATTAGCCCACGAGACCTTTGAAACGTCATGGAAGCATTGCACATTAAGAACGGAGCTCGTTACTTGTTCGAGCTGAAATTAGAGAGAAGAGTGACCATCGAGTTCAAAGCCATTGACAGTGGATGTCTCAAACTGCCAGATTGGATGGTGAGATTATGAGAACTCGGCGCAGCCTTTTTACTGACTTCTTTCGGGTTTTTGATAATGGCATCTGGCTGCTCGCGGGGAAGATACAAGTGGAGCAAGTAGGAGACACACTCATATCACAGGAAGTCGTGCAAATTGTAGACTGTTCTCTTGTTATGGAGGAGGATGAGGATCGTTGAAGACAGCAGAGCCACTGAGACCAGAGAAGAATTGAGGAAAATTTAGCGAAGATGAGGCTGGGCGCTTGGTCGCCTGGAAGCAGGCTGCTGTGTATTTTGCGCTTGAATGAAGGCTACTTCTGTTTCGAGCATCCTCTAGTAGACCCATGCAATGAATAGTGGGGCTAAGAAAGTGATGGGCTATGTTTTGCATCTCCCAGATTTTCAGCTAAAAGTCCAGACCCACTTGTTGGTTGCTGCGACGAGAAAATTCGCGTAAATAGATTCGCCGATCCGTCGGTAGGGGAAAGAACGCCATAATTATGATGAGCGAATAGCCGGAGTATCCCTGTTCCGCCATGGTAGGTCGCAGTATAGGTATAGGCATTGCCATCGTACACCGGCTTCTCTCGACCATAGTTCTGCAGGCTATGCATGGCCCGGGCACCGATTGCTCCGTTATAGCGAGCTTGCCGCATCATCACCGCTGGAGATCCCTCCGGGCCCTTAGGTTCCAGAAAGAAGTTGGGCGCCATAATCCTATCTGTCGAAGTGGAGGGAATGATATAATATTGAAGCTCGCTGCGGATAGTCGGATGGAGCTGTTCAGGATAAGCGCTTAGAGCGATATCTGGTTTAGCAGCTGTTATAGTATTGTCAGTGAGTAGCTTTAGGTTTCCGAATATTATATTCTCAGTAGATGGACGGTTGTCCTCCTGAGGGCCAGCAATGACTGGTAGGATATATTTGCATATATCGCTTTTGTTCTTTGCTCTATCATTATCTCTTTAGCAGGTCTCGAAGGTAATATCTGGGAAGCAGGAGGGTGAGAGTGATGGCCTCGGGACAGCTAGTGCTGCCATTGTTTCCGCCAGATCCGGCTTTTGCGAACTCCAGGTTCGGTAGATCCCATGATCAGTCAGATGCTGTTCGAATCCAGGATTATAGGCCGATGACTTCCTGCTCTTAGTTGTCCTTGATATAGTTGTGATTGTTATTGGGTTGGTAGACCTGACTGCTTGGCTCTGGGATGAGGAGCTCATGTTGTCGGCAGTATGGTGCCTGCTCGGCGGAGCAGGAGCAGGATACCTTCGGAGGTCGCGCAGGTCTGGTCCGCCGTGGCGTGCAAATCGGTCGAGGGTAGCGGGCTCTGGAGGGGCAGGTCGTTCGCTGTTCCGCCGGTCCAACTCTTCCAGGGCCGAGCGGATCAGTGGAATTGTCGAGAGTCCGTCCCAGAACGCTGGTGGGTAGCGCCAGGGAGTGGGATGGTTGACGGAAGGCGGGTCGACACTCTCCGCTGGGGACTTAGCAGATGCTGTCTGCTGTCGAGGTGTCTGGGCTGCGCTCTTATCTGGCAGGGACTGGTCTATCTTCCGGGACTTCGCACAGCGACTGTGTTGCAAGCCGTCGTTTGCTCTTGTCTCTTCCGAACCTCGGGGATCGCCATAAAGGGCATCTCGCAGGAAACAAAAGTGAGCGCGGAACTTGATGATAATAAAGGGCATTGGTTGTATAAGAGCTAAAGTCTCATCGTTGGATCTTGTTGGCCATTCGATATGTACAGGGAGTATCAGCCAATAATTCTCTTACGATAAAGGGCATGGTCAGCGCTGGTGCTGACCGGTCCACCACGATAGGCGACTCATACCCATTATCTGTCCAGCAATGTTTGAGATATGGACACCAAACTTAGTCATAACTGTAATGATTCGTCCTAGGTAGGCGCTACCAATCTATAGAAGTGCTTAAATTGAATCGAAACCCAGACTCCATACGGAATTTTTGGGAAAAAGGCACAGCAGAAATACAATATTCCGAATAAGGACATTGTTAGGTCATGATTGTAATGTAATACTGAAGAAGGCGAGCCCGACGCGCGAGCGAGAAGCGCGAACTAACAGAGCCAGAACTGGCTCGATTGGAAGCTGTCAAGAGACCCCTCGCCGCGCTCCCCCTCCGGGGCACTTACAGGGCGCCCATAATTACAATTACTCACCCCCCCGATAGGCTTTTCACAAACTCCCTATTGTTGCCAATTGTGAGATTCGATGGTGGGCAAAGAATACTAGAGATCCAATGCGATATCTCTGAAAGCTTTATCATGCTGAGGACTCTGATGCCTAGATGTATCCAATGTTTTCGACTTCTGCTTTCCATTTCGAGAGTGTTAAGATGGAAGACAGCGTATCTGAATACAAGAACATTATAGCCACAAGTTGTTATCACTGATACCGGCCAGCCCTTCCAAGACCGGAGATCCTTCGCGATCTTCAACAGCCATATCGTGGCGACCACTGGGATCCAGTAGTCAGGTCTCTCGGTCTTGAGTATCCTCACTGCAGCTTCGTAGGATTTCTGACCAGCCAAGTCGTTCTCTAGCGAGACTTGGGCATGAGCTACAGAAAGGTGAATGATTGCTGTAGTGAACCCAGTGCCTTTTCTGAAGCTTGGGAGTTGTCGTGTAGCATCAAGAGCATGTTCCCAGCGCTGCAGAGCTTCGCTGTAATGGCCTCGGCAATGCTGAATACGAGCATTTGCCATAATGCTGCGGACATGCAGCAGCTCGTCGGTGATGTCCTGAACAGGTGGCGCAATGCCGATCAGCTGAAGTTGCTTTTCTGCATCCTCGAGCGCTCCCTTTCCCAGAGCAACCTCAACTGAGGCAAGCTGCAAGCGTCTCCATAGCCTTCCCCGTTTCCCGTGCTTCTCCATGTTGCACATCCCACTCTGGATCTTTGACTCCGCTCCTGCATAATCCTGGAGTTCGCACAGGATATCCGCCAGCCTACTAATAATCAAAGATCGGCTGATGTTGCACCCAAGCGTCAAGCATTGCTCAAGAGATCGCCGAGTTATTGCAAATTGCCGAGCAGACTGGAAGTACTTCGCTGCGTAGAGACAGAGTCTGGCAGAGACACCCGATTCCATGACCGAGGGTGTGGGCCATGGTTCCCATGCATATACGGAACTCAGGACCTCGTGCTCGCCTTGGCGCTGGATCAAGTTTTCGATATAAGACAGATGAAGCCTTCCAGCCAGAGCATGCTCTCTTCGAGTAGAAGGCGTGAGGCGCCAAACGGCATGCTGTTGGATCTCAAACTCCGAGCGGATAGCAATACGAGGCCGCTGAGGTTGAGGCGCAGAATTGGCTGAACATATACTGCGTGAAAGCTCTCGCTGAACGTAAGGATCCGCCAGATCCTATAGGACGGAGTTACAGGCGACCTAATCTTAACAAGCTGGATCTTGGAAGAGACGATGGTGATAAAGCTTATACATTGCACATTTCGCGCGTTAATAAACACAGTCTTTACTGTACTGTAACAAGTTCCCTTAGTACCCAACATTTCTATTCTTTCTAAATGAGGTACGCCTTGTACCAAATTGAGATTAAAGTAAAATCAAGGTGATTTGAGGCACAACTCTAGTACTTCAGACTCATAGGGATACAACCAAACTCTTCATTCACGTCTAATAAGAACTATCTGGTTATATACTAGAGATAGCTTTCAAGAAATTTCCCAAGTGCAACTGCACCTCGCACACAAAATCCCGCAACAGCCGATATCGAACCTAAGCCCCATATTACCATCTGAACCAATTGACAAATTGCTGAAGCACACGTATACCTGAAAATTATAATTTAGCAAAATATCATAATCTTTTCTTCATTACAACGATTCTTGGTCTCAGGGATATGTTGTGGATGATGCGAGTATGCGCCTTGAACTTCATGATGCTATCGCAGACAATCCCCTATGCTCTGTATAGCAGGAAAGAGCATGCTACGCGCTCATCTACAGTATGACGAAGGTGAGCATCAACATGGGTCCACATAGAGGTGGTCCTTTTGTATTGCTTGCTGCATAAGATGCAGGGAGATAGCAGTGGTGAAGTTGGTACGGGCGGTACTGAGCTCTCCACGGACGGGCGGAAGACTGCTTCGGTATAAGGGGGTGGAGGCTTGGAAGGTATGTCGGGACTGACAGCAACGACGATCTCGAGCATCGTCATTTCATCGTCAATTTTCGGCGTGAGATGCTGTAAAGTCACTTGACTCGATGTGACTTAGGTCGGCGAGAAGGGTGCGAGCATTTGAAAAGACTGAGGAGGAGCTGGTGTCTTCGGTCGAGGCTGCCTCACGCGGTTCGGCAGCAGTCTGCATAGCTTGCATACGAATGCATATGCAACCCAAAGCATTGATGGCGTTGATCTTTCTCTTTAACAACTCTTCATCTGAATGATCTTCGTCAAGATCGCTAAGAATCTCCGCAATACGCTTCCGTACTAGCGTAGTATAAGTTATAGATAGTAGCTCAGCAGCGTTCTGAATAGCCAGCTCTGTCAGAATGTTGCCAAGGTATTATCGGAGTTGATAGTTATCTTTCATCTGGAAAAACTTGCGATGCATGATGCTGAGGACTTTCCGATATTGCGTTTGTTTGACACTCCTAAGCTCGTTCTCTTTCTGCTTCAGCTGAACCCAGTTGTTACTCAGCATGCGGATTACCTTGCCATGCTTACTCGTTAGGAGCTTGCGGAGGCTGTCTAGAAGTCGGAGAACAAGCGAGCTTGAGCCGATCATCTGCATTATCTCGGCCGGCACTGCTTTTGGGGCGTTCTCATTGCGATGTATGCTCATATGGTTCATGATGGCCAGATAAGGGGAGCTGGTCCCACAGCTCAGGAAGGCGTTCTGCACAACAGCATTCACTTTGGCATTATGGTAGGACTCCTGTGGTTTATGTCGCAATATTTGGTCTCGGACGGACTGCCTATAGTGGCCTGTAGTAAGTCTGTTAGACCAAGCATGCTCAAAGGGCCACGATTTAGCACTTATGATCGACAACTTCCGCAAAGCCCCATCGGTAGCAATATTGTATAAGCTTCTCTTCTAGCTCTGCCTCTTGCCCGAATTGCACAGAATGATTATCAAAGATACAACATATCATTAGCTCATTTAACTTCACATAGCTATCGAGTAACTGAACCGACTTTCGAAAGACGAGCGTATGCTGGAACTCTAGCTTCCATCGGATTTTGATGCTCTGCTAGTTAAGAAGCTTGATTGTAAAGAAGAAGCTAGCACAATCAAACTTGCTTACAGCAATAACTTTCTCATCTAATGCCTTAGCAAGAATATAAGAGATGGGGCATAGAATAAGCAGCTGCTCTCTTCAATAAAGATAAATGTGGTAGGGATCTGCTTGTTCTTCTCGCCTTTATAGTAGCGAAGCAAGACTTGCATTGCGAGATGGTTGCACTCGCTGCTTCCCTCAGAATTGCGCAGAATTCACAAGTCGATATCCTTTCAGTATAAAACCTTAAGTTTTGAATTGTTCTCCCGTTCATCTATGCTGCTACATACTATACATGTTTCTGTGCGTAGCTTCTTAAGTAGATCCTTCTTAACATCAGTATAAGCATTATCCTTCTGATTGTATGCTGCAATCTTCTGAGAGCTGATGCTCAGTATATTATGAATAAGCTCATGTTTCCAACAGCTTGTAAACATGTAGAATAAGCGAAGGCAAGCATTGTTCAGTTAATCAAGTCTGCTGTAGAAGTTTGAGGAATCCTTGACTCAGAGGAAATGCTGCAAGAAAGTGAAGAGATCGGATTCAAGAATGAACTTCTGGTTCAGCTCCCCTCCTGAGCTTGTACCGCAGTGTAATATTAATCTTGATGGCATCCAAGAGGTGCTTCTTGAGAGTCGAATCCATCCTCCTTTCAGCGAATTAATTAGACAAGCTGGTCAGAAATCTGATGCAAACTCGAATAGTATTCTAGCTGCGAATTGGTCTACATTATCCTGTTTCTAACTCATTCATGAGGAAGTGAATGAAGAATGTAGCAAGGCTTCTCGTTTCATACGAGAGCAATAGCAAATGCTGTTTCCAATAAACCCCATCGTTAAGTCTATCGCAAAAATGCTGCTATCGGAGTTTCACATCTGTAAGATGGTATTTGTATCGATCAGAGTATCCTGGTGGAAATGGCTAATGCTGATTATCCCGTACAACGAAGCTGTTGCAGCTCGCTAGAGGTGATGAGTTCGCGCTCATGTTCCTCCAGCATCTGGCTCCAATCGATTTAGAACGCAAAACAGGCCTCCATGATAATCTAGCTGCTGTCTTGATCACGCATGAAGTGCTGTATCCGATGAACACATACCTGATAGCTGCTTAGCATTGCTTTGCTCGGAAATGCAGTAGTTCAATCAAATTTCTACTGAATGCCCTAAAGAAAGACAGATTAAATGTTCAACTTGTCAACGAAGTTCGTGTCAAACGTTGAAAATTCCCCAGTTTTAGGGATTCGGGCTGCATTTCAATTCAGCTGTAGAATCTGTGTCTGCCCAGGCCCAGGACCAGGTCAACACTGTGCCAGAAACACTGTGATGCGGCCATGCATGACTGGGTACCTGACCTCTTTGCTCTGACATTCCCATGTACGCCCATCATCACACCTCGCAGTGAGTTCGTTCATGGAATTACGATAATTGAATTGAATCCCGCTCTTGATTCTTCATGAGGCGCTAGCAGAATGTGCAGGTTTGTCCGCCCCAAGGAAAAAGAAACAATCGACAAAGGTAGCAAACGTGCAGTACGGCTCAGATCAAATGACCGTGCTGGCAAGGGGGAAGGAGAGGCCCGATCATGTCGACTTTGAGGCTGGGCATTTCAAATTTAGATAGTGATGTGGTCATGGGTGAAGAATTTTGGGGAAACCCCCCGCCCAATACTTGCAATTTTGCCATAACCAAGACAACATCACTGTAGGCCAGCCCAAGGTCAGGTCTTCTTCCAAGCGCAAGCCTTGAGTCCAGTCTCAAGTATTCTTGCAAGCTCAGGGCTCCATATACCCCCCTTCCCCAGGGCCATGAGCTACCGCGTATCGGGGTCGGACAGTAAGAAGTTGGTCCAGCTCAAGGAGGTCGCTAAACAGGACGCTGGCGAGGGTACCCGTAGACCTGCCGACTCTGAGGAACATAATAGGGGCTCTGCCGTCGGTGAGTTCCACGAGCCTCTTGTCCACAGTGCCAATGAGCCTCTCGAGCTAGACAAGCACATTAGAGAGCTTGCTGCCATCGACAACACCGAAGACCGGGCCCAGCCGGAGCAGCAAGCTGAGAAGCCTGCCTTCGACCACAATATCAACTTGCCTCCCCAGCTCAAGGATAAGATGGTAGCTGCCGTCATCATAAGACTATTCAGCCCGTTGTTCTTGTTGCTAGCCAGCCCAGTGGGCACGAGGACCAGATACGAGACCCCCGAAACCACCATGCCCTTCACGCTGCCCGGCTTGTTATCGACTATAATTCTCAGGCTATTGCTGACGGTAGCACCAAGGCTGCCCTTCTTGAGGAGTATGCCGGACAGGCCGCTGTTCATGCTGTCAACAAAGCTGGCCAGCCTGTGGGAGACAGTGAGCGGTATACTGGTGATACTGCGCAGCCTGCTTAGCCTGGAGAAGATGCTGAGCAGCAGCTCGCTGTCAACGATACTAAGGAGTGAGGACTCGCTGGATACCTGATTTTTCTGCTTGACGAGATGATCGAGGCGCTTTTCAAGCCCATCAGCAACCCCAGCCTTCAGGCCCGCATGATGTTCCCTGATCCTCAATGCCTCGCCAGTCCTCCAGCCTTTCTGATGCGGCAAACTTTTGTCCAACAGGCTCACGAAGCCAAGGCGAAGCACCGAGGACATGTCACCTTGGCCGCCATGCAGGATCCGGGTGTCCCCGGCCAATCTGTAGAATCCGCCATACAATTCGCCGACCCATTCCAATTCCGGAACCTGAACACAAACCAAAAGATCTTACACAGTAGAATCGAACGACCCGAGCCAGCAGTCGATTACAATAAGCATGCCCTCCTTCCTGTGATCACGTCGCAGAATATACGCCTAGACCCTTGCTGACAGCCAGTAGTAGGATCTGCGGACGGTGCTCGTGATGTAATGAGCAGCCCGACAGGGCTGAAGAAATTAGGAAAGTAAACTATCAAATGTAGCCAGGAGGAACAACTTGTCAAGTGAAAAGGTCACCCCCGGGCTGCGCTATGCTATGGCTAAGGAGGACTATGAGGTTAGGATGGAGAAGGCACCCGCTGTCGTGTTGGCTAGGGAAGATATCCCGGACAAAATGCCGGCGCTGCCGCCTATCCTATGTAATCGGGGTCTCGCAGCAGAGAGACAGAGGGCCAACACGAGGATGAGGGCTAAGTGGGAGGATATTGTGTGGGGGTGAGGAAATACTTACGCAGTCGGGCAGATTGAACAAACTTGATACATAAGCAGGCTTTATGTGACAAAAACAATTGATGACATGAATCCAGCGTTATGATAGTATCATAGTAGGGGTGGAGAAAGGAAGAAGTGCGGTGGTGGCGGCGGTGGTGGTTCGGCGCTGTGTCTAGTATAGTAGTGCCTGTGGATGGTAACTCAGGGGACAAATCAGGGATCCTTCAGTGCCTCAACGAGCCCTTAAGCTTTCTGCTAAGTGATGTCAGGGCTCAAGGGAGATAGGGTTTGGGTCTTCAGGTAGGAAATACTTGGTCTGTATTTGGTGCATCAGTCGCAGCATTTGGTCTACTAGTGAGAGCGTTGGGTCTTTCAGTATGCTGCTATGCTTCCTTTCTTCCTGGTGGGGCCACTTGGATTGGTAGGAAGGGACTTGATTGTGTGGTAAGAGCACTTGGTCTTTTGGTCGGGGCCTCTGGGGGGTTTTTGGTCACAGTAGATGGGGACAGCACTGAGTCTTTGGGGACAGTGCTAGGTGCCCCAGGAGAGTGACGTCTTCTGAAAGGGCTCCTTGGTGTTCTACTAGGAGAACTGAGTCCTGTTGCAAGAGAACTTGGGTTCTATAGCATGAGCTCTAAGTCGTCCAGTAAATATCCAGGATTTCTAGACAGCAGCCAGAGCTTCTATACAAGAGCTAAGCCTCTTGAACAAGTGCTAGATTTGTGGACAGAGTGCTAGAGGACACCATCAGGTAAGAAGATGAGGATGTCGAGGAAGGCCTTCTAGGTAGCAGGGTGGGAGCCAGTAGTTAAGAGTCAGGGCCTCCTAGACACACGCCATCAGTCTTGGTATGGGCGCTAGGCCATGTGGGGAGGAGACTGCCAGTGTGTGGGGTGTCTGGGAGTCTAGCGGAAGATGGGAGAGACACACTTGTGGATTATGTCACAGCACACCCCTCCTACCTTTCTGGGCCTGTCTTCATCCTTCTTGTCATATCCTGCATAACACAATCATGGGAATTGTGAATCCTATCTCTCAAGAGTACACATACACAAGCTTGACACCTGTCTTTGTATGTACCATTTCACAATAACCAGATCCCCTCCATCTCTTCGCGCTGACCTCTATTGTGCCCACCATTAATACTCTGGCCCAATTCATGGGAAAAGACAAAGACTCTATCCTTGATCAAATAATTCTTGAACTAGTGATTGTCTTGCATTAGCACTGACAAAGCTGGAGCTGACTATAGCATTGACTATAGCTCCGACTATACCGAACCCCTACATGCAGACTGCCTCCCACCCCGCACTGGACACTTACAATGGCTAGACAAAGTTTGAGGGGGAGGGGCAAAGCAGGAAGAGGAGGTGGGAGAGGAGAAGGAGGAGGAGGAGAAGGAGGAAGAGGAGGAGAAGGAGGAGGAGGAGGAGAAGGAGGAGGACTATGAAGAATGTGGATCTTTGTACAGGGGAGGAGAAAAAGGCAACCCAAAAAAACAACCGGGGGTCCCTTCCCTGGCGCCTGGGATTTTTGCCTCGGGACTTCTTCCGGCACAAGACCTAACCTTCGTCGCTCCACGTCCGGAACAGGAACGCTTCGCGCAACACCCAACCCCTCCCACCATGCCAGTTTGTTCTCTTTTTGCCAAGAGAACTTTCCAAGGCGACTCGACAGCCATGAGCTAATTCCCCTTTTGGGCGACCCCGTCAGTGTGTGTCGCTACGACAATCGCTGCGACAAAACGTGCTCTTTGTCCCTACACGAGCGACCGACCGTCCTATACTACGACACCCTATACTACGACACCCTATACTACGACACCCTATACTACGACACCCTATACTGCGACACCCTATACTGCGACACTCTATACTGCGACATCCTGCCTGTCTCTCTCCGTCCCTCCCTCCTTTTCTATTCATCCTCCGAGAATACTATACATACAAGCTTCAGGGTGGTCTTGGTGGTAGTGTTTGTTGCGGCTGCGGCTGCTGCTGTTGTCATTGTTACTGGATCGACAAGCATTCAACGAATATGCAGCTAGACATGCAAGCGATCATGAGGGGCCCTGGCAGGCCTGCCGTCGTCGACGCGCTCGAGGCATCGATGGCGGAGGAGGCGGATGACTCCAAGGAGCATGCGCGACCCAGGAAGAGGACGAGGAGGGCCTGTGACAAGTGCTCTGCCTCGAGGACAAGGTGCAATGGCGCATATCCGTGGTAAGTCAGCTTCCCAAGCCTGGCGCAACCTAGCAAACCACACTGCCTCCCTCGCCCCCCACTGCGCGCGCGCAACATATGGCCCGAGAAACACCTGCTGCTCATGTTTCTTTTCTCATGTGTGTGTTTGTTCGGATACATGCAGCCGTCGTTGTGAAGGTATGTTATCCTCCTGCTCTTGCCCCATTTCTGTTTCTCTCGTTCCGCTGTGGCCGTTGCCCTCCCATCACTGGCTGGTCATATTGTGATGTATACATACTATTTTCTTTCAGAGTTTGTGACATATCTGGAACAAAGACGAATACTGATTGCCTCCATCGTAGATTACGGTTATACTTGCCGCTACAATCGCGAGATCAAGAAACGAGGCCGTGCACCCTCGAGCGCCACGACTTCGCAACAGGACACACAGCATCATCTGGCCCATCAGCAATTTTCTGCGCAGGTGTCGCCCTCGTCGCCCCTCACATCGCCCGAAACGAGCACGCAACCTCCCCCCATTGACGACCACCATCACACCGACGCACTGTCACGGCGAAGCTTTACAATGGGCCCGGACAGCGGCCATACCTTGTCTTCCTTCTCCAACGTCACCAGCCAGTCTCCTCCATCAACAGCTCCGACATTGCCTCTTGCGCAGATGAACCTGTCCTCCTTACTTGATCCGGCCCCAAACCTGGACACGCCCTTGTTACCGCCGCCACCGCCATTGCTCCCGCCGCCGAGGATAGAGGATGGTGATGGCGCTGGTTCTGACGAGAGCGCCGAGCATCCTTCCCCTCTTGCTGAGGGCGGCGGCAGGTTTCTGCGCCCGTGGCGGACGACAAAAGGCTTACATGGACGGAGGGGAGAACATTCTCAGGAAATACAGCGCACGACAAACAAACAGACGACAGGGATGACGGGGACGACGACGATCTTTTCCAACTCCCATAATATGGGCGAGGATCTTGCGCCCGAGACGCAGCGCGCACAGTATTCCCTCTATCGTGCTCCGTCCAGCGACTGTCGATATCGCTGTCTGGATCCTGTTCTTCCACATTTGGGCAACATCATCCCAGCCTCTGTCGCATGCGACCTCCTCGACGTATACCTGACGGAGCCGGGAAGTTCTCTGTTCCGCTGCGCCTCCCCATATATTATCACTCGTATCTTTCGCAAGACGTCGCTGCTCCATCCGACCAACCCTCGACGCACCACGCCCGCCCTGCTGGCGACGATGCTCTGGTGCTCTGCGCAAACTGCCGACATCGTCATGCTGCACGTTCCAGGCTCGCGCGCGAGGATTTGTAATGCGCTGTACGATCTGGCGACAGCGCTGATTATAGACAGAGATCCAGACCGGTGGAGAAGGTTTCATGGTAAGACTCGCTCTCGTTGTCTGATCTTAGCCAAGCGTGTGCGGTAAATGACATTGAGTAAAGCGTTGATTCTGACATCCAATTGTGTTCGTAGGAGGGCTGCGTGTGGAAAAGAGTGAGCAGCCTCAGGATGGCTACCAATTCTCCTCGTCCCAGCCTCTCACGACGGCCAAGAACGAGCCAGGGGGTGTTGTGGACGACGTCCTGACCTTCATCTTGCTCTCGATCGCCGTTTCAGGCGGCGACTTCAAAAGCGACTGTTTTAAGTGGTGGAGCAAGGCGGTCCGGTTAGCCTTTTCCCTGGAGCTGAATCGAGAGGACGAGCGGTGCTCCGCGCCCATGTCACCCTGTGCGAACCCTTTATGCTCGTGCAGGCGTGACCAGGAAGGCCTCTCGCTGTCGGATATAGAGGCGAGAGAGGAGAGGAGGCGGGTTTTTTGGCTGCTGTATTGCCTCGACAGACACCTGGCCCTGTCTTTTAACCGCGTCCTCGACATTCCGGACTCGTACTGTGAGATCTATGGTGGGTAGCCTTCGTCATTGTCACCCTCCTTCTGTTTATCATTGTTGGAAGCACTTTGTTTGGTTCCCCGAGCATCCAATGCAGGCTGTTCGTTGACACTTTTCTCCTCTTCAACTACAGCTCCTCTTCCCGAGGCCATCTGGGAAGATCTTGATATCATTCCGCCAGGAACCTTACCACAGAGGGAGTTTGGCCCCCCAAGTATCGTCACAGGGACAGGATTCTTCGAATATTTCCTTCCGCTCATGGCCATTCTTGGAGACATCATCGACGTGCACCACCGTAGGTTCCACCCTCGTCTGAGTGCCGTGGATGATTCTCACGCCGTCGCAATCATCAGTAACAATCTTGCGACCTGCGAGGCAAGTATTGACAAGCTACGACGCGAGGTTGACGAAGATGACAATGCGGACGAGCATAACACAGCCGCACCAACGACACCACCGCCGCCACCATCAACGTCTTCGTCGTCGTTCGGTGCAGTGCCCATCAAGGACCTCATCACGACGAGCTACAAATCGCCCATCTTCTCCCGGTCTTCCACCGTGACGACGCCCTCGCATGTCAGCCCATCATTGCCGCCACCGCAACCACCATCAGCCCCACCATTAGTCTCCTCCTCGTCCAAGTCATCATCGTGCAGAAGTGCAAGGGATCGGTCACGTCTCGAGCTCGTCGCTGCGTACAGCGCCCACATCCTACATGTTCTGCACGTCCTGCTCCACGGGAAATGGGATGCTCTGTCGATGCTGGACGACGATGACGACTGGATCACCAGTGCCCGGTTCAGCGACTGCGCAGGACACGCCATCGCCGCCAGCCAAGCCGTCAGCAGCATCCTGCGATCCGACCCGGAGCTGACTTTTATGCCGTACCTGTTTGGCATCTACTTGCTGCACGGTAGTTTTATCTTGCTACTATTTGCGGACCGCATGCCTCAGCTGGGCGCAAACCGGAGTGTTGAGCTTGCTTGCGAGACCATCGTCCAGGCCCACGAGGTCTGCGTTGTCACCCTAAGCACCGAGTTTCAGGTATGTAAAAGCTCACTCGTTGTCTTCCCTTCTCTTTCTTCGGCAAATTATATGGATGTAAATATGTTACGTACTATGAAGGGGAATATGCTCAAGTCGCGCAGCAACATTGCGAAGAGGGGATTGAATCTAGTCTCTTCAAATCACTTCCCACGAGATGTTTCTCAAGTTGACAATAAATTTCTACTTCTCTAGAAAAACTTTCGCAAGGTCCTACGATCAACACTCTACAGCGTTCGAGGATCAAGCCCAACAGAGTGGGAAGAGCACAAAGCGAGGCGAAGGGCTCTCTCACTGTACCGTTGGACAAAGGGGGCCAAGGGGCTAGCCTTGTGATGGTTTTCAGATGCATACACGCTCGCTGTCCCACCCTTCTACCGATACCTGTCACAATGAGGGGTTGTCATGTACATATGTAGCCATTATACAAGTATCAAGGCCAAGCCAAGCCAAGTTAAGCTCTAGCTGTCGACATATATACAGATGGGCGTCTTGCTCAATGGGTTGTATGATTCTGCTTTTGTCATCCCAGCCGGCTTACATGAAAACAACACGTCAGGCAAAGAAACACAAGAAAACAAATGATGTATGTTTGCCAGCGGCATTTCTTCTATTTGAAATGACCATCATCAAGCCAAACCAGTAAGGCCTTTTACCTTTTTGTTCCCCTCGACCCGACCACCAGGCATCGCAGTTTACACATACCGTTTCTCGATCACAACTCCTATTGCGTTACCTCGTTCCTCCGACATTCACGCCTAGATCTTGTCCTGAAAAGCAGCTTATTGGCGTCGTCAACACATCACTCTGTCTGTGAATATCTCGGAAACATCCTGGCATCGCCGCGGCGGCATGGATGCCTCACCAGCAAGAATACTCCCAACAAGACTAAAGAGGTCAGTCATGAAGTCCAAGCTCCCAAGGGGCGTGACCCTGCAGTTGATATATCATACAGATCTTTGACAAGACTTGTGAGTGTCAAAATATCATTGGGCAGGATGTTCGGCTTCTCGTCGGGCATGAGGAGGATCGGTTTGTAGACTGGGTGCAACGTTGAGGGAGCTGGGCACGGCACTGGCGGCGGGGAGGCCGTCATCACCATTGTCGCCAACGTCGTCGCTGTTGTTTCTGTTATTGGAATTACTTCTACTGCTGCTGCTATTTTTACCTTTGCCGCCGTTAACAGGTGGTACTTGAGCTTTTGGGGCGGTGGAAGATTCCCTCACGTTGTTGCCGCGGGTAGAGCGTCCATACTTCTTGTTGCGAGTGAAACGCGCAGCCAGCATGATTTCTTTGGGGGAAGTTGTCGACGATGTTATGAATCCTCTTGTTTAATATGTCGGCAATAGATCTCCGTCTTTCCAAGGGTCTTGGGAAGAGGAGGTTTTGAAGCAAAAAAGAATACGAAAACAATGGAAGATGAAAGAGAGGCAGTAAAGTAAAGAGATCACAGATTGAAGGAAGAAAATCACAGACTCAAGTATGAAGATGCCGGTGCTTAATATCCAGACGATGAAGAAAAGTGTGCAACCGATGAGACCAAAAATAAGGAGGGTCAAGTAGAGTATAGAGACGATAGGGCCAATTATGAAGGTAATGAGTAGACTTTGACAACCATAGAGCATGTGTTGGATGAGAGCTGAAGAAGACGATTTGTTGAAGCGCAGGAACGGCATCATGAAGTCAAGCTGAGGTCCAAGGCCCGATCGTTCATGTTTGTCACCACAGCAGTGACCTACACAGCGTGAACCGGGATTATTCTGCACGCCCTGGTCCAGTCTCTCATGCTAGTCGTAGGTATAGGGTATGCTCTTCGGAACCACGAAACACGGCCACCCCCAAATGGTTGTATCGCTGGCTGGAGAATGTAAGGATGAGAAGAACTGTGATGTTGTCTTGCCCTGCTGGAAAACCTGATCCTCTGACCCCCTCCTTGACATTCTTTTGTTCTCTTTGCTTCTCTCTCTCTCTCTCTCTCTCTGTGGAGCCATGGAGAGAAAGGTCTAAGCGAAGCAGTCAGGAACAAGCAATGTCGACTTCTGGCGAGCCGAGATACTTTCTCCGACCAGGCCTTTCTACATGCTGTTGTATAACCACAACGTCGCAATGATGCCCAAATACCACACGCCAATACCACTTGATGATCGAGAGTACCCCCTGACAGCCGCATACAATGTGCTCACAGCTGGGCCAGGCCCAGGTGAGGTGGCAGGAGAAGCAAGTCTAGCGCTGTTTCATGGGAGAGGTTACTGTGCAAGTGGCTGAAGTGTCTAGAAAATAGATTTCTCGTTAGCATGTGCGAGTAAGAGAGGAAAAGAAGAGAGAGAAGGAGGGGGAGAGGAAACCGGGAAAGAAGTGGGAGCCAGAAAGAGCGACTATGTGTGTAACCAACAGAAAAAAGCAGATATTTAGACCAAGGGAATGCATCGCACAGCAGCATGGACACAAAGCTAGAGTTCGGAGGAGTACAACAACATCTACGAAGTATCTCGAGAACCCCTCCCCTCCAAGGAAAAGTATACTCGTCGCAACACACACAAAACAAGCAGTGGAGGCTCAATGCAACAGGCGTATCACTATCACCAAGTCCCAGAACAGATGGAGTCACGAAGAGCTTTTGGGAGTTGGCCGTACTGACCTGCTGCAGAAGGAAGGCCTCTGTAGTAGAATGTAGGAGCGGTGTGCGTGCACGCGTTTGTGTATGCAGCAACAAGGAAGGAGTGGTGACCTGAGGACGCTGAAGTCCACTGTAATCAATTGCTCGTGTTGATGACTGCATTAGTGCGGGTGTCGACCTTGGTCCTTTGCTTATGAGAGGAATACCAATTAAACGAGGGGGTTGACTAGAATGTAGTGTAGTGTGGGGCTTCGGTAGGAGAGATCCGAGACCTACAAGGTGCTCATCGTTTAGTGTTTCATTCCTGCATCACGAGGTGGTGTAGAGAGACGGGCTCCCATCCAATTGTTCTATCCGGAATACGAAGCTGATTGGGATCGGCACGGGAAAAAGAAAACTAAAGGAAGGAAAAGGAAGGAGAAATGAAAGTCAGATTTTTTCCTTCTCTTTATCAGGCAGAAACGGTACAATTCTTCCTCGATCTCGGGTGCCAAGCAATACCCCTCCCGTAGTGGGTGCCAAAATTGGTTGCCGGCCAAAAAACCCGCACGGCTAAGTTCCCTTGGAACAACTTCTTAAACTTGTGATACTCTCGTGGTATGCCAGCAAGTGTTGGTTCTGATCCTTCTTCTGTTTCTGCTATCTGGAGGAACAGGATGTACCGTTGAGCGTGCTTTTCTTTCACTTGTCGTCTGCCAGTTTCGTAGATTGGGGGTCATGCTGTAACCTGCCCTGCTTCCGTACTTCTTGGTAATATCTGGCGCTTTGGGTTGCTCGTGCCGCTTCGGGCCGAATCTCTGGGGATGTGATCGTGAGATTTCCTTATGGTTCCAAAGTCCACACTTCTTCTGTTGCTCCGAGTCGGGCCGTGTTTCTCTGGGCCTGCGTGTACTCGTTGTAGGGTCAATCTGCCGATGCCCTGGCACTGTCCATTTGTGTTCATCGTCGCTAGATCCTTCTCCATGAGCCATCAGCCCCACTGATTTGGAGGTATCTGTGGGTTCGTTTGAGGCCTCTTGTCTTGAGCGCTTCTCAGTGACTAAATCCGATCCTTCGCCTTTGATTGCGTCCTTCCCATGGGTAACAGCATTGTCCCAAGAGATCTGGCCAGTGGGCCAATACTACTACTGTTCAGCTCTCTTTACCTTCTTTTCTTCATCATACATACCAGCCAACGACATCAGCCCGGTTGGTAATGGTAATAGAGGGACAAGCAACAATTACAGCATTAGTTGTGTTTTCTTGTCTTTGCACTTTCGGCTTGACCAGCTCTCCATCACCCGCTGTGATCTCATCTGTGGTGGAGACCATCATTCTTCTCGTTCACTCGTCGCGACAGCATCCCATAGGGACGACGAACGCTCAACTCCTCCCCTGGGCTCCCGAGCGGTCAGCACCAGGTGCGCAATCAAGCCACAGCAGGCTCAACATGTCGTCTTTGAGTGGCCAGAGCGGTTGTCCCCCACAGGAATCTGCCTATCCACCTCCTCCGGGCGAAGAGGACGACCGCCCTCCTCGACCTCAGTATCGACAGCTGCCTCTGCCAGTAGGCATAACCCTCCCGCCTAGTGAGCTCGGTATAGTTGATTATATATTAATATGTGCACTTGCCGCAGCTGAAGCCCTTGTAGAGCTGTAGTTTAGGGTGTGCAGGGGAGCTGTTCTCTCGCAGCGGCCAGCGGTCCATACAGTTCAGTCAGTTCAGTCCAGCACCCCTCGACTGTTTAACTGTCTATATTCGCGGACGACTGCACTGGTAGGCTAGGCTAGACGACTGACTACTAAGATTACTGAGAAATCTATTCAATTAACCTTGATATACGACTTCAGTGGTCTACCCGGCATGGATAATGATGAGATACCATAGACTTTGTTACCATCTGATCCCGCGCGAGGTCCCTCTCTCAAATGGATGAATGCCCACTTCTGAATCCTCGCAGGGCCTTTTTTAGTTTCGGGGGTTTTTTTATTTTTTTTAATTTTGTCAGCCCTGAGTCACCTCCGCTGGCCCCGTCGAGAAGCCATTTCTCCACCAGTGCTTCAGCCAGGAGAGCATCTCCAACGTAGATGCCTTCATGCGGACTCTCTGTGAGGACATCGTAAGCCTCCCTTGGCTGAAGACCCGCTCGCACTCTGCAGATGTTGCGGGGATGGAGAGGATATCAAAGGCTATCTGTGATAGTGTGGGAAACTGGGCCCTGTGAGCAGCCTACTATAACAGAGAGTCGATGTAAGGAGAAACGAGTGGACTGAGCACGTAGAAGTGGCATAAAGAGTGTTGAGATTGAATCTAACTAAAACAAAAGGAAGACCTTCGAAGTGACCATACCAAGCTCTCAGATGGTTTTATAGATGGACCAAATGAGAGGGTTAGGGTTAAATATGCCCCATTTTTCACACGATCTCATCGCCCTCTGGCATCTCCTCATCCTCAAGCTCGAGGTACCTCTCTATCTCAGGCTTTGTTTGTTGTGGCTTGGGCTTAAGTCTAGCACTGAACGATGTAGACCACAACAGTACTATTGGTGCTGCTGATGCTGGTCTCTGTGGTGAGGCTGTAGGCCGTGCTGCCCAGTAGTTCTGGTAGAAAGCCTTGAAATCCCTTTCAACCTGATCAGCTATGACTGGAGCAGCTAACCGGATGCCGTCAAGACGATATTGAGGATGTAAAATAGTGGCAGCGAAGGATATCGGGCATTCTTGCAGCTTGTCTTTATATCGCAAGAGAACTCCGAGGGCGTGCTGTACAGAGGTACGGAGAAAGTCTGTACCCTCGAGCCCACAGCTCTCTAACAGCTTATCCTCTGGCAAGGCTGCCAGGCTCTCTTGTTGTCGCCTTCTTGGTGTGTTGCGAGGTACGGTCTCACAGTACTGGCGTCTGAACCAGGGAGTTCATTGCGATGGCGGCAAGGGTATTAGGGGCTGCTGAGAGAGGAGGACGGTCGATATGGAGAGGCATTTCAGCAGCCGTTTTAGGTGCGGAGGGGAGAAGAAGCGGTTGAGGAAGCAATATCACAGTACAACATCGCGGACACCGCCATAGCAACACGACAAGACCCTGGGTACGCCAAGCGAGGGAAATACGGGCTCGGAGGAACCTGGCAGCCAGTGAAAATATGTGTGGGTGGGCCAGCAGTACATCGAGCCTGGCGTGAGAGATCCCCAAACACCAAGTCGGGCATCGTAAACCCTCCTAATCGGGCTTAATATGAAGATCAAGGGACGGCTAGGCGACGACTAGTTCGACTACAGTCAACTGCTAAAAAAAAAAAAAACGTTTGCTCGCTTGTACCAGTACCTCTTGTTCGCCAACTAAGACTGCTAACTGAACTGCTAGGACTGAACTGCTAGGACTGAACTGTATGGACCGCTGCCAGACTTACTGTTACGTACAGCAAGGATGACTTTCGCAGTACCGAGACGAGCAAAGTGCCGCGCAGCTTCGTTAACCTCAAAGTTAGCCCTAGACAATAACTGTACGGATATTGAAGACAAGTTATATAATATTATATTGGATGAAATGTAATAGAAACTTTTGATAAAATATTGATAGTATGATCGACGAGTGGTGTTGGTGATAACCCTTAATTATCCTATCAATGGTATCAATACATAGCTGTGAACTCCCTTGACTCCTTTCCTCTTTTTGTGAGATATCCATCCAGTTGTCATTCCTAAGTATTATAGATATTGTGGGGTAAATTGTCAGCTGTCACGCAACAGACCATCTCACTGGCGGTCTTGATATTCTTCCACTTCGGGTCCTAAAGGCATCAAATTCAGATCGTGATCGCAATTGGGTCCACTGGCGCTGAGCTTGTGCTCGGCCTCGAGTCTGCTTATCTGTGGGCAAAGTTGGTCGAGGGGGCCGAGTAGCTTCTCCTTGGCACAGGGGCTTTATCCCTTGACGTTGTTGAGTGCAGTCCGGGGCCGTGACGTCAGAGTCCATAATGAAAGGCTGGGATTTCGAAGCTTTCAACGTCTGGGCCCGCATGTTTGAACTCTTCGGCGTAAGTCTCATGATCTTGCCTCTTGGCATGGCTCTCAATGCGGCACTCTGATCGTCAGTCTCTCTGACAGATCTCGGAGCGAAGGCTATTCTGTTTGGCCAAGCATAACCTCTAACTCCAGCTCCCGGCCACGCCTTTGCCATCTCGGCCTAAACCTTCCCCTGTTGCGGATATTGGATCCACGCTAACGTGTTCTTGTTCTCACTTGAGGTGACCGGCTCCAGTGGCCTGCCTGCGTTTGTGGTCATATGTGAGCTCTTTGGGAGTTTGTCGTGCATTCTGTGGAGTGACCTAGAAAGGAAGATGTTTAGTTCTTATAATAGCATCTCGAATAGATAAAGGTCCTGACATTTTTGTGAAGGAAAAAGAGAAATAGAGCGGGGTTTGAAAATGCTTATATAAGCAGGCCAAACTTCAAGCTAATTCTGATTCGAGGACCTGAATTTGCAGGGTCGTTTTGGTGGTAGGGGCTGGATTTGTAGGGATTATTTTGGCCAGGTTTGGCGGGCGGCGGGTGACGGTCGCCCCACCTCGCCTTGCGATCACAATGGCCCTAGAAAGACCCACTAGGACCCACCGGCCCCCATATAGATTCGCGTTCGAGTGTGTTAACATTTTTTCTTCCTTCAAGCTTCTAACCTCGCCTCTATTTCGAGAATCGGTTGCCCAGACTGCCACTTATCCGCCCAGAGACAAAGAACAAAACGACTGAACCCACTCCTTTTTATTTTTCTACTACTACTACCACCTCCTAAGCTGCAGAACACACAAAAATTTCTCTCAACAGGGATCATTACTAGTGCCTCTACACTCTTGTAAGTATGGGTTGCCCTGCAGATAGAACTGCTACTCACTGCCTACGGCCAGTGAAAGCACCTGGGTCTCTGGGAAGGTAGCTTCAGTTGATACTGTTGTTGTCGCATTAGGAGCCGGCGGTGAACCGACAGACTTTTGCCCGGAAGGCCGTTGGTCATCCTCTTGACCGAGACCACCGCGACAGGACTGCTACTCACTGCCTACGGCCAGTGAAAGCACCTGGGTCTCTGGGAAGGTGGCTTCAGTTGATACTGTTGTTGTCGCGTTAGGAGCCGGCGGTGAACCGGGATAGAGCTAGGTCAAGCATTGCACTAGCGGTCTCTTTAAAGTTTTCCATCACTCGAGTCAAGGCTGCTCTGCTGCTGCAAAAAGCCTGGGTGGGTGGGGATCTTGCCAACAGTTGTTGTGCAAGGGCTTACTTTTCAAATATCAAATTCCTTTCTCTCTCATGCGTGTGCTAATAAGTTCTCTTTACTAGCCTTTTCCATTTCCAATCCTCCCGCCTCTCGTCTTCCCGTCTCCAACACGCTTGTCTTCAAATACTGCCTCTTCTCGTCTTAGCGTTAGCAAGACCACGATCGCACCGCACCGACGCTTCAGATTATAGTCGGTATGGAAGCCAGCGCTGATCGCGGGTCTCAAACACTAATTTCCACCGACCCGCCATGCCTGAGCTCCTCGCATAATGGCGACAACTCTGCCGATTCCGGCAGCATTGCTATCTCTGGAGCGCCCGCTTCAATAGCCTGGCGAAGCACTGGTGATGCAGATGGACAAGACGAGATGAACAAGCAGCCGAGCCTCATCTCTGATATGCATCTCGATGTGCATTACAATGCTCAAGCAAGAACAGCCTTGTTCTGTTTGCATACCAAACTTAGCATACAGGATGTCCAACGATCTATGGTGTTCCTAGTTCTTATCCAACCTGAATATATACAAAGCTTGGAATGCATTAAGAGACCAATGGATGGCAACTTCGTTAATATAGCTATCTGCTTTCGATTTGAGCTTTGCAAGTTGCCAGCTCTCGTAGAGCCTAGCAGCAAGCCCAAGATGAAGATATCTGAAGACAATACTATGCTGACTTTCTTACGACCTCTCACCAAGGCTACACAATTGGATATCTATCTACCTAAATTCCACAAGCAAGTTAAAGTTCTAGAATAGGCAGACTTGCTATATCGTGTTTGCGAAGCGCTTATGCAACTCGAAACGTTGTTTGTTACCTCTGTAGAAGATGAAATGAGGCTTAGCACTTTGTACAGCGGGCGCAGCGGTAAGATTATATCTGGAGAATGGGTTTCGCATCAATTCGCTGCCGAAGGGCCTTGAGGTCAAAAGCGATGTGCGTGGCAGCGAGCGCGGATAGCCGGGCCGCCGAGCTATAACAGTATACCACCTAATCCTCCACCACCACCACCACCACCCCATCAGACAGAGCTAGCTATCTTTAGTCCCAAATATAAACAGCGCCGCCTTTCGGAGAAATCAGAGCCTGTTGCTCAATATGTAACCGAATCTCAGCTGATTCTAGATCGAGATCAGATCCGGGACCAAATCCGAGACCGGATACGTAACGACATCCGCAACGAAATCCGCAATCAGATCCGAGACCAGCTCCATGCCGAGCTTCACGGGAAGTTACGGAATGAACTGAGGACCGAGCTGCTCTCGGAGATATACGAGAAGCTGCGAGGCGAGCTTCAAGAGACAGTTCGAGACCAGGTAAAAGAGGAGATCAGGACACAACTACATGAACCCTGTGTGCGTCGCAAGTTCTCAAGGGACATCGAGGCAGGTGTCAAGTATGACATGGAGATGTACTTGGACGATTTCTTGAGGAAGGACGACTTGAGTGAATGGGCTGAGGGTTTTTTCAGGGATGCATTGAAAACAATCAAGGCTGAGCAGGAGGTTCGCCTGAGGCGTCAGCTTAAGGATGCCTTAATTGCAGCTAGCGAGGCTTTGAACTAATAGAGGAATCCGCTGCAAGTCCCCCTTTTGCTTTACCTTGTCCCCTCCCAGTCTGGTGCGTACGCTTAAAGTGTATGGTCCGTTTCAGCATACTAAAGTCTCTCAAACGGTCCACCGGTCCTCATGCCCTTCGGGAGGCGGAAGAACTTAGGGGAGAGTGCACTTACCCTAGACTTCACTTCGGACCTTAATACAATCATCATCATCATCTTTCTTCGAGACGAGCATGACATCTTGAGTTTTTCTCCTAAGAACAACAATAGCATACCGCACTACACTGCAATACAACGCATCCTTGCACAGGACAGCAGAGCGGAGCGGATTTCTTGGCTCTCTCCCCAGTCATATATAATTAGAGCGCAGGGCGGCAGTCGATATCGTATCATGAAGTGGCTAAAGGTTTTGTTGAGATGATTGAGAAGGAGTGGTGGAGGAGGAAGTTCAAAGAAAACTGGCGAGGGAATGGAGGGATAGCTGCTAGCGGGTGGGTATAAAGAAGATAAGGCGATGAGTGTGAAGCCTGGGAATGGAGAAGTCTCAGAAGGTGGTGTATGCAGTCGATGTGGTTGATGAGTGCAAAGTGGGATCAGGCCAGGGCAGATCGCAGCTGTCTCTCTAGTTCCCTGCATTCCTGCCTACTTAAACTTCATGATACAGTACTTTTTGATACTTAGCTTGAGGGGTCTGAAGGGGTAAGGAGTAAATAGCCCAGGCAGCGAGCTGTACAAGCTTAAAAGTGCACAACTTGGTTTGAGACGAATGGTTACCCCCCCCCCCCCCCAGCTGTAGCCTGTATCAACAACTGTATCATAGTACTACTGTATACAATAGTACTCAGGATCATCGATGGCGGGCTTACTTGGAACTAGAAGAACTGAGAGCCTCGTTCTGGGCCTTGCTTCTGCTGATAGCCTTCTAACTCTTCCCTTAAACTGCAATACTACTAGTATCATATATCTCGATAGGAATTTCCCTTGAAGATGCCCATTCACGCTATTGCATTCCGGATCGCTAGTATAAGCGGATCACTGTTTATATTAGATAGTACAGCACTGTACCGTATGCTACTGGGAGGCCTTACTGAGCTAGAAATGTAGAGGGGATGGGAGCTGCTTCGCATAGTCGCCCCTAAGAAGCCTAGCAAGCAGTACAAAGCATAGTGCTATACATGAGCTGAGGTTGACCTCATTGCCAACTGAGGAAGGGTGTCTTATCAGTGGGCCACGGCATGACTCCCGACTCACGGCCTGCTGCAGTGACAGCCCCCTTCTATAATCCCCGAGGAGAATACCTAGGTGGTCCATCACCATTTGTTCTCCGTTTCTTCTTGCAAGCCTCGGCTGCACAGTTGTCATACGTGAACTCTCGGTAGCCCTTTTACCGTCTTGCGTGACCATTGCCTCAAGCAGACGAGAAGGAGGGGGAAGAGGCAGGGATGACGCTTTGGGTCTGGCAGCCTATTGTTGGCGGCGGGGTTGGCGGATAAGGCGGGGCAATCTCAAGCAACCACTTTAACATGCGCACGTGCACAGACCACTGGCGACCCACTGGAATCCGCCATTCAGTCAGGCATGCCGAGGGGTTTTGGCTAGGACATGATTACTACGAGTGCTACGGTAAGCTTGAGTACCCAAGGTGGATCGAATCTTCACTCTGGCATTGGGAAGACTACCTCGTGCCCCGTAGTACAAGTCTGGCAACAAGAAAGCTTACAAAGAGAGAAAAGAAGAAAAAAGCCCAGCATAAAGAAAGTTACATATTAGAGAAACAGGAAGTAAAAGCAAAGTCATACAGCGAGACAGCGCAGCCAACATGCTGAATTAGGTGCGCCGGCTGATTTACATAGTACCCGTGGGCTTAACCTCTGGTCTCCGTTCCTCCCGTAGTGGGTGCCAAAATTGGTTGCCGGCCAAAAAACCCGCACGGCTATTACCCCCGCCCCCCCCCCCCCCGGGCGCCCCGGTGACAATTTTCCGAGCTCGTCCGAATCACCGTGATTGTGGTCTGCGGCGCTTCTTTTTGTCGATCCTTCCCCCTGTGGACTCAGTGGTTGGTCTGGCTGGCGGGGTTCGCAGGTCGTGCTCGTAGGGTACGCAGCGGCTCTCTCCCCGGTCATGTTACCGAGCTCTAGGGCCACTGGCGACTCTCTCGGCGACTTCTCGGGGGCTTTCTTGGGCCGCTCCTGACGCCTATAGGTCCTGCCTGGGCTGTCGACAATTCGCCTGCGCTCGGTTCTGCGCGCCTGGCGCCATCGTAGTGGTGACCCGGAGAGCCATCACTTGGCGTCGTCGTCGTCGTCGTCGAGGGCCGATTCTGTGTCGCGACCTGCAGATGAGGATATCAGGGCCGGCCCGATGGCAACTCGGGATACTTCGTTTTTGAAACCGGGCCCCTGCTAACAAGAGGAGGAAGGGACCGTTCCTAGAATGTCACATAGCTTGCATATTACTACCTAGCTTGGAATTAAAAGTTCCAGTGCGAGTGTTCACTACCTTTTGGGCCATCAGAGTAATATGTGTAACCTGATACATAGATTGACGACTGAAGAGCTATATGCAAGATCTATCAAATGGTGGTGGTGGTGGTAATGACAATGACTTGTGGTTATATATTCAGCTTCCTCAGTATGGTGGCTCACTTGGATCGACAAGGCTCGACATCGATCCTGCAACTATCACATAAAGACCTGGATCATGTAAGCGTCCCTGTTCCGAGATGTTGACCTGCATGTTAGATGGGGTTATATTACAACAACAACAACAACAGACACCTATTGAGGAGGTGGTGAGAGCCGACAAGGGCCATCCGATCTTTCTGGTTCCTGTACCGTGACGCCCTCCTGGCCAGACGGTTGAGATGTCGGCATCATCTCCTTTTTCTTCTTATTCGCACCTGACTGACTTGCTCCAGCCATAGCCGGCTGGGAAGACTCATGCGCTCTCTTCCTGTTCATGTTGTGTGAGCTCGTGATGGAAGGGCCGCCCGACCGCCGTCCCCGTCTCGCCCTGGACGTCTCCCCGCTGCTGCTCTGGTGCTGCTCGTCCTCCAGGACAGGCTGCTCCGCCACCGCGGTCTGTTCCCAGGCCGGGTCGGCTAGAGCTTCCTCAGCTGTTGGGCGGCCCGAGGGCTCCCATGCGACCATAGAGCGGAGGAGGGCCTTGAGGCTGTCAGGGATCCGCCCCTGGAGGCCGGCGGCAAGGCTCTCCAGGATTCTTGTGTGGTGATCCCTGGATAGGGCCCTTGCGCCGACCCACGGCAGGAAAGTGGCCACTATAGAGAGGCCCAGGCTGAAGATGTCGATGGCGTTCGTATACTTTTCCTGGTGCCCGACCTCTGGTGCCGTGAAGCTCAGGGGCCCGAGGGCCGCCTTGGTGCCCCAGAGGGCCTTCTTGGCCTTGCCGAAGTCGCAGATAGCGGCTGCGGAGGCGGGAGGAGCCTGGCATGAGAAGACCAGCAGGTTCTGAGGGCTGATGTCGCGGTGCATGATGCCCATGCTGTGCAGGTTCTTGAGGCCCTCGAGCACCTGGCGATACAGGACCAGCCTTGTGAGCAGGTCGATCTCGTGCCACGGCGCACTGGCAAACGTGAAGGGCGCATACGGCATCAGGAGATGCACATCCTCGAATACAGCCTGCGAACAGGGGAACGGGTGGCCATGCTCGCACCACGAGGAGAGGAGAGGGACAAGGCCGACAGACCGGGGAGGGATCTGTCTGGCAATCTCGATCTCGTTCCTGGTAGCCGAGATATCGTGATGGTGGAGATGAATCGTCTTGCAGGCTACAACCTTTCCAGTCTGCTTCTCGATACCAGCCCGAACCACACCAAAGGCCCCCTTGGAGATAATATGATGAAGAATGATATTCCCCATATCGAGCTGTGTTGGCCTGGGCAATACGTCGAGACAGCCGTACTCCTGGATACGGCGGTGGTGATCCCAGCCCTGATACTGCCTCCGCATATAGTCCTCGAGATGAGTCGAATAGGCCACCTCGTTCCTAACCGAGAACTCGAGCACAAAGTCCAGCGGGCCAATGCGGAGGCGGTTGGTATTCTTATGAAGAACATATCCGTCATTATACTGCAGCTCGACATCTTGGCTACCGTTAGCCTGCAGGTATACAATCGAGTGGTGCTGGCTGATATTCCACAACAATAAGGCTCCGGATTGCGGATGGATTGAGAGCTTGCAGGCCTCCCATCCTCTTAGGTGACGCGATCTAGACGAGCAGATGGGCAGATCGGGCGCACCTCTCCGCCTCAGCTTCCCGATCAGCCAGCTACGATCCAAGCTGGAACCTCGGGCGTTGAACGAGAGCATAAGCTGGTATTTAGACCGGGCAGCGCGGTCGGTGGACTTTGTAGGGCCATCGGCCTGGGCGACAGCGACGAGATGAACAGGAGACTCGGGAGGCTGGCTGTCGACGAGGGATGCCAGGCATTTCTGGGCTGCCTTGTTCTCCGGGGTCAGCGTTGCGAAGCGAAGGGGGAGTAAAGACATGATAGTTTTGACAATAACCAATGTTGATAATGTTCATGGGAAAATGCGAGCGCAGACATGACTAGAAGAATATTAATTAGTTTATCATCACCGCATTGTTTTGGAGAGGGGGATTTCTGGTGGGCTGGGAGAGTAACAGTGGCCCACTTTTTAGGCAGCAGCAGGCCATCAACCCCCTCTTCTGATAACCTCATCCTCCTCTTCCTGACAACAACATCATCCCATCCACAACATCATCAAAATTGCCATCAACACCATCAAATTCAAAATCAACATCATCACATTTGCATTCACTGCATCCACACACACACACACATCCGCCATGAGACCGTTGGAGGGGTTTTGTTCTCCCAAACGCCCAGACGAGACGGAGGACGAGTACGACGAGAGGTGGACACGTAGCCGAGACGAATGGCGTCGGAATTATGTCAACGACTACTATGCAAGGAAGGAGGCACGGATGCCGTCACCCCAGAGCGAGAGTGATATGGACGACGAAGAGATGGCCCACTCGGTCAAGCTGGTTGAACAAGATATACTGGTCGACGCAGGGCTTGCAACGATAAACGATCTCATGAACCCCGCTGTATACCCCCAAATCTCCTTCGAAATCTTGGGCAAATCCCTGAGCGAGGTTGACCCCCGTGAGCGGCTGTGGTCCAGCGGCCCTTTTGCTCCCTACGACAGGTCGCCGTCTCCCGTGCTAGCGAACAGCCAGCCTGCTGAGGAGGGGGACGCCGCTCCCGACCAGCCGCCGCCGGCCCACAACAGAGGGGGGACACTGGAGCATAAGCGCAAGAGGGATCCAGAAGAGGAGGGGGACAGCGATGATGAGCTGCTACCGCTCGCGATATCCGAGGAACAACCAGGCTCTCAGAAGAGAAAGAGGCGGAAGATAACGACGGGGAAGGAGATACAGCCCCAGCCGCCGGCGGCCGAGACCGGAGGGACAAGGGGTTACAAGCGCAAGAGGGGTCTAGAGGAGGGGGAGGGGGACGACCACGGTGAGCCGTCGCCGCCGCCCGCCACCCCTGCGATATCCGAGGGACAACCAGGCCCCCAGAAGAGGCGGAGAATGATGATGGGGAAGGAGATACAGCCCCAGCCCCAGCCGCCGGCTGGTACAGCATCCGGCAGCAAGAGGAAAAGGCAACCCGACACGGCCTGTGAGGCCTCCCAGCCGGTGCCGGACGGGCCAGAGGCCAAGAAGAGGAAGGTGGTGGTCGCCCGGGAGGAGGAGGAGGAGGAGGAGGAGGAGGAGGAGGAGGAGGAGGAGAGGACGACAGCTGCAGACGCCGCCAGCAGCAGCAAGAGGGACCGCAGCACCCTCATGAGACAACAGAGCAGCCGGGCGAGGCCTGCAGCCCCCCGAGAGAGCTTACGGCAGCGGCGGCGCGTGCAGCCTCCCCGCCCCCTCCCGACAGCGCCCGCGGCCCGGATCACCCGTGCGCGGCGCCGGCAGCTCTCGGGTGCAGATGCGCAGCTCCTGCAGCTCGGACAGCACGGCTGCGCCGAAATACAGGTGCAGACAACGGTCAGACTAGGCCGGGGGCTCGGGCGGTCCCGCCGGCATCAAGACCCGAGCAACAGCTGGCACCAAGGAGCAGGTTGCTAATAGCAAGCATCTTGATGGGATAGTGGTATTTCTGGCAGGATATGGCTTGGGGAGAGGGGGGAGGAGGGGGTATAGGGCAAAAGTCGGGCAGGCAGATTGGCACAGACCTTGGAGGGGCGTTGTAGAGTTGTCGCGTACCGGTTATCCTGACAGGGTCGGGTGCAGCCGGCGGCGTCTCTCTCTATATGCAGGTCAGCGTCTGGGCGGGGCGGGGCGGGCAGCGTATGCTAGTTATCCTGACAGGGTCGGGTGCAGCTGGTCACGTTTCTTTAGCTCTCCCTGTCCTTGTATCGCTGCTGCTGTTGGATAGAATGGACTTGCAAGGCCTGTGTACCGGTTATCCTGACAGGGTCGGGTGCAGCCGGCGACAGGAGTCTTGCGGGCTCGCGAGCGGGGATGGGGAAACCGGGGCAGGGCGGGGGATGGGTGTCAATTTTTTTATTTTTTTTGGGTTCTGGTGTCTGGTGGGTTGTGATGCTGTTGAAGTGATGGAAACAAGTCTGTTGAGTTTTCGAATTTTGAATTTTGAATAATGTGTACCGGAGTGGGAAATGCTCCCTTGTTCAGATGCACTGCTTAAGATGTTCTGCTCTTCTTGACTTCTGGATACTTGTATACTCGTTAGCTGTCCCCCTCTTGCTTACAACCTCTCTTATGAATTTTTTTTGGTACAGATAGATGATTGCGATCCAGCATTGCCGCCTTGATACAACTGTTCAGGCAGTGTATGGCTTCCCGGGGGGGGGGGGGAGGCGTCTTGGTTGCTCCAGAGAACTAGAATGGCTAGCCATTTTATCTTGCCTTGTTGCATTTGTTGACATTGCCAAATAGGGAGCGTTGTCTTTCTCTACCAGTATGATTGCAACTCTGCCTGCCTTTTCCCCCCAGAAGTTTCTTATGTGAGGACAGATAGATGATGGTGAGCCAGGAGCTCAGACACAGTTGTCACACCAAAGGACTGACAATCAATCAATAGGCAAAGAGCTCATGTAAACCAAGCATGCTAAACCTGTCCAGAGGGCTCAAGATTGAAAAGAAAGGTTGAGGGAGTCAAGCTTGATTGTCTATATATGTGGATGATGCCCTTAAAATATACGAAACCGTTCCACTAAATTTGGTATACTACAGCTCTCCGCAAGCTATAGGGAGTACATCAAAATTTTTTTCATATATTTAAGTCTTTATCCCAGAGCGCTCATTAATTGCTAGCTACACTTTTTATCTTCATTTGCTAGCTGGGGAGAGTAGAACGGTTAAGGGATCAACGGAGTGAATGCTGTAGGCGGAAGCAGCTAGCTGCTAGAGAGTACAGCAGGAGCGGAAGTATTCTATATATTCTTAACCAGTGCAGGTAATCAATGCATCTTATTACAGTATACTGAATCAGAACTAGGGCGCGGTTGCCCTCGAGAAAAGGAACGAACAGCTGCTGAAGCAATGGGCAAGGGCTCGTGCAACCCAACCGTGCCTGTACAGATAAGAACAGCAAACTAAGGCCATACGGGCACAAGAACAGGGTGAAAAACCTGTCTTAGATCTGTCCAAGGGGTTCAAACTCGAAAAGAAGAGAAAAGGATGCTTGATTGTTGCTTATAGCTAAAGAATTTGAAAAGTGGGTGGTATTCTTTATATGTATGAGAACTCTTGATTTACTGCACTTTATGTTCTACAGATTATTATTCTGGCTATCATAATAACACTCTTAATCAGTGCAAGTAATAAGTGCACTTTATTATAATGCATTCTTGATATGCTTGAGCAATAAGTGTATTTTACAAACTTATTCTAGATTTGATATTTCAGTTTCAATTTAACTTTTTTTTTTCCTGCTTTCTAGCAATTAAAATCTACTCTTATAATAGCTAGCTAATTACTATATAGCTAACTATACTCATATAGCTAACTACATTTATACAGCTTATTATATTCATATAGCTAACTATATTCATATAGTTAATTATAAAGCTAACATTATTTCATCAATTGACAGTTTTTACATACTTCTTTAAAGAAGATAGCGCAATAATTATCACTTAGCAGTTTCATTCAGCTTTCTACTTAGTACTTCAAAGGGTAGATAATAGTGAAATATATGGAATAGATAAGGAAAGGAGAAAAGCAGATAATAGAAAAGCAACTATATACAGACTGATAATATATAAGCTCTTATTATCAGCATCATTCCTTGCACATCTAGCTTACAAGCAATAGCTAGCCTAGCTTCCTTTGAGATTGCATTGTACTAATCTCAACAGGAGAAAGATAGCAAGAGCTGTATATGATAATCAGAGCTAAGCTTAATGCAAAGATGAATAATCCTTCAAATTTATTATCTCAATTGCATAATTAGCTATTATTATTACTGAACTGAAAGATAATCTTTCTAAGAAAAGCTAGCTGAAGAGAAGCTATTTCAAGCTCAACATCTGCTGAGTTCCTTACAGAAGCATTATCAAGATGTACTTCCTCTTTACAAACAAGCAGTTTAGATGTACAAACAGCAAGGATGTGGCAGTGGCCATAGGGGCCTTAGGTGAATGAGGCCTGGGTGGCCACCCTGACTCACTGGCCTGGGCCATTCAATGGAAAGGCAGTGAGTCGCCAGGTACGCTAGCTCAGTTGGGACTAGTGCTAATTGCCTTCTATATAGAAGGCAATTGGCAAGCGTGCCTTGAGATAGATTAATTGAAGAATCATCTTCCCTTCTACCATTTGTACAGCCCCTAGAGTGCCTTCTACAAGTGGTAGCTACGATCATACACTGCATTGAGGAATTCCTTGAGGATTCACCCCACGAAGCCACTGCGCTGACACGCCCACCTGGGAAATCAGCGGCCTTGGCAACCCAAAAACACCAAAAGCCCACTATCGTGAAGATCGTGGCACCAAAACAACAAGCCCTTGGCACCACGCTCACCTGAGACTGTGCCACGGACTTCCCTGACGCGTTACGCTCACCTGAGACCTCGCAAACAGGCGTTTTCATCAAAAACACCACAAAAAACCATCAAAAACACGCCCACGGGCATTCACAAGCATTCACAGCTAAGCTGTTTTTTCCTTTTACCCCGTCGCTGGTGGAAGCCCTGGCAGTTGAAATCAGCAAGCACACTCTGATCCTCGCGAGCACCATAGACATCCTCGCGCAGACGCCACGAGTTACCCTGGTTACGGCACGCTCGCCTGAGAAGCCTAAACCATCCCCTAGCCTTCATATCCATCTGTTGCTTGTCGCCAATTGGCTTGATTAACAGCGATTCACTGTTGATTTTAACCCTGGCAAGACAATCAGACAAGCTGAGCTAACTATGAGCGGTTTCTCAAAGAACCCAACTCGACCACCTATCCACCGTGCTACCACAGCCGACCTGGCTGCCAGTCTGGCGACACAGCTAGGCAAAGACCCCAAACTTCTTCACGGACGCTCGACGAGTGAAGACGCGATGGCCTCTCGAGAAGAAGAGACCGCCAGTCAGGACAACCCGTTCCAGGCGGGAGACTACCATGGCAACAGCTCAGCACTGTTCGAGTCCCCTGCTGCGCAACGCGAGACTGGCACCCTCCAACACGAGGATCCTGAAGAACCAGCCAACTTCTCAAACAACCCTGCCTTCAAGGAGTATATTCGTTACATCAAGACGCAGGCTGACGACGCTAAGATAGCCGCGATCCACGCAAACCTGGAAATCAGGAAGACCTCGGAGGTCGTGGCGCGTCTTGAGACCCAGCAAGCCACGATAGCTATCAAACAAGGAGCCCTCGATACTCAAGTCGGTAAACAAACCGACATGCTAGCCCAGCTGATGCGTCACTTCAAGCTTGGCCCTGAAGCCACCGCTTCAGATATTCGCTTTCAGGCTAGCAATGGTAATCTACCCCCCGCTGTACCTGGCCCTTCACAAGGTCCAGCAGCCCCCCGACGAGCTGTCCACTATGGCGCTGGAGGAGGTGACCCTGATGATTCGGGTGACGACTCCGACGACCAAGGAAGCGGTGACGGAGGCTGTCGTCCTCCTGACAGGCCTCTAGGACCTGGATCAGGCAACCCCCGTAACCAGCGCGACGACACTCCGTTCTCTAACCGATCAAGCACCCAGCACGTTACTAAAATGAAGAGAGAGGAACTTGGAGTCTTCGACCCTGAATACAACGACCCCGAAGATGTTGGCATGGTTACAGTCGGCAAGGACCTCGTCTTCACTGATGTCTGGTCCTTTCTAGACCGTCTTGAGTCCCTCAAAGATAGCACGAATAATGCTGATATTGAGAACGAGATATTGCGCATGTTCAGCACCTTACTGCAAGGCGCTGCCATTTACTGGTGGACCAACGAGTTGACCAACACTAAGCGCGCCGAGCTTCGTCGAGGAGGATATGGCGTCGTCACCAATCTCCTGGCTCAGCGATTCGCCATGGAACCCACGCGTGCCACGCGAAAGTTCCGCGAAAGCTACCTGACCTTGAGAAACATTGCTGAGGACGAGTTTGCCCTGCGAAAGTTCATCCAGAAGAACCTCCGATACGCGCGCGGTATGGGCATTCTCGACCGCGAAAACCTCAACTGGAAGGGCGCCTTGAACGACATCTGGAGCAAGATGGATGAACGCATTCAGCACCACCTTGCCCCTCCTCGTCGCTACAACACCCTGGATGAGTATATGGAGGAGGTTGAGCAGGCCAAGAGCATCTTGGTCAACATTGCTGATCGACGCTACCCTGAGTACTACAGAGGAAAGGGTAGTCGTCGAGACCGTTCCCCAGCCCGCAAGTACGACTCTCGCACCAGCAGCAACCGCCGCGACGACCGAGATCGTCGAGATAACCGCGATCGTGATCGCGGAAGGGATCGTGATCATGACCGCCGCGACAAAGATCGGTCAAGCTATCGTGACAAGAGCGTGACTCGTTCCTCAAGGTACGAGCCTCGAGATCGCGATTCATACCAAAACCGGGACTCCAACCGCGACAAGCCTCGGGATCGCAACCGCAACCGTGATTAC